ATTTAAAAATTAATAATTAATTTTGCTATAAATATAATATTTCTTATTTCTTAAGATATTTTATTAGCTATTATAATAAGAGTTATATTAAGGATAAAAGCTATTATTATTAAAGTTATCTTAGTTAAAATTGCCTTAGTTAAAGTTGCTATAACTAAAGCCTTTTTAGCTATATTTACCATAGTTTAATAGCTTATTATCTTAATATTAGCAGTTAATATAATATGCTTTATTTCTCTTATTATTAGCACTTTAATTATCTTTATTATAATATTAATTAATATTGCATTAAAAACTAAATTTAAGAAAAAATCTTAATTTTAAAAATAATGCTTTACATAAGTATTTAAAATTAAAGAGTGCATATTATAATTTTAATATGCTTATATAAGTATAAATAATTATTATTTATAAGAAATTATCCCCTTAATAAAGTATATTAAGTGCTTATTAATATAATTATAATTTATTAAATATTATAATAAGAATTTCTTAAAAATACTTATTAATATTTTTTAAATTAATATATATGCCATTAAATATAATTAAGGTTTAATTATAAAAGTATTATTAATAATTAACCTTTATATTAAAGTAAGCTTTAAGCTTTATATATATATTATAAATAAAGGATTTTATATTAATATAATAAATATAATAAATCTTAGCATAATCTTTAAGAATTAAGGGAAATATTATATAAAATTATTTAAGTTTAATATTTATTATTTAGTAAATATTAAAAAAGATCCTTATTTTATTATTTAGCAAATTATATAATTCACTACCTTAATTCTTATTTTTATTTTATATCTTGCTAAATTATATATTATTATTAATATTAAAAAGATTATTTATTATTTCTTAAAGGGGTAGATTTTAATATAAATTATATAATTATAAAAATTTTAATATTATAATAAGTAATAATGCTAAGTATAAAGTTTTTATTAATTTCTTAAACGAAATGCTTATAAATTATTCCTTAAGTTATAAAGTTTTTAAGTATTTTAATAAACTTAGTTTTTATTAAAATAATATCTCTTAATATCCTAAGAAAGTCCTTATATTTAATTAATTAAGGATTTTCTTTTTATAAAATAATAATTATAATATTTATTATAAAAAAGTTAATTAAATAAAGTTTTATCTTAATTTTATAAATAATTAAGGATAAAAAGGTTATAATTTTTAAAATTCTTTATTATTTTTAATAAAGGGAATTGCTTACTTTAAGTTTTAATAAAAAGAAGCTATAAATAATAAAATTATATTAAGAGCTAAAGTTTCTTAAATTTCTTAAATAGTAAGTATTTCTTAAGTATTTACTATCTTTAACTTTTAAAATTAAAGCCATTAAATATAAAACTTAAAGAATTTATATATATTAGCTATTTTATATAATTTCTTTTCTTATTATAAAGGATATTTATTATATATAAGTAATATTTTTAGGTTAATATATTGCTTATTAACGCTTCCTTTAATATTAATTCCTTTCTTTTAAAGGAATTTCTTAAAGTTTTAAATAATAATTAACTTTTTAAATATCATTATATTTTAAAAAGCAAAGTTTTCTATAAAGTATTAAAATAAATTATTATTTATATTTTAATATCTTATTATTTCCTTTATAAACTTAAAAATAGCAGCATTTATTTAATTAATTATGCTATTTATCTTTATTATTAGTTTATCTTAATGATTAAGATTAATTTATTAACTTTAAAACTTTTTATTAAGATTAAAAAGTAATTAAAGTTTTTATATAAAAGCATTATTAATATTTAAAAGTATTTCCTTAGCATTATTATTAAATTTAGCCATTTTACTAAGCTATTAAAATATTTAAGTAATTTATATATAAGAAAAAAAGAAAAAGGGTAATTAAAGAAATATAATAAGGTTATTTTAAAGCATAAAAAGAAAGTATTAATTATATAATAAAAGAGTGTTTATTAAAAAATATTTATTAACTTAAGTAAATATAAATTATTATTTATATTAAAGTAAAGTAATTATAAGCATTTTTAGCATTAATTATATAATAAAACATGCTATATAATTAATAAATTTAAGGTATTATTAAGAACTTATTAATTAATAAGTTAAATCTTTATAATAAAAAGGTTAAGGCATTATTAATTTCTTTTTATTAATTTTAATTATAATATAACTATTAATACTTAATTAAGTAAGGTTTTATTATTAATAATTACTTATCTTTATAATATTAATATTAATTATTTAATATAAATATTATAACTTAATTATAATAATTCTTATTATTAATAGTTACTACTTAATTAATAGCAATATAAATTTATTGCTTGCTTATTTTATTATTTATAATTACTTATAAGTAATTATTAATTAATATTAATTAAGTTAATATATATTAATTAATAGCAAACTAGTTATATTTAAATTAGCTATATAAAAGGAAGGAGGGTTGCAGCCATAGGCTGCAAAACCTCCCTCTAGCTATAAACTATCTAGAGGTGGTTACATGCTGCTGCACATAACCCTTGCCTGCCAGTACTCTAGTGCCAATTGCCCATAGTGCCTATCGCCCATAGTGCTGCTGTCCCCCTATGGCACGTCCATAACCACATTAATTCTTATTTTTATTTTATATTTTATTAAAATATATATTATTATTAACATTAAAAAGATTATTTATTATTTTTTAAGGGGGTAGGTTTTAATATAAATTATATAATTATGGAGATTTTAATGCTATAATAAATAGTAATATTAAGTATAAAGTCTTTATTAATTCTTTAAAGGGAATACTTATAAATTATTCCTTAAGTTATGGAATTTTTAAGTATTTTAATAAACTTAGTTTTTATTAAGATAATATTTTTTAATATTTTAAGGGAGCCCTTATATTTAATTAATTAAGGGTTTTCTTTTTATAAAATAATAATTATAATGCTTATTATAAAAGAATTAATTAAATAAAGTTTTATTTTAATTTTATAAATAATTAAGAATAAAAAAGTTATAATTTTTAAGATTTTTTATTATTTTTAATAAAGGGAATTAATTGCTTTGAGTTTTAATAAGAAGAAGTAAAAGCTATAAATAGCGGAATTATATTAAGAGTTAGGATTTTTTAAATTTCTTAAATAGCAAATGTTTCTTAAGTACTTATTATTTTTAGCTTTTAAGATTAAAGTTATTAAATATAAAACTTAAAAAGTTTATATATATTAATTGCCTTATATAGTTTCTTTTCTTACTATAAAGGATATTTATTATATATAAGCAATACTTTTAAGTTAATATATTGCTTATTAGCGCTTCCTTTAATATTAACTTTTTTCTTTTAAAGGAATTTCTTAAAGTTTTAAATAATAATTAACTTTTTAAATATTATTATATTTTAAAAAGTAAAGTTTTTTATAAAGTATTAAAGTAAATTATTATTTATATCTTAATATTTTATTATTTTTTTTATAAACTTAAAAATAATAATATTTATTTAATTAATTATATTATTTGCTTTTATTATTAGTTTATTTTAATGGTTAAAATTAACTTATTAATTTTAAAATTTTTTATTAAAGTTAAAGAGTAATTAAAGTTTTTGCATAAAAGCATTATTAATATTTAAGGGTATCTTCTTAGCATTATTATTAGATTTAGTTATTTTGCTAAGTTATTAAAATGTTTAAGTAATTTATATATAAGGAAAAAGAAAAAGGGTAATTAAAGGGATATAATAAGGTTATTTTAAAGTATAAAAAGAAAGTATTAATTATATAATAAGAGAGTGTTTATTAAAGAATGTTTATTAACTTAAGTAAATATAAATTATTATTTATATTAAAGTAAAGTAATTATAAGTACTTTTAATATTAATTATATAATAAAATGCATTATATAATTAGCAAATTTAAGGTATTATTAAGGATTAATTAATTAATAAATTAAATCTTTATAATAAAAAGGTTAAGGTATTATTAATTTCTTTTTATTAATTTTAATTATAATATAGCTATTAATATTTAATTAAGTAAAGTTTTATCATTAATAATTGCTTACTTTTATAATATTAATATTAATTATTTAGCATAAATATTATAACTTAATTATAATAATTCTCATTATTAATAATTATTACTTAATTAATAATAATATAAATTTATTACTTACTTACCTTGCTATTTATAATTACTTATAGGTAATTACTAATTAGTGTTGGTTGGGTTAATGTATATTAATTAATAGCAGACTGGTTGTATTTGAATTGGCTATATAAAAGGAAGGAGGGTTGCGGCCGTAGGCTATAGAACCTCCCTCTGGCTATAAACTACTGGGGGTGGTCACGTGCTGCCGCACGTGACCCTTGCCTGCCGGTGCTTTAGTGCCAATTGCCCATAGTGCCTATCGTGCCCAGTGCTGCTGTTCCCCTATGGCACGTCCATAACCACATTTAACGCTATTAAGCTAAAGGTTGTTCTGGCCTGTGTTATTTTGCAATATAACCTTGAGTTGCTGGCAAAACGTCCTGAAAATCTGCAATTTAGCCATTCCTCTATGCCATCACGGACAAGAGTGGTTAAAATGCAGAGGCTTAAGTAATAGTTATACTAGTTTAGGCCGTTAAAGACAATAAAATACTGGAATCCGAAATTTAACAGCATTAGCCTCGCTATTAATTAAAATGTTAATACCGTAATTACGTGATCCTATAAGACACGTAATCCTAAAAGAAAACTTTGCATTATTAAAATGAATATTAAATTTACCTTAGGTTCTCTTATTTGCCCATGGTTTACAAAACAAGTGTCATCGGCTAAATAGACATTAACTTCAGCTAGACCATAAAGACAGATCGAATTTTCGGTCAGGGGGCAGTACAGCAATTCATGGGTGTGCATTCTTCACTATAAGTGACGGGTCCGCTGGCACTAAAGAGCCTGGTTCCGTAAAAGCCAACCCTTTTCTAGACCACCAGACAGAGTCAAACTCATCCCCACTCATCCAGCTCAGCCCTTCCGAGGTGGGCCGTCAAAAGCCTCCATCGCCAGCCCATCATCACTCAGAGGAGGTCCGGTCAAGTCTATATCTCGAGCAACACTGCCGTAGCTACCCTGCATATAGGCACCATAGGGGTCAACACAGCCACTATATAACGCGTTAGTAAATACTAGTATTATCTTTTGCATAACTAAAGTGCTGTTATGCTAAAGAATATAGGTGAGGAGTAGGCGATTAAACGGAAGACAAACTAGTTCCAAGAAGCGTGCTCCACAGGCTTGTCCACCACAACACACTTGCAATGATCCTTGCACCTAGGGGCCGTGTTTGGTTAGCTCTCATTTGAAAACAGGTGGCAGTGGGTGCAGACTAACCACTTCACATTTCCCTTGGCCGAGGACTGGCCCTTTGGCTTCCACTCCTTCGGAACTTCCATTTTTTGTTTCTTCTTGCCTACAAGCTCTGCAGTCAGCTATCAAGGTACTATGCCATGAAGAGGCGACAATAGTTGCGCATGGGAGTTCATTACCGTCGGAGTTGCACTCCCACCAGTCTCTGCAGAACTTGTTGGAAAGGACCTTCCCCTGTTTGAATCCGGGTGGCGGCTCTGTCGTATCTGGGTCCGAGTCGCACTGGATCTCGTATTCAATGAGCATGCCTTCAAGACCCCGAGGGACGACGCTCTGACGTCCTGTCAGTCCCTTGTCCGAGGTGTGGTCGCCGTTGTAGTCCATATCGGTGTTGCCAATGTGGCCACCAGCCATTTGGCGTGGAACGGCAGCCATGGACGGAACAAGAAGGCCCAGCAGGACCACCAGGATGATATGAAGAGGGTCCATTCTATTTCTGTCAGCTCAAACTCGTCCATGTTGGGTTGGACATGGGTAAAAGATCGGCCAGAATATTGGCCACTGCGTCTGGATGGCTCATATGTCTCAACTTACTTCAGAGAGTGGACACCAAGCAGTGGCAGATTGCGCTTGTTGTGTTAGGCTTGATCAAGTTGACTCTGATTGTGTGCAGTTGTGTGTGAGCGTGGGTGGGTAGGATTAATGGAAAGGGAGAGGTTGGAGTTGCTCTCTGACCGTTTAAGTATTTTTTTCTTCGTAATACCTATCACTATTCACTATAGACTGTAACCCTTAAATTCCATGTCCACATGTTCACTAGCATGGCTGTCATTAACAACTTTATTTACAGGAGCAATGCTGCATTGACAATACCCTTCTATATCTCTACTCATGCTGCAGTCGATCCATCTGCCGGCCATCTGCTGATGACCGACAATCGAGCTATGAGGGGTGACATTAAACCATGTTAATCTGTTGTGGCCATAATGTCTTCAGACCTTCCTTTCCCGAACGACATCGTCGTCAGCGGCCAGCATTTCCGCGACTGCCAGGATTTCCTCATTGACCTTGACAACGACGATGGCATCAAGAATCTGACCACAAATTTGTTGAAAATCTGCCTATTTCAAAATCAGGGGCCACAGCTGAGCAACTCTCTTCTAGAAAATATCCACAAGAGCATCCTCACTATCCAACTCCCTTAACAACGCTGACTCTAACGCTATCACTTTTCCACTGATTGTCTAAATATCCATACATTGACACTATTCGAAACAACTGCTTGATTGATAAATTCGTCTTGAGCTATTATTTGCTCATGTTCCTGTTCAGCATTGTCATGGTCCTCCTATTTGTTCACCTGCACTGTGGTCTTGGGAGTATTGATGCGCCTAATAATGCCCCTATTTACATTATTGCCAACATTCTACTTTTTGATTCTGGTTAAAACACTAGTTGCCGTTGTGGAAGCAGAAAAACCAACGTATTGACATCCTGCCCGATCTGTGGGACTCGATATATTCGTCCTAATGTTAGTCCACCTATATTGCAGACAAGGAAGGGTGGCTGATTAGATTAGATGGATAAGATAAGGTCACAGGCCATCTGCCTGTAGTCAAAAGGCGTTGTAAGCGCCATATTGCCGCAGCTTGGATCCTTCTAATGCACACTTTCAGAAACACACAACAATTCTGACCCTCCGTACCTATTACCGAATACTTGGGCATCTCTTCGAGCCACAGGCCGGCAAGGCATGTGTAGCCTGTAACCTGACGATAGCGAGCAGCGCGCCCAGCCAGTGCAGGGAAGCGGTCCTTCTCAGATGTGATCTGTCGCCTTGAGTATTCTACTATAATGGATTCCCAAGATATGCTTCTTCCGAATTCCTTTGGATCTCGTACGAGACGGGCTTTTTCCATCTGCCTGCGAATCAACTCATTAGCGTACCCATTAGAACAATCCCATAGTGTTATATTATCAATATGTAACACCCTTGGTGAGAGCATCCATTCCTGAAAGGTCCATCCTCGGCCCCACCAGTTGTTTCTTATATTGCTGTGATTGTAGCAAAATGCGGACCAGTCATTTTCCAAAACCCAGGGATCCTTATTTTGATGCCAGAAACTTGGAGTAAAACAAAAGCTGCTTTTCTCTCTTGATTCCTCATCTTGATATGTGACTGCGCAGAATTGACTCTTGCCCTGGAAGCCCCTATGTCGTTTTTCTAGGAAGCTCTGTGACGATTGGTTGCAGATGGGGACTGATAGTGTTAACGCTGACCTGCTATAGATATCACACATTCTTAATGCCTCCATTGACCAATCCTCCTTATCATCTTGTATGATGCATAGCCTATCAACCCAGAGGAATCGAAAACCAAGTGTAGAACACAGATGAATAGCATCAACTACTGTGTTTGGTAGATCTTGGAAGGCTATTCCCTGCTGCTGCCTTGATAGGTTGGCATGAGTCGTTTGGCCGATCTGTGAGTTTGAGGTACCCCAGCAGTAAGATAGGCAGGCATATTCACCATACACCTGCCTAGATGGCTTGATAAGATGCATGCCATGTTTCTCATTCTTCAAATCCAACAGTTCGAGTACTTTGCTTGGTAGGGGTTGATGGCGGGTGTTTTTACAGCAGGATTCATGTTCTCTTTCACATGTGTTCATCCACCGACGTATGAGACCAATGTGAGGTCGCGACAGGAGATCCCGGGAAGGCCGGTGTCGCATTTCGGGGTCGAGAGGATCATCTGCGATGTGTCAATAATATCTCAAGTAAATCGTCGCCGCCTTCCCCTTCTCACTTGGAACTTGCACATGCAGGGAATGTCGAAGTAGTCCAAGCAAGTACTCAACGGAGGAGTGGATAGAACGTATGCTTTACCAGCGAGTTCTTGATGTGTGCCCCGCCGCGGACCAGTCTTGTCCTTGCAAAAGAGTTGTATGGCAACTCTTCCATGCCCAGCAATTGGAGAGTCATTTAGTCGTTGAAAGCTCTTTGGCTTGGCCAATGCTGCAAGATGTGTGGCCATTGAGGCGTCGTCGTTGAACTGCACAACATGAGCTGTTGCATTTGCTTGCATGGTGGCAGTCCCCGAGGCCGGTGAAAAAGCAGAGGCGACTTCGGGAAAACGAGCCTCGTTAGAGCTCCTCAAGCTATCGAGGAGCACTTTGCACATGCAGCAACCTGCTGTTGCAGAATTGAGAAGAGAACCAAGGTTGGGATGGTGCATATATATATAAGCATAGGGTCCGCTAGGCGTTATGTGGTTGTATTCCTCGTGCGTTTCCACTACAACACCGCGCGGATTCTTCAAGTCACCAAAGCCTCGACAAAGTTGGCAGACTAATGAACCGACTAATTAAGACCTTGAATGGCCGACGGCATCCATGGTGCTACTCAATTGACCTCGCGTGACGGTCTGTGTCTTCTGATAGGGTGCGAAGCCGTCTATCCCGGAGAGAAGGTCGGAGCATGCAATTGACGAATGGTCCGTTTTGTGGGACCAAGCGCTGCGGCAACTTGATAGCCAATGCTGACGAGTGAAAGTTCTAGTTGGAGAGAGTAAACAGTACACAGGCAAATGCTTCAGGTAGGGCAGGCGAATCGATTTGTATGTGAGGGAATCGTTGAGGCTCGCAGTGAAGCCAAGCGTGTGTTGTTGTAGTGAAAAGAATGTGACCAGACAAGCGGCGGTTAACGAGAGGGTTTTCTACCGGTTAAAATCGAGTGCGCCGTGACTGGTCCCAAGGCAGCAAACAACGCGCCAACACCCCAAGGCCAGTCACACAGCAACCAATCACCGGATAGTGGTCACCGTCCTTCTCCACCGGACGTATGACAGTGATGAGTTCCTGCAGGGGCCCACTGAGAGCTGTTCGTCTTGACCAATGAACAGGCATAAAGGCCCAGCTCGTCACTGCGGCATTGCTTCCCTAGCCAGGAGATGCGGTACGCACGACTGCCTGATTATTCAATTACTGTCCTGGAGCTACCAACGGCCGTGTAAACATTGATAAAAAGCGCCAATACTATGCCAACTCTGCCCGTCCGCCCACATACCCCGGTGGCTTGCTGCCCGGCACTTCAGCCGCCTCGGGGTCGCCAGCCACCTGGAACCGTTGCATATAAGGCTCCGACCCATCCGAGAGCTGGTATGCCTTCCCATCACTGTCATGGCTGGCCCCTCCCTTCTGATTCCCTTGGGCCACGGAACCACACTGGCCCCCTCTGCGCCGCCGCAGGATAAAGAATATCACCGCACCGACAAGAGCGACGCCGGCAACGCCCCCGACCACACCTCCTGCGATAGCACCCGTGTTGCTCGAAGCCGTTCCCGACCCAGATGCTGTCCCGGAGCCGGAGCCTCCCGAGGATGACGATGACGAGCCAGAGACAGCAGTTGCGGATGTGGTGAAATTCTCGACCGAGAAGACGGCCCGCAGCGAGTCGCCCATGGAGCTGGAGACGCGGTCGCGGGTATTGTAGTACGTGCTCAGCGCTTCGGCGTAGTCGTACGTCGTCCTGTTGGACTCGAAAGAGTCGGCGAACGACATGCTAGAGAGGTCGAAGACGCCCAGGCCCTGCGGGAATGTGTCCTCGGTGTGGAACACGCCGCGGTACTGGTTCGAAGCGTCGTGCTGCAACGTGTCCAGCCCGCCGACGGTGAGGACCTGTCCACCGCCGACATGCTCGCACGTCAGGCCGTGGCGGGGGCTCGCTGCCTCGTAGTCGGCCTTGAACCAGTTGAAGGAGGGCAGCGAGAGTACGTAGGCGGCGTCGAAGGAGATCGAGTACTCGCCCAGGGTGTTGTTCCAGCCGGCATACACAAGGATCTCGTAGGTGCGGTTCGACGAGGCCGCGCCGGCCATGCAGTACTGCATTCGGAAGGGCGGGACGTTGCCGGTGGTGACCTGGTCGTACCATGTCCCCGAGGCGATATCCAGCACCTGCACCGTGTCGAAGGCCTGCCAGTTGCTGGCCCACTCGCCCGAGCTTTTCACGTACCCGTGGTTGCCCCCTGCGCTGACCAGTATCCCCGCCGACCCAAAGTTGGGAACGTACTGCATCGACCCCATCTGCAGAAAGCCATCGGTGGAGACGGATACGGTGGTGTTTTCCACGGTCTGGGTGCTGAAGTTGTACGAGAGTAGCCCGCTGACGGGGACGTGATACTTGCCGAAGACGTCCAAGCCGCCGAGGACGAAGGCGGTGCCGTTCCCACTCGCTACAGGAGCCCCGAACGGCCGCTTGCCCGTCGTGAAAAAGGAGTCGGTGGTGTCGTTGAGGTTAGTCCAGGTCCCGTCGGTGTCATCGGAGCCGGGCTTGAAAGACCACAGCCCCTGCGGTTGCTCTGCCCCGTCGCCAAGAGTAGAGCTGGACCCAGCGAAGCCGGTGTAGAGCGTGCCGGCGTCTTCATCGACCCACAAACCCCCTTGGACCAGATTGGGGACCTCCGAAGGCTTCTCGATTGACGCCACGGTCACCGAGCTGGGGGAGAAATCCGTGGCGATATCGATGTAGAGGAGTGAATCGGAGTACTCATACTCGACCCCTCCGGTCTCGGAGCTGTTTGAGTAGGAGACCTCACCGCCGTCAATATATACTTTTCCATTCAGCACGGCGGCTGGGAAGAATACCGATCCGATTAGCACATCTGTTCCAGACCTGGTGGCACCACGATTTCATACTCACACGAGTGGAACCCCCTTCTGAAAAAGACACGCCCCGACACAGCGCCATCGACCTGTCTGGGAATGAGAGGCTCATCCGTCCTCTTGGTAGCGGAGGCACAAAGGGCGCCGCATAGCAGAAGCAGCCGCTTCATCTCGTCTTCATTTGTCTCGCGGATGAATGGTCCGGTAAGGGAACGGAAGAAAACTGGACGTGTTTGAGAATCAGGCGGTAGGCGCCATGATAAAAGGAAGACCCAAGCCGTGGCACAGCTCTAAGCCTTATGGAAATGTTATCTCTGACTTACAAACCTCCTCTGCCTGCATAACTTAGCGCAGACTCCCCACGTAATTTAAGTAGGGAGTCTGCCAAAACTTATGTAATTATAGCTAGGGAGGAAGGAACATTACATAAGCAGCAAAGGTTTATAACCAAATTATAATCGCAATTATAACCAAGATATTATAATCATTTATAGAAATTAAGAATTACCTATATTGCTATAAAACTACGTTACCATTAAACATTAATACATACTTTAAAATCTATAAAATCAAGCAATCATTTTAATATTATTTTTACTATATCCTAACTTCTATATTATTAATAATAATAGCTAATTTATGCCCAATGCATGCAAATTCCTAGCCTTATATAAACTCTTAAGCAGCCCATTAACACCTAGCAACCCCTTTTATATTTAACTACTTATATATTAATATATTAAACTTATCTCTTCTTTTATTAAATATATTACTTCCTATAAACTTAATTTAAGCAATATAATATAATTATAAAAGTTTTTAAGCTAATATAAATAATATTATAAAATTAAATTCCAAGTTAAAAGCTATTTATAAAGAAAGTTTATTTAAAAGCTCTTTTTATAATAATCAAAGTCTTAATAATAAAAAGGGTATAAAGATATTACTAAAAAACATTATTTTTAAAACTTTAGCATTATAAAAAAAGCTTTATAAAAATATAAATAAGGATATAAAAAATAATAAATCTTATAATTTATAGGTATTTCTTATTAAATAATTAAAGAATTCGCGCTATATATTTATAATAAAGAATGCTTTAAAATACTTTGCTATTTATGCAATGCTTAAGTTATCTAAAGTTATAATATATAATTTAAATAAAGAAAAAAAAGATATTTCTTTAATTATATCTTTATAAAAAGAAATAGCTAGCCTTATAAATAAAGAATTATTCTTAATCTTTAGCTTATTTAAGAAAGAAAATAAGCTCCTAAATATATTAAGCGGCCTAAAAGTAACTTTAAACTCTATTACTAAAATTAATTATATTTAATGCAATATTAACTATATATAAACCGTCATAAAGCAAAAGGCATTAAACTTACTTCTTCTTCTCTCCCAACTTCTCCAAAACCAATGCATAAGCCATAAAAAGATACTTAATCTATCTCTTAATAAGGGGAAGAAAACATATATTTACTTCTTATTATTATATCTTATACATAGCTTTGCATATAAACAAACCTCTTTTCTTTAAAAGCTTCTTAAGTTATACCTCCTTTCCAACAATATATATATTTATATAATTAATATACTTATTAATAAGTTTATATATAAAGTTTATATACTTAAGGTTATAGCTAATAAATATAAATATAAGCATTTATTCCTTATATAATATGCTTAAGATATTATATTATTAGCTTAACTAAGAAATAAAATAAATATATTTTTAATTAAGCGCAAACTCCCTACCTTAATTAAGTAAAAAGTTTATACTTAAAATAGGCACCTTTCCCTTATAAAATATATTTAAAACACTGCATTATTAGCTTAACTTTAAAATAAGAATTATATATTCCTTCCTAAGTGCAAACTCCCTACCTTAATTAAGTAGGAAATCTATACTTTAAATAATTAATAAATTTATATCCTAAAACTAATATTTATAAATATAAGCATTTATTTATTATATTAAACCTTAAACTATTTATTAAATTATATGCAAAAAACTATTATTTAAAATCTTTAATAATATGCATATAATTTAAGGATAGTAATTTAATATAATAACTTTAACTTCTTAAGCAAAATTTAAAACTACATTAATAAAAAGCAAAACTAGTTTATAAATCTTATAATTATAATATACTTTAAAGTACTTAATTAAAAAGGCAAACATATTTAGCAAATAAACTTTAACCTAAAGCAGCAATTTACTATATAAATAATTTAAAAATACCTTCTCCTATAATAAAATAATCTTAATAAAGCATTTAAGTAGCTTCTCTTACACTATATATATTAGCTATTTACTCATAATAGCAAAAACCCAAATCCATTACTACCTAACATTAACTATATTAAGATAAGGTTTTTTAAAACCCCTTTCCTTTAAGCTAATGCTATATATAAGGATGAGGGCAAAATATTTAGCATTTATAATATATATAATAAGCTCTTTAAAAAGCGCTTATACCTAAATAAAGACTTTTACAAAATATATATTATCCCAATATATAATAACTACAAAATAACCAACTATATTTAACACATTAAGTACAATTAATGAAAATCTTAAGATACTTATAAGATTTAAAGGTAAATAAAAGCTTTCTTAGCTAACTTTTATATTAAGTTAAATTACATTAAGCTCCTCTTTTACAACTATTATAATACTAAAAACCTAAAAACAAAGTCCTTTATTACCATTCTCCATAATATATTATTACTTATATAAATTAAATCTATTAATAAAAAGAACATTAAATATCATAAAGTTATGCCATTATTTTATTACAATCTTAATACCCAAATTATTACCTTTATAATTAATGCTTTAATTCAATGCAAACTATTAATTATTAAAGCTAGCAAAGCTAATACTTAATAGTTTTATAATATAATAAAGTAAATCTTTAATAAGATGCTTAATAATATCTTAAATAACATTCATTAATTAATTTTTAGCTATAAGGGCTAAATAAATAAATATAGGAATAAGAAAGCAATTAATATTAAGTTTTAAAATCAATATTAATATATAATAAGCATTAAGATACTACTTATTTTTAATAAGGCTATCTAATATAATAATTATGATCTTATCCATAATGTTATTATGCAGCTCCTAGCCTTTTTTTAAAACGGGAAGTTATATAATTATAAACCTAAGATACTTAATATAGCCTAAATTTTAACTAAGGAGGTAACCTTTAACAAAAAAGTTTATAATAACATTCTTAAGGCTAAGCTTATTAAGTATACTATTATTAAATATAGCTTTAAGCCTATTAACCAAGCTAATAAATATATTAATAATTCCTATGCTATAAACATTAAACATAACAAGAACTTAATGCATAATATTTAATTTATATTTACTTAGCTTACCTAATATAACTTATAAACATTAACTATATGCAAAACTATTAAGAAATCCTTCAATACTTATATAAAGAGAATCCATATATTTAAAAACCCTAAGAATAACATTCTTTAATTTAGCTAAAAGTTATATATTAATGGCATTATAAAATAATAACTAAGGTAGCAAGGCTTTAACTTCCCTAATCTTATAATAAAAGGATAAAATATCTTAATTAAAAAGCTAAATGTATAAAACTAAACATTCCTAAAGCCTAAGGAAGGTATTATTTAAAAGATAATTCCTATAATTAAAAAAGAAAATCTTAATAATAAAAACTTTCTATTTATCTTTAATAATAATAATTATTTATATTATATAAGAGCTAATAATATATAAAATATTAATCTTATTAATTTAATATAAAAAAATTAATAGCTTAAATAATATAATAATAAAATCATTAATTATTTTTTTTAACAAGGAGTTTGCTAACTTATATATAATTTAAAAACCTCACTTAATTAAGCGCAAACTCCCTACCTTAATTAAGTAGGGAGTTTATACTTAATTAAATAAGGTTTTCAACTTAATACATGCCAAGATACACAAAGTTATAACTATTATAAATGCAGAATAACGCAAAAAGTTACTAACTTTACAACATTATAACTTTATTAAAAAAAAATACTAAACATAATACAATTTTTACTCTTAAATAAGCTAATCACGATAATTCCAATAATATATTTAGCTTCTTAATTAAATGCTAAGTTAAAACTATAGCAATTAATTTATAATATAATTATTTAATAGCAGCCATTATAAAGATTAAGACTTATTCCTAAAGAAGAAATACTAACTTAAGCACCTTATAAAGCATTCCCCTCCTTATAAGAATAAGGACTATTAAACAAAGAACCATGAGAATAAAATGCAAAACTATAAAACCAAGATATAGAATTATAAAAATGAAAAGATAAAGAATAATAAGAAAAAGGATTATAAAAAAGGGAAAATAAGTATGCATACTTAAAACATTAGCGCTCCTTATTATTATTTTAAAATACTTTAAGAAGGGAAAGGATTATAAAAAAGGGGAAATAAATATATATATATAAAAAAAAGGTATATAAAAGTATTAAAAATAATTACCTAAACCAAAGGTTAAACCCAAAACCCCCTATATTTAAACTTTATTATATATATATCCTTATAAATATATAATAAACTAAAGGTTAAATTATATAAAATATATTACTATTATATTATTTAGGCATTTATTATAAAAGGGAAAAAGCAACTTATTTATATAAAAAAAGCTATTTTAAGCAGCTTAGCTACCTATTAAAACTTATAAACTCGCTACTTAAATTCCAAAATTAATAAACTCCTTATTTAATTTAAGTAAAAGTTTGCAAATCTTAGCAAACTAAAGCACTAATTTGCAAAATTTACTCTTTAATAGCCTTTAGCAATCTTTATATATAAAGACAAAGTAAATATATTGCAAAGCTATAAGCATTAGCAAACTCCCTACTTAAGTTAAGTAAAAAGTTTGCCAACCCTTATATACCTAAATATAAATTCTCATTACCAACTCCTTATAATAACTTTAAGCAGTCTTTATATACTTAGCAAGCCAGATATTATAATAATTATGCTTACTTAAATAAGCACTACATCCCACTTAAGCAAACTAATTAATATCCTTAACTATAAAAAGTAAATATAAAGAAAACAAAAAACAAAATGCCAATTATAAATATTATCTACATATTTATGCAATAATACAGCCCCCTAGGTCCCCTCCTATATACTTTATATAGCATTAAGTTAAGGCAATTTACCCTTTTTATCCTATATTTATTAATAAAGCTTACTCTTATAAGCCTCCTTTTATTTTATAACTTTTTATAAATAGCAATAAATTAGCGTAATAGCCAACTTATTAAGCTCCACCATCTTCTTAAGACTTAGAAAATAATCCTTTAACCATTCTTAGCTTTAAGGCGCCAAAGTGCTTTTAACTTTATTAATATCCATAACCTTTATATTTAAATTAATAAATAGTTCTTAATTACCAACTAAAATAAATGCTTAAGCTAAACTTAAAAAAAAATGCAATAAGCGCAAGTCTTCATTAAATATAATACTAAAGCCTATATTATAATTATCCTTCTTTTCCTCCTCCTTTTTATTTCCCTTAATATTATATACTTAATGCCTATAAATAAAAGGCTAAGCAAGCTAAATAAATTAAAATGCTAACATATTAATAGCTAACTATAATATAATTTAACAATCTTTAGCCCAATTATTATATATGCAATTTAAATAAGCACTTCTTAAAATTAAAGGTATAAAACTAATATTAAGAGCCCTTATGCAACCTTACTACAAGCCATGCTATTAACAATACTTATTATAAGCAGGGCTAAACAAGTTAATAACCTAATAAAAAACTATAATTAAGTTTTTATTAATAAGAAATATATTAAAGGCAAAGCTTAATGCAAAGGCTGCATTATTTATATAGCAATAATTATTATTAATAAGCTTATTAATTACCGGCAAATCTAACAACTTCTTAATAAGCTAATTATTTAGCCTTATTATTAAATAACACGCAGCCATTGCAAAAACATTTACCTTAATATAATTCCACATAAGCACTAAAAAAAACTATTAAAAATACTTAATTAAGAAAATAAAATTAACATTATACGCATCTTTAAGCCAATCAGCAATTCCCTATTTATTAAATGCCTATTTAATACATGTTAATGTAATTATAGGGGTAAAACATATCTAAGCCGCCACCACCTACGCTACCACCTCCTTCACTACCTCCTCCACTAACTACTCTAAAATTATAAAACATTATTATATAAATAATTAATTTAATAATTAAATAAATGCATATTATTAAGGGATTTATAATAAATTAACTATTGCTATTATTATTACTATTATTACTATTATTATTATTATTATTGCTGCTAAGAAAGGATTAATAAATATTAAATATAAGGGCAATGCATTTTAAGCTATAAATATAAGGCAATATAAGCTTCCTATTAAAATATAATAAAAAGTCCGCCAACCTTAACCAAGTTAACCTAATTATAATTTTACATATTATTATTCTATTTATAAACTTATATTTAATTGCTTTATAGCTTTAATATCTTTTAATACCTCTTTAGCTAAACGCTTATTATATTTAATAATAATAAAAATATTTACCCTTTCTTAAACTACTAAGATAAAGTTCTTTAGCAAGCTAAATAAAATATTACCCTTTTAATTAAGAAATTCCTATATATATAAAGCAAAAATCTTCTTTAAAAGCTGCTTAAAACTACTTACTTAAAGAGTAACCTTCCTAAGCTAATCTTTCCTTATTTAAGCCTTATAATAAAGATAGCTAATAGCTTATTATATTATATCTTTTATAAATATCTTACTGCTAACTAGGCCTTAATAGCATACCTTTAGCATTAAATTCTAAGCTTTAATAAAGCACTATAAAAATAAGATCTTAAGAGCTATATATTAAATAAAGTTAGTATATAGCTTTATACTCCTGTTAATTTAGCTAAAGTTAATTATTAAAAGCTTAAATATTAAGCTATTTTCCTTATAAGCTTAGTTATTGCAATAAATAAATATATTTATAAGCTGCTTATACTTTAATATAAAATTATTTAGCTCCTAAAGGAAACCTATAATATACTTTTAAAAGTAGGGAGAGTTTAAAAACGCCTTATACTTAAAATCTAGCATATCTTATATCTTTATTTTAAACTAAAACCATTTTATTAATTTTAAATCCTAAAGATCTTAAGATATAATACTAAAAGCTTAGCTACTTATTAGCTTAGCTATAAAATTAATTATAATATTAAAATTATAGCTTGCTTAAAACTTAGCACTTATAATACTCCTTATATTACTTTTATTGCTATCTTTATTAATAATGCTATTTATTGCTAACATTACCTTATAAAAATAACTAAGTTAAATAAGTTAATATGTTTATTTATAATAAAGAGCATTAAATAATTAAGTTTATTAAGTTTAGCATAGTTATATCTTCTTTATATTTAAGTAATTAAATTAATAAATAAGGATAAATATAATAAACTATTCTTAAGATTATTGCTTTTTTATGCTATATTTATTACATTGCTAAAAGTTAAATATATTAAATTGCTATGGTAAGTTAAATTATATAATAATAGTAATATTATTAATATTAAGGCTAACGTTAAAAGATATAATTAAAATCATTACTTAATATTTAGAGTTTAGCTTTTTAAACTCTTTAAATATATAATTTTAATTTAGCTTGTAAATATTTATATTAAAGCATCTTAAAAAGTTTAGTGCTTATTAAAGGTTAAAGCTATAGTATTCCTAAAGATATTTAGCAAGTAATTTATAAGCTTATAGCAATTTATTCTTATTATTGATATATATTAAACTCTTTATAATAGTAATTAGGTTAAGAGGATTTGCGCCATTTAATAAGAAGTATAAATATTAAAAGTCTTTTATATATTTATAAATAAGAGGCTAAATAATTATTAAAAGTTTAAAATGGTTAACTAATATCTAAATTATCTCTATATTATTAATATTTAAGCTTATATGCTTAAGAATATAATCTTAATTTATATAATTAAAAGTAGCTGTATAAGTAAATAATGGTATTTAGCAAGGCATTAACTTTTTAACTTAATAAATAAGAAAGAAGTTAATTTAAAAGCTCTTCCTTTATATAGCAATTATATATACTTTATTAATAATAATTATGCCTACTTAATTATTAAATATTAAATTGCAAAGGAGCCTTTTAAAGCATTAATTTTATCCCTGCTTTAAACTTATAATAATATATATAAAATTACCCTTTTTAATTTATTTTTAAATTTAAGGGTTTTATAATTATATTAATACTATATTCTTTAGCAAACTCCCTACTTAAATTTAATAAAGAGTTTATCTTAATTAGCATTATATTACTAAACTTACCTATATATAAAAGTTAATATTAACCTAAATAAAATATGCATATTATATATTCTTTATAATATCTTTAACTTACTCCTTCTTAAGCTTTATTAAAGGTATAAAGCAAATAGTAATTTTATTTTAAAGTATAATAAATATATATTGCAAAGCATTTTTTTTATACTTAATAGCTATAATAAGCATAACATTTTAGCCTTTAAATAAAGTTATAATAGCTTTTATTTATCCTTTATAGGCTAAAAAGTATTTAATTATACTTTTAATTATATTTATAGCATTAATAAGCAAGATTTTAATTAATAATCTTTAATTATTTAGCAAATTAATCTTTAAGTAAATGCTTATCTTTATTAATAATAATGCCTTATAAAAATAAGTTAGCATTTATATAAGTTTTAATAATTAATTAAAAGTTTTTTATAAAAATTTTATACTTTTAGCTATTATTATTAATAATTAAGATATAAGTAATTAATAGTAAATAGGGCGCTCCTTAATATAGTTTCTTAATTAAGTATATTAAACTTTATAAATTTTACTTTAAAAAAAATAAAAACTATATTTTTAAAATCCTTATTTAAAACTATAACTTAAATAATAATTTTTAAAAATATAAATATAAAGTTTTATAATAATATTATAAAGTATTTTTAATATATCTTTTATGCTCTTATATAAAGTAATACTTAAATTTAACTTTTTTTATATTTTAATTTTAAATATCTTTTATATGCATTTAAAACCAACTTAATAATTAATTCCGCCATAGCTTTATAATAAGGCGCAGCCTCCCTACCCAAAATAAGTAGGGAGGCTGCGCCAATTCATGCATATCCTCTGCTTAGTATTATATGCTATAATAATTAATTCTCTAACGCAAACTCCCCACCCATTCTGCGCCTCTATATTACAGCCAGGCCGCAGGCCTAGTTACGCATATAAAAAGACATCTAACTTTTAAGATAAATGGAAATGCTAAGATGCTTTCTTGGTCCTGCCTGTCGCAATAAAAGAGGCGCGTGGCTACTGTAGCTGGTCCAGCTTGTCCCCACCACAAAGGTCCCATGGCGGGCCCTCTCTCGACACCGTCATAGACCGTTGGTCGTCGTGGTTCAGGCAGTTAGGCGATTGGCAAATGGAGGAGCAGTAGGATTCTGCCCCTTGCAGTCGTTCATCTCGGTCCCACAATCGGGGTGTACACTCTGCCGGCATCTACCTTGCTAGCTCGGTTTCCGAATCCACTCTGCTCCGGTTAGGCTCGAGTGGATCGGTTGCCTATCTGCTCTTCGGTAATACGCTCCTTTGCTCGGAAATAGGGATCAAGTATTGTAGTTGAAAATCACAGCTATAACTTAACAATCACTACATATGCGGACCCGCTGATACGTTCAGTGAGCGCTGGTCAAATGAGTGAGTCCAAGCTAACCATTCTAGTCATATCTTACATCGTACATGGCCTGTTTTAACAGGCAGCCAGGATTTCTAGCCATATACGCATACTCAGTTTCATTTTGGCAGCAGCCCTAGGAGTGGAACAATAGTGGGTTCAAGATGCGTGCAAAGAGCACTTTTCACAGTCTCCTCCTCCTTGTTACTGCCGATGGGGCAATAGTCTATGTTTCTGAGACATGGCAGCCTGCCGATGGGGCCGTTGGGGCCGTTGGGGCTGTTGTGGCTTTTGGTGCCGTCTTGGCCGTCTTCGCGGTCATGGCCGTTGGGGCCATCTTCGATATCTTTGCCGTCGGTGGGCTCCTTGAGCTCCCTTCGGCCGTGAACTCAAACGCGTTGCCATGGTCCCTGCTGCGGCCGCTCTTGTTATGAGGTATGGGGCTGGCAGCCACTCGTTGGCTGCGATGAGGTAAGCCGCCGTGTAGCTGCGGGCTGCCAGCTACTGTCTCATGGGCTGCAACGAGATAGTCAGCACCGCCGTCTGTAAGAATGAACAGTTTCAGGTGACTATAACCTACATTGATTGGACCAATATGTGCTGTTCTGTGGATGTGAGTTTAGGTTATGTACGGATATGTAGCTTTGCCAACTTGCCAATAATGCTGAGGGATACTGCAGCCTCTCCATTCAATCAATAATTCACCTTGCAGTTATCCACGAACACTCTGCTCTTTATTGGCATGAGCCGTATCTACAGTATGATATGATCTATGATACGTAATTTCTCATCTGGGAGGGGCAATGTTTCACGGCAGCTGCATCAACTCTACACATTGCCAAAAACGCTCAATTCATTGGTTCTGTTTTGGTTTTATTTCTTTTTTTCCCTCACCAGATTCAGACCATCCACCACCAGGAAAATCCAGTACCCACATCTTAACCCTCAATCCTTTCGCTCAGGTTTTGTTCACTCTTCCTGTTCTTTATAGCGTCGTAGCGAGTAGTCTGAGACCGTCTTGTCCTTGAGTGGTATCACCTCCCAATCCGGCTTTGCGGATGGACTGGTACTGTTAATCAGCAGTTTTCTGGATATAGGCAAGGACTCAGTGGCACTCACTCTGTCTCCTTATTCTTTGCGATTAAGTGGACCTTGTAGGTATAGAAATCGGTGTTGGGGACCCGAGCATGGCTCATCACCATACCCTTCCACTCGACTTTGTCTGTGTCCGTAAAGATGATCTGGTCATGCTTTCGGAAGGCGGCTCTCATCATATTGCTCATTTTGTCGTTTGTGCTTCTTGGCTGGGTTTATGGTGCTGATATTGTCACACTTTAGTGGCTTTGGTGTTTCTTCTTTGTTAATAATTGATTATTGGTTATGCTTCCTGAAGATGACTTTGGTATGGTCTGTCAGAAAAATAAAGATGCTGAAAGGTAAGAGGCATGGCCTTTTTATACGATTTGTGGAAACAGTGACATGACAGCGGTCAGGAGAGATAGCCTTGTGAAGAAGAGTCTCTGACTCAGGAGTCAGGAGAGTGTTTTGGTTACACACAATTAACAGTATGTCAGACTCTGTGAGCAGCCCAGCGCCAGAATCATTCACGTAAGTGACCGTAATACCCAACTCAACATCCGTCACGTATCCATGATGCTGGTGACAGCGGGTTAACTCTGACGTACTTAATGAACTGGAAGTGTCTGTGACTAACTTTTTCATTGATATGCAGTCTGAAGAACAGAATACATGGGTGCCCGTTATTGAGGCTCTAGGAAAGATGAAACAGCCCTTTGTATAAGATTTTCAAAACAGTCACGCTATCGATTCCTGAGGAGATGCTCTTGTGATGTGGTGTCTCTAAGTGAGAGGCATGATTTCCACCCACAAACTATTGCATGTCAGACTTCGTCCCAACTGCAGTTGCATCACCATTCGCATAATTACTCTTAAGCGGCAAGATCCAGCCCAAGAGGTGTTATGTTAAAGTATGCGTGAAAACCAGTTAACTTACCCACTACTGTTGTTTCCCAGTTTCTTGCTGTTGATGATGACTCGGTCTCTGGGGCTCCAGTCTAAAGAAGAAGATACCAGGGCACCTATAAGGTCACACTGGTGACACCTCTGCAATCCAGCGGAATGAGGGGTGTTGCGTGTCTGGCTGGGTACATGTCATGAATCATATCAAAGTGTTACAACAGTACAATCTTAGGTATATTACTTAACTAGAAAAACTAGCTATAGTTAGGGACACTGTAGTTAGCTACAGCCCTAATCTGAGGTTTCGGAGTACGGTGAAAAACTGGATGCCGGCTAAAAGAACTGGAAAGCCCCTTCGTTAAAGCGCGAAGTAAAAATAACTGACACCCCGTTTTTCTTTAGGTATACTTAAGAACACTGTCTAGTAGTATGTGTCCCCGAAACACAAGCCCATGCAGGAAAATTAGAGTTTCAGCTGATTCACAAGTACCCGGTGTTGTCAGATGACTGGCCTAAATCACTGCGCCATTACTTTGATCGAAGTGCTTGAGACTTTAGGACATCATGAAGAAAATCTATTTGGGACTGATATCGTCTGTGGCGATGACCAAGGCTATTGTATCCTGAAGTAAATTTTGAGGATTTTGTTAAGGCACTGCGGAAACCTGCTAGTGATGGATCAAGACGTTGTGTCCAAGGTTTCCAGGGACATAGCTTTGCCGTTGGAACTGATCTGTTGTGCCTGACACGTGAGATTTTTCAATAGATGGAGAGGATATGTCCGATAAGCTTCATCTCGGTTAGGCTGATGTTAAGGGAATTTTGTATGAGTGTTTGCAATTTATTATATTCTTATTCGCATATCTGCCTACAAACGCCACTCTAATCCTTGATATGTTACTTAAAACTTTACCAGCTACGCATTTCGAGTTGTAGATGCTATGAGCCAGACCTGTGTACACTTGTTCTAGCTCTCGAGATGGCATCCTTTACAGCCCCGGTGTTGTTTTCACCTTGTGTGTGTTTAGGATTCACATATGTGGTCCAACTCATTTGGTCAGGCAGTCTACAAATTAGACTTCCACGGAACTTGTTACAGCGTGATATCTAATGGTAGCTAGTGATAATAGGAGCCAAGACTGATAAGTCGGTTCCCTGAAACGGGCTCGGCCCAGGCGTTTCGAACACAAAGACAGACAGCTCAGCCTTCACTCCTTGACTCCCGGCAAGCTCTCCTCTACAGCCTCGACTTTCATCGTCTCCTCACCACGGCGAACCTTTTCGACATCGGGCACTGTGGAGTGTTTCTCGCCCTCAAAGATTGCATCGATCTCTTCCAGAGTCTTGCCTTTCGTCTCGATCCAGAAGATAGCCTAAGGATGTGTGAGTACATATGAGATTAACTGGTATTTACACTCCACTCACGATGAGTATCACTATGACAATATCCCATGAAGCGTTAACCATGTACATCTTCCAGCCGATGTTGGCGAGGCCAATAGGCATGATGAAGACGAAGATGAGCCTGCAGGTGATCAGCAAGAACACATAGCATATGAACATGTATGGAAACTCACGCAAGCACATTCAGCATCAGATAGGAGAAAGCAACGCCATTCGCCCGAATAGAATAATTCATAACCTCAGGCGGATACAGATAGAGCAGCGGCGTCCACGCGATGGAGTAGAAGCCCTGGAAGAGGAACATGACGGCGACGTCACCATAGACGAGGCTCGAAGATGCCCCGTCCGGGTTGTCGGCGTACTTCTTCGACAGGCCACCGATTATGAGTAGGCAAGTGACTAGTAGGCACTGGGATAGGATGGCTGTTGGTTTCCGGCCCCACGTCGCGGCGAGGTGCGTCCCGGCTAGGCAGCACGCTAGACACCAAACATTGAGGACGACGTTCTGAGGTGGTCAGTGATGGGGAGTCATAGATCCGGGCGAGATTTACTCACTGCCTTGAGCTGGTCGTTGGTGTCTGTGATACCAGCCGTGTCCAGCTCCGGACCTAGGTAGTAAGACGCGATGATGTTCCCGGCGATGCAGGAGAACGGCCCGGGGCTCATCCCGATGAGGAGCCGCTTCCGAGCCACGGGTGTCTTCACAATTTCCATGGGGCTCAAACCTCTGCCTTCCTTCTTTTCCCACGCCAGAGTATCGATGATCTCCTTGTACACTGCAAGGGCAACCGGGTCATTTGGGTCCCCGTCAGCATTAGTCTGGGCAACCACCGTGCGAGATGCCTCGTAAAGTCCCTGGTAAGCAAGCCATCGAGGCGACTCGGGGATGAAAGGCAGGACGATGATGCACATGATGGAGAAGATAGCCTGGAACAGCGACGGCGCCCTCCACGCCCAGGTGGACTGCCACTGGCCCGTACCGAGCGTGATACCGGCAGCGATGAGCGCACCGACGTAGTAAAAGTCGTTGAGCAGTCCGACACCCCAGGCCCTCCACCTGCTTGGGAAGGTCTCGGAGAGGTACACGCCCGCGGCGACACCGGAGACGCCAGTCCCAAACCCCAGGATGATCCTCCCGACGACGAACATGGCGATGTTCTGGGCGGCGGTCTGGAGAATTATTCCAATGATAGTCACGAGCGATCCCCAGAAAATAGTCGGGCGGCGCCCGAGGCGGTCAGAGGTCACACCAGCCACGAGGGGCCCGAAAAAGCCGCCGATGAATACGGAAGCAGTGTTAAGCCCCGTGGTGGCAGCATTGAGTCGGAAGTAATCTGTATGAGGGCAGGATGTTGAGCCCATTGAGCATGGAGCCGTCATATCCGCCAGTCTGGGGGTGTCAGTGGTCATGGTATGGGAGGGTGAGTGAGCATGAGGGGAAAAAAAAGACACACTCACAGATGACTGCACGACGGAGCAGAGGATTAGCAGGACGGAAAGGGTGACGGTTGATTGAGGTACCCACGCAGGTAGCCATGTACCTGTTGGCGACTTGAGAAGCATCTTGACAGCTCCTCTTGAGGCTTGATGCGTGAAGGATAAGCTTGGGTGAGGGAAAATCCATCCAACAACCTGTGTCCCACCAAGGAGTTGACCTTTGTGTCGGGCAGGAAAACTGTTGGAAAACCGCTTTCATCGCCCCTGCCATCATCCAATGCTTGGCCGATCTCAAGCTTTCGGATGGTTCATCTCTGCCGGATCAAGCTTTTGGGGTTGATAACGGGCCTCCCGGCTGACAGGCCAGTCGGAGAGGGCCCCCTGCCTATCTCGGTCGACCTTGCGTGGACCACTCACGGCTAACGAGACCAAAACTTAGCGCCGTATCTTCTCCGATCTCATATAACGCGGGAGGTTGTCCCGGGAGGCAATACCCAGCTAGGCGCGGGGCGGGGTGGGTTGGGTATAAGCCATGGTGACAACGTTACAGTCCCCGCCAAAACGACCTTCCTAATCTTGCCCCTTCCCCGCCGTCTCTTTCTTCAGGGATGCCATGTCCCTCTGCATCTTAACATCACGTGTTTTCCATTCACCACCATGGCCTACTTGTGCAGTGAGGTTGAACCACACACCACGTCGGGGTTGATAGCCAAACCGATCATGCCAATCCCAAATAATTTGCAGACCACTTAGTGTAACAGTCACCACGGCTGCTTTAGACGATTTGGTATCCCCGCAGGTACATCTACACAAATCCCAATTTCATGACATTACATCCCAATCCCGATTGACTAACAATGTGTCACAACCTCCATATCTTGATTTCACGATACGCGCAAATTTTAACATTGGAATGGGCTGCAAAGTGCCAACTCGACCCTGGCAGTGGTTCTTTCTATCTTTCTTTCTTTTCTTGCCGGTGTTCCGGTCCTTTTTTTTTTTTTGCCCCCTTTTTGGTGCTGGGAAGAGATTGCTTGAACCAACAGTCAGGTGGGATTACGTGGAGGTACCCAAGGCAACATTGCAGAACGGAATAAATCAAGGGACTTTCTCCTGCTGTTCTATCCTGTCTGCTCGCACAGTTCTCCCCAACCTTCCTCTGCCACAACCATTCTCACTCGGCACCCACTCAACATAGTCCACTTCTGCACTGCCGCGGTGGCATCCTTCATGTGCATGCAGAAGCTCACTCTCGAATAACACTGTACCGTCTGGAATCTAAGATTCACATCAAAGGACGATATGCCCCTCATTGAAGCTGACGGTGGGTGATGCTGAAGGCCACCAGCAGGGCTCCACCAAACGAGATGAATACGTTGTTCCGATGGTAGTCACCTAAGAATCCATAGCCAGACGTTTGCATCCTATAGACTAAGCTTTAAAGCAGAAAGAAGACAAACCTTCTCCGGTAAGGGAGTGAGCCAGCACGACAAGTGTGCTCAGAGGAAGCCTCATGAAGCTGTATATCTTGGCCCTCGAGCCATCCTGGACAATTTTGCTCTTGAGGAAATTCATGCTGGGGAAGTACATGCCCACGCACAGCTCAACCAGGCAGAATGCCCAGAAGACTAAGTACTCATGAGATGGTACGATTACGGCCGACAGCAGCGAGGCGCTGGCAAACGTGATGGCGGCGTTAAGGATGAAGGACGCGCTGGCGACATTGTGTGAGGTCGTGGCCGTGGTGAACAGCACCGACCCTGCCATCATGCAGCACATGAAGCAGGCGAAGATGAGGCCGAGTGGGGGATCCTCGGTGATGCCGGAGGCGTTGCGGGCACTGACGAGAGCTGCAGACCAGAAGAAGACGAAGAGGTACATCGTGGACTCAAATAGAGAGGAGGCCGTCGTGAGGGCAAAGATGCGCTTGTCTAGTGTTGCAGTCTGTCAGTCACTTTTGCTCAGCACTCCATGTGGCATTGCTGCTACAAACCTCTCCACGTTTTTTGATCGCCGTGGCTGTCACGGCAAGGAAAGACGTCCTGGACACGTCGCTTGGCGGGCTGCCATATTTTCACACTGGACTGTTTCAGCAGATTCATCGGGGCGGGAGTAAAGATCGTTTGACTTACCCACGTCGAACTGATACACGTAGCAGTGCCGACAAGCACCAGAACAGCCAACAATAACGGTGACACTTTTGTTCCGGTAAATGAAACCAGGATGTCCCCGAAAATTCCAGTTGTGGTAGCCACGATGGAGTTGAGAGACATCATCCATCCGTACAGAGTCCCCAGCGACAGGTGCTCTGCCTCGAGGCCACGCTTGTGATATTCTGTGATCATCCACGCGTCGAAAACACTGTACAGTAGCGTGGTGCTCACCCCGCCGCAGAACTTGCCACCAAAGAGTACGTAGAGGTTGTCCGACAACATGGACAGGCAGCACATCGTACATGTGAGGCAATATATCAGGCAGGCCTTCTTCCTGCCGAACTTGTCGGCCAGCTGTCCCACAAAGGCGTCGCTGAGGGCCGCGGAGATAAAGCCAGTCACATAGAGGGCGGCAATGTAAGTCTCTTCGAGCTTCTTGTCGTACTTGTAGACACCGTACAAGTGTGGGCCCTTGGATGTGACGACCACTGTCAGACCCAAAAACACAGAAGCAGTGGGAACGATCCTCAGTACTTACGAGGATCCGGTTGAGAATGAAGTCTGCTTACCTGTAACCAATCGGCGGCAAAAGCTAGCAAATGTCCAGCAAGATACTGCTTCACGAAATCAGCTACTCCAGTGTCCGCTTCCGCAACGAAGTCTTTGGGTTCTTCATCTTCGTCCTCCTGTAGGTACACATTCAAGCTCTGTGTGGGTTTGCTGCTTCTACGCTGTCGATAGAACAGCAACCCATTCACCACAACGAGGACACCTAAGTTGGTTTGGTAGAATGTCATGTTAGGAAGATTATCCCACAAGCCGATATGACAAGGGAAATGGGAATTGGGTTGGAATAGTGTGTGATGAACCCTTGAATGAGTACTTCCACGGCCAGTGTGCGAGGGAGCCACGACGTCTGGAGCTCTGGGAATGATCTCAGCTTCGCGACGCTGAGAAATCTACATGTCTCATGGGAGACGCAGTCAAGCCCCACTCGTGAGACCATACCTTGCGGTTTTCCATCATCTCACTGGTCTTGGCCATGTTGGATGCTGCCATGTAGCCTTTCGCATCCCTTGTCATCGTGCACAAAGGCGCGCAGGAGGAGCGAAATGCGATGGTTGCCGAGTATACCGCCATTGTAGGCGACATGTTTAAGACATATGTTCGACATCGGATAAATCAAGCATTGCGTCCATGTTCCAACACCCCTGACTCTGCTGTGTGGCGTTCAGACCTAGTTTATTGTTTTCCGCATCTAGTGATTTGCGGAATTAAAACCGCAGAGAGGTACAAGCGTTACTATCTGAGTGAGACATACCAAGTAAAGTGACTGCAGCAATGAGATTGATGGCTGAGACTGTCGGTATCCCAGACATGCTTGGCGTAGTAGAAAGGGACAGTGAACCCGAGCTGGCCGCTTTGCGCGCTTTGACAGACCGTGGCGTGATAGAGCTGTGCGTTTAGGTCCGCCGTAACAGCTTTTAAGGCGCCTCTTTAGGCTCCGTTGTGCATTTTAAGCGGAGTCGGGTTTTTTTTTTTTTTTTTTGGCTGACTTTCTTCGATCTTCTCACACTGCCGGATGTCAGAATGGCAATGATGACCAACAACCCCCGGGCTCTCTTCGCTGTTGCGGCGGCGGCGGCGGTGCTATTCTTCATGGCTCTAATGAGCCAACATCCCGAGCATAGAGAGAGAGTCACGGCCGTACTCTCAAACACTGCTTCCAAGGCGTGGCCCTTCAGCGGGGAGAAGACGTCCTACGAGATTGCCAAGGAGGAGGGAACAAGCAAAGTGACAGAACACAGCTACAAGAATACGCACGACATGTATATCCCCGGCTCTAGGAAGAGGAGGGTCAAGTTGCTTTAGATCGGACTCGAATGCATAATGGTAAGTACGCTAAAGATGCTCATACCCCTCATGCAGATACCTCACGCGGGACCTGATGCTGTGGCGGGTATTACCAGGAGGGCTGCTGGAACTCACCAGAGTGCATCTAGCGTCCCAGTGTCTCCTTGACCCAAGCGGCATTGTCACTGACTCACATAAACAGGACTACGGACATGTAGCCTCCTGCTAATCGTGACTGGGATACTTCCCAACATGAACGTATACTACATGACATACGATGTCAAGTTCGCTGGGGATTGGGCTCACAAGACGACCGGTCAGGACGTGCTGGAGGCCTTCATCGATAAGTGAGGGACTGGTTGCGACATTATCGTCGACAAATTTGGTCAACTGGTGATTCAGCAGATGACGAGCCTGCAGCAGCGCTGGAGGGTCGTGAAATCGGGAGACATGCACTTCTGCGAGGACCTCCAGACGAGCTTCCATCCTGAGGCCAGGGGCGGCGGTAGTGGGACGCACATTCGTAAAATCATCGAGGACATTATGGATCCGGAGTGGTCTCGGCAAGCACCTCTTTTTGAGGATGTGGTGGACATTATCCACATCGACTAGTACTACATGGGGATTCGTAGCCATTTTTCAAGAGGCGTTATGAGGCATGAATATCAGGAGGCCGGTGGAGAGAGGCTTAGACACTGTAAGCCATATATCTGATGTCGGTTGAAGTATCTTGGGTCATTTGCCACTTTCACATACTTAAGTAGGTAGTTGTGCTTCGAAACAAGGCATGTTGCTCTCAAAGTTTCGTATCCTCTGTACGTGCAATTGATGAAAAATCGGCACATGTAATCTATTGCACTCGACGCATATGCCTTTCTCGTACACAGGCAATCTCAGCATTTCTACTACCTCCATCCTAGGCTTCATTGGCCTTTCTTCGAGCACAGCGAGTTTGCACTCACCCTGACGTCTTGTGGATACGCGTTCGAGGTCTTGGACCATGATGCGCATGAGAAAAGCAAATAATGTTGCACGGGCTGGAAAGAGCCTTGAAGTCGACGGGGGAAAGGGCCGTGTCGTGAGGTGTGTGCTAGTCACCATATATGGGCCATCTTCAATACAACAACTTTTCGGTCCCTTCATGCGCTACCATGTGGTGATAGGTGTGAGAGATCCTGTTTTGGAAAGTACTCGGGCAAGACATATGAAGTCAGCCTTCTCCCCTGACAAACGTCTTGATGATGCTTGCTGTCCACCGACAGTACTGGACGGTTCATGATCGTGCAGGATATTATTATGCCTTGTGAGCGCCTAGCTCTCGTCTGGAGGCCTCAGAGCCTTCTCCAGCGCCGAAAGAACGACATGGACGCCCAGTTGGTGGGTGCTAATGCACCGCCAAGACGATCCTGCGTATATAGGTCGCAGCTGAGCAGGCCCGGTGCAAGCCAGCTAAACTCTATTGGTGTGGGTGTGTGGGAACACAACATCTGCAGCGCCACGTCGAGGGTAAATCTTCTCCGAGCGTTGACCAAGCCCCGCCCGAGGCGATTTCCAGGGCTCAATTCAAGCATCGTTCATCGTTCGACATCAACAGGAATCCCCTCAACCTTCCACGTTGTGTTGGATCTCAACCTAATCTCATGGTTTCCATGTATGCTTCAAGTGAACTTGACCACCTCCAAAAGAAGTTTACCTCTCAAAGTCCGTAGGCGCACTCGCATGATCCACATCAAGTCCCACCATGGCAGATCCGTTGTCAATTGCTGCCAGCATCGCCGGTGTCATCAGCCTAGCAGACATCGTGTTCATCCGGACGAGAAAATACCTGAGTTCTGCAAAGAACGCTGACAAGGAGGTGACAGACCTTTCTCAGGAAGTCCTTCTGCTCAGTGGCGCTCTACATAGCCTGTCCAGGCTGGCCCAGGCTCTTGACGCCGATGGACTCAAGGATCAGCATATCGACAACCTACGTATGCATCACATCGCAGCGTGCCACGCCACCCTGGACGAAGTTTCGAAAAGGCTCAAGAAGCTTGAAGACAACGCAGCAAAGAGGAAACTGGTCTGGCCGTTCGTGTCCGATCGGACCAAGGAGCTGTTGGCCGAAATCTCTCGCCACAAGCATAATATCGACCTCGCTCTCTCCGCAGACTCTCTGGGAACGCTACTTCAGATTCTATCTAAAACAGAGCAAGCGCAAGTAAACACGGAGGAACTGCTAGAGGAGGCAAAGAAGACTCGAGAGATAATCACTCGCATTAACCAAGACTCCGGACGGAAGGCGATTATCGATTACTTCCTCCCATACAACCCACAGCAGAACTACGAAATGAGTCTTTCCCTCCGTCATCCAAGGACCGGCCTTTGGCTCACTCGCAAGCCGGAATTTCAGACTTGGTTGGAGCATCCTGATTCGGCACTCTGGCTCAGCGGCATTCCTGGGGCTGGTAAGACCGTGCTTGCTGGTACGATCATTGAAGAGGCCTTGAAGAGGAGTTCCGATGATACTGCTATCGCATTCTTCTTCTGCGACTACAAGAATACCAAAACACAGACGTCTGTCAACGTTCTGTCTGCTCTCGCTTCGCAGCTTGCGATCCAGAAAGAGGAGGCGTATGGTTACCTCGAACGCTACTATCGAGAGTTGCACCCTGAGAGAGCGTTGGAGCGACGCCCTGATGTTTCGGACTTGCAAAGGATCCTGAAAGACATGGTCAAATCGTTTGACCATGTTTACGTCATCGTCGATGGCCTCGATGAATGTGGCGACAGCACTGACAATGTTATCGAAGACATTCTGGACGTTATAGAGTGTTCCGATAACATCTCCACGGCATTACTCAGCAGAGACGAATACAACATCAGAGACCGACTCGAGGACGATTTCACTGGGGTGGAGATTGCAGCTCATACAGAGGATATCACAGAATATGTCACTTCTGAAATCGAGAAACGGATCTCGAACAAGAGCTTGCGCATCGACGACTTGAGTCTCAAGGGTGAGATTCTAGAGCGTCTTATCGATGGCGCCAGGGGAATGTAAGTTTATTCTGATTCTATATGAACAAACCCCTGCTGATGGCTCAGCAAGGTTTCGCTGGGTCGCTTGCCAGTTGGACTTCCTCGGTGACTGCCTGTCTGACAAGGAATGCCGTGATGCTCTCGGTCAACTGCCTCCAGGCTTAAACGAATCTTACATGAGAATCTTACAGCGTGTACCGCCAGGGAAAGAACGCACTGTGCAAATGATTCTCAACTTCGTTGCGTATGCAGATCCTGTGTTGGATATTCCGATTCTGAGGGAAGCGCTTTCGGTGCCTGAGAGAGTTGGCAAGGACGACTCTTTAGATCCGCATTCAACTATACACGAGGGCTCAATTACGAGGCTATGTCGGTCCTTTATCCGCAAATCCAACGATGGCTACTTCTACGAATTCGCACACTTCTCCGTCAAGGAATTCCTCGAGGGAGAAATGATGTGCATGCCAAAATTTGAGGCTTTTCAGGTCTCGGAAAGCATTTGTCAGCTTTTGTTGGCGAAGCAATGCTTGAAGTACCTTCTCTTGCGGAACTTCTCATTCCTTCCCGCGGGAGAGACTGAGTTGCAAATTCACATTGAGATGAGGATCAAGCAGCATCCGTTCTACTTTTACGCTGCGGTATGTTGGCCTGTCTTCGCCAGAACCCACTGGGTGGATGAGGGCTTAGTCGAGCTCGCCAAAACTCTTTTTCAGCCAAAAAAGACTGGGAACTTTACAGCATGGGCCCTTGAGCTTCTCAGCTATGTTGCCCTGGAGTGTGATCGATCTTATAGAGATTTCTCGGTGACCACCAGACGTACCATTCTCGACGAAGTTCACCTTCAACACATCCTAAGGTTACTTCCTCAGGTGGTCGATAATACCTTCACAACCCTTCACATGGCGGCAGCACTGTCGATCACGGTCATCTGCTCAACCTTGATTGACAAGGGATCGAATATCGATCAGCAAAGTCACTTCGGTTGCCCATTACAATGTGCTGTACAAGGTCTGTTCCTGGCAGGTCAAAATGAAGATTATGCGTGCCTAATGCATCCGTATTTCGAGTGCGCCTACTGGCGCAGACAGCCAGACTTGCTCAAATTCGGCAGAGAGAACACTATGGCACTGCTTTTGAGGGCGGGTGCAGCTCATGTCAGTGCCTGCTCAAGTCCTTTCATGGGCCAGGCGTTGATCGCGGTTGCAGTGAAGTTGGCATTCTGGATGGACAGCTTGGGTGCTATCGGCATTCTCGTTAAGGCTGGCTACGAGCTAGAATATAGTTCAAGCCAACTTACGAGTTTCAGGCAACATTTGGTGGATTGTGCGTGCTTCGGGGACGGTGGCGACGACAGATACGGTCTTGAAAGCCTCATTCTTTGCCTGGGTCCAATGATAGGCAAATCCGCTGCTCATTTTCGACTGTGTCAGGCAGTATGGTCGCTTGGCATTGAGCTGGGTTGCGAATTTTCTCAAGACCCTTCCATTGTTGACACAAGGATATCCCTCTCCGAGCATGCCCTCACCACGGCAATTATTACATCCATCAGGAATGCCGATACCGACGCTCTCACTGAAGCGCTGAAAGACCCCAGGGTTGATATAGAGGCTCTTGCTGACGATGTTAATAAGATCGTCTTTCAGGATAAGTCGGTCGAGATGAATGGAGTGAGCCCTTCAGGTTGGCTGGCTGTGACGAAAATCCTATTTTCTGCTGGCGTGGAATTTAACCAACCCAATAATGACGGGCTGCTGCCGGTCCACCAGTTGGCTAGGTGGATGCGCGATGACAGCCGTTACAAGTTCAGTTGGTCTGAGGCCATCTGTGGTGCTATCAGTGAGTTTGCGCGCAGAGGAAGGGGATGCACTGCACGATCTCGGGAGAACCAAAATGTCTTCCATCTTGGCTCAGGGTCCATCAGGTTTACCGAGGCAGTCTTAGAGGCAGAGACGGAGGAAAACATCCTGGCAGCTTTGAGGACCCGGGACAACCAAGGGCATACGCCAATAACGCTCGCACTTCAATTGGGTCGGGAAGAGGCTGCCCTAATCCTCATGGAGAGGGGCAATTGCGACCCCGAAACCTTAAGAGGTCCTGGCTCCGTTCACGCGCTTTGTGTGGCAGAGGGCGCACATCGAGCATTCAACTTTCTTCTAGATGCGGGAATTAGATTACACATCACCGACAGCAAGACAACTCTACTGCATCATTTGGGACCAAAAACAAGCAAGCAATTCGCTCTTCAATTGATTCGGATGTTCCCAGATGGATTGCGATTCCGCGTTCATGCCAGGCTTCCACTCAACGCCTATCTTGGAAGCTGCATTAATAGCTGGTCTCCCGGCCTTGATCTCGATGTACTCCGTTTGCTCGCCGCCCCTGGACCGGATGAACTTGAACGAGAAGAAAAGAAGCTGGTATGGGAACACTTCGCACTGAGTATCCAAAATGTGAAACGTCCGAGAGAGGGGGATGACGATATTCGGGAGGAGATTACCGCAAACGTGATTTTGATCCTTTTGGAACTCGGGTTCTTTCAGAATTACGAAGAGGTTACAAGTGTTTCCGGGCTACTGCCCTTGTTGAAACCTTTGCAAGATGACCTTGCCGATCTATGGCCCATTCCAAGCAGGACCATCTACAGTCTACTGGGACAGACCATCTTCTGGGAATCTCTCAGCAAGTCTGTTGAGATTTTGAGGCTCTTGAAAGCAGCTGTCACGTCTTGTAATGTCAAGCTGGTTGAATTGTTGCTCGAGAATGGTGTGAGCGTACACCAGCGCATCGACGAGATGTCCGCTCTGGAAGTGGCATGTCTCGAATCCACCACGAGCCCCAGTTTTGAACCAGTTTTCACACTTCTCCTGGACCATGCTGACGCGTCTCGCTTGAACGAGATCAACCCGCATGAGGACCAAAGAAAAAGCCTAGTCCATTACTTGGTTGGGCGTGGAAAGCAATGGCAACTTGAAGAGCTTCTGAAGCGAGGCGCCGATGTCAATCTTCGTACCAACGTTCATGTTGAGGCACAGCCCGCCATCGTGCAGCATCTGTGGGAAGGATCTCGAGGGTCGGCGAAGACTCTACTGGATATGGGAGCCAACCCGGCAATGGCGGATAGTCGTGGTATGGATACCGCGTTGACTGCTGCGGCTATAGGCGATATGGACCTTCTCCTGCATCTCCACACAACGGGAAGCCAAGACTGGCAGTTGAATTGGAAGCAAACCTGCAGTGTAGATTTCAGGGGAACCGGATGTTTAGAGCCGTCCCTTTCCGGCTTGAACGCTCTACACATGGCAGCACAGCCCGGTCATTGTGACGTTTTGAGGTTCTATCTTGACAAGGGTCTTCTAACGGACGTTAACGCTGTGTCCGTAGAATTATGGACTCCAATGCATCTTGCAGCACTTACCGGCCAGATCGACACAGTCAAATTCCTCTACTCCCGAGGTGGTGGTCTAAATCTGAAGTCAGCCGATGGTAGCTTGCCACTTCATTTGGCCGTGCGGAATGGACATGTCGACGTCGTGAATTTTCTCGTGGAGAATGGAAGTGCCATTGCTGCTGACATGCATGGACTGAGCCCCGTGGGATACGCCATACAACTGCAGAACACATCGATCATTGATTGTATCCGCACGACAAAGCAGTACTTGGACTATCAATCCAAGCCCGAGGGGCGCAAGAAAGACCTTGTCTACGCGTACGAGCGCGCTTTAGAGTGCGGAGACGTCGAGGAATGTGAGCTGTTACGCGGCCAGGGCTGTCCCATCAACGTCGACTTGCCTAGTCAACCCGGCTGCTCTGCTTTGCTGTTGGCGATTGAGGATTCCAACGAGGAGCTTGTCACATGGCTTCTGGACCATGACGCAAAGATCACCGGCCAGACGCTCGAGGAATATGGGACTGTGGTCTCACCCCTTGCGGCTATGATCATGCGGCCAGCGCTGAACAATGTACTGCCCCTCACCCTGCAGAAATACCAAAGCCAAGGAGGCTCGGTGACTGCCGAAAGTCCAAGCTTGATCTGCATTGCCATCCAGTATAACAACAATTTTGGACTGAGACTCCTCCTGGACTATATTGTAGAACATGAAATCACGAAGCCGTACGTCTTCCCAAAGCCTTGGCTGTAGCTTGAGCAGGTACTGACTATCACCTAGCAGCATACGAATTACCGAGGATAAATATCACAGTAGGTCTACGGTGAATCTACACAGACTCAATGGTCAAACACCGCTGCACTGGGCTGCTCGGCTAGGCAACTGTGAAGCCGTCAAAATGCTGCTTGGCCACGGCGCGGACGTCAATGTATTTGATGATCAAAAGAAGACGCCTCTGCAAGTGTCTATCGAGTCAGAGCCGTTAAATGACCATCCAGTGGCAAAGCTATTACTTCGCCATGGTGCAGTACTGGAAAGTCGAAACGGACAGGGGCAAACGGCTGTAATGCTGGCATCAATGCGAGGCTGGACCGAAGCTGTTCGCTCATTGACCGAAGCCGGAGCCGACTTGAATGCCACAGACTTTTGTTCACGCACTTGTCTCCACCTGGCAGCTGGTTTTAAGCATCTAGAATTGTTTGCGTGGCTTCTCAGTCGTGGCTTTCGATCTCACGCCAAGAACTCACAAGGCTGGTCGGCCATCCAGCTTGCAAGTGTCAGTGAGGTGTTCAGTTCATTCCTTTTGAGCAACAAGTCTGCAATCGACGAAATAGATGCGATAGAGTATGGAGTCCCCGGGTGGTTCTTGGGCTGGGGTCCAGCATGGCTCAAGAAACATTTCAATATGTACCGCCGACGGATCGGTCTGGAGAGTTTACGTGCGTTGGCCAATCTGGAGCCTGCGGATTCATGGAGCCCCTTGTGCATCACGGCTTCGATAGGTCAGACGTTAGCGATGACCAATATTCTTCGGCTGGGTGCTGATGTGGACTTTGAAGGGTCTCCGTCTGGCTCTGCTCTGATGGCGGCATGCAGTTCGGGGCACGTGGAGTCTGTCAAGATCCTAGTTCGACATGGAGCCGCCATATCGTACCTTGGGCAAGATGGGATCCGGTCAGCTGTTGATATCGCTAGGAATCACAGAGTCATACTGGCTTGGTTGCTGGTGGATCGTTTCACAGAACAGGGGAAACTCTCAGATCCAGCGGATGGCGACTCAGCAGCTCACTCCGCTGAAGATGTGAAACCTTGGAGTGGGATTGTGAAGAAAGCACTGATCATCATGGGCACAGCGGAGAGGCAAGTTCACGAGTCGGCCTGGGGCTACTGGGTCCGTCTCATGGCTGTGAGGAAGGAGTGGCAAGGGAAGGTCGTCGACCAAAACAAGCTCGCACAAACACATCGTCCATCACGACTGATCCCGGATGAGCCCGTGCGAGTCTGTCCAGGAGATTACGGAACTCCCAAAGAAGAGAGCTGAATTGTGTCTATGGGGCTCTCATGAGGAATGGAACAATGCATTTTCTGCGGTCTCGAAATGACTTGGGCACTGCTTTGCGTGCGAGCCTCTGTTTCATACAATCCACATTCACTCCGGCGCAAGGAGGTTCGTCGCGTTCCTGGTTGTAGATCAGCAACATCGACAACCCCTTGTCGAGGTGCCCTCTGCCGGTGATAGAAGACCGGCTGCTATCTCACGCTTGGATGCAACTTTGGGATCCTACGGCCTACTTGGGTCTATCTGGATTCAAGGAAAGCCACTCGGAGACTTCGCATCCTCTATCTCCACTCGCGCCCCAGTGGTGCATGTCGTGCTCACAGCACGGCTGTGCGGCATTTTATCAACGCAGGGTCTTGTCTGTTTCCCGGACAACCTGAAACATTATATAAGGCTGATCAGTCTGCCGACCTGAAGTCGTTAGCAACCCCTCCTACCACAAGACTGGCTGTCCAATCTGGCAGGGAACCTGTGCCAGTTCAGCATGCACTCCGAGCCGCCTCAGCCTCCTCCATTCATAGACCACAAGCCCGAGTCACTCGTAGCAACGGCCGACCGTCTCATAACCGCCTTGGTCAAAGTCTGGGACCAGGTCGCCCTCATACCTGAATCGGAGGCGACATTCGAAAACGCCATACAGCCCTTGATCAACGAGGAAAACCAGCGCCTGACAGAATCCCGCATCCTCTACTTCCTCTCCAGTGCCTCGACGTCGAAGGAGGTGCGTGTAGCCGCAAAAGATGCCTCCACCCGTGTGACCCAGGCCACCATCCAACAGCTCACCCGCGAGGATGTTTTCCGTGTTGTGTCCGCGGTCTCGCAAAGACCAGAGACCCGAAAATTACCCCCCGAGTCGCAATTGTACCTGAAGAAGCTCATGCACGAGTTCAAGATGAACGGGCTTGGTCTGGAGGATCCCGAGGCTAAAGAGCGTCTGAAAAGGGACAACCTGCGGCTGGTCGAAGTTTTGAAAGAGTACATCATGAACCTCAACGCAGACGTCAGCGGGATATGGCTGTCTCTGGATGAGATGGAAGGCTTGCCTCCTAATTTCATCGAAAGAATCAATGAGAGAGAGGAAGACGGGAAATATTGGGTCAGCTTCAAAACTCCGAATCGGGTCGCCGTGTTGAACAATGCCAAAAATGTTGCTGTGCGCCGGAGATACTACACCGCCTGGGACAACCGGCTCAAGGATGCTAATGGGCCGCTTTTGACCGAGACGCTTCAATTGAGGCATGAAACTGCAAGGATTCTGGGGTTTGAAAACTTTGCCGTGTCCAGAGATGCTGAACATATGCTGTCTGCAGCCGAGGCCTCGAGCTTTCTTTCAGGCGTCAGCGAGCAGTTGTTGGAGCTCGGCCGACAAGAGCTGGTCCATTTGGTCTCATTGAAGGAGTCTGAGTTGGTTGACCTCCAGGAAGAGCTGAAAGACGAATCCTCGACAAAGGCGATCTTCCGGTGGGACTTTGCGTACTACAAGCGGATGGCCAAAGATGGCGTGTCCAAGCTGAATGGCGATAAAGCCTCGGAATACTTCTCCTTCCAGCTCGTGCTTCCAAAGCTCTTCCAGATGTTTTCACTGCTGTTTGGACTTCGATTCGTCATCTTATCGGGAACGGACAAGTCCACCGGGACTTGGCACCCAGATGTGCTGGCCATGGCTGTTTGGGATGAGGTTGACGAGGGAGGGGGGTTCTTGGGCTATTTGTTCATTGATCCATATCCTCGCGAGGGGAAGTACGGTCATGTCGGACAACACGGTCTGCAGCCGGTATGCCTTCTAATCTGCGTTCTCGCATGACATGTTGACACCTCCGCTGACATCGTCTCAGGGATTCACCCGCACGGACGGAACGCGGCATTATCCTACGTCGTGTCTCATGCTGAACTACACGCCACCGACAGCAACAAAACCAGGCCTCTTGACATATACCGAAGTGGTCTCATGTTTCCACGAGATGGGCCACTCGATCCACTACCTGACGAGCCGCAGTACACACGCTCGGTTCCACCAGAACACGCCCCGGGACTTTCTTGAGATACCAAGCCGCAGTAAGTGACCTCTGTGTGACGATTTTATATTTATCGAACTCTGTGACCCAACGCTTACCTTGGATCACAGTGCTCGAGCACTTCTTTTACGATAGGAACATAATTCGTGCCGTATCCTGTCACTATGAGAACCCGGAAGAAGACAACAAGCTCCCCGAAGATGCAATAGAAAAGCTGGTCTCTAAACGCTACGAAAACGTCGCATCAACCAAGCTCGGAGACTTGGTTTTTGCAAAGTTTGATCTGGCCGTCCACACAGCCTGGGATGACCCAGCTACCCGAAACCTGTCCGCCCTGCTTAACAAGCTCAGACACGACTTCAGCCTCCTGAGCGGCCCGGAGGATCTCGGAATGGGGTACGGAACCCTCCATGGACAGACGCACGTGCGGTTTATCCATGGCTATGGTGCCAGCTACTATAGCTATCTGCTGTGAGCTCTTCCGGATCGAAATGCCCTCTTTGCCCGCTCATACCACTGACGCATGTCTCAAGTGCCGATGCTTTTAGTACGGACATGTTCCTGTCGAAATGCAAGCCCTTGCTCACTGGGGGTACGTGCTTGGAGTTGACAGACATCATCAATGAGGGCCTACGAGCGGAAGGGAGGCGTTACCGCCGTGCCATTCTCGAGCCTGGGTCTACCACTGGGGACGAGCTGGGACTTCTTTTGAAGTATCTGGGGAGGGATCCTGATCCGAATGCCTTTGCAAGAGTGCTATCAGATCTAGTTTAAGCCTTTTGGACATTCTGTGAGAATCCTTGTTGCGGATTCCCGGGTGCAGATCACCAAACATAGCTTCCGGTTCAATATCTTCTTCGTTACTCGGTCTGGTGAACGATCTTCAAGAGCATGCAAGCACCACACTAATGTGAGATCATGCTGGAATTATGCGCCTATTTAGCTGGGAGAAACCTGATAAATAATTTCATGCATGCGTCAACAGCTTTGCTGGCCCGTCGGAGTCCACACTGGGGTGTCAGGTCTCTCTCACGCACCAACTGCGCGGACTGTAGCCAGAGCCGCCAGACCAGGATGCTTGCTGAGCTCAACCACCTCGCGACTTTGCAGTGAGCATCATGTACAGGATCAACTTTCGATGGTTAATTTCTTGTTTTGGCCACAGGTGGAGTGAACTAGTCTACAAGTCGCAGTTGCGCGAAGTGTACCGACGATATTTGAGAAGCCGTGCTGTCCACGTGCCGTTGCTCCGTCTCCAAGTAAGTACACGAGTGGGTACTCCTACTGCTTTGTCAGACGGCGACGTCACTGTCGTTATTGCCTGAGCGGTCTCACCAGATTTGCCACTCCGGCTTGGTGTTGAACTCCACAAAAGCAGCGCTGCTAGTTTACCAGAGACAGTCCGAAGCTTTCGCACCTGCGTCTACCACGATGTCGAGAACATATTTAATGATGGTTTGTGCAGCTGCAGCTCATCTGAATCTTCCGACTAGAAGCAACTGCCCGTCAGTGGTACCAACTCCTAGTCTAGGATATTTTCATCCAGTTCGCTGCGCGACGCCCTCAGTCTTAGAGTCTTACAACAACCAAGACCTGCAATCTCCGCACATTAGCACCGCTCATTTGTTTTGCAACGCCTGTGGTTGTGGAAATAACGGGCGGAACGCAAGACGAACCAAATACGCCCCAGAAGCATTGACTGTTACCTGAAAAGGCACTTCACGCTCATCTCATCAAACCAACTCCGAAATAACAGGCATATCATAACAAAATGTACCTGTCTCCTCCTAACAACGTGGACTGCAAGGGGAATGGCCATGGGACTCTCATTATACAGAAGCCCAAGCCTCAGCCTCGGCCAAATCAGCTCAAGCTTTAGCTGTCTATCATCGAGTCCGGATTCGGTCCAAAGGCTGCAGGACCCTCGGTACGTATGCGATGCTCGTCCCTCTCTTTCAGGACCAGAAGGTTGCTTGGAATTCTCTTTTTTCTTTTTTGATTGACACATAGCCAGCAACAGCGCGGTTACACTGGCGGCCAGCTATGGCCATTTGATACAAGAATGCTACCTAGGAGCATGTCTTCGTTCATTGGGAACTTCTGCGCTGGTCGCTGACGGAATGATAACGCCCTTGATCGATGGTATCGCCTTTATACAGAACACCGCGAGGTTCCACAAGGCACAACCATGAACTCATTCGGAGTACAGTATGTCAGGGGCGAAGGATTATGCTTGGTCGGCATAGGTGACCGGTCAAGCTTGGACAGAGCTTTTGTACCAGTAGATATGGACAATTAGCGATTTGGAGGCCGTCTTGAAAAAGACATAGATGATAGTAAACAGCAAATGCATACAGCGATGTAACGGTGCAGAGAGGTCCAAATCGAGCTGCAGGCAACCACAACCATTCTGAGGCTGCAGTGGTGTCAACACCAAGCTGCATGCCAAGTCTCGGCCAATGCTGTGCTGCGACTACGGTCCACTGGTTCATCTCCAGGCCACCAGATTGAGCACAATTCGGTGGCCTGGTGGCCTGCAGTCATGCCCTACACAACGCGGTCAGCGGAAAGTGCAGCGGGGGCTGTTCTGTCACGAGGCCGCCTTAAAACGCACTTGCTTGAAATGTGCCTCGCCGCAGGATATATGAATACACCAGCCCGAGCTCTGTTCGTGTCGCAGAGCTTGGTTCCAGTAAGCCGACACGGTCTTATACACGACCTCGTATCTCCAATGTACACTGAAACCTCCGCACTTGACAAGGCTGAAAGGGGCGAATGTCAAGAGATTGGGAGCCACGAGGAGGAGGAAGCGAGACAAGCCAACGGAGAAAGTATACAACGAGTCTCCCAACCAATACATGAGACTCAGGCTCCAGTGGCTTATGCAGAGAGTGACGATGTTGGTGAGAGGCACTCATGCTCACACGCATCTTTTCCAGCTGACACTGTCCACCCAGAGCAGGCCTCTGGGCCCTTCGGGCTTGCCCAAGTCAAGAACTACGACCGCCGCTTCGCTTTCTATCCGGGGTTTGCAGTTGAACGGTCACTTGCCCTGGAGTTCCGGGCAGAGGGAATTTCGCAGCTCAGCATGGAGATCCAGGCTCTCAGGAAGGAGTTGGACTCGGCCGATGCGAGCAAGCCGCCGAACCAGGCTCTGACAGACAGTGCAGAGAAGCTGCCAATCCTGATGTCCAGACTTGCCGCAAGCATGGCACAGTACGGTAGGATTACGACCCATACCGCAGAGTCATCGATCCCGCAGCTGATGTCGAAGCGAAAGATGCTGCCTGCGTGTATGGGAAGATAGTTGATAACACCCGGCCACCAGACGAATCGAGCCTTGACCAATTACGTCTGTGGCTTGACCAACGGTCGAGTGGTCAACTTGATATATATAAGACGAGGGAGTGGCACGACTTTCGAATATTATCACCTCAACAAGGCCCTATTGAAAAAGTCATCAAAGTCCTTGCGCCACTTACAAAGATAGGTCGCGTTGTCCTTGTTAGTACCAGACACGTCCCAGTCTTAAAACTATTGTGTGCTGATTGAAAATATGCTTACTCGAAAGATAGCGCCCCTTCCGATCCCGGAGAGTCCAAGGCGATGATTTGCAATTTTTTCGCTATGAAGATCAAGTGCTTTCTTGGGTTGTTGGAGTTGTTCTACTTGTCGGCATCTGTGTCTTTCTGATACTGCCTTTAGCTTTCCTTAGTTATTTCGACACCAACCGTATCGTGAGAATGGTTTTAATTTTGGTCATGTGCTTCTTGGTCAGTGTTTTCGCAAGGATCGTTGAACCGGATGAAGCACGGCAGATCATCTTTGTCTGTGTGTACAGTGCTGTTATGAGCGGGTTTCTTTCTCAGGCGTCTTGAGTCAAATCCTGATCTCTCTGTAGGCTATGGTGGATACGTCGGAAAGATTGCAGATTTACACTTGTAGTTGCTTGCGCATGCTCCCTGGTAGTGGGTTCAGCTGCCAATGGCATACCACCTTCTAGCAAAATTGCGCACATGCAGATGTTTATCAGTGGGCTCGAAGAGTCGGCAAGATTGAGTTTGTATTGATACTACTTAGTTCATCGAGTTGACCAGTGCCATCCCGCAGTCACGCATTTTCCTACAACGCTTGACGTTAGCACCAAGATTTCCACATTTTGGGAAATACAAGGAGTCGAGCTGGAAGTCGGAGTTGGAGGGAAGGAGGTCAATGAAGCAACGGAATATTGCTTACCTATTCAACGGTTTTCATGATCGTGCATATATCATGGGCTAGCAGCATGACTACACGGATAAAAGAGACCATATAGACAGCGGGCCCTCATCCTCCATCTGAGATTGCTCGGGTACTGTGCAGATCGAGTTGTCGTCGGTCTCATGTTCAAACGCCTCGCCTTCTAGACTTCTGAAGAACAGGTCCATAGCAAAGCTCAGCTGATCGTGACCCAAGTCGCCCACGGCCCGAGCCGTGATCTTGTAGCCTTGTGTATCCCACTTCTCTCGAAGCAAAGGCACCATCTCCTCCAGGCAATTGCCAACATATGCCGATCTTGGAAGCGCACAGTCGGGGAAAATGATGGTATAGATCTGAAACCACTGGTCCTCCACGGCCAATTCCCGGGGTAATTTCTCGTTCAGCCTTTTCCTCTGGTCCTCGGTAATGCCTTGGAATTGTAGCAACGTGGGGCTGTCCAGCCTGTCGCACAAGCTCTCTCTCCAGTGTGTATCGCGTTCTGTGGCGCTATGGAAAATATGGTAGCACCTGGCACAATAAAACTCGGGCTTCGTGTGAGACCGATAGATGTGCTGTTTCACATCCTTGGGCCGTCGCAACGAGAGTGCCAAGCACTTTCGGTGTTGAAATGGGTAGTGTTTGTAGAAGGGGCACGCTAGTGATCGCCCCCGACTGTCGTGGCTGGTCTTCAAGCGTGAGCATGATTCGTTTTCCGAGCCATCTAAAATATCCCGACCATCTGAGGAAATACTGTCGAGGGACCTCTTCTGAGGCGTTATACTACCCTCTGGGAAAGCAACATCAGACTGAAACGAGTCTGGGGTCTGGATGTTCAACTGTGGGTCCCATAAGACCATTGGAGGCAGCCTTTCTTCACCTTCGAGGAGTCCAGAAGCCAAATGATCATCATGATTAGAGGGGCAATTTCCGGGTGCAGCAATTGACCGCTCTGGGGTGGAACGCGGCGTGCAGTAGACTGCATCATAATATTCGCGATGCTTTCGCTTCACATGTGGTTTGATGTAGTCTCGTCGCTTCAGTCGTTGGTTGCAGATCGGGCAGTTCCATCCGCACGCTTGGTTGCCAGGCTCGATGAGAGGCCGCTTCCGTTGAGACTCCCACCGATTCTCGAGACTTTCCCCATTTGAAGTCTCCCATACGTGAGTCCATGTCCAATTTGATGTCAGATCAGGAGAATGATTGACCTTGACGACTTGTGAAGGACTGTTTGGTCTTTTGTAGTCAACGCCTCCATTCATGCGAACAGTCATGTTTCCCTCGTCAAAGTCTGCAGCTGGCGAAAACCCTCCCTCTTCCGTCTCTGAAAATGGGTTGGCTCCACTCCAGTAGTCCGTTGCTGCTGTCTCCTGCTTTCTGGAATCTTTGTCTTGGAAAGGAGTCGTCTCCGGTTCTGATGAAGGTGCAGGTGTATACATGATGTTGGAATCGCGAGTGTCGCGAATTGGCAGGGCGTGATGTTTTACTTGATCGACGGAGCCGGAGACAGACAATGGCGTCGTATGTGTCGTGCTGTCCGAAGATGCGAAGTCAAACACGTTATGATGGAAAGAATCGCAAAGACGATATTGTTCTGACGTATCGGCAGGCAAATTGGGGATGCTGCCTTCACTCCACGGATCGATTTGGAGGAAGTTACCATCGGCATCACTGTGAAAAATTGGATCCATCCTCGTCTAGTGCTCATGCGCCTTTGTCGGTGCTCTTGGGCGCACAGTTTGCCGGTGGTCGTACAAACAAGGTGACGGATTTCCAAATACGGCGAAAAAAACTCATCGTCCGCCATAGTTTAGTACGCGCATGCGTATACCTCCCGGAACTCGTCTGGAGGCTCCACAATGGACTTCACGCAAGAGCGTGAACCACGGACGGGAGGCAACCTCGCGCAGCTGCGCCAGGATCTCACACGAATCAAGGCTTACCATGCATATGCAGGCTACATGCGGCCATGTCAAATGAGGAGCTCTGTGGTGTGGTGTCAGCCCCTGTGGGTATGCAACTGGAAACAATGTAGCGCCACACATGACCCCAGGAATGGTCGGGTACCAATCGGTTAGCCTAACCATTGTATTCAGGGGAGCATGCACATCTGGAGAACAAGAAAAATCTGCCAATGGAGGGGGGTGCCTGACGCTGCACCGCAAAAACGGAAAATGCTTCATCTACGCGCCGACTCGCTGGAGCCTTCCAATGGCAGGTCATGCTTGAAATCGTACCCACCAACACCGGACGATTTTTGTTGTGCGTCCCTGCAAAGAGCAGTACATGTGCGCCATATACTCGACCTTCCATAAGCGCCGTGCTTCTCGACTTGAGACAAACGCTCCGGAGACGCTTTGTTTTCCCTTTATCGGCAACTAGACCAATTCGAGTATCCTATACTGGGCTGTGCTACCTGGTTGGAGATCAGGTCAACTGTTTCCTGGGGCTGGCCAGAAGAGCTTCAGCATTGAAGCTTCCCTGTGAGTGTTTGTACTCGAGTACCTGGGTCGTGCCTGGATTGGATAGGCTGAGCGCAGGGCAGATGAGTTCTCAATTCCCGACATCATGATTGCTAGAAGTTCAGGTGTATAGTAATTTCTCTGCTTCCACATGGGGAACCAACCGATTTGTATATGGAACACCCGGTCTAGAGCCCGGGGTACCATTTCCAATTTTCCGGCAACATTCTCCCACTCACGTCTCCCAACCACGGGTGTAGTCGTCGGACTCTAGGTCTTTGCTTTTAGACCTGCTGGAGCACTGAGTTGCGTCCACTTGGTAATAATTCCTCCCTCACGGACGCCAATGTACCAGATTCTGGGCTGTAGCTACCGACTGCGATCTCAGTCAGGCTCCTCTGCTTTTGATCGGGCGTCGCTATGGGGGCTGGGCCGTCTTACAGCCACTTGACATACGTCACGGTGCATGAAACGCTCACATGGAAGACAACTGCACGCGATAGGCGCCGGGCCGTTGTAGAGATGGAGGGAAAATGAATCGTCGGACGGGAAGAGCAGTTTAAAGACGAACCAGGAGTACTTTCATGCAAGCTTCGCAAGAAGTGCTCAAGGAACAGTCCTGAGCACCTGTTGATCTATTGACTTCTCAGCCGTCAAGGTCTGCTTACACGGTCGCTAGAGTCTTGATCAAATGCGCCCACAGAGTTCCTACAGGAACCTGAGCATGATACGGCGAGGGAAGCTGGTCAGCGATTCTTGGGGTCGAAGTGTAAGAAGTCGACATCCACGTAGCTTTGAGGTACCTAGGCATTTTCAACACCACTGCGCCTGGAGGAGTCTGCACAGGCGAAATGAAAGCTCAGGCTTATTTCGATATGTTCGTACTCCTTTCCGTCCCCATGGAGGATGTCGCCACTCGTTGTGGCTGTACTTTTGGTGAGCTTGGAGGGAGGGCACCCCACGCATTCGCGAGAAGTCAGGACGACGCGTCGTGTCCAAAATTCGAGAATCTGTCTCTTAGGCCTTTGTTTTGCTCTTTCCAGTTATGGTCCTCAACTTCTACTTGAAGCAGGATGCACCTACTGTTTTGAGCATCTTGTTGCCTCCTCATACGTAAGCACCTCCCAACTCGTCAACGGAGTAGTTACCAGACTGCTACCAGCAGTGACCAGTGCCGTACACAGGATCGTTTATGATATCAATTGGCTGAATGCTGGTCTATAACAACATGGTCGACATTATCCTTTTTGTTTCTTCAACGGCCGTTGGTGCAACGACTTGCCTTTGCGAAAAGCCAGCCAATTTATGCGCCCAGGCGAAGGTTGGCGCACACCCTCAAAAACTCGTCCCAGGCGGTGTTGGGACCAATAGCGCGGCGGATGCTTTGATCTCGGCAGCGGCAAGCTGCCTGCTTTTTACCTCACTGGTTCTGCTCCTGAAAGCTACCCTGCATTATGCTACGAATTGGCATGGGACATTTCTCTGGCTTTTTCTCCGGGTTACCCTGCTCGGGGCCAGCACTGTTGATCGAACATGCCCTGTGCATGACGAAGGTTCTGCAGGCACTCGTCGGGGCGACCCGTCACTATCTCATGCCTCGGCGCAGCCATCCTTACCGCTTGCTGCAGGCGGCCGGCGGAATGTTGGTAGAAAGCGACCTGGCGACGACGGGTCAGATGCCGAAGAAAACAACCGCGGCAAGCGTCCGCGACTTGTTAGCCGAAAGGGCTCGAAAGCAAGAGTGCGCTGCCCCTTCAAGGACCACGACCCTGACAACCCCGAATACGAAAAATGTGGGAGATTTAGCGAGTGGTCCCGCCTGCGTGAGCATCTTCTGGACCGGAAACACAAACCACGGGACCGATGCCCGACTTGCGGAGAGATCTTCACCGATGACGTCGCATGGGACCTACATACCAGTGTTCTACGAACATGCAAACCGTCTCCGAAAGCATTGGATAGGCCTTTCTGGGTCGATAGACACCAAGCGGCAGAGATCAGAGAGCTTTCGACCAGGGGTCGCAAAAACGAGGGGTCCCTCGAAGAGATGTACCGCAAGGTGTGTCTGATCCTTTTTGGCAGCGAGAGTGCTCCGGACCGTGCCGCTTCGGGACACCCGATCTGGGCTCCTCATGCCCAGCACACAGATGACTTGGGCGTCGACCATCGCCGCCAGGAACCCTGGAATATCCTCAAACGGACGATTTGCAGTCTGCTAGGCGTGCAGAATGTTCCTGAAGATGATTCCATGCAGAGAGTCATAGATTCCGTTCGTTCCTACCTCGGGTACCCCAAGGAACAGGCGGGAGGTGCCGCTGTGGAGGAACATCTGGGGAACAATGGTGCAGTCATCGAAGATTGGATGCCATCTGCAGCCCCCTCACAGGGGCAAGCACCCGGGATCTCAGAGCGAGACAGGTACCCTCCAGGGGGTTCGGATGGCCACTTGGAACACTCACTCTCTAATCTTTCCACGCATCTTTCGGAGGGAGCCGGCAACCCGTCTCCTCCAGGCTCACTTGATCCAGACCAGGCTTCCTCAGTAGGCCACAACCTCGACAAGCTGGGCTACGACTCTGAGTATATCGACCCTGTTCTGCTTCAACGGTCAGATGCACACCACACCCACGTGCCTGTGTCCAACGACAGCTTCCCAGCGGTGCGCGCATGCCCCACTTCCACGACAGTGCCTTCGGGCTCTGCTGCCAGCCAAGAGTCTGAGGCTACCTTTCTGGGATCTTTCTGTGACCAACTGCCCAAGGACATATATTATCAAAATGATGGAGAAGTGCTTGACGACTTGGACAACTTCGACTTCAGCGTCGAGGGCTTTAGTCCAGACGCGGTCTCGATGCAGCTTTCCGAGGACAGGGACCCAGACCCACGTTGAAGACTGGGATGTTCCTGGCTTCTTCGAGCAACCGAGCCGTTGGCTCGGTTCCACATAACTGCAGGTGCTCCTCCGTGCCCCTCCGAGGTACCTAGTAGGTATGTTGGCGGCTTGCTCCTCCATTCCTAAATCTGCCACTGACTCCCCGGCCTCGTAGGGAATTCGACATTTAGGCCACATGGGCACCATGGTAGAACAGCAAGGACCGATTGCCAGCCAACCAACTATGACACGCTCGTATGCCAGACTCACTTGCTCTCTCTTTCTTCTTTTTTCCCTCCTTTTTTTCCCTTTTGTTATCCGTTGCAACAGGCTGCATCATGGATCGGGACACAGGGATGTGATGAGCCAACGAGTTTGGAAATTGATGAGGTTGATGACTGATGATCAAAACATTTTGTGCATTTTGCGAATTGCAATCTGATTTTCTAGCCTGATTCATTCATATTTTGAATGATGCGACATGACAATGCTATTTAATATTAGTAGTACCTATATCATGTGTCTTTGGTGTCCTGAGTGAGCAGCAAGCGATCCACAGCATGGTCGGCCACTAAACCGTACAAGGCCTGCAAACTTCTCTCCTCGTTTTCAATCTTGTATTGCCGAAGTCTGTGTTTTGCCAAGACGCCGGCGATGATGTTTTCTCCATGCTTCTTCCAGAACCGACGGAACTCGTAGACCGCGAGCTCTTGCTGACTAAAAGAGAACGGCGACGGGGGGAGCTGTGTACAAGAGAAGACGATGCACCACATCTTGACCCACTGCCTCGCTTGCAGACCTGGGGCTCTCTCCGCCGTCCCTTGCCTTTCGAGCTCTCGCACCTGCGAGTCTCTGAGGCCGTCGAATACAGACGGCAGCCGATAGAGACACTCCTGGCTCCGCATATGGGAATCCCTGAGTCTGACTGTCGGGAATGTCTCGTAGCATACCGAACAGTGGATAGGTTCCAAGTGCACCGAGCACAAATGCTCCCGCACGTCGTCCAAACTTAGGAGGCAGTGTCTCGTCCAACAGCTGCGATAGGATACCCTGTCTCTCACAAAGAATGGGCATGGCCAGATCCGTGGTGCTGCCTCGGCTGGGCGCTCGACAATGACAATTTCGCTCTCCTCGGAATCAGAAATGGACCCAGCACTTGCCTGGTCTTGGCAAGGACTGAGCCGTGAGCGCTTGCAACACTTCTCCTGGCATGGAGAAATGGACCTCTTCCTTGACGGGCTGGCTTGCACCGAGCGGAATCTCTCCACGGCCGTCCTCGTCAACTCGTCCACGACTCCTGCAAATCTGTGCGCGGGGTCGAGTACTGGAGCCCCGGACTTGGGCGCTCTGTGAGGGCTAAGATGTTCTTGGGTTGCTGGGCTTTTCGCTTCGGAACAATTTATCCATCCTGGAGTGCCCCCATAGTCTTGAGATTCGCTCACTGAACTCCCCGGCTCGACTTTTGAGACCCATTCACATACACCCTGAAACCCTTGCATACTCGCAACGACCCACTCTAGCACCTGCCTCGGACTTGCACGAGAAGAAATGGCGCCCATACAGCCATTGCCACCGTTTTCCCTCGATTCGCATCCGGATATGGATGTTGTTGGGGTAGGAAGGTTTCCCTTCGGAGGGATCAGAGTCGCGTCCGAGCGAGTCTTGGAAACAGTGTAGCCAGGGCGCTTTGCCTGACTGATTGACTGCTGCGAGGGACTCGGACTGGAACAGCTTGAGTTGTGCATATCTGTGTTATGTGTGGGTAGCCTCTCTGCGGACAAAGGGTCCTGGCAGAGTCGAGGTGCGCCGGGTTGTGGAGGAGGAGGAGGAGGCCCATGAGTGAGATTGATGTCGATGTCGATGTCGATGTCGATGTTGAGGAACAATTGATTTGAACACAGGGTGCCAATTATGACCATTAAATACTGTCGAGGCAATGCTGCGAAGAGAAATATTCGGCATTTTCGGGTTGCCTGATCACACACTCGCCGTGCCTGATCGCAAACTCGCTGAGAGTCATCGCATGCTCGCAGTGACTTGAATCACGTGCTCGTGTGTCGGACGAGGAGGCTACCACTTCTGGCCAAGTTCAAACGCTGACGCAAAGGATTAGCTGTTTCCTAGAGTCATGCAACCAACTGCGACTCATTTCGCAGAAGACAGCCTCATTCTCATGGCAGTGCACACGGTGGGATGAGAATGTGCCTGTCAACAGGCGCCCGACGGGATGTGACAGGCACAGGTGTGCCTTGGGCAGCAGCACAGATCAGCAGGCGCCACTTTTCGCCCCAAGTGGGCCCGGGCGCAATCATCAGCGAATGGCCTGGCAGCGGGTGACAGTGGTGTAAGCTGGAAAACAGGGACCCCAAACTTCACGCATTTGCGTGAAGGCCGCGTTTTGACCTGCATTAACGTGTCATTGGCCGTGCGAGTGTTCCCGGTGAGAAGTAATGACTTGGGCAATCACACATGATATTTCCCGAGTGCGGCATGGTGGTTACAGTCCGGGTTATGCGGGTTGTCATCTAGGCGGCCGAAATGCTGCGGCGCGGCATCCTCGTCATGGTCATTCACGACAGTGAGGCTGTCAAAAGGCGTGCACCCCCGCCACTTTGCAACACCTTAAACTTTCCATTAATCCCTATATAAATCCTCTGCCTAACTATAAATATCAAAATCATGTGAGTTACTGTGCCGCGCAGTGGGGTCTGCTGCAGGCAACCACCGACATCTACAATGCCTTCACGAGAATGCGTTCCGATGCTGCGTGAGGCTCTTTAACCATTTGAGAAGGATGTTGCTTTTCTAAATAGTGATTCCAGGCCAAGACCAGCAGATCGGTATTTGGCAATGGGAATACCCTAAGCGGATGCCTATGCCAAGATTTAGACTCGTTATTTGAGACTGTCAAAGTAAGACCTGCAAGGATTCTCGTTATATCTCATACCGGTCAGACTCATGCTTCACAGGTCGATAAACAAAATCATCAAACGTCGCCTCCCTCGCCGTCCCATCTAGGTCCGAGCAAGCCACGCCGACAAACGCCCCGGTGAAAGAGCCATGCACCTGGTGACCACCACACTCATCAGACAGAATCGAAGCATCCAGCACCGGCCCGATCTCTTTCAGCTCCTGACCCTCAAGCCCATAGGAAAACTGCAGCTTCGCCCCCCGGGTCGTCAGTGCCAGCTTGACCTTGCCCTCCTTGGGGATCTTGACCGGCTGGAGCAGGGGCTGCTTGTCCAGGTTCCCATCGGGCCACGACACATCCGAGATCATGAGGAGCAGCTCCCTCTCACCATCGGCGTCGGCCGTCACGGTGAGGTAGAAGAAGTTGTACCGGCAGTAGTACGCCGCCAGCCCGGCAAATTGCCGCTCGTCCTCGGGGTGGAAGTCGACCACCGTCTCGGCGTCGTAGCTGAAGTGCGCCTGGCGCCTGGCCACGAGGGACTGCTCGAACCAGCTGCCGATGGCCTCCCTTCCGTAGAGGGTGAGCTTCCCGTCGCCGACTTTGAAGATCCTCTCCGGCTCGGGCGTCCTCAGCCACTGGAAGTCCTTGTGCAGCTCGCCGTCGAACGTGTACCTGCTCTCAGCCCAGTACTTCTCCTCGTCCCTCGTGCCGGGCACATCAACCCATAAACTCGGCACCGGCCCATCTTTCACGTACAGCCATCCGTCCTGGCCCCAATGGCACTCCTGGATCGACGTCTCCCTGCCAAGCACACACCTCCTCTTTTGCGTCGTCGGCCTGCCGCACAAATGCACAATGTATGTCTTTCCATCAGGCGTCTCAACAATATCCCCGTGCCCAGCCCTCTGTAGCGCCACATGCGGGTGATCCTTGCTGCTCAGGATGTGCTTATCTGGGTGGTCCTCATACGGGCCCCAGACGTCTCTCGAGCGCGCAAGCGTCACAGCATGCTCATACCCGGTGCCACCCTCCGCGGTGAGGAGGTAATACCACCCATCCCGCCAGTAAAGGTGCGGGCCCTCCACGAGCGCAAGTTCCGTGCCGGGATAGACATTCTTCCTGGGCCCGACGAGCTTCCCCAGCTTCGGGTCGAACTCCTGCAGCCCGATGCCCGCGAAGGCCGAGTTGCCCAGCAAGCCGCCGCGGCGGCGGTGGTCCCAGAGCATGTTGACGAACCACTTCTTGCCCGTGTTTGGGTCGTGGAACAGGCTCGGGTCGAAGCCGCTGCTGTTGGCGTGCACGGGGTCGCTCCAGGGGCCGGCGATGCTGTCGCTGTGGACAATGTAGTTGTGCGTGTCCTTGAAGCTGCCGTCCTTGCGCTTGACGTCTGTGTATACGAGCCAGAACTTTTCACCTGGGGGGGGGGGGGTGTCAGTGACTGATGTCCAGTGCTGTAAAGGAATAATGATGCATGAAATTTCATTCTCATATCCTCAACCCGATTTTCCAAAACACCTTCACAATTAACCGGAATACGGAAGGATGCCCACTGAACTCACCATCATGGGTCAGACACGGAGCCCAAATCCCACACGAGTCCGGGTTACCGCGCATGTCGAGCTGAGACTTGCGCGACAGCGGCCCGGCAGACGAGGTCCCAATTCGCAAGGTCGGTCGAGTGGTGGATCTGCACGCCAGGGAACCACTCGAACGTCGACGTCGCAATGTAGTAGTCGTCCCCGACGCGGAGGATGGACGGGTCGGCATTGAAGCCCGGGAGGATGGGATTGCGGATGGGAGGCATGGTGGTGGTGGCGGGCGAGGTGAATTCAGGGGAAATGATGTGAGTGAGTGGTGAGAGACCGGACTGGAAGGAGACCCCAGAATCAATGCGAAGTCACGACATGTATTTCTTGGTGGGACAGGCCATCGTGAGTATATATACCGAGTCGCGAGCTCTCGCCAAGGACGAGATGGGCGGGAGCTAATGCGCGCGGTCCTATTCAGCCGTTTTAACCGGCGGGTGTGTCACTGCAACCGCCCCTACCGTCGAAAAGCAACAGAGTCCTTCGGGTAGGGAAGAGACTCCCTCCAGCCGGGCCGTCCAAGTATCGGCAGCCGCATGCACTACAGTAGGGTAGTAGCAGCGGAAACGTGCTGCCCAGATCATCAGCACACCACGTTCATAGCAGGGGATCGCAATCCATGACGACGGGATTAAGACCCCTGGCAGGGTGGTTGTTAAATATATGAGGGCGATGGACAGTAGAAACAGATGCACATCTTCTGTGGTATCTATGCTCGTCTATCTTCTTTACTCTCATTACAACTGCCTCGCATGCTGTACAACATTATTAATACTGCAAGTGTTTGCTCTCGGGGGTACTCGATAATGGCATCAAAAACAAACAAACAAAAGAGACAAAATTCGAGACCGCCCAACGCCCAAATGCAGCCGTTTTCTTTGGGATGTCCGTTCCAGACGGTACTCATGCCCGTCTCTTGACTCCCGTATAAAGCTCTTGGACTGGTGGCATCTCCTCTATTCTCTCGTGGGTATCCATCTAACCTCCTCAGGGTATCTCTGTGCCGCCGCTCTAACAACCTCCGATACTTAGTCTTCGAAAAATTGGATGATGTGCTTGAAGTCCCGCACGCCGAGGCCCATGCGAGGGTAGCAGACATAGACCGGCTCGCCGTACGCGCCGAACTTCTCGCGGAACTCGCTCTTCTTGTTCAGCCTCAGGCTCTTGATTATGGTGTCGTACGTCTTGGCCAGGAATTTGGCGCGGACACCGCCCAGGTGCGCCCCGGGGATCAGCCTTTCGCTGACGCCGGCGCCGAATGTTACTGGCCCGTGTAGCGCGGCCAGCGCCGTCTGGATGGTCGCCTCGATGACGCCCGGTGGCGTGCCGGGGAAGTCGAGCGCCCACTTGACCTGCCAGCCATGACGGGGCGCCAGCTGAGCCAGGACCACCATCGCCATGACCTTCTTAACCTTTTTGCCGTCCTCCTCGACGTCCTTTTGCGCCGCGAAGTACCGACGGTGATCTATGTCGACCCATGGCCTGATTTCGGTCAGGTGTACCTGCTTCTTGCCCTTGCGCTTCTCCATCCACTGCTCTATGGCGGCGTCCGCGCGGTGGATGAAGTCTTCGTCTGGCCGCAGCTCGTCGATGCTGATGCCCTCGCGCTCGACCTTGCGCGCCTCGCGACCTTGTGGGCCGGCGGCGTGCTTGTCAGCGTCCACACGCTGCTCCTCGACGCAGGTGAGGGTGCGCCACCCCAGGGTGCGGCCGAGGACTTCCTGCACGGACTCTGATACCAACATCCAGATGGGCGTGAGCTTGAGATCCTTCTCAACGAACTTGACGAACGCCTTGGCGACCTCGTTGACCTGGGACGGGTCGCACAGTGGGTCACCGGTTATCATGGCAAATTTGTTGTCCTTCCGGACGTACCCCACGGCCGCGCCCGTGGTGTCATGCCTCCAGATCTCGAACCGATCATCCAGCCACGACGTGTTGGTAGCATCGCCGTAATTGGCGATGAGCTTCTCCAGTGGGTACTTGTTTACGCCCTCGGGCTTGATATGCTTTGTATCGCAGTCGGGGTGGGGAAGGCGTATGTTTCGTTCAGGCATGGACTTGGGGTCGCGGTGGTACAGAGTTGCGTATCGCACGTCGACGAGCTGCAGGGTCCAGGCCAGGATGCGCTCCAGTCCGAGACCAGCACCAGCGTGTGGTGGGGCGCCGAGGTCGAAGGCGGCGAGGTAGTGCTCCATGCCGTCTTCTGACATGCCAATCTGCCTCATGTTTTCGCGCAGCCTGGTGGCGTCGTGGATACGCTGGCCACCTGAGCAGATCTCTTGGCCACGGATGAACATGTCGAAGGAGTTGGTCCACTTGGGGTCAGTGGCGTCTTTGTGCGTGTAAAATGGTCGCGCGTTGGCTGGGAACTTGTCCAGGACGTAGTAGTCGGTCTTGTACTTCTCCTTGACCAGCTCGCCCAGTCGGATCTCGTTCCTGGTCGACAAATCTTCCTCTTCGACGTCGATTCCGTCATCGCGCAGCATCTGGAGCCCCTCGGTGAAGGGAATAATAGGCGTCTGCTCGAGCCAGACTAGGTCCTCGGATGGCCACCGCTGACGGACGATTTCAAGCTCGGGCATGGACTGGAGAGTGCGGAACACCTCCTTGAGGAAGCTATCCACCTCGCGAATGACCTCGTGGTAGTCCTTTTGGATGGCCATCTCGATGTCAAGTCCGGTGTACTCGGCAAGATGACGTTTGGTGTTTGAATTCTCGGCTCGAAAGACAGGACCGATCTGTTGGAGAGGTAAGCCGAAATCCAATTACAGAATCACGCAGGGTACGGATTGGAGAACACCCAAGTAGAAACCAGCTCATTGAATGGGGGGGGGGTGGGGGGTGGGGGGTTGGGGGGGGGCGGTCGTCCAAGCGGACGAAGCCAGACCCAGAGGAGGAAGCCGGGTTCCAAGTGGAAGGGAGAAACAGAATCAGTTACATACCTCATACACCTTGCCAAAGTCGGCGGAGACAGTCATCTGCTTGGCCAGTTGGGGGCTCTGGGCCAGGAAGGCGCGGCGCCCGAAGTAGTTGACCTTGAAGACCTCGGCGCCGCTCTCTGTGGCGGCGGGCTGCAGTTTGGGGGTCTGGATCTCGATGAAGCCATCGCGGTCGAGAACGTCGCGGAACTTGCGGGTGACCATGGCCCTGATGCGGAACAGAGCCTGGTTGCTGGGGTGCCTGAGGTCCAGGATGCGGTTGTTCAGGCGGGCCTGGGTGGTCTCTGGGGGCTCGTAGTTGTCGAAGGGCAGGTCGCGGGCAGCATTGACGACGTGGATCGAGTAGATCTTGACCTCGAGGTCCTTGTGGGTGGCGGAGCGGACCGGCTCAGGAGGGGCCTGTAGTGTGCCTGTAACCTGGACGAGCGACTCTGGCTCGAGGCGCTGCACCCACTTGACGAAGTGGGAGGTGTCGTGCTGCAGGACGCCCTGGATGGAGTGTGTCTGGTCGCGGAACAGCACGAAGTCGAGGTGTTTGGAGATGTTGCGCTGGTGGTGTATGCGGGCGCGGAAGGTGACCTCTTTGCCCTCGGAGAGTTCAGTAACCTCCCGGATGGTAAGAAGCTCCTTGGCGTCCATGGCCCAGCCGTACCTCGCGCGGGTCTCCTCGTCCTCTTCCTGCATGGCAAGCTGGTCCTCGAGTTTCCTCCTCTCCTCTATCTCCTCCCGTTCGGCCTGCAGCCTCAGGGCCTTGGTCTCCTTCCTGGCATTCCTGTCCTCTGTGCGGCGGCTTGCCTTGCCCAGACTCCTGCTGGAGCCGGATGAGCTGCTGCGAGCGTGGCCGTTGATGCCGCCGTTCCCGTTGGTCCTCGCGCCATGGTCAGCACTGGACCGCGGGGACAAGGCCCTGAATGCATTTTGCAGGGCTGTCATTTTCTCTGACAGGCAACCAGGAGTGCTGGCGGTATCTGCCTTGGTGTTGTTTTTGGTGTTGGTATTGGTGGTTGAGTTGCTCTTGGTACTGCTTTTGGTGGTGGTGGAGTCTTGTTCCTTGGTCTTGTCCGTACCGAAGCAGGACATCTAACGAAAGGAACAACAGTATGGATTAGCGGGATAGTTTTCGCAGGAGGGGGGTATCACGTCTTGGGCAGGAATTGAGGAACGAATAAAAAGTGTGTCTGAGTGACGACGGGGGCAAAGTAAGGGAGGGCGGGCCAAGGAGGGTATTAATGGTGTGAAGTGGCTGGTGGGAGGACGAGACATGAAGAGGGCGTCTGAGTGTGAGTGTGAGCGCCCGACCCGGGCCAACCGCAAGGGTGTTGATTAACGGAAAACGACGTAAGAGCTGCAGCACGTGTGGCTCGAGATCCGGATTGCTAACCTTTCCTTGGTTTCCGGGCGTTCCACAGAATTCTATGTGTGAGTCGGTCCCCTTCTCCCTCGTCTCCGTCGCCTCCCTGTAGGAGACCGACATGGTAAGGGTGACGGGCGGCCTTAGTGCGGGTCCCCTGCCCGTGCTAAAGGCGTGGTCGCGAAATTGGGTTGAGCCCGGGGCCGAAAGCGCACGCCGGGCTGGCACTGGCTGGACGGGCTGGACGGGCTGGACATTTGGCGAGAACCGGGGGAGGGTGAGTAAGGAAGTCACGACGGGTGGGTCTTATGACGTTGGTGTGGTGTAAGTGCCACAGCACGGTGCCTTAACGGGACGTCAATCAGGTACGTACCGCGAGCCGCATGTCTCCGTTACCGTGCACCAATGCAGTCACTGCAGTACAGCAATTTGCTGGCTGGCTGGGAAAGAGAAGACCCACCCCCTGCCAAAACACCAGTAGCCGGAAATTCTGCGATAAAAGAATGGATGGCCCGGTCCAGGCTCTTCCCAATGGCTGATTATTACCACTCTCAGCAGTTATCCCCAGTCAGTCAGACGCTGACGGGGTTAGATCACAAATGACAGACGCAGGAGGGATCGAGATGGCAGTACTAAGGCGAGTCGTAGCGAGTCGAAACGATGCAAGCGACGCAAACTTCGGTCGAGAAACTGGGAACGCTGGTTACATACAGCAGATCCGGAGCAAACGGTCCTCGAGGGCTCTGTCCGTCCGTCTGTCGGTCTGTCGGTGTCTGTGTGTGTCTGCCTGTCACCTGACTCCTGTTGATTTCAAATGTTGTTGATCGGCCAGAAACAGTCCCCAGATCCGAGATAGATGGGCCATGGTTTGCTATTTGCATCCATGTTGCAGGTGCAGGGCATCTTCTTTATCAAGTACGGGGAAATCTGAATTGTCAAGTCGAGTCGGGACACGGCAAGTCATACTGTGTGGCTCAGTTTCTTGTCCATCGTTGCCAAGGGCCATTAAGGAAAGCTTGGTCCTGCGTGCCAACAGCAGCTGGGCCGGCGTCTCTGGCGAGTGAGAAGTGCCGGACAGCTCGGAGACGCGACGGAAACAACGGTAACCTAACCCGCGGCCAGCCCGGCACTACACCACTCACTGTGCATTTGCACTTGTCAAGTGACACGGCAAGGCGCCCAAGACGGTACATCCCTGGGGGACACGCATTACCGTCCACCGTCCACGACGCCGTCGCAGTCCCAAGAGAAAGCCCAGAAAACAACACAAGGCTTTGGCTGCTGGGCTGTAGTGACGACAGGTGGATTGGCGTGGCTTGTGTTGTCTTGTCCCAGGGTTTGTCGTTGAAGGGGCTGCCCTGCCAAGGCGCTGATTTGCAACGCCAGTAGCTTGATTTGTGGCTGATGGCAACGCATATGGGAGGACGTGCCAGCTGGGCCAGCAGGCCCAATCAACCTTGGCCTGCCTTAGCTCCGCCAGATCTGACGACGGGCCGCAATCGCTCTGCCACGGATGCGACCATCCTGCTATGGCGGTCATGACAGGCGGGATTGGGCTCACGCCAGGGCCATGAACTGCCTGCCATGAATGCCAGTGTGACCCATGTTGCAGGCCTCGCGGATAGAAGTGTTGTTGTTGTTGGTGGAGCACGAGCTCGGTAGGGTGCTTGTACGGAATGGACACACACGATGACGAGCTTGGCTAGGTGAGACAGATAGCACAGACAGATCAAAATGGGCTAGGGCCCCCTCCCGAAAAGTGACGGGCTAGCAGGGCAATCTGTGGCAATCTCTGCAGAATGTCAAGGTTGTTGCTGATCAATCTTCTCGTCGCCTGCCTCGCTCTCATTCAGCTCGCGCAAGTGCCAGGCCGACCGGAACAAAAGCTCCCCCACCCGTTTCGTCTCCGTCCCGTCCTGCCCCGTCAGGTCCCGTCTTCCATCTGCATCCACCACGACGTCAGCATGGCCCGTGCTCGGCGCATCCCGACGCTGGGGTAACCTGACGTCACTCTGTCTGCTGAATGTGGGATCTCGCTTGATTTCGGAGTGGTGATTGCGACTTCCCGCGGGCGGAACAGCTGTTGCTGCCATCCAATCCATCCACTCGCCAGCTCCGATAATCTTGATCAACAACTCCCAAGATAGATGAAGTCCAGCTTCACAATCAGACTTATCTCCTTCTGTCTTGCTGGTGAATGACGGCGGAAGTCCCCCAATCATAACCCTCGTCTCCGAGTGTCTCCTGTGTCAGTGTGCAGTACATAGCACCCCTGAGACATGATGGGGTTGGTCGTGTCCAATGCCAAAACGTCCCCTGAACTCATCGCGACATGACGTACCCTTGTTTGTACCCGTCCTCTGAAAAGCAGGCTACCTCTTTCCCCAGCTAAGCGAAATAGCAACCACGTTGCCAGAGTTGCAACAAGTCAACAACAGGCAGTCTCTACCGAACCAGAAACAGAAATCCTTCAGAAAATCGCACGAAGAAAATCACACCATGTCCGAAGGCGCCGCTGCCACCTTGGCTGAGCAGCCAGACGTTATCCAGGAGACTAAAGACGCAGTCGAAGAGCCTTCCACCGACGTGTACCACAATCCTCTCGAACAATCCTCACGATGGTCTCTAGCCACTCGCGCATACGCATACCGTACCGGGGCATCCATTGCCTTTGGTATGGGTAACATGGCCTCGCCCGCCGTCCCCTCCCCGCACAAGACCATCTACTTCGACTCGACCCTGTCCGGGAAATACAAAGGCAAGGAGAAGATCAAAGCAGAAGTGTGGACGCCAGACCGGCCCTTGTCAAGGAAGAGCTCGAGGGGCAGCCTGAAGTCACTCCAAAAGCAGAGGAGCAAGGAGAGCGGGGAGGACTCTGGCGACTCTCTCAAACCTCCCCTGTCGCGCTTCTCATCCAGGAACTCGGTGCGCGGGGCTGCGGATGAGAAGGGTGACAAAGGCGGGTCTCTCCGCCCTTCCCTGTCGAGGCTATCGTCCCGAATATCCTTCAAGTCGTCCCAGTCGATGAGGTCGAAAAGCTCCATATCCCTGCCGACAACCCCCTCGGGGCCCGTCGACAACCCGATGGACAAGATCCCTTCCACGCTGAACCCGCAGCCCGACCCGACATCCCGCCGGCCGGCAATCATAAACTTCCACGGTGGGGGCTTCGTGCTTGGCCAGGGTACAGACGACGGGAGGTGGGCCATGGCGGTCATGCAGGCCCTGGGCGCTGTGGTGTTCTCGGTCGAGTATCGGCTGGCGCCTGCGTATCCTTTCCCCACGCCCGTCGAGGACTGCGCAGACGCAATACTACAAATATGGCGGAGGGCGGACGAGTTCTGGATAGACCCCGACAAGATCATCCTCACTGGCTTCTCGGCCGGCGGGACATTGGCCCTGGCAAGCTGGACACTGCTGCAAGACCACAAGAAGTTCGGCTACAAGATCGAGCCCGCCTTGACCGAATCGATGTCGAAGCTGGCACTGTCGACGGGTGAGGGCGGCTCGAAGATACCAAAGGCGCCAGAGGCCGAGACCCCAAAGCCGGTGGGCCTGATGCTCTTCTATCCGCTGCTGGACTGGACGATGTCGCGGCCGCGCAAGCGCCTGACGTGCAGCAAGCCCGAGATGACCCTCCCGCGCTCACTGACGGACATCTTCGACGCGGCGTACATCTACCCGCCAGATGAGCTCAAGGCCAGCCTGGACAACCCGCTGCTCTCACCGGGCCTGATGCCGGACTACCTCGTCGATAGGCTTCCGCCGGTGCAGCTGTGCCTGTGCGAGTACGACATGCTGCTCGCTGAGGGCAAGGTGTTCGCCGAGAGGCTGAAGACCAGGGGCAAGGAGGTCGGCTACCGGGTGGTCCCGGAGGCGAAGCACGCGTGGGACAAGCCGCTGCCGTTCAACCCGCCCGAGAACCTTGGCGTCGAGTACGGGGAGGCGGTGCGGGCGATGGCTAAGTGGCTGGGGGCGGAGGATGTAGAGACTAATGGTAATCTTACGGATGAGTCGGTGCCGGAGGGCATAGAGGTGTAGAAGGGGATGAATTATACGAGACAAGAGCCGGGTATAGGAGAGCACTAGAGAGAGGTTATAGACGGAGTTGGACTAGAACTGTTTTAGCAGGTGGTCTAGGATTTTTGCAGTACATATAGCCTCACAGGCGATGATAATATCAACATATTTCCGGACAATTCCTTCGTCAAGGATGTCAGACCTTGTCGTGATGAAGCCAATCTACCAGCGCCAGCGAACGTAACTAGACTTGACCATATGTTATAACTCTCCACCTACGGATCGAATATTTCAGCTTGTATCTACCGAATTGACATTGTGTACCCGCTCGATTCTGCATGTCTTTCTTCCCTGTCGCCGTTTTCGCCACCGTGATGGGATCAGACCACCTATGTCACGTGACACCAAGCTCGACCACCCAAATTCGCCTCAGCTAACCGACACAAGCCAATCCCTTCACGAGCCAACCAATCCCATCTATCAACCTTCGACTCATATATACATCCGTCTGCTTCCTCTTAATTGGCCGAAGCAGACACTACACACCGGCGACAATGTCCAAGTCGAAGCAGAAGCGCAAGCAGCAGAGCCAGCAGCAGCAGCTCGGCGCGCTGAAGAAGGCCAAGACGGGGCACTCCGCCGCGACGACGACCCCGGTTCTGCCCACCGTCGGAGCCGCCTTCGAGCCCAAGTTCCTCAGCACGGTGGTCCCGGAGGAGGACCTCGAGATCACGGTCGACACGCTGAGGGCGCTGGTGGAGAACCCGGGGCTGATCAAGTCCAAGGCGTGCAAGGACCTTAGGACGGCCGTGTTCGAGTTTCGGAAGGCGTGTACCACTGGGTTCAATGCTGCAGGTTCGTTGAGATTCGACTTTCTGGGACAACAAGCTGTCCAGGCTTGAAAACGAGTCAAACCACCGCGGAAAACAGCAGACTGACAAGACAACAGCCGACGCAAACCTAACCTCCCGCATCAGCGGTGCTCTCGCAGACGGCGGCCACACCGAGGCGCGCATCCTCCTGGCCGAGATGCGCATCCGGGGGCAGGCCCCGAAGCTGGGCGCCCTGTGCCGGTGGGTGCGCGACCTGGACGTCATCAGCGGGTTGGCGGAGCAGCGCGAGGGCAGGAGTAGGCGCACCGAGGCGCAGGCCGAGACGCTCAAGGTCCTGGATGCCATCTTGCGTGTGACGGGGCCGGTGGACCACTCCTCGGCCCCGCCGCCCGCTGACAGTGCAGACAACTCACCTCCAGGCGACTCCTCCGAGCCCGGCCCGCTGGCCGTCAGGCCGGCATGGGACCTCCGCGACACCACGCGCCCGCGCAGGGTGGTCTACGACTCCGTGCTGGACGGGACCCTAGCGGCGTCCATGCCGCCAGGCACGCGGGCGCATTTCCGCGTGATCCAGACGGTCCCAGGCCCAGAACGCAACCCGCCGAACCAGCACCCAGCGACGGTCTGGGCCTCACGGGACGGTGCGATTGCGCTAGCCGCGCCCTCGTCCCTCGATGCCCCGGCAACAACACACCACTCGCACCCGACTGTGCCGGGGCTGCATCTCCTCCGCGACGTGCTCTCCCCGGACGAGTGCGGGCGGATCGTAGGCGCGGCCGAGGCGGTCGGGTTCGCGCCCGACGCGCCGGTGCGGCCTGGCGGAGACAGCGTTGCTGCGGCCACGGAGAACAGCGTGCTGGCGCATAACTTCTACTGGGTCGCGGATGAGGAGTTCTGCCCGCGTTCTCTGGGGCCGGGTGGGGCCGTTCGTGCCGGAGCGGGTGGGCGGGCGCAAGGTCCGCGGGCTGAACCGGCGGTTCCGGGTGTATCGGTACGTTCCCGGGGCCGAGTACCGGGCGCACATTGGTATGTTGTTATGACCTCCCCTTTTTCTTCTATCTATTCCTCCGCCTTCATCCATCCATCCACAACCTGACCTCATCTTCTATCAGACGGCGCCTGGCCCCCCTCAGGCATCCTCCCCGACGACACATACCAGTACGACGCCAGCCCTCCCGACGCCAAGCAGTCGTCGCTCTTCACATTCCTGGTCTACCTCAACGACGAGTTCTCGGCCGGCGAGACGACCTTCTTCCTCCCCTCGGCGCGCGAGGGCACCCTCAACGCGTACCCCGTGAAGCCGATCCAAGGTAGCGTGGCCATGTTCCCGCACGGCGAGACGGAAGGGAGCCTGCTGCACGAGGGGACGGGGGTGCGGCGCGGGGAGAAGCCGTCGGCCAAGTATGTTATCCGGACGGATGTGGAGTATGATGTTGATCCCGGGAGGGATTAGCCTTGTCTTTGTATCTGGCGTTGGGAATAGTGCGTATGACAGGGACGGTTGTCGTGTTGCCAGCACCTTGCACCTGAGCTGGTGCAAGGGTTCACGATGACAAAAGCAGGCGTATGAGATGGGATTTCAGGTATATTGTTGAAATAGGCTCCCAGCTAACTACCTGCCCATGTACTATGCACCCAAACCGTTTACAAGCGCTATCTCCAAACCAAATAGCCAACAGACAATGCTAGAAAATCACACACGCGCCCAGATGTCCAACCCAATGATATGCTTCGTCGCCCACTCGCGCTTTATCTCTTTCGTCTTCTCTCGGTCACTCGATTCCCTTTTCATCTCGCACACCTTTCTCTTCACACGCCAAAGCGCCGACTCGAATCGTGTTCTCACGAGCCCCTTTCCCTTCACGTGTCATCCAGATGCTCCCAATCATGCAGGACCTGGGGTGTCATCCCCTAAAGTCTCTCCCATTTTATGAACCCGACTTCTCCTTGATGATGCAAAATCTTAGGCAAAACTACTCGAAATGGTGATGGCCGTCGTGTACACCATGCCCACGATCCCCAGCACCATGAGCAATGTGTCGGCGATCTTCTCCCTTGGTGTGGTGGCGACAGCCTTGTAGTGCAAAAATGCCGGGTACACGTAGACGAGCGGAACGCAGGCGACGCTGCCGATGAGGGCGACGAAGCGGTCGAGGTTTGTGCTGCCCCCAATGCTGATGGCGCAACAGACGACGACCAGGGTGGTGCGGAAGGCGTTCTTCTTCCACTTTGTCAGCAGGTCCTTCTTGCCGCTGCGGTGGCCAAAGATGCGGCCCTCGAGGATACGCATGGCGGGGAAGAGCTGGACGGGGTTCCCGATGAGGACGGCCAGGGCGTAGAGGAACTGGACCGCATTGACGAGGCGCGAGTCCTGGGGGAAGTTGTTGATGACCTCGATCTGGGTGCGGTCGCCGAATGTGGCGTAGCACAGGGCGCCGACGGAAGTAAAAATACAGGTGATGATGAGCATGACCAGCCCCAGGAGCGGCTCGAATTTCTCCGGGTGGCGCATGGAGGCGTGGATGGGGATGATGAGTCCGATGCCCTCGAAGGTGAAGATGGAGGCGCCGATGGTGAGGGTGTAAGCCTTGGGGTTGAAGAGCTCGACGGTGGGGCTCATGCCTTCGCTGGCGAGGTGGGAGATGTCGTACTGCCAGATATAGCAGAGCCCGATGAGAATGAAGGCGTCGGCGAGGGTGGCGGCGGCGCCCAGCTTGGAGATGTTGCGGATGAAGCTGAGCGGGATCAGCAGCAGGGCCTGCAGGGCGATGAGGACCTTGATGCCGAGCGGGTTGGCGCCGTGGGTGACGGCGGCCAGGAAGCTGAACCAGTTGTCGGCGACGAAGACGAGACCCGTGCAGACGAAGCCCAGCTGTGACAGGGTGATGCTGGTCAGGATGACATTGCGCATCCAGGGCCCGGCGATGGCCTCGCCAATCTCACCGTAGGAGCCGCCAACAGAGGTCCGGCACTTGAGCAGAAGATGGAAGGCCCACATGGAGATGGCGGCAACGGAGACGAGGCACATGGACGAGAAGAGGATGCCACCATTGTAGAAGGCCTTGGGTAGGAACATGATGCCCGTGCCCACAAAGGCCTTGAGCAGGGTAAGGAACGTCTTGGTGGTGGAGGCGTCGCCCTGGCGCCTCAGCACGCGCGACGACTTCCTTCGGACGTGGTGGGGCCGGCGACGGATGAGCGGGCTGGTCTCGTTGGCGGCCTCCTGCTCCTCGGTGGCCTGCTCGGACGGCGTGGCCTCCTCGTCGGTGACGCCCTCGTCGTCCGAGTCGGCAAGGTCCTCACCGGCAAACGCGCCGTAGAGGTCAAGGAACTCGACGAAGCTGCGGGTGATGGGCATGCTGGTGCCGCCCTGGAATCCGCGGGGCCGCTGGGTCCTCTGCTTCTGCAGGACATGGTGCCTGCGGAAGCCCTGGATCTGGTTGATGTCGGCGGCGGTGAATTCGTTGTCCGGAGTGTCGGTGCGCACGGGGTGGGAGAAGGTCATTGCGCGCTGGATTCCGGGCGGCTGGGCGGGGATCTTGAACAGGTCGCGGTGGATGTCGCCGCCCTGCAGCAGGAGCGACGACTCGGCGGGGTGGTCGGAGTCATCGACAGCCAGGTCTGGGTTGTTGGAGGCTGGGCCGGCCGGCCCGGAGTTGTTGGAGGAATCATGGGCGGCGGCGCCGGTGCCGTCAAAGCCGTCGAATGCGGCGGTGTAGCCGTCGGGCAGGTGCTCTGCCACGACGGCGGCCACTCGCTCCTGGCCCTCGTCCCGCGGATTGAAGGAGCCCGAGACGCTGTTGAGGCGGTTGAGGACGTCCTCGGGGATGTCTCTGTAGGAAGACATGACGGACGGCAGTTGGAATGAATGATGTCAATGGGCTGCAGTGTCAGACAGACAGACCAACGGCAGGGTGAGATGTGTGTCTGGGGCTAATGATAAGAATGAGAAGCGACAGCGAGAGTGGGAAAATAAGCGAGACGCTAGAGCTGGAAACTGAAAAAGTGAGACCTCCTGCGACAATGTTATACCACTTCGTGAAGCCCTCGTTGCTTTCACATTGTAGGCGATTGCTGCTGTTCCTGAGACGGTGCGACGGCTGGTAGCTGGTGCAGGTGGTGGGTGAGTGGTGGATGGTGAGAGGCGAGAAAGAAACGTTGAGAATTAAAGGGTGGATGGTGAGAGAGAGACGGTGACGAAGAGATGCTGGACGCGGTCGGACAAGCTTTTTCCTTGCTGGCGCCAGGTCACAGCTCCAAAAGCTCCTGCACAATGCAAGACCACATGCACCTTCCTCCACACTCCCTCCCCCAGCAACAAAGCAGGTGGGGCACAGTCTGGTCAGTGCCCAGGCTGCCCAGGCCCAGGGTCCCGCTGTGTGGATTCCCTCTCGGGCCTCCCTCAGGCCCCTCCCCGATTCAGCACCACCCACATGCGGTGCCACCTGAGCCAGAACGGCCGGCCGCTAGCACTGGTCACCAGGAACCGCCTCGACCGCCTGGACCGCCCCGGGTGGGATCTAACAGTTTGCAGCCTTTTGGGGGAGGCCAAATGACGCAATTCCAAGACATGCAGAACACAAAAGTCAACGCACGATGTGCTTATGCACATGCACATCAGACAGGCTGGTTTACGTGTGTGGACTACCTATGCAGGTATGCAGATGGATAGAGTTTGAGTTCGTGTATCGACTACATACTATATTTTCTAGATTGTTCTTCCCCACTGCACTTCCGCAACTGAACACAGCAGCCATGTCCCGACGTCTCTCGAAATTTCCACACAGCCAAGCCATCATCAATTCAGTCAATCGATCCATCCATCCTCACCCGCAGTTCGAATGTTGGAGGAGATTCATACATGATACCATGCATCTATCTCACTGGTCTGTTTACAGGCACAGCCACAGAACATCTTCGCACTAGCACGGCTTGATATCGAAGAGATGGCAACCTCAGCAGCAGATGAGTTTCATAAGACTCGTTCAGGCTCACCATGCCGAGGCATTGGTGGCAACATGCCTTGATGACAGAGCTTTGATCCATCCCGGATGCACCTGAGTCTCGAGCAGAGCCTGACTGGGACATTGCGGAATCTTCTGATGAGCGAGACTGTGAAAACACCATGGAGGCTCCGTGGCATGAGTATTCTCTCCATTGTGACCCAAACTGTTCCCTGCGAGAACATGATGCATGAGCCTCGAAAGACGTGGCCCGGATCTCGACCTGCGACCGGATTGAGTCTGTCGATGTTCAATCAGATTGAGCGTGGGACAATTTCTTAACTTAACCTTTGCATTCAATCACTGAGGTACTCGTATGCCAATTTCCCCGCAGAATCCATCGTGAACTAGGATGGACTCGCAGTGGTGGGGACCCTTGCTGGCCAGACTTAGCGTCTTACCATCTATACGTGTTGGTTCTGTTGGTTGAAGGGTAGGATTGAGCAGCGGGTCGATAAATAGCATGGACACTATTCCTCGAATGTGCCTAATTTCTGACTGTGTTTTGATCCGAACAAGGCAATTATCTGAAGTTATCGTCGTCCGTGGGCCAACTTTCTGTGCTTCCTCGTTCCGTGCAGCTCTGAAATCGCCGCCACAAACTCTCCACATCAAATTGAGGGCTCAGCCTTCGACTGCTCTTCTTCAACTACCCATAGTCGTCCAAACCAAGAAGTCAACATGATTCCCTTGGAATCGCTGTTCATCTGGGCCCGGTACTTTGTCCTGCTCCTGGTGCCATCTGTTCGTCCGCACTTCACCTCATGGCGGCCACGGCCATAGACTCAGTCAGATCTGCCCAGCTGACTTGTCCAACAGTTCATTCTTCTTTCGGCCTACCGAAGCTTCCTTCACCCGTTGAGGAAATATCCGGGGCCATGGCTCGCCAAGATCACCGACGGATACGGTGGCTATAATGCCATCCGGATGCGATTCCACCTCGCCGTCATGAGGGACCATGAGAGATATGGTACGACCGTGTCATCTCTTGTCCTAGCTTTTAAACGTCTAACATCTTCTAGGGCCTGTCTTTCGCCAGGCTCCGAACAGGCTCGTGTTCAACACCGCTACCGCTCTCCAAGGTATGAAAACGATTCTTGGAAGGGATCCCGGCTTGAGGCTAGCCCTCAACTGACCAATGCAGATATTTACAACAGCGAACGAATCGGCAAATCTTGGGTCTATACCACTCTAAGAATGGCCAAGACCTCCCCAAACATCTTCAACGTTCTCGACAAGCAGCTCCACCGCACCAAGCGCAAGGTCATCGGCCAGGCAGTGACCGAGCGGGCCATGCGCCTCTTCGAGTCCACCCTGCAGCAGCAGGTCGATATCTTCATCGAGCAGCTGCGGTTCAGCGGGAAGGACCCCGTGGATATCACCCCGCGCTGCAGACAGGTCGGCCTCGACACCATCGGCCTCCTGGCCTTCGGGTATGAATTCAACACCCAGCGGGACCCGGAGCACCGCTTCATGCTTGACGGCCTGTTCGCCGGCAACTACAAGAGCAACTGCTTCTTCCAGTTCCCGCTGCTGCAAGACCTCGGCCTCGAGGCGCTGCTCGCGAGCGTCAGTGGCCGCAGCCGGGCGCGGTTCTGGGCGATCATGGACAAGATAACTACAGGTCGTCTCAGCATGGGGAAGAATGCCCGCCATGACCTTGTCTCATTCGTGGCCGACGGGACGCAAGGCGCGGCCATGGACGATGCCCAGCTGCGCGAGCTGCTCTTCTCCGAGGGCTTGTTCTTCGTTGCTGCGGGAGGCGACACCACTGCTGCCGCGCTTGGCGGTCTCTTCTTCTACCTCAGCCGGGATGTCAACGCCGAGGCGTACAGGAAGCTCGCGGATGAGATACGCTCCACGTTCTCCAGCGCCGAGGAAATTCACAGCGGGCCGAAACTGTCTAGCTGCCACTACCTGCGCGCGTGTATCGATGAGGCCATGTGAGTAATTTTGATGAGGGTTGAGCCAGATGGCTTTGGGAAAAGTTGCATGACTAACAATGACACCAGGCGCATGTCACCCCCGGTCCCCGGCGTCGCCTGGCGCCAGCAGGCCCCCGAAGACCCTCAGAAAGGCCAGCCCCTGATAATCGACGGGCACGTCGTTCCACCGGGGACACAGATAGGCGTGAGCGCATACGCGCTGCACCACAACGAGAACTACTTCCCCTCGCCCTTCTCCTTCAAGCCGGAGCGCTGGCTCGACGCAGCGCAGGCCGCGAGCATGCGGCCCGCATTCATGCCGTTTTCTGTGGGCTCGCGGTCGTGCGCCGGAAAGGCGATGGCGTACCTCGAGGCGAGCCTGGTTGTCGCCAAAACGCTGTGGCACTTTGACTTTGAGGTTGCGCCGGGGGAGCTGGGCCGTGTTGGTGGTGGCGCGCCTGGCAAGGGGTTGGGCAGGGAGAGGGCGGATGAGTATCAGCTTTATGATATCTTTGCGGCGTCGCATAGTGGTCCGTACCTTATTTTGAACGAGCGGGACCAGTAGAAGTGATGGATTACGAGTGTGACGAGCATCCGTGACATGCTCCCGATGGGTATAATGGCGAATAAATTCACGTGCACGCAGTAAGAGCACTATATTAAAAAGAATTAATTCGCTGCTGTCTTCTACAGCCTTCCATCAAAAAGCACCTTCTCTCTTAGCTATACTGTTTTTTGTCATCCGTCACCCAGCAGCCCGTTTCTTCCCCGACAACTCCTTCATTGCAAGCGGGCTGAATCAGGGCAGACATCGCCACGGCTCGTGGTGTGCTAGGATGAGTCCACCAAAGAAAAGTCATGATCAGCCCCTTGGCACGAGAGAACGACAGTCAGGCCTGACGGGAGGAAGCAGCGATCCGTAGTGCTCGATTCCGAGGTCCATGAATCCATTGCAGAAGGCCGAGTTCGAGATAGCCGTAGTCCCGATGGCGCGGTAGACTTTGAGGTCGTCTTCGACGACGTCCATCCACAAGTCGGTGTACATGGCCATGACCTGGAGATCTCCGCCATCCTTGGCCTCTTTCTTGAGGACATCCCAGTCGACAGCCTCGCCGTCTGCCTCCTTTTCCAGGACCACATCGGAGGTGATGTCCCGCGCAAAGTAGCCGACCTGCTCCACAGCCACCCTCATGAAGTTGAAGGCGAATGCCGCTGCGACGAGTTCCTCGACCTTGGGGAACTCTTCGTCAGACAGCAGGTGTGCCTCGTGCGCAAAGGGGATCTTCAGCAGACTGCTCATGTAGCCCGCACGTTTGATCACCTCTTTGAGCTCGTAGTATCGGACAGCCTCGTCTAGAACTTTGTTCGGTGGTTGAACACGGCCGGATTCACCCCGCAGTGTAGTCTTGCTGAAACTGTGCAGGTAAGCCAGGGCTTGCCACAACAGGCCCTTGTGGCAGTGTTTTCTCGCGAAGCCAGCCGTTTCTCCAAGGCTCTGCACAGTCATCCTGTGATCTCGTTGACCCCCTGTCGTGCTAAGGTTAAAGAACGATGTGAGGCCTTGCGAGACCAGCGCGGCTATATCTACGAGGACCCGCTGGACGCGGGGCGGCATTTCTGGCTTCACAAGTCCCAGCAGTATGAGTGAGTGTATGTTCGACTCCATCGTGACGTAGGTGGATATAGCCTGGTCCAATGATGATGTCGGGTTGAAGCGTGGGTGAATGACCGAAGAATCTTCGGTACGTTCCACGAGACGCCAAGCTTCCAAGCGTCTTCTTGCCTCGTCCAACTCGGGTGTAGAAGGAGGTACTGCCGCGGCGAGGATGCCTGGATGAGGATAGTAGCCTGACGCCAAGATGGAAGCAAGATTCAAGTAGATGAAGTTTTTGTCCGATGCGGTGCTGATCTCAGTCTTCTCTTCAAGCACTGGAAGGTTTTGGGCCACCATCGAGTCAGGCCGGGCGGGCCTCTGGGAAATGTGGACGTCAACATGTCCCGCATTCCCTATTCCAAGTCCCCTTAAGGAGAAAGTTAGAGAATTCGCCACGTTATAAGCAACCTTTGTCAAGACGACGCCTGTGGTGTTGATGTTAAACGTGGACCCACTGAATACCGGTGCTAGGATGACGGCCTCGAGGTTACGGATTGCCGGAATGAGGCTGACTTGGGGGTCAATGCATATGATTTTGAGTCCTACTGAAGCTGATACGACTCCATGAATAATCTTTTTGGGCACGCGACGGCCTCCGCCTTTTCCTGGCTGTGCTTTGTCGAGACGACAACACCTCTCCCTGAAACAGCGTTTTCGATCACACGTTCGAGGCAGTCCAGAGCTTGGTCGATTGGCGGCTCGAGGACCACGGCACGATTGAGGAGGCTCTCATGAAGACAAAGTTTGGGGTCACGAGCGTCAGCAATGGGGGGGAGGCCTTGTCTCTGTTTGGAAACCCGCGAATCATCCGCATTCGACTCGCTTCCAAGGTCAACCGCGCAACCTGGAAAGGTGGCGCTTTCACAGTCGGAAGTGCTCGATGCTTTTCATACAACGGGATTGCACGAAAGACTATGCGGAAACGGGCCGACGGCACGACCGTCGTTAGTGATTCATCGTCTGGAGGCGTCGAAGACAAGATAGTTTACTTTCTGATCGCCGTGGTGAGGCTGCGGAACCCCGGTGAGGATGGAGACTATGCCCGCCTGTACGACATTGAGTCACGCAACATCCTTCCCACCGGAAACCAAGAGCATATAGACACGTTCAACAACAAATTGTGGTCGCTGAGTCACCTTGACCATGACCACATGTTGTACTACGCCCGCAGACGACAGAACCATAAACTGCATACGGCATGGGCTGGAGATTGGAGACCAGATCTCCGACCACGATCCTATGGGCGAGAGACAAATGGAAGGTCTCTGGCAGAAGAGAAACGTCCTTCGGAACCTGCCCGAGCAGCACACCACTAATGCGATACGAACTACCCCTGCAGTGCCTGTAGAGCGTGTTCCAGAACAGACCATTCCTCATGGAAGGAAGTCGAATACGCCACCAATTAGCTTGCAACCACCAGCTGCACGTCCCGCTGACGGGTTTCCTATCCCACCGCACCCGCCGAACGGGCCTCGCGTTGACAGAGGAGTCAAGAGGGGAATGAACCCCGACGAAAAGATCGGACATGATGACTCCAAGAGACCCAAGTTGACCGACGGTGATGCGCTGCCCCGGGGTGGTGCCATGGCGCCACCGTCTCACCAGGGCAGATGCTCAGGGTGCCTCCGACAATAGCCCACTTCCAGGAGAGAGCAATCGCGGCGCGCAAGGTGATTTGGGGGCCACAGAGAGACCGTGCCACTGGTATGGAGATGATCACTCCACGGTCCGAAATCCCATCACAGGTCTACGTCCCTGAACAACCGGGATTCCGACTCCCGTCAAGTGCGTTAAACCCTAATTCTCGTGCACGGCCGCGACCCCAATTCCTAGCGTCGGCCTCTTCTCCTCCCTCCTCCTATCCTCCCTCGCCGGCACCGGCATCGGCAGCAGGTAGAGGAGGTCGCAGGGGTAACAAGAAGTCGTCGGGGAACCAGGGTTGAAGATGATCATCGTCGTGTCTTGGAAGGCCTGGTCAATGTTGAAGAAAGCAACACGTGGATGCCATTGGAAATCAGGGTGGGGCAATTGAGTGACACGGTTCAGGAGAGATACCCACACGAACTTTGATTGCCGGTGCTTGATAGAGAAACCAGACACCCAAAACGCACGCCGTCTAGAGGCCCTTTACATCCTATGATGCCGAGTTGAACACGGACCAGGGACATACAATGACTGAATGGGAGGCTGTGAGTAAGGCCGTCAGGTCCACAGTATGCGCTGGAGGAGCATCGCAGAGAGGGGGAAGGCAGCTGTTGAATTGTTCTTCGGTTTGCATGATGATGGCTTCCGGGTCGATGGTACCATGCATGTATTCAACCCAGTATCCACGTGTTGCAAGTTTGATGACGACCACGAAGCTTGTTCAGAATGCTGAGGATGGATTGCAAGGGGAGTATGGTCACCAAAAGCCAGGTTCAAAATGTAAATGCCGGTAGTCAATTGCAGAGTCTTCCTATGGCCTATTGGCAGAGCTCATAGGCTCTCTCTCAAGCAGCCGATGCGTAATCGTCCATCTCCGCCTGCCCTGTCCCGGGCTTGACTTTCTAAACAGGGAGAGACACCTGGATCTTTTCCCAAGCACCATTGCTGCGTCTGGATTGCTTTTCTAGCACCGCACTGATCGCCACCTCTCCGAGAATTTGTCTGGAATGCTCTTCATTACGACACTTGTCACACATCGCCCGTGCCTGCCGGCTCTCGGCCTCTAACTGTTCGACCACATACTGCGCTTCCTTGAACGCCTCCTGCGCTTGCATGAGCGCAAGCCGTGCTTCCCCCAGCCCCTGATACTGCTCCCGATAGGCCGCATGCTGCCAGTGAGCGATGTGTTCGTTCTGTTGCCGCTGGAGCGCTTCATACCGTGCCCAGGTGTTCTTTGCATGCTGTGACTGAATGGATTTCCTGGACCCTGCCCCCCTTAGTGTCCCAGAAATCTCTTCGGCTGCCTGACGGGCCCTCTCGAGCTTCGATTCGGCCTTGGCAATCCCATCGAGGATCTCGTTAATCAACGCTTGGGCTACCTCCTCACCCGCGATACAATGGTCTCTGATAGCGCGGAGCTCTCCGTTCTCCTCCACCTCTTGCTGAGATTCCGACGGGATGAGCTGGAGTATCCTCCCTTGCAGTTGATACTCGTTGTTCGCGGGCGCTTCCTTTTGTTAAATAGAAGTTAATTACTTGGCATGTTGATACGACCCGCTTTGAGAACCTACGAAGTTAGCCATTGTTGTTGCCTTCTCTGTGATATGTGGTTCGTTCTTTTATCTTCGCGGTTACCGTTGGCTTTTGGCTGGTGGGTCGCGATGTCTTGATGTTATTGTAGTAAGGTGTTGGCAAAGAAAGAAAGGTTGCCCTCCCGGCTCAAGGAGGTCCACCTTAAATAGGTCCAGGCTAGGCTGGCAGTCACTAGAGGCTACCCCTTCACTCAATCATTCGGACAAGAAAACTTCCAGTCAGCCCCTATCTGTCCAGTCACCCGGTCACCTATAGTATATTGGCTCATAGCGAGACCACCTGGTAATACAAGTGTGGTACAGTCACTCGAGACGACGGCTACAAATGGCATTTGAGGAGGTGGTGGTTTACAAGCTCCTTGTACTATGACTTGAAGACGTGCACGCGGGGAATTTCTTGATATCATACACGATGAATGAGGATAGCAAACAGGTGGCATTTCATCTGGCTGCTCGAGGAAATCGAGAGAGCTATGGTGGTCCGGTAGGGGTACCGTACCGGGCTTGGGACCCGGGGTAAGGGAAGACAAATTGATGAGTGATCAAGGTCACGCCTGATGCCAGGCGTATTTGGTCCTGTCGCTAGGGCGGGAACAAGTCGATCCGGGCAGGAGGTGTGACGGCGAGTGTATCTCGTTGACGTTTCCAACCCGGCGCAGCTGCGGCGCTGCGGCGACTCGGAAACTCAAAGGACTCCGCTCTGGCACAGGGCCCTGAGCCTGGTATGTGGAAGGCGCCCACATCTGAGCTGGCTGAGCTTCCATCGTGGATGCTGATAAATGACTGACGCTTGACGAGTGCAGGGTCACGTCCCTTGGTGGGAATCGGCTAGTTGCTGTCTCCATGAGGGTCGTCGAGTTCCATGGCGTCCCGCAACCCAGGAGACAGGTCCCCGCTGGACATGTTGTCGGACCCCGTGCTGTGCACGATCATGGCTTCGTCTTCGTCGCTGCGGCTTCCAGGTTGGGTAGACGTCAAGCCGAGACTGCTTTCGTTCGCCGCACTTGGACCAGCAGCTCTAGATTCCACATCAAAATAGGTCAAAATGCCTGCCCAGATAGCGTCAGGATTGGTACCCAGGTACCTGTGGCTTTTTAAGATCAGTTTTGGTGGGTTGGAAGGGCAACCTTTTCCCCGCTTCCTCCTTCCACACTACAACACGAAACGCACCGCAACCAACCAGCGAGCGGTGACACACAAAATAACAGAGCCAATCAAGCACACACGACAGCAACGGCAACACCATGGCTGACTCCGTAAGTTCTTCATGGGTGTCATATTATTTCACACCGAGTAGCTGACTTCTGCTTGTCAAAGGACTCACCTGAAACTGAGGATCGCTCAATGCTGGACGACGCAGAGGAGCGTATGGAACGTCGCGCACGTCACCAGGCCGACGCCGAGAAGGCTCAGGGGAATCATCACAACAAAATCTCCGGTCGCCAACGGGCAATCGAGCGCCTGGCTGGTAAGATCAAGCAAATCTACTTCGAAGACAACGTCAAGGCCGAGTTCGAGATCGCATCGGCCGCGGAGACAGTCGACCAGGCCCAGACGACGGCGGAACGGGCACGAGAGACCGGCTCGACTCAGGATGTGATTGACAATGCCGAGGCGACGACGAATCTGGCACGACAGGAGCTCGAGGTGAAGCGAAGTGATTGGGCGGCAGAGCGTGCTGTGATCCTGCACATGGTCGAGCTTTTGGAAGACGGGCAATACCATTGGCCTTTGGCCCCGGAGACAAAGCAGGCGCCTTAGGGTGTCATGGACGACGCACGGCAGGAATACGTGGGCAATGACGCTTCTGCTTCCAGGAACTGAGCACATGAGCTGACGATCCTCGAGAATAGGTCACAGTGGATAAGATGAGTCGACATCATGGCAGGTGAATGGAAATAATATCGCTTGGTCATTTTCTCTGGATCCTGGTGCCATGTTTCCATGTGAAACACGGCCAGGTCCACGCATGCTGTCGCTGTTGGTAGTGGCTGAAGCTATGAACCAGGTGGATTGGAATGTTGGTGGTTGCCTGCAGCAGACGGGACTACGCCACGCCGTGACTCACAAGACACAGTTGGTCGGGGTTGAATGGCCTCTTCGAGAGAATAACTACTGTGTGCCTTGCCATGTTGAAATGAAAGCATTCTCAAGTGATTTATGGCCTCTGACGAATATTCCCATCATTTTGATTCCAAAGTGTGCCACTAGCATTCGGCATTCTGGCAAATGCCTCAGGTGTTCCCGGCTCTGTTTACGTCCACTAATTTGACCATTCACCCCCAAGCCATTCTTTGACCTGCCATATCTCAGCCACACAAAACTGGCAGGAGCTTTGAGTTTCGCTGAGTCCCGCACTAGGACGCAACACTCCTGCTGCCTTCCCTCTTCCCTCCCCCTTCCCAACCTTGTCGAAGACAACAAGGTAGTCTCCGAACAAGTCAATCGACAACGGATTTCGACACTGCAAAATGACAGACTCATCGACGCCGCGGCGCCCCAGCAGTGCGGGTTCCGATCTCTCCGTCGACTCTCAGGACCCAACCGTCTCCCTGAAGCGCGTTGGACTCAGCAAGGAGTTTGCCACCACCAAGAGTGGAACATCCTGTAAGCTCGTCCAAACACATCTGATGGCTTCCAAGATATCATCAAAAAATGGTTCGTTTACTGAACAGCATAGACGTCCGCACACTCAACCCAGACGGCACCAAGACAGCCTGGAAGAAGGTCGAGGCCCCGCCCGACAACACGCAGCCCGACTCCCGTACCAAGCAGCTGTACCTCGTCCGCCACAACCAGGCCGAGGGCGAGCCTTTCCACTGGAGCCTCGAGACGGCCGACGTCGAGGGTGGCGACCTGGAGGGCAATGTCTATCAGGTCTCGGGAGACGCCGAGTTTATGGATTACAGACCGAATCAGGTTCGTGCACCAAGTTTCAACCTGTGCAGCCACTTAAGTTCCTGTGGTGAATGAAGAGGAGATAATGACTTTTGGCAGGATGGTGTACCCGTGCCCACTCTGAGTAACCCAGACATTCGAGACGTAAGGCATTCCCTTCGGCTTGCTACTCATCCTCATGTACCCTGCGTGTCGAGCATGATCCTGCACTGCTTCAATTGTACACTGGCTGACCCTGTGGTGCGACAGTACTTCGTCCTGGTTCCCAAGCTCACCCCGGAGCTGGAGGACATCGTCAAGGAGGTGGCTGCAGCTGAGCCCCCTCCTCAGGCAAAGAGCAGGAAGGAGGTCAAGGAGAACTGCCAGTACTGGGCCATCAGAGTGATGAAGAAGCTGGTCGAGCTCGGAATGATGGACTCGCAGAAGGTGGTGGACTGCCAGAAACTCTTGGAGCCTCTCCGGAAATAGAGTGGGAACACTCTTCTGGGCTTGTCTTCTGTGGCATTACTTCTTTGGGGAAAACGTCTTGCTGGACGGGTAGTGGAGGCACCGTCTTCCAGCATGCCATGCTGCTATCAAGAGAATATTCTATAAACCCCTCGTATTCTTAAACATTGACAATGCGTTGGGCGTTTCGGAGACATGACGTGAATCTGATTTTAAGACCTGGTGGCTTTCGAAGCCTGATCCGTTTCATCCAATAGATCCAGCTTGATTACCAGTACCCCGGATTTCTGTGCCGGGTCCGATATGGAAACGCGGGGTGATCGCGCAATTCCGAACCGGAAGAGGTGCCGGGCGAGGGGGGGGGGGGAGAGGGAGGGTATTCCCGAACAACCACCTCTTCTAGACGACTTGGTGAACTCAAGCCAGGACTTCCTCGTCCAACGCCTCACAAAAGCCGCCATGAATTGCTTTCTGATTCAAGCAGCTCATCGGCCTGCCAGCTCCATGAGAGCAGCGTCGGCAGCAATTTGCCGGCGACATCTCACAACCTCAACCACCCGGCCCCCCGCCTCGATCCAGCAGCAGCATTCCACGCCCGCCGCACCCCACAGGGCACCACCCACCGCAGTCCAGTCCCTCGGCAAGACCAAGACCGGCCGCGACCTGCGCATCCGCAGCTACCCACGCTTCGCCACCCTGGAGGAGGAGCGGCAGTACCGCAAGGAGCACCTCGCAGCCGCCTTCCGCGTCTTCGCGGACAGAGGCTACGACGAGGGCGTGGCAGGCCACATCTCTGTCCGGGACCCGATCCTGACAGACCATTTCTGGCTGAACCCCCTGTCGGCGCACTTCTCGCAGATCCGCGTGTCGGACCTGATCCTCGTCGACGAGGGCGGCGCCATCGTGGAGGGGGACGAGCCGATCAACACTGCCGCTTTCACCATCCACAGCGCCGTCCACCGCGGCCGACCGGATGTTCACGCTGCTTGCCATGCGCATAGTGTCTATGGGAAGGCGTTTAGTGCGTTTGGGAGGGAGCTGGAGATGATCACGCAGGACTCGCTGCGGTTTTATGGGAGCCATGCTGTGTACCGGCATTTTGGCGGCGTGGTGGTTGATGCCGATGAGGGGGCGAGGATCGCGGGTGCTTTGGGCAATGGGAAGGCTGTCATCCTGCAGAATCATGGACTTTTGACTGTGGGACAGAGCGTCGATGAGGCTGCTTTCTGGTTCATGTCTCTGGACCGCACGTGTCAGGCTCAGCTGCTGGCGGATGCTGCCGCTGCAGGTGGGTATGAGAAGGTACTGATCGACGAGGACGAGTGCAAGTTTTCGGCGCAGAGTGTCGGAGGCCCGGAGAAGGGGTGGCTTGCCTTTCAGCCGTATTATGATGAGGTTCTGGCCAGGACGAAGGGGGATTTTTTGACGTGAGGCTGGATGGGAGATGTATCGTGCAGCGAGAGGTGGAGGTCTATGGCACGGTTCAAACATTTGTTTCAGAAATCGGAGATTCGCACCTGCAAAAACAAAGGGTACACCGGTACATCGCCAGCACTAAACCACACGAGAATTCGCATACCCAACACCCACACCTTAACACCCTCACCCAATTCACATACCTCAGACCTGCCTCCAAATACGGACTTTTCTACGCGTCGGGTGTGGCTAATCCCTCGTTAAAACAGACAATGGTGGCATGCCTTGAAGTTCATCCAATTCAGGGATGGAGTAATTGAACTGGATGAGATTTGTTTCTGACAGAAGGCACCGAGGGAGTTGAGATGGTAACTACTGTGCTCTGCAGCAAGGTTCCTTGCCAGTCGACAATTTCGGAGAGGGTGGGACTTCCAGTCAATGGGCCGCAACTGAAGCAGAAAGTACAAAGTACGACGGGGGAAGGGAGACAGAATTGGCTGATATCGGCCGATCCAAGCAAGTGAGCGTGCAAGGAGAGGCTATCATTTCAGAGACTATCCACTAAATACTACCGTGACCAATTACATATTAAAGAGCATAGTAACCCTAGACGCACACACTTCCTCGTGTCGGGTCAACCAAATTGCCGAGCATCTCGCCGGGTGTGGGAGACTCCATGCCAATTTCAGAGAAAACTATCCATGCGGTCTTACTCCATCTCATGGAAATCTCTACTCGCGGGTGTATGACCGCACGCACCCGCGTTGTCCCCAGTGCGTGCCTTCGGCCCAAAGGCCTCCATCTCCGGTATATTCGTACCCGAGTGTTGTTCTGGGATGCTCACGACGGCTGCATCCTGACCTTCCTCCGTCTTATGATGTCCTTTGTATGACCGCTTCCTCCGGTAGACAAGAACACCGATCAGCACGAGGAGAGTGATGCCCAATAGTGCTCCTGTGGCAATTCCCACCGTGGCACCCGCGCTTAGAGTCTGTGTGTCGGGGTTGGACGCTTCTAAGTAGTCTGATTCCGATGTTCCAGAAACCTCATCATCTTCACTGGTCGGTACAGCGGTTTGAGGTGATGATAGGGACTTCACTATGGTCCTGGTTATGACTTGGGTAGAGGTGGTCCCCTCGGATGTGATGACGGATGACGCTGTCGAGGTACTCCATAACTGAGAGGAGCTCTTGACGAGTTTGAACTTTTCTGACACGGCCACTCTGTGTTTGGGGAACACCTCGAGTTCAAACCAGTAAGACCTCCCTACCTCAAAGAATTCGATGTCCAAAGGTACAGTCCAGACCGACTCGCTGCCAGTGATGTTGCCTGTTCGGTGAATTAGAGTAGAACACTTAGATACTCAAGCTGGTCCCCAAAACAGGTGGAATTGCTCAGATTTAGCATACTTACGGCCTATCATGACGCGAGATTCCTCAACTTTGTCCACTAGGTAGATCCAAAGTGCTCCGATCTCATCACTCTCAATCGCCTGAGTCCACCTGATGAGTACTACCTCGTCCAGTTGGACGGAGACATCACTTGCCGGCCAGATGAACTCGAAACTTTCAGTGGGACCTCTTCGCTGCTCAAATGATGACAGCTGAGTACGTTTTGCAGCCAGTCCTGTGGTCATGATGGGCGAAGCGCTGACGCAATCCTAGGAAACGTCCCATGTCCAGGGAGGAAGAACTTTGAGAGAGACAAACGCATATGAGTATTGGGGAAAGGTGCTCAACGCCGGTTTGTATCTCCCACACGTCTTGCCGAAAGTTTTGAAGTGTGTCATATCCAAAATGCACTTGTCACTTCGCACATCCCGGAATGTGACAGCAGAATCTGGAGGCCGCCAGAACAGCGCTTCGGGCCGCCCTGAACAGCTGCTTCTGCCCACACGACTGTCGGCATTGGACGCCATTACATCTCCTTCGCCATGCCAAGTCCACAACCTTTCAGCCCATGTCTATCTCTCATATCCGGCGAAGAAATCACACACGCGAAAACAGCACCTGGTCCTTCGAGATGAGATTTCCGTGCCGGGATTAAGGTTGTTGTTTCCTAACCCTGTTTCTCATCGCACTTTGCCCTGTACCCCTTTAGTTAGGTGCTCAGTGATATTATCCACCTCTTTCTTCTCAGTAGTACAGATTTAAGTTTGAACTGGAATAGTGGGACTCACACGGTTCTACCTAGCGAATATGTGATTGCACACAGGACAATGTTGGAAACAAGATATTCGTCTCAAGCCATATGGATGACTTGTGATCTGTTCTGACAAGACAGCGGTCGATGGCTCGTCTAAGGACGGGATGCCATCATGGATAGTAAGTTTCGCCACCGCATGACACCTGTCGGATTTCGAACGCTATGATACACAACTATATGCATGTCAGAGAAGTACAATATTTTCTCCATAAGTAGCGTCATTTACAGCCTCGCCATCCATGGCATTCTCCAGGAAGCAATCTCCGACAAACGAGTGGGTGCCACAGAGCCGCAATCCGCTCTCAGTTTGCAGCTTCCCTGGGAGCCGTCTCAGAAAGAATGGAACTTTTGAACCAAAAGGGACCCAGACCTCGTCTCCCTCCCTGGCTCCTTCAACAGCCAAGCCCGTCTTCCCGCCTCCTGTGACGAAGAAACATCTTCCGTCCACTGTAACCCCGAATCCGGTCTCCCATTTCCAAGGGCACCCCGTGTAGGTCACCCCCGATGAGCCTCTGCCACTCGGAATCATTCAGCAGACAAGGGTCGTCTGCTCCGTCCCTGTCCCGTGTGCGCCTGAAGCTCCAGTCCGCCACCACGGTGCCGCAGAGGACGCTGACCATTGCCCTACGCACCCGTTCTCGGTCAGTCGAGCCTATGGCGTGCTCACACATGCGGATCCACCTAGCAAATACGGCCTGCGGGTTCACACATGTACGGCGGTTTTCGAAGCCCTCATCAACTTGCTTGATAGTGTCGACGTAAACCCCGGAGAGGAGCAGCCCTATACCGTTGCGAATTTGCGGTGCTCCTGTCTTTTCCCCGGATGCATTGTAGAGATTGTAGACCTGCAGTCGTCGTAGCTCCTGACCGGGGTTCATAACAGGATTGGAAAAGTCACAAACCCACGACGGAAGTCCGGTAATCTCAGGAGAAGAGGAGCCATAGAATGAGCCGACGAAACATCGAAAGTCGTATTTACATTCTTCCAGCATCTGTCGAAAGATACCGATGTAGCATGCAGCCGTGTCGACGCGGTAGTCTGGGACAAAGGAGTCGTAAGCCGGCGCCTTCGCCATGGCGGCAAGGGAGAAAATCTTGTCGCGAGGGTTTTGGCATTGACGGCTAGCGAAAGTGCGCAGCAAGTCAAAGAACGGTACGGTGCAGTTGCCTGAGCTATCGAAGAGGCCGGAACCTGCTCGGTACTCGTGGGCGTGGACGACGTTGTCGCGGTGTTGAATGTAGCGGAACTTCTCCAAATCCTCGACCTGGGAGAACAGACGGTCCATTGTCGATCGCAAGTGGCTAGGAAGCACTTTAAAGCTCTCATGGCAGCGGCAAGTGTTGGAGGGTGAGTTGAATAAATGCGCGTTCCGGTTCTGCCGGGCGATGGTGATATCCTCTACATATGACATGCGCCAGTGGCCGACTACGGCGATGGCGGTGCGTGGAAGCACCGTCTCCTGGACGGTCCAGGACCTTTGAAACCAGGGGCTGGTCGCAATAAGAAAGAATGCCTCCCAGGCGGCCAAGCATGCGTCGTCCTCCTGAAATGTTATCGGGCCGGAGCCCTGGCCACCTTCGAACCCCGGGAGCTCGGAGAGGTGACAATTGCTGGCCAGCTGTCTCAGGACCGCAAAGGGATCCGGTCGCGACTCCGCGTAAACGTCGTCCGAGGACTCCGGTGCTCCCAGCCAGAGATATACCGTCGAGCATCTCGAGTAGATCTCCCCCAGATGGCGACTATGGTCGACTTTTCTTCCAAGTCATCTTGGTTGATGCAAACAGCGTCTACCCACAGAACAAGCTCCTGCTTCTGGTGACGCAGATGACGGAGGCAGCGCACGGGATTCGACGTGACCTGCAGGACTTGGTTGTTAACTGTCATGGGCTCCGTGACCTTCACATTTCCCCAAACATATGACAGGCAGTCGTAAGGCTGCTTCATCGTGTCGTTCAGGCTCTTGACCTCAAGAACGGTGAACAGCGGGTCAGATTGCATTCCGGGATGAATCCTCAGAACCCTAATTTCTTTTCGGCTCGGGTCAAGCCGAAGATTTCGGTAGGCGCCAAGGACTCCCTGAGACATGATCAGACTTTTGGAGCACCCGAGCAGCGGATTTGTCGAAGTTCGACAGTGACTGCAAGTGAGGAAGACACGGTGGTTGAGGAGGGACTTCAAATTACTTATGTACTTGACTGTGGCCATTCATATTCTGCCTTGGTATGTGCCCGGTGAAGTTTTGCGAGACGTGAATTTGTAGTCCGCACCTCAGGCTGTTGGCTATGAGCGCAGCAGTTGATGTATTTCTTGCATCATAAAAACAGTCTTCACCTTGTTAAGTCAAGCCAGGGAGAATTCGGTGTGCAAGCTGCCATTGTGTGTTGTCAAAGCTGTCAGAGCACTTCGACAAATACGGTGACAACGTCTAGCCAAGAGGGTGTGAGATGACGTGGACACTAGAGCGCATAGAAGCTGGACGGTTCGCCCTAGTAAGTATGGGCAAAATTCCGTAGCCATTTCAGGAAAGCTAGTCACTGGCCCGGGAACTTTGTGTGAAATATTCTCTATGCTCTGTTCTTGGCATTGGCGAGCATCCACAGCGGAATCGCTACGAATGTAGATCTAACGACAAAAAAAAAAAAAAAAAAAAAACAGATACAGTCCAGAAATACTATTGCCCAGCTACGCCCCAGCCACATACCTGGGCACTAGGCACTCTTGCGATCCTCCCCACACTCAGGCAGCATCACATATCCCATAATTGGGCTGGCACTGCGAAATGGGTGAGCAGTAAGTGTCCGAAGACCCACAGTAGCCCCACTGCGAGCAACACTGTCCATACGCCCATCCAATGCACGACTTGTTGTTGCCACACGTTCCGTCGGTTGTCGTACTCTGGCCCGGCGGGAGAGAGGCCGTTGGGCTCGCACTGGCACTGCTGCTCGTAGAGCTGGTGCTGGTGGTTCCAGAGGTCGTCGTCGTCGTCGTAGCAGTTGAAGAAGATGAGCTGCTCGTTGACGTAGACGTCGTTGATGGCACGCCGGGGGTAGTAGTTGACGACGATCCCTCGCATATGCCGTACGCGGCCTGGCAGCCCGCAATCAAGGAACAGTACGTGTCCCCGGAACCGCAAAAGCCGAACTGGGAGCAGCACTGTCCGTAGGCCCATCCAAGGCACGACTTGTTGTTGCCGCATGAGCCGTCCGGGGTGGTGCTCTGGCCGGGTGGGAGGACAACCGTCGGGCTTGCAGTGCTGCTGCTGCTGCTGCTGCTGCTGGTAGTGGTGGAGCTGGTTGTAACGGTTGTCGATGAGGTTGTCGTCGTCACCGTGGACGTTGATGAGCTAGTTGTCGTTGTGGTCGTGGTCGCAGAAGTAGTCGTAGTAATCGAGCCCTCACACACCCCATAGGCCGGCTGGCAACCCGAGATATTGGAGCAGTACAGATCCGTGGAGCCGCAGTATCCCCATTGCGAGCAGCAGAGATTGTTGGTGCACCGCGCGCCGTTGGCTGTTGCTCCGCACTGAGGAGAGGAGCCCTGGCGTCGTGACAAGGAGAAGCCTGACGAGTTGTCGAGGCCTGGGAGTCCGTTGTAGGCTCGGCCCAGCCCTGGTCGCGTATCCGGGGTGTTGATGACGGAGGCCGCCCCCTCCCCGAGCAAGAGCAGTCCTGCTGACGCATGTGCGAGAATCGACCAGTGCATCTTGACCTTGGGCGGCGGACTGTGGAAAGTACTACAGGCTCTGACGTGCAGAGGCCGGACCCGGGCCTTTTCTCGTGATCAGCGGAGGTCCCTGGAACTTTTATATTAAAGGCAGTGCATCTCGGCCACTCCAGTTGGAGCTCGAGATTTGGCTCGGGTATTCGGGCTGAATGGGTAGATGCCGCGTGCACCGGCGGCTTCTCAGTGCCCAGCATTCGGAGGGACGAACAAGTGGCCTCTAGAGGCCGGATGCCAGTTGTAGAGACCTATTTTCCGGGTGAATGGAAGGTGAAAGGACTGTATTCAGACTTGGCCGTGCTGGAAATGATCCGCAGGTACCGAATCGAGAATGTTGTGTGGCCAATGATGCATGCATTTATATTGCAGGGTAAATTGGGCTTTTGAACCGAAGTAGCGTCGTATGCGTCTCGTTGTAAACATGCAAGATAGGAGAAATAGCAGCCGCACTACGAGCCAACCAGGCCCGGGAATATCGTCGGTGCGACCAACATTGCCTGGCCGGCACGACTGTTCCATGAATATGCAAGTGTCGAAGATTTCAATGTGCCACAAGGTACCAGTCGGGGCCTCGGGCCCGGCGGCTGATTTGGGACACTCGGCCGGATCTCGGGGATGTTGGGTGAGGTGCTCGGTCAGGACGGGGTTGAACGATTTGCTTCGAAATAGACAGGTTATCGCCGCGAGGGACTCGGGCCCGAGTACATCTATCCCATCAACCAATTCAAGGTACGCATTCATGCGTTTGATGAATATTCTGCTTGGCATTGGTTTGGGAAAGATCTTTGCGCATTCTTTTCGTGCTTCTGATAGAATTAACATCCTGTATAACCCATCTCGCATGGGATGAGCTTGATATATCGTCAGCGTCTTCTGGAATGAGTCTCACCTGGGATCAGCCTCTTCTGGAACCAACCCTCCTTGGATACAGCCTGCTCTGCAATCAGCCTTCGTTGGAATCAGCCTACGCTGTGACAAGCCTCGTCTGGAATTAGCCTCCCTTTGGATCAGCCTCACTTGTTGGACAGCCTCCTCTGTGGAGCAGCCTCGTTTAGACTTGTGTCCCTTGGGAAGGAGTACAATGACAGAGACCCCGCCATGTCATACCCGTATACCATGTGGACATAGATGCAAAAGACGCACTGGCCGGCTGGAATCTCATCTGAGGGATCATCCCGGCCATGGAGCCCTCTACACCAGACCGCATGGTCTGAGAGCCTGACGGCCGACCGATGTCTGCTGGAAGATGACCGAAGGTGAAGCTCGAGTAAAGAGTGTCCTTTACGCATATGAATTGTTGTGATAAGCCTTCCCTCAACGGCCAGCATCTCTTCCCCGTCAGCCGTGGCGTGCCGGATAGCCGTGACGTGTTGAGGCCGCGGGCCTTGGCAGCCTCGACGGCAGACTCGAAAGTCAGGTGGTGCATGAGAGAGGTGGAGTAATTCCCCCGTCGCTTCGACATCATACAAGCATTCAGGAACTCTCCGTGTGTGGTCGGCTGGCAGCCTTTGGCAGAGGGGGACCGCAAACCAGATAGATCCGTGCAAGGATTGTCCGAATCCTACTCCACTCAACTCCTCGTCGTACCAGCGCTGGGGGTGTCGTTCGAGGTTCCACATATTTGGCTCTCGCGCTGTCCGGTACAGGATGATAGGCTTGATGATCAGGATGGGTACTGGGCTCGAGCATATTGATGGCCGTGTCTTGAGGAGAAGCGCATGGAGACTGTTCTTATGGTATATTTGGTAGGTAGCTGCTTTTCTAGGAACCCGGGATACCTACTCCATATGGATTGATCCTTTTCTTTCTCCTGACTGAAAGCCACCGCCAACACCCCACTGGCATGCTATAACACCTCCAAGTCTGTTCCACGGCAGCGAGTCTCGTCCAGAAACACCAAGCATTCTCCCGAGGTATCCATAGACGTAGTCGAGTCCTTTCGGCTCGAGGGTACGTCCTTCGAGGGTCCCACAGGATGGCTGAGTGGGCTAGTCACACCGGGTGTGCACGAGGAGGCTCAGGATTTCAGGCATAGCTTGATTGAATGTACATGTCGAGCTCGACAAAGGGTTCAGGGAACTGCTTCGGGCATGCTCGCAGAGCCATGGATCGTAACTAGCCGTTCAGAGTGTACGTAATCGGCGCCATGGGATGACGGCTGCCAATTGGGCATCTTGGAACTTGAGGAGGAAGCAGGATCTGTCTCGTGTTAGACTGGGACCAAGTGCTTTAGGAAGGTGCAAAGAATAGCTACTGTATGGCCACTGGATGGCTCACCGAGAGTCAGGATGGGAGCGTTAAAGGGGTGCGGCCGACGTGGTGGGCGGCCAACCTTGAAATGACGGTGAAGCCTCTGCGCCTGCCGTGAGACTTGGATGGTGCTGCTTGGTACATGGGTAGAGGGCTGGTGTCGACATCCGGGTCGGTTGGGCAGCTGTGCTCCCGTTGGGAACAGTCAGATGCAAATGTGCAGAGAGAGGCTGGCATATCAAGGTCAGGGCCTGCCATAGAAAACAGCACCTGGGAGCTGTCAGCATTGCCTGTCCACGGGGTGTGCCCCGAGCTGATCAGCTGACCTGGCAATGCCTCTGAAGGAACAAGAGCCCAGGCCGGCCACACCACAAAGCAAGCCCTCCAAGCCCAGTCCACTCTCTTCCAAGCTTCCCACATACCTACCTCTTGCATCAGTCGCCGTCAGTCCATCGGTACCCTGGGCACCTCATCCCATATCCGGAGAAGGATGATTGCCGCGCTAACATCTGCTCGACCCAGAGGCCAGCAGTTGCCGCGAGAAGACGCCATTGCCAGGATCAATCCTGCCAGGTCCATCCGCCGCGTTCCTCGAGAGCTTCGAACCCCTGACGATTTAAACCGACAAATCTGATACATGATCTTGAACAATAGTCTCGCAGTCTTCCAAGCGGTACCCCCACCCGTGCCGACCACAGTATCTTACTCCAAGAAGAATGCCGACCTGAATCACTCAATGGCACTGGTCTGGAGACGCATATCATCCATCACGGACCGCACAAGGTGACCGACTTCGACCTGGCGGCAAGAAGACGCCCAGAGTGACCAAAACACGCAGCGCCAACAGTATTGCAGTCACAGAGGAGACATAGGACCTAATGAGCCCACTCGGATGGGTTCCCATGGACACTACGGTGGATTCGATCAGAACTTCTGCGTCGTTGGACCATGGCTCAATCAGCGTTGCTTATGACCGGGTCTTGGGCTGCTGGCGGATCAATAGGCTGCTCGGAGGCTGGCTTACACCGGACACATGCGATGCGAGATTGGGGATTTCTTACTCTTCTGTAGTGACAGCCTCGGAATGGGAATCCCCCTTTTCACGACAGGCCTCGGCACCGCTGAAACTTTTCCATGTTCAACAAATCAATGCTTCTCCTTCGGGGACTGCCAATGAGTATAACCTCTCTCTGGGCTAGCAGAACAGCGAGTAGCGTCGAGATTATTGTGAGGGGATGAAGCCGCCCTGCGGCACGGGTGTGAGACATTTCTGTTTGGGTTGTGCCAAGGCGGCATGCTAGAGCAGGGATAGCTAGAGGGTAGATAAGACTTCGTATAAGCTTGCGATCCTCGGCAGCTGGGTGGCCACGTGGAGTTGTTGTCACAAAAGCGAGCCTCCTGAGTCCTGCCACCTTCGGGTCACGTCAGTCTTGTCCCGTTGGAGTACATGGCCCCCGAGAAAAGGACTTTACCTGTTGGCGTGGCCGATGTGGATATGGGCATCGTGTTCATAATTCTGCTTGATGGCGGGAGGCGATCGACACCCCCTGGGGTTCCACGCCTGGATCTCTAGGCTCCTGTACCTAGGTATCCTTCCCGGGTTCGGCTCGCTCTGAGCGTGTGCTTGTCTTTCTTGTCCAATCGGCCTGGCCTTGAAGAGCATGCTGGGGTAAGATCTGGGGCGCCAGAGGTTGCTTGATGTGCCGTTGAGCATCACCCAAATTAGGAAAGCAATCGAGGAAGACGAGTTGTATGTAAAATGTCGGATTTAAGGTGAAATCCGTCCCTTCGGACATATGGCACGAGCACCGGGTCCAGGATTCCAACACAGCCGTGTCCAAGCTTTGCTAAACGTATGCCAAGGCCATGATTGTTTGCCGCAGCGCTTTCGATCTAGTGTAAACTCTGTGCGTCCAGAGTCTGAGCCTCACGTCGGCGCTCCACATGCAGGTACACAGTAGCACGCGCTTGGTCAAGCTAATTAGGTAAGGCCGTATTTGATGCGTCCATGATGTCTCCCTTTTGCTCCCGGAGGGCGGACTACAGCCTGTCGAGTCACCCCAGGCCTCATCAATGCCAAGCTATCGTCACTCGTAGTTTGCAATGGAAACCTCAAGGGCAAATGTTTATCCGCTTGAGTATCTACGCATATATCACAGTACGAACAACCTTTCCTTTCCATTTGTGCCTTTCTATCGAACTAAATTGTGTCGGGCCCAGCTGCGCTGCCCTGGACTGGGTTGGTGGGGTGTCATCTGTTGCATGTGCTTGTATCTTGGAAACAGCGACCAGGCCGTGGACTGCAAGCCAGATCACAGCCATGGGCGCATCTGTGGGCCTCAGTCCCCATTTCCCACGCCACCAGACGAAATCCCTAGAACGGAATCCCTTCGGACGACAGGTTGGACGACTCATCCGCCCACTTTTCCAGCAACTCCAGCGTGTCGGTGCACTTGCACCGGATCCTATCTAGAGCGTCCTCGCCCAGGGCCAGACTGATCGGGATCTCCCCCTCAGCGACGTCGGATTTAATCATCTGCACAATACGGCCCACTCCCTTGGCAGAGTCACCCGGCTGCTGGTGGTGGGCCCCCTTGAAGCGTGCGAACTCGCCCTCCACGAGCATTTTGTAGTCGTCGATCTGCGCGTTAACATAGACCGCGTTCTTCTAGTTGAGGAAATCTGTCCGGCAGAACCCGGGCTCGACAAGGAGCGTCTTGATCCCGAGGGGTTTTGCTTCAACGTCAAGGCTCTCGACCGCCGCTGCGGCCAGTGATTAGTGGCTGCGACGCTCCAGCCGGGCTTTGCGGATTGATAGGGGTGGAACCAACCTCTCAGGGCGGCCTTGGAGCTGCAATACGCCCCCAGTGCTGGCAAGCCTCCCCACGCGGCAATCGATCCCATAAAGACAAATTTCCCGTTTCTCTTAGACCGGAAGTGCGGCATGAAAGCCCGAGCCACCCCCCAAAGGCCCGAAGACATGGGTTTGGAACATCTTGTTCCAGTTCTCAAGACGGAAATCCAGTTAGGAAGCTCAAAGTTCGTTGGAGGGAGTAGTGCCTACTCACTTGTCGTCTTCGATTGTACTGAAGTGTGTATATCCGGCGTTGTTGACGACAACGTCCACACCGCCATAAATACCAATAGCCGTCTCAGCCAGCCTGTCAAACTCACTTTGGCTTGAGGACAGTTGCCCCTGCGTCTTGGAAATGCTGGATGCTGGAGGTGTTGCGTGCCGTTGCGATGACCCTGTCTCCTGCCGCAAGGAGTGCCTTCACAAATTGGGCACCGAATCCGGTGGAGCTTTCGGTGATCAGCTAGATAAGAGGAACCATATTGTGAGATGAACTAATGGGCGAGTGTGAGCTGTTACTGAATGGTGAGGGTCTTCAGATGCGGTTGGATATTTTCTGAATACTGCGTCCGATCAAGCCAGGCTCTTATACTTTCAACAAAATCCTAGGGACCACACATTCGCATGCTCTGATAATAGTACAGGTTGCATTTGTCATGGCACCTCTTTGTAAGCCATTGATTGTTTCCCTGAAACGGTAAGGTCTAAGTCGTGGCAGACGAGGTCCACTGGGACACGACAAACTCTAATCCCAGTCAAGCCATCCCTGGCCTGTTTCGCAGTCGCGGTGTTCAAGAGACGAAGAGTAACTTAAGACCTGGTGCGAAGATGATGATGCTGTCCCAACACACCTGTGAAAATTGATCAACTACGCACTTTGAAAGGCTGACTTAACGGTGTTCTACAGACACTATCCCCGTCCACCTGGTCAAAGTACCGCCACCTCACTCCACGCCTGCGCGATACATATACCAGGGTGATGTGTATTTCCGGATGGCGGTAGACTGCTGACGGCTGTTCGCATGTCTTGATCATGGCTATACGGTCCTCTTCTTGCATCTCGCCCATCGATTACACGCTTTTCCTGTTGTGCTCTTGACCTTCCCCGAAGCTCGGCATCACTGGGTGGCATCTCTTCCTTTTTGATCCCATTCCATGTACCAGCGTTGCACGAACGACCACAGCTTGCCGATGAGCCACTAACAACCCCGTGTTCCTCCTGAACAGTTGGTGTGATATGTTATAGAGGGTAGGAACGTCGCGGTGGTGCTGTTCTGAGAAGTCTTGGGCCTTGGAATGCGATCGACGGGCGCGAGTTTTGTGATGCTGCAGGACTTGGCAGTGTTGGCATTAAGGCTCGCCGTTAAGACTGTCGCAGGAAGTGTCAGTGATAGAATGGCGATGCTGGTCTGCAAGTGCACTCACCGGAGGATTCAAAGTGGACGCATCCAAGTCAGGGCCAATGTTTCATGTGCTTTTGGCATGCTTTCCATTCTGTACAGCGTGGTTAATATTTGAGCCTGTTACTGCCACCATCGTGTAGCTTACATAGCTTGCGTCCCAGGTTTAAGGGAATCTTTCAAGACAGACTGAGCTTTTTGTGTTTTTGTTCGAAGCATCTTTATTGTCTTTGGAGACAGGGGGCGCTGACTTGTCTCTTGATCCTGGCATCATCACAGTGCCATCAAGGCCGCGTTACATCAACTCCACCGCGTACGGCCCACATACTTTGAGCTGCCTCTCGAGCCCCTCCTCCAAGTAAGCTCTCCCTTTCGCCGCTTTTCGAAGCTCCACATAGATGGTGGGCACGCCTCGTAGAACTCAGACGGCTCTGTGATGAGCCCTGCATTCAGTGAACAGAACAGACACCAAGGCATCAGGATTTTCCCACCACCATCCCATGACCACCCTTCGAATAAGGGTGGCTATCGGGAGAATTCATGGTTTCTCAGCATCCACACTCGCCTGAAATGAAGCAGACGATACCAGACCTTTCCTCGTTATGATGTCCTCTTCGTCACTGTCAGTGAACCCTCAGCGCGCCAAGTCTTGTTGCCTGGGTTCCAGGCTCACCACTGAGGCTGAGTCCATTTGATACGTGGAGGTGGGAACTCAAAGCACACCTCGCCAGCTCACCTTCCCTGCCAATGTGTCGAGGAAGCCGTAAAGGACATGGCTTGCTCAGCCACTGTGTATCGTGGCGATATTGGGGTGGGATGCCGCCTCTCGTGTCATACCTCGCTCGAATGTCGGCCATGCTGAGCCCCTCGAGCTCACCCGCAGGCATATTCTTCATGCCTATCTCGTAGAAGCGACGCAGCTGGTTCTTGTGTCTTATTGCGTCAGCCTTGGTGAACGGCCAGATGCCTTCCAATGCCTCCGGCATCTCTCCTTCGCAGAAGTCATTGGAATAAGCGATTGCCAATTTGATGAAGCAGAAGGCCTTGGTATATATCAAAAGAGGTGCCATATGTTTACGCTTAATAACGAATTTCTGTAATAGAACACCCAGTTCACCCCGTTCCCAGTAGGCCGCAAGATTGGCGCATAAAATCTGCAGCCTTGGGCTACCCGAGTCTTGGCTTCTCTGTAAGCCATGGGTCGCATTCCCGTGTTGATCCTGTGCTTAGGAGCACGAGCAATTACAAAATGGATTAGTGTTTGTATCGCCGTGCTTCTCCGAGGTGAGCATTGCATATCGGCCGGTGCTGTGGGTTCCATCATGATAACAGATGTCACAGACCAAAGATGACGGTCTCTTGATTGGCTCGTGGATGGAGAGAACCTCGTTCGTGGGACTCTGGGTCATCGCCATCTCGTATCCCATGTGGAGGGATACGAAATAATTCAGACTTCCTGGGGGTGCTCTGCCGCTAGCCAGGCCGAGAACAGCCTGGGTGGTCAACGTACCGATTGGCCATTTCCGGTAAGGGCCAACAAGGTCGGCCCAGTCAGCATCGCCTTCATCTCTGTCCAAGTTGATGCCTGTTCCACCACCAGCGAGCCTCCTGAAATAGGAGAGAACCTCGCCTTCCTCAAGTATCGTCGAACCACCTGTGAATGTTCGACTTGTCGATGCATGCTGACCCCCGTGGTCACCCTGGCGGCCATCTCTTGTATGACCTGCGACCCCACTGCGACGGCGCCTATCGTAATCCAAAGCGTCCCAGTAACTCCGACTGATGTCCGGCTCCGTAAATGATCCAAATAGACCACTGTTTTCGAGACGAGAAGCCCCCCGGCCATCGCCTGTGACCTCACCCTCTTGACGCGTCGACACGTCGTCATCTCGGGCATCGTGGCTCAGTCCCTCATCTCTTGGACCCAATGAAAGGCCCTGATCCTCCTCCCTATCACGGCCGTCGACAAGGCCGCGCTCTGATGGGGCCTCTGAATCCTCCTCAACCGTAACCCTCCTGCGCTTTCGCGAATCGTTATTGCTCGTCATTTTGACAATGGTTATCAGAATGAAACTGCAGGTGCATGAGAAGATTAGATTCAATCGATTGCAAAGCCTGAGATGATCGAGGGAAGCAAATCAAGTTGAGGGTGGGCGAAGTGTAGACGTTGACTTACAGAAGTGGTGTCGTGTGTTGTGGGGAGGAAGGAAGGAAAAGCCCGGCCTGGAAAAGTTTAGGCTGCAGCTGTTTTGTTTTGGCAGTCGATCTGTGGGCGAGGGGCAACCGCACAAATCTTTAATTCACAAGGCCTGCAGGGCATGAGCTGGCATCTGTGCAAGCGGCTAGACATGTGTGGCCCATCCCTTTGCTTGTCTCTGACCTTGAAGCAGCTCTTCACGTTTCATTGTAGAGCCCGCACAGGGGCGCGCAGTGTAAGCGTTGTCCACATGATACTGTCCTCATGCTATCAGCTGCTTCATCCACTGATCATGGCGAGAAGTTGCCGCATCACTGTATCATGCAAACCGCCGAGGAAGCACGGTCTACTCAAGCCAACCATGCCCATTCTTGACTTGCCTCGCTAGCCTGGTTAGAGCAGACTTGAGTTTCATGAGCACATCATCTTATCCATTACAGATACTGAACAGCGTGGGGTTAAATCAAGGCTGCTGTTGAGAATTCGTCAGAGGGTTGACTCCATGCGCCCGTCATTGACTATGCTATGCCTACCAAACGGAACTCGCGTCTTCAATGCAGCATGCTGTCCGTGTGGAAGAAAGAAAAGGTCTGGTTGTCACCTGTGTGTGTGAAAATACTGAGTGACCGGGGGGCTTGAGTCTCGGGCACAGCCTTGCCTCAGAGAAGTGAGGGCAGCGCAGTCCCAAAACACAACAGAGTGGTGACGAGGTAAGATAGAGGGACACGACACAGGTCTCCATAGATTATTCAGATGTATCACACATCAAGAAAGTATTTACACTCCTGATCCATGTCCTCTCAGCTAGCCATTAAGCTCAGTTTAATTGTTGGTAGCGGGCATCTGGTGAACTTTTTGTCAATTCCCCATGTATTATGAATAGGTATCTGATAGCCATCCCAAATTTTCCTGATTAGCATACCACCTGGTTATGACGAGATGGTTTCCACAGCTATCGCTGCTTAAGTGCACACATCCATGTAATTCAGTAGACACGTGTTAATGCTTATCTGGTTCATAAGTTCCCTATTTATTTGTAATAAGCATCTGATCAGCTTTCATCAGATTCTTGTATATTTCTAGTAAGCATCTGATCCAGATTTTATCAGATACCTAACTTCGCCATATTCCAGGTTTACGTCGCTGTGGGCCAGAACTAAGGGGACCATTACGGATGAGGATCCGATAAATCTATTGATATTAATCAGAAGAGTAAAATGGAGGCATGTAGTCCAAAAAACCGGGAATAGTGCTGAGATAAATTACTCGGCATGTTGGCGATGACCGCACATCTTGGAGAGAGGGGGGGGGGGTTAGTTAGAGTGAGCCTTGCTGGAGGATGCAAGAAGCAATGATAGTCATAGTGTAGGCGTTGATATGGTTTTATTTTGAACTCAAGGGGTCAATTGATGGTTTTCGATCAATGCCCTTCCGATGAGTCTTCGTGGTACAGAGTGCACTAAATCATTGTGGTTGCTTCATCAACGGCCAGCGCTGACTGCCCTAGTTACCAAGGCCTGATGGAACCATTGTACTGCTTTTCGTGGTTTTCCCATCCGGGGACCCTGATCGTCAAGAATTTGCCCGTATCCTTGACGTTGATCTTGTCAGCCATCTCGAGAATACCCTCGACGGATTCATCGGGGTGTCAAATCGGCATTCTCTTTGCCTCCCATGTCTGTCTTAACCCACTGTGAAGAAGTTGTCAGCAAAAGGTTTCGAGGCAGAAGCGGTAGGGGGAGACATGCACCAGGGCAAACCCCAACAAAAGTGACTCCCTCATCACGGAATGCCTCAGAATATTGCACAGTCAGCATATTGAGGGCCGTCTTGGAGATTTTGTACGCTGGTGTGGGGTGTTTTTGGAAGTACGAGGCCATGGCTAATGATCCCACAGTCGAGGTTCTGAGCGCGGTGAGTATTGAGTTTCTGAATATATGCGTGGTGTGTAACTTGTCTGGTGTCTTACATGTTGATGACCTTCTTCAAGTTGCTCTTTCTGACCAAGGGCAACAAGGCGGCAATGACGTTGTGGACTCCTACGACGTTTGTGTTCAAGGTCTCGCTCAAGTCATTCCTTTTCGTCTATTAGCGAAGCAAAGACAATGCTCGCGGGAAGGCTCAGGATACGAACATCTCCACGATCCCGTTCGGGGTTATGTTCATGATGCCGGCGTTGTTGATCAGGTAGTCGAGGCCCTGGCCATTGAGGGACTTCTCCGCTATCTGAGCAGCCTCCTCTGCACTCTTCGGGGTTGTGACCTCGAGTGGTACGAATTGAACACGGCCATTGGACCCATCGATCAGCTTCTTCAGGTCATCGGACTGCTTGCGAGCAGCTGCAAACACCTTGGAGACTTCTGAGGAAGGTCGGGATGCAAGCGATGCCGTGAGTTGGAGGCCAATGCCGCGGGATGTGCCGGTAATGAAGTAGGACGCCATTGCGTAATATTACACAGAATTTGGTATGTTGAGAAGCGTCGATTGCGGCCTGGGTATTTACAACAAGATCAACCCAGAATCAAAGATACTTGTCTGCATTTAAACTATTTGCTACCAAGAGGCTCAAGCATCCGCACACGTACACTCGAGTGACAATGCTTTTTTTTAAACGCACCAACAGGAACAAAGACCGAGTAACGATCACACACAAAATCTGAAATCATCCACTGATGCTGGGTTCACCCATTCGGAGGTGAATCTTAAATGCGAGAGCGAGCCAATCAGTCAGCCAAAGAGGCCTACACATGCCCTTGTCTGTAGTCTACTGGGTCGAACATCATTATGATAGCATTGGAGGAGTAATAAAAGTGGTTACTTGCTGTTGTTCACGAACAAGAGCAGAGGGTCGGTACTCCCGACTCGGGAGCCGGGCAGATTTGCACGCCGACAAGAGGCTGCGAGTGGTCAACGGCCAAGACTGCCCCATTTCCAAAAGACGAAGTGGGCCCTGTTAAGCGTCGACTTGTCCTTGAGAAGGGATCTGCAAACTTTATCTTCGTCTGTGCTGCATAGTCGGACTTTTGATGACCAATCTGACTGAAGTCTGAGACCTCCGTGTACCGCTCGGAGGTCCAAGACACGTTATTGCCGACCAGCTCGGAATAATATAGTCGACATAAGATGTAGGCCAAATTCTGTCAGCGAAATCAAAACAGGAGACTCGGAGATTCCCCCCTCAATCTAGCAATCCGCTAAAGCCAACTTCAGAAATGTCGGCTACTCGCAGACCGTATTTCATCATTGTTGGCTTGCCAGCCGATGACAAGTCTATGCAGGACTTGGATGTCGAGCAGTTGTTCCACATGAAGCCAGAAGAAGTTCGTGATGAACTCAAAATATTGCAGAAATCACTCATGGATAATGGCTTTAACTTTGATTATAGTTTCTTACAAAGTTTATAACTTAGAATGACCAGCTGACCCTCTCCAAGTGATTTTGGCTTCCCTAAGCCTCGGCTACAGGCCAATTCTCAATAAGCTCGACCAGGCGGAACATGTTGATGGGATCATCTTCGGCTATGGAATACGTTCCCACCCATCCCCGAGCATCGCCATATTCCTGGAGGAGATGATTCAGAAGGTGAGGTATCATCCGAAGATCGTCAAGATCCTTTTCAACTGGAGCATCCCATCCAGCCTGGATGCCTGCCAAGGAGCCATGAAACTGAAGTCAGAGACGGATAAGGAGGCTGTCGGGTCGGCGGAAAGTCGTAATGGACGAAAGGAAAAATTGTTGATCGGCTCTGAGCGACTCTGAATAGTTTACATCAGCTTCCTGCACATTTGACCGATCTATCTGGTGTCCGACTTCCACCTATCACAGTGGGGGGTGGAGGCCGGAATCGGCCATCGCGGTACCGCCGTTAAACGTAAAGAGCAAAACAGCAACCAAATACAATATAAGAGTGTAAGATTCGCAGCTGAATTTGTCTGCTCTAGCACGGCCTTGCTGGTGTGACCTTGCTGGTGTGATAGATTGAGCCTTAGAGCAACTGAGAGATTATATACACAAAAGCAAGTCGGAAGGACACAAAAAGGCCCGTCCCATGTCCATCTTCTGTACCTAGTCAGCTGGAAACACTCGATCACAAGGCTACCTGGAACTTATCCAGGAACAGAAAATATAGATCATATAATCGCTTATTTTAACGTCACTTCATGAATCTGATCATCGTCACAAATGCATACAACATCGCAATTCCCCCCTGTTTCTCTCCATTACACAACAATAATCGTCTGAAAATCATTACCCTCGATCTTTGTCCCTTCACCGAACATGAATCCATGACAATAGGCCTCGCCCACCAACTCCCATCCACCCTTGGTCCTCTCTGACGGCCTGAACACATAGGGCACACTCGCCCCGGCTACCAGCATAACGACGTCCCCCTCTACCGCTGTCCATGGAGCCGTTCCCAGGTACCCTTTCTTAGTAGAGAACATTCTCCGGTCGGCATAAAACTTCTCAAATACGTCTTCGAACAGCGGGTCCTTGCTGGTCCACAGCTTCTGCTCGACCTCGACATCTACCCTGCTCATCCCCTTGAACCGCTCGTGCCTCAGCCTAATCGCCTCCCGAAACCCGTAGGCGGGCGAGTCGAACGAGGCCAGGAACTCCCGAATGGCATGGATCTTGTAGCGGTCCAGCTTTTCCATCTCCTTGTCGCGAAGGAGCTCCCGGAGACCGAGGCGGTGTCTGTCGTCGGGCTCAGCGCCCAGATCTAGGTCGTTATCATCCTGCTCCTTCAAAATGCCATCGCGCATTTTCATTTCGGAGAGCGTGCATGTTTCTTCGGCGAAGATGGCAAACCATTCCACGAAGTGGCTGTCAGTGAGCTCGATTTCCAGCGCCGTGTCAGCATCGTCCTCGTCAGCGCCCGGCTGGTCCAAGGTGTGTTTCTCCGGCTCTTCCGTGGCGTTTTCGTCTGGATCGTCAATGGTCTGCTCATCCGGATCGTCCATGGCGTGCGTTGCCCCGGCCGCAAGCGTTCTCCAGAGCGCCGACACTATAGGCTCGCCGGTAGGTAGGTATATTCCCTCAGAGTGACGCGGCAGATTCCGTAGGAGCCGCAAGAATCGCCAGATGGGCCTGACGAGCCGGGCCGAGCGGCAGTCGCCTGTGGCCGAAATGGTGTCCAAGACAGTAATTTTGAGCTCTAATACCCTCCCCTTGCTGCCGGTGATAGAGAATTTGGGCTCAACCGACCCGGCAGCGGAAAATTCGATCGCCGACAAGTTCCGTAGGGGCACTGGTCTTGCCGGAGCACTGAGGTCAGGGACCCACGAGGGCAGGTCCGTCACAAATCCCTTCTCCGGCCTGAACTGGTCGATGTACTTCGAGTGGAAGGCGTACGCGAGGTCGTAGCCGTGGCGTATCTGGCCTACCATCGAAAGCAGGGTGAGCCCCGTGTTCTTGCTTCGCAGAAGCGCCGCGGCGCATTCGCAGAAGACGTCCTGGACCGACTTCTGGTAGTCGGCAGCCAGGCCGGCCGCATCCTCCGGGTCGCACAGCGAGAGCACGCCGAACAGGTTGTCGCGCCCATCCACCGCGCGGCGGTTCCGCGCCTCCGTCACGGCCGCCTCGAGCGTGCAGGCGTGCCCGCTGCCCAACAGCTCGTGTGCTGCGCGGGCGAAATTGAGACCGCCACGCGGGTGCGCAGTCGCACGAGCAGAGGCTCCATGTACGCTAGAGATATACTACCGCTGTCCGCGAACCTGCAATTCAGCAGCTCATCGAATGGCACCGTCTGCGAGCCCAGCAGGTACACCGTCTCGCGAGCCAGCGCCGCTTCCTGCAGCGTCCAGACACGCCCGAACCAGCCCCGCGACAGAACCCAGTTCAGCGCCTCGTAGGCGACCAAGACAGCGCCGCGGCTGGAGACTGCCGCCCAGTTAGACGAAACGTCTTGCGGCAAGATTCCGTCGGTGAAGAACGGGCGTGCTTTTGCAAGCGCGATGTCGGTGGCATACGAGGACTTGCCCAACCAAACGACTACACGCTCTGCGGCACGGAAGATGTCGCCCATCATGTTGACCTGCGCGCTTTTCTCTGTGTCATCGCGCTGGTTGATGCAGATGGCGTCTATCCAGATGGGCGTCGACGTCCAGCCGAGCTCCTGCAGTTGGGAGAGCGCATTGTGCAGGTTCTTGAAGACGTCAAGTGTCGCGCCGTTGCAAATTACCGTCCTTGAAGGGCCGCCGGTGCGAGGCTCAGAGATATCGCTGTCGATGGCCCATGTGTACGAAAGGGCTTCGTAAGACGGGTTTGAGGAGAGGTTGACCTCGATCAGGGTGCAATGAATGAGGTAGTCGTCGGTTTTGGGTGAGAGCTGCAGCAGCCGTACCGATGTGGGCTTTTCCAGGGCTGAGTACCTGTAACTTGGCCTCCGCCGCTTCTAAACGGTTCGTTAGGCGTCGCACCCTTCGATGTTTCAATATCTCGAAAGACGTACAGATAAGGCGCCCGCCACATGTCTCGCGAGTGACATGTTCTCTCTATCCTGCCTGATATAGTATGACCTGCCAGCTACGACCCGGAAGATCAAATGCAGTTGGGATGAAGGCTCGCCGGTGTTGTGTCAGCTACCACGTAGGTAGCGATCACGCCTGATAATGATGCAACCTAACATGTGAGCTAGAGTAGATACCTACCATGGTGTGTGGAGCTAGCCAAGGCATCCACCAAAGCTTGTAGTAGTGCTACCAAAAATAGACTCGCTGGATGCAATGTCTCATGACCTTGGCGCTCAACCAGCTTGACATTTTGGGTCATCAAGTAATTATAACAGGAGTGTCCCGAGCGCCGCTAAAGTGGCTCGCAAAAGCAGCTTGAAGGATTTGCCAAAGAGCTGGGCAAGGAGTAGAAAAAGTAAGGGGGCCCCCACCGCTTCGCTTCGCGCCCGCGAATCGCCTCCGGCTCATCCCCCCATAACGGAGGAGGGCACAACCCCAGCCTGTGCCAAGCCTGATGAAGCCATTCCTTAAGCAGGCTAGCATGCCTTCCTAACGCTGACGGGCCGGGGATCTCGGGAACAGAAGAGTTTGAATTCTTCAAGCCGTTCTTCAAGCCACATCAACGATAATTTGATAATTGGCTGCGTCCCTGCCATCATTATGTTACGGAGCACTAGAACAAGGCAGCACTAAAAGAGCTGTAGCCAGCTTAGATGCATGCAGCCATTGGACCCTTACCATCTTCAAGGGCGTTAAAGGAATTCTAGAGTCACAGGAAAACACCGGGTTGGAGGCCGGGTCGAGATTGGGAATCGCTCAGCCATGAGAGGGCCTGACCGTCTCTACGATATCCCATCCCGCCGGCAAATCTGCAAGCACATATCCGATTCCGTAAAGCCACTTCTCTGCTGAGATAATAGTTGGTCCACTAATTTCGCCCGCTCGATGAAAGAAAGCAGGCAGGTCATTGCCTAAGCGCCACGTTGATCCACTCCGCATTGCTCAACTTGGTAAAACACCTGACATGATCTGATGTCCAGGTTAAGCTGATGGATCTACCACAGACTAGAGGCTACTGGACCCTTTAAGTGGCTAGAAAATGTGAGGATTCATTCACCCGGGTGGGCTGAAATTGACACTTGCCATCACGCTCAATGAGATAGAGTGATTCCCCTCCCAGAATCCACTGGAGGATATCTTGGAAAGAAGAATCAGGGTATAGATCGATTCTCGTGCTTTGTAAGTTTGAGAAGTGTCCATCTGTAAATTCATATAGCCAGTCTAGTTGGTCTCTATCATTGGAAGATTGGTCTTGAAATAGCTACCTACCCTCACGTACTTCGTATTGAGGCTTGTTTAAATTCAATCGAAGTCCAACAAACATATGGGATTTGATCCCATCTATCTACTGCAATTGCGCGCCAATATGATGACCAAAAATGGTGTGCCTGTTGCCATTCACGGCAGTCTGGTCCAGGAAGTAGAGGGCGTAACCGTATAATGGATTGCTCGAGTCGCAGAGGGCCCCCCGCAATAGGTCTTTTCCCTTAATAACATACTCCTCGATCTCTACATCAGAAAATAGCCAAACGTCCACAGCAGGTAGAGTCTCCTCTTATCCATCAAGAGGCATGCATTTTGGTATTACATCTTCCAAATCATTCTACAGACCCACTTCTCACAGGCTTGAACACCGCCAAAGCCTAAATCATGGAGCAAATGATTTGCAGAGACGTCATGTATCGTGAAATCTTGTTATGTAGTCATCAGACAGCGTGCGGCTCCCGCTAAATATATCTTCGCTGCGGGAGCTTGTCATCGCTGTCTCCAGCTTAACCCAAGGGCTGCACCCCTTCCGTCAATTTCTTCAAGTTTCAGCCTTGCGACTATACTCCCCCAGAACCCAAAAAAGTCTCCTTTCGTGTAGTGTGCGGAGCGGTGCTTGGGTCCTCGAAATCGGCAAGGACGCCCTGCTTGGACAGGGAGGGATCGTGCCTCAGGGTGATGAGCAGCAGGCCACCTAAGTTGCCAACCCCTAGGCCGCCAGAGAAGACCACGTTGTGTTCAATGGTGTCGAGACATACGCGATGTCATATGTTCAAGCCGACACCGTACAGTCTTGGGTCAGGGAGACCAGACTCAAGCAATCATAGGCGAACAAAAATGCGTCGATTACTTCTTTGGCAACGACCTGTGTAAGCTCCACCAATGTCTCGCCCTTACCGAGGAGGGCAGCCTCTTCTTCCAAATTCTCCTCCAAAATGAGGAGTAGAGTGAGGATGAAGATGCATTGGGGCAAACAGCAAGACTCTCGTGGGCGCTTCTGGCACTGACAGGAGATGGGAAGAGGAACGTTCTTAGCTGTTGTGCGCCCCTTTAAAAAGGTTGCCGTTGAGGTCCCACATTTTCCAGGGGCAAGGACCATGAGCGAATTACCCGCAGGGCAGCTCTCAGAGTCGTGTGTGCCAAGGGGGCGCATCCGCCCCGGAATATAGGCATTGCCATCGGAAGCTAAATTCATGGAGGCGACCGCACAGCCAGACTTGGCGTTCCATTCTAGAAGCAAAAGGCGGAGCACCACAGGAGCGGTCGTCTCCACTCTCCCCGGGTGATGGCCGAGGGGGGCGTGCCGACAAGCCTGACAGGGTGACAGGTCATTTGAAGAAACACATCCAGCTGCGAAGGCGACGGCGATCAACACTTCGTTGGCAAGCGTCGAATTGCAGCATTACATCGAGGTGATGGGGGCTGCATGAGGAAGAGAGGTTGTGGAAGATTGGGATCGGCTTGGTCCGCGAGTTTGACTCGTAGACATACTAATAAAGAGCATGGACACCACTTAACGGAAGTGGGCCGAGTACACAAGGCGCGGAAGTCGGTGCACGGGGCAAACAAGAGTTCATGCGCCTGCATCGACAACAACACAAAGACATCTGCATGTGAAGGGACAGAGTCAGGCTGTCACCAAATTCAGCTCACATCAGGCAAGGGAAATCGCAGTCGGCGGGAAGGAGCCTTGCGCACCAAGAAAATTGGGACGAGGCCGCAGAGTCGTCGGTCTCCCCGTAGTCGGAGGCCCAAGGTTCCGAGACCGAGAGCTCCTAGCCGTATCAACTGACCTCCGGTCGAAGGTGCCTTCGGAACTGACACGGCGGATGTGGCTGGAATACTGAATACCTGACAGCGAGCTCCTGCTCGTAGCCGCTGACCTATTGTACTGAGAAAGCCACGAGTCGCTCATCGCTATCGACACAGCTGGGCAGAGTCGCCTAGGATGTGGCACCCAGATGTCATTTAATTGAAGACTCTGTTCTGATGTCACTGAGTGACACTGTGTTGGCCCAGCATCAAGCATGGTTGTACGACCGTTTCTACAAACATGTTGGAAAGAACGTTGATATAGGTTAGGACACAAAGTAAAGAGGACTACGTTTGGATTCAGAGCGCCAGCCGACTCCGAGGCCCGGGGCTTCCAGATCATGGGTAGAAACCATGACCCAAAGAAATACGATGGACTGTCTTGTTTTCCTACCTACGTCAAAATCACCGGGACATCGTTAGGATTTAATGCCTGCTATTCTACGTCATTGGGTTGATCGCTGCAAAATCAGGTGTTTACTGGAGGAGTAGTAGTGCTCTTGTTGGTAGGTCTCTCGTACGTATGATAATTGTATGGGAAGCAATCGTGTATTGGTGTTGTTCTATCTAAGTTCTAAGAGGCTACGTACCCTAGAGGGGATAACTAAAGTAGCCTTTTAAGTAATAAGGGTTATACTTATTAATACTTGCAGTTTTTCTCTTTTTTTAATAAGTATATATAATTCTTATTATAATTAGCCTTAAAATCATAATTCATTGCATATTAAATATATATAACCTTTGTTATAAGAAAGCATTATTAAAAAGGCTTAAAATTATAACTTATAAGTTTTAAAGCAAGTTTTAGCAATTCTTATTATTATATTACCCTTTAAATTTACAATCTTTATTATTGCATTATTTCTTAAACATTATATTTATTATTCTTAATACTTAGCTTTTAAGGTTGCTTTTTTATAAAAATCATTAACTTTTACGTAAAGGCCTTAGTTTTAAATCTTTTCTTTAATAAAGGAAGTTAATGCTTATAAGGCTAATATTAAATCCTTTAGCTTATATTTATTTTTATTATATATCTTTATAATGCAAATATTATTATTTTTATTTTTACTTTTATTATTAAAATATACTTAATATTGCTTTAAATTATTTTCCTTTAGCTACTTTTTATTCTTTTAAAATTAAGCATTATAAGTAGCTTAATTATTTATTAAGTTCTTTTTTTGCTTTTTATTATTCTTTTTAATTTTTTTAATAATTATCTTTTGCTTAAGTTGTTTAAGTAGTGGCGTATATTTCTTAATAAGTCCCTTTATATATGGGCTTTATATATGCTTATTAATAGTTTAATATAAAAAGTTTTAAAGCTAAGTTAGCATAGTAATTTAATCCTTTAATAGCTAAATCTTTTTAATTTAGTATATATAAAAGATATTTAGGATTAAAACTTTTATTAGGTTATTTATTGCAGAAATTATAATAATTTGGCATTTAAGATAATAGTTACCTTAATGGTTCTTATTATTAGAAATGTTATATAATTTTATATTAAGAGTTTTAATGCTTTTAATATAAATATATAGCTTTTTAATTATATTATTAAAAGATATTTACTTATTTTAATATTAAAAGTTGTTAATAATTTAAATAATAGCTATTATAATAGCATTATTTAAGAAAAGTATTTTGGCTTAAATTATAGCTATAACCTTTAGCTTATTAATTTTAATAATTCCGTAGGAATTAACCTTAATAAATAGCTTACTTTTTTTAATGCTTAATATAAAAGTAAAGTTAAAGGCGGTTTTTATAATCTTTATTAAGATTTCATTAGCTTAATTTTAATTATCTTTATTATTAATAATAATTAAATTACTATTAATATTAAGTAAATAAAAGTCATTATTATTAATATCCTTATTAATATTTATTAAATAAGTGTTATTAGCAATAACCTCGCTATAGGAATTAATAAGATTAATAAGCTTATCTTTATCTTTATTAATTAAGGTGATTTTAGCCCTTTTTATAGCCTTAATAATAATTCCAATCTTTATTTTATTACTTAATGGAAATATAATTATAATGTTTATTTTATTAATTAAGGTTATAATTGTAATGTTTATCTTATTAATTAAGGTTATAGTTATAAAGCTCATTTTATTAATTAGGGTTATAGTTGCGATATTTACAAGGGAATCTTAATTCTGGTTAAGAGTTATAATAGGGCTACCTTTAGTGCTAGCCATGTTAACGGCAGTTATAGTAATAATTATACTAGGTGTATCCTTAGCGCGGAAAGTAAATATAATATTTATTAAATAATTTTGCTTATTATTATTATCCTTATAAGGCATGTTAATAAAAGTATTAAATAACTTTTATAAGTTATTATTAATGTTTTTCATTATAATAAAAAGGAAAAAGATTTTATAAGAATTTAATAATTAAAATAAATATTTATAATGCAAAACTTTATAATTATTATATAATAATTATTAATTTATTCTTTAGTTATAAAAGAAGTTAATAAGTTATAAATAAATTTAATAAAAGTTAGTTTTAATATCTTATTAATAAATAGCAGCGAAAAGCAATAATAATAATAAAATTAACTTTAAAATAATAATTATTAATAATATTAATAATTATAAGGTTATCTTTATATGGGATAAGGTATTAAGAAGGTTTTAATTAAAATATAAAAGGTTAAAGTTTATATTAAAGGTTTAAGTTTAAGAGGTATAAGGTTTTGCAGCTAGTAGCGGCAAGGTTAAAAGGAAAAGGGTATTAGCAGCAAGTTGCTTCTTTCTTAGTAGGAAAGGGCTACTTTAGGTTTTTTAACCAATTTATTTACTTATATACAAAGCTTATTATTATTAATAAGCTTTTATAATGCAATGTTTAAAGTTAATTTTATTATTACATTAATAGGGTTATCTTTCCTATTTATTTACCTTATTTTAATAATCTTTCTTATCTTATATAATTCTTATAATAATATAATATTAATTATAAGGTGCTTTTCCTTTATTATTTTTAGCTTTATAAGGTATTTATATAAGCTATATAAATTTATATAAATAATTAAGAGTATATTTAATAATAAAAGTTATTTTATAGCCATTTTAATTATTATAATTAAGGAGATTTTAATATTTACTTTATTTATTATACTATAAATTTCGCTTGCTAGCATGCTTTAAGTAATACATTTATACTTTATTAATAACTAATAAAGAATATTACCCATTATTATAAATTCTTTAATTTCCTTATAAATCTCATTTATAAGAATAACAATATATTTAAGTTAAGATATTAAGTCCTGGTTATTTGCAAATAATTTATTTATAAATATAAAAAGTTTTATTATTTTAAGATTAAAAGGTATATATTTAATTCCTTGCATAGCATTATTTATTTATTATAATAATTATATATTTAAGCTCTTATAATCTCTTGCCTCCAAGTTTTATATTTATATAATTATTAAAAGATTATATAAAGCTTTTAATTAATAAATTAAAGCTATATATACTTTGCAGGTTCTTTATTTAAGGTATCTCTAGGGAGCATCTTTAATTATTACATTAATAAAGGTAAGTTTATTAGCTTATCCCTTTTATTAAATAGTAATTAAGCTAGTAATATTCATAATTATGTAAGCCCCGTTATAATTCATTAGGTTTTTAAATATTAGCTTTTATTTTAATTTTCCTTGCAATTTTATAGCTTTTATTTTAATCTCCTCCTTATCTTAAAATTTTAACATAAATAAAATTAATATATCATTTATTTATATACCTATTATCTTAAAGAATTATATAGGCTTTATAATTATTAAGCAAGAATTATATATAAAGCAATTTATCTTAAGCTTTTATTAATAATGTTTTTAATATATATTAAATTAATAAATGCTGGATTTTATTATACTATATAAGGGTTGGATAATATAAATAATTATATTTAAAGGGTATTTATTCTTTAGTTTCTTTAATAGCTTTGCAAGGATTGTTTTATATAGTTTGAATTTTACTTAAGGGTAGGCTTAAGTAATATCTTAAAGTATGAAAATTATGCCTTTTTCTTAAATTAATAAGGGGGTAAATATAAGGATTATTTATTAGCTTATTTTTTAAATAATTAAGCTTTACATTAAAATTAATTCCTTTTTATTATTATTATAATTTTAAATAATAAATTAGGATTTCTTATAGGGTTTTATGGTTTTGCCTTTTATCTCTTATATTATACGGAACTTAAAGAGATAATATTCGCTATATTACTTTATTAACTATTTCTTGATTTAAAAGATACTTTTAACAATAAGGTTGTTAATTTTTATTTTATTAAATTCTTTAAATAGTAAGCTTAATATTATAATAACTTTATCTTATCTTAATTTAATTACTAAGTTATAGTTTTCATTTTCTTTCTTTAAAATATATAATATAATAATATAGTCTTTTATCTTTAGTAATAATGGTTACATAATAAATTATATTTAAGGTTTTATAGCTAAGTCTTTTGCTTGCAAGGATTGCATTTCCTTATTATTATCTTAATAATATAATTAAATAATCGTTAACTTAAACATTATGGCTTTATTTAATATATTTAAGGTTATGTTATAGCCGTTTATAGTAATAACCTTATATAAACCCTTTCATCCCTTTCTTTCTCTCTATATATAAACTTTGCATTATAGCGAATATTCTATATTAAAGATAGGTTTAATCTTAATATTTAATGCATTTTACACTTACCGTTTGGCTATAGTTTTTTGCAACATCTTTATAGCCTTTGAAATAGCTTTTACTTGCTTTTATATTAATAATAATGATAATAATTTATATAATATTTATAGATAGGTACTAAAGACTAGGAGCGTAAGAATTAGTTTATTTAATTTAGTAGTATTATTAATAGCTTTTATAGCTATTTATAGGATAACATTATTATCTATGCTATTATGCAATTTAGTATATAGGATTTTATATGCTTATTTAAGGGCTTAATGATATCTTTTAACTTTCCTAATGGATTAATATATCTCTACGAAAACTTATTTACATTTAATTCCTATTATTCATACCTTTAAACGGAATTCTAAAAATGCAAAGTTTATTCTTATATTATATTTAATGATATTTAATAATTCTTGGTATATATTAATTTAAAGCATTTATAATGTTTACCATGCAATCTTCATAAACATAAATTTTAAGAATTTTGCTCCTTAAAAAGTAATGGCTTAGTTTATAATGTAGAGGATTAAATATTCGCTTAAATATATTATATTAATTAAGATTTTATAGTTAAATTTATAATTATTATATAATGTAAACTTAAAACGCTTAAATATGGGTTTGTTTATTTAATAATAGTAATATATCTTCTTAATCTTTATTATTGCTTATTTATTAATATTTAAATTGCCGGCTTTTTTAAGCATTTAGCATAATTAATTTATTAATGGGTATTTAAAGTAATAATGGAGTTTCCTTATTTTTATCTTTAAAAGGAAATACATAACATTAATAATTTAATTTAGGAAAAACCATAAATAGCCTTATTTTCTAAGTATTAGTATGATAATTACACCATTAAAAGAAATTATTTTATTTATAATATTATTATAATATATTTAAAGCCTATTTATATTTGCTAAGTAAAGTAGGAATGAAGTTTATGCCTAAATAATATAAAAGTTAATATAATTAATTAAGGTGGAAATTTTCATTATGCTAAGTAAATTAATAATTATCTTATTATTAAATTTAACTTTAGCTTTTTTTATAATAGTTATATTAATTTAATACTTTAAGTTTTTTCATTATAGTATAAGAAATTGCTTATATTTAGCTATGGATATTAATAATGCTCTTATATTTAGCAGAATTCCTTAAAAATGAATTTAATTATATTCATTCTTTAAGATGAATTAACTAGCTATAATAATTATCTCTATTTAAAAGATATTATTTCTCATGATTTAATACATAAACGCTTTATTAGCTAAGAAATTAATATTTATATAATAAACCTCCTTATTAAGTCCTACCTTTATAATATAAATATCGCTATTATAATTATTATCTTAATCTTATTTATTTTTATATTTATAAAATTTATCTTTATTATTTATTTTATATCCCTTAAATTTACTTAGAAAAGTATTAAAGTTATTATTATAACCTTTATATTTATATTATATTAAGTAACTTTTTCTTGCTAAATGTTGCTTATTAGCTAAATATTTAATTAATTAGCATTCCTCCTTCTTATAAATATAATATTTTTTCTTTTAAGGTTATCCTTTTCCTTCTTTGCAAGCGTTATTACTTTAAGCTTTATAATTAGTGCTATAAGATCTTGGCTGCTTAAAGCTTAAACGGTTTAAGTTTAATTAATTAAACCTTTAATTTCCTTAAAATGCTTAAGATTATAATTATTATCCTTTCCTTAGCTTTTAGCTATTATATTTATAATTAATATAATATTAATTTAAGACTTTATTTATAATATAAATTATAATTATATAGCTAAGCTATGTTTTTATTATAGATTTTAGGTTTAAAAATAACTCTTTATATAATTAAGCTAGCTTAAAAAGAGCTATTTTTAGCTTAAGAACTCCTTTATAAGCTTTAATTACTATTATTTTTAAGTTATCCTTTTTAATATAATCTTAGCTTAATGCTTATTAGCAAAGTTATAGCTTATTAAGTATTAAATATAAAACCTTATGCAAATCTTTATTTAGGTTTTATGCTTTTATTTTTATAAATATTATTATTATTTAATTTATATAATAATATTAATAATTAAGGTTTATATTAAAATATATCTTAATTTTAAGGTATGTTATTATAAATATATTAATTTAATTTATAAAATAAAGGTAGTAGGCCTTAGCTTGGTTTTTAAGCATTTAAGGAAAAACTATATAAAATTAACTTAGCTAGATTTTAATATAATAATAAATATTAAAAAACATCTTTATTTTATTATTTAGCAAGTTATATAAGTCCTTAATATACTTATAAAAATCATTAAAGATTTTTATAAATTATGCTAACTTTATTAAATTTAAGCGTTTATTAGGAATGTATTATAAGGAAAGAGTTTTATATAGGTTATACTTTTTATTTAGCAAAAGCATTTCTAGGGCAGCTCAAGGTTATATTAAGTATAATATATATTTTTAATATAAGCTTTATCTTTATTTCTTTGCTAATAATAATAAGCCTTGCTAACTATATTAATTTTTAATAAATTACATTATTGGGTTTAGGTTTTATAATTACATGCCTAAAGCTAGCGGTAATAATAAAAGTTATCTTAAGGATTGCCCTTTTAGTAATTATTATTATTTAAAGCCTGCTTATAATATTTATAAAGGCTGTGCTTATAATTGCTATCTTTAAAGTTAAATGCAATATTTATTTATGCTTAATTTTAGGGTTAATAAAGCATTATAAAGCTTATTATTAATTTATTTTAATTTTTCCTTAACTTAGGCTATAGCAATTAATTATAATGCTATAAGTTAATTATTGCATCTTATATAAATACCTTATATTTAAAGGAAGACTTTTAAATATTATTAATAAGGATTTAATAATGCTTTAAACATTATTTATATTTACGCTGCATAATCTTTATAATAGGTAATAAAAAAATTATTATTATAAAGGTTTTATTATATATAGCTTGCCAAAATACTTGCTAAATAAGTAATTAAGTGTTTCATTAATGCTCTCTATATAAAGGCTATAAACCATAGTTTTAAGTTAATATATCTATAGTAAGCTAAGTTAATTAGAGTTTAAGTAAGCATTTTATTAACTATATACCTTTTAATAAAAGCCAATAGCTTTTCAGCATTATTAGCTATTTTTATAGGTTTTCATAATAAATATTATAAGGAGTGAAATTAATAAAATAAAGAGATATTAATAAAATAAGTAATGTTTTAAGAGTAAGTTAATAATAATAGTTTAATAATAAGTAAATTATAATTATTAAGAAGAAAAAATTATTAGTTCCTTTAGGCCTTAAAAGCTAGGGCTTTCTTTTATTATTAAGTCCTTTTATATTAGCTAAAAGCATAATATATAATTCGCGCTTACTTATAATATAGCGTTGCATTAGCTTTAATAATTATAATAATTGCAAGCTTTATTTATTTAGTAGTTGCAATAATTATAAGCTTCATTCATTTAGCAAAACGGAGCTTTATTGGGTTTTGCCAGGTTTTAAAGAGGATTTAAAAATAGGTTTTTTTTTTTTTTTAAATAAAGTCTTGTACATAATAAACGCATATCTTCTAAATAGCAATAAATATGCGTATAAATATCGCAGGGAATGCTACTTAGTTTGTTTAATCTTTACAATATTTACTTAGGGAGTTTAATAATGCAGGGAGGCTTAAAGAAGTAGTTATTACTATATAGCGCTTATTAATAAGGAGGATATAATTTTCAAATTAAGGAAATCCTCATGAAATTACCTCTTTTACCTTATTAATTTATAATACCTATGATTATTAATTAATGTTAATAGGTTTCTTATACATACGATAATTATATGGGAAGTAATCATGTATTAATGTTATTCTATCTAAGTTCTAAGAGGCTACGTGCCCCGGAGGGGATAACTAAAGTAGCCTTCCAAGTGACGAGGGTCGTACTTGCCAACAGCTCTGGTCGAGTGTTACCTCCTTGCATGAACACGGGTAATTTGAACCCAGCTGTCTCACTCATTGCTTGCCAGTCACTGAGTTCCTCTGCTATTCTGAGAGGATTTGTATGCAGTGTCTAGGTATCGGTTCGTCCTCCTTGCTACAACAATTCTCATTCTGCTTCTCTCTGCGGTCAATCTCCTGTCTCGCGACAGGAAGTTGCTCTACAGTAGGTCGAGACATCGAGGCTGTGGACAGTGGGCTATGTCAACCAACGACAGACAGAGTTGGACTTTACGTATTCGCGAACCATGTCTAAGCTTAGAAACAGACATCGCGGTTCCGCCGTCATGGGCTCGTATTGGGTCCGGGGCGGGACCCACTTAGGTATGGGGAACCTTGCCACTCCCTCCCCTTTATTTTGACCTCGGTATACCACAGCAGCGACCTGCGAGACTTTTGAGCTTGCCAAGACGGTTGAAGTCATCCTTAACAAATCAAGCTTCTGCAGCCAAAATGCAAGCATCAAGCCATCCAGACCAACAAACAGAGCTTCAAGGCCGTGAGGAAGAGCTTCGCGTGGTGTCCCTTTGTTCTTTGAACAATTGAGAGTATCTACAGTACAGTGTCTCCCATAGAAAATGAGGCTGTCCATGCCCATGCCATGCCATGCATCGCATGGCAAGTCCGATTCTACTGGATGCCCAACACGAAGAGCGAGGTGCGTTGTTAGGCGAGCGGGGGCACTGTTAAGGGGAGAAAAGATATTTCCCAAGGACGGTGGAGCTGCTTTGCCGATTTTGGGCATGAGTGGCAAGATTCTCCGTCATTGCTCAGACCCATGTCCGCCAGCGAATAGACAACGGCCGTCGCCTTTTACGTGTATCCACTCTGCCCCATCGTTTCTATTTTGATCATGCTCGTATTCCCGATGGCTGCGAGTTGTGGTACACAGACATGAGATCAACAACCAGCATCTCGAATATATCAACAGCCCCGACTTCCGTAGTTCATCCAATCTTGCTTTTATCATCATCACCATCAGCCTCACAACAGTCTCTACACTCCTCCTCACTCACTCAACAAGCAACTCACTCTCTTCAACCTCACCAACCCAACCCAAACAACCATCAAGATGCAGTTCTCCACTGGTGCCCTCTTCGCCCTCGCCGCCTCGGTGGCCTCGGCCGACCTGGTCTTCCACGTCTCTGACTTCTCGGCCGCCTGCATCCCCCACAGCTCCCAGTGCTCGTAAGTCATAACCCGACCCTAACAGTCATCAACTGTTCCATTGTTCACTCAGCTAACATGCCTCCCACAGCTACTCCTTCGGCGTTGTCAAGATCGGCGCCGGCGAGACCACCCCCGTCGAGTGCTCGGCCATGCTGACCTCCAACGGCGAGCTGCCCGAGGTCACCGACGGCACCTGCAAGGACTCCTCGCGCACCTGGACCATCACCAAGTTCTCCGACAGCCACGCCAGCGGCTACGAGCTGTCCGTCTCCGAGCAGGTCACCCCCAGCTCCAGCCTCACCGGCCGCTACGACCTCTTCTCCGGCACCTTCGAGATGCAGCAGACCGGCGCCTCCACCCAGCAGGTCTACGTCGGCGAGGAGACCGAGTTCGACCTCGCCAACTAAAGAGTGTTCCCGCTGGGACACTTTCTTTGATATTGTATTTAATGGGCATGCAGGGAACCTACCTGGAGCGTTGAAAAGTTCTTGAAACAAATGTATATATTTATTCCATAATCACAACGGACGTTTCCGGTCTTGTACCGAGACCCGAACAACCCATTTCCTCATTATTTGCCTGATGTGAATGATTCTTAACTAGTGTTCCCAATCCTCGCTTTCCTCGACTTCTGTTACCAATCTTCAACCATGATTCAGCAACTTCCAGATGCATTGGACTTCTAGAGTGTTGGGACGATGGGGACATGAGCAAATACTTGAAGACAAAGAAACGTTGATGGGCTTAGCCTCTGCGGCTCTGTCAGGCCTGTAGACCTCCCAATGGCCGTGGCCCATCGTAAATCAAAGACATAATCTATTTTTGTTAAAAAAAAATTACTTCAGTGGACCGCAAACTTGGTTCCAGTCTTCACAGGTGGATGCGCCACTGTGGATATCATGAAGATGGCCCTCCGGTCTGTGACCCGCAGTCGGCACGTTTTGAATGCAGCAAGATGGATGAACTTGGCCCGGTGGGCTTCTGGTTCGGACATCGTGTCAGACGGTTCCTGAAGCTTCAGGCCGGATCTTGGTAGGATCGTGGCCGGCATGGCCTCACCAAGGGGGCGGCCGGCCCACCACGGCGACCACGGCCGAGCCCCTCGGCGCGTGTGAGTGCGGCACAGCCTCTGCTACTGGTTTCAAGCACCAAGATGTTTACAAGCACGGCCCGTGCCAAGTTGTTCCAAACCTGCCCTGGCTGGCCTCTGCGGGTGCACTTCTCGGGCTAAGTCGCAGTCGGCGGCGCAGGTTGATACGGAGAAGTGGATTCGAGCAGTCAATGCGCCCACCCCGCCGCGCCGCCTCTACTATATGCTATGCTTCCTTTGACTTGTTCCATTTGTTTTCCGGTGTCAGGTCGCCTCTTCAATAGGCTGTGATGCCCCTACGAGAACTGCTTTCCATCGTTCCATCCCGCACACTCCTTGGTGAAGACTTAGAATCCAAGGGATGAGCTTCATTTGGTCATCTCGGGAATAGCTCTGTGCTTCTTCTTTAACTTCATTCTCGACATCAGCAGCTGAGCTGTTCCCGTAGCCATGACAAGCATATCCGAAAAGCAGGCAGAGAGGACCACAACAGTTATGGCGGGGGTCCCTGAACGCAAGAAGCCGGACATGCAACGCAATCCAGCCGGAGAGCCAGCCATGGCATTGGACTTCATAAAGCGAGCGATCAAGTCTAGATTATTACCGATCAACGAAGATGGGGAACTTCGGCAATTCCGAGCCGAAATCGCGTTCCAAGGAGACCTGCGCGAGTATGTGCGCCTCCAGGGCCAGGCATCGGGAGAGAAGAAGAGACTGTCGAACATCATCAGCTTCACCTCCGCCGGCTCGAATGTGGATGCGCTGGCGCTTCCTACTAGCAAGTACGTATCGGACACTTGGAAGCAGGAGGGGGTCAACCTTCTCCGGATGATAGAGAAGGCCTTGGATGATACCAAGAACCAGGGGGTTTCCGGCTGTAAGTTCAACTCTGTCCCGCGGTATTCGTCTGTGCTCACCAAATGAACAGTCCTGTCGCAAAAGAGCCATGTTTCAGTCACCGTTCATGACAAATATCTGTTCCTCAAGATCAAGGGAGAAAAGGATTCTTTCCCCACGATTATCGAGCAAGTGTGCTGGGTTGTCAGTGTCGCAGGCAGGACGTCCATCTCTTTGCTTGAGAAATACGCCAGAGAGACAAATGGCGGAAAGAAAACACGCGGTTACGCGGAGACTCTGCATGCCGGAAAGCCTATTATAACAGCCGGACCCGACGGTCGCTTCGAGGTGTCGTTTAGGCCTCGCCCTCCGGAAATTCACGACAACCACGGCGCCGTTGCAAGAACAGGCAACTGTTGGAAGACCATGGCTGGGCTGTCTATCGTCGCAGATGGTTATAGGATCCCAAAGAGGCCGACGCAGGGCTCTGGCCTCGAGGCTCCTTTGTCCGTCCTTCGCCAGCTATTCAGGCGAGGCTGCCCAGGGAAACGCGTCGTGCCCTTGGACAAGCCCATGGTCATGATTCCTACAGAAGTTGGCAAAGACAATGAGGCTTGCCAGCTGCGACTGCTCATGGCCGTCGGGGCTCAAAAGTGCACTCAGGGTAATGCTGTCTATTGGCATTTTCACCCGGCAACACTCTGCAACTCGTTGGCATCATGCGAGCAGCTAGAGAAGGAAATCGGTGTCAGTCCGTCGATGCTCGACCCCCAGTCACGACATTTTGTTGGGTGGAGCAGCAAAGCGGGGTTCTTGGCAGGTAAGCAGCCTAATAATAGTTGGGGGTGGTCGCTTGGATTGGCCGCCCTGCCTGAGCGATGGACAGCCACATGCAGGGGCTGCCTACCTGCAGGTGCCTGCGGCTCCAAAGTTGGAGGCGGGCTCCCTCACCTCATCTTACCTCACCACACCTAGCCTCAACCTCACTCACTCGAGCTTCTTTCATATCATGCCGCTCGATCTCGCCACAATCTGACATATTCATTGCCCAATCCTCTCCATCACTCGCTTCTACGACACCCGTTTTTCTCCCTCTACCCCTCTCCACCACCGGACTACCGTCCTTACCGATAAGATTGTCCAAGTGGGACGGTGTTGATCAGTCGTCGCCAAGCCCTTTCCTACAATTGCTCTCTTCGTACGTGGCCCCGGCTACCAGTAGTTTACTGGGTGACCTGTCGAGATCGACGGGATTCGATGGCTACTTCGACGTGCTGTTTTCGTTTCCGTCCTCTGGAAGGAGCAAGCGGGATACTGAATTCCACTGACCTTGAGCAGGCACATCCAAGACTAACGACATCGTCTTCAAATCCAAGTTAACCGTCCTGGAGCACTACAAATTAGCCATAACATCAGCGAGTCTGAATTTTCGACTCCCTCTAGTCTTTTCTCTGGGCGTAACAGTCGCGACAGAAAGAGTGGACAACCCCACATCTGCCGAAACGATGTACTCTGATGCCGGCTCAGCACTTCATGCTCTCAAATACCGTTTTTTTGTTCTCTGGGACACAAAAGACGAACGCGGCTGGCTGGTAAACGGCCCCGTCGCCGCGCTACAAGTTCTTCGCTCATATCTCAAGGACCGGGAGGCAATTTTTGACTTCTCCAAATTGAATCACATCAACGATGAAACCCCCTCAGCGGCATATGATTTGCTTCGTGACGAAGAGAACATGAAAATGGTTGTATTCCCAAAATCGAAGGATGTCACAGAGAAGCCCGAAGCTGGAGAATCATCCGAGGATGCCAAGGAAACCACCTTTGAACATGTGTCCTTTAACGTCTACAAGGTTCTCCTCCAGTTGAGCAAGATCACCATTGAGACGAGTGGAAAGAGTGGTAACAATATCCCCGACTGGTTCCACACATGGGTGGGGAAACGATGGGATTCCACTGTCAGGGGCTGGGACTTCACGCGCATTTACCACAGTTACGAACCACAGGTGTTCTTGAAGAAGTTCCACACGGATCCTGGCTGGCTTGACCTCACTAGAGGACTGCAGGCGTGCTTTCTATTTGGACGTTCCTTTGGCGAGATCATGCAGCCGCGTGACGGTCAATGCTGCCCTTACTTCAAGACACTTCCAAAGGGCGAGAATTATCTTGCTGTCGGTATGAGCACCATTCAAACGTGTGCCAATGATGAGGGGGCGGCAGCGGAGGCCACCGACACAGTGGCTAAACTAGCCCCCAGAGTTGCCTGGGAACGTGATGTAAACCCCTTCAACCACACACACGGTCAAGGCGATCATCTGGATAAAGTTGATCCCAGCTGCTTCCCGGTCCAAAGGCTAGTGAAAATCCGCGACAATGGCAACGACGAGAAGAAAGACAAGGATGTTTTGAGAAAGAGCAAGGGCCGGCTATACTCGTGGAAGGAGGTTGACGAAATGAACACGCCAGCCGAGGACAAGAACAAAAAGACCATCGAAAAATCGCTCAAGACTGGCGTGGTGGTGTTTGGGAGAAAGCCTGACGCAACCAAACTGAGACAGCTTGCCCAGGCCAATGCCCCTGCCACAGTTGGCTCACTGTCCAAGACGCCCACTCAGCAGGCACAGGCCGCGGAAACGCAGCGACCATCCAGCAGCCACAGCTTGAAATCAAACACATCGGCCAGGGATCCCAGAAGTACAGGACCACCTACGAAGGGACAGCCCTCGGGTACCCCTGCTGGGCGAGCACCAAGCGTCACTAGCATCAAGAGCACCCATCCGAGCACTCAACGCAAAGCCCCAGATGCTAGTCCCGGTGTTGAACGACCTCAGGCGGCAACCACCCCTCAAGCACCCCCAGCTTCGGCACAGAGAACGCCCAGCGTCAGCAGCGTCACGAGTACTGCCTCGAAAACTCACCCCAAGGCACCATTCACTGTCACTAACGCAGGGCAAGCTCAGACGTCTAGCCCTCAACCCCTGGCTAATTCGACGCACAAGACGGCCAGCAATGCCGGCCTGGGGAGCACTGGCTCGACCAACCGTCCTAGAGCTACAGTCGCTGCCTCTGGCCGACCTGGTGAATCAACTGCGGAACCAACCGCACCAACAGCGGCCAGGAAACCCAGCAACTCCAGCGTGAGGACGACAAGTTCGGTCGACTCCAAGGCTACAGGGGGCTCAAACCGCCAGGTACCAGCCGGGCAGCCTCCCACCCCGTCTTTGAAGAAGACCAGTACCGGTTCTTCTGACAGGACCACCAGCTCGCGTGCGTCAAGAAGCACACAGAGCTCGGCGGCTGGGTCCACATCGGCGATCAGCCACCAGCGGCAGCAGCGGCTCGGTCAACTGGGTGCCTCCATGGCAGCGGCTGCGGTGACAGATGGCCATCATCCCACCTCGTCTGGTCCGGCTCCTACGGCAGGTGGTGGCCAAGACGGTTAATGCTAATGCCGTGGCCCATTTTCATACGGGAGTCTGCCCGTTGGAGGCGATCCCATTGGACTCTCTCCCACAGATGGTTATCCCGTAGGAGGTTGCCCTGTGTAAGGCTCTCCCGTGGGAGGGTATCCGATAGGAGGGTATACCATTGGAGGACATGTTGTAGATTATCCCTTCGGAGATTATCTAATAGAAGGCGTCCTGTGGGAGGTTGTCCTGTGGAAAGTTATCTCATTAAAGGTTACCAGGTGGGAGGTATAGGATATTGTCCTATTGGAGGTTTTCATGTGGAAGGTTAGCACATTGTTAGTGAGCCCATTGGAGTATAGTCCGTTGGAGGCTATCCAAACCACATCATGGAACAGTGCCCATCCGGCACTGTCCGCCGGCCGCGTTAGTCAGGATTAGTATACCTTCGTGTACTTCTGTCAGCCATGTACGAGTATTGTTTTAAGCAGTTTCAACTATTCAATATCATGCCATGTTCAGTAGTTAAAACTGGAAGACGTGGATAATGCTGCTATTTACAATGTTCTCATAGCCTGTAGCTGCATTGCACGGCCTTACGATTGCAAGGAATGTTGCCTCGAGCTCCTGGCTATCATAAAATTCTAGTATCACTAATACAATACAAGGGTAGCTGACCCATATACAGAGATCTCCAGCCTTGTTCGATTCTGAAGAATGTGGTGGCAGACATGGCTCTATTAATTGCACTCTATGATTGTACTGCTCAAATACGGGTCTTCTCATCCAATGAATTAATCACTGCATAAATACTTGACATGGCTAGTAACCATGGTTGATCTGGTCTGCCGTGAATTGCGTCAGACAACGGAACTTGCGATATCCATGGTGCTGTTCCTTTCCGTTGAAGATGCTGTTGCAGTCGTAGTCACCGTCGGGAAACACAATGCAGTTGCCGTAGGTGTTCCCATCCACTGAAGTCCAAGTTAACCCGGGTCTCAACTTAAGCCAACGAGGAAGACGGGATTATTGCTTACATCCAACCATGGTCCTGCCTCGGTCCTTGTAAAGCGCTGCAATGACAGACTGTTAGCTTAATGTCCTCTCCCACCTGGCCCATTCAGTTTGAGCAGGAGGATACTTACTCCAGTGGTAAACAGGGCCGTTGAGAAAACTGAAGTTCATCTCCAATTGGTCGATGTCATCCGCCGGGGAGTATAGCCGCAGCCGCTTCCTTTGCACCGTACACCATTCTTATGGCTGACGTCTCCGCTGTCCCAGAACACGGGGGCGTTCTGAACGTCCACGCAGGATCCAGGCTCAGCCTCGAAGATCTGCCAGCCCTGCGGGAATCATTAGAATCATTGTTACAGGCGCCTGCATTCTGAAATTCAGCAACAGGGAAAGCACCGATTGGCCATACCCTGCTATGGGACTTGAAGATGGCATCGTACACATCTACCATGTAGACGTCGAAGTTGGCCGCGACAGGCTGCAGCAGGGCCACATAAGCGGTGATTCCAAGGGCTGAAAACCTCATTCTGATATTGGACCAATCGTTGAGAGGAAGATATTTGGACAACAATGGTTGAGGATGTTTAGCTTGTCAACTAGAACCACTTGAGTGGGCTGGAATACGAACATCTCAAACCACCAAGGCAAAACAGTTGCTTTTATACAGCTAACCTCACTCACGATGCTCGCATTCCGGATGCCAAGGTATCATTGTGGGATGCTGGTCTAGTTGACTAGGGCTTGAAAAAATGCTGTTGCCTAGGGGCTAGTGAGGCTTTAAACCAGGTACCCACATCGTGAAGGATTCCGGGGGAAAAAAACATCAAGCTTTTACATGTCAGCAAATCTGAGGACCCCTTCAAGACTATCATGAATCAGGCTAGATTGCACATGAAAAGTTGCTTGTAAAAGCTTAGACATGTCAGCGGTTAGAATATTCTAGGCCCAGGCTCATCTACATCTAGATGATTGCGAGCGCTAGGTATGTGGATCCGAGGCAGTCTATACCCACAACCAGAAACTTGACGACTATTCACCTCCCCAATTAGGCCTTCAGGATTCATGGAGGATCTTCGGAAGTGACGGTGCTTGCTAATAACTTAGTATGTGGCTGCTCACTCCACAGGTGTGACCCAATGACACGTCTGAGCTTCGTCCCCATTGAAGGTGGATTGCCGTATAAAGGCTGGAGACGGGATTATCAGCAACATCCCTGGTGGACGTCGTTGAGGCAAATCCAGCATTGCTGGAGGGTACAAGACAACTGAGTATCCGACATTGGGTAGCGAAAGGAGCCATGCTGCTAGAGAAGATATTGCTAAGTCCGAGAGCCTCTATGAAACTCCGCAACCAGTAGCGGAGAAGAAATGCACTGTAAACAGTGCGAATAGTCTCGGGGATTCGGGAGTCCATTGCTTAAAAAGGCTAAATTTATCTCCGAGCCTAAAGGTTTGCCTGACTAGGGTCCTCAGGGGCCCGGCTGCCCCTACCAGCAACACACGAACCCCTTTTCATCCATGGCAAGACCTCGAGCTAGAGTTATCACGACACCATCGTCATCATATAGTCTCCATCCCCAATTTTTCTTCACCAAAATATTAGAAAAGAGGTAGTGTTCGTCTGCGTCGCAGGCTATGGCGTCTGCCGTTCCAAAAGAAAACAAAAACCCGTTCTGTCATGTCAGCGTCCTCCGCTGGCTCATCTCAACCTGGGCCCTTTGGTGTTAGAAGAATGTACCCCGGTGAACGTCCTCACCCCGGTATTCCCAAAAGAATAGTCATGAAGGGTCATCTCGTCATTTGAAACCACAGTCTCTTCGTCTGGAGAAGGTATGCAAATGGATTGGTGTGGAAAACTTCCAACCGTGGTGAGGAAGAAACAGGGGTGAAACAGCAGTAAGTTAGGAATGAGAGAAATGTGAAGACAGAAGAAGGGCAGATGAATTAAAGAAGGTCAAGCCAAGGACTGCGCGGAGGGGCGACGACAAAAAAAGTAGAAGGGAGCGAGATGAGGAGGGAAAGAAGGAGGCCCTGACGACGCAAAGCTAGAGTGTTGGAGTTGAGCATATATTTCTGGGGTGTGATCCGGCTCTCACCACCATAACACTCTGGTCGCAAACGTGCGACCAAATGAGAACGATTTGGATTGAGAAGTTGGCAACGAAGTTAGTTAGTGATGTATCACACATTCCCAAATCCCGCCAACAGGTAATGACAAGTCATCATCGCCATGTCGCCGTTATTCATTTAACCCACACATCTCTCTGGTCCCTGTCCAGTTTTCACCATCACTCACCACACTAGGACTCTTACCAGGACGGGCAAGGCGGCCCATAAAGTTTGCCCGCCAGCGCCATCGCCCCCACGATGGCCGCCGACAAGGTGATCCCCATCTCGGCCTCTCCGAGCAGAACCCCGAGCAGCACCCCCGGTACCACTATTGCCAGCACCACTGCTGCCGAGACGATGACCAGGCCCATCCGTGTGAGCTTGGGCCGAAGCATGATTGCCTTGGGAACTGGGCCAGGTGGGCTTCCTGCTGGGGAGGCCGTGATGCAGGACGGGGAGATTTGGTGTAAGGCTAGGGGAAGACTTGATGAGATTCGGCTCGTAATATTAACTTCACAGCTATCGAGCAACTGTGCCTCGCTATCGACGACCTTCAGGATCATTAGCTCTATTCCCTTCGTTGTAGTCCAGTCTGGCTGCCCTGACTTACACTAGTAATGGTCACGATCTCCGCCACGGGATGGCAAAGCATGCGTGACCAGCAGGACTGCTCTTCGGAATACAGTTGCAAAGCCTGTTTAATGACAGAAGAAGCGGGCTGGTGGACCCCGTCGATACGCAAGTGATGCAATTGATATGTGCGGTTGCTCTGGGTGAGGATACGACAGAAGTTGTTACTGACGGCAAGCGACTGTGTATGAGCGGCCATGTTCGGTGTCGGTGCAATAAAATAGTTGGTTTGATATATGGGACACTGAGAATTTCAAGAAGGGAAAGCACCAGGAAAGCACTGCAGGACCGATTGGGCGGGCGGCTGACTTGATATACTGTGGTGGGCGTGATACTGTCATGGGCTTGCCCAAGAAGGAGTTGGTTGATGCAGACTAGATCTGGGGCTGAATGTACAGAAGTATATGTCGGCGTGAATTGATGTAGACCAGACCCGGGCCAGATTACGCAGAAGCATACGTGGGCGGGGATTGCTGCAGATCAGGCCTGGGCTGGGGATGCCACGATGGGTGTGGGCACGATGTACCTCAGCCTAATATATGCATAGGAGGTAGAACCGGAGAGCGCGGAGAGACAGCAGCATGATATAAAAGGGGAATGATCCAAGGGAAGGAACCAGGTGAAATAGTCTTTTCTAAGCAGCTGTTGGATGGTTGTGAATAAATAAAATTTAGTGGTTCCAGTCGGATGGCTGAACATTGGCAACAAATGCATCAATCCTCTCACCAGGCCCAGCACCACACGACTGCTCCATTTCATCGCTGATTCACAGCGCGGTGCGCCGGACCATCGAAACGGAACATGTCCCGGAGACCCTGCACCAGAGCCTCTGGCTGCTCCCAGGCTGCAAAGTGGCCGCCTTTCTGCTGCTCCTTCTCGAAAACGACGTCGCCCAGTTGCCTGTTCCACATTCGCGGCGTCGCAGCGATTTCTTTTGGGAAGTACGAGAAACCCTGCATAAGATTAGCAAATGTCTCTGTCTCAACCTGGTACTTGCCCCGGTGGTTTCTCAGGCTACACGTCCGTTTACCTACCAGCTTAGCTTTTGCCCGTCCAGTCTCCGCCTCCCATTCGCCCTGAAACATCTCGTGATAGATAGTCACGCTGGCCGCAGGTCCCACGCGACTATACCAATATAAGCTGACCCATTCACAAACCTCCTGGTCCGTCCATGGGTAGTCGTCTGTCCAGGCGATCAGCTTCTCATAGATCCAGGCCAACAGCGCGACGGGGCTATCCGCAAGCATTACCCCAACGGTCTGGCGTCTAGTCCTCATCACATGAAGGTAGTAACCGCCGCTGTCTTGATAGTCCTGGGCAGCTTTCAGGCCGGCCTTTTGCTCGGGCGTGTACAGATTCAGCATGTGCGTTGTGAGGAATCGCACAAAGCCGAGTGGAGACTTGGTCAACTGTGGGCATGGCGAGGGCGAAGTTGAGGTGCAGTGCCAGCATTGACTCGGGATAGAGGTTGCCAATGGATGTGGTTATGTACATGCCCTGCACGTGTGTGCTACAGCTTTAGTTCCTGTAAGGGGCTACTTGCAGCTGTTGATGTGAAGATGACGGAAACTCACCCAGTCTCCACCTTGGGCGGCATATCGCTTGTATTCCAAGATCATCATTAGCTTATGGCAAATGTCAGTGTACTGTCGCAGGCCGAATCCCTTCTTCGGGATACGGCTTGAAAACCGAAAATTGGGAAGCGATGGCACCACGAGGTGGAATTCTGGCCCATCTTCTTGCTTTGCTGTTAGTAATGGAAGGATTTTGGTTGCTTCGAGGAAACTGCCCGGCCCTCAGAAACAGGGATCGAAGTGTCAGATTGTTGTCTTGATCATCAAAAGGTTGAAACAGATGGGTCTAATACTGACAGCCATGAACAAAAAGCAGCGGAATTGCGTCTGGGTTCGAAGATTTCTGGTGTATAAAATGCAGCCCAAATGGCTCAAAGCCATCAAGTGACATGGTCGCTTCAAAGTGCGGGAGTTGATTCAAGCGCTCTTCGAATGAAGACCAGTTGAATTCATCCTGCCAGTATTTGGCTATCCGCTTGAGATTTGCAACGGGTACGCCGCGTCCAAAATCATCGCCGTCGGTACCGGCATCATCTGGGAACTTTGCGAGGGCCAACTTCTGGCGGGTCTCCTCGATGGCCGCGGAGTCAATGGAGATTTTGTAGCCTCGAATGTCTGCCATGATGACCGCGATGATGGATGGGTAGTAGAACTGGAGGCAGACAGAGGGCTGCGATCGTGTCTGCTGGCATTATTCACATCAAGTGGCCTACGGGGTCCTCGCGAGAAAGGAAAGGAGCAGGTTAAGGTGTGGCTGCGTGCATGTGCGGCTACAAGTTGGCGACGTCGAGCCAGCGCGCAGTGGTGCGACGAACAGCCAGGGGTCTCGTTGCTACGGTCCACCAACATAGCTGCCTACCAGTGAATCCAGTCTGATCGCACCAACGTATCCTTGTCTGTAATGCCTCTTACAGATGCTTGTCAACAAAATCTTGGCACAAGTACTGGAGCGCCTGCCGTTCGGCCCTGGGAGAATCCTTTGAATACAACTATCTTGGCTAGGGATACCCCGTAAGGGGGAAGGCTCACCGCGATATGGAAGGATTCTTATCTTATGCTCACTATCATAGCTCTGTCTCTCTTTGGGCACTCAGAAGCTCATCACGGCTGTTCTCAAACGCTCGAACGATGTCGCCCTCGATTCAGAATTGACGGCACCGCACATCATTGAACAGTTAAAAGGACAGACATATAGTGCGTTAGGACGATGAAATTGTTTGTCTTATATTTCGGTGTCGACAAAGGACGACTGAAAACGTTCTCTTGACCGAGGGTCTCCATCCAAGGCCCATTGTCAGAAATTCCTCGCGGCCAAATGTCACAGTGCCAACACCCTCATGACAGACTAATTGCCACGACAGAACCTTCGTCTGCACAACACAAGTTGGTCCAAGTCGGGCAGTTGTTACACTATAGAACGGAAGGCCCAAGACCGGGTTCAGTCCACCACTCAATGCATCTGCTGTGGCATAGAGTACCCTGGGTAGTATGTCCAGGTCACATACTGATAACCCATGAGCCATCGCTGTTCAGTTCCTAGCTGGTCGCCAACGTCTACCCTGTATTCGACCTGCTGCGTAATTTGGTTTTGCAGAGTTGCACTTGGATACGTGACTGCCGCGTATTGGGCATTGATTTGGCCCATCTCTGGCACCATCACCGCCTGCTGATTCTCGTACGGATACAAAGGGGCGTAAGTGGTAACTTTTTGATCACAACCGGGAAATGAGGCTGTCGAGTCGTTGTAGAGCGGATCCGTTGACCTCGCCTGTTGCCTTTGCAGACGTGACTTTACTCGCTGGTAATAAGTATCCGTCGGCGTCCACTTGGGCTTTGTCTTGCGGGTGGATGCTGCGAAAAGTTGAGGGAATGCCGAGAGACACGCGACAATGATGGCTATTTTGAAGGGTTAGCGAACAGAGGCATCTCGATGTCATTCACAACCTACCAAGGGATGCCTGTATAGTTCCCCACATCCACACGTATGATGTGTCGTGTAAACCATTGGCCTTCCTCGTAACATCCGTCTCGATTGCCCGGGTCAGGGCCGCAGCGATGGTGATCAGTGTTAGCGAAAAGAGACCGATGAAAGCTAGCTTCTTCCGCATGTCAATGCGCACATTCCAGAGCAGAGTGACCGGAATGACTGTAACTGCAGAAGGTTTCCGAGTTAGTGGGTATACGAGTTATCTGCCCAGAACGTGATCGTATAAGAACCAGCTTGGGGTGGCGGAAGGGTGGTCTGACTTACTGGCTATGTCCGAGACGATGTCCAACACACAGTTGGCTGTGACCGTGTTGGTCATCTTTGTAGAGTGTTCTGGCGACACACAGTACGTGGAGAGGTACTGAATGTCCGAGTTGATCAAACAAGGATACCCTATGTCTCCGACAGAGACGACGAAGCAGACTGCCGACAGGATGAAGGCTGGCCACCAAAGATATTTCTGGCCACGGACATTATTGCCAAGTCGTTTGAAAAACACGATGAGGGCAAGTTTCACCGAAAATAAAGCGGCATAGAAGAAGAGGTTGGACATGAAGCTGGCCTTGAGCTCGCGCATAACCCGAGTCGGAAAGTCGGCCTGGGGCGGGATGAGACCAGCGTTGACGTCAAGGACATAGTACATATCTCTCGCGGCCCACTGCCACAAGCTGGCCGTGACCAGGATAAGGACGGCGGCGAGTACAGCGAAAACGTCGTCCCAGAAAATACGTCTCTGTCCGCGCCAGCGTGAGACGAGACGAACGGCGACGAAAATTACTGAGGAGGGGTGCTCCGGCCCATTGAACGCCCTAAATCACCTGGTTGGCAACTCAAACTCCCAAGGCGCCCAGAACGATTCAATCATACCACAAAAGTATTATACGGGATTCCTGGTCCGGTAATGACCACGCCAGCCGTCGCGCGACGGTCGAGAGACAACATTGTGTGCAAAGATGGGGGCGTAAACTCGGCAAGGTCAAGTTGGGAGCCGAAGGATTGCGAGACGTGGTGCGACCAACACAATCGTCAAGGTAGTCACGATTCTGATATCTAAATCCGGGCTACTTGCTTCCTGTTCTTGGCCCACGATCACCCGCCGCAAGCGTGCGTCGGGGCTAGGGTAGAAATGGTACTGTTGGTTCTATTCTTGTGATCCAATGTGGAACCCGTCGAGTTTGTTGGCCAGGAACTTCCACCACCCCATGTTAGTGGGGCTAATGCCTGAACCTTCTATCTACGGGTGTCGTGAGACCAGTCACATCGATACCCACGTGTGCAGACTTAGCGCCAACGGTCTTTTCAATGCTTGCTAGACTGTCTCCGCCGAGATTTGTCCAGGCGCCCATGGAGTAGCTGCAAGAGACAAATCCGCAGATAAGCTTCAGATCCACAATGTTGCAACTTGTCCTGCCCGTTGGCTAAACGTGGTGTCGACGGACCTATCTTCAGCACAAGTCACAGTCGCAAAGCGCCATAGCGCATGTTCTTCAGCACACTCTCTAATAACACAGCATTTTACTTTTGCACCCTCGGTACTCTTTTTCAACTCGAATCAGACGATCAATTTTGGCCAAGGAATTGCAAGGGCAGACTGGTCTCTCTCGACGCCTCTGAAGGACTGCGCCAAAACTGTACTACGTTCATGAGGCAGATCGATCGGTGGAATTACTAGCTGGAAGCATTCGACGACCGAAACATCGCACAGCACAGAGATTGAATGCCGCAATCACCGCAGGACAGCGGCGCGTTGGAGATGATATAGAAGGCGCGCGAATAATTAAAAGGTATTACCTTGTTTTAGAAAGCTATTGTAGGGATCTGCTTTTTCTGAAAAGAGAAAAAAATCCAGAGGTCAGGTCCAGTCGCTGTGTCTACCTCCATCGGTCTGGGTTACTTAAATATGATTCCTGACTGAAAGGATGTGCGTCCCTAACAACTGGCCCTACAGATGTGTTTGGGTTGCAATGTCTTCGACCCTAGAGTGTGTTTTCTGTCTCTCTATCAAGCCTAAAGAGTAGCCCTCATAGCAGGTCGAAGCTAGAATGAGGCTCCTCTGTCTCAGTTCAGGAAGGCGAGGCCGTGGCTATCAAGCAAACTTGGTTGCATACTGCAGTGGCCGCCGAAAGGTGGCTAGTACATGGCACGCTGATGTGTCACCGCTGAACGCTCCTGAACGCTCATGAAAGCACGGCTCGCCTGATCTTGCTTGGACGGTGTAGGAGTGCTTGTTTGCGTGCTAAATGACCCCAGACATTCTGTGAGCGAGGACGCATCCCAAGGTGCTGTTGCAGTCAATTTCGAAGCTGCACTTTGTTTTGAGCTCCCTGCCTTGTGCCCTCGACAACGCAAACCTGTGAGTCAACACCACTGCCCACCCAATCCAACTTGTACCATCATCCCCAAGCGACAATATCGACCGATTGACACGACCAGCCGACTCGTCATAAAACGAGACCTCCACCTATTGGCGACTACGGAATGAACATGTCGCCACCACACGGCCAAGGTGGCGGCGGACGCGCCTCGAAGCCTCCCACACCTGTCGCCCCTGCGAACACACTCAATCTTTCCACCGCGAGTCCCATGAAGAAGATGCACACGACTGCTCGCAGTGATGCAGTAACTGCAGTCGATATCCGAAGTCACCGGCCTTTTATTACGCGCCGCCTCACTGGGCAGCCACCAGCGGGACGTCCTCCGCGCCCGAACCTGCCTCCCATCGACGGAGGAAGCCCAGCACCGAGCGCACTCGGCAAGCGTGGCGCGGACCCCGTCTCGAGCCCTCCTGCTCCAGCAGCAAAAAGACCGGCGAACCCAGGTACGAGATCCGACTTGGCTTCTGCTGATGCGGCGATGGCTCGACGAGGTACATCCGTTGACGCCACGAACAAGGTTCTAATCAGCTCTTCGACAGGCAGAGAGGACTTCATGCCGCAGGGCGGTATCAGTACACGTACATCTGACACGAGCAAGCATCCGACGTCTGCGACGAGCGAGCAAACACCCGCCGACGGGATGAGCCCCTTCACGAGCAAAGATTACGAGGGCGTGGTCCCAAAGAACACATCTGTCACCGATGCTATGTCGCTTCGACCTCACATCGAGTCCGACTTGGAGTGCAGGGCTTGCGGTAGCCGGCGACACGGGACGAAAGACTGCCATGTTCCCTCCAGCGACGGAACTGTGATCATCTGCCCGTTCCACGACTGCACCGTCCTTGACAAGACGGGCCCTCCGGGCCACCCTCTAGATGGTCACGCGAGATTCCACGCGGGGGATAGGACGAGGGCTCCGTTGTACTGCCAGGAGGTGATGGCCTTCGAAATGACAGCCCGGGCTAAGAATAGAGTAAGCGTAAGACGCGTGATGCCCCTAATGTTCGAGGAACTCGTCGTTAAACGGAGGCGGAAGCCATGCTGCCGAGTGGTCAACACGGAGGTCTGTGCAATCAACCTCGCCATCGAGTACTCTCGGGTATTCTGTCAGGGGGAAATGCCTCCAGAGTTGCAAGGCATGTGGCCTTACACCATGCGGGATGCTACAGACCCTGCGATAGTTGCCAAATTGGAACAATTCGACGAGCTCGGCCGGGAGGGAATGCCGCCGGGAGAGCTGGAGGCGAAGTCATGGGAACAGATCAAGCAGGAGTACACGGAAGGAATCATCGCGCCGCAGATTCACGTGGTAAAGCTTAAACAAAGACCAACTGATCCAGTTAACACGGCGAAGCCGACCGCTGCTCAGCAGGGCGGTGCAGACCATGCTCGTCGCCCTCCGGATACAGAGCCGCAGGCTGTCGACGCCAGCGGCGCCCGCCTGGGCGTCCGGGGGGAAGAGGACACCACGCAGTCTCAGGGCGTGACGAAGATAGATGCCCTGTTGGAGGAGGTGCAGCGGCTATCTGCAAAAGTGGACAGCGTCATTAAGCGGCTCGACATCATGGAAGCAAGACAGACAGGTGGCCAGCCCGCGATCGAGGCAGCCTCCAGCGCCAGTGCTCCTCACCCTGATGACACCGATGTCAAAATGTATGGGATGTCACTTCACTGGTGACCGGAAGGACAAGCGCGGCGAGCGAACAAGTTCTGCAAGGGGCAACAGAGAAGCAAATGGGACACAGCGTAGATAATTCCGCGTGAGTTGAGCTGTTCATTAGTTGTGGAGGATACGATACTTAAAATTGATACTAGACTGAACGCCCTGTGAACGCAGGCTGCATATGACCTTCTAGGTCTGGGAAACCAACGAATCTTTGACACAAGTCTAGCTCGTTGCATCAAAAGGAAGCACAGATACTATTGGTGTTGCAATACGCACACCTGTGCTGCTAAGCCGGACGGGCTGCTTTACGTAGGACAAGGTGATACGGAGGAGAATCTTGCGGGGTTTGATCCGGCATATGAGACGGTATCTCGATCTATCATGAGGCCTGCGTGCATCTACTGCGACAGCAAACTTTGAAGCGCCGACTACACAAGCTGCACAGATTTCCTGGACGACTCATTTGTGGCCATGGACCCGGTTTCGGCGCTCGGTCTAACCAGCGCGATCCTGCAGGTCATTGACTTCTCCTCGAAGCTTATTTCTGGGGCTGCGGAAGTCTACTCATCGGCTTCAGGAACAACTGTCCAGTTTGAAGATTCAGACAGAGCCATCGAGTCTCTGAGGAACCTTACGCGACGCCTTGATGTCCGCAACACGGGCAGTCCTCTGTCGAGTGAGGAGCGCAGCCTTTTAGAGACGAAGCGCGGCTGCGAGGACCTGTCCCGAGACATCCAGGCAATCATAAATTCTACGAAGTCAAGAGACACGAGGTCCAAGAGAGTAAGCGTTATGGTCTCTTGGAGAGCCATGAGGCGCAAGGGAAAATTCAAAACACTCGAAGAGCGACTGGAGCGGTATAGGACACAGGCTCAGGAGTATCTGTTGGCAACAATGAGGTGCAGCATGATTCCTGGATCTTCTGAGAAATCAGCACCCACCGCTGACATGGCAGACCAGCGATGATCTATCCAACACAAACAAGTTCTTGGAGGCACTCACACAAGAACAAGCTCAGTATGCGCAGACGACACGCTCCGAAATCCGCCAGATGAAGACGGATATCACGACTGCGGTTCACCAGGCGCAAGTTAGGCAAGGCGTCAACAACGGCGGCACGTCGCCAGATCAATTGCCCCTTCTATCCACAATTCAGGAATCCATTTCAAAGCTCGTCAGAGCAACAAAGGTCGTCAATCAAGAGGATGTTGTCCTCCGGAGGTTGTGGTATCCGGAGCTTGGCGGTCGGGAACGCGCGGTTGAAATGCCACACAAGAAGACTTTCCGGTGGCTTCTGTATGATTCGGGACTTCCAAATTCAGTTTCCCAGGTTTCCGAAGGAAACGATGAATTTATAGAGCCGGGGATCGCAGGCATTCCAAGCTGTGGTCGGAACTCTTGCTCCGACCAGAGCGCTGGCTCTATTGACGCCCATGACGCCATGAGCTTCCACACAGCGCCTGATGGGGGAGAGAACGGCGTGCCTGATGCTTTGGGAGATTTTGACGCCGAGTCAGGGTCATCCATCTCGGAGTGTAGCACCACTCCTAGCATTCTAAAGAGATCAGAAAAGAGCCGCAGGGTGTGGCGTGAGCAAAGGGAATGGCGTAACCAGAAGCGAGAAGCCTTCCTGACCTGGCTCCGGACTGGGGATGGAATCTTCTATTGCTCTGGAAAGGCCGGTTCGGGAAAGTCCACGCTTATGAAATTCTTGGCCCACGAGAGCCGGACTCGAGATGAGCTGTCCTTTTGGTCCCAAAGCCAGGGGACGTCTCTCATCCTTTCACACTTTTTCTTCTGGAATTCCGGTACGCCTCTGCAAAGGAGCCTCGAGGGTTTATACAGAGGCATCATATGGGACATTCTGCGACAATGCCCAAGTCTGATTCCTGTCGTGTTTCCCGCTGCTTGGTCATCCATCGGAATCGGAATGATTCCGGCGACATCTCAGCCATTCACAATGGATGAGCTAGAGTCCGCAATGGACCGCCTGTTCCGTGAAGAGGCAGTCACTTCATTGCACAGTCTCTGCCTTCTTATTGATGGACTTGACGAGTGTGAGGGCGATTACTGGAAGTTTGCCAAAGCTATCACTCACTGGGCCGCGTCTTCCAAGCACGTCAAATTCTGCATTTCCAGCCGTCCATACAGTGCTTTCCTACGGCATTTTGCTTTAGATGAGGCGAGGCATCTCAGGCTCCATGAACTTACCATAACCGACATGTATAGGTTCATATCTGACCAGTTTCGAGAGGACGAGAGGTATACTGCAATTGAGGATAACATCCGCCGGGAGCTTGACTTGCTTAGCGCTATAGTGGACAGGTCAGACGGTGTCTTTCTGTGGGTTCGCCTCGTCACCGTGGAATTGCTTAGTGGCATTGGGGACCATTGTTCAATCCCGCAACTCATCAAGAGACTGGAAACTATCCCTTTTGGTCTTACAAACATGTTTCAGAAGATGCTAGACTCGATCGATAGAACGGAGCGACAACGAGCTGCTCAGATGTTCTTGACCATGACGCATGGCTCGTATCTCAGGTCAACTGTCAGCACAATGGTGTTCGTTCAGGCCATCTTGGACGACCTAGCGGATGATCCAGGACTTGCCGTCCCGTTGCTGTCTGGAAATATTGGACCTTACCTCAGCTCAGCCGACTGCATCGAAAAATGTCACACCGCGGGTCCTCGTGCCGTAGCAAGGTGCAAGGGGCTGATCGAAGTGGCACATAGCAACTGGCAATTTCCACACTGCCACCAGCTCAGCTTTGTACATCGAACAGTCGGCGATTTCTTCAAGGACGAAGAAATCCAGCTCAGGCTGAAGTCTGCGGCGGGCGACTTCTGCCATCACCGGAGTCTTTCACACGCCATCCTTGCGTGCGCTAAATTCATCAACCCACACGAGTCGCTTGAATGCCCTCAATACGGTACTGGCGGGACTTCGACCTCGGCCAGCGATTCTGAGTCCTCGCAACCCATCGCGTTCATAGACCCGGGTTTCCGCACGCGGGAGTTTCTAAACATAATACGATGTGCGGAATTGGATGGAATTTTACCCATGGCAGTGGAGGTAGATTCCATGATTTCGATGCTGCGACAAACGATCGAGAATGACTCCAAAGGAGCACCTGCCTGTGAATTTCCCAAGCCTCTTTTTGACCTCAATGTTACAACAGGTTGCTGGTGGGGACCCATTTCTACACAAGACGTGCAGTCAGCTGTCGTTTGCTACAGCATATGCGTTGAGGGGATGGCTGAGACTGCCTTCGAGTTAGTTTCCAGGCACCCAGATCTTTTGGTGCTCTCTCCTGGGAAACACCACGTCTTTCTCTCGGCAGCGTTGAGGGATCTCTACGATGCCTACGGTTTTGGAAAGGATATCAGCAGAACACATGTCTTGATCGAGCGAGCTTCTTCGTCAATAAATGCTGACTGTTCAGGGAGATGCAAGATTAGCGAAAAGAATAAGGGCTTTGCGAGGCGCAAGACTCTAGGTCTACAGTTCAGCACCTGGACGGCCTTCTTGTTGGCTTTGTCTCAACTCATGATGTTTGGCAAACCTGAATCCCCGAGCAATCTTACAGGGATTTCTACACTGCTGGAGCTCTTCTTGCAGCACGGAGCAGACCCGCATGTCCTTTTTATAGGATACAGCTTCGCAACACCAACAGACGACGTTACTCCAGCGCAACCAAAAGGGCCACTCTACATGGATCTCTTGGGCATGATGACGATCTGGAGGCTTCTACCGACGAAGTTGACTCAGAATGTGCTCAATGTTGCTCGTCAGAAGCAGCGTCAGGGTTGGATCCGTCGATTGTTGGGTGAGCTCCCATGGCTGGGTCGACAGACTCAAAATGCTTACGAGAAAATGTCACGACTTGATGAAAGCATCAGCGGCGATTTCATTCCGTTGTCGATTACCTCATGTGGTAGCCTGGCATCTGTGTCCTGGGACGCTCTGCACGAGACTGCGGATTGGATCTCTGAATATGGCAGCAACAATTTCACATTTAGCTTCGATGTATGAAACACAGTCCTCCTTGGCGAGATACTGTCTCATATAACCACGAGTCTTGAGGCAGTGTGACAGCGGGAAGGGGTTGGATCTTTCAAATGTTTTACTTCTCTTGTGGCTGATGCACCGGGCGAAGGAGAAGTGGGCCGAACTGCATGCAATTGTGCATGCATGCGATCTCAGCCTTGGACAGACATAGATCAGCATTCATCGGCAGTTACCTCGAGTCTCAGTAACCAGGACACGTGGCCTCCCAAAATGGTCTTGGATATTACATAGCACGAATTAAATGATAGTCTTTCCTACGCCATGTGTCAGTCCTCCTTCCAAGACTACAATGATCTCATACATTGAGCCAGCACAACTTCCCACATCTCGCAACAATTAATGCACGGCGGAAGTCACAGCCACCCCGATTCACGCAACTACGCCGTGTGACTCTCCCTAGGTTCAAAGATCGAGAGATCGTCGAAGCGGGAATGGATTTCGCGAGCCTGACACGAACTCCTGCTGTCGATAGGCCAGCGGCGCAGCGCGATCTGGTTACGGAATACACAATTGCCCAAAAAGGAAGTAAATTTCCGACTCGGCACGGCCCGGACTGGCTGGCAACGACACACTCGCAAGGTTCGTCGCAGCACCTGCCCAGATCTGGACTTTTGGATCTCCAGATTATACTATTGTTCGGAAAAGATGAATTTCACGAGACAAATGAAGTTGGCGTGGTCCGCTCTGAGGTTCCAACAGCCACAACTTACACCAAGTTCCATCTTCAAACACCGGCTGCTTGCGCTCCAACTCTCTTCTGGACTTTCAATTCGGCTGTGCGAGTTGGGGGCCTCTGGCAATTACACTCGTGCCTCAAAGAACCATTCCGCTCGAATCAGGGAGAACTCATGAACATGGAACAAAACAAACGCACCGCCTCGGACTCTCCATCCGATCCACCCTCTGCTGGCGAGAATGCTAGCGAGAAGCAAGACAAAACTGCCGAGGCAAGCAAGGCGGCTGAAGCCCGAGAAGAAGTCTCCCCGCAGGACATACACGGGCTGAAATGGGCCTTCTCATGCGCGGCCCTGCTCTCCTCCATCTTCCTGTACGCCTTCGACTGCACCGTCGTTGCCGACATCCAGTCCAGCATCATCGCCGAGTGGGGGGCGATAGACGAGCTGCCGTGGCTCAGCAACGGGCTCGTCATGCCGGCCACCGCCTTCGTGATGCCGTGGGGCCGCCTGTATGGCCAATTCAACGCCAAAGTCCTCTACCTAACCTGCGTGCTTCTCTTCGAGGTGGGCTCGGCCCTCTGCGGCGCCGCGCCTAATGTCGACGCCCTGATCGTCGGCAGGGCCATCGCTGCCGTCGGCGGCGCGGGTATATATATGGGTGTCATGACACTCATCGCCGCCACCACCACCATAAGGGAGCGGCCCTTCTATGTCGGCCTCACTGGTCTCACGTGGGGAATCGGTATTGTGCTCGGTCCTGTTATCGGAGGCGCCTTCAGTATATCCGCTGTCGGATGGCGCTGGGTATTCTATATCAACCTCCTCGTGGCCGTCCCAGCGGTGCCAGCCTACGTCTTCCTACTGCCCAACCACATCGATCCCAGACCGGAGATAACCTCGTTGCGCGCCCGCTTTGCAGAGATTGACTACGTAGAAAAAGTCCTCCTCATCGGCGGCCTCGTCAGTTTCATCCTCGCCATGAACTGGGGTGGCGTCGTCTACCCCTGGGACTCCGGCCAGGCGATTGAGTGCTTTTGCGCATCCGGTGTGCTATTCATCGTCCTCGCCGTCCAGCAGGTCCGCAACATCGCTACAACCCCAGCCCGTCGCATCATCCCCGTACAGATCCTCAGTAACCACGCCGTCCTGATGCTCGTCGCCTGCTGCGCGTCAGCCGGTGCCACCGCCTTCGTGCCCATCTACTTCATCCCGACCTTCTTCCAGTTCACAAGGGGGGATTCGCCGCTAGACGCAGGCGTGCGCCTCCTCCCATTCATTGTGGTTATGGTCGTCTTCATCATCATCAACGGCAGTCTGATGGGGAAGCTCGGGTACTACACGCCCTGGTTTACGGCCGGCGGCCTGCTCGCTTTGACGGGCGCGGCGCTCGTGTACACGGTGCGCGCGGACACTTCTCTGGCACGAATCTATGGGTACACGGTCATCCTCGGATCCGGGGTCGGCATGTGGCTGCAGGCTTCTTTGTTCGTACGAGGTTCCGCTACTCTGGACTTCTATGCCAGAAAAACAACGAAGGGTTGACTGAGTCCGAGCCATGCTGGCTTCATAATTCCTACTCCGCCGTCCTTGCCTTCTCCACTGCTTCCACGATGTGGAGAAGGTTTTCCCTGGAATTTCCAATAACCGCCTCCAAGTAGTCAATATTCACACGGCCTAACCGACATCCCGGGTCCAAGTGCCTCAGCATGTCCTGGCCTCTTGCACTGATCAAGTTCAGCAGCTGATAAGCCCGCCTCACCAGCTGGACCACCAGCATCTTCCTCCACTCCCGAACCTCCTGGTCACCCGCACCTACCTCAACCTCGTACGACCCCATGCTCACTCTGATGGCTGCGTCAAGATCGCCCTTGGCCACGTACTCAAAGCACCCATCCACCTCCTGGAAGACAGCCATAATGCAGATCAAGTCGGTGCAGTTGACATTGCAAGTCCCGCAGCCAACAATACCCTCGCACTGCCGGAGCACGTCGCTCGTCGCTCGTCACACGGAACACCGCATCCAGCCGCCCCTCCCGTAGCGCCGCCCTGGCATTGGGGATAAGCTGGGCGAGCCCCCCCACGGCACTGGCAGCTCTGCGACGCGAGCTGGTCCTGCCAGGGGAGGTTGTCTGCGGTGGCGCTGGTTATGACGGGGAAGAGGCCTAGGCTCTCGAGGGAGGGCTGCTGCTGGGAAGCTGGTGTGGGAGCGCTTGGGAGTGTCGTGGATAGGTCGAGGATCACAGCAGGGTCTGCCGTGCTCCAGTCCATGAACTGTTGCCGCTGCTCTAGGGTATTGGTCGGGTGGTCGATGTTGGCCATGCTGCTGAAGTGACAATAGTTTTCTGAAAGGAAGAGATATTTTCGCTTGCGAGCTCATGCGTGTCATCAGCCAGGACGTCGGGGTCCCGAATCTCTTCCGGCGTTGTCGTCCGGCCCGGGTCCGAATTACTTGGAGTGGCAGCAGGACCAGGGCACGGAGCCAGTTGTGCGTATCTGCAAGGGAGTCCCCGACTGGTGCATCGCTCGCATTTGTTCTGCCCATCTCCATGACACCTAACTTTGGCTATGCGGCATCTCTCGCAAGCTGTCTTTGGCCGCCGGAGCTGTGACCTCACAGCCCGTCGCGGAGAGCTCTGCCATTTCTGGACCAAAAGTTCTTGGGTATCTCTTGTCTGCGGGGACCATTAGGGTTGTGGACAGTCTGCGGTGGCATTTTTGTTTCTGAGTGGGGGGCAAAGAGATGCCTATGGTGGAGGTCGGTCGGGCAGGGTGAGAAACAGGCATGAGGTGATTTTATTTGCAAGCTTTGCAGACCGTGTTACATCGAGCCCCATGCACTACCCCATGACAGCGACCGTCGTAAGCCAATAGAGACTCGATGTCTAAATGAATGGATGTACAAGCCCAGGCGGATTTCAATCTGGGATTCCTTTCATAATAACTTGGTTCGCAACATGAACAATCCACGCTCGCGTGGCCGGCCTACTTTCAAGAATGTGTTGTGCTCGTTTATCCTATCAGACTCTGTCGAAGCAAAACGTGGTGCGATGCTCGTGGGAATCCATCTCCTAGCTCTTAAAGCAGCGGCCGTCGTCCAGCCCCGATATGATCCACGAGTCTGTGAGAAATGGCGATTCAACTAGAATGCCACAGGCGGATCGTCGCTCGCATGTGTCGGCCATTGCCCCCCATCGTTCGCGTGGTTCTCATTCCCAACATCCCAAAATTCCATGTTTTCCATCAATGATTGAGTCAAATACCTGGGAGCGATTTCCTCACATGAACAACCGCCACACCGCAAGACCCAAGGCCACAGCCAATCCGACCATCCCGTCACCCACCACTCCATCCCTGGCAGCGTCAGAAGACACGTGAAAGATATTCGGCTTGACGGTGGAGTTTTTGTAGCTGGCGGAGGTCGACACGCAGAGCTCGAACTCGTCCAACAGCATGTCCCTGTCGGTCGTCTGGTTGGTGTACCGGGGCGGCAGGTCGCACCACTGCCAGCAGGCGCCGGTGGCGCTGTTGCTGGCCAGCCTCGCGGGGCTGGGCTCGCAGCAGCTGACCATCCAGGGGTCGGGGATGTCGCTGGCGTTGGTGTTGGCGCGCGGGATGACGGCGTGGAGGGACTTGCTGTCGATGTCGAGGTCCGCGTCCTCGGGTATGGCGTTGGTCGGGCAGGTTATAAAGGACATGGTCGCACTGGTGTGGTGGAAGATGCTGTTTTAGAGATGGCTGAGGCGGGTAGCCTGGTGGAAAGTGCGGCCATACGGAAATTTAGGTGGTGTTGCGTGCAGACTAGGGATGTCGTCAAAGCTGGAGAAGGACTTTTGGAAGTGGTCGTCAGTCGGAAAGGTGAGAGTTTGTGGAATTGACAGGTCAGAAGGGGGTTGGGTAGGAGCTGTCGCCTCGAAGGTTTATAAGAAATAATATATATCTTTTTAAGTATAATTACTTTAATAATGCTTTGCTATAAATGCTTGCTATATTTACTTAAAAACTAATATGGTTCGCTCTGCTTACGAGAAATAGCATGCATCTCCCTGAGTGTAATCACCTGCTTCGCGGGCTTAGAGAATGATATGGTTCGCTCCGCTCACAAGAAATAGCATGCATCTCCCTAGGTATGGTCGCCCGCTGCGCAGGCTCAGAGAATGGCATGGTTCGCTCCGCTCACGTAAGATTGATAGGGGATGCCCAACGAAAAAGGCGGCGAACGTAAGTACCACTACTTTCCAAATCTCGTTGGACAAGCCCGTGTTTGGAAGACGGATGTCACGTTGCTAACTGACAACAGCCAGTTGCTAAATCTGTTTTCCCATGGTTCCACAACCAACAGTGCCCAGCTTATGTACGTAAGTGGCGGCCTGTTTTGTACGTGGATTAGCGGCTTGGCTTGCTCCCTCGTTCATACAGCCAGACCATCGCAGAGCCTCAAAGGCTGAAGTTTCCAAAGGATTACCCGTACAATAGTGTATTCTAGCCGTCCTTGAAGGAAAATAGTCATGGCGTACCTGTGCAACATCATCATTAAAACGGTCGTGAACCGTGATCTAACTTACAGCCTCTCGTCTCCACACAAATGGCGTCGAAGGGAGCTGAGCTGAATTTCCGCCAAGATAAAAAAAAAAGATATCATGAGACCAGTCACGGAATGTTTTCCACGTGCAGTAGAAAAAGCACATAATGACATATCATCGTGCGAAATCAGGAGAGTGAGTTTGATATTTCCAATTGCCTTGCTAGTGTATTGCCAACCAGACTTGAGTTTGGAAGGTAAACATCCGCCTATGCTGCTTCAGGTTCAGTCCTGAAGTCCAGCAGGATGCCTTTGGTTCGGCATTCCTTCCGGCCACTGCCTGTGTCCCTCCTCCATTTATGCAAATTTCCAAAAATTCACAACCTCGAGCGGCGCCATGAAATGTGTTATCAACAGGCGCCACCCCAATTATGCTTCGCAAAACTCCATGAACGCCATGCTCCAACCTAAATCCAGCGAATGTTTGCCTCGGTCGCCACTACACGCATCATCGTCAGTCTCACCCTCTCGCAGACAATTTGTCCCATTCGCGAGCTCTCACCTCTACTAGACGAGACAGACAAGGAACGGAGCGCAGATGAGCCCCGCCAGCTGCAGCACAAGCTGGATGACGAGGGCCACCAGGCTCAGGACGAGGTCGACGACGATAATGATAGGACCGAATATGAATCCGAGGATGACGGCACCCACGAGGACGACGGCCTTTCCTGCCTTCTTGGCGAGCCGCTTCAATGACTCCCGCTTTGCCGCCCACTTCGCCCGCCGGGCGTCCCGCCTTGCCTTCTTGACATCATCTTTGTTGGTTGTGTCGGCGTCGACGGTGGGTTTGCCTTCGACTGTCGGCTCTTGGACAATCTCGGGCGATGGGGTGCAAATGGACGATGGTTTCTCGCTGGCTTCGCCCACAGTCTTCGGTTTGCTCACCCGTGACCTCAGCTTCTGTAGCTTCTGGTCGAGGTGAGAGGAGGCTGTCTTCAGAGGCTTGGTGATTTGTGAAATCTTGGACGACTTGGTTCTGGTCGAGTCTGTGTGCTTCATGGTGTGGGGTGCTCCTCCAGAGTCGCGGCTTTGGTGACTTGAGACACGGCGGACGAGGTGGTTCTGATCGATCCTGGTCGCTGCATGATGGTGTTGGTAGGAAGAAGTTCGTCTGCTGAAGCGATGGGAATGCTTTCACAGGTCGAGGTGGCTGATGGCGGTGAGCTTGGTACTGAAGAACAATTGTTTGTCTGGCCTCTCAGTATTTTTCTCGTAGAAGACTCTGGCCCAAGGAATTTTTTGACACAACGGATATACAACAGATCGAGAGGGTCGAAGATGCGGAAAGGAAGGAAGGAAGAACGTTATCGTTGTCGCAAGCCCACGTATTTGTATTTCCCAGGCCACACGCCGCCCAGCCGGCCGGCCGGCAGAAAGGCTGTTGGGAACAAGTGAATTGTTCTGGGTGACAAAAGAACAAGTGAATGGAACAAAGTGAAGTTAGCTTCTTGGCCTCGAGGAACCAACACGGCGACCAAGAAGAAAAAGGTGGCGCTGCCACAAAGCCACTAGCAGTATTGTCCTGCCCCTCTCCACCTATTTTATACTGGTAGGTCATCACAACGGCCACTTTCTCGCAACGGTTCTCATGGATGGTTGGCCCTTCTGGCTTGTTGGTGCAGTGCGTAACAAAAGTCCACCTAGGTAACATGAGTGAGCCTTTCCAGGCTACCTCGCCCGGATTGCAACCTTCTATGAACTCCTTAGATACCGTTCGCTCTTTTTATGGGTCTAACATGCTGACAATTGCTACCTCATTTGAAGGGTTCCGTACCCTCTGCCACTCCACCCCTTATCCCCGGCTGCCTGAGTCTCGGTCTGTGAGCCACGTGCCCTCAACCCAAGCGAGCCTCGAGCTCCGTACGGGGTGTAACTGTGGAGTTGAGGCCCCACTCTGTCTCGTCGTCTCAGACTGGGGGCCGTCTCGCTTACTTTCACACCGGCAATGTGTCTGCGACGGTTTGATGTCAGCAGAAGTTCCCGAAAATCGTCGACCAGCGTCCGATTACCTATCCCTTACCACCGGTAGGATACATCTGATAAATGGCTCACGCAAGCATGCGAAGAGGCTCGCCGGCAGTTTGAACACCCGCGCAGTGAGATAAATGACCAGTCACACCCGGCTGAAAGCGGCTCTGCGACAGCGTGCGGCGTGCGGCGTAGTGAAGGCAGATAAGCCTAGGAGGGCATTCTACTGACATTTCTCGAGCTGTTGCAAGTGTGGACCCGCTCGGGTACCCCGAGCACTACAGCGCCCGGTTTTCTGGGTACCTTGGCTGCCTTCTTGATCTTCTTCCTGAATGACGCTCGTCGTGCTGCCCACTTTGCCTTCATCGCGCCCCGTTTGGACCTCTTCTGCTCCTCCTTGTCCGAGGTGGGTTTTGTGTTGGTTTTCGTCGGTTCCAACCTCCTCGGCCATCTTCAGCCCCGAGGCGGTCGCAGCCTTTTCGTCATTCTTCTATGCTGTCTTTGTGGTGTCATATTTGTTGTGATTTTTCTCATCAGCGTTTGTGATAGTGGCATTCTTTTCGTCGTCCTGCCTGTTGACCTTCGCGGTGGTGTCCGGCGTCTCGGCGGGCCCCGTCTCAGCTGTCTTGGTGGTGTCGCAGCTTTAGCTTCAGCTTCTCAATATTTGCGTCAAGCCCCGAAGATAGACTTTTGATGGGGTGACGTTGGGAGAAATTGTGATGGGTCTGGTCTCGTCGGAGGTGACCGCGCTCTGGTGTATGTTTGTTTTACAGAGCTCGAGGTCTCTGCGGAGTTTCTGGAGCGATTATATATTCACCTATCAGGTCGCACTCCTGGACTACTGTCCAAATCAGCGAGCTTGAGTTGTGTCCAGCACGATCTGGGTGTGTGAGTTCTTGCCAGTATACGATAGTGACGATAGTCTCACCGGAATGGAGAATTTCAAGGACGGTCTCGAAGCGAGGTGACTAATTTAAGGGGCAGAAGCAATGGTTCATCTCAAAATGGCCATTGGTCTGGTAAAGAAGATCGAGGAGAAGTTTCAAAGTAATAATGTAATAGGGTCATCACACAAAGGGCAAGTATCATAATTGGGTTCACAAAATGTTCATTCATTTCGTGTCGTACTCGCTGTACTGAGCGTCAGCAAGCACCAGATGAGTATCATTCTCAGACCTCCGCCATTGCTCAAGCGGATAAGGCTCGCGCCAGTGTGTGTCTGGAAGATGGGTAGCATTGGTTTCGTACCCATAAGCCGTCTAGCGATCGGCTCAAACCTTCCTAAAGGAGTGATTCTATGTCTCAAGGGGTGTACTGTATCCTAAAAATCTCCTGTCCTACTCTGATGTCGTAAAGTTCGTGAACGATCCACCTGTCCCCGCGCCCCCCCCCCTCCCCCATTCCCCAGTTATGCTCCTCCACTCCTACACCAGGGCTTTTTCTGCCACGACCGTAGAGACGTCGGGCCAAATCAGAACCGTCCCGTCCTCGATTCAGAGTTTAGGGATGTTCGCTTGCTCGCTGCAGTGTTGTTCTGTGCCATCAACGCATTAGCAGAGCTCTGCGCCAAGGGACACAAGACTCCGGAATTTACCTTCACTTGCACAGGAAGCACACCAGCAACGGCGCACACATGAGCTCAAAGGCCGTCACCACCAGCCATACCACCGACCTGACCGCACAGAGGAAAAGGTCGAACACCAGAATCAGCGGAGCGAACACGATGCCAAGCACCACCGCGACCGGAAGGAACAGAGCCTCTGCGAGCTTCTTCGCCTTGGTCTTGAAGTTTGTTCGTCGGGCAGCCCACTTGTCCTTTCTCGCCTGCTTCCTCGCCGCCCGCTTTGCTGCCTTCTCTTGTTTGTTGAGTTTCTGGAAGGTGCTTGGGTGATCGAGCTTCTGGCCCTCCTCTCCAGCGCGCTTGGGGTTCATGGTGATGTTCTGCTCCTCCTCGTTCGTGTGCTCTTGATTGATGGTGGCGGTCTGGCTATCCTCTTCAGTTCTCTTGGGCTGGATGGCGATGACCTGATCCTGCTGCTCGGTGTACTCCGGCTTGATGGTGGTAGCCTGGTCCTCCTCTTCAGCGCTCATGGGGTGGACGGTGATGACCTGATCCTGCTGCTTGGTATGCTCTGGATTGGTGGTAATGTCCAGGATCCCCTCTTCAGCGAGCTTGGGCTCCATGATGATGGGCTGACCCTGCTCGTTGTTGTGGTTTGGCTTGATGGCGACCTCGCTGGGTTTGTCGGAGGCCCGCTTCTTGTGCACTTTGCACTTCGCCTTGTCAAGTTTGGCTCTCAGCTTGTTGGTGAGCTTCTTGAGGGTACTGGTAGAAGGAGACATGGCAGACGAGTTGTTGAGGGTGCTGGTAGAAGGAGATATAGTGGACGAGTTGTTGAGAGTACTGGCAGAAGAAGCCATGAAGGAAGAGTTGTTTTGGTTGATGAGGAAAGGCTGAATTGTTTAGGTGGCTGTGTTCAGGAACACTGGGGTGCAGCATAAATCCGGCAGGGTGACTGTGTATTCTGTGGGAAGGGTCAGATACTCTTCAGATTCCAAGTTCGGCTGTTGGCTCGAGGATGGCGGGTTGGCGTAGGTCAGCGGAGGTCACTTACTGTCCGCCCTGTCTGTTCAGGTGGTGATGGTTCGTTTTCTCGACTGGGCCGACGTCGCAACTGCTGCCGACGTAGTACTGACTAGCTCCGGAGGAGATGTGCAGAGAGGATCTTCAACAGAAGGTGGCCAAGTCAGGGGAAGAAGAGACAGTTGTTCCCGGAGAGAGGAAGAGAGAAGGTATCAGATTTGTTGTGTGGAGGTTATCAGGGTTTTTGTGTCGAAGGTTTTGCAGACGACGGAGATGTGCGACAGCGAGACGAGACTGTGAAGTCGAGTGAGTTGTTGAAGGAAGGAAGGAAAAAGGATGAGTTGAAGTTGTCGGGGGGGGCCACATATTTAAGCTTTCCTGCCTCTCGCCGTCGGCCAGCCGGCAGGCAATTGAAAACAAGTGAATGGCAACAAGTGAATGGTAACTAGTGAATGGAAGAAGTGAATTTAGCTTATTGCCCTTTTAGGAAAAAGTGATGTCGTTGATGGTGGGGCATCGCGTGGCAGGTGGTCCGCCCAGCAACCACGGCGCGCGCGGCAAGGACCAAGGCTAAGGCCCTGCTAACTCACTACATACCGTGGAGACGCTTTCGGCCTCTATGTCGAAGTGATTCATCAGGGTGGTGGGGCATTTGGGCAGGCAGCTCGGTGGTGACAGATTGTGGTGGCGGCCTGGTGCGGGCGAGACGTGTGGGTTGATGTGGCCGATATGGCAACGGAGGACACGATGTTTACATCATAGTTGCAGCAGCACACTTTCAGAAATCAAATTCACTACGATCAATCAGAGAAGTGAGTCACGATTGGCGTTTGCCACGGCCCTGGGAAACTTGACCATCTTGACGGCCAGTCCAAGCCCAGCAAACTAGCCAAGACAAGCACGTCAAGCAAGTAGAGCAGAAAAGTTTTACGTGTTATTTTTGGTTCTCGTGGATATGACTGTCGTGTCTGTCCCATGGTTGCAATGACTTGAGGGTTCCCAAAACCTGCTGAGTATCGAGTCTGCGGTACTATGCCCCCATGTACCGGTTGAGATCGAGAAAGTCCGCGAGGCCGTCGGCCTTCTCACTGCGCTGTGCTTGGACAGACCATCGCCTCAGGATGCGAAACAGCTCCGGCAGTTTGTCGCGCACCACATCCACATTCTTTTCCTTTGTCTGGCACTTCCTGACCATCAGCCCGACGTGTAAGAAACGGTCTGATTCATACGTGTATAGTCGTATAGGGCGCCAATCCGTGCGTATGAAACCGAAGACTCTTGCGATGTCTTGTCCGAGCAGCGACCAGCCCTTTTCCTTGGGAATCTTGACTCTGAAACAATATGAGCCATGACCACGCCTGAGCCGTTTGCTAACATTGGAGTACCAGATGTTGTTCATGAGGCTGACGTCCATGAGCTGTTCGTCTTCGGCGGTCAAAGTGGCACCCCATTGCTTGTATGTGCGATTCGTGTCGCGGGACGCTGGTGGCACCCTCTGTTCGTCATTTCCGCGTCCTTTCTTGCGTGAGGTGGTGTCGGGCTCGTCATTCTTTCTTTTCCCAAGGATTGAATTGTTTTCTGATGACTGTAGTTCCGCTTTCAGCCGCTGCGCCAGTAGCGCCAGCGGGTCGCTAGGTACGGCCGGGGCGTTTGGGGTTCCCGGCGGCGAGGTCTCTGTCTTCACAAAGGCCGGTATGGTATGCAACGCCAGCTTGACACCCTCCTCGGGGCTGCTCTCCTTCTTGATCATTCCTAGAACCTCTGCCTCGGTCTTGCCAATCGCCTCCAGAAACTCCGTCGAGAGTGGCCCTCCAACTACAGCCGCGCTGAAATTGTAAGGGAAGGGTGTGTGATCTGATGAAACCACGTCAGCTTCGCCATTGAAATCGAATAGAAGGACTCGATGGGGGGGGGGGGGGGGGGGGGTTCAGTCTTGTGAGGAAAGAATAGTACTAACCATCGTCTGTCAATCCATCCCAAACCAGTTCAGCAAACCACTGGACAAACTGCTCAGCAGAACACGGTTGCCGGCTCTCCTCCCAACCTCCATCTGCCATTTTGAGAGCATTGCACGTCGCTTCTGTCTCATAGTTCTCCAGGATGGTACGAGCCTCCCAGTCAGACTTGCCCCTTCCCTGGAGGAACCCACGTGCATGGGCCATGAATAGCTGCACCACCTTCTTGGTCTCCTCAGAGACCTTGTCGTAAGAGGGCGGCAGCATTTTCTCGACACCGGTTGAAACGCTTCATTGAAGCAATAATAGGGGAAGATTGACAAATAAGCATCAATACGCAATGAGTGCAGTCGCGACGCTGGTTGTTGCTGTTGTTGAATCTGTCGCTTTCGCTTCAGCGGGGAAGGTTTCAAAACTTCAGAAGCGCGACCTCGAAAGTCACAAACGGTCGGGGGCTTGGGCTGTAAACAGAATTAGCGCCACACAGAATCTTATCTTCAACCAGATAAGCAACTCTATGAGAGGGTAGACGATCGAGCAAGTACAGGGGAGGTCATTGGGTTGTCATCTGGATGGTTTCTGAGGCAATGGGGCAGACCTCCTCGATGTCCCATGAGAACACCGACCGGCCAGTTCAGGGCTGTCTTCTCTAGTCTCAAGACTTCAGTGGCCTCGTATGGCCATGAATATCGTCGGATATGAGACCTAGATCTGCGGTCGAGCTGCTGTTCCGTCGGGATTTCCCAGTCGTCACCCGCGAAGCCACTCGGCCGTTATAATCATCACATTGACCCATTAACCCCTTCATCTCCACTGGATCCTCAGTAGCGAGAGATGACGATGTAGAATATGACAACCTGGTTCTCGGATTCCATCGTTGAACAACTTGTTTGCGCAGCTTAGGCAAGAGACATGTAGGAATCCAAGTAGAAATCGCAATCATGCATGCAAAAATACCCGTCGGCGTCACCATTTCCATGGCAACAAAATCCACATGCATGAAGAATTTGGGATCTCATCTTGGGTCTCATGGGGAGAGAGGTTGCTCATGAGTGGGCCCTTTTGAATTTGTACGAAAGTATGAAAGAAAACGTGTCATGACATGGTCTTGTCAGAGCCGGCGAGGCAGCAGGAAACAGCGCCAAAGAGCGCCAGCCCCAAGAGTGGAGTCGAGTAAAGATCGAGGTTGGGGCCGATGCCGTCAACGGTGTATGCTGGCTTGGCTGCAAGCTTAGGGATTGCCAATATCGTAGTCGTGGCATGGAGAGTGATGACCAGGCTCCCCGGACTTACAGTGACACGCTCCGGAGAGGCCCATCCTCCTCTAACACGCGAGATCAAGGACCTTGGAGAGGAGGTCGATCTTCTTGTCCAGGACATCCTCCTTCTCAGACAAGGCATCCACCTTCTTGGACAGAGCATCCATCTTGTCCAGAACATCCATCGTCTTGTATAGGACATTCATCTTGAAGTCCCGCTGCGGTGGTGGAGGGCAGCCGGCGATCCGTATCTTCTCCGGCGCACGAATCTTTGCACGTTGGTTCTGTTAACAGATAGAAGTCAGCTGTTTGTTATGCAGAGATGCAGTGCTCCTTTATGGCTTACAGAGTCAGCCATGATGTCTTCGTTGCTGTAATGGGTAGATGTGGCTGTTTTGGTTGGTAGGTAATGGATCGAGTTGCTGGTGTTTGGATCGAGGGCAGGTAGCGACGAATCTGCAGGGTTTAAATAGTGCACGAATTGACCGTTTGTCGGGTCCACAGTACGGAAGAAACAGGATGAGGGGCTCAGCACAGAGCGAGGCTTCACTGCTGGTGGTAACATCACTTGGGCTGGTCTGCTTGGAAACAGAAAAACTAGGGCATTTTTCAGTGAATAAACAATCCCACTCTGCCCAGGCGAGACCAGACGAGCACCTGATTTGAGCTTGTAGGGGCGACCCTACCACCTCGTCGGTTGTCCCATGTCTGGCCTGACTTTTGTGGAACGGCCACTCTGCCTGGTAGAGACTCCAAACCTCTCTCAGTTAGGGGAGCTGGAGCATTTACGTTCCCTGAGTCCTCATCTTTCCAATTCCCCATGAGATGGCCTAATCATGAATCCCAATGCTATCGACAGACATGACGGAGTGTTCAGAATGCCGAAAACGGGTCGTCACGAGAGACAAGGTGATCTGGGGAAGACTAGGAATAGGATTGCTGATGATAGTGGCTGGAACAAGCGATGAAAGGCTGTCGGTACTCGATGCTTGAGCGGATTTGGGATGGGACTGCTGATGATCGATCTCGGGATGAGAGTACGTGTGACATGCGAGCGAAGCTCCTCTTCGGCCTGTCTCTCCGCCTCCCCGGTCTGTTCGGTCTTCTCTTCGGCCACCTGGACCTTGGTCTCGAGCTCGGCGTGTTCATTGCGCTGCACTTCTAGAAGGTTATCGAGTTTTGCTTGAAATTCATTATACAATGAAACGGCCTTTTCTCGGGTACGACTGAGTCCCTGCTCGCACCACTCCACCTTGCTTGGGGCAGGCGAAATGAGGTGGGCCGACGCTTCTCGCATCTGATAGTTGTCGTTTGTATTCTCGTTCTTGTGATGAAAATATCAGCTGCTTGTTATACGAAGACGTGGTGCCGTGACCAACTTACAGGGTCAGCCATGATGTTTTCGTTGCGGTGGTGTGTTGTTGGTTTAGTTATTTTGGTTGCCACTGCTGGGTTGTGGTGGAGGTTGACGGTGTTGCAGTGTGGATGGAAAGAAAGAAAGATTGCCCTCTCAACCTAAAGGGCTTCCTGGAAGGGGACCAGGTACCTAGGTACGAATCTTGTGAATGGTTTGCAGTACGTGAGACGACCCATTCACTCAGGCATTTCGACAACCGGGTCTTCAGTCCCGATGTCCACTACGTGATCAGTCCACCGGCCAACAGTAATGCCAAATAGCCTCCAATATGATGACCTATGAGGGTAAAACCCCATGGGACATTCAACTGCAAGACAATTGGCCGTCCATGGCAAGGTTTCATATCAAGAATTCACTCATACCTGTCTACATGTGCGTCCTCGAGATCTTGATCCAAAGCACGCAAACGAGAGCAAGAACAAGTCCTAGTAAGATATCCATATTCATTCGTGCGTGTAGGCGTCGTATACCAGCCATGAGGGCATTCATCCAAAAGGGTATGTAAAAGGCTCCCAAGTATAAACACGAAAACCGAAAAGAACGAAGAAGAGCAGAAAAGGACACGCACACACGAAAACTCCAGGCCCCCTTTCCTCGCCACGGTCCCAATCCGGCCGTACATCAATCAATTTTGGTTCCTCGACTCAGTGACTCCAACGAGGTAGACAGACAGTTTCGAGTATTTGAAATCATCGGAAGTGTCGGTCGCCCATGAGGAGCACGAGGCAGAATCCTCCAAGTCGCACCAAAACAGTCTTATCCAGTATGAAGAAGAAAACAAAAAAAGCAGTCAAGCTCAAGCCGCCGCCCACCCGCACTCACTGAACCTGCCTGAATTTGAAACGTCCAAGTGAATGGCAAAACCAGCATACAAAAAAAGGAGCCAGTTGGTCTAGATCTAGAAGGAATATCCAAAGGTGCCATCCCATTTCATCCGCTAGGCCCACGCGGAGAGTGCATATGAGAAAATAAAAACCAAGCATTGCTCCCGATCCGCCCGCCTGTGCGTACCAAAATCTCGTCACAAAGAGTGGCTCTCATATGCCGCTCCCGTTTTACTGCCGTACCCGAATAAGAGAGTCATCCCATCAAAAGCGTAACAACATCGTGGTATCTCAGAAGTAGAAAAAAGTAAGCAAAGATCTGTTGGTGAGTCATCCCGGTTGATCGATCGTGGAGGAGCTCCACCCAGTCACGTATTAGGATCGTAGTCAGGCCGGCTGTGTCGACAGCTCGAGGCGATTGACGTCAAGGTGCTGCGGGCTGACTGCCGGCGATAGTCATATAGCCCTCCCAGCCCGTTCCATCAGTCCTTCTCCTCGGCAATGCTCGTCATGCTCATGCTATGTCCGTGCACGCCGGCGCCGCCTTCGAGAAGAGGCTGGCTAGGAGGCGGCATCATTACTTTCATCGCTGTCGCACTTCCCCCGGTTGAGCTGCTGTTGCTTGCAGAATTGGCGTTGGTGGCGGTAGTATTCTGTGCGCTTGCCGAGGTGGGCGACCGAGTCGCCTTGCTGCCGTTGCCGGTACTTTCCACAGCACCTCCCTGGGTAGGCCGAGAGCTAGTCACGGTATCCACGGTGTTGGAGACCTCACGATGAAGAGGAGAAGATTGTTTTGGTGAGCTGGACTTCTTGGAGAGTGAATCGCCGTTGCCGCCCCGGGACGAATTGCGAGGCGAGACTCTGCCGGTCTGTGAAGGGTCAAGTCAGTAAATGCTGCGAGGGCAGGGGGAGGGGGGGGCCACCGCTGAGGTGCAGACGCAAGGACCATTCTTACCTGCTTGGCGTATCGCAGACCACAGCTGTTGCACAAGTCTCGCTGCCCACTTGGCCCTCTGCGCCACTCGGGGGTGTTTCGGGTGTGGCAATTCGCGCAGTCCCGGACCACGTTTCCCACGCCTTTCCTCCGCTTCCTCTTCTTCTTGTTACTTAACAGCTGGCCCAGCTCCTCTGCTAGCAGCCTGTTGACCTTCTCCATCTGGCGGAGCTCATATTGCCACGAGGAGCAACGAGTCGTCTTGAGCTCGTCAAAGATGTTGTCATCACTGGCAAGAGCGGCATCCTGGTTACCGAGAACCAAGCCACCGCCTTGGGCTTGAGAAATAATACCCTGGTCTGCCCCAGATGCGGACCGTGCTCGATTGGGCGAGGCGAGGGAGCCGTGTGATGGCTGGAGGGCGTCCTCGGGCGGCCCGGCGCTGATGAGAGATGGGGCTTTGCCCGCGGACGAGGCGGGTGCCAGGGCCCTGCTTGACGCCTTCAGAAGCTTCGTCTGGGCCAGAAGGAAGGTCGGCTTTTGCCCCTCGGCCGCATCTCCGGGGTACAGGATAGTTTGGGCTTGCAGTATTTGACCTCTCTTGTTTTGGATCTCATGTTTGCACTTGACGATTTTCCCTTTTCGGGCCTTTTCTATTGACCGGCCGAATTCAGGCCTTGTCTCCTTTCGCATCTGATCTTGGATGCTGGTTCCAACAAGGTCGTGCGGCTGCAAGTCCAGTAATGATCGACAGTTGGACGACACAAACAAGTACATCCCGGAGGTCGAAAGTTTCGACCAGAGCTCACCGTCGCCGATGCCGCCGTTGTTCTCGATGTTACTCCTGCTGAGCGCGAAGACAGGTCGTTTTCGTCCCACCAGGATGATGCATTTCTTGCCTTTGCCTTGCTCCACAAAAAGGGATCCGTGGCTCTCGAACCAAGTGTAGCCACTCTCTTTCCTCCGTATTCGAAAGACGATGTTGACGTGATTGCCCACGGCCGTATCCTTAAGCTCCCGGGTGACAGGTACGATGTCGGATGGGTGACAGATCGAGGACAGCTGATTGCCGATGAGTTCCTTGGTGTCGTACTCCAGGACCCTCTTACACGATGGTGACAGGTACATGAACAGCCCCTTGAGCGACAAGACGTGTACGACATCATCAGCGTTCTCCAGGAGCATCTTATCCCAAGATTGCTTGTGCCAGTCGCCCAGGTTGGTTCCTCCGGGTTTCAGTTGCTGGAGAAGTGTCGACACGTCGTCGGCAGAGAGTGTTTGACCAGCGTCCGGCTCGACTCGATCGCCCTCGGGAGGGTTCCAGATATACTGCCCAATATCGCTGTGCTTGTAGTTGACCGCAACCTTGCCCAGCTCCTGACCGGCGATGGCATCGGGGCACTCGACCAAGTCAATCTGGAACCCGATGAAGTATCGAATTTCTTTGGTGTCCCAGGGGATAGGAATCATTGTGAGCAGGTTGAGGAAGGGCTTACCACCTTTGCGGTAGTTGATCAAGCTCTGTTGGACCTCCTTACCCTCTTGTATCTTCTGTTTTAGGTTGAGAACGGCATCATTTGCGACGAATTCTCTTTTCGTGCCAGCCTCAACCTTGCCATCAGGAGCCTGGAGGAATCGACAGTTCTGGCCCATGATATCATGACGACTGTAGCCAGTCAGGTTTTGAAAGTTATCCGATATATAGATGATAGGACAATCGTTCATTGTAACATCGCAGACAACAAATGCACAGGACAGGTCCACGGCTCCCAGCTGTATCTCCGGGTTCGGTCTAGTGGCGATATAATACAAGGCTCGGACCAGGTCGAAGCCACTCTTGGAGTATATGTTCTTTGATTCTGACTTGACCTCGGCACTCCCCGGTGTTGCGACTCCTGATTCAGCCTGAGGCGGTATGGGGGTCTCTGGCACGATACTGCCCCTGGCTGTGCTAAGGTCCGGTGAGACAGGTGACTGGTTGAAGGAAGTTGCGCTGGACACCTCTCGTGACAGCGCCGGGGCCATATTGTAGGCTGGCATGGCCCCGCCGGTCCCCTGAGCGGCCTGAGGGGTGCCTGAGCTGTTGCTCCCAAAATGGTTGTTTCCGACCATCAACTCGTCATCACCATCGTCTGCCAGGGCCGCCCCCGATGCATTGGCCGTGGCGACGTTCAAGGGGTTCTCTGGGTTCATTTCCATCGCAAAGTCGGGCGAAACTGGCTCCATGCCGGTGTTTCCGAATTGGGGGCTCATGTTTGGGTTGCTGAAGAGGCCCATGCCGCTCGGGTCTGACTGCATCTGCCCCATGCTGAGGTTGGAGAAGCCCATCATATTGTTCATGACGTCCGGCGACATGGCCGAGAACTCAAAGTTGCCAGTATGAGGGGGAATGGTGATGGACGAGGTCATGTTGGGCATATTGCCGTACGAAGGAAGACCGTCTGCCATTGAGGAGGGCGGAGCTGCGGTGGTCAGTGGGCTGTCGAACTGGAAGCCTCTGTAATGGTCATTGCTGCTCCCAAATTCCATATTCATGGACATCCTCCTGTCCGGTTCGTCATGGGGGGTGGGCTGGTTGGGCGAGAATGGATGCGGCACGCTCCGTCTCCTCCTAGTAGCGATGTTCTGGTTGATGATCTCGTCGAGCGAGTCACCGCCCATCATGGCCGTGTCGGGTGACATGTTGGGCATCATGGGCTGCGGCATGGTGGGCGAGCCGCGGCTTGCTTGGCCTCCTGTGTTCACGCTGGGCGGCATCATCATGTTGGCGGGCCGGCCGGGGTGCTGCCGGCGCTGCTGTGCAGCAGCGGCCTGGGCCAGCTGGTTCTGGTAGTAATCGTTCATGTTGGGGACGGCATTGAGGTGAGTTCTAACTGTGGCCGGTGCCGCGGGAGGGCAAGATGGTTAGGCTGTTTTGGTGGGTCTGGAGTCGAGTCGGGATCGAAGTATCGAGTCGGGATCGAGAAGGAGAGTGGGTCTATTCTCGCAGGCAAGAATCGAAGCGTCGAGGTGGTGGAAGCATGGGCTCCGGCTGACAGGGCCACAGGACGGGCATGAGCCCTTTTGGTGAACGATCTCGGCACCGACTGAGGGCGTGCACACGCGCAGTCAGGCTGGCGAGGGGCGGAGGCTGCTTGGGACGGCTGCGATATTGGACTTGGACGTTGGCTAGGCGGTTGGGCCGATGCAGTTCAGGGCTTGGGCGTCAGAAGTGGTCGACAGAGTTGATGACGAAAGCGACTGTGGACGGTTGCCGGAGGCCGTGGAGTGGCTGCTGGGAGGGGCACACAGGTGGCACACAGGGGAGACGGGGTTTCGAGTCGATGTGGTGATATCGTGGTACGGAGGTGAAGCATGCAGTCGGTCAGACGGGCGGTGCGATGTGAAGGGTCGAATGGGATCGAAGGCATGCGGTGCGGTTCGAAAGTGGGACTTTGGCACTTTGGCTTTGGCCCGTGGCCGTGGACGCACGCTCCAGTGTCCGCGGCATGGAGAAGAATCGTCAAGGGTGGGTACTCTGCACGTACACCTGGGCAGAGATACCTGCCTATCTTGCGCACGGGTACCGGTGCTGGTGGAGAGATTTGCTGCGTTGTGAGTGGGCTGGCTGCTGCTGGACATGTACCTGGGTACATCGGGCCGTCGGGGTATCGAGTACTTTTGGCCGGCCAAGAAACGGGGCGTGACGCGTACGGATTGGGACAAGCGTCAAAGGTATACGGAACCTTCCTGCCTGGGTGCTTCGGCAGCAGGGAGGCAGGGAGGAAGGCGCGGGGAGGAAGCCACAGGAAGGCAGGAAGAGCGACAGTCCGTCGTGACTACCCGGGGTCCTATGCCCTGTGTCCCGCATCCTCTGTCCTGCGCCCTGCACCTTTGAGACATACCACCACGCCCGTATGTGGTACAGCCCCATAGACTACATCACCTACCATGCACGTCCTCACTATTGCACTCTCACAAGCTGCAAAAGCAAGGACGGTCAATCAATCAATCATCAGCAGTCAATCTTCAGCCAACGGCACACGGCAGGTCCCGACAGTGTGCTACCCGCCCACTCTCTCATGCCGTATTATTGAGCGATACCTGTCTACCTGTCTACCTGTCAAGTCTGTCAAGTCTGTCAATCCTGGTCGACCAATCTCCCCGGTATCACTGTTGCACACGCAGACCTGCTTGCATTGTGGGAGAATTCGATCCTGCCCCGGCCAGACCATTCAAAATCCCACCCATACACCATCCGAGCTGCTCTGTCAGCCGGAACTGCTCTCACGAAAGCCCGATCCCATTGGTCAAGCCTCCTCGTGTCTTCGGATGGCCAACAGCTCTCTCGTATGTCTTCAGCCCAAAGGCATATCCGCAGTCGCCACAGGTAGTCTGTCATGCCCAAACCTTCGTTGATTTACCCGATCTGTTGTCGAGCGTCTCTGACGGCGCCCAAAGATGACCGTTATGGCACGAAAGAAGCTCAGATAGATTGGTCATGAAGCTTGCCACTAGCTGTGCATGCCGCTCTGCGCACGCTGCCGTCCTGGTCCTTTCATCACGCACGCAGAGCTCCCAACAGCTTGTGCAAAGGATGCAGCACGATGCCTGGATGCGTGACATGTAACATCAGCTATGAGCAGTCACCGTCATCACTCTGTGGCCCAGTCTAGGTTCAATCCGAAAATGATACCTTGCCGAGGACCAGGTTCAGCAGCTGGAATAGGTCAGGGCGCGGGGTGAAGCTCAGGAAGCTCAGCCAGCATGGCTCGCTCGGCTGTGCGCGCCGGTGGGGGAGTTCCATCCGCCAGATGCCACCACTGCCGCCCCTCGTCGATCCCTCCGAGTCCATTGAAACCTACCGTCTGGGTAATGGTTTCCGCTCGCGTTCGGCTTGGCGGACGGTCAATGTCGCGACTCACAAGTCACAAGTCCTTTGAGAAATTATGCCCCAATGCCTTGACGCCTCCCATCACTCCGGTGTTGTCTCAGACGGGCCTGATTTGATGGAAGGACTGTGCAGGCTTCTGGCGGCAAAGATTCAACACCACTCAGCCAAAGGCATCTTTACCAGAGAAAAGCTACACAGGCTTGATCGCTCACTAAAGAATGAAAGAAAGGAAAGAATTGCCGGCAACAATTCTACGGCAAGTCGTGTCATGACACAGCCGAGTGTTCATCGGGTTCATTGGTTCATTCCTCGCTCATCAAGAACTGTCGTCTACTTTGCTATCGCTGCAGTTGTGCTGCTCAAAAACAATACGTCCGAACAACGACAAATTCAGCACGCCGGTGAAAACCTAAAGTCCAACACCGCCGTCATCTTCGGTCTTTCCCATCAGCTTGTGAGCTCGGATGCGCATCGCAGCAAGCGTCTCTAAGATCGCCATCGTCACCTTTGCCGGAGCGGGATCCTTGACTGCTGCAGTCTTGTCGTTCGTCTCACTTCCAACAGCCGATGAGGTGCTGGAGACGCCCGGGTCGCCGAACTTGCCAGCAACAAGCAGCGAGCTCTTGACCAGGTTTTTGATCTCTCGACCGTTGAGATTGAAATCCCGAGCGAGTTGCTGGACCTGCTGCTCGGTGAGGTCGAAGGCCTCTGTCCCGCCCGACTTGTTGATGAAATTGACCCAAACCTGCAGACGGGCCTCGTCGGTGAGGTCGCCATAGGGCAGGATGATATCAATGCGGGACTGAAAAGCGTCGTCGATGTTCTCGATCTTGTTGGTCGTAAGGAACATGGTACCCTGATAATACTCGAGACGGCGCAGGAAGACTGCGGTCAAATTGTCAGCATGTGCGCTCAATCCCGCGGAGACACCCGGTCTGCCTGCTATGCCAGAAGGGGACATAAAAAGGCCACGGCCGACATGATTAAAGGGGGATCTTACTCGAAACCAGCTCGTTGCGCTCGATGCTCGTGTTCCCGCCACTGAACCTCTTACCAAGGAACACATCGGCCTCGTCCAGAAGCAACATGGCCTTCCAACGCCGGCAGAGGCCAAGCGCTTTGTCTAGAGCCTCCTCCACTTGGCTCGAGACCGAGCCCAGCTCGCCTGCACTTATCATGTAGAGAGGCACCTTGGCCATTTCGGCAATCGCCTCCGCTGTGTAGGTCTTTCCAACGCCAGGGGAGCCGCACAGGAGCATCACTAGGCCCTTTCCCTTGTCCGTCACAAAGTCATCAAATGCCGTACCGCGGTCAGAGTCGGATGCATCTAGCAGAAGGTTCTTGCTCTCGACAAATGCCCAAGCCATCTTCTTCTCGCCGGGCGGCAGCACAAGCTTGTCGTATGCGAGGTTGTTAAATGTGATATCGCGGATTCCATCCACAGGAAAGAGGCCTGTGAGAGATGGTCAGCAAGCTCAGCGACCGTGACCTTAGGTCCGGGCTACACTTACACCAGTCTTTGAACTTCAAATCGAAACCACAAACTACTCCTGATGCCAGCAAGCACTGGTCGTCAGACAATTGGGTAGACTGGGTGCTGTCTCCCATATCATCGACATCAGGTTCCGCCGCCAATGACTGCAAGGTAGGTTTCTGCCACCACTTGTTTGGATTGTTGTCATAGAAAGCCGCGGTATCGGTCATGATTCTTCCATTCGCCTGTGCCCGCCAGTCCTTGTTAGCAGACTAGGATATGAAATGAGTCGGGCAACTCGTATCGATGGCAGGCACTCACCTCTACGGGGACTCGAGTACTGATTGGGACCTTCTTGCCTGCAAACTGCTTGTAGTCGACATCCTTCATGGAGGTCCAACGCCGGCCGCGCGCAATCAGCTTGGTGCGGAGCTCTTCCTCCGAAGGACAGAAGTCAAGAGGCACAGTCTTCAAGTCCGACACCCTGATGTTCTTGTGACCGGCGTACTCCGGGATGTCGAGCGTTTTGGTGCGCAGCCCGTACGTCTCGCCGTCCCAGTCAATGTACTCGAACTTGAGTCTATGAACTTGCTGATGAAGTTTTGGGTCGAAGAAGAGGGTTCCTTCCTGCACACGGACGACGGATTGGACCGCGCCAGGCTCCTCGACGAGGATCAGCTTACCAGGCGGGAAGATCAAGTGAAGGTCTTTCCAAAGGACCAGACCCGTGTCCCTGATTCGCTTGATCGAATCCAGGGTAGGTTGGACGACGGGGGTCATAGCCGCAACGAGCGCGACCCAAGCGGCCTTCTCCGCGGCAAATGGAGTCTGCAACCTGTACTCCCGGAGCTGATCCCAGCGGCCGACGAATATGTCAAAGGGCTCGTTGAAGACCCAGGCGCTGTTCTCGGGCAAAAGCGAGGCATGAAAACCCGGGTATCCGTCAAAGACTTTGGTCAGTATGCCCTTCATTTGCTTGTTCTGGACGTCCACCCGGACGGTCTCGTTGTCGTCCTTGGGGTCGATCCGCTTGACAATGCCGTTCTCGCTCTCCATCTTTGCAATGTGCGCCTTCTCGGCCTCGGGGCTGGGCAGGGTGGACCATCGCGGCTTGCACGAGGTGCAAGACTTGTGGCAGTGTGCGTCGCAGGTGTCCATGAGGTAGAGGCAGAGCTCGCTGGTGCTGCTCATGGCCTCTGCGCTGGTCACGGTTGTCGCGCTGGTAACAGCCTTCATGCTTTCGCCGGTGGACTGGTTGGGGAAATCGACCGCGGCGTGCTCAAGGTCTGCTCCCCGCCGTAGTCCCTGCCTTAGTCCCTCACGCCAGGAGGACTCTTCATCATAGGGGCCGACAAAATCACGCCGTCTCTCAAGCATGTATTGGACAACCTCCTCCTCGTCGAGGTCGATGTCACCGGCGCGACGGGAAGTTTGCATGTTTCGAGGCATCTCGGGGCGATTGCTTTCGTGATCACTGACGCCGCGGCGAGTGTGAGGAGCGAGCAGCGCTGGCGATGCTGCTTTCTTTTCGTGCTGTTGGGGTTCTTTGGGAGATGGATGAAGACGGCAAAGAATCTCCAGGGATTTCATTCGCAAACAGTTTACGGATGAGAGGATTGCGGCATCTCAACTGCTCAAGTGAGGCTTTCCAGCCGACTTATATCCCGAGATCCTGTCACAACCACAACCTGGTACTTCATTTTCCCCTGGATGTTCACAAAGGGGACTGGGGCATCTTTCAGGAAGCGAAGGCTCCAATCATCTCGCATCAAAGCTCGAGAAGACCGAGCTTGGGTATGTGTCGGCAATTATGCGTCTGTTCCTTGTTCCTAGCCGGGCAAGTGCCTGTTCAGATGCATGATCTTTAACGTCTGTCAAGTTGCCTGTCTCTGGTGACAAAAAGGCATTGTCTTGTTTGTTTGCCATTCCAACATCTGCGGGGAGTCGGATGCGAGTTTTCGTTGTGCCTGGCCAGGCAAGTGTTTCATAAGGCTAAAGCCTCTTTGGTGTCTCGGGGATTCTGTCATTGATCATGTTGATACGAACGAGCAGACTTTGACTGCTCAGCCTTTTCGGCTCAGTTGATGATTCCCAACGCTCTGCTTCAAGCCTTTGGAAATGTCTCGGCTGCCATCTCAGGTTTGGAGAAGATTCACAAGCCAACAGGACTGAGTGGGCCGAAGTGGTCGTTCGCAAAGCGGGGCAAGGGCGCTTCATACCCCAGCTGTCTCGATGTCATGCTATTCGCATTGTCCGTTCAACATATGGCTTACAGCAGCCGGGCTTGTCTTGAGCAGTAGGCAGCTGTCTCCGTCCCAAGAATGGCTAGGACCCTTGAACAGGGGTGGTTGACGGCCGGAGCTGACCACTCTGGCATCCCGCGCGGCTCTCATGAGCCTCTCCGCACGTGTGTGCTTGGCTTTGGCTGTAAGATCACTCCTTGAAGGTTTCTTTCAGCTCCATTCTGCTTCGAGTGCTGGACTTGGACTTTCTCTGGTCAGTGGCAATCGGACAATTGTTCACCATTCGGAATAATGGCCTGTTTCTCGGACATAACGGAGCTCAGTCAAATCCGGCTCCTCCCTCGTGCTTCGTGATTAGTTGGGGCCGACTTGATCATGGGCAGTCCCGTGGTCTCCATCCCGGGTGCGGCAGCCCGGGAGCTTCCCCGAATCTATTATTCCTTGCTTCCGCCGCTATCATTGGTCGGCCACACTTTCCACTGGGCAAATGTCACCTCAATAGGGTTTATGTGACGGCTATATAAGCTGTTGGCCATACCGAGCTGGTATACACATGTCTACTAATATCGTGCGAGCTGCGCACAGCCGATCGGATATATAAGAAGTATCACAGCACTTCTCCGAGCCGAACCACGGCTTTTCGAGGAGACATTGTAGAACTGTGCAAGCCTAGACCTCGAAATAAATTATAAAACAACATGGCATCTAATGAAGACATCGACACTCTTCTTGATCGACTCGACAAGGTGGCCAGCCAGAGCGATGAGGCTCGCAGTGAGTTGCTCGACGGCTTGCAGAGTCTCCAACTGCGGCTCGAGACACCAGAAGACCTCAACCTACGTTTGGTGAACCTACAGATTCAGCTCACTGGAGCCCAGGTTGCAGAAGACCTGAAGTTGTTCCAGATACTTGCCGAGAGCACACAGCCCCTGACAGTGGGTGAACTGTCTGGCAAGACAGGCGTCGAGGCTTCTCTATTGCGTAAGCCCGGTCAAACTGATCTTCCAAGTGGATGAATGAATGAAATACTGAAATGCCCACAGGTCGAATCCTACGATATCTCGCATCGGTTGACCAGATCCAAGAAACCGGCCAGGATACCTTTGCCGCGAACAAGACCACCAAGACACTTGCCCGTCCCGAATACGGCGGGCTCATCTACCACTCCTTCCACACGGTCGGGAACCTGCTGCAAGTCTTCCCCGAAGTGCTCGCCTCGGCAGGGTACCGCGACGTGGAGCAAGTCCCCCACACAGCCGTCAAGAAGGCCTTCTCGACCGACCTGACGGGGTTCGAGTGGCTCCGGTCGAGACCCCAGAAGTTCAAAGCCTTCCAGCAGGCCATGTCGATCGCCCCGCAGGCCCGCATGCCGTGGTTCACCGTGTTTCCCCTCGAGGCGGAGCTGGGCAGCTTCTTGAAGGAGAGTTCGGCCCCGGCGTTCGTCGACATCGGCGGCGGCTTCGGCCACCAGTGCGCCGCCCTCGCGGCCGCCTTCCCCTCCCTGAAGGGTCGCCTCGTCCTCCAGGACATGGCGCACACGCTGGCGATCGCGCCGAGACTGGACGGGGTGGAGGCCATGGCGCACGACTTCTTCGGCGCGCAGCCGGTGCGGGGCGCGAGGTTCTACTACCTCCGCAACGTGCTCCACGACTTCCCGCGCGGGAAGGCCGTGGCGATCCTGTCGCGGGTGCGGGAGGCGATGGGGTCCGGGTCTCAGGTCCTTGTGGACGAGATCGTGCTGCCGACCCGTGGGGCGCACTGGCATGCTACGTCTCTGGATATGGTCATGATGACTAGTGTTGGGGCGATGGAGCGGACTCTTGATGAGTGGGAGGAACTGCTTAATGAGGCTGGGCTGCGGATTGTGAAGATTCATATTTACCTGCCTCGGCATCAGAACTCGATTTTTCAGGCCGTTGCGAAGTAAGTTGGTCTTTTCTCCTCGTGGATATTTCATACGACTTGGGTTTATTGGGGATTTGTGTGAGACTCATACTTCGATCAGGACACATGGAATTGGGTGTTGATGGGGCTTGGTTCCCCCGTTGAGCGTTCAACACGCCAATGCAAAAGACGATACAAGCTTCGTTTCACTGGCAAAACAAGTTTCGGGTCCATTTTGTACGAGACCGTGGGGTGGCTGTGTGAGTCCATCGCGGGATTGTCCGTCCCGTGCCACGGTCGAATCCGACTCAAGAGACAGAGATGTCCTCGTTGAGAAGTGGATGAGACAGTGTCACTAAGAATGGAAGATTCCGTTCATGACTGTGGTCACCTGCCAACCTGAGAAGGGAGAAGGGCCCAACCAGCCTCAGCCCGGAATCCCGGTGCCAGCCAGTACCATGTCCGCCTCTCGGGGCCCTGTCTTACCTGACCACTTGAGCTGTTGAGCCATCTGAGTCAAAAGAAAGCTTGGCTTGTGCTGCTGACTTGCCTAGGTAGAGGGGAATAGCTGAACTTGCCAACATTCGCAAACAATTCCCGAAGAGGTGTGAAGCAGAGAAAGGAATGTGTAGATTAGTGGCCATCTAATCTAGTTATGGTACCGTTGATCATCCCATAGAAGACGAATATCACATAATGAGTGTATAGAATATTGAGACCGCCTGTGCAACTGACGCGGCGGCAGACACTGCCAGACCTTCGGTTCGAAGGACCTGGGCAAGTGCCTCAAAACACGAGACTCAAATCATGCTCCGAGTCTCTGGACCTCAGGCCAGGCAAAAGGCCCCGATGGCGACCTCGAACTGGGTACCGACCTGATCGGCGAGCACGCCGATCAGATTCTCGTACGAGATGTCAACTATGTAGTTGGCGTGAGTGTTGACGCTTTCATAGATCTTACCGCAAGAGAGAACATATCCAGACTTACACACAGCTTCGACAGTCTCGAGTAGCAGTTCCACCTCGACCAACAGGGACTCCAGGGAGGCGCAGACGACGCCGCCGAAACCACTGGCGGCGATCGGGGCAGACTGCAAGAACCAAGGCATACCATGTTAGCCCCTGACATAACGGCCAAGTTCACACCCGCCAGAGAATAACCCCAACCTCAACCCACCTTTGCCTGAACCCCACCAACAGCACGCGACAGCGAGGTGGTAAACAGCGCAACGTCCGGGTACACGGCGGCCGAGTCAGCAACATTCAGCAGCCCAGAGACGAGCACGGTCTGCGAGGCGGAGTTGACGGAGATGCCCAGGCCGCTGAAGGAGGTGAGGAAGGCGAGCGAGTTCTCCGGAGTGGTTCCGTCGAAGGCTGCCACCGCGTCGCTGAAGGCGGTGACCTCGCCGCTGGCGGTGGCAATTGCGGCCTCGATGCCTGCGACGTCGGCGATGCGCGTCTGTATGGTGGAGACTTGTTCCTGCTGGCGACGCTGGGGTGGGACAGAGGCCTTGCTGGCGAGGGCGGAGCCAAGGAGGCTGAAGAGTGCGAGGGTCGGGAAATGCATTTTGGGGGAGTGAAAGTGGTAACTTGTGACTTCAACTTGTTGCTGGTGGCTTGAAAATGTGGATTTCGAGTGACTGAACGGATGCGATGATGAGGCTAGACTCGATCGCCCAGCTTCATCAGTGGATGTTCTTCGGTCTGTTTTATAGATCTTCTCACCAACATGTTCGAGCCGACCTCGGGAACGGTTGTTCAACGGACCGCACCCGTCATGCACTCTTTTGCAGCTGAAGCCATGATGTTTCCACAGCCCCAAGGCCAGCTCGACAGTGACTATCGAAAGTGTAAAATGCCCAGGACGAGATTTCTTGAAATAGCCACCATTCAATTACTTGGACCCTGCAAGTACAATACGATACGACTTCTCGTCCGGCACTTCGGGAGACGGCAGCATCCCAAAATGAGACTCAAGCCGGCCGGAATGCAGCGTCCTTGAGTCGAGGGCTCTGGGCCGTTGCAACGTTGGGTGTCTTCACAACGGTTGGCACCCGCACGTGCAGGTGGGAGCAGACTCTGGTGTGGAGTAGAGCTGCGACTTCGCACTCCTTGGCCTTTGACTTCATCAGCTGCCTCGATCGCCCGAGTATCTACACAGCCTTGGGATGAAGCTGACCTAACAAGCTTTTGGTTTCCGGTGCCGTTGTCCCTGCAGATCGCATCCCGGAACTTTACGCTACGGAGCTGCTTCCATGAGACTCCGACGCAAGCCGGATCCGATTGACACTAATTTCAACGAGCCGTGATTTTGATGCTGACCCAATGACAAGTTCTCACATGCATTTCGAATATCTAGCATCTAGCCAAGAATCATCATCCTAATTTTAGACGGACTTTTAATGATAGAAGCTAAACTCGTAGCTGTCTCCCTTTCTTTGTAAGGCGGCTTTTGCCAAGTCGAAACGCTTACCGGCCGGTGAGACAAGTGTGCTGCTGTTGACTCTTGGGAACACTGCCAAGTGGCTGAGTGATACATCCATCGCGAAGATCGATGTCCTTCAAGAGCACATATTTGACAATACACGGCCCCCAGAAACTTGGCGATGGTAGCACAACCCGTCAGCATTGTCTGCGAAATGCCTCCTCCAACGAAAGATGCTTCTCCATTTTGTTTCTCGTATTGCAACCGTCAGCTGATGGGAAGGAAGGGGTCTTTTGTCTTGCTCTTGATCAATCGAATGAATGTTTGATTTCAACCCTTGATCTCCCAGTGAATAAGAGGCAGGAACTCAGTGATTCATTCCCTGTTTCCACCCCAACTCAGACCCACACACCTGAGCAGCCTTCCCCTTCCACAGCTTCCCTCCCACAGAACCCTCGTTCCTGCAACTTGCAAGGAAAACACAGCCTTCCCAATCCAACGAATCCTTGCCACTCCACAAGCACAACGACAAGATGCAGCTCAAGACCGGCTTCTACTTCATCTCCACCATCGTCACCAGCCCCTGGGGCGAGCACTGGGTCCAGCGCGACTCGGTCGAGGACAAGTCGTTCGTCCCCAAGCCCGTCAACGTCCAGGTCGACGAGGCGGGAGCAGCTGAGGTATCTGCTTGACATGCAGCCTGAAACCTACCCACCCACTCACCCACACCACATCACCCACACACAAATCACCAACACATAAATGAACCACTCACCCCTACACACATCCAAGTCCGTGCTGCTAACACAGAAATCCGTTGCAGTGGTACATCGAGCAGATCGGCGACACCAGCGTCTTCAAGCTCTCGGCCGGCTCCATCAACGCCGACCCCGCCCCGACCGTCGACCAGGATGGCAAGCTCGTCGCCGACATCAGCGGCGTCTCCTCGACCAGCTGGACCGTGACTGAGTGCGGCGAGACCTGCGATGAGGGTGTCTTTATGTAGGTCGTTCTGACTATACCTCTCTCATGGGGGCCAGTGCTGACTCCTTCTTTCCCAAAGCATCACAAATGACGAGGGAAACGCCTGGCAGACTCCGCAGACCAACGACACCGACCCTCAGGTGCGTAAATCACGTTGCAGGCAGTGTCTGTCTGGATGGGGTCTCCGGAGAAAGTATGCTAATACATATCACTGGTTTCATAGATCCTGCTCCAGTACCTGGTCATCCCTCTCATCTACCCTCCCAAGTACCCGACTTATGCGCAGTTCAAGTTCGCCTCTGTCGACGATGTCGACTAGGAGAGAAGCGCACCAGCACGCTCGTTTGGTGATGGGATTGTTTTGGGGCCAGGCCACGCTCGCGTTTGAGAGGGAGGGAGAAGGTCATTTCCAGCATGCCAGACACTGATAATGACCAACTGTCGGTCAACTGGTCGGACTCAACCACGACATAGTACAGTAATGAACCCATTGGAGGCTTAGGACTCGCGCGGTCCTCTCCAGATGCCATTTGACAGAGATCATCCACTTGTGAAAACATCGCTGTTGTTTTGATACCAAGTCTCAAATCTACTCAACACTGCCTTCTCGAGGTCTGGCCCTCAGAGAGAACAAACCCTTCCGACCCCTAAACTACAAGCACAGGCCAAACCCTCTGAAGGCATGGCACCTATGCCAGCTGCAACAGAGCCCGTCCTTCTGAGCCCCTCCGACCCTTCAGGACTTGGAATAATTCGTTGCAGTCCACACCGACCGGAAGGCTGTGTAAGGCCGGTCCCTCGCCACGCCATCCATCTCCTCCGAGTGGTAGAGGTTCTCAGGGCGTGTGGCCACCCACTTCGCCCGAGCCTCGACGGGCGCGACCACGGTGCTGCTGCTCTGCGGTCCGAGATCCCCTCCACTGCCCACAGGCTCGCCGGCCATAGGAACCTCCCCATACTCACCATAGTCCTCACCAAAAGGCATGTCCTCGGGAAATGGGATGTGCTCCCCCTCACCATAGTCTTGCGGAAAGGGCATGTCGTATTCGCCTCCGTAGCCTCCCGCAGGGGCCATGTTTTGGCCTCCTCCGTACCCCCCACCGAATGGAGTGTTCTGAGGATATCCTGTGTTCCGAGGGCCAGGAACTCCTGCCATGCTTTGCGAGCCTGTAGTATACCCCATGCCCTCGTTGCCGGGTACCCTCTGAGCGAAGGGCATATGCTGCCCCGTTAGAGGGGCGGCCGGGGCCGGTACAGGCTGGCCGAACGGACCAGGCACTGTGTTGGCCCGACTGGTACTTGCCTCCTGCTGTGACACGGGTTGTGCAGCCTCGGCGGCGGGGGCTTGTGTCGAGCTCGGGCCAGCAGCCACCTCTTCTTGTGTCTCGTGGGCCTGCTCCGCCTGTCGGGGCTCCGCTGCTTGGCCTGTCTGGGGCGGTGGTGCCTCGGCCTCGGCCTCCTCCTGGGTCTCGTCCCCGCCCCGAGGAGCCCTGTATCGCCTGAGGAACGCGCGGGCGTCTTCCTTGCGGCATTTCTGCCAGGAAACCGCCCGGGGGTGGCCGTCATCGCATTCTATGTCCCCCGAGCTCCTCCATTTGCAGTCGCGGTGGTTGCTCTTGCAGGGGAAACGTGTCTCGTTCTCATGGGGAGCGTGGGCCTTTTGAGAGGCCCTTCGGTGCTTTTGAGACGGCTCGTGGTGCCCGCGCGAAGGCTCGCTTTGCTTTCCCTTGCCCTTGGACTTTCCACCCTGAAAAGAAACGTATTAGCTTCTGAGCTCGCTCTTGGTCAATACTTGTGTCATACAGCCATGGCTTCTTCAACAAAATTTTGTTATGATGTTTGATCTGAATGCTGAGTGGATTTTGCACAACTGTCTTTGGTGTTGTATCTCCTGTGAATTGCCACCATTTTCGAAAAAAGAGCCACCACTGTCCAGCGGCGAAGATTTTATACTCCTTAATTCTATGCATCATTCTTCTTTGTGGTAATTTTTAACTAGTGAGTAACCGACAGGAAATATTGACTTTGTCTCACAGGACCTTACGCCTAGGGAATAAGACCTTCGTATCACCTGCAAGCATTGCCAGCAGCCATCGGTTGGTAGGGCACACAAGACCGTGACAATGAACCTCTTGTCACTGGACTCTTGTGTGATATTCTCAAAACACCTCTTCACTGAATCAAGACTGACTATAATTAAGTAGGGTGCTATATGTTCGAAAGCCACTCTACCTTCTCCCAGATGCTTCAAACAGCAAGCAAAAAGAAAATTCAAAAACGAGGAAATCCAGCCCGAGCAGCTCTAGGGCCACGCAGCAGGTAATTAAGACTCTTATCACACTCTGGTCATGAGTCTCCGCCCCACCAACTTCCAAAACACCCAACTCAAGTGCGGTATTACTTGCCACGACTAAAACCAAAAAATATCACCATGCCCAACCCACCTACCCCCCCCCCCTCCGGTCATAGAGGGACATGAATATGATCCCAAAATTTCTCTCCAAAAAAGAAACGGAACATGTCCCTACGAAGACAAAGCCGTGTGCTTAATCCAGCGCCCTCGGATGCACGGGCGGCGTAGGCACCGGAGGAGGCGGCGCTCTCGCAAGATCCAAGGACGCCGGGGTACCCGGACCCGTCCCAGGAAACGGGGGCATCGACGTGGGAGGCGGCTGCATACTGGGGTTCGGAGGCATTCCCGGAGTTGCTGAAAGCCCTCCCGGGGGCGGCCGCAGCGCCATCGCTTGGGCTCTAGGCGTCCCAGCGGCTGCAGAAGCGCGAGACAACATCCCCGGGTTGGTTGGCTGTGGTCTCGGCTGTCGCAGGGTTAGATTCTGTAGCGGAGGCCCGGACGGTCCCGTAGCCGTGGTGATGCCCCCAGCTTGAGGCGCTCCCATGGGCGATAACTGCGTCGTTGGAGGTCCAGACATTCCAGCGGTCGGGGGAGCCGGCGACATTCCCGGGACCTGCTGCGGGCCCTGGCGCATGGGCATGTTCCGAGTCGGATGCGCAGTCATCATTGGATACATCGGCGGAGGCATGTTGGCCGTTCCTGTAGCAGGGGCGTCGCCATAGATCTGAGGTTCCTCCTCAGGCGCAGACATTGCTTCTTCAGCCATGACCGACATGCACTCACGCATCGTGGGCGGCGGAGGCATGTCTGCAGGCGGCAGCGGGTCCTGTTGGTGACTGGAGTGGCCTCTTGGCTCCCGACGGTGGCGCTGAAGTTGTTGTCCACCCATTACGCCCTGATCCGAAGGCATGAACGGGGGCGCAGGCGTCCCCGTGGGCGAGACCATGCCCACATGCATCGACGGACCCGGCTGCGGGTACTGTTCGGGCCCAGGCTCAGGCTCGCGGGTCGACTTGTGGCGGTGGTGTGTATGATGTTTTCCACCGCTTTCAGGCTTGGGTCTACGGCCCGACCTTTGATGCCCGTGCTTCTGTTGTTGTCCACCGGATGTGGCCTCTTGAGGCGGAGGCATCTCCGGAGCCGCGGCCATGCTCTGAGCCCCAGCCGCGTGCGTGCCCTGACCAGAGCCCATACCTCGCCCACCCATCCACTCACGGACGTGTCCTTGGTTAAACGGGGTCATATACTTCGCCTTGGTCGGAAACTGCTGCTGGTGCTGATCCTGTTGGCGAGCAGCAGCTTCCTGCTCCGCTGCGTCCTGTTGGTCAACTAGCTCCTGCAAAGCATCCAGGTTTTGCTGATTCAAGCTTGGGCCGGATGGAGTGCTTTGTTCTGCGGAGTGCTTCTTATCATGGGACTTATGGTGTTTAGACTTCCCACGGTCCTCGACATGGCATGATTTGTAAGTGTGATGAAGCTCGGTCTTCATGAACTCGATGGCTTCAGCTTCACAGCATGGTGCCCACTTGATCGTCCTAGTACCACGGCTAGTAGACACCCTGTGATGCCTAAATGTGTTTTTGCATCCATGGTGAGGCGGGTGGCGTGGGCAGTCGAATTTCATGTTGTCGATATGATGCTTCAGATGTTTCCAAATATTTCCTGAACCCGGGCTACCTCTTGGTGCCGAACGGTTTTGGTCTGTAGCTAGGCCACGCAGATTAGCTTTTTTCCAGGCGTTGAAGAGCAGAAGCGGCGTACGTGAAAAAGCTTTGCGAAAGATCAAATGAATCGTATCCTTTTCTCGGCACTGTGAGTATCATCCAAGATGAATCTTTGGGCCTTTGTGAACTTTGGGGACCAGCTTGGAAAACTCCGAGTCAAGAAGCGAAATATTTGTATTCCTCTATGTCACCCATCACTCGCCTCGGTTACAAGCTGCGGTGAGTCAAGTCGAAGACGGGAAGTCATTGTTGTGGAGTTGAATCACTCGCTTCCATGGAGCCACACGCGTGACGTTGAGCTGTGACGGTGACAATGAATCATTCTCATGTCCGCCAGAGTTTGAATTGTAGTACGGACAAACACACTCTCCAGCATTTCAAAATCATCTGCCTCTCGTCTTCATCGGACACCATTTTTGTCTTGTGCTAGCGGATCCCTCGAGCGTGATAGATATAACATTTGCCTTTGCCTCGAGTAGACTCTCCCTGCCATCGATCGAAGGTGGTCGGCATGCCGGGCATGCTGAAAACGAAAGTCTTGGCATTGTTGTCGTTTGTACGTTTCGTTGGCGTAAAGCGGCACGGATCAAAAGAGAGTCAGCATAGGCTCTCTTTACAACATTCGTGTACAGTCATCTGCCAGGTGTGTAAAGCCGTAAGATCGATCTACTACTTGAGTTCAGAAATGGCTGTGGGATTTCTTGAAGCTGGGTGAGATACGAACTGGTCATTGCAAACATTCCAAAGCCATGATGCCGACGAGACGACGTCCCGGGTGCCAGCCCCCAACAAGTGGCGGTGCGACTCCAAACCGACCTGGCAGAAAATCGATACTCCTCACGCTGGCCCAGGCGAATTGTATGGACATCTTGATAACGACGGCGAGCCTCCTAATCGAGCTGTATTCGGCGTCACTGTTAGAAGCCATCGAGTTAGAATACGCACTTCATGAGCTGAACTTGTTGTCAAACGAGACCCAAGCCTTGTCCGGATATCTCGGCAAGCTGCGTTGACGGAACGACGAACGTCGAACAGGAGTCTGTCTCTGGTCGATTACTTTTGGGGGCCGCATGTGGAAAACAAATCCCCCCTGGAAAGAGTGATTCACAAGAGAAAAGGGCAGTTCTTCCTGGCACGCCGCTCTGGAACATGAACCAAAGGGCGGTGCTTCTCCAAGCTGCCTCTTGGGTGTTGCGAGACTCGGTTGGATGGCTCGGGCGCTTCCGCAACAGCTGGGTCTGAGTAAGAACGCAAATAGACTCCCATCCGCCCCCATTCACGCAAGCCTGCCTTGGAACAGGAGAGGATATCGAGTCCGAGGAGAAGCTGCCCGGCGGCGCGTGTCCTACGCGATAGGCTGCAAAGCTGCCTCTGTCGACGGAGATTGGGCATCCGCGACGCCGTGGAGCATGGCCATGGCCAGCTTGACGCAACCGGGAACGTCACCGAGATGCCGTGCCAGGCCATTGCCCGTCGAGACGCTGGCGAAGGTACAATGAGGTACTTGCGCAGTCCACCTGCCATGTACCCAATGCATATCCACGCACAGCATGTCCTGTAGGGGGGGTTGCGCCTAACATGTCAAGGAGGCCGGCAGTAGCAATTACCATGCCGGTGCGTCGCACTTGTTGAATATCCTGCTGCCTGTCCTGCCGGCAGCAATTCAACGTAGCAATTGGCCGGTGCCGCGTTTGACGACCTGCAAGCCACCTGAGACTTTACACAGCGCGGACGGATATGGGTCCCGTGTCTCGTTACATTCTGAAGAGTCTGGAAAGGACGAGGAGACAGATGAGCTAACAATTACAGCTTGAGAATTCATGGACGGCCAGGGGCAGTACCGGGCCATGCCTCTCGCCATTCCCTTACGCATTGCTTGCTGTAATGACATTGGCTGAGGGATAGAGATGTCTGCCCACTGCCGAGGATATCAAAGACGAACTCCCACCAATCTAGGTCACCAGGAAGCTTGTCGCGCGGCTGGATGGCCTTGACGAGGTTGGGCCGATCGCATAAAACCACCACTCTCAGCCTCCACATGCACATCTCAAGGCAGCGAGATTGGGAGATCAGGCATCTCGTCCCCTTCATTCAAGTCGGCCCGTTCCTCGGCCAGGTGATGTCGGGGCAGCCGAGCGACTGCAGATAGGTAGAGACCTGTAATGTGGGCGGGCAAAAAGGGGACATGGCCAATGTGTAGCTCCTTCCCCCCCCCACGATGTGGACGACCTGGTGGTTCTCGTCAATTCCTCCCGCGGCCCTGGCGAGGCGACCAAACAAAAGTCCGCGTCGTTGGTCGAGCGCGCCACCGAGCGGGAAGGATCCCTCAAGGGCAATCTGCTTTCGCTCTTCTCCTTTGCCCCGATGGCAGCCAGATCGATCCCAGGGAACGAGCTAGCCAGGAGATTTGAGGACGGCACCGCCCAAGCCTCTCTTTCTCTTAGAATCCTTACTCTCATGCACAACGGGCCGAACACATCGGCCTTGACTACCAAAGGCGGCACTGACCGATCTGTTGACGTATTTTGACATTTTACCCCGGACTTTGAAATTTAGCGAAGGGGATAAATACCGAAGTGACGCGAGATTGGCATTACATGGTATAGCACGGCAGCTTGGCCGGATAGACGGAGATGCGCTGCTAAATCAAGACGTCTTGTGGACAGTCACCTCGCGGTTACCTGGCTGTCCTTATCCTCAGCTCTGATGTCGAACACCGCATGTGATGGCTTCGCCGCGATGAGGCTAGGGCTACGTGCGTTGTTTCAACCACGGGGGACGAGCGAGTGGGCAGTGGTAGACCAGTGACACCAGATAGATCCTCGGGCCTCAGGAGCAATATGGTTGCCAAGCACGAAAACATGACAGGTCCCTTTATTACTCTGCTTCGAGTCCCTCACGTCGGGGACCTTTGACAGCATATGCGTCCCCACAGACAAACAAAAAAACAGAAAGCACAGCGACCCATTCATCCGGGGTTTATCTCCGCGCCAATCCCGCCCTTTGGAATTGCCCAAACAATTCCCTCAGCCCACATTCATCATCGGCGAAACACCATTTCTCAGATGGGAATGCACAGGAAGAGAAAAGAGAGAGACAAGAGAAAGATACAGTAGACGAGCGGTCAAAATCCCAATGCAAGGCAAGCAGGCATGTGGGCGGGTTTGGAGGGTTTGGAGCGGCCCCCGTCCGGCACGCGTTCACCACTCACGGCGCCGAGAATTCTGTTGCCTGGAGCCGGGAGCCGGGGGTGGCAAGGGGGAGGGGTGGTCGCAAGCCACTTTGGTGCCACGGCGGGTCTCAAGACTCTCTGGCGGGGACGGGTGTTCAGGCTTTTGATGGGGTGACACAGGGGAAGTGAGCCACTATTGCTGCGACGCTGGGTAGCTATCAAGGCTTGGGCTTGTTTCTAGAAGGGGACATCGATGCAGTGTTGACCAAGGCATGAGTTGTCGTCGTCGTGGTCGTCGTTGTTGGTGGAGATGATGCGAGTAAGACCCCCCTCCCCTGTCCTCTTTGAGTAACGTCCTCGGTGCAAGATTCTTTTTTCATTTTTTTTAAAAAATTCAGCTTCCACCATGGTTACAGACTAGCCTTGATAATGGTCTCCAGGCTAATGATTCCTCATGGTCCGGTCCGTTTTACGTACACCAAGTACGCTAGTATTGCCAGACCTTGGGCTGACCTTTCACCGGGCAGGTCTTCATGGTCTGCACCCATCAACAACACGGAGGATCTGCTGTGTATCGCGACACACTCTCGGATACCACGTATGATCTTCCCCAGACATGCCCTTCCAAGAAATGCAGATGCCTAGAAAGATGACCTAAGCACCCATCACACCTCTCCCGCAGTAGATACCGAACGGCAAACCAGGAGCTCCGTGGGGTTGGCGTAGGGGTCCCTTCCAAACAACAACCCAGTCGTGAAACAATTATCCACGCGCCCTAACCCCAGAGGCGCACGCGTCAAAGCAGCCGTGAAGCCCTTGATTTCGTCCGCGGGTATGGTCTCCATTTACACAAAATTCAAATTCGTCAAACCTCAGTCTAAGAAACCATATCAACAGCCATCACACAGACAGACACCACATCAGAAGCTTTCTGTGATTATGTTCCGAAAATAGCAAAGGCCCCACTCCACCAGCCGGTGCTCAGATGAGCCTCCGTGCAACCCCTACTCGGCAGTGCCCATGCCGTGCATAATATAGTCCTAGACTACCAGCCAACAACCACGTCCGCTTTTCCGAGGAGCGAGCCGCTCTCCCACACATGACCAGATTCGACAGCAATGCCTGCCAGACTTCGCGAGGAGAATGAGGAATATTGTCTCTCGATTCGGTCATCCTAAAGTCTGACCGGCATCAATGTACCAGCTTTCAGCAGCATTCGCACTGCGGGAGCTAGCTCTTCCGGGAAGCTTGCTTACACGCCGCAAGCGAGGCGATTGACTTTGAATATCATTCTGGTCTCGGGCGGACAGAAAGAAAAGAAGTCACAAGACTCGCCACTTTCATACCAACGGGTCAATTGAGCCACACTAGACAGATCCTGGTAGGCATGAGAAACAACACGGAGTAAGACGTCGTGTAGATCAGATAAACAGCGTACAGAGCGATCTCCCACATGGCGGTGAAAAAGCAAAAACATAACCCAGAAAGGGAAAATGCTTCCCCGTCGCCCCGGCATGGAGTACACACACACACAGAGAGAGAGAGAGAGAGACTTCCACTACCATCCAGCGGCAAAAAAAGAAAAAGCCACAACCTCGCCTCCGCGGCGGTCAAAAACCGTGATATCAGTCCACTTCCAGGCCCCCAAAAACCCAATCCTCCTCCAGCCGAAGTATGCATATCTCACCGGAAGACGCCGTGGCACCCCACGGCCCGCCTCACGCCTTGACGCCATCAACGATGATGGCTGACGCCCCCGGCATTTTGGACAAGAGCCAAATAGGACTTGCCGAGGCGACGGGCACCACACAAGTTTCTCAAACACGCCATCAACAAATCCATAGATTGGAGGGAATCTCCTGATGTCCCAAGTCCACGCGCGGAATACAACCAACCAACCAACCAACCAACCAGGCAAAGTAAAATTGGCCCGACGTGGCCGGAGCAGGAATCCATAATATCTACCTACCTAGACACCAACACACATGTGTACAGTAGTACATGGTTCTTAATGAAACCACCTGTGAATCCATGGACCCATGAAACCACACATTGCAGATCCCAACCGCTACGTTTCACAAACCCCAGAGACGGGGAAAGTAGCAATGTGTGTATACATGTAAGTGTGTGTGTGTGTGTAAGCACAGACGAGAGCGGTACCGCCCGTGGCTGTGTGTGTGTGTGCTGCCCGTTATTCGCCCCCCACCCCCTTCTCTGTCAGTCACTTAGTCAGTAAATACATATAATTCAGTTTCATGTGCGCCACTGCACTGCGTTGTGTACATGCATGTGTGTGTGTGTATGTGCCACGCGCTGGGTGTATTTCCGGGGGGGGGGGTCACAAAAGGTCCTGCTCGTGCACCGACACCATGCGGACCATGCAGAATTAATTCTGCTGCCTGTGTCGATCTCATGTGGTGCTGTGGGGACTCGTCCTGCACGTACTCCCAAGGCGGGATGGGCCCTGTGAGCAAATAGGACTAGACTCTGGACGAGCGGGACGGGCAAAGGGCGCTTGGCAGAGTTGGCCGGCACAGTGGCATGCTTGTACAAGGAAATGCTGATACATTCCATTAGAGATAGGGAAGACTGGCTGTGGGCCATCAAGTACCCTTCTTGGAGCTATATGTCGTAGCAATCGCTTTACTGGATATATCCCCCAATAGACACCCAAAAAGCCAAGCAATACTGTAGGTCTTGCCTCCCCTGTAGAGTACAAACCACCGTTGGTCAAGTTCCTTTTTTGATTTACTCGTACAATGGTAGCTAGCACGTGTCGAGCACTGCGAGCACGCTCTGCTCCTCCAATTGCAATATACCTCGCTCCCCATGATCTCGTAGCACGCCCCTGGTAATGCCGGAAACCCTAGACTCCTCATTACACATTATGCGTATCTCCCACCGGTGAACCACAGCTCGTCGGACCGTGTAGACAGCGTCCTAGTCAGCCCGTGCTGTACATCGGGCCCGCTGTAGCTGGACACGGGCGAAACCACCACGTTGTTGAGGGTGGCGGTGCCGGGCTCCCCGCTGGCGATGGAGACCGCCCCTCCAGTGCTGCTTTCTGGCGGCATGTGTGCCATGGCCCAGCCTAGTGCCAACTGTTCCCGCACATGGTCGCGTGTCGTCGGCGGAGGATAAAGGGCGGTCGGCATGGGTTGTCGCTCCCCACTGTTCCACCACTGATTTTCGAAGCCGTTGTCCACCGTCATCATTGCCGAGCCCAGCGCCTCTAGCTCGCGGACCCGCTCCGGGTCTTCCCTTCGATACCGAGGTGACTCGATGGGCGACTCGATCTTGACGACCGTAGGGCTGGTTGGTTCCTCCTCTGAAGGATGTGGCACCGCCTGGCTATATTGGGGATCAGGCGAGGCATGGGAAGACGGCGGCTGAAGGAGAGGGTCCGGCTCCATGAATGGCTCCCAGCCCATGGGAAATGTCCACGACTCCCAGGGCATCCCTTCTTCTCCAAGCCGAAATCGTGATGGCACTTCTGGCAAGTCTTTCCACACGTCCGAAACTGGTCGATCGGCGGTGGCATAAGCCATCGAGGAGCCCACTGGGTTGTCAGCCATCAGCTGAGGATGGACAACGTCCCAGTTGTTGTCGCTGAGGGGTGGTGGTGCCGAACGTCCTCGCTCGTGCCGTTCGCAAGATGCCCTCCTCTCTTCACGAGATGCCCGTTGATCCTGCTGATGATCTTCCGGCGCCGGGGCAAAATCAACCTGTCTGGAACGGCTCCGCAGGTGTTCCTGCTGCGGTTGGCCTTGCTGGCGTGCCTGTTCAGGACGTGGTGGCCTCTGGCGTGGTCGTGATGGCTCTGTTGACCTTTGGTCGTAGAATTGAGGGACTTGAGCCTGTTGGAATTGTTGCATTGACGCGGCGGCAAGATAGTTAGTCGTCGGCGCCGGTACGTGCCGTGGAAAATAGGGGGCTCTCTCTCGGAGCGCGCGTGATCTGTATTGGAAGCCACGAGGTCGGGGAGCGTGCTGAGGAGACCACGACACGCCGAACTCGACTTTGACAAAGACTTGTGGCCTTTGCAGGCTCTGGGCACTCGGCCTTGTCAAGGGGTTGTCCATGATGGATTCTGTCCTCCAGTGCGTGACCATTGGGGATTGCGAGGGGAGATATAGGAAAGCTCTAGCCGTTGGGGATGGCGGTGGTACCGATCGGATCTGGCAGTAACACTAAGCCAGCGGTAAGCAATAGGTGGCACTGAGGTACCAAGTAGAGTGACTGCTGTCCGAGGCGGAGGGCGAAGTATGCGAGTCGATGTAGATCTTGGGTAGCTCTGCGTTCCACAGAAAGGTTGGTTACACGAGTGGACCGGTGTTGGACGGAGTGGGTGGCAGTCGTATCTTGATGTCACCTTGGGGAGATGTTGTTTGCGTACGTAGTGCTTCCGAGGTCTTCAGGGGTCAAGGGCAGCTCTCGGGGGGCGAGTAGAAGTAGGCAGACGTTTAGCATGTACCCACGTCGAATTTACGGGGAATACTCGCCAGTACCGGGACCGGGAAGATCTGAAGTACCCCTGAGGGTGATAGGTCAGGAGGAAGGGTGGCAGTGGTTCTGTAAGTGGCAGGCCTGTGAGATGTGGTCGCTGCCGGGGGCCGCCGCTGTGGATGTATCTTCCCAGGAGGTCGGGACGGGGTGGGCGGAGCGGTGACGGCCAGATGAACAGTAAGTAGAACGCCCAGGAAGGTAACCAGATCAGAATGGGTAAAATCCTGGACTGGCTTGACAGGGGAGACCCGATCTGAAAGGGAAGAAGCTGCTCCTTCGCTCACCGGGGTCTGCAGGGAGCGGGGCTGGTGCTCTAGTCGCTTCCTTTCAGAATCTGGTAACGCGGGCGATTCGACTCGGTTTCTTGTGTCCAGGCGTGGGTAGCTCCGAAGCCACGGCTTGAACCCGAGGAAGAATTGAGTGTTGCCTGGGTGTGAGATGAGGATTGTAATGCAAGATGGTGATCTCTGACGTGCGCGGCCGCAGATTGTGCCTGTTTGTTATGCCAGGACTAGACTACTCCATGCCCGTGACTTGCGCACCGTCAAGACCGTTTGCTGAATTCCGTTGCTTGTTATTCATTGTCTCTGCGGAATATCGAACGATAAACAGGCGACCTACCACCCTGGCATGTCTTCCACTGCTTGTTGGAAGCAGTGAAGAACCATCTGTCTGGGCTGGCCGACCGGGGAGTGCGAGCCAGAGGATTGAGAACGCTGGCCGGTCGTGGGGCTGTGTTCCTTTGAAAGAGCCAACTCATCAATGGAGCGCCACATGCAAGGTCAGCACAGGCAGTAGGTTTGCTGCTTATTGATCCTTCACGCGTCTCATGCGTCCAAGGGGTGAAGTTCCGATGCGAAGGAAGGTCGACGGAGGCGGGGCGGGAATGACAGGTTGCGGCGGAATGACGAGGGAGTGGAGGGGATGATAGGCGAGGTAAGGCGAGGTAAGGCGAGGTTGGACTAATAAGGCTAATTTGCAAGACGGGCCGGATGTCACTTCGTGTGGTTCTGATATGGGCATTGGGTATTGCCAGCTTGTTGAATCTAGCCCCTTGCTTGGCTTGAGTGACGGCGCGCGAGCTGCAGCTGGTGTGATGTGTTGCTCGAGGTGGCCGTTTCACATACAGTCAGTCGTACGGGCCGGAAGCGAGCATAAACGGCTCGATATGTCTGGAAATGTAATTGAGACAGCCGACTTGGCTCGAATCGGCCAGAGCGCAACGCCCCGTCGAGTCCTTGGTGCGGCAAGCGTGACGATATCTGCTTGTGGGCCAGCCACACACAGACTAGATCCCAGGTGCGGTGCTTTGGTGTGTGGCGGGCGATGGCCGACCGCGCCGAGGCGGGACTGATCCAGGTAGATGGCGTGTTGCCTTGGATTAACTGCAGCGACCCGCTGGTTGAATGTCCTGGCCGGATCTCTTGTGCCCGTGGTGTGGCGTTCCATTCATCACACAGTCAAGTCAAGTCGAGTCAAATCGAGGGCGAGTGCGCTGTCTGGTGGCGGGCCTCGCCACATGTATTCGTATCGTGCAGTGGGACAAGACACAGGTGACCCGTTGTTCTGGTACGACGCTGGTGTCAATGGGGATGCCGTTGCCGTGATGGCCTCGTCGAGACTGGGCACTCGAATTGAGACCTGGAATTGGGTCGTGGACGAGTTTCAACTGTTGAGCTTGTCTCAATTTGAGTGCAGCATGAATGCCTGACGAGACCAGCTTCTTCACCAACCAACTGCATGCACAGTTGGGGCGAGGCACATGACCGAGAGGAGGGGTTGTCCGTTGTCCGTTTGCTGTTTCCGCTGCCGCTGCCGTCACAATTGACAGGCGCAGACCCTCACGCTGAACACTTGCACACTGCACGCTGCACATAGCCCGTGGTCCTGTTCTGGGCAAGCATGACCTAGCCTGACAGACCAGTGGCAGACCAGTGACAGACCAAGGAAGGGGCGACCGCCACAGAGAGCAGCGTCCAGGGCACGGGCCAACCCACCAGATCACGGCTGCTCGATGAGGCTAGCGCCGAAGCACAAGGGTACACGGACTCAACCATCATTCTATTTTTACTGAACAGCTGCAGTCTACACTGCGCCACCACTCCCATATTCTCTTCACAATACTATGTCTTCTGCTCACTCTCACCAGCTCACACCCTCGACATCACAGCCGCCATACCTTCAGGCAAGGCAGCAGAATAATATGAGAGACCGAGGCAGCAGCAACACAGCAGCGAGCAGCACAAATCCTCACAACCCCCAGGTCATCGACCAAACCTCGCCTGGCTGACTGAGTGACAGCCATCAGGCCCAGACAACTCCGCCGCCTTCCGCGCCTGATCCCAAGGCCTGTGTGCAATATTCTTAGAATTTGTCTTTTTGTTCACTTTATTGTCTTCCACTGCTGTGACCCTCCGTTGCGACGCACTCGCATCCGACGCCGCATATCACCCAACATGTTGTGGGGAACATCCATAAATGCCTCCGACTGATCCGCTTCGTCTTCTAATCGAGACCAACATGGGTATCCTGCGAACGAAACAAGTACAAATCAACTCCAAAATAACATGCCCAACACCTGCAGCCAACTACCAACAGACGGGGCTGAGCCCACCAACCAAAGGAAACCCCACTCCCAAACTGACCAGACTGGCGTTGATCTCGACAGAATAACACCAGCCACTTTTCCGTGCCACACACTGACCTCGACACGTGCAACATCACTCCGTGTCCAAGATGCCCCGAGCTGATGACCCGTCAAAGTGAACTGCCGTCACTTCACCCTCGCCCAAACGAAGATGAAGAAACTCAGGCAATCTCGTGGCCAGCCGACTTGGCCTCGCCCTTGGCAACAGCCACCTCGCGCCCGCCCTGGCGGTCACCGCCCTCCCAGAACCGGTCCTTCTTGTCGCGGCCCGTCACGAGCCCGTACCAGTCAAACGGGTCCAGCAGGGTCGCGACGAACGACCTGCTGTCCTTGTAGCCGGGGCCCTCGATCTCGGTCACGCCGTCGTCCGCGCTGAGGAACACCTTGGTGTTGGCGGGGAGGTACTTCCTCGAGTGGCGGAAGTTCCACAGCAACGCGTTGGCGAGCATGAGCATCGCCTCGAACACGTAGAAGAACCACTCGTACCGGTACTCTGGCGGCCACTCGCCCAGGTCCATGCCCTTGTGGAACCGCACGCCCGCGAGGCCGAAGTACTCGACGGTGCGGTAGATGGTGCGCGCCTCGATGAGCGCCGTGCTGATGTACAGCGTGAGCATCGGGCCGTTGACGCTGCGGTTGTGGATGCCGGCCTTGAGGCACCGCCGGTGGAACGTCACGGCGAGCACCACGAACGTGTTGACGATGACCAGCTGCAGGATCAGCGCCGCCTTCATGAGAACCTTGCCCGTGTCCTGCATCGAGGCCGGCAGGGACACGTTGGCCGAGTACGACGCGCCCACACCGCTCAGGGACTCGACTACCGCCGCGAGCATCGCGAACGTCGTCCACACGCGGCCCGGGTGGATTGGGGAGTGGTACGGAACGTAGAAGAGCACACGGCCCAGGATGTGGTAGTTGGCCGCCTCGTACAGTGGTCTGGATGGTCTGTCAGCACAGCTCCTCCGAGTCCCCTCTCATCTGTCTGTCTGTGTGCCTGGAGGGGGTCCACCTACGGTGCTGCGTATACCAGGCATTGACTTGCTATGTACACGGGGGCTATCACGGTGGAACGCCCCGATCTCCCTGGTGATGAAGCCCGCCGTAAATATGGCCGCGCACGAGGCGTAGTGCCACGTCACATGCCAGCATTTGTAGTAGCTGTCGTTGGAGAGGAAGAAATGTCAGCCACGAGGCTCGCCCACAGGCTCGACCTTTTCCAGAAGGGGGTCGTACTCACTGGCCTTGCCATAGCTGCCAGAGCCCCGAAAATGCAAAGGCCACGGCGAAGAACACGGGCGCGCCCTTATTTGGCTCGTAAATCCAGTAGTTGATGCTGTCTATTCGTCGCGTCAGTAATTGTTATTTTGGCGGCGGCAGCGTGGGCATGAGAATGAGGGAAAGTGCGGGCGTACCACTCTCGCCGTTTGCGCTCATCTTGGCGGGTGTTTCTCGATATGCCAGTTTTTGCAGGCTCAATTCGCAAATTCGTAGTATATGTAGGTGAAATGTCTCGCTTGTCTTGTGCTGTCGACCAAGGAAGGTATGTCTGCACTTCAGCACCTCAGGAATCTCTGCAAGACCACAACCACCTCCGTCGCTCATCAGCCAAGATGCCACGGGCCATCTTTATATCAAAACTCCAGTCAGCCAGAAACACAACAACCTACATCTCAGCCCAAGAAATGACGCTGCGCAACAAACAAAGGGACCACCACCGCAGCAGTGCCCATCCCGCATGCCATAAGCAGCCACATCAGGACTAGCCGGACGGGCAACGACCAATCGCGTATCACGCCCAGAATACGGCGCGGACACAGCCTACGCCCGAATCGGCCTGATAGGACACTCAGGATGAGCCATCAGCCCCTGGGGCCCCAGACGGAAGCGACGCCGATCAGTTTAGTTTCCTGCTGCGCACGTATTCCTCGTTTAACTGAGGAACCCCCGTCCGGTCCCCAAGCCCCGGAGCCGGGCGTAAAGGGCCAAATGGCTCACTTGCTCGACTCGGGAGGCCCGAACACCACCGCCCAACCTGACCATGCAGTTTGTCTACTCCCGCCGTGTGCGCCTTGCTGGGAGCCTTTCTCACCCCGGCCCTCCTCCGCGCCGGCCGCTTCTTAGTCTATATGGGCTTTTATGTAACATATGCAAAACCGATGGTGGTCTTGGTATCTGAGTCATCTTGAATTGGTGGTGGTAATCATATGCCGCGACGGTCAGGCACTGCGGTGAGGCAGGATTCCTCGCTCATTTTCTTTTCCCTGCCGGCGATGTGCGATGGTGAGCGGGCTGATGAGCCATAATGAGTCGGGAACCGCGCTTCCCCGGGTCGAAAGTACCAAACGTCTTGGCAGGGCCAAGCGCTGGCTGGCTGACAACGTAATACATAGCAGCAAGTAGCCAAAAGCCAAGACAATACCTTGGTCGACTGAATACACGCACGTACACACGATCTTAAATCACTCTCATAAGGCGAGGCCTTCCACCTGACAAACCTAGTGCAAAAAAACAAGAGAGAGGGGGGAAAGGGAACGAAAGAGTCGAGATAAGAAAAAGAAAAGGTAGAAATAGTGGTTTTGGTATCTTCAGAAATCTAACTACCGTCTTTCACACCCTCCTCTCCTCCCTTCTCGCCTTCGGCCCGTCGACCAGTTCCTTATCCATCCATTCCATCCATCCAACCAAGGGCACACTCGAGGGCCTGGTGGATCCCATGTTCTTGTTGTTTTCTTTACTTTCATATTGTAATCTGCTTGGACCGTTTCCTCTTCGGGTGTGAGAAATTTCGCCATACTCGCCAGCCACGGCCGCTCACCCATTTCTCGCGTAATGTCGCGTCGCAGGTCGCGTGGGAGGATAATCCCCGATTTGCCTGCCGTCTAGGGGCCCATCCGTGGGCGTGCTCCGGGTTCCCAATTTCCATGATCGTCTCTTTCGATCATCACTCAATTCGCAGCGGGTTGTTATTGCCGGCGACCGGGTCGTCCTACAAGCCCAACACCGTGAAAGCCACGGCCGAGTTGTTGGTCTTCGCCCGCCGCCCCGGGTCCGACGCCGGCGCCGCATTGGGATGGCCAACTGTCAATCCCTAGTTGAAGAAGGCCATGATCACCTGCTGCGCGTCGGGCGTGAACTGCTGGAGCAGCGGCGTCGGGTCCGTGTTGGTCGCCTGGAGCAGGACCTTGGTGGCAGTGCATACGCGGTTTGCGGTCTGCGACGTCAGGGTCTGTGACTCGAGGCCCTGTGCGATGTAGAGGAAGATCTTATCGGGTTGTTGGCCGACGGCGGGGTGTTGCCTGGAGGATTCATGTTAGTGCCAATGTTCGAACATGGACAAGTTTCCTTTAGGAGAGGGTTCTTGAGCCGACTTTGACCCGGCCACACGCTTGGACGGACAGGCATGACAGGAGTGACCTTTGACGGTCTAGGCTCTCACGCGCGAACAGAACAGGGCATTCACTTACTTGTCAATCAATTCAGCCAGGTAAGCATATGCATATGGAGCAGCCTCCTCATCATTTGTCACGGGCAGGGTGTTGATCCACTGCGTAATGACCTCGTCTTGGTTGGGCACATGGCTCGCGTTGAAGTGCAGGATCTTGGCAATGGCCGCGCATGCGTTCTCAGTGGCGTAGACGTTGTCTTCGCTCCGCGCGTCGGGCACCTGTGTCGCCTGGAATAGGGCCGGGACCGAACCGCCAAGGAACTGTGCCCATGCCTGTCCACCCTTCTGGGCCGCGACTCCAATACCGTACGCGGCAGCTTGACGGATGGCAGGCGAGGCATCACGGCATCCCTCGATAAGGGGTGTCATGATGTAGTTGGCATAGTGGATGGACTCGGGGCCACAGTACTCGAGCACGTCGTCCATGATGCACAACCCCCACTGACGTTGCGTCGGATCCCTCCCGTTGTTGAGGAAGGCCTCGTATGTCGACATGAGGCGCTCCCAAGGGCGCAGGAAGGCAGCGCCGTGGTACTTGAAGATGGAGTGGAACGCCTTGTTCATATCCGACAACAGGGTCTGGTCGTCCTCGATCGCCATGAGCGTCTCTTCGGCCTCGTCTTCAACGTCTTCGGGGTTAGCGCCGTCGTTCTCCTCGAGCCGTTCCTGCACACGGTCCTTGTAGTCGTCCAGAGCGGTCTTGACCGATTCGATGAACTTGTCCATGTGCTGAGGGGTCAGGCAATCCCTGCCCAGGCACTCGACAGACTCGTAGAAGCACTGGTACATCTCCGCCAGGGTGTCAATGGCAGGCTCAGCGGTCAGCACCTCCAGGAGCTTGTCGACGGTGCCAGCCCAGAGGCCACGAAGCTCGTTTGATGGGTTGCCGTAGGCCTTCTTGAACGAGTTGAGGAGCTGAGGGACCAGCTTGGCGGACATGTACCTCACGGGGTCGTGGAAGAAGAAGGCAAGGCCTGGCAGGGCGATCTTCTCCATGACTTCTGCAACGTACGGCGCGAAGTTGCCCTCGAGAACCTGTGCGTAGACAACAAGGAGCTCGATGGCCATGTGCTTGTCGTCCATGGTGCTGGTCTTGATGCCGATCATCTTGCCCTTGAGGGGGACAAGCTCCCAACCATCCTCCTGCTGCAGGGCCTCGACCTGCTCGTCGTCGTCCAGGAGCTGTATGTCGGCGTTCGCCTTGGCGAGCTCCAAGAGCGGCGGCATGACGTTGGGCAGGAACGGCAAGAACTCGGTGCCCATGACACGGCACATGCGCCCCCAGCAGTGCATCAGGTACTGCGCCTGAGGGTCGTCGGCGTCGGTGACGCTGGTCTGAATATGCGCCAGGATCTGGACCAGCTTCATGGCATCCCCGGCCAGGCGGTCCTTCCCGACGGCGAGGCCGATGAGTGTTGCACACTCCATCGCCTTGGCCTTGAGCAGGCGGGTGTCCTTGTCCATTGGCGATTGCAGGACGTTGAAGAGCAGCGGCATCAAGGAATCATAGTACTTGCTGAACGCTGCTTCAGCGGCATCGGCAATGGTTGCGATGGTAGAGAGGGCCTGTTCTTGCACGTATCTCTTGTCGTTCTGGAGCAGCCGGAAGAGCGACGAAAGCAGGTCGTCCAGGTATGGCTCGAGGACGGACTTCTCTGCCTCCTCGCAAAAGTTGACCAGGGCGGCAGCAGCGTGGGACTTGACACGTGGTTCGGGCGAATCGAGAACTGGAACGATGGCCTTAAGGATCGCGTCGTAGAAATCCTTCTGCATGGTGGGCGCGAAATCGGTACTCATCTGACCGAGCGCATTGCATCCAGCCCACCGGACGCGGGGGTGGGGGTCCTTGAGGGCTGGCACGACGAGGTCGAGGACCTGGCGCAACTCTCCGAGCATCTGCTCCCGGCAGCCTTCCGAGATGGCCGAGATGGCCATCAGGGCGGCATGCTTGTCCTTCCATGACATTGACTGCATCATGCGCGGCAGCCAGTTAAAGGTTGGGGCAAGAATTGTGAGGCCGCCGAGCTTGTTAGCCAGCCTGTCCATGCATTGCTCGCCTGCGACGTGGTTCTGATCGCTCTCCTCTTGGTCAAGCTGCGCGATGTTAGCAATATCCTGATATTCTCTCCTTCTTTTGTTATTTCTCTCTCTCGGGTTGGACGTACGTCGTCGGCGTCGAGCCAGTCCTGGACGTCCTCATCCTCGCCCAGATCCGTCATCAGGCTCAGGCACTGTGTGATCATGTCATTTGTGAAGGAGCTGTCCTTCTTGCACATTGATGGCGCGTAGTCGGCAAATGTAGCCATGAGTTCCAGGGCGTTCTGGCGGCAGATATCGCTGAGCTCCTTGTCCTGGATGACGGATATGCTGAACTGGACCAGGTTGTGGAACAGGAGCTTGAACATCTTGGGGGCGGATTCGGCTAGGTCGATGAGGGCGACCAGAGCCTTGCTGAGGTCCTCGGAGTCCTGGGAGTCCTTGATGGGCGGGAGGATGTTGAGGACCTCGGGGATCAGCGGGTAATATTGTTGTTGGCTCTTCTTGTTCAGGCTCCTGAAGAAGGAAGCGAACGCCTCCATGGCGGCGAGGCGGACCTGTGACTAATATCAGCACTGTCTCGTGTTATCCAGATCGCGAGGTATGAACATACACCGACAGACTCGTCCTTAAAACCCTTGGTGAAGGCCTGCCCGACCGCCTCATGGTGCTGTTTCTCGATGATGCCAGGCGTGGTGTTGAACACGCGAAAGGCTGATTCCCGCTTGCCAGGATCTTCGGCTATGCTCAGCTGGAAGAGTACGGTGAGCAGCTCAGGCCACGGCTCGTCTGTACCTTGTTTAGCAAACCCAGCGGGCAACACACACCCGGCGCGACGGAGATAGACACGTACTCGCATCTGAATATTGCCTGCCAACCTCGGCGACGCTGTCGCTGATCTTGTTCCTGACCTGCTTGTCGGACTCGTTGACGAGGGTCTCGAGGAGTTTTTGCCTGACGACGAGGGCCTGCTCTTTGGCCAGGGAGATGAAGACGTCGACGACCTGGCCCTGTTCGTTCTTGCGTGTCTTTGAGGCTATCCTCCTGAAGATGACGGCGGCGAAGGAGCGGACCTGGACGTCCTGCGACCCGGCAATGTGCTCGGCCAAGCCCATCAGCAAGACCTCTGGACGCGTGCTGGTCCAGTTGTTGGCCAGCGCCTCCTCAGCCTGAGAGCGGATGGAATTATCCGGGGACTGGAGGCCTTGGATGAGCTGGCCCAGCTCGGCCGTGATCTCGGGAGGCAGGATAGACATATCGGCAGTATATGGATCGAGGAGGGGAGGGGGAGAGGATCGCGCGGGGGCCGATGGCTAGGCAAGGCGCCGCAGCGCGCACACGGGGAGTCTGTGAGTCGAGAAAGCGCGCCTATGACAGCGAGGTCTCTGGGCGCAAGCGTCGGGACTCAGGACGCGATTGTTATCTGGGGGAAAAGGGTGGATTGGTCGTGAGACTTGGGGGAGAAGTCTGTTTGTATTCGTGGTGGTTGCTGTGTTGACGATGAATGAATTGCCCCGCGGTGGGACGAGACAAGAAATGGAGGACAAGGGGGGAATGTCCACAACAAGCGGATGGCCCGTGCAGAGGCAGGCGGGCAGAGTGAATATTTAGAGCAGCAAAGCAAGTCAGACTGGAAGGCGACGGCACGCATTCAGCAGTCGAGGAAGGAAAGGTAAGGTATGGAAATGGTAGACTATCGTGAACGGGAGTGGAAACGGGTGGATTGGGAAATTTGTGTGTCTAGGAAACAAACAGAGATAGTGCTGCAGCCAGCCTGCCCAGCCCGGCCCAGTCCTAGGTGAAAGTTTGACGTGGCTGTGGAAGGGTTCCGCTCCAGTAGCCCAGGTACTTTTGGTATGTGCAGATAGCAGCAGAACTGAGGGGAGAAATTTGGGCGGAACACGATGACCAGTGGTTGAGTGTGGGTTAGGTGGGTGCCACTGGCGCTGGTGTGGGTTTTGGAGGGGCAGAGGAGGAGTAGTGCGCATAAGATCAGCACCCAGTAGAATTATCAAGATCAAGGATTTCTCTTTTACTTTCTTTCGTTCTTTTCTCTTTCTCTCTCTCTCTCTCTATCTTCCTCTCGCCACCTTCTGCAGTCTGTGTCTCTCTTTTCCCATTGTACAGTCGCAATGAGAAATTGCAAACACCCATACGGTGGCAAATTGAGCGTACATTCATGAGCATCAAGAGCATGAAAACAGAAGAGGAGCCCTCTTTGCGTATCTGACATCTATAAATGGAGGTTGGCGATACTGCATAGAGAGAGCCCTGCAGGAGGAGGAATGCGACGGAATGGCCTCTTCTCTCGGCCTCTCTTTTCTGTCAGCTGCTTTCGTCTGTGGGTGTAATCCTGCAGGGTTGCCGCATGCAAACACTTCTTCTCGGGGCAGACCTGACCACATGTTCTCCAGCGCTGTCCTCCCTGGAAGATGCATGTCCCTGGGACAAAAGAAAGAAAATTAAAAATAAAAAAACGCAGGGTCTCGCAATGGCACCAGCTGGACTGTTGGCGGATGGGATTCTTTTGGAACCGCATGAAAGGGAGCGGTTTTAGGCAGGGATGAGCCATGCAGGTTGGCTTGTCCCAGAGCACAGGCAAACGAATTAGACTACTGGTGCTCCAAAACCCTCAGACCGTCAGCCCACGTCCGACGTTGCTGTGATCGAGCGCGAGGGCCTGTCACTGATCTGGCTTGGCGACGACATGCGACGATCGCATCACTTGTGGTCCATACATTTCTCTCTTGTTCCACGTAGTATCTGCAGTATCCCAGATACTGGATCTCATCCTGGCCATTCTGCCTCGTTCGTGCGTTTTTCCGTCATCGTGTCATTTTCACTGTATGGCAATCAGTCAGATTCGAAAGTCGAGATGCCCTCAGATATTTTAAATGGATGCGTGATGTTTGTCGTCAGGAAGTCCATGCTTGAGTCAGATCATGACGATCCATCTCGAGGGTCAAGCGACCCTAGGTATGGGGCTCCCCCTCCCCCAAGACTACAAGTACGGACTATCACGAGCTTGTGAGCTAGCTCTAGCAGCTCTTGCTGTTAGGTCAGTCCGTCTGTACGTCTAGGTAGGCACCTATTCAATGGCATGATCCCTTGGCCTCATGGTCGGAGCTCCCGCTTTCCCCCCTTCATCATCATATTGGGGCTTAGCTGTAGAGCTTTCCTTCCTCCAGCAACATCATACTCCGTCTATCCATCATAGTCTGTCCCCTGAAAAAAAGACACACGGACAGACAGGCACATAAGAGGAGGCGTGGGACACTTTGCTAATCGAGCTTACCCTACTGGCAGCTGATAGGGAAGGGGGAAGGAGAGAGAGGAGGGAAGAAGAAACAAAAAAAAAAAGAGAGAGAAACGGAAGCCCCTCTTCTGGGAGCTCGGCCAGAGGCGTCCTGGAGCTCCGTCGTCACTTCTGTTTATTCCCCCGCCAGAAACGGCCAATGAGCCTGGCTCAGCTGCACACCTCGACCCTCGATACTCCACCGTCAACCCCGGACCACGACCCACGACCCACGAACCACCTCCGCGAACCTGGCCTGTGTGCCGCCAGTGCAGTGCATCGCATCCATCCCACTTGTCGACAACCTTGGCCTCACCTTTCGCTGCCTTGGTCAACCTCACCACCTGCGTCTCCTCTGCCAACTGCACCTTGCTGTGCGACCTGCGCCACCACGCGATTCTGTGCGCCAGTCTCCTGATCTCACCTGTGCACGGGATATATCGCAGCAGCTTCGCCTCACGTCTGCCTCCCAGATAAGGTAGTCACGACTACTACTAGGTACCTACCGACTGCCATCACCACCACAAGCACCATCACCATCACGTCGACCCTCAAGATGGACCAACAACAGCAGCAGGGCAGGCAGCCGTCGCCAGCGGCCTCGGGCACCGGCCTCGACAAGCTCGCCCACCCAAACCTCTACTCGACCTCTCCCGGCCAGCACCCGGGCCTCCCTCAGCGATCGCCGTCCAGCTCGTCCCTGCACAAGTCCGTCCACTCGCACGCCCACCGCTCCAGCTTCGCCGAGAACCTGCGCAACCACCATGCCCCGCCCTCGCCCCGCACCTCCCGCCACCCCTCCTTCACCCAGGCCGCCGTGCAGGACCTCATCAACCACCCGCCCTCGTCCCGCCAGCCCAACCCAAAGTTCGCCGGCCGCGACTGGCGCGAGGTCCAGGTCGGCGAGCTGGTCGCCCTCAACACCGACGAGGTGCGCTGGGTCGACCTGGACAGCAGCGTCGAGGAAGCCACCATGGCCCTGGTCAAGGGGAACGCCGCCGGCAACTGCGTGCTGGTCAAGGACGGCCCCCAGAAGAAGGCCGTCTCCAGCTTCGACTACAGGGACCTCAATGCCTACCTGCTCGCCGTCGTCGGGCTGGCCAGGCCCGAGGATGAGCACGTCGCCCTGTACGACACCATCGCCACGCGCGCCAGGGAGAGGGAGGCCATCCCGCTCAAGGACATACAGCCCATCTGCCGCCCCGAGCAGCTGCTGTCGCTCCCCCCCGAGACCTTTCTCCCCGGCGCCATCGAGGTCTTTGGGAGCGGTATCCACCGCCTCCTGATCACCAGCGAGGAGGGCGAGGTCACCGGCATCGTGTCCCAGCTCAAGTTGCTCGAGTTCTTCTGGAACGAGGGCATCAACTTCCCCGTCATCGAGAGGCTGTACCCGGTTCTTCTGAGAGACCTGCAGATTGGGTCGCAGCAGATCATCTCCATCAAGTACGTCGCTCCATCAACAACTTTCTGACTGTCCGAAAGCTAACAACTCTCCCTCCTCTCCTACAGCGCCGACGCACCCCTCGCAGAAGCCCTGATGCTCATGTCCAACGAGGGCCTCACCTCGGTCGCCGTCATCGACAACGCCTCCAACGTCGTCGGCAACATCTCCAGCGCCGATGTGCGCCTGCTCACCTCCGCCGCCTCCCTCCCGCTCCTCCAGTCCACCTGTATGCACTTCATCACCGTCATCCTCTCGGAGCGCGGCATGGAGAAGGGCCGCGACTCCGTCCCCGTCTTCTACGTCAACCCCTACCAGACCCTCGCAGCCACAGTCGCCAAGCTCGTCGCAACTCGCTCCCACAGGATGTGGGTCGTCGAAAGCGCAAGCCCCAGCCCCAGTGCCCCTGCCACGCCCCTTCTCGGTCCCGTCGGCACAAATACCAACACCTGGAGCGCCGGCGGTAACGCGGCCGCCACACAGAGCACAAGCGGGCCTACCACCGCCGTCGCCGGCGCAGCGGCGGGCAACAGCAATACCAACAGTACAGCAGCCTCCCCTTCCGTGTCCGCGACAACCATCAACACCCAGAACCAGAACCAGAGCCAGGTGTCGGCGCCGCCCTCGCCCCTGCCCATGTCCTCGTCCGTCTTCTCGCCCACCACCCCAGGTGCGGGGTCGTCGTCCATACCCGCGGCTGCGCTCCCTGGCGCCCACCTGTCAGGCCGCCTGACCGGCGTCATCTCGTTGACCGACATCCTGAACCTCTTCGCGCGGTCGTCCGGGCTCAACCCGGCGGACCCGGGCGAGCAGCGCGCCATGCGGCGGCGGAGCTCCAGCGCGTCGGTGAGACCGAGCCTGGACGGGGACAGGAGCAGGGGGAGTTTGGATTTCCGGAGGTGAGGGTCGGCGGCAGTGGAACGAGAGCCTGGGATGATGCGTGGGGAAGTGGCGTTGGTTGTTGAATATGGCGTGGCAGATTGATGATAGGCTGGTCTTGGTCTATCTTATCTTGCTTGAAAAGGGAAGATCACACAGCCCAGCAGAGCGCAGGTGGCCGGCCAGGTGAGTAAGGGCCGCGTAGGCCGGAGGTCAGATTGGGATGGCTTTTGGTGTGGACGGTCAAATGGGAATGGAATCAATGCATATCGAAACGGCGTTCCGGACTCATTGCGACGGATTCACTAGCTTTATTCTCCTCTTCTCTTCTTCTCCATTCTCCAGCCAGGCGGGAAACTTCCCCTTCCTCCAACATACAATATGGACCTGGGCTGTTCTCTATTTTGCCGCTCTTCTTCTTCTTCTTCTCATTCCGACGAGTCACTTAACCTTGACATGACAACGCAATATCGCGAGGGAGCTGGGGTTCAGATGCGTCTCTGGTCTCTCGGCTTGATATACAGACTGTGTGTTTGCAAAGGCCGGCGTGGAGGGAGAGTACATATTATATATATCTAGACGAGTCACAAAGCAGGGAAAGTTGACTGCCCATTTTTTTTGCAAGGCATGGCGCCCGGCTCCCAAAAATTTCAATGACAAGCAAGGAACCCAGTAACGAGGCCACCTCGATGCGTGTACATGTCTGGACCACATCAACAATGAGAACCGTCACTCATAAACTACGCCGTGGCAAAGATGACAAGTCTAGATGGTCATTACTCTTGTTCATCTACCGTGGTCGCGGACTACATCAGTCCGTGTAGAAACCACCCGACGACTCATCGACTACTTACTACACATCAAGGGGAGAGCTCCAAATTTGCTCAGATGGAAGGCTAGGCTTCCCACTATATAAAACGCCGGCCATGCATGCTCGTGGTATCGTCCTTACACCTAGGTCCCAAAAGTCCTCCTTATCTTATTCCTAATCTCCTCCCTGTCACGTCTCCTCTCAATGACACCCCAAGTACAATAACCACCACTAGTCAACGCCCCAGCTGCGACTCGGGTCCTCATCCTCGTCATCCCAGGGATCCTGGTACGCAATAGCCTTTCCATGGGCTCTCGCGGGCCTCGAAAGGTCCGCGGCGGCAAAGCTGGCCCTCATCTTGCGGCCGCGGGACTGCGAATGTGCCCCCTGGCGGGTGATGGCCGCCTGCCTGCGCGCGTCGTCGCCAAAGTCAAAGTCGGACTCGTCCCATCCCTCGAGTGCAGCGCCCTCGTCGATGTCGCTGTGCTCGTCGCTCCAGTCCCAGCGCACGTCGACCACCTCGCCGCCCTCGCCCATACCGAAAACAAATCCACGGAACTCACCCGCTGCAATACGGGCCGCAACCTTGAGCATCAGGTTGATGAGGTGCACTGGCGGACCGAGAATCATCTCGCACGTCTTGTTCAGGATGGCGCTTGGGATGCGCCGGATCGTCTTGACGGCCGTCGAGGCGCGGACAGAGAGCTCGGCAGTCGACGGGAGTCGTCGGAGACCTTGTCGGGGTGTGAAGAGGTTTGCTGGTGGGGGAAGGGGAGACAGGGCACGCGGGCTGGTGTGAGAGATGGAGACTGAGGTCGTTGCTGCGCGATGGCGCATGGCGGTGTTTGATCCTGGGGATGATGTCCGAGACGCGGCGGATGACCAGGACGTTGAGAGTGAGTCGGTGTCTGCGGCTGCGGTGTGTTCCGAGCTTTCTTCTTCTACGGTAGCTTTGGTGATAGGGACAGCCTGAGTCGCTCTTTCAGGCTCGTCCGATGGCTTCATGTCATCCTTATTCTCTGCCTCACCATCGCCATTGTGGTCGTTGTAAAACGGGGTGATGGGCGTCCCAGCCCCGCTCCCTGCAACCGCGCCTGTGGAACTCTTCTCCCATATTGATACAGTAGGTGTGGCTGCGGACTCTGACCCATCACCTGTTTTTGCCAAGGGAATGTTCTCATGCGGATAGGGGTATGCTCGCCTTGGGGACATGGGCGGCGAGGGAGGGGCAAGAGGCGAGTGCCACGACTGGGTGCTGTGGAACGAATCCGACGACTCAGCTGGTGAGCTTGGCTCGGGAAGGTCTTCAGGTGTCTCTTGCGGCAGATTCAAGGCTGGCGTTGAAGTTCGAACTCTCAGTGAAGGCGCCGTTGCGGCTCGCCTGGATGCGAAGGCTGCTACCCTGGTCCGTCTCAACCGCATCTGCCCAGCTCCTTCAATCGAACCAGCTTCTTCGGAATCAGAGTCCGTCGAGTCTCTCCGATTTGCACTATCTGTCACCAGTGGTGAACCTTGGTCTGCGCTATCCTCGGGCGATTTAGTCTTAGCAGTGTCCGCCATGCTTCCAACCTGGACGTTCGAGGCCGTTGGTGCTATTGGCCCTACCGAATGCGCCTTTGGTAGCGCTGGCCGTTGCACCCTCCTAGTCGTAGCAGACGGCTTCTTCGTTATCCAGATGGGTTCGCGCTTCTTCGGCACAGATAGATCTCTCTGGGATTCTGGGGCTTTTGGACTTGCTTCGAGGTCTTCTGCCATGTTTACCTCTGTTTTGGCAGGTGCAGGCGCGTCTGAACCGGGCTCGACTGGCTTTCTGGCAAGTTCCGGCGGGATCGCGGTAAGGGGTGGTGTAAGTGGCTCGGGTTCCTCCAGGACCGATCTGAATTTGATGCCGAACTCCGGTTTCACTTCCTCAGAACTGACCTCCTCCGGGATCGTCTCCTGCCGGGGCGTCTCCATCGTCTCCAACAGCCTGCGCGATGGCGGTCTCGTGGGTGTACCGAATCTCGACGATCCATCTCCAGGCCTTCCTTCAGGCTTCGCTTCAGGTGTCGCAGGCGTAGAGCTGCTTTTGGACAAATCCACGCCGAAATCAGAATGCCTTCGCGCATTTGGGTTGTAGAACCTCGTCCGAGTCGCAAATTCAGGAGGCGGCGTGACCGGTTGTGGGGGCCAATTCATCGAAACTGTCCGGACCGGAGGAGTCCATGGTCGCTTCTTGACGGGCGTCGTCGGCCTCTCGGGCAGCTGAACGGTGAAGTCCCTCTCGAAGGGGCATGGTGTCTTCTCGAACTGTAGTATTTTATCCAGAATTTCGCGTAGTACGGCCGCCCTCCGTGTGTCTTCATCATCGCTGACAGGCACCTCGATTCTCCAATAATTCGGTCGCCGGATCTGCAGTGCGAATTTGCTTGAATTCTCATCCAGGGTCCAGCATTGGCTCTTTGGCAGGATAGGCTGTAGGGCTGAGCCACATCGGAGGAACGCGACGGACCCAGGGGCTCGGTAGATCTGGAAAGCACCTTGAAAGACTTTAGCGAGGAGCGTTCAAAATGATGGCATAGGGCTCGCACGTACCAACAGCTAGGGTCCTCTCGAACTGGGAGGAGGAGGGCAGTGATCCGGGCTTATCCTCGAAGCCAGGGTTGGGCCGGTCGAATGCGGATTTCCCGGCAGAGAAGGCCACTATCCTGACGGAGGGATGGTTAAAGAGGGTCTCGACGGAGCCACTACCGGAGACAGAGTTCGAAGGCGGGCGCGAGGGTGCTGGCTGGAAAGAGGTTGGGACGGTGGAATGTCGTCGCGGGGCGGGAAAAGGCATGTTGTCACCGGGCGGTCGTAGTTGGTCCATGATTATGGGCAGTGTGATGGCGCGGGAGGCGGTCGAGTTTAGCAGAGTCTTGTCAGACAATCATGTCTACAGCAGACGAGGTGCGATAATTGTCCACATGGCAAGAAGGGCGGGCTTGTGGAGGGGTTGGACGAGTCGAATTACAAGACCCAGATATTGGTCGCAGATTGGAGGAGAATCAGTTCATCAAGAAGCACTTGAGACACGAGTCGAACGATGCTGTGAACTGACGCTGCAAGCAACAGCTTGGACCAAGCCCGAGCTGCAAGAGATCGGGCTCTGTTCAGTTCAAGGACTCAAGAAGAAACAGAGTTGTGTCCAATGGCAGGCGCATGGGCAGGCCGAGGGATGAAGATTGGACGAAGAGTCGAGGCGAGGGAATCAGTCTACAACTTTTCGATGTCGAGTCGGCTGCCAGCCTAGACCCCAGGCGTGTCCAGGTACAGCAGAGGAGCACCCACAGTCTTGCAGCCGTCCTGCAGCAGTCCCGCAGGGGTTGAGATTGGAAGCGAGTAACGGTAACCCACTTCTGCCACTGTAGGTACAGTATTATTACTAGTCACCCCCACTCAGTCGCAATTCAGCTTGCATTCCAAGGTTGGGAGGGGTCCCATCGTCCCTCTCCATCTCTGCAGTCGTCAATCCAACGGTGGCATTGGCCATTGCATCTAGTGGGAAGGCGGCGTAACGCCCAGAATCTCATGACAAATGATGGCTGGCTGGCTGGCCGGGCGCACATTCTCTGACAGCGAGTGGCATGTTGAATGTTGATGCTTGTTTTCTTTGTAGCAAGATATCATCTGATGGACTGATTGATCGTCATCTCCCCGGCCATAGCTTCAGTACCTGGGCAAGCTGTGCAGCTTGTCTCCCTGTCTGATGGGGCATTAATTGAGAGCAACCTGGGAATAGCCGACCGTTTTGGGAGTTTGACGGTCACTGACAGCCCAGCAAAGATCCAGGGACTTCGGAGCACCTGGGGAAACCTTGGAAGGCAGGGGCTGCAGCTCCCAGGTGGCCCATGCTTGTTGTTGTGCGAGGCTGTCCAGACCCTGGCCGTTTCTGACCAGGTGTGCCGTTCCACCGTTCCGCCATCTGCCGTCTGCGTCTGTGCCTGCGCGTCGCGCCGTTCTGGAGCTGGAGCTGGAGCTGACATCATCTCGGCTCTCCAGGCCGAGCACACCCAAGCCACACACACAGCCCACTAGACCACCAGGTATCCATCCACCTCGTAAGCTCTGCGCATCGTGACTGTTGAGGCCTCAACAGCCGTGATCCCACGGTTCTTTGTCACGTCTAGGTCTGAATACATAACGATTCGTAGTCACGACCTCTGCTGCCCATCTCAACTGAACTTGCAACCCCATCCCCAGATCGACAACACCAACGTCGTCATCACTATGGCGGCCCGCGAGAGGAGACCGCCAGGCCAGCAGCAAGCGCAGCAGCAGTCTTCACCCGTGGAAATTGACAAGGAGAAGCTCAAGAAGGCATTTGACATCTCCCACTTCGACATAAACGCCATCCTGCGAGGCGTCCAGCTCACCCTAGTTGGAGGTACGCCATTACACCCTGCTGCTGGCCAATATTGGTCCTTGGCGCTGACACAGACCAACAGCTCACCGGGCACTCCAGAATCCTGCCCTGTTCAGCTCCGAGCACTATCGCCAGGCCGCAATCGCTGTGGCCGCCGGTATAGCCATCCGTCTTGCCATCTATATCCCAGTAAGTGCTCGATATTCCCATGTACATCGTGACACGTGCTCACATGCCCTTCTTAGATCCTCGGCGTCCGAGTCTTCCTATGGTTCCTGTCTCTCATCTTCCGCCTTGATTCTGTCACCTGGGACGATAAGATCCTTGAAGGGCTCGACTTCGTCGCGAACTATGTCTTGCAGGTGCCACTCTTCCTCATGACTCTGATGCGTTATGCCACGCCCACCCTAGACAACCTGTGAGTCCAACCACTGGAAACCATCCTGATCTGGTGATTTGGGATCTGACGAGAGACAGCTTCATGGAGTCGCTGAGGTGGGTGGACATAACGTACGTCCAGAAGCATAAACATGACGATCCCAAGGAACTCCGGGATATGTACTATCCCAACCTGAGGCAGTACTCCACCCGAGACGGGAGCACTCACACGACCAGCACAGCCGAGGCCATCTCAATGTTTCTGTACAGGTTCGCACGCAAGGCCGCCATCTCTCTCGCCGTCTACTTGATGTCCTACCTGCCTGTGGTCGGTCGCTTCGTCCTGCCCGCCGCCAGTTTCTACACTTTCAACCAGGCAGTTGGCCTCGGCCCGGCCTCCGTCATCTTCGGCACAGGAATCTTCCTCCCTCGGAGATACCTGGTAATCTTCCTTCAGACCTACTTCTCATCCCGCAGCCTCATGCGCGAGCTACTCGAGCCCTACTTCGCCCGAATCCGCTTCAACAAGCAGGAGAAGCGCAACTGGTTCCGCAGCCGCGAGGGGCTACTGTTCGGGTTCGGCATTGGCTTTTACACCTTGCTCCGCGTGCCGCTCCTAGGTGTACTGATATATGGCGTCGCCGAGGCGTCAACTGCGTACCTGATCACTAAGGTTACGGATCCTCCACCGCCGTCGACCAGGGCCGATGGTTTCGCAGCGAGCCAGCGGGAATGGAGAAACAAGCAGAAGTTCCTCAGCCTGCCTCTGTCGAGTCTGGATAAGATCCATGACGAGCCACCTTCGTACTCCGAAGTGGATCCTCATCCCGAAGCTCGGCCGGTTGAGCTCTAGCCCCTGCGTAACAATGATGAACAAATGCTCAATGGCAGTCAATTGAAGCAAGACCGATATGATGCATTGACCAACTGATAAAAGAAGTCTACTTGTTGACTATCCCACATATTAGACACTCGGGGTTTGATATGAGACGGGCTCAGCATTCCAAATCACCTACCGACAAAGACTCCGGCGGTCTTATCTGCGGAGAGGTGGAGACAAGGGGGCCGATCCGGGCGGATGGGTGCGGCCAAGCTCGGGATTGGGCGAGTCGCCCTAGATAAGGGCTGGGATTCGTTTCGAGCCGTCAACTACCAACTGCTCCGATAACGACCATCCTAATCTGTATAGTCGGATTTCATTACGTCGTCCAAGCGAGAATCCATCTCAGGGACACATAGCATTGCCGTATGCCTGTGCGGGGTAGTTCGTGGGATGTGATATAACTACAGACCTGCCGTCATGGCCGGAGAGGGAGGATAACTAGGCACTGCTCCACGCATCCCATAAATTTACCTCTGGGACAATCCTATTCGGAATCATACAGATTGATCAATATGCCTGGTGAAATTCGGACTGTCTGCAAGGTCGACCTTGACAAGCCTGCTAGTGAGCAGTCTCAGCTTCATGTAAGTCACGTACACTAGAGCCAATTCGGTCTCAGAACTAACAGGCGAGTAGAATAGATGGCACCCAGACAGTAAGATACCATAAAATTTGATGGAAAATGCTCTGGATGATGATTAATCATGCTTCCAGTCCCCTTTGCGGGCAAGATCAAGGATGGCGAGACCGTTAAGATCGAGTGTGTCGACTGGTATGTTAGTCCGTCCTCATCTAGAACACACATTGTGTCTAACACACATCGCCATGAAGGACCGGCGGCCAGATCAAGAACAATGACTCTGCAGACGACATGAGAAACGTGGACTTGACGAAGATTCACTATCTCTCCGGGCCGTTTGAAGTTGAAGGCGCACAGCCGGGCGATGTCCTGCTTGTTGAGATAATGGACGTGCAACCCTTCCAGGACCAGCCATGGGGGTTTACAGGAGTGTTTGACAAGAGCAATGGAGGCGGGTTCCTGGACGAGATCTATCCATCAGCGTAAGCCACCAACCCATGCAGTCAGCGAGAATGTATCCCTCATCTACTTGGCTGCTTTCCCTCCTCACCAACACCACCCAGCTCACACTACGCAGCGCAAAAGCCATCTGGGACTTCGAGGGCATATACTGCACCTCCAGGCACATCCCCCACGTCAAGTTCGCCGGTCTCATCCACCCGGGCATCCTGGGCTGTGCCCCCTCTCCCGAGGTCCTGGCGACATGGAACGAGCGCGAGGGCCAGCTCATCGCCAGCTCCAAGCTCGAGGGCCGCGACGTCGCGCTGCCGCCGCTGCCCCACAACTGCCACCCGGGCGGTGTCACCACGTCCGAGGTGGACCTCACCGAGAAGATCGGCCGCGAGGGGGCGCGCACCGTGCCCGGCCGGCCGGAGCACGGGGGGAACTGTGACATCAAGAACTTATCGCGTATGTATTAGCCTCGCACTACCGTATCTCTGAGATATCTAAGCTAATACGCGGAGCACAGGCGGCAGCAAGGTGTACCTCCCCGTCCACGTTGACGGCGCCAAGTTCAGCGTTGGCGACTTGCACTTTAGCCAGGGCGACGGTGAGATCAGCTTCTGTGGGGCGATCGAGATGGCCGGCGTCATCACGATAAACTTCAAGGTCCTCAAGAACGGGCTCGCGGACCTGGGCATGAAGAGCCCCATCTACGTCCCCGGCCCTGTCGAGCCGCAGTTCGGCCCGGGCAGGTACATCTACTTCGAGGGCTTTAGTGTCGACCAGCACGGGAAGCAGCATTATCTTGATGTTGCTGTTGCTTATCGGCAGACTACGCTGCGTGAGTGTCCTCTTCCTCTTTCTTTGTAGCGTCTTCTATTTGACCATCTCCCTCGGCTAGCTGACTGACTGTTGTATAGGCGTAATCGAATATCTCCGCCGCTTTGGCTACAGTGACTACCAGATCTACCTCCTGCTGTCGTGCGCGCCGGTCCAGGGCCACGTCGCGGGCATCGTGGACATCCCGAACGCATGCACCACCATCGGCCTGCCGATCGACATCTTCGACTTTGACATCTCGCCGAGCGGGCCAGCGAAGAAGCTGGACATGGGCACGTGCGCGTTCGAGACGGGCGTCACGGAGGGCAAGGTCACGGCCGGTGGGGAGAACAGCGAGCACAGCTACGGCGGCGGCCTCACCTACAAGTCGTGAGGAGTCGCGAGGCACTTTTGGTAATTGTTCGGATCAGCCGGCATTTTAGTCTCATGCGAAAAAACGACCGTCTATGAATATGTGGCTGCGCTGGGTCTTTGTGTGCTCCTGGTCCAAGAAATTCTATCACGCTGCGATGTATCACCCACGCCATGCCGTCAAAGCTCAAAGTATCGTGGTAACCCCAAGACTACAGCCAAAATATACCAGCACATCACCCCCGCCGCCCAGCCGTGGAAACCCTCTAAGTGATCTGCATCTCGCTCAGGGCCGAGTGACCCGTCTCCTTCATGTGCTTGCTCGCCTCTGCGGCGCCGGCGCCGATCCAGCCGCAGCCGGGCACGTCGCACTTGAGGACGAAGTCGGTGGTGTCGGTGTAGTAGTGCGCATCCTTGAGCTGCCTTGCAAGCCGCTGCGCCATTTCGACCACGGCATCGTTGCCCGTGTCCCACTTCGTTTCGTCAAAGTCCACCGGCAGGCTAAGGTCCATGGTGAAGGCTATGCGGTCGTAGTGGATTCCCGAGAAGAGCAGGAGGCAGCGGGTCGCTTTCCCCTCGCCGAAACGGTCTACGCGTTGTGACTGTGTGATGTGTTAGACTCCTCCTGACATGGCTTGTCCCGTTGGGTGTTCGCATACCTTGACGTCCACGGAGCAGATCTCGATGTCGTAGATGTCTGACAGGATGGACAGCTCGATGGCGCCGCCCCAAACCTGCGGGGAGAGCATCTTCTGCGCGTACCGCTGCGGCTCCATCTCCAACACGACACTGTTGAACTTGTCCGGGTGCGCCAGGATGTACTCGCCCACCTCCCTCCGCAGCGTCGGCGCCGGATCCGCCCTCTGCAGGACACCACCGAACGCCGTGAACATGCACGAGTTGTCGTCGGGCATCACTCGCAGCGCGAGGAAGCCGTCCTTCTCGGGCCACTCTATGACCGTGTGGTCGGGCTCCACCGCCTTTGGCTTGAAGTCTGGTTTCGTGGCCGTGGGCACCTCGGGCGCCGCGGCCTCCTCCTTTGGCACGAAGGTGATGGCCTCGCCTTTCAAGTTCAGGGGCTCGATCGTTGCGTTTGTGTTGCTGAGATCAATGTTCTTGAGGGGGTAGCCGTACTTCAGGGCTGACGGTTGGGCGCCCTGCTTCTCCCTCAGGTGGTCTAGTAGCTTCTGGATCGTCCAGTCTGGTGTTGCTGTGACCGTCTCGACCCAGCCCGGGCCACGGACTCTAAACCGTATCTCAGCCATGACTTTTCCAGATGGAATAGTGTGTCTCCTCCGCGTTGAGTCCGCTGAATGGTTGCCAGTGTAGAGTGGTGTGAGATTCGCGTCTGTGTCTGTTCTCCCTAGACTATCCAGAAAGCCCAAGTCTCGGGCTTGACTTTGTGAAATGCTTCTGGAGTGACCCCTCAACTCCTATGCGGATAAAAGAACCGTGGCCAGAGATATGCGAGTATCAACGGGTCACCAGGCCGGTCTTCCAAGTTTGGCCTCTGATCGTGAAGCCGGCTCAAGCTCGTAGACTGGTCCAACCTGCCAGGCCCGAGTAGTTGGTGATTTGCTGCTTTTGTTTTGGAGCGCCTTGAACCAACGCCCTCCCCCACAACAAAGAAATCAGCAGGCAGTGATCGATTGTGAGCCAACCTCAAAGTGAGTACTGCGTCCAGTTTCCTTTCTCAGTGGCGACACCCTGGCAGCAGTCGAGGCTCCCTTTCCAGTCGATCTTTAACAAGTGTCGTCTGTCACTTGGTATAGTTGGCTGCTGGACACCAAGTAGATGTGATATGATCACGCCGGAAAGGGAAACTGATTGAGAATGACAAGAGATGGCAAAGGGAGAACTGAATCGCCAATTCCCTGCATTGCCATCTCACTGATATGGGCCATCCCATCACTGACTGACAAAGCAGGTCACCCAGCGCCAATCACCACAACTCAGGCCAGTGACGCTCGGACCACAAACCCGCTTCATCCCGCACCTCCTATTCACACGCCCAGGTGTTTCATTATTCGCCCCGAACCCTGACCGGAAGACCCAGCAACCCCTCCCAACCAAAGATGGCCCCAAGCAGGCAGTGGGCCCACGCTGCTGCCGCCGGCCCCCCATCCCGGGCCTTAGCGCCACCTGGGGGGAGGCGCGCCGTTGACGAGCTGGTGCAGCTGGAGAACGGTCTCGAGCGCGGAGACGAGGACGACTTGCCCCCTCTGCGTTCGGACAACCCACTGCACATCTCCCAGGACCTGGACCAATTCCTCCCTCCCGTCTCCCGACTGCAGCTCGAACAGCAGTCAGCACACCTTCGCGAGGCACGCAACCAAGAGGACACTCGAAGGGTAAGTCGCCCATTGTATTCCCGTTCTCCCGCTGCAGCTTGAGCTGCCTGTTTTGTCGTGGTCGCCGTCCTGTTCTCGTGTGCGCGGTGAATAGAACACACAAAATACGGAGCGCATCGCGTCTCTGTGCCGGCGTGGAGGAGGCGTGTCATTGACGTGACGCGACGCGACGGCGGGAGACGACCACCACTCGAATTCCATGGTGTTTTGGGAACTCGCGGAAAAGCTGACATGCACGTAGCCACGACGAGTCAACCCCGACAGCAGCTCCTTCTGGGTCGAGGACTCCGGCAGCGAATTCGATAACGACGACAACGACCTGCCCGCCGAGCCAGTCCAACCCGCCCAACAAGACCAGCCCGACCAACCCGACCGGCCCGTCCTCCAAAACGAGCACTTGTTAGCGGCCTTGGACGCTTAATTGCCAGAGATTTATCACCTGCGGAGCTCGAAGCCATTCTCTCGGTTGAGCCGCACTGGCGTCGTATCGTGAGCGACTACCTTAGCCGGTTGCTCGGGGCCGCACAGGCCTACCGGGCCCAGCACCTCGCAGTGATTCAACAAATCCAAAACATCACACTCGCAGCAGATTCACTGGGCCAAGGAACTCAAGAGACTCAAGGCGCTGGAGAGGTCGAAGAGGTCGAAGAGACAGAAGAGGCTGAGGAGTCTGAGGAACCTGACGAAGAGGCCACGGATTCTCGAGACCATCCTAGAAAAGACGACGACGACGGAAGCGAAGGTCAAGGGGAAGGTGGCACTGGGAACGGCCAAGACACGAACGGGAACGCCGAGGGAGAGGGTGGTTCCGAGCAAAGCGACGGTCAGACAGACAACAGGAAGCAAGATCCAGACCAGGGCACGAGCAGCCGAACACCAGGCGCAGGTGGGTCTGAACAAAGAGACCAGGAGCAGGAGGGTTCGGATCGAGACCCGTCGGCCAATCTCGACGGTGACAGAGGGACCATGGCGCCACGATCTGCAGACGAGATTATGGTTCACGACTCTATCGAGGCAAAGGGCGACCAGGACGTCGATATGGAAGACGCCCCTGCCGACACCAACGGTGGAGATGCCGCGACTGCCAGGCCTACCGTGAACGCAGGCGGAGACGCCAATGGCGACGCGGATGCCGAGGGCGAAATCGACGCGGACGCAGATGCCGATGCCGATGCTGATGCCGACGCCGACGCCGACGCCGACGCAGATGCTGATGCCGACGCCGATCCAGACGCGGACGGCGAGGCGGACAGTGCCGAACCTCCTGATTCTTCGAAGGGCCGGCGCGGAAGGGGGAGGTGGCGAAACGTGGATGATCCTAACAAGGAGTTGCGCCAGCTCATCGATGACACGCAAAAGTACCTCAGCAGTTACACAGAAGAGTGAGCGACCGAATGACTCGACTGTTTCTGTAAGCTTATACTAATGGTTTGTTTGTCACAGTGACGAGGAAATTTGTGAGCCGTTCCAGCGCATTCCGCGAAAGAACATCTTCCCAGACTACCACGAAGTCATCTCAAATCCCATTGCGTTCAGCACAGTGCGGGTGAGTTGTCCCAGAAAAGTCGCATTCGCTGGCAGTGGGCTAACAAAGAGGCGCAGGGTAAACTTCTCAAAAAGGAATACACAGAGTTCTCGCAGTTCGGCTTCGACGTGGCTCAGATATTTCGCAACGCGCAGATCTACAACCGTCCCAGTTCCGACATCTTCAAGTACTCCGTTCGATTGTTGGAAGTCTTCAAGGAGAAGCTTCAAGAGCTGATCAACAACGGTTCCATCTCTGTTGAGGATGCCGTGCTGCCCGACTTTGGCGAGCTACCTCCCGTGGACCCCTCACCCGAGCCTGGATCAGAGGACGAGCTCGAGGAAGAAGACGAGGAGGAAGAGGAGGAGGACGAAGATGAGGACGACGATGATTCCGACGATGAAGGTGGCCGACGCCGTGGCCGCCGTCGTGGCCGTGTTTCGAAGAAGGACGCCGACGACGATGACGACTACCACAAGAAACGTGGTCGTCCGCCCAAGGTGTTTACTCCAACGGAAGCACGTATCAATGCAGTGCTTAAAGGACTGCGCAAGCCAAAGGACGACGACGGCAACCTCCGAATCCTTGACTTCGAGAGGCTGCCTGACAAGCAGCTGAACAAGGAGTACTACCAGGTCGTGGCGAACCCTATCGCCCTTGATCAGGTCAAAAGGAACGCGAAGCGCAAGAAGTACCGGAACGTCGACGAGTGCCTTGCGGACCTCGAGATCATGTTTCAAAATGCGATGCAGTACAATGCACCAGACAGTCAGATTCACGAGGACGCCGTTGAGCTGCTCAAGGAGGCCCAAAGGTTGGTCGAGCAGGAGAAAGCCAAGCCAGATGACGCCTTCCGTGACGAGGAGGGTAAACTGCCGCTGTCAGAAGTCCAGCATAATGGCGAGACGTGGAGAGTTGGTAAGTCTAAAAAAAAAACAGATGCGCTCAAAATTTGTCCACCTTGATGCTGACATGATGTGCCTTTTCCCCAGGCGACTGGGTTCATATCCGCAACATGAACGACCTAGAAAAGCCTATTGTGGCGCAGATCTATCGGCTCTGGCAGGACGAGGCGGGGAAGAAGTGGATCAACGCGTGCTGGTACTACCGTCCGGAGCAGACGATCCACCGCGTGACGAAGCGCTTCTACAGGAACGAGGTCATGAAGACGGGCCAGTACCGCGACCACCGGATCGACGACATCGTGGACCGCTGCTTTGTCATGTTCCACACTCGCTACCACAAAGGCCGGCCCCGAGGCCTGCCACTGGGCAAGGAGGTGTACGTCTGCGAGGCGCGGTACAACGAGGAGAAGTTCACCTTTAACCGCATCAAGACATGGACCAGCTGCCTGCCTGACGAGGTGCGGGAGAGGGACTACGAGATGGACCTGTATGACGTGCCTCGCAAGATCAAGAAGGAGCCGACTCCAATTGCGCACTTGCTCAACGAGAATGCAAAGGAGACAGACTCGATGCCAAAGCCGAATTGGGGACACAAGGACGCGCCGCCCATAATTGGAGGAGTCCATATCCGACCCCGAGAGCCAAATGTAAGTCACGTTCCAGATTCTATACTCATTTTTTCCTTTCTTGTTTTTCACTTTGCATACTGCTCTGGGTACAAAATTCCCCTGCGACAAAGACGTCATCAGCGCCGAGTCCGAGTCGTGCCTCTTGCATCTTTGTCTTGTGTGTCTCGGACAAGTAAACGGGCCACTCGTAGCTGTCTCGAGGCTCTTGGGTCCAGCCACAATTTCCTTATCGTGTCAGACTCGCTTAATCTGGCTCTTCACACACCCCCACACACCCCTCCCTTGCACAACAAACTTTTCCCGAGTCATCCCTGCCCTTGGACAAGCGCAACAAGGCTTGAGTACACGTCTCGCGAGCAGGCACGTTCCGCAAGCAGGACAGAGCAAGCAAGCGTCTTTGGACAAGCGAGAGACTGACCGCAGGATCCCTGCACAAACAGGATTCTCCTTCGCCAGAGCCGACCCCAGAGCCGCCATCGGTCCCACCGCCCTCGATGGCTGCTGTTGACCCGATTCGTCGACAATCTGTCCCGATGGGCCCTGGGTCGACCGCCTTTCATCCCGGCGTACCGGGCCCGATCCCTTCCCCTTCTCCTGCACATGCACATGCGCATGCAAATCACTACCAGCAGCCGCACTTCATCCCACCACGCCCGGTCGCGACCACGCCTAGCGCCATCCCGGTCCAGTCTACTCATCACCAGTACCAGCATCAGCAGCACCACCACGCGGCCGCTTCGCCCGTGCACCACCACGCCCCGGCTCACAGTCCCCATTTTGCTCCACAGCACCAAGGTTACAGCCACCACCCGCAACAGCACCAGCCTCCGCCGCCGCAGCATCAGCAGCATCAGCCGCACTACGTCCCCAGCCCTGCATCTGTGGGTCATCACCACCACATGCCCAGCTCCGGCAGCTTCTCAAGCCAGCCACCAACCCCCTACGCCGCTCCGGTCCAGCACCACCAGTCGCGCATGCCCATGGCTCCCACCCCGAGCAACACGGCGATCCCGCATGCCAATGCCAATGCAACAATGCACGCAGCGCCGCGCTACGACTCGTGGGTTCTGTACGACGACGTCGACGCAGCGTTCCCACGCGAGGTTCGCGACCAGTACCAGACGGACGACAAGGGCCACGTGCTGTTCTTTACTGCGCCGCCCCAGAACCGGCCCGGCCATGGTGTCGCGGAGGAGAACGCGACGCTGGGCCACAGCGTGCGGTATCTGAGCGACATCCAGCAGCACCGGGCGGAGCGAGAGCGCAAGCGCAAGGAGCGCGACGAGGCGCTGCGGCAGCAGGAGGCCGACCGGGCGGCGCGCGACAGGGAGCTCAAGGAGCAGGCGGAGCGGCAGATGAGCGCCGCGGCGGGCAGGCACATCGGCGACTGGATCCTCGGGATGCAGCGCGAGAACGAAGAGATGGAGAAGGAGCTGGCCCCTGTGCGCGCCCAGAAGGCTGCGTGGCTGGCCGAGAGGGATGCGCTCAAGGCGCAGCAGTGAGCGAGTTCGATTAACGGCCATTGCCATTGGTCATTCCCCCGCCGCTTCGCACCTGTCAACGAGTCACTCGACGACTCACCACTTGTCACACTCGCGTTGACACCCATCATCCCGCTCTTCGACCGGAGAGAAGGACAGAGCTGGGACTGAACCACACAGGACAGTTCCCTGATTACGACTTTGACTTTCCCCACGAATGGCACATTATACCCAGGCGTTGCACACGACGGTCTGAGGTTTTACTCTTTTTCAAACCCCCCTCGACCTAAAGGTGGGAGGGAGGCTTCACTTGTGTTGTACGAAATTACTGTAAGGAGTTTGGGGACACATCAAAAAGAAATCCTGGGGGAGAGGGGAGGGGCTGATGATGCCTGATATGAAGGCTGTCTGAGGCTTGCTCGGCTTTTACTCTCTGAGAGGACATCTGGATCTCTTGCTGTTGATGACGCCATGCCGTCTAATGGAATGGCAATGAGGATGTAGCTGGGAGGGCTTTGTGGTTCTGTAGGAGTAGATAGCCCTGCAGATCCTCACTCAATATTTGTTATACTATTGTAGCTTCGGTCCCTTGGGCAGCTGTGAGTGAGGGCCTTGTTGTGTGGTACCTACTGGGGAATCTGTGCTTCTTTTGGCTCTCGTGCCCGATCAGTTCTCAAGAAGCTCAACATATCGAAATGCACAGAGGTCACGTGGAACACAAAAAAAGAGAGTAATACTGTATGCTGCTAAATAAAGAGAGTTATCTCATGACAGCAGCTTGATGCTCCGCAATGGCAGCTCGTCCTTCAGCGCGTCAGTCTTGGCTGGTCAGGCGCAGAGCTCCAGTTGCCCCAGGACCAGAGTCTGTGTGTTTTTACCAGCAGGCATGCGAAAAGTCCAAAATTGGGTGGCTGGTGGAAAACACGTTCACAAAACTGAGAAAGTTGCTCGTAATTTTGGATATGAAAAGGCGTTTGGCTGCGAATGCCATGTTGAATGTTTCGAGTGCAGCGAAAGTGAGAGTTAGACGCATCTCGAGGCCAGCGGCCAATCAGCTGCGGTCTTCCCGCGCAACTGCCCCACTTTGCGCCCGCAGCCGAAAACCGCCACTCAGTCTGGCGCAACTCAAGTCGATTGGGTCATTGACCTCGTCGCCGGCCTCGAGTCACGGCCTCTTTCCCTTCGGACCTCCCCCCAGCTCGACTCATTCCCAACCAGCTGCACCCCATCCTTTCCTTCAAGAATCGTATCTTTTCCAGCAACAAACTGTACGTCTTGGAACAATTCTCACAGCAATCATCTTCGAGCAGGAATCGTGCTCTTTTGACGGGCTTGATCAGCCTCATTCTCAATCTCTCTCAGTCACCTTTCGTTACTGAATTGCCACCCAACCTCACCCTGTTGCGACTTTGCGATATCACTCACCATCGTCGTCCTTACCCTTACCTCAACACACATAACCACACACGAGTCTTTTGAATGGCCCAGCGCCTGTTCCACGGCTTTCGAAACCCCTTGTCTTTCATCTTCTCCCCTTAGCCACCATCTTGTCTAATATCACTGAAACATCGACTTGACAATGGCTCTCTCTGTTCTGGCATCAGCCAAGACGGCCTCAGGCGTTGACCGTCGAGCTCGCCGCACCGGCCCTCGCCCCAGGTCCCCCAAATTGGGCAACTTTGCACGCCTTTACCAGACCGTTACCAACTTCAAGAGCGACGAGTCCGACAGCGACAAGGCCAATTCACCCATCCGCGGTTCCGTCTCCCCGGCTAGCGGCCATGCCACCGTGGTCGGCCCCACAACCTCGCCCCTTCTGGGTATGGGCCTCACCAGCATCACCGACGACTTGGCTCGCCTCGAGATCCCAGGCCGCAATAACTCAGCAATTGACGGCGCGATTACCGACGACGACAGCCCTGCCAGAGACACTCCCGTGTCTGCTGACATCGCCGGTTTCAGCCGCGACACCACCCCGACTTCTGCGAGTCCGGTCACTCCGGCCGAGGCCGAGCTGAGCCCAAAGCTCAACATCAAATCCCTCCTGGTCGGCTCCACCCCCGACCCGGAGTTCTACCCGTCGGACGACTCCGCGGACCCCTTCTGCGACCAGATTCGCACAGTCCACGCGCAGGAGAAGCACGCCGAGTTCCAGAAGTTTGTTTTCCCAGCTGTTGCCCCACTCAAGATCCTCAACCCCAATGACAACCATCTTGGTAAGCTCCAGCACAACGAGCGCATCGCCCTTGCGAAGCTCGCCACCAAGCAGCTCATCTCCCCCGTTGCTGAGCCGCTCGTCCTTCCTTGGGACAGCAATGGCGACTTCCTGCCTGGCCACTACCAGCCTACGGTCAACAGTCCCTGGGCTCCTCAGAAGCCTGGTTTCATCCACCTCAAGACTGTCTCCAGGAACTCAATTGACCCTCTCTATCGCGTCGACAAGAACACTCAGCTCAGTATCCTAAAGGCCAAGCTTGACGAGCGCTTCGCCGAGGACAGCGCCCTGCGATCGCACCCCCAGATTCTCCAATCTCAGGAGCCCATTCATGTCTTTGTCGATCTGTCCAACATTGTCATCGGCTACTACGACTGCATGAAGGCGAAGCGAGGAGTCTCGAACAACTACCGAGTCCAGGCTCCTCCCTTCTTCTTCGAGGCCTTTTCTCTCGTCCTGGAGCGCTACCGCCCCTGCGCCAAGCGCGCCGTCGTGGGCTCCCTCAAGCCGGCGAGCCAGCACCCCGACTACATGATGGAGGCCGAGCTGTGCGGCTACGAGATGAACATCCTGCAGCGTGTCACCGGCCCGAAGCCCAAGGCCTCCAACCCCCACATCACCAAGATGCCGATGCCCGCCTCCGGAGCGCTCGACGAGGAGTCCGACGACTACGGCCCCTGGTGCCCTCCCATCCAGGTCGCCATGAAGCACCGCGAGCAGGGCGTCGACGAGATCCTCCACCTGAAAATGGTCCAGAGCATCCTCGACGCGCCAAGGCCTGGAACAATGGTCCTGGCGACGGGCGACGCCGCCGAGGCCGAGTTCTCGGACGGCTTCCTCAGCAACGTCGAGCGGGCCCTCGAGCGCGGCTGGAACGTCGAGCTCGTCGGCTGGCGGCGCAACATCTCGGGCGCCTGGCGCAACGAGGCCTTCCAGGCCAAGTGGGCCGTGGGCCAGTTCCGCCTCATCGAGCTCGACGACTTTGCCGAGGAGCTGCTTGGTTTCTGGCTGCGCCCTGGCCAGCGGGGATCCCTTTGAGCCAACACAACCAACTGTACTAAGCTGCTGCCACTGGCCTTCCACTCGCCTCTCTGCAGCGGCTTCGATTGAGCGATTGCTCGGTCTTTTTTTGGCACATTTGCACCTTTTCGGTTCAGTCGTGTCACAACGAATACACCATTTGACCTGCATGTCAAAGTTGTATCGGATACAAAACACACCAACATTTTCAACAGTTGACATTGCCAACACGCAGGCTTGTTTATCGTCCAACGGCAGACTATCCCCCAAGGACCTATCCCACGGGCAGACTATCCCATGGGCAGACTATCCCATGGCAGACTATCCTACTATCCCATGACTGATTATCCCATGGCGGGTTATACCAAAGGAGGGAGTCAGTGTCCTGACGTTCCTGACGGCCCTGCCATGCTGCCAGAAGGCACGATCGCAATCTACGCGCTTTCTCATGCGCCTTCCCCGGATTTGGGTCCTTTTGCTCAGCATTTCTGTAATCTCTTTTCGACTTTTTCTTTTCTTTTCCTTTTTCCTTCTCTTATTCGACTCACCGCATTCAATCATTACCACATTTGCATCATGGTCATCGGAACATTCTTTTCAGCACCGGCGTTCGCATCCTCTTCCCGACGAGGCCTAATTTCGCATCTCATCAGCGCCTTCCGCCACAGAGTCGAAGGGTGTATCAGGAAGGAACACTTGATTTGGTACTACGGCGTAACGGACGACGGCGTGCATCAGGAAAGGGCGACTAAGAAACATCGGCCCAAAGCTTTTTTCGGATTTTCTCAGCATTGGTTCTTTCCTCATCGCCTTCAATGAAGACTTGATACGGTTGGATCAGCAGGATTAAAGACGGCGGACATGGTCACGACTTTTTCACTCATGATGCATAGCGATACCCACAACTTGGCTCTTGTCGTCCCATTTCGACGCGAGCAACCAAAACTTGTTGCATACGGCAGGCGTTTTCGAAGGAGAGGAATGGACAGGACAGGAAGGAACAGGGAGGCAATGGATGAAAGCCTTCCACATTCGAATGATGAACAGGAAGCAGCACATTGGTTCCATCTCGACCCAGCACGGAAGTCATCATGGCGGTTGTCTTCTGCGACTTTTGGATTCCTGGCAGGATTCAATTTGTCCAACTAGACGTACCTTCCTGCAACTCCGGCGGTCGTCACGGCTGTGGTTACCTGTTCACAACACAGCACTGAAGGAACGACACCCATATTCTGAACATCAAAAACAACAAAAGAGAAAGAAAGAAAGAAAACAATTGATAGCGCACATCTCGCGTTAGGAGGATGGAACAAGACGGAAGGCATTACCGAACGGACACGCTTCGAGAGCCGACTTTGCACTGCAGCATCGTAAGAGTCCTCTGCGAGTCTTCAAATACAACGTGGTTCCATCTGTAATGTTTTCCAATCGCCTGTTCGTCCCTTGTGATTGTCGTGTCTTGCTGCTTCTGATCTGGGTATGTGTGTGTGCTGTATTCCGGACACCTGCTGTCACGCTTGAACATTCCGACACTCCCATGCTCCATACTCCCATACTTCCAGTCTCGCAGTCCCACAGCCCCAGTCCCAGACTCCCAGTCCCAGACTGCCCGACTGCCAGACTCCCACTCTGACACTTCCACACTCCCACCGGGTAAGTCTACCGAAACAGTCCTGCTATGGTGATGCCCTCGCAGCCTCGGAGCAGGCTCAGGCGCGCTCCTGGAGCTTTACCCGTTCTGGGGTGGCATGTGCCACGTCGTCTGCCATCTGCAGGCTTTGAACCCTACGCTTGTAAGTACCCCGAGCCCCTTTGGTACCTGCCCTGCTCGGCGAGGCTCTGGTGGCTGACTGCACACGCATATGGATGGGCTGGTCCCCCGTGCCTCGTCCCTACTGCAGAACAACCACCCAACGCCTGTTCTCCTCCTTGCTCAAGCACATCTACCTCTCACCCGAAGTACCTCCACCATGTCCGGGTACAACGAGCTCTTCGACTTCAACACCCCCATCGGGACCGCCGAGCCCGCGCCAACAATGGACCAGCCAGGAAGCTGGACCGCCGCTCCCTCTGCCTCGTCTGGGCCGATGGAGGGTGGCACAGCGGCACAGCTGCATGCCCGATTGGATCTTGCCCCGTTCGCGGCTGCAAGATCCAGTGGGTGAGTATTTTTTTTTTACACCTCTGCTGACTGTCATTGGCTCTACTCCCGCAATCGTCACCTCGCGTTCGACCAAGCATTCCCAAGTCGATTTGGGGGCCAAGCACAGCTGCGCTGAGTGTCTTGCTTCCTTCCCAACAGACTCCGCCCTTCACCAACACACCAAAGCAGCTGAACACCAGGCGTACAAGTGTGCATGCGGCACGGACTTCAACAAGCACTCGGCTCTCAGGCGGCACATCGACACCAAGGACGCACCCAAGACCTTCGCCTGCAATCTTTGCGACGACTCTTTTACCCGGAAAGATAAGCTCAAGGATCACTGCCGCCATTACCACAAGGTCAAAGACGAGGGCCTGCGGTTCTTGTTCAATTCGCAGGAGCTGAAGGCTCGACCGGGTGCTTCCTCTCGCCTTCGTCGCGCCCCCGTACCGTTGGCCGCAGCCTCGTCTGCGTCGGCTATTCATCCCGCTGTCGGGCGTACTCCTACTACTGCTGGGCCAACTATCTGGTCATTCGAGGCGTCAGCTGGGCAGCAGTACGCCAACTTCCCGGCTGGTTCACCCGCTACGACCAGTTCCTCGATTCCGGACAGATCATTCGATTCGGCTGTAGACCTCTTCACTGCCGCTCTCGCCCCCAGTCAGGGTATTTCAGGCTTGGCTTGTGATGTCCTTGGGGATGAGATCTGGGCCACGGGGTTTGATGGCTTCAACTTCTGAGCATCTCCTTTCATCGCGAGCTTACTATTTCCACGCGTTTGAGTTTCTGTGTTTATGTCTTGACTAGATCACGACCTTCTCCCTCTTCATGACACGAATTTTCTTCTAACGGCTGCCGGATTTGACCGTGGACTCTCTCCCCATGACTACAGCAGTGCATGCTGTTGGCTTCATCGCTGTTAGGTGAGATGCGGGCGGTTGGTAACGGACAACAAGGGGTGTCATGTATGTTAGTTTGCAATTTACTTGATCTTCTCCCAGGATCTGTTCTCCAACGTGAGCTGCGCAGTCTTTCACAAATGAATTGCTTCGCTTGGGCCGGCACTGAGCATGAAGTACAAAGCGTGATCACCTCATAAACCCCCCTCCCCATTTGTCTGCGTTCATTTGCCGTCAAAATTGGTGTGCCTGCGGTCCTGCGTTCCCTGAAACGGACTCGATTTGCTGGCTTGCTGGGGATGACCTGTTCTCGGTACACAAGAGGAGGGAACAGTCGATTTGGCCAGCGGGTCAGATTTCCGCTGCAGCAGCCCTTCTGGTCCAATAAACAGGAAACCTGGGCAGAGCCTGCAGCACCTTGCATATTCGCACCCTATTGTACAGGGACAGGTACCAAGATCGCGAGATACTTTCTGCGGGAGCCACAATGAGAGCCTCGTCTGCATAAACATATACAGGAACGTCCCCCGGCCCCAGCCAGCTCGTGAAAACATACTAAAATCAACGCAGTCCAACACATCGCTCAACTACCACACCCACGCAAACGGTACCCGTCATGTCTCAGTACCACCACTCTGCCACCAACAATGCAAGTTGGGAGGCCTTCGACCCCGAGCTAGCACCCTTTCTCCTTACGATGGAGCAGGCAGGAGCCTGGAACCCGCATGACCAGGCCGGTACAAGCAAACCGTTTGGAAGCAAGGCAGCTTTGCCCCCCAAAGCTGATTCCGTGCCGTTGCATGCCAGGGCTGGGGCCACAGGGTGTGGGGGATTTTTCTTTTCCCCTCCTGCTGACGCCATAAAGGTTGAAGAGTCCCACGCCCTCGGTACCCAGCCAGTATGACGATAAAGGCCACACATGCACCTTATGCTGCACCTCTTTCCGCAACAATTACCAATTGGAGCGACATGCCGCCAAAGACAAGCACAAGGCCTACCTCTGCACCTGCATGAAGGCCTTCACCAAGCTCTCTGCCCTGAGACGCCATTCCGAGGAGTCCACGCAGGCTCGGGAGCACCAGTGCCCACTGTGTGACAATGACTTCAAGCGGCCGGGCCACGTCGAACAGCACCTCCGTCTCGTTCACAAGAAGCCGAATGATGTGATCAAGGACCTTCTCAGCGCCCAGAAATCGCAGCCGCGTCGGGAATCCGGGCCGGCAAGCACTGCTTCCACCGCCGTCCCCACGACGGGATACGTGGATGTCCAGGCCGATCATGCAATCGCCAATCCCGGCGAACCTTGGACCGGGCCGATCGACTTCCCGGCCACGGCCCCGGCCGACTGTCCTAGTTCTCGGCCCGTTCAATCCTCGGCCTTCTTCTCGGATTTCTCAGCTCCGGGTTCAGGACACATGACGGAGGCGACTACATTCGCGCCTCAGAGCTTCATGACGCAGGCCCCGGACCTCCCTGCGTATGCTGCTCATCAGGCCGGTGTTGTGGCTGTCCAGGCCGGTTTCCCTGCCAATCCCGCCCCAGGTTTCGTTGGCTTCCCGGCCGCACCCTTCGATGGGAATCTCGATCTTTTCAAGGAGAACCCGGCTTTGATCTCTGTGAACCCCGTTGATGGTATTGAGATGCCAGCCTTGGGGAATGACTTCATGTGGGGGCCGTTTGGCTCCGACTTCAACAATTTTGATCTTTAGTTCATTGCTGGGGTTGAGAACTATTTCTTTTGGATCACGAGTCTGTTTTGCGTTTCTCTCCTTTGTTTCTCCTTCAATGAGATTTGACGAGCTGATGAGAGAGCCATTCTTGGCTACGATGAATACGATGCGCTTTATCAGTAAAAAGTAGTAGGAGGCATACACGCCCTCGAGAAGATTATTTCTTTCATCTATCGTTACCTCGCATTGAATCAAATGTCAACCTGCTGGCTCCTGAGCTGGCCCTGGTATATTTCCCTGAGCCACTTAGGCCTTAACTGCCCCATCATATCCAGGCAGCGTTGCCGTTTTCAACTTGCTGGTCTGTCCAAACAAGCCGACGTTCTGCAGCACGTGCAACTTTGTCGTGGCCATCGTGTCTACCGCGGGCCTGGGCTCCAAAGTGGCCGGCATCGTAATGATCTCCACGTTCCATGCCTTCGATCACGAGCCTTGTAAATTATTCCTCGAGCTATTGGCTATTCCGAAATGGTCTGATCTTCATGTATGAGTCTGCTGTGTAACCTGAACGATCGCGCAGCAAATTGCCAAATCAATTCGATTCTTTTACACTTTGCGAGGTTAGTTCCGCCAAGAGGCACCTGAGGATGCCACTGAGTGGCCGGGCAAAGCTGAATCCCTTGGCTTGCTGGAGCCAAAGCCAGCGCTGGCATTGACACGTCCATTTTGAGTCCGGTGTGCGAATTTAGCAATAGTAGATATTCACCATGGGGAGCTGTAAAAAGAAAATCTCAATGAAACATTTCGTTGATTTTCTACCGCTCCTTCTTCCAGCAGATCACCACTCTGTCTCCATTCCCATGAATATCAGTCGCGGCTTTTGTTTTTAACAGAAGTATGTCTCCCACAAAAACAGTGTTGTGCCTCAAGTTGCGGAGCAAGGCTGCCTAACATGACCGCTCAACGGAACCAAATCTACAGTGGAACATGCAACTACGACATGTTCAACAATAAGTGCAGCACCTCGGCCACCCCCACGCTTGCCAAGACCCCTGTAGGCGTCTACGCGGTCGCCATCTACCTGGACGCCAACGGCCAGAAACCACTGAGCAGGATCGAGGTCGGATCGGTAGACGCGAAAATTGGCGGCGTTTCTATGGGAGATGCAAAGGTCGATGGCAACACAATCACGTTTTTTCAATGGAGTCGAGGAGTACAATAAGAAGTTTCATCTCGAGTATACGGACCCGGAGATGAACATTGACGGAGACCTTCGCTTTGACGTCTACCAGATGTCTTGAGAATTGGGGCAGGGCGAACGCTAGCAGCTATAAGACAAATATGCCGAGTGGGCAGCCAATTGACAGGTGTGGAGTCTAAGAGCACCCTTGTGTCCATTTCCTCAATGAAACCTTCCCGTTAACACCAAATGAGCGAGACAACTGTCTCAATTGTGGGGCCTTAAGAAGGCACTTCACGATGGGTACGCCGTGTTGTTGTCCGGCTGAGAATACCACCAGTTGTCAGCGGCCTAAATTATGCAAAGTCAGTCCGGCGCATTTCTCGTAGGGGATCCGAGAACATCTGATCTTACTGTGAAGCTACCCGGGCTTGCGTTGGATTCAACCGAGGAGGCATCCGGCGCTGTGCCTGGGGCCGAGAGGAACCCATTGAACATCGGCGCAGGTCCGAAGCCAGGTGTCACAGGATAAGCCTGCCGGGGATCCTCAGCCTGCACAGGAGGGTTCCCGCCGGGCGGCAGTGGGACGGAGCCACCGCATGAATCTCCGCCTTTGTATTGGTTGAAGGCCTTGGCTCCCAATCTGTGCCAGCGGCGTAGGTGGTCACCCAGCTTGTCCAGTCGAGGGAAGGACTTGTCGTCACATAGCCCACAAGGGAAGCTAGGCCCGATCTTGGAATTGATGTGGCGCGTCAGGCAGTAGGATCTGGCGAACTGCGCCCCACAGATGCAGGGGAAAGAGGAGTGCCCGGCATCCAAGGCATGCTGTTCAAGATCCGATTTGTTTGAAGAGATGAATGGACAGTCAGCGCAGATGTTGTGGAGGAAGTCCACCTTGCCGTGCGCAGGGGGCGCGGGAACAACCGGGTCTGATTGGCCGAATTGCTCCTGGTAGAACGCCCTGCAACGGCACATACGGTTAGACGAGGCATACAATGCAATGGGCGGCCTAGAGCAGGGTCGGGCTGTTTGTGGGATTTGATAGGTTCATGGCAGTTTAGCAAAAAAAGGAGCCATTCAATATATCTACCTAGTTAGGCAAAGGCACGTAAAGGTGTGTGTCTATCACAAATGTGGCAATGTGAGGACGGCAACCCTCCCTGGGAAATTCAATAAGCTTACTGGTTGGAGAAGGCTGGGGTGGCAAGAGCCATACTGGCAGACTGGCTGAGGTGATCCGGAGCGTCGTGTTGGGTATACTTCCAACGTACAAGGTGGGCTGCAATGTGCTCAAGTGTGGGGCGATTTTTTGCTGTGCAGCATACTGGAGAACGAGGGGAATCCCTTTGCGCCCTTGTACTAACTGAAGAATCCCGGGCGCGGACCACACCTCCATTAGGTATTCCGCAAGTACCCCAGTAGCAGACATGCAAGTCCTAGCAAAATGGTTGCCTTACGCGCTCCGTGCCAATCAAGTGTGAGCGATTGAGTCTATGAGGCTCTGCTGAGATTGCGTAGGGTGCAACTGCTGCATTAATGCCCGATGAAGAGCGCGTGTGCTGCCTCAAAACACCGAGAATCCAGTAAGGCAGCCAACTAAGCCCCCAGCAGCCGCCCATAAGCCCCCTAGATTGTGCTTGGCTGCTCATGGCACAGAATAAAAAGGGTGCAGAACGGGGTGCAAAACAGGGTGCTGGCTGAGTTGGGAGCCGACACGGGCGCCAAATACGGCTTACAGGCAAGACAATACCGCAGTCCAGAAGCCCAGACACCATCCGGGCAGCCTGGCTGAGCTCAAGACGTATAAACCAGGTGATTCGCCTCCCATAGCGTTCGGGACTGTGTCACACAACAGGGCACAGGTAGGTAGTTACGTGTCAGGGCCAGGCATTGTACGACTTCGCAGCGGACGATGCCGCCACCCGCCACTTTTTACATTTGGGAGCACTGCCCCCAGATATTGTGGCCCTCATTCTGGCCTGCTGATAATAGCACAATACATCTGGACTCATGAGCGAAGCGTCGATGAGTAGGCGCCATACCTGGTGGTCCAGAAGCTTGGGAATGGTCCAAGGGCCTGCAATAGGCGAGCCCTCAGTGTTTTCGCTTTTCCGCGAGCTTTGCATAGTTGGGGTGCATGGATGTTCATCGGCGGCGAAATCATTCTTCATCATTCTCACGGTTCGCAGATATCCCATTGGACTGGGTTTGCGTAGTACTTTATTTCAAGAGAGGCCCGGATGTGAGATCATCCGACACGAGTTGCTCATCGGGAAGGTTGTCCAATTTTGAAGACGTCCTGGTTGCAGAGTTTACAAGATCGACCTTCCGTGCTTACCTGAATACTTTTCTCACGTCCCCATTCTAGACTCTGAAGTGCGCGCTAGTCAACTAACATCAACGTAGCCAGGTGAACTCTTCCATGAGAGATTGAAATTGCAATCATTACGCTGAGACTGTCATTATTTTACTGCTGTTTGCCCCATGTGTTGATGCGTTGACGTAGTACCGACATGAGACCCGAGTGTAAAACGCCATGACGGACCATAGCGTTTCCAGACGAGACGGCATTTGAGATAGGAAAGTAAAGTGACACTGATGGGTCCTGTGTTGGCCTTTTAGGTAGGAAGAAAATGCACCTAGGAAAGACTACCACCGCCAGAGACAGAGAAACGGATTCAGAAGGCCTCCGTGTGCCCTCCAACAATAATGAGACTGATGGCGTTGGATGCCACCAGAACCAGGTTTCAAAGTGAAGTTAAAAGGGGTAAGGTCCTGAGAAACTCTGGGTACCATCAAGTCAGCCATGGACTGGTTCACGAACGCCCTGTAGAGATTCGACACTGTCGTCCAAGGAAACTTACTGTAAGTTGGGCAGGATTAATACCATTAAGACTCGATGGAGCCATATTCATGGCATGGCGCGTAGCCATGCCGTTCATCTGCCCGGCAGAGGACCAAGAAGGTCCAAACCCGCCGGAAGGCGCAACCTGGGTAGTGGCAACCGGGGCCGGGGCCGGCTTGATGGGCCTCGATATCTTCCTGGAACGGCCCAGTGCCTTATTTCTGTGCTGGTCCAGAACCGCCGGGCTGACCTTGTGGCCGTCCCGCAGGTGGTCATATAGCTTGTCGAGACGGGGCAGAGCCTTGTCCCCACACAGCTCGCAGTGGAACCCGGATCCCGTGTTGGAGTTGATGTGCCTTGCGAGGGAGGAGAGCCTGCCGAAGGCCGTGTCGCATGCACACAGGAAGGCGGAGTGCCCGGCGTCTTTTGCATGACTCTCCAGCCCGGAGTTGGTCTGGAACGAGACGTTGCAGACCAGGCATGTGTTCGCGGTCGGTCCTTCCAGTCTGGTATGCTCCAAGAAGCTAGCTGGAGTCAACAGGGCCGGGTCTAGGGTCCGGGGGTTTTCGGTGGGGGTTTTCCTTGGAAGAGTCGTGGTTAGTAAAGTCGGCTGGGCCTGGGCGGACAACCAATCCAAGAGTGTGGAGGGGCACCTAACAAGGCAGTAAAAGAACAGAAGGCATGGGGTCGAGTTTCTGGGTCGATTGAAGGCAAGGTGTACAACGATTCTTCCCTGGGCCGAGTCCACGCGAGGAACAAAGGCAACAAATCCGGCAGATATCCATCCAGCTTGATCCTCCTAACACGAGAAGAGACAAGCAAGCCGGGGGTGCGATATGATCTCATCCGAGAGGCACTGCCACTCGGTCGATGGACCGGTTCAGCACTGGCTGGCCCTTCTCCCGACTTGTATAGGCACGACGAGCTTCGAATTGAGGCGAACAGAGAACTGATATCAAGTGCGCTCTCTCCGAGGCAGGCAGGGCAACTGGGATGCACTCTGCCGTGGACGATATGGGAGATGGCTCTGGTGAGCTGGCTTGCCAAAGTCGCGCTCAGTCGGCCTGGGTTGATAGGTCTCCATTGTGGGTTGCTTTGATAGTTTGTCCTAGGGCACAGAATCCAATGGGTCGCAGAAGATGGATCTCGTATCCTCAGTCCTGTGGAGTCACATATATCCGTGGTTGGCCTCAAAGTGTCCATTGGGTCGTCCAAATGCCAAGGCTTATGGCAGAACCGGAGCAGAAGGAAGAGACATGTTCCAATAAGGATCCAACTGGTCCTGTCCACGGCATCCAGGGCTTTACCTTAATCGTAGAGACATTCCGAGGGAGAAATTGATCCAATGGGACGGGTTCCCGTGACCGCGGAAAGCGGCTGTCCGAACGAGGAAACAACAATCGAACATCAGACTAGCCACCGCCTGAGTGAACAGCGGATGTAGTTCAGGAAATCCAAGGTTTGGATGAGAATGATCTCGAGATAGGTCTGCCCCTGGATTGGGCAACAGTCCTCGTGTGAATACCATACCTAGGTAGCCAGTGGATGGATGGCCCACTCCATTTTCCTCTGGAGCCAAAGGATGGGCTCTGTGGAAAGAGGAACATCAAGCATGATGCACTGGGTCCAACGACGACCTCTTGGAGGTAGGTCTGGCCTGAACAAGTAGAATCCGGGCGGTCTCTGTGTCAATACAGCCGGTTGGCATTTCAAACCATTCACAGAAGCCTACGAAACGTCCGAGGACAATCGAATGGCTGCGAACGAAGCCGCATTGGTCGTTTTTTATGTTCCTGCCCTCGCCCGTGCCATGGCCTGGCAAGCTTGCAGTAACAGTGATCGAATACAGAATGCCAAACAGAAAGCAGTAAACCAACGCGAACAGAACAACAGATATGCAGGGCAGACGGTGTACTGGTCAAGAACTGTGAACTTACAGCTCCTGCGTGGCTGGGGACTTCGGGTCCCGGCGGGGGCTGGCGAAGTTGGTATTCGTGCCCGGCTGACGAGGATAATTTGCTGGTAAAGCAACCGTACCGTTGTTCGTGGCGTTTCTCTGGTAAGACCAGTCGACCCGCTGGGCTGTGGGTGGAGTGGAGCTGGCACCACCACCACCGTAGCCTGAGAGGTTGTTGTTTCCGAAGTTTTGGCCATGTCCGCCGTGTTCAAGCCTGAGGAGGCGCGCCTGATCGCGTGGGTCCATGTTTGTTGGGTCTCTTCGGACGATATCTTTGACAAGTGAACAAATTCTGTGAAAGAGCCACAACATGTCTCCTGCCACGGGCGTCATCCCCTAAATAGTGACAGGCATGGGGAGTGAGAAGCGTGGATACCCAACCCCGCCATCTCGGGAGACGGGCAGGCGGCAGCTCGGGGCGAGAGGTGCGAGAGGATATAAGGCGCCAGGGTGCTTGCACCGGGTGGTCGAGGGCGACTCGGTTGAATAAGGAAGCGGGCCTGTGTTGACCTGCACGGTAGTATAAAAACACCAAGGCCAGTAGAATTAGATCACGGAAGCCACCCATTGGCGATGCAATGGCTCACGGTGAGCGGCATGCGGCCACGTTTCGACCAGGCGACGTCATGGTCGGGGAGTAAAACACGGGCTATAACAGCAGGAGCTGACAGCAGGAGAAGGTCGCGCCCAGGCGGACGTGGCTGTTATCAGAACGACAGGCCGCTGCTCGTTCCAGCCCCAAGATAAGGCGGCTGCCCAAGGAGGCCTCGTCGCCTTGGAAGTCTGGCAGGGTGCGAATCGTGCAGGAGCTGCCTGGCTGGCCGTGTGTTGGGCGGGTCCAGTGTAGTCCAGAGTAAGCAGGGCGCTGGACATGTGGTCCAATCATGGGTACTTGGCAGCGCCTCTCGAACCAGGGTGCGGTGCAGGGCGCGAGGGCGGTAGCCAACAATTCGAGATGAGAGGACGAATGGTCGTCGCAAGTGACGTTTATAATGTCTGTTTCGTCGTCGAGCGTCAAGCTACCGTAGCTCCAGGTAGGGACTTGAGAAAACGGAAAGCGTTGTCTGCGCTGTGGCAATCGCGCTGTGCTGAGGTGGAAGGAGCATGTAAGTGGAAGGTGCGGGTGGATGTGAAAACAAGGGAACGGACCGCGGATAAAGCCGCTGCGGCCAACTGCGGCTTAAAGAACACTGTTGTAGACTCCACGGCAAATCAACATGACTGAAATTGTCAAGCAGCAAGGACATACGCAAGTGGCTCATACGATAGTAGACTGCACCCGGTAGATTACCCCAGTTTGGATTATTCGATGGCGGACTGTTGATGTCTTGGTTAGAATTGGAGGTTGGCTAACGTTCTCCATCTGTATTTCCGGTCGGTCGAGAATCTGTATTTCCGGTTGGTCGAGACAACATAGGTGTACAATTAGACGGGATCCAAGACGCCAACCCCGAAATCTCAGATGACTAGATTGAACAGGTGTTTCTCTCAAAACTCTCGAGACTCGTTGTTGACAAAGGTGAACGATGGCTGGCTAGAAGGAGACTCGGAGCATGCCCAGGTAAGGTTGCTCGCGTGATGTTGGGGACGAGCCCACCATGCCGCCATGCCCAGGCTTCAAGTCAAAACATCAAACTTATCCTCGTTCGCCTGCTTCGTTCCTAGACCCGCAAAGCCAAAACGGGTATCCAAATCCCACCGTTCCAGTCCCCCTGCAGCTCGAGTGTCGAATAAGGCCAGCTTTGAAGCAAAGCGCTTGATTCTTGTTATCTCGACCACTTCTCCACGGCCCACAAAGAGAATGGTCAACTCCGAGATGCCTGACGTGTCTTCAATCTCTGCCATGGTATGATTTTCTTACTGGTTCCCATCACTCACAGTCTCCAAGTGGTACTCCGGCCCGACGTCTCTTATGCTCTCCAATACCAGACCTTGTAGATCATCCGGGGCTTTCGCCAGACATCTTTTTTGTTCCGACACGTCCACCTTTTGTGTTGCTAGAAGCAATTGCGCACTTTTTAGAATACCATCTGAGAGCCATAATTTCTTTTCCACGCCTTTGACCCTCTTGTATGTGAGTACTCCCCATTCAGCATCAATGTCGCCAAATTCCAATGGCCAGGTACCGTAGAGGGAAATGATGAGGTCTAGAGGACTATGCCGGTCGCTGGTTTCCAGATTGACATACAAAGCACTGGACTTAAAGAAAGCAACAGTGAGGCATTTAAGAAGGCCATGCGGGCATAGATATCAGATGAGATTCTCCAAGATGGTGCGCCCAAAATCTCAAGAATAGTTCTGTTGATCCGTCAAAAGTCGAACTAAATTGTTGAGTCCGTGGCTCGCCAGTATGTATGATATAGGGGTATCTGATCCAGAAATGCGTCTCGTGTTGACCTTCTCGAACAAATTGTGCAAGGGCACCCAAAGATGACGGGGGAATGAGTCCAGAAAGTACCTTTGTGGGATTCCTTGCGCGGCGGCGGCATTTGCGTGAGAAAGGACGGATTGCGTTGCGTACTCCAAGAATGGGAATATCTGACTAGCTTCCTCCTGGAATCTCTCAGCCTGAATAGGGTTAACACCCTGGTCCTGTTCGTTCCGGTTTCGAGATATTGTCCGCGTGCGATAATCTGCAAGAACTTCAAAGTGTTCTGCCACCGAATCTAGTGCGTTGATCTGGTTGAGGCAGCTGATCTTCAGTACTTCATTCCCATCACCAAGTATGGATTGTTTGGAAATGATTGACAGACCCCTATCACGGAGGAACTCCCGAACTGTGTCGTGAATAAATTGGACTGTGGGCTCCTCGGCGCTGGTCACCTCAGCAAGTCCCTTGGAGACTGCCAGTATATGCTTCGACAATACGTTGGTTCCGACCTTCTCGGCATCAAACGGCTTATGATAAGACCTATGAAGGGCAACAAATACCTCTTGTGGGCGGAGTGGACTTTTTGCGGAAAATATGAGCTGTGTGAGTCGAACCAGGTCAGGGATATTCCTCGTGTCTTTCATAATAACGTCTTGGAACAGTCCATATAGTGGTAGATACCCATGTGATAATGGGATCTCCTTCGCGGCTCTTGGAATTTCTTCCAGGCGTTCCCATATTGCATCCATACGACCGTCATGGTCGAAGACGTTATTCAGCTGACGGACGACAAGGCTGACCCATAAAAAGATGCCAGCAGACCTTTGGAATATCGCATCTCGTAACTCGTCCACTTCAGTCTGATCGGTGTGTTCATCAAACCGGAGGTCTGACCCGATAAAGGTCTTTATGTCGTCGTTGTGGTTTGCTTCATGCTCAAGGGTGATTGTGCGCCTAGGATTTCACACACCACGTTAGTTGGATCAGAGACGTATCAGGGGCACACTGCTGCATAACAGACTGCAAGTAAAGCGGGTATACGGACTTGGTTTTGATACTGATCCGAGGGTAATGCCTGCTTGAAAAGCAGACACGAATGTTGTGGGACTTTTCGGCCATAAGATCCTCGAAATATCCCACCATATCCCGGATTTCACTTTCCGGGCACTCGTCCAGGGCATCCACATAACAGTATAGCCTCTTCTTGCGGCACGCAAGAAGATCGACAGCATACTCAAACAGTTCTTGTAACAACCGCTCGTGCTTTCGCTCCCAACCTCCAGACAAGATGCTGAGGTATTGGCCCCTTGAGCAGTGGTTGAGGGCCTCCAGAAGACTCGGATCTGATGATAGCAAGCTAAAGAGTAGTGAGCGATAGAGGCCTAAGGTTGACTTTTCAAGGTCACTTCCACGAGCATTGAAGAAGAATGAGAGAACAAGTTCAGTGTGACTGCTCTGTAGCCTGCGTTGCATCTCCTGGAACAAGAACTTCATAGTAATCGACTTTCCTGTGCCTGGGTTGCCACGAATCCAGAATAAGCCATCCTGGGCTTGAAGATGGTCCGAATCCATGTCCATCCATTCCTGGTAGTCTTCGCGTCCCAACAGCCACTCGCAGGTTCGTCTTCCAGGCCTTCTCAAGTTCGTCAGGCGGGCATCCAATTGGGGAAAGTAGAGTCTTTTGAGCAACTCTTCCTTCTCCGAGTCAGATAGTACGTTGGCAAAGTTGTGATAGGTGTTCGGATCGTTCGGGTCTGTGTCGCCCGGCGTGCCGTGTGAACTGTAGTAGTTCGTGACGTTGCCGTGGTATACGTGGCCGCTGACAGTGCCATTGAGCATGCGCGATGAGCCTGATGCTTCTGCACGAGAAACTGAAAGCTGCGCAGGGCTCTGTGATTGACGAGGTCTGAACTCATGGAGGGCTGTGTCATTGGGGCGCTTGTGACCATTCATGCGCAGCCTTGTCTGCTCGTCCATAGCAGATGTGCAGTCCGGCGGACAGTCTAGTTAACTGGAAGCCGAGGCAAGGGGAAAAGTCAATTCAATAGGTCTGCTAAATTCGATAGCAAGCAGTATCTGACACGAACAATCGAAGGAGTATGTGCTCTGGCCTCCGTCGACTTGGTCCAAGGTTGAGAAAGAAAACAATACTGAAACAGGCTTTGGAGGCCGAGAAACCTCACACCTGGCTCTAATTGCTACGCGGATACGTTATGCAAGCGAAATAGATAAACTCCCGCCTAGGGTCCGTTAGTCTGCCTGCTCCAGGTAGCTTACGAATCGGAAGGAACTTCCCTCCCCAGCTGCGCCTCCTCTACGCCCGACGTTGCCCATGTTTAGGTCCCTGGACATTGTTCCATCAATCAGGTCCGAGTTCGTTTCTGCGGTCAGCATTCCGAGAAGCCACGGCGCGTAAATCCCTGTTTCTTCACATGTATCTGCCTGTAGAAGTATAGTCGAATGCTGTGTAACTATGCCGGGTCTCTGACACGGAGTGACCTTCTCTGGTATATATTATGCCTAGTCATGAGTATACTTACTGCTTTAGAGGCTCATGATGCGCCTCAAGGAAAATCGGTTAAGGGTCCGTAGATAACATAATGCTCCTCTACCTTTGACATAATAACAGACCGGTTCCCGGAAAAGTACTATTCGGACCTACACTGTTCATTACCTTGCCAAGGCACCCGTGGTATTTGAGAGCATGCCTATTGAGCCCCTCAGCATCACAGCGGCCGTCATCGGTGTTGTTAGGTTGACTTACGACAGCTGCAAATCTCTGAACGAGAAGTTGAAAGGCATCAAGCACGCTCCGGAGAAACTCGAAACCCTTCATCGCGACCTCGACACATTCAAAACGATTCTCAGTTCTCAAGGCGAGGCAAGCTTTAGCGGCCTCGAGGATGTCGCTCTCACATCAAACCAGCAAGCGAGTCTAAAGGCACTGCTTACAGTCATGGAAGGCTGTCGAACGGTCTGTGAAGCTTTCGAGAAGAAGCTCAGCCATCTTACATCACACTCTGACGAGAACCGGATCGCTCTGCGTGATCGAATACGCCTCCACTTCAACGACAGCGAGATTGGGCTGCTAAAAGAAAATCTGGCACAGAGCCAGAGGACTCTGAATGATGCTTTAGGGTTCGCAAACCTGTACGTCTCTTCCTGCAGTTCCGCTGAGGCTCTTCTAACAGTTGTAACAAACCTGCAGGAGCACGACACGCAAAAGCCAACAGGTCATCGACGAGCTCGCATCCACGTACGCGCAGTCAATGAGTGATATTGGGGGGAGAATACAGGGCCTAGAGGTCGCAATGCAGGCGTTTTCCGTGGCTTCTGCTAGTGTCGCCAACGAAGACGTGGCGAAGGTGGCTTCGACTCTGGAAAGACATGAACAGATGTTGAAGACTTGCCTCCGGGTTTACCAGCCGGCCCTCAAGGAGACCAGCACACTCGCTGGCACAACGGTGAAATATCAGAACACTTATGATAATGCGAGGCTGATGACTGGCGACATTGACTATACAGGAGAGGCATTACCTGTCTCTGTTGGTAACGCAGAAGCAAGGGGCCAGTCGCGTATGTTCACGGGGCACATGTCTAGTCAGGCTGCAGAGAACTTTTGGAAATAAACGGAAAGTGAAGTTATCTCCATTCCTAAGCTTCCCATCTATCACTACAGGGTGATGGGTGATTGAGGGCTTGGAAGCCTAAGAAAATAGGCTGGACTATATAGACAATCTCAAGCCAAAGGTTCAGATCCGTGTATAAAGCTGACTGCACAGTTCGTCGTCCTCGTTAGAATCCAACCTCCCCATTCTTTGCGTATCGTTTATTATACTACAAATAAATGAGACAACATATCACTCTTTTTTCCTTGCTTAATCTTTCTAATACTAACGTTGGCAGTATCCTTCCTTGCCCTCTTCTGGCACGCCGGGCACTCTATCTATGCTTGCATGACACATCCCTCCTGCCCGGCTAGGGGTCACTCAGACCTACACCGAGATACACAGCACGAGCAATGTTAGATTAGCAGTTCTCTGATGAAAACGGTCATAATAAGTGAATAAAATATGTCCTTTTTCATGACGTTCAACATTGTCAGGTTCTCTAAGTGCCAGGGGGTATTTGGTTCAGCAGAAGCCGTCTTGCCCCGCCGAGAGGCGGAACAAATAAGCAGACACAATAATCCCCAAAGTCATCAAGCCTGATCATAAGGTCTGACCGTCTCCATGAGGCATGGTGCCCCGGAGTGGTGCGTAGCGAAGGCGGAAATTCTGGCCTAGGTGTAGATGGCAGCGGGAGCGGGAGCGGTATTAGCCCTGTTTAGCGGGGGTTTTCTCTTGCGGTAGGTCATCTCATCTTTGGATCGGGCTTGCCGTCATTCTTGTTGCTAGGTAGGGATGCAGTAGTCCCGCATGCAGCTCAATAAGGAAGCCTCACTCACACAGAGGAATATGAATTGTGTCTGCCCCGCCGTTTGGTTGAGTTGGTCTGGAACAACCCGTCTGGAACAAGTGATGGACAATTTGCTGAGGGTACTGAGCAGTTCCTGGTAGCAACAGATGGTTAATTGACATGATGACAACCTTGGAAGGAAGGTATAAATTGGCCCGCCTGCCTACTTGTTAATACAGTCTGCTGATATAAGGGGGGAGACTAATACGTACCAGAGTGACTGCAATATGTGATCATGATGACTTAGGTTGGATACTCGGAACAAGACATCAGAATTGATGTAGCCTCAAGGGGACCGTAGTCTGGCTGGTAATAGGTCGTCAAAATTGCAGGGCACGCCGCCATTCACAGTATTGGTGTCAACGGCAGCTTTGATGGAAGTAGCAAAGGCCTGTCTCCGGCGACGTCTGAAAGCCTCCTCGTCTGCTTCTCCGTTGTAAAGGCTGAGAATGGGAGTTTCGGCAAAGATCAAGGACAACATCTTTGCGTAGGTGACAGCAGCAACGAAGGCCGGGTAGCGAGGTAGAGGCGGCGGCAGCGGCGGCCTGGAGAGCGCGGGCGGCGACCATCTCACGGCCAGATTCGAGCGTGGCTCTGAACAACCCGAGTTCGACAATATCCGCGGCAGCTATGCAGTCCCCCAGGAGCGTGCCGGTGGGCTGCGGCCGGCGGTCGGCAGATTCATGGAATGCTGGACGTGGTGGGTTCCGGCTGCGAAGGGTGTCGAGGTTTTCCGTGCTTGGTGAAGGTGATCGCGCGTATGCTGGAGGTGATTCAAGCTGGTACGGCGGGGGAGGATCAAGCTGCCTGTTGCGAGAGTCTTGTCGTGAAAGTAAATTTGTATCGGCTTGTAGGGCTCTGTCGTGACAGCGCCGTAGCCGAGCTCTGAGGCGGCACAGCAGGCTCGCCATTGGGTAGAAGTGGGCTGCTGGATGTTCTGCGTGGGATCTAAGCGCAGCTCGGTAGGTGGATTGGGAAGATACTGGGCAGTGTCAAGCGTCTTGGACGGAGTCGGAGCACCTGGGTGGGTTGACCAACACTGTGTGTAGAGGAGTGAGTGTGTAGATGTGGGTGCGTAGGTGTAGGTGTGTGTTGATGGGATAGGACTGGAAGTAAATTGAGTGAGTCTGTCTCCAATCATCTAAGGCCGGTAACTGAATGTATTCTTTCATTACAATCCTCCAATAACCTGGCCAAAACCCACATTTCTGGCTAATACCTACCAGGGGGAGGGGGGGGGGTCTTCGTATGGGTCACGCAACGCAATCATGTTTTGAGATCCTAACAAAATTTTGAAATTACAATGCAATACTAGCAAAATACTATCAAAATACTATTAAAAGTAAATTATGTTAAGGCTTTAAATTATATTAATATTAACTTTATATTAGCTAATATTAGCCAATGTTAAAATAAATTCATATTAAAATCTTTGGTTTAAATATTATTAACTTTAAACTTATTTCTATTTTTAAATATTTCCATAATTCTATAAATCCTCCCATAGTAAATAGTTAAGCTAGTAAAGAGTAAATAAGTAGTTGGGTTGGGGATGAGAAAAAAAAAGAAGTTTTTTTATCTCTATATTAAGGTTTAACATTATATTAAAGTATGTTAAAAATAATTATATATCACGGTATATTAAAAATAACTACATGTTAGTGATGTGTAAATAATGCCAGATATACAAAAAAACATACTATTAGAACCTTGATAGCATGTCACTATTATGTCGCTATTCTATTAACTTGCTTGTAGCACCTAAATGAGAACCCCCCCTCCCCCTGGTAGGTACCGGTAGTGCCATCAAGCTCCTGCCATAGTTTCTGATACTAAGTCCATAAGGCCTCGATCATCCCGCACCTGCAGTGCTTCAGGTGCATCGATCTACAGAACTTACGTATTTCCAAGATCTTTAGGAATTAGAGACCTTGGGTCGGTTGTGCCTGGTGTAAGTCTGTTGCCGCCGGTATGGGTCTACTTGGCTTAGTGAAAACGGTCCGGTCCGGCGTACGGCTAGTGTGCGTCCAAGAAGAAAATTATATTCTAAAACAGTTTTTGTTGTACTCGACAGAGCCATCGAAGACTTCTGTACATTAGTAATTCGCAATCACGGGAGACTCACCACGTGGACTGGAACGACGCTCATCGATTGATGGAGGCTGCCACACGCTGCTAAACCGACCGAGCCAAAACCATGAGCAGTTCTTGTTACGGGGTCGGGAGCGATATGATGTGCAAGACACATTTCAACTGAAGCTTAGAGCTTATCTACGGGGGAGTTTTGATCGAGTCGCCATTGTGAGGTGTACTCGATACCACTGTCATCTCCCAAGAATGAGTTCTAGAGTTTATCAACAAATTCAAAGTTCTTTAGATCCAGGTACAGAGCTCTACATCGGCCTCTTTCTTACGAGTACCCACGACTTTAAGCTAAGCTTGGGGAATGGCAACAAATTTGGCTACTTCTATGGTGCCAATTTGAGGCGACGCTGGTAAAGGAGCTACCAGGAGAACGTCCTTGTGAATCGCCCAAGACAGATATTTCTGAAGCTCAATTTGGATCGCGCAGATGAATGCACAGAATAATTAGGTCTGGCTTTACTCTCGGTTGTCGACTCAATACATAGAGAACGCTGGGCCCGGACCACTCGCCTAGAGTCAGTGCCATGGTACAATTGCAGGTCGACACCCCAATCTGTGCAAGCATCTTCTGGCGGCAGAGCGCTCTCGTGACCGACAGTCAATCCCCATTCGACGGCCTCATTGAACGTGGAAAGTGTGGACACCTATCTCGCTCGGTGACGAGGCGCTCACTGGCCGCGGCCCATCAATATGCAGGCCAAGAATTGTCACCCTTTGTGGCGTGAATGTACCTTTGGGCCTCAGGTACTCCCACTCTGCCAGAGCAGGAGAGCCTGTTGGCAGAAAACATATGTTGGAGGATACTCCCAGGTGCCGAAGTACCGCAGTTCTGGCACACTTTCGCAGCTCGACCCACCATACACCTCACTCGACGAAGTACCCATCATGGCTAACTACCAAGCACCACACCACTTCACCCCTGACCATCGGGGTGAGAACAATCTCGGTGCCCAGTCAGCGGGCTCGTCTCACCCTGTGCAGCATGCGCAAGGTGTGATGGACGGCACATCGGCGCACCCACTACCCACTCAGGTTCCCTCAGCCTCCTTGGCTGAGGAGACCACGGGGTGAGATTTTTTTTTTTTTACCCTGGGCTGATTTGGGGGCTTTTAGAGTCGGTCACACCCGCGTTCATTGCAACGCAACCCACACTTGTGCCACCTGCAAGGTGACATGCCCGAACAACTACGGCCTGGAGAAGCATGCTGCCAAGGAACGCCACAAGGCATTCCTGTGCACTTGCACCACCAAATTCGTCAGGCTGGCCACCTTGAATCGCCACATCGCAGCACAGGCCGGACCGAAGCACCGCTGCATCTACTGTGACGGCAACAAGGGCTTTGCACGCGAGGACAAACTCATCGACCACCTCCGCGCCAGCCACAAGTTTGGAGATAAGGCCATCGCCCAGTTTCGCAGCCAGGCACGTGCCGAGCCCAAAGGGAATGGGCTTGCTTCTTCTGCGGTTGCAGCGACTGGAACTGCTCTGCCCGTTTCGACTGCGGCTGGCTATGACACCGCTCCGGGCGGTATGGCTTTGGGCCATGCTGGGTATTCCGCCGGCCCCTCGGCCGTACCGTCCGGTGTCTTCGACGGAGGTATCACCGACTTTCCCATGTTCAGTGCCGCTGAAATTCGGCCGTTCGGATCTGTGGAGGACTATTCCTGGCTCGGTGCTGCCGAGAACTTCATGGACTTCGACTTCAGTGGTATCAACTTTGCTGAGGTTGACTTCACCAGCGTCGACGGAGACCTAGATATGTCAGGGATGGGCGGCGATCTGTGAGACTTTCGCCATCACGCACTTTTTCTGTTTTCTGGTTCCTTTATGTTGCTGCTTTCCTTCTTAATGAGATATGACTTTCTTCCACAAATCTCCACTCTCACCAATCCTTTAGTTCCCACCTCACACGTTCTCTTCCCTTGGCTCTGTCACGCCTGTGGTGGCGGCGTCTTACACCGCCCAGGGGGGCGTGACAGGTAGATAGTCTGTTTATTGAATTGATGATTTCACCAAATTTGGTCAGAATCGAACGTGCAGTAGCTTTCAGCTCGTGAAAGCCCCGACGTTACACTACGATGCCGACGGCGCATCTCCCAGCCAAGGTCAACCAAAGCCTGGAGCCGGATAGGCATCACCTCGTGGCCAAGGCGTATGTATCCTGAGACTATGTGTTTTCTGGTCGCGGGGAATTGCTCAGAACATGATCCTGTTGAGAGCAAGTAGGTATCGACAGCCTTTCGAGGGGCCGTCCAGAGGCACCTGGGGCACGTCAAAGTCCAATCCAGCCCAGGCCCGCGCTGTAGGTAACACGGACAATATACTTGTCGCTTGAATGCTGCCGATGGATACCCTGGAGTACAATTATAACGTCTGATACGCCGAATTACCGATGCCAGATCGACTGTCGACAGAAAGAGTGGATCGTCTTGGACGACATGTCGTTGACGTTCGTGACCCCTTTCTTCCCCGCTTACGTAAACTCAAGGCAAGAGGGTCAAAAGGACGAGCATGAGGACTCGGCACAGGTTTCGCAGGCGAAGTACCGAGAGACCATTATCGTACTTGAATCTATATCTTGGGCTGCTCAGAACCTGAGCACTTGCCTGTGAAGAGCGTCGTGCGTAAACCTCCAGCGGGCAGCTGACAGTGACCAAGCTCTTCCATGCGGCATGCTGTCCAACCCAACCACTCAGCACCCTCACTCAAGTCAGAAATCCGCGGTATCACCACGCCTTGAGCAAGTAATCATCAAAGGCATTAAACAGGAACGATCATCCGAAAGAAGCAGCAAGCAGACGAATAAAGCAGCAGTCCGCCGCAGAAAGAGAATCCAATCTCTACCCTGGATATCTAAACGTTTCCAAACCCCATATAACGCCGTGAATGAACAACCGTGACACTGTCGCCGTCTGTGTACTCCAGAAGCAAGACCGGGCCAAGGCCAAACCAAAATCACCACTGGCTCTTCATCGCCGTCCCCTGTATCATATTCAATATATTCAACCTCGCGCTCCACATGACATTCTCAGTACTGCCCTTTTCCCGTATCACAGGCGGCTGCTCCTGCTCGCCTTCGCCGCCGACATTCTGGATGTCGCTGTCGCCGTGGATGTTCCCCTTCGCCTTGTGGTGGAAGAAGATGGGCGGCGTTACGCTCAGACACTTCGCGTCTAGCCCGCGGTCGCCTAGCTTGCCCTCACGGTCCTGCGGGTCTCCTGCTGCTGCCAGGGCGGCAAGCTTGCTCCACCCACCCACGGCGCGGCGGCACAGCCAGGCCAGAGCGTTGTCGAAGGGGCCCGAGAGGCGGTCGACGGAGAGGTCGTACAGGATCTTCTGGGCGCCACGGTTGGACACAGCGTAGGCGAAGGTGCAGATCGGAGCGGCGGTGACGTGTACCCAGCGCGTGCGCTCCGGGTGTGCCTTGAAGTCCACGATGCCAGTGACATGGTCCAGCGGTGGTACAGTCGCGTCATTAAGGATCGTGTATCGTCGCATCATTGCCACCTTGCCCGCGTCGTCGTCTGGCAGCTCCTTGTTCTCGGCCAGTTCCTCTGGGAACGGCTCGCCGCAGTGACCCAGCCAGAGTATGTCCCAGTCGTCGCCGTAGGGGCTGGTCGGGATGGGGCCGGCAGAGGAGGATGCCCGGCCTGTCGGGAAGTAGGTATCGGGGAGGTTGGACATGACAGCGCGGGCGCCGGCTGCGACGAGCTCAAGCTGGGGTTTGAGGCGGACGTCCCAGTCCATGTCGTCTTCCATTATGAGGGCTGCATCGAGGTTCTGTTCGATGACTCTGTTGTAGCAAACAAAGATTATTAGCTTCCGATCATCAAAGTAACATCGTTGCATTGCCAAGCGCAAGGATTCCTGTGTGCGGTGGTGCTCACTTCCGTATCGCATTCATATGCCCCCTCCAGCTGCCCAGGTTTGTCTCCATCAACTTCTTCCGGTCGATGCCAAAGGGCACGGCCTTGTCCGGAATGGACTCGCCGCGCACGCCATCGACCCACTCGATATCGAAGCCCGTCAGGGCGGCCGACAGTGACATGGCATCCCTCTTGTCGGTACGCTCCGGCAGGCCGACTACGAAGACTTTGCCGAAGCCAAGGGTACCGTTGGTCACACGGTTGATGTCGTCGGGCGTGGAGTGGCCATGATAGTCCCTGCCGTAGGGCTTCTCTGCGACGTTTGACTTGGAAGACGAGGAGTCGGCGGCTGGCGAGCCGCTGAAGGCGGAGAAGGGGGCGGAGAAACTCGAAGGTACGCGCAGGGCGTTGCGGTTGGGGTGGAGGAGGTAGAACGTGGCGACCACAAGTATGGCGATCGCGATGCCAATCACCGGCCTCGGGCGCACGGCGATCATCGTGTGGGTGGACGGAAAGCAAGGCAACGCGAAGCGCGTGAAGCGAAGCGAAGCGATCCGCGCCTGTCCGAGCTCAAACTCTATCCGGGGAAGAGTATCCTGGCTGGCCGAGAACCCTTGAATGTCGCGGGGTTGTTTTTGGTTACGATTAATTGATTGACGTAGATGTGGTATCACTGGAATGAGCAACGGCGCACAAAGGACGGACGAAGGGCCTGTCCTCTGGTAGAAGGGCGTCAGAATGGGCGGGGTGAAGCCATCAAGAGCAGCGATGCGACCCGAAAGATTATGATTATTACGAGCAGAGCGGTAGATCAGGCCAGCGAGAAGTGAGAAAGCGCAAGATGACAGATGCAGGTAAGCTCGTGAGCCAGGCCGGGACGAGTCGAGTCGAGGCGATCCGATACGGGCTGAGCTGAGCCGGAGCTGAACGCACCTGCCGCCCGTTCTGCCTCTCTTTTTGCCTGCAGAGGCAGGAAGTACATGGGCTAATGAAAAAAAGACTGGATGGTTGTCGGTTTGTCCTTACCCCCTTAATTAGTGCCCACCTTTACCCGTGCATCCGTGATGAGTGATTGGGAGATCCGTCCTGCCGGTCTAATTGACAAGCAGGGTTAGCCCGACTTGCACCTGCCGATCGGATAGCTCCAGGGGTGTTGCATTCCACTGCATGGCAGGGCTCTGGCAGGTCTTGGCCTGGGCCACCTTTTGTGGCAATCGATGCTCGCCTGACATGAGCCTCATCTGGACTCCATCTCAACGGCTGTGACTTCTCAGCTGGCTAACTCTTCTCGGGGAAATTATAGCGATACTACATGGGGTCGACTACGACGTGTTCAACAGCCAAACTTGACACTGCTAACATTCACTCCCCTTTCATCTCACCTCTTCGTCTCGTCCCAACGTGATAGTACACACAAAGCCGCATCTTACAACCACGGGCGAGCTGGCATGGTGGCAAAGCAAGCGACTTGGAAGACCCCAATAAGCCCAGAGCCAGAGTTGAGACACAGTGGCCACCGCAACACCAATAAAAACACAGGCAGGTGGAAGCAAAATTACTACAACAAATATCCCGAAGCCCCTGCAAAAGGAAATACCGAAAGGAGGGACGCGCTGTAGCACCTTATCGGGGTGGCAGGGCGTGAGGAGGGTGTTGGCGACAACCTCTCTTTTTGCTTTTCCTGTCCAACAACTTCACCGTGAGGCGGCCACCGTTTACAGTCTGACCAGGCATCAATCAAGCTTGCACAGGTCTCATTAAATATTATTGAACATAGCGATCTGTTTCTAGACCACAAACAGATTATGAAAGGACCGCAACATGTCGCCCTCATCAGGGACAGGCCAGACAGATGGCATCATCACGGGTCGACCTCAACCATGAGATTTGGCGTCAGTCCAGCTTACCTTCACCTCATGCCTCACAGTAATCCGCTCCAGCGGTATGTCATCACTCCCCTCACTCGGTGCCTTACCGTCGCTCCCCTGAACACTCGTGCTCATGCTCTGGCCGCCGACCAATATCCCCTCCCCGGAATCAGTATCATCCAATACCGCGAAGGGACGAGTGCCATGGCTCCCCTGCTTGAACACCGGCCGTCTCCCGCCACCGGGAGCCCCACCGCCAATCGTCACGAGGTCCGCCGAGTTGAGGGCGCTCAGCCCGCTGGGCCGCCTGTTGGACGACTTGCCCGCGCCCGACGTGAGCACCCGCCCGAAAATGGCCTGCGCTACAGGTCGGAGGAGAGGCAGGCAGGCGCAAATGACGGCCGCCTGACCCTCAACCACTGTCAATATCCAGGGGATAGCAATCAGGACTTTTGTCGGATCAGCGGAGGATTCTACATGCGATTGGGAATGGACACGGGTCGACTCACCGGTCAGGTCTCCGTCTTTCCCACCAGCGCTCAGCTGGAACAAGAAAATCAAGCGGATCGCGCTGATGAATGAGACACTGGCAGCCAAATCAGCCAAAAGCGTGGCGACGTTCTCTCAAGATGACAGCACTTACAATATACCCAGCAGGAAGATACCAGCTAGGCCAATCTTCTGCGAAAAACCCATCCGCAGACGCGAGATCTCGTACGCAGGCAGCGCCATGATCGCACAGTCGGTGAGGATGTTGGGAACAGCGTTGCCGATGAAGAATTTGTTGTTGTCGATGCAGTGGCCTGGTGTGTCGGGCAGCCAGATCTTCTGCATGGGGCGGCACTGCAGGAACGCCACCAGCGCGACGGCGATGATCCACACCAGCGTCATCCCGCCCAGCACGCAGCACCCTCTCTTCACGAACGGCGTCGGGAATATGCGCCAGTACATGGCCAGGATGGAGAACTTGCACACCACCAGGAGTGCGCCGTATACGCACTCGACGGCGAATAGGGCCTGGTGGATGTCAGCATTCTGATCAAGAATTGTTCAGTGTGAGGGAAAGCTTACTGCCTGGCCTCGACCGTAACTCGGTGGATCGACAATCTTGTTCACCGCATAATGTCTACCCACCCGACCGAGATGGACAGCTGGTCAAAAGGGTTAATCGGGTGTGCCCACGCTTAGGCTTCAGCCTCAGGAAGGCGAGAGTCGGAAGCTTACCGAAGATGGCTGAAAAAAATGCGTCAGTAAAGATAAGCATAAGTCATGATCAGGACGGGACTGCTTACCGCAGATGACAGTTCCGATTAGAAGAGGCTACATAAAAACGTCAGTTCGACATGCTTCTCAGTCTAAGATCCCACCACGATTTCCCTGGTCCATCACTCATTGTTTTGCGTACCACACACACTATGATCAGATAGTCCTCGATCCCAAGCGCCACCCTCTTCATGTGCCTAGCCCACAGGCGCAGGCCAACGCTCGCGAGCGCGAGCAGCCCCACGGCGATGGAGACGCCGACGACGGCCGGGCCTTGATCATAGTCGATGTACTCCTGCGAGAACTGTGACAGGTCCCCTGCATGGCTGCCCATCGGAAAGAAAGAGAAGCCCGGTGCTTATCGGTGTTGTCGTCTTTAATTTCGTGCGAGTATCGGTCGGCGAAAAGGAAAGAATCAAGCTCGAGGCGATGTTAAGAACTCGGCAACTGCGGCGGCGGCGTAAGAAGGAATATCCTTGAGATCAGCGGTTGTCATTGCTCGCTGGATTTCCCGCGAGTCGGCGGAGAAAGGGTTCGAGAGGGATGGGAAAAGAAAAAAAGGCCCCGTTGGAACTGTCAGCACGTGTTGTGGATTGTAACATTCGGTTTCTTCAGAGTCTTAAGGTTCCAACAGGGGCCCGGCCGGCCGGGCCAAGGGAGGGCCGTGTAAGTGGTGTATGTAGGTGGTGTAAGTGAGCCGATTCAGCCTGCTCCTTTGGGATGCCGCTGACTCGCTCGCATATCCACCCAGGGGTGGTCTTCTATCCACCGTTAGGCTCGCGATGATGAGTGTCATACGATTCGCACCACCCCACCGGCCGATCAGGAACATGTGAAGTGCTGCGCCGGGGACCAGATCTTCAGCTCCCGGGCCGCCATACTTATCTTGCGCGGGCGTCCGCCAATATCGCGTCTTTATTTTCCTATTCGTCTATTTCCCAAACCAAGCAGGGTACATGACAAAATTCACGTCGCATTTTCCCTTTCCGAACTCCATACCTTTTCTGGCCTCCCTCCCTCTTTTCCTCTGTCTCTCTGTCTCACGTGTCAAACCCAGCAACTGCCGGACCCCAAAAATAAGAAAACAAATGGCCTCCTCCTCGCAGCACCCTCCTCCCAGAAGCCCGCAATAATTATCGTCCATGGTGCCTGGTCCCTGCCAAGCCCGTCCTACGAGCCCCTGAAACAACAGCTCGAGGGCCTGGGCTATGAGTGCTACCTGCCCCACCTCCGCACGTCCGGCGGCGACGAGGTCCGCGGCCAGACGTGGGAGTCGGACGTGCAGGTGATCCTCGACACGGCGCAGCCGCTCTTCGACCGCGGCCGGGAGGTCGTCATAGTGGCCCACTCGTACGGCGGCGTCCCGGGCGGCGCGGCGACGGCCGGCAACGGGGTCGCGGACCGGGCGCGCGAGGGCAAGGCCGGCGGGTTCAGGCAGATCATCTATGTTGCTGCGTTTGCGATCCCCGCGGCGGGTATGGACCTGTTTGCCGTTTTCGGGGGCCAGTGGCCGCCGTGGGCTGACTTTGCGCCGGCCTACTCAAAGGTACGCAGCCACGGGGCAATGTTCCTGTCACTATCCTGTATTCCTCCTTCGGTGCACGCTCGTCTGGCTGCGGGACAGCTGCGTGCCAAACTACTCGCCTGCGTGTGACCCGTGACTAACAGACCGCCCGCGGGCTAGAACCACGCCATCAAACTCAAGGAGGACGCCAAGCAGGTGCTGTTCGGCGACGTGCAGGGCAGCCCCGAGGAGCTGGCGAGGTACTGGGACGGCGTCGTGACGCACTCTCAGGACGCCTTCGAGGTCCCCATCACGTTTAGCGCGGCCGACATCACCATCCCTAAAAGCTATCTCGTGTGCACGCAGGACCAGTGCGTGCCGGGTCCGCTTCAGGAGCAGCTCGCGGAGTCGCTGGGCTTCAAGGCGGAGCGCATCGACGCCGGCCATTTCCCTTTCCTGAGCCAGCCTGACAAGTGCCTGGAGATACTCAACAAAATGATTCTCTAGGAGCGCCCTCTCATGTGTGTTCATAGCGCTGAAACTGAGCGAAGTGAACTTTACGGCGCCACATCTGTCGAGACGCATCTCTGCTAGGAATTTGGGGGTGGCGAGATCCATCGGAGCTAGCGGTTTTCAAATACCTTCGAGGCTATTGGAACAAGTATAATTTTAATTGGATATCCTAGCCATTTCGCGGCGGTTCCGAGAGGGACGCCCATTTAGAAGTGCTCGCTGGCTTGCGAAGGCCTCGAGAAAGCAAAAGAGGGTATTGCAAGAGATTAGTCACGGTGACTCCGGTCAATGTCGGCACTCGTGTGCACCAAGTGATCACCGTTCGAATCACGATCAGCCGGTCTGTGAGCTGCTAGTAAGGAAAATACGACAACTCGGAAAGGCGATCGACGAAGCGCTCACCGGCCGGTTGTTTTCATCGAGTCGACCTCCAGTTGGGGTTGGAACGTCTTCTTCTGCAAGTGTGCGCATGTCGAATGAAGTCTTTTCTTTTGCTGCGCTGTCGCTCGGCAGAAGAGGATTTCAAGCCCACGAGGATGAAGCCAATCTCCTTCTGAGTCGCAGAGTAGAGTCTAAGTCGGGATAGTCTCATTTTGCCTCTTCCTTCCTTGACCAAGCTCCATCATGATCCACTCGTACGTGGCCCACTGGACCGCGTTGACAATAAAGGCCCGCACACTGCAGACTGCCAGGCCCCTGAAGAAGACTCGCAGCCCACCTTCCCTATACGCATCCCTCGCAACCCCGATCGCCCCGAGCCTCGTCGGGGCCGGGGTTCGAAGCAGAGGGCTGCTCTCCCCTGTGACCACGGCGATGGTGCCGGCGCCGAGCACCTGCGCCTGGACCCGCGTCTTGATCACGTCCAGCGGGAAGATGCTCGCCCACGTCACAATTCCCGCGAGGCCGCCGCAGAGGAGCACCTTGGCGGTCTCGCTGCCGGTGAAGCTTCCGCCCTGCTGGCCCTCGTGTGCCCTGGACCACTGCTCCATCCAGCGCGTGGTCAGCTCGTAGCTCCAGAAGTAGAAGCCGTAGCCGACGCTGTCCCTGAGCGCGGTCACGGTGCCGCCGAAGTACAGGCCCCTCAGCCCGCCCTCGGTGCGCAAGACGCGCTTGGTGATGTCCCAGCTTGAGGCGTGCGGGTCGGTGCTGAGCTGGGCCCTGCACTTGATCAGCTCAGTGGGCGTGGAGACCACCCACGTGGCGAGGCCGCCAATTGCCCCCGCGAGGAACGTGGTCCAGAGGTTGGAGCCGGTTGTGGAGCCATTTGAATTCGATGATGACTGTGAGAAGCCATGTGGTGAAAACGCTCGGTTCAAGAGCTCTTCCGAGCGGTTGTACGAGACGAATAGCAGGGCGTTCAGGGCGCCATAGCCCAGTATGGGTGCCGCGGTGCCCGTTGAGAATTTGCGAAGGAGCGTGAGAGCCGAGGTGGATGCGGACGAAGACGGCTGCGCCGGGAGACTCGACGGAGCTATCGAGGATGGATTCCCAGAGACACTGCTAGAGGCCTGAAGGCGCACCTTGAGAATATCGAGGGGATTGCCTATGACAATGCCGACGGCGCCGGAAATATAGCCGGCCCAGAAGTCGGCAGACATGATTTACACAGTCCTCAGCGTCCTCGACGCCCGTAGCACACAGATATGAAGGCACACGGATGCCTGCTCTGCAAGTAGACGGTGCTCTCACGGAGGTGTTTTGACTCAAGCCTCAGGAAGGCCTTAAACACCAGGCACTAAACACACAGACCCGGATAGAAGTGCGGATGACAGTTCGGACGCAGCAATGTCTTGATGGGATATTAAAGACGGCCCGGATGAGGTTGTGTGGAGATAGCCGAGGCGGAGGCTGAGACATGCCCATGAGGCAATTTCACAAAGCCGCGATAGGTTTTTGATCTTTTGAAGCAGACGACTGTTTATATGCTCGCTGATGCCAATTGAACAAATTCATCTACATAGATGATAAATTGGTCGAGTGGGTTGAAGGCCTGTTAGCCTAAATCGGTAAGTAGCACAAGGAGGAAACCGAAAGACTACCTCGGCCCAATTACCGGCGGATGTTTACGTGATGATGCGGCAGGAGCGGGCGAGCGGGCCAGCAGAAGGAGAGACCCAAGACGGCTCGAACTCATCTCAGCAGCAGCCAGCCCATGCAATTACGCAGTTGTGCCATTCTCGGTACCAATGGTCAAAATCACATACACTCTGCTATCTCGGAACGCACTCATCGAGAGACGTTGGGAGTCTTTGCACCTCAAGGAGCTTGTTGCACGTGTTGTTGCACGTGACCCGGCGAGGCAGACGCGTCGCCTCCGGACTCGAGCTTGGCAGTCGCGGTCCCTCTCAAGTCAAGTAAACAACGTCCACCGCGCCTCATCCGAACACATCCGAGACCATTGAAGTGGCAAATTTCCGTCCAACGGGCCGCAGAGCTCGGCTTTCAACAACATTGAAGACAGAATGTAAGTTCTGCCCCAGCATCTTCATCAACACCGTCACCATTCTGCTCCCGCCCAGCTCAAGTACTCATGGCTTGCAGGACCGAGGTCGCGTCGACCCCGAAGGCCAACAAGGAAAATGTCGCGCCTAGGAGTCGCTTTCCCACGCCCCAGACCATCGACAGACTTCACAAGCCATTCAAATGCCCCGGGTCTGCAACAAGAGCCGTTGCAACAGATCGACCCGCCAGGAAGAAGAGGAGGATAGACTACAAGGGGGCGGATGGAGATGTCGATGCCGACAAGCCGTACACCAACGAGGACCGTCTCGCCCTTGCAAACCGAGATGCCAATCGCTTCCCCGTGTTCCAGGTCAAAGACAAGGACAAGGTCTTTCGCAAGGCCTTCTCTATCCCCCTCATCAACAAGAATAGTGCTGCCTACAATCCCAACCGGCCGCCACCCACGCTGGGCCTGAGGACCGGCGCCGTGTTCGTTGCCAAGCCCCTGCACGACCCGAGTGGTGAATTCTCAATTGTTCTCTACGACCCTACCATCGATGACAAGCCCAAGGAAATTGAGAAGCCCAAGGAGGATGAAAAGGCACCTGCAACCGAGGTCATCGACGCACCACTCGTACACAAGAGTCTGGCCGAAATTCTTGGTATCAAGAAGAAAGTCGACACAGACCACCCAAGGGTACCAGTGGTCATCGATCCAAAGCTCGCCAAAGTCCTGCGTCCCCATCAGATTGAAGGTGTCAAATTCATGTACCGCTGCACCACCGGCATGATCGACGAGAAGGCCAACGGCTGCATCATGGCTGATGAAATGGGCCTCGGCAAGACACTGCAGTGCATCACCCTGCTGTGGACGCTGCTCAAGCAGTCCCCTGACGCAGGCAAGACCACCATACAGAAGGCCATTGTGGTGTGCCCCTCGAGTCTGGTGAAGAACTGGGCGAACGAGTTGGTCAAGTGGCTTGGTCCCGGCGCCATCACACCCTTTGCCATCGACGGGAAGGCCACCAAGGAGCAGCTTAACCAGCAGCTCAAACAGTGGGCCATCTCGAGCGGGCGCGCTGTGACGCGACCGGTCATCATTGTTTCTTACGAGACCCTGCGTCTCAATGTCGAGGAGCTCAAGCACTGCAAGATTGGACTGTTGCTTGCCGATGAGGGCCACCGTCTGAAGAACGGCGAAAGCCAGACTTTCACGGCCCTGAACAGTCTCAACGTACAACGCCGCATCATTCTTTCCGGAACCCCGATCCAGAATGACCTGTCGGAATATTTCGCGCTGATCAGTTTCGCCAACCCTGGTCTCCTGGGCACGAGACTGGAATTCCGGAAGCGCTTTGAGATCCCCATCCTACGAGGTCGCGATGCTGATGCATCGGACAAGGATCGCCAGAGAGGTGATGAGTGTCTGTCGGAGCTGCTCGGGATCGTCAACAAGTTCATCATCCGCAGATCCAACGACCTCCTTTCCAAGTACCTTCCTCTGAAGTACGAGCATGTTGTCTTCTGCAGCAATGCCCCCTTCCAGACCGACCTCTACAACTACTTCATCAAAAGCCCGGACATTCAGGCACTGCTCCGCGGCAAGGGCAGCCAGCCCCTCAAGGCCATCAACATTCTCAAGAAATTATGCAATCACCCAGACCTGCTTGACCTGTCCAATGATCTCCCCGGCAGCGAGGAGCACTTCCCAGATGACTACATTCCCAAGGAGGCACGCGGCCGTGACCGTGACGTCAAACCGTTGTACAGCGGCAAGATGGCAGTCCTGGACCGCATGTTGAAGAGAATCCGTGCTGACACAGACGACAAAATCGTGCTTATCTCCAACTATACATCCACCCTGGACCTCTTTGAGCGTCTTTGCCGGAATGAATCATATCCTTGCCTACGTCTGGATGGCTCGATGAACGTCAACAAGCGGCAGAAGCTCGTGGACAAGTTCAAACGACCCGGATGGAGGCCAGTTCGTCTTCCTCCTCTCCAGCAAGGCCGGTGGCTGCGGTATCAACCTGATTGGCGCCAATCGCCTGATCCTGTTCGACCCGGACTGGAACCCCGCCGCGGACCAGCAGGCGCTCGCGCGTGTGTGGCGTGACGGGCAGAAGAAGGACTGCTTCGTGTACCGATTCATCGCGACGGGGACGATAGAGGAGAAGGTATTCCAACGGCAGTCGCACAAGCAGTCGCTCTCGTCATGCGTGGTGGACGAGGCGGAGGACGTGGAGCGGCACTTCAGCCTGGACAGTCTGCGGGAGCTGTTCCAGTACCGGCCCGACACGCGCAGCGACACGCACGACACGTTCAAGTGCAAGAGGTGCAAGCCGGACGGGAAGCAGTTCATCAAGGCGCCGGCGATGCTTTACGGCGACACGAGCACGTGGAACCACTTCGCCAACGAGGGGCTCCAGCAAATCCAGGACCTGCTGCTCCGGCAGGAGTGTGGGGAGGACAACGTCTCGGCTGTGTTCCAGTACATATCGCACTGAGTGGTCATGTGTGGCTTTTTCTTTACCCCTCTGATATGATAGATGAGTGTAGAGTCTCCGACAGCAACGGAGGCCCCATAAAGGTGTTGGCGTCTGGATGGAGGGATGGGCATGGTGCAGTATGGGTTTCAACTGGCTTTGTCCTTGCTTAGAATAGTATTGCATTGCTTGGTGTCTTTTTGGGAGATATGAACAATCACATTATCGACCTCGGTCTTGTCTGCCGAGCCTCTTCACATCTGTCTGTGAGTTGATCCTGCCGACCGTCTCTGCCGCCCGACCTCCCCACGGACTATTGTGCTAGATTCAAGTATTCTCGCCTCTGCTGCTCTTGATGGTTTGTTCACCAGTTATTATGTGATCAAGAGGGATCACGGATACTTTCAACATCCGCACACAGCCTAGATTATCAATCAACAAGGCATTTGTCATCCTTTATATAATGTTGGCCATTGTGGGTATCTGTCGTGTCATTGCCTGTACACCTTCTCAATGCTAAAGGGTTACTTTCTCTATTGGCATGTTTTGGTCCACCAGGTAGCGATTTGCCCTATTTTTCAGCTGAAGTGACTTTCGGTGGAGGAGTTTCTGACCGCAGCGTGGACTTCGATTGACGCTAGGGCCGGGAGTGTTCCCTTTGGGGACTGTTAGATTGTATACAGCCATGTCGATCATAAAGCAGCCAGCAAACGCCCTAGTGATACCTAATTTGCGTGTGGTAATAGACCAGGATGAATGGGGGAACCACCTTAGGGTTGAGCAATTGTGTACGTTCTTTTAAACAAAGTGGGTTAAACCCATCAGGAAGTCTAGGCTTTTGTTTCAGGATTCCTCCATTCGAGATGACAAAAGCTTAGCCGGGGGGCTTGTGTTGATGGTGTGCAGGGCTCGCGTCCAGTCCTTTCCCCCAATGTCCGGACATTCCATGGAGTATCTCTGGCCAACGACTGACATGCCCAATTGAATGATTCGAAACATGGCACCATGCTGCTTAACACAACCTGATCAGGTCTGTGGCCAAAATCCTCGTTTCATGGCGGATCTTAGAATAGCAATGGGCAGCTGGGAGTCGCGAGGATCCACGGAGACTGGTGGAGTGGAGGAATGGCATGGGCCGCCCCGTTGCTTTTTGGTTGACATGTCTTACTGCAAGACAAAGGAAATGCGCCAGCCTCCGGGCAACACGTGGGAGCCGGTCTGTCTATTCCTGGACGGATTTGTCCGAAGCATTGGAATGTGGCCAAATGTGAGACAGCTGGGGGGTTCTGGTCCTCCTTTCGAAAGCTGTTTGCGGATTGACCTGGCCTGGCCTGACCAACAGGCTAAGGAGCTGATGAGGAACCTGGAGCTGGACACAATGTTGGCGGGAAGGCGCAGGTTGTGCGTGCCTCACTTTCCCGAATGGGCGTGACCCCTCGCTCAGAATGCGCAGCTTGTCAAGTGTACCCATGAAGAAGACAGGTGAGTACAGCTCTGCTTGATGCAACCTGAGCATTGTTTGTCTGCTTGCTGCCTGGGTGCCACCGTTTTGCCCAGAGATGGCTCGGTATTTCCCCTTTTAACCCTCGCGTCTGCAATGATTTGAGGACGTTCGCGCACTCGCATGTTCGCTGCTGCGTCTGCCGACCTGACCTGTTGGAGTAACCGCCCAGGCGGCTTGTGATCCTTCAACCCGACCGACTCCCACCCACCACCTGCGTGTCAAATAACACCACAAGCCACCCAAACCTCACTGCTTCCTGTCGGCCTTTCCTCGATCAAAATCCAGAGCCAGATATCCGCCGGAAGCGAGTTCGCCCCTCTCTCAGTCATCGCGGTGCTGTGATCGTCTGCCGTTTCGTTGGGGCCCTCAGCATTGACGCTGACCCATTGAGGCGCGGCCATCATCCTTCCTCACCCAGCATCGGTTAATACGAGACGAGACACCTCCTTTGCGGCGCAGTCAAGCCTCCAGTCCCTTTGGTGACAACTGCCGGGCACGGCGAGAGACAAACTCACCACTCTCAATCGATGCAGAGACACAAAACTTGGTCTGATCAAGAGCACCGTCGCATTTGCTCCAGGAAGAACACGGGCGTCGGAGCCGATCAACACCCAGGCATAAACATAATAATAAGGTTGCTGCCGTAGGCAGGGGCAGAACCCGAGTCAGAAACACGCCCGCGATGAGCTCATCAGCCACAGGCAGGAGCTCGCTCCCATCTTACACGCGCGCGGCCCGCCCCAACCAGCAGGCAAAGAGGTACAACGCGGGTCCGGATCTGGCGCCAGCAGCGTCGCCCGCATCGCATGCAGCATCGCATGCAGCAGCAGCAGCAGCTTCTCGTGGTGGGAAACGGGGTGTTTCCGCGACAGTGACACCGACTCAGTCGTCTCTCGGTGCTGGTAAGTCCCCACCTAACTCCCCGCCTCCCCTTCATCCCCAATTATCTCCGATGCAAGGCGCGCCGCCACCAACCTCAGCGGCCGCCGACTGGCAGGTTGGTTGCTTTCGCCATCAGCTAGCCAGCCAGCCAGACAGGTAGACAGACAGCGAGACCTGCCCACAGGAAGGCCTTGTATCTATCGTCTGTCATCCCGGCCCTGAAGCTCTCCATGCCCACCCCTGCCCACCCCCAATGCACGCTCTGTGAGTGGCTGCGGTTCAAGGACGCCGTTCTGTGGAGCGAAGTGAGGCCAGAGTCGAGCAACGAATAATCGAGACACACACGCACACGCACACACAGAAACACACACACGCGGCAAGGCAATCTACTGCTTGCGACCCTGATTGATAGGCAGAGGCTATTGGCAATATTCAATCGGCATCCAAACTTTTACGATTACGGCCAATACGCAAAGACATTTCGATACGCGGCCAGGCCCCACGCATTTTGTATCCTGGCCGGCCCGCGAACTCTAAAAATGGCATGCAGCCAGTCCATACCCGGTCAGGCACCAGAGTCTCTTTAAAACAGACAGCTATGGGCATTCCTGCCATCCCAGCAAATCCAACGCTTTTGCCAACTGCCAACTGCCAGCCTACAAGCCCCGCCCCTGTCCGGGTCTGGATTAGGCCAGGGGAAATAACCAACGGCGTCATCAAGCCAGGCTGTGTCGCCCTGCCGAGCCAAAGTGCCCATTCAAAGCCCCAAACAACCAAAGGGGACCACAAAGCTGAATGACAAGGCCCTTTGTCCCATTACGTGTCCGGCCCTCTCGCTGCATGATTCGCCACTGCGTTCCTGTCGGAATCAATCTAACGGAAGCCAAATGGTGGAGCCCGGAACTCCTCGGCCTGTGACGAAAGCGGGACACCCAGCAAGCAGCGCTGTCTGGCTGTCTGGCAACTGGCACGGCTGTGCTGTGCTGTGCTGTGCTGTGCTCTCTCTCTCTCTCTGTGTGTGTGGTGTGTGTTGTGTCGGGTCACCAACGGAGGCATCCTGGCACCCTGCCTGAACTATTCCCTCTCTCTCTCCACCTTGAGAAAAAGGGGCCGGTCAATATTCATTCATTCACTGCCAGGACCGCACACCACCTACGGCAGCCCACGGGTCTTCCCCCTCCCATTCCCGCTTAGATCTTGGAATCTCTCTTGGCGGCCGAGCCCACCGCACCCAGGCCTACTAGACTAGTCTGACGACCTGTCCCGCTCATCACTCCTTCTAGAACTCCAGCCCGCCCCTCCTGTCCATTCTCGCTTCTCCTCGTTAACGGCCTGCGCCTGACCCAGTCTGGGAGAGCTTCAGGGTCCTTGGAGATTTGTTCTTGTGGCCCGCCACGTTGCAGGGGGCCGGAAAAGGGACTCTGGCTGACCGATCCTTCTTTTATTTATGCAGGCTCCATCCAGCCAACCCGCAGTGTTTCCAACGACATGCCGCAGTTTGCTGCAACCTTTGTCCCCGGAGGTTACGACGATTATTCCATGCCCGAGATGTACGCTCCGGCGCCCCAAAGGTCAGTCAAATAACTCTGTTCAATCTTTAATCTGCTGCCCCAACAACCCCCATTTTTGTGCGACCCAGTCGGCCCGCTGTACTTTCGCGACCGCGATTGACGGCTTGGTCGCTAAAAAAGGAGAGGAGGAGCTGAGAGACTGACGTTGGATCGGGCGCTACTGCAGGGTGATGCCTGAAGTTCCTCAAAACATGCAACAGGACCTCCAGCGCATGGAATACCAGGCAGGACAAGCTCGACCTCAACATTCAAACAACGGCGCCGGGCCCAACTACGCTGGCGGCTACGGTCAAGAGCACGGCGAGCCCGACAGCAGCAACTTCCGACCCTTCGAGGACGATCCGAACCACGCCCCCTACAAGTCGATGGCGGCCAACGAGATGCCGAGCTACACCCCCTTCCCCAAGGTGAAGGGGGACAACATCCCACCAAGTGATGTTGAAAAGGAGGAAATATTATACAACGCGCGCGAACATGTACTGCACTCCAACAATGTCAATATGCAGCTGTCGTGGGCGAGGGACGCCCTCAACTACGTCGAGATCGCGTCCGAGGATCGCGCGCGGGGCGCTGCTAACAGCGGCCGCCCGAGTACCCCCCAGCAACAGCATGAACTCCGTCTCGACGCCATGAACATCATCAGGTATCTCAGTGAACAGCACCACCCTGAGGCCGTGTTCATGATGGCCAAGTGGGACGAGTTCGGAAAGTTCGACGTGAGGGAGGACAAGAGGAAGGCTTTCATGGGCTACAAGCTCGCAGCCGAGCAGGGCTGGGGGCGCGCCGAGTACAGGATGGGAATGCTCTTCGAGAACTCCAACGAGTTCGACAAGGCGATCACGCACTACTACAACGGTGAGAGGCTGGGAGACTCTGCCGCCATGTACCGGCTGGGCATGATGGCCCTGCTTGGGCAACACGGCCAGAGACAAGACTTCCAGCGGGGTATCGACCTGATCAACAGGGCCGCCGACACAGCAGACGAGGATGCGCCACAAGGAGCCTATGTCTTCGGAATGCTCATCGCCCGAGATCTCCCCGACATCACTGTCCCCGAGGGCCTTCTTCCCTACAAGGTCGACACCGCCAGGCAGTACATCGAGAAGGCGGCGTACCTCGGATTCGCGAAGGCCCAGCTCAAGATGGGCCAAGCCTACGAGCTCTGCCAGCTCGGATGCGACTTCCAGCCTGCTTACTCCCTGCACTACTATGGCCTTGCCTCGGTACAAGGTCAGCCCGAAGCGGCGCTTGGCGTCAGTCGATGGTTCCTTTTCGGGTACGAAGGCAACTTCGCCAAAAACGAGGGGCTCGCGTTCAAATACGCAAAACAAGCCGCAGACGCCAAGCTTCCCACCGGCGAGTTTGCCATGGGTTACTACCACGAGATCGGAATACACATGCAGAAGGACCTGAACGAGGCACGGCGGTGGTATGAGCTGGCAGCGTCGCATGGCAACCCCGACGCCGTCGGACGATTGGACAGCTTGCAGAGGAACAAGAGCTTGTCGAAGAAGGATCACGAGACAACCGCTCTCACCAGAATCAAGTCCCAGCATGGCTCGATGAGGGGCAAGCGGCCAGAGCGGCTGCAGAGGCTCAAGGACCAGCAACACATGGCAGCGTTGCCCGAGGGCCCAGCAACGCCAAACGACCCGAGCGGAAGAAGCCCAAGAGCATCGCCGAACCCGTCTCCCAGGCACGGTCCGCCAGGTGCCGATGGCCGGCCACCTGCCTTTGGCTTGAACGTCAACGTGGACCACGGCAACCTCGCCATGAGGCCGAAGTCAGCAGCGCCCTACCCAGAAGACGAAACGAAACCTTATCCCCTCAACGTCAACAGACCGGCGTCCGCCGCTCCATACCCCGAAGACGGATATCAGCCACCGATGCGCAACCAAGGCGCTTTCGGAATCCGTCCAGGAAGCGCTGGAAGAGGAGGACCCGGACCAAACAACCTGGCACCTGGTGTCATCCCGCCAGCAGGCATGCCCCCGGGTGGACGAGGCTACAGGCAGCCAAGCCCTGGGCCAGCAGGAGGCTACAGACAGGGCAGCCAGGGCAGCATGGGCAGCATGGGAGGACCGGATGGACGAAGACCTGCCGGCGGACCAGGTGGAAATGGTATGGCATTTTCATCCAACGTCGGCCCTCCATATGGATATCCAGCAAAGAGCAGACTAACCAAACCAACCGCACAAACAGCAGCAGGACGAGGCGCACCGTACGGACCACAAGGCCCCCAGTCGCCACCGATGATCCCACCCGCAGGCTCCATGCCCGGACAAGAGTACGGCGGACGGTCAAGCTCGTTCGCGCCGCGGCAAGACTCCCTCGGGGGCCCGCAGCAGCAGGGCCGCCAGTCGAGCGGGCCACGGCCACCTATGGCCGGCTACACGCTGACAGACAACGGCGGGCGGGCAAGCGCGCCGCCGCAGCAGAACCCGGCCGGTGCGCGGCCCACGCCGCCCTCGTCGTCACACGGCCCCGGCACGGCCAGCCCCGCGCCCAGCACGGCCAGCGCGCCCCCCAAGGCGCCGCGCAAGCCGACGGACCACCCCGACGGCAAGACTATGGGCAACGGGCCGGCTACGTTTGATGAGATGGGCATCCCTAAGACTAAGGATAAGGATGATTGTGTAAGTTCTATTTGCCATGTCCTCCCAGCCAATGCCCAGCCATTATTACTCGTCTCTCGGTCAAGTATGAATCGTGAGGCTGACTTGAGATCTCCCCCAAATACAGGTCGTCATGTAAAAAAGGAAAGAAAAAGGATGGTCTGCTTCGAGATAACGACCGAGATCTTCTGTCTTCTATTCAAATACTTCCTCGCCCTGTTTTCCTGCCAGAGATGGTTACGCGCATTAGTCTTTTTAAAGCATCGCGCGGGTCTTTCTCACTAGCTTGCCTGCTTAACTCGCCTTTGGTTGCGAGGGCTGGCTGGCTGCTTGGTTGGTTTGGTTGATTTGATATTTACACACGCCTGTTTCCCCATCCATCCTGCTCTGTTGATTCTCTTCGCTTCTTTTGCTTTGAGATACCATACCATAGGCAAGGCGAGGCGAGGCAGGCCGGCGGCATATAACTAATGAAATGAAACAACTCAATCTTACCTGAAATGTTGGGTCAGTGGTGGTCTTGTGCTGTGAAGTTCGTACGGCTTGTCACTGGCGAGGCTGGGGTTCGTCAGTTGTGTCATGTGTGTGTGTGCTTTGACTCATGCGGACGGATTGCATTTTCGGTCGGGCCGTTGCGGGCATATTTTGTCAGTGTGCGGGTGAGTGAGCTTTGAGCGAGGTCTTCCTCATTGTGCGGCACATGATTCGTGAGAGTGCGGGTGTAAGTATTTGACATGCCACTTTCATGTCTACTCTGTCCTGCCACGCGTCGGGCGGGCTGTGGCAAAGTCACAATCCCCGACTAGCTGGTTTTTGGTGCTTTTATTTTCTCACTGGGAATATGGTCGGGATTCCTTAGGGTCTTGCTTGCATTGTGTCTGTTTGGATGGATGGAGGGTGATAAATGTATGAGTGGGCTGAGCATGTCGAAGTTGATGAGGACCGGCTTATCAGATCCGAAATGCAGGGCTTCCTATCGATACTGTGTGTGTGTGTGTGTCTCGGGGAGCCCATCCGGCATCATCGAATGCTCCTTTGGCGAGGTCGTGTGTGTGGAGCAACTGACAGCGGATCCGACCATCCCGCCCGGATATTTTCGGACATTTCACGAGTGGACGACGCCTCGACGAGCGGCCCCAGAAGGGCGTGGTGTGCGACCTACGTGTGTAAGCAGGCCCAATTATCTGCGGCTCTCCTCGCACTGCTCATATCCATGACTGCCTTCTCGGACATTTGCTTGCTGGTGTTTTTTTCACCGTTCGGAATGGTGTCATCGAGCACAGACTCTCGCGCGGATCCGGCATGATTGGACGGATATGGCAGAGAGAGCCAAGATGGATTTTCTACTTGTTGTGCGGTGTCTTCGAATAGATTCTCGTGGGAGAGACCAGTCATTCATAGCCCCGGGCCCATCTTGTTGTTTGCCGCTCTGTCGGGCAGCTATGATCAGTGCAAAGAGCTATTCACGAAGGGCAGTGTGTCATGCACGGAAGTCACTGGCATATATATTGCTAGGATACCAGACGAGTATTCTCTTCAGTAGCATCTCCAGCCGCGTGATTTCAGCAAAAGAAAAAGCACCGTGTTAGCGGACGTCGCGGTCCTGCTGATACTGTTCAAAGAGAAATTCGCTGCCTTCTCGAGAACTCGGACACAGCCAAAGTCGACAGTATTGACTCTCAGTATTTGATACTTGAAGGGTTGCGTCTGGAGGCGGTGATTTCATTATCCACGGCTACGACCAACACTCAGTTTACGGGGAAAGGGAGAAAATATGACATGTTTTCTAGGTGCAATTCGAAGGTTTATTTATTTTACACCGACATGGTTGATCCTACTGCCAGATTCGAATCCATGAAACAAGCTCGATTTGCTGCTTCCCTGCACTTATCTGAAGCTGCTGGTGTGAAGGCCAAACTTCAACCAGCGTCTTGGAACGCCCTTAATACTCCGGTGGCAAACAGGTCCAAAACCGCTATTCACTGTTGCCTAACGCCTCGTCTTCCGACATTAGCCCTACTTGCATCAACCCGGCCCATGCTTCTCTCAATTTTCAGAGGCATCTTAGTTCATGAGCTCTTCTAGCGTTTAGCTTCGTGGGTCCAGGCGCTGGGCTAGATCATTGACCTTGTTTGCGTGTTTTTGTCTTGTCACCTACTCAGTCTCCACTGATCACGGAGAAACTTCATTCGTTTTAGCTAGCTCTTCAAATAAGTTTTTTTTTTTTTTTTTTTTTTTTGGCATTAGAAAACGCATGCCGCAGATGAAGAATAAAACTGTTTTCGATTCACGTGCTCAGTCTCGAGAGATTCATTATCAGGCTTCGTAGGAGGATGTCTATTATCTCTATAAAGAGAGTCGAGGATGAACCATACATAGTACTGCAATATCAATCTATCGCCAGAACGACCTCTCAGCTCTAAAGGAGAAAGGACACGTGAGAATTCAGGTGTGGCCCGGAATTCCTATTCATTCAGGGATTCAAGTTAATTTTCTAACCCGATATAAGTGCACAATTTGATGCCATTAAATGCTTGCTTATTTGTTTTTGTTTCTTTCTGATCCAAAGAGATCTGTGTCATGACGAAAAGGGCGACTGGCCCTGGTGAGTTGTGCAAGGCTTGCAGTTGGTACGCGACCGGGGTTGGACAGTTGCTTGACGGAGTGAAGAAATGCTGCTCATCGATCGTCTCGGTCGCGCATTGACTTGGTGAGAATTGGATAATTCGAGTTCCAGATCTCTGCACGGTCTCTATGTCAAAATTCCAGCCGCCACCCCATTTTCGGTGGACTTGTGGGTCTGTCTTGTGAGCCCACATACACTCGGACATTTGCGGACATTTAGCCCGGGCTCTGAGAAAGGCTCTTTTCCAAACGCCGGGATCCAACCAGAACATTGCATCATTCAACAACACAGACTCGGACGGCCGAACGGTCGAGTGATGCCTTGTGAAACCCATTTTATTGCTGTCCTCTCGGACATTTAGATCATTACTAACGTCTCCCTGCGGACTGCTTGGTAATGAATTGTTTCCAAATCAACGCCCTTTATGACTGTCATCTTCTCTCATCGTCTCTTAAATAGTTGCCTCGAGTACCCAGGACGAAGATGTTCAACCCAGCAGCAGCACCGGTCTTTTGTCTGCAGAGACACCTTTGGAGGCTGTGGGTTTTATTGCCTCTGAGTTGACCAAGCCGGTAGGAGAGCTCACTTGGCAAAATCCAGGAGGACCGATGAACTCTGATATGGTGTGTAGCTGTGTTCTATACTATACTTGCTCCTCCGTCAGTACAGCTTTCTCACACGTAAACAAAAGCTGATGTGAGCTGCAGGATGAGAAGCTCCCAACCTACCGCCCCGACGGCCGCGCCCTAGGCGTCTTGTTCGAAGATGTCGACGTCTGGGGCACGGTGGCCGGCGAGTCCCGGGCCGAAGATGTGCTCGCCATCTTCGAAGACATCCTCGTCAGATGGCCAACCAAACTTTTCCGGCAGGTTATAGGACGACCACTACACTCAACCCGGAGACTAGTCCACGGCGCAACCGGCGTCGTCCCACCGGGGGAGACACTCCTAGTCTCGGGCGCCCGGGCGCGGGCTGCTCGACCCTTCTCAAGGTCCTAGCTAACCAGCGCGGGTCCTTCACGGGTGTCGACGGCGCTGTTCAGTACGGCGGCATAACCGCGTCCGAGATGGCGCGGCACCACGGGTCCGAGGTCGTCTATAATGCTGAGGACGACGTGCACTTCCCGACTCTTAGCGTCGCGCACACTATGGCTTTCGCGCTGAGGCTACGCAAGCCGCGGCGGCTGAAGGGTGAATCGGACGGAGATTTTGCACGGCGCATGGCTGGCAGGATTCTCGCGGCGTTGGGTATTGGTCACACGGCCGACACGGTCGTGGGCGATGCCTTTGTGCGAGGCGTGTCCGGGGGAGAGCGCAAGCGGGTCAGCCTCGCCGAGGTCCTTGCTTCCGCGCCGGCTGTCGTGTGCTGGGATAACCCGCTTCGTGGGCTCGACAGCTCGTCTGCGCTGGCGTTCCTGCGGCTGCTGAGGGCCATGTCTGATGCGACGGGCATGGCCAACGTCGTCACGGCATACCAGATATCCGAGACGATCTACCGCGAGTGCTTCGACCGAGTGTTGGTCTTGTATGAGGGGAGGGTGATATACTCGGGGCGAGCAGGGGACGAAGCCAAGGAGTACTTCACGGATCACCTCGGTTTCCACTGTCCCATGCGACAGACCACGCCCGACTTCCTCTCGGCCGTCACCTCGCCCGAGGAGCAGCGGATCATAGACGGGTTCCAGCCCCGGCCTCCTCTTGATCCAGATGGTCTTGCAGAAGCCTTCCGCCGCAGCACCAAGTACCAGACCCTCCAGCAGGACGCGCAGTACTTCCGCGAGAACACGGCAAAGGACGAGACCAAGGCCGCCAGCTTCCAGGCCGAATTCAACGCGACCAAAGACCCCCTGAGCCCCAAGTCCTCCCTCACGATCCGCAGCCCACACACGCAGCTCCTGGCCGCCATGGCGCGGTACTACCAGCTCATCTGGGGCGGGCGGCGCGACCTGCTCACCGTGCTCGCCCTCAACACGACCAACGCCCTCGTCCTCGGCGCGGCGTACCGCGGCGAGCCGCCGACCTCCAACACGGGGGCCTTCCAGCGCAGCGGCGGCGTCTTCTTCGCCCTCGTCTTCTTCTCCCTCAACGCGCTGTCCGAGACGGGGCTCGCGGTGCGCACGAGGCCGGTGCTGCGCAAGCACCACGGGCTGGGGATGCTCAGCCCGGGGATGGCGGCCGCGGCGACGACGGTGGCCGACCTGCCCGTGTGCCTCGCGCAGACGCTGTGCTTCACCATCCCGTACTACTTCCTCATGGGCGATCCGATCTCCGGTGGGGGGTACTGGTTCTTCGAGCTGATCGTCTTCGTCACGTACGCGGCGCTCATGGCCGTGTTCCGCCTGCTGGGCGCTGCTGCGCCGAACGTGCCTGTCGCGCTGATGCTCGGTGGCGCGACCATGCCGGTTCTGCTTGTGTATTCTGGGTATGCGCCGCCGTGGCCGACTCAGCTTGGTTGGGGGTCTTGGATCCGGTGGATTAGTCCGAATCCTTATGGTCTGGAGGCGCTGATGGGGTTCGAGTTCCAGGGTATTACTCTGGAGTGTGGGCAGGATGAGCTGGTTCCGAGTGGGCCGGGCTATGAGGTGAGTGTTTTCATCCCTACTTTTGATTCTCTCTGGCCTTGTGATTATCATGTGCTGACCGTGAGAAACACTTCCCAGAACATCACAATCGCCAACCAAGGCTGTCCTATCCCGGGAAGCACTGCAGGTGTAGCGTCTGTGCCAGGGCCCAAGTATCTCTCAGCACAGTTCAATTACTTCCCGACTAACGCGTGGCGGAATTTTGGAATTCTTCTCTGTTTCTGGGTCGGATATACGATCTTGCAGGGCCTGGCCCAGACTTATATGACAAAGCGCGGCGAGGGCAGCGTTGTCGGCCGTGTATACAAGAGAGGTGCTGTGGTCCCTGAAGACACTGAGGAAGCGATTGAGAAGGCAGAGAAAGAGCTTGATGTAGAGGCACAGTCGCGCCCCCTCGCTCATAGGCCAGAGACGCCCCAATGACTCGAGCGGTTCGATGACCCAGGTCGAGGATGGCGCACCATCTGTGAATTTTGATGGAAAGGTATGTCTCGACACCAACACACAAAGCCTGGAGTAACTTTTCGACAGCTAACATGACCAGGCATCGTTCACCTTCTCCAGGATCTCGTACGAGGTCAACGCTAGCGATGGCCCACGCACACTCCTCAACGCCGTCAGCGGCTACGTCAAACCAGGCCAGCTGACGGCCCTAATGGGGGTGTCGGGCGCCGGCAAGACGACACTGCTCGACACCCTGGCTCAGAGGAAGAACGACGGCACCGTCTCAGGCGACATGAGGCTCGGCGGGCGGTCCGTGGGTTGGGGTGGGCAAGGCCTTCTCCCAGGCGTGCGGCTTCTGCATGCAGCAGGACGTTCATGACCCGGGCACGACGGTGCGTGAGGCTCTCGTCTTTTCCGCCATGATGCGCCGGCCCGCCAGTGTGCCCGACGCAGAGAAGCTGGCCCACGTCGACGGTGTGATGGACCTTCTGGCCCTGGGGCCCATCGCCGACGCACTCGTCGGCACACCGGGCGAGGGCGGGCTCGGCGTCGAGGAACGCAAGAGGCTGACTATCGGCGTGGAGCTGGCTGCTGCTCCCTCTGCGCTGCTCTTCCTCGACGAGCCGACGTCTGGCTTGGACAGCCAGGCGGCGTACTCGCTCGTGCGGTTCCTACAGGGCATCGCCGCGTCCGGCGTGCCCATCATCTGCACGATCCACCAGCCGTCGGCCGTCATCTTCGACATGTTCGACCACATCCTGCTGCTGGCGCCGGGCGGGAGGACGGTCTACTTCGGCGAGACGGGCGACAACTCGGGCACGGTGGTGGACTACTTCGCGCGCAACGGCGTCGCCATGGCCAGCACCGCCAACCCGGCCGAGTTCATCCTCGACACCGTCGCCGACCCGGCCATGGCGGACAGGTGGTCCCAGCGGTGGGACGAGTCGGTCGAGAACCAGAAGGTCCTGCAGCAGGTCGAGTCCATCAACAGCCAGCCCGCCGAGGCCGATCTCGAGTCGCACTCTCGCCCTTTCCTCACCCAATTCTCCCTCCTCACAACCCGCCACGCCACCTCGGTCTGGCGCGACGGCTTCTACAGCTTCAGCCGCCTCGCCAAGACAGTCTTCATGGCCCTGTTCATGTCCTTCAGCTTCTTCATGCCGGCGCACACCCTCCAGGGAATCCAGAACCGCATCCTCGTCATGCTCATGCTGCAGTGGATCGTCCCCGCCACCGCCGCGGACCTGCAGAGCGTCTGGTACGCCAAGTGGGCGCTCTTCACGGCCCGCGAGCGCTCCGGGGTGGGATACTCGCCCTTGGCCCTCTGTGCCGCCCTGGTCGCCGTCGAGCTGCCCCTCGCGCTGTTCATGTACACGATTGCCTTCCTGTGCAGCTGGTTCACCGTCGGGCTGGGGTCCGGCGGGTTCGGGTACCTGTGCTTCGTGGCGCTGGGCATGTTCGGCATCGGGTTCCCCTTCGCGGTCGCGAGCTTCTTCGCTGGGGAAGAGGTCGCGGGATACGCCAACAGCCTGGTGTGGTGCGTCATGGCGACCTTCGGCGGCGTCACCATCCCGCACTCGGGCATGAACGGCTTCTACCGCCCCTGGTTGTTTTGGGCGGATCCCATGCGGTACTGGTTGGGCGCCACTGTGTCGTCGGCTCTCCACGAAATGCCTGTGCGATGCTCTGACTCTGACATGACCATGCTGAGCCCGCCGGCTGGCTTGACGTGTGGGGAGTACCTGAGCGAGTTCCTGGGCCGCACGCCTGGCTATATCCGGGACCCGGGCGCCCTCGATAGCTGTGCGTTCTGCCCCTACAGCGTGGGCGATGAGTACGCGGCCCAGTTCGAGTTCTCCTACTCGGACCGGTGGAGGGATTGGGGAGTGTTTGCTGCGTTCTGTGTCAGCACCCTGGCCATCGCCTTTGTGGTGAGCTGGTTGAGGTACGGAGGAGGGTTGAAGGCAGCATTCAGGAGGGGCTCCTAAGCTAGGTATTTTATGAGACCTGGGTGTAGTACCAACCTTTTACATGTCTTAGTTTCAGGGAGAAGAAAAAAGAGGTACGAACGGCTATTAGTATTATTCTCATGCACTTGAAGAGGCATAACACATTGTTGTTCAGGGGAAAATTCCGGGTGGAATTCGAGCGTACTCCTGAATTTGGCATCCATCATGTGCTGGTCTTCATTTGTCGCTGAAGCTCAAATCCATCCACTCAGATGCTGACACGCTTTTTATGACTGTGGTAGCTACGTCTGCACTTGGAATCCATTTGTAGTGAGACTGCAGAGGCAAATGCCCCTGTCCATTTTCGCCTTGCCGATCCGCCTGACCTGAAATTCCTTTCCTCCGCCAGCCACAGCACGATAGTGGATACACTCTCTTTTCCTTGACTTAACTGCCTGGTTTCCTCCCTGGGGACCCCTAAGCTCCCTGACAGATATCTTACATCTCAGCCGAAGCACAAATACTCCACCTCAATGCTCGCAAAATGCGATGTTGAAAGATTTAGCCTTTGCTTAACAACCATCGCGTTCCAGTTAATTTATTTAGAGCTGGTTTGTTTTTTTATCATTACTCTTTCTTTCGGCCCAGCCCTATCTCTGTCATGAATCACTCCTGGGGTACAATTTCCAATGGAGACAGGCGCCCAGAGCCTCCCGCCTCTTTCATGCACTCCGTCTTACAATTGCCTCTGTGCTCGGACTGCGAAAAACTCTTGGAATGCTTTAAATACGTGAATTCGAATACGTGGAACAGTATGGGAGGTCAGAAGTTAGAGTTTGATCGTATGGCGAAGGAAACAACGGAATCCTGTCCGTTGTGCTTCTGCATGCGTCACCTGTTCCCAATCGACCTGCCACAATCGACAGAAATTACCGCGATAGCGACTATTGGAAACTCGCCTGATTACATTGAATTGGAGATGTTGGAAGGCAAGAAGAGGATCCTAGGTTACGTGCTGATCGGCGAACATGATGTGGCCCAGGCCCAGCACCAAGAACCGGCCCCGACCATGGACTTCCGGACAATCTCGCGCTTGCTCCGCGAATGCGAGACACAACACAATCATGACAACTGGGACCTTCCAAGATACCAAACCCCTATCAATATACAGCTCATCGACGTCGAAGATATGATGATCATTCCAGCCACTACGCAATATCGTTATCTGGCCCTGAGCTACGTATGGGGCGGGTATGACTCGTTCGCAACCACAACCAAAAACAGAGACTCCCTAGGTCAGAAAGAAGGCCTTAGTAAACATACGGACGAAATCCCACAGACGATAAAAGACGCGATGGACGTGGTGCGAAGACTGGGCGAGAGATATCTCTGGGTTGACAGACTCTGTATTGAGCAGGACAACACGACTCAGAAGCAGGCGCACATCCAGAAAATGGATGTGATTTATTCTCACGCTCTCGTTACCATCATCGCCTACGCTGGAGTGGCTGCGACGTCACCGCTTCCAGGACTGCGGCCGGGGACAAGACTTGGGCTGCCAACGAAGCGTGGCGGCGACGTTGTCATGTCCGTCTCGCCCCCGAGTATTTGGGAGTCTGGTGCACCCCACGAGACACGTGGATGGACCCTGCAGGAACAGCTCATGTCAAAACGATGCTTATACTTCGACTTTCACACAACATGGTTCCAGTGTGGCCAGGGCATGTACAGAGAGCTCGATAGAACAGCTGGTCACAGCTACAAGCTTTTGCAGCCCCCTATCTCTTTCAACATGCATTCTCTCGGATCCATTCAAGTTAATGGTACAAGAGAACGCGGATTGGAAGACATCTGGAAACTATATGCCATGATCGTTCAGCGGTATCGCACTCGGAAACTTAGATATGCTAAGGACACGGTTCATGCCATACAGGGCATCGCACAGCTCATATCAGATTTGTTGGGAACGCCACTCATATCGGCCGTGCCCATGAGCTTTCTGCCCCGTGCACTGCGATTTCACCTCAGCCCGCAGGGTCTTTCACCTGAGAGAATCGAAACGGTCCCCTCGTGGTCATGGGCAGGTTGGAAAGACCCGGCCTATTTCGATGACGAAGTCATAGCAGAGCGCCTTCCTGTTGAAGCAGTCGAGTCACAGGTGAAGGTTAGGCACAAGACCTATACATACACCAAGGCTCCGATTGAAGGAGTCTTACAACCATATGTCGAAGTTGTAAACCTGACTGAGGGGGCAGCCGTGCAGACGCCGCTTTACACAGTTCTTGACGTCGAATGTTTCTCCACGAAGGCTTCGACGTTCAAAGTCGATATGAAGTTCAGAGTCGATGCAAGAGGAACAGTAGTCAAGAAAAACACGGGCAAATCAGGAATTTTTGGCATGCTATGCCAGGTCTACGAGCGGGGACAAGCCTGCGGATATTGTCTCGGGGGAATGCCAAATGTTTCTGAAGACGACTACTATTCAGACGACTTCCAGTGGATCCTCCTTTCAAGAAGTCAACCTGTCCATGTAAGTTTGTGTGGACCCGTGAGCTAGGCCAACCTGCTGACACAGGTTTCAGTTCAAACCAGGGTATAACGTCTCTACTGCACGGAGACCCCCCTGGTCAATGCGAGATATTATGTTGATCAGATGGTGCCAGATGAGGGGTTTCTGGGAGAGAGTATGCGTCGCTCATGTAGACAAATATGCGTGGGATGCCGCCAGCCCTGCAGTCACCCGGGTATTACTTGGATAATTAAGTGCGGGGATGCTTTTCAGAGCAGCCAGACACAAGGCATTGTGCACGTTTCGTAAGAATTCAATTTGGAAGCTCGTAGATGGATGGCATTGTATAAAGTCCAGATGTATGCTCATCGAGCAACCGCCAAGTGAGACATATCCTAATTAGCAATTTCATACGTATAGTATGGGTCGCCTTGGTGCGAATTAGCGGCTTCTGACACAACACTGGATTGCAGAAGCAGATTGCATAGTCACTGTCTAAAGCCTTGCATAGCGAATTTGACTGCAATTGCCTACAACCTACATTGTCTCTTGTCCCACTAGGACAATCATTGTCGTTCCAGCTTAGTGGAGGAACTCAAAGAGTACAAATAGTCTATAGTATGGGTCGCCTGGCATCATTTCGGCATCTGCTGCGCATGTCATCACGACGAAGACGCTGCAGCATGTTCCCCTCAAATCCTTCATCCCAATTGGACACGCTCTGCATTCGCTGCCGCTTATCTGACGTCAGATATGCTGATCGTCTCTCACCACCAGGTCACTCTGTCGAATGCCCGAAGGCCTGTCACACCGTATGCACTCGCGTATTCTCCGACGACCACAAGGTGATGATTTCCTCGCAATCATCATACAACCGTCACCCCTCAATTACCCTTAACAAGAGAGTTCTACTATTTGCAGAATCGTTTAGCCCAAATGTCAGCATCGCCAAGTCTCGACGTTGGGGATGTGGAACCGCATGGCTGTCGAGTGTGCCAGAAAATTATGCATGGTTGTATGCAAGGGAATGCACACTTCGATTACCGGCTTGGAACCGTGGCTGAGGTTATGGATATGCCGTGTCCTCATGCTGAATGGATTCGAGATTGGTGGGAGAGTGGAAGGCCAGACAGCACGGACAAGCCAGAACTATGGGGCCTTGCCGTAGAAGGTGGCGCCAACACAAGAACGATTTGTTTCGAATTTTATCTGGAGAGTAGGACCATTTTTCGGAGGACTTGTGAGCTGGTGCTCCGGACCGATGAGCCTGGACATGCTGGGATAGCTCGCATTCTGCACCCTCGATGGATTCACCCCTTGGTCGCACGCTCCTGGTATTCCAGATGCCTGGATAAACACGGTCATCACTGCCATAAACCTTCTTGGATGAAAGTACAGCCCGGAAGAACTGCACACCCTAATTGGCTAGTCGACGTCGGCGAACTATGCGTTGTGCCCTTCAGTCCAGCCACAGCGAGATACGTGACTCTGTCCTACACCTGGGGTGAGGTGCAAGGTTTGAAGACTACTCGCAAAAATATTGAGCGTCTTAAGAGAAGCGGCTCCTTGCTTGTTGATCAGTCTCCAAGTATACCTCGGACGGTCTACGACGCCATCAAAGTTACCCAATTCCTGGGCGAAAGGTACCTATGGGTGGATAGCCTTTGTATTGTTCAAGACGATAAGGCTGCCTTCTATCACGATTTGAATGCGATGCATCTAATCTATGCCAATTCAGTTCTATGTCTCGTGGCCCTTGCCGGGACCGATGGCAACCATGGGCTGCGTGGCGTTGAAGGAGTATCAGCAGCACCAAGGTCTGTTGAACAGATCACTCTGGATTTGGCAGATGGGGAGAAGCTATCCCATTTTAAAGACCCCTGCCCACTCAGAGACTGCGACAAGCCGGATGTGTCTTGCCCCACTGGGACAACATACATCGAACGTGGATGGACGTACCAGGAGTTCGCTTTTGCCCCAAGGCGACTTGTGTTCACGGACGGACCTCTCCGCTGGGCTTGTCAATGTGTGAAATGGGGCGAAGAACAGGCGCATGAAATAGAGTTCGACCATTTGATACAGATGCCCCACACATTCTGGATGAAAAGACGTTGTCCAAGTTTGCACACTTTGGTTGGTCTCGTCGCCTCAGGATTCAATGAACGACACTTCCGCCTCCAAGGAGACGTACTTAGGGCGTTTCTAGGTATTCAGAACTATCTTGGTGGCCTCTTTTTGGGAGGCCTGAATTACGGGCTGCCTGAGTTGTTTTTCGATATTGCTTTGGCTTGGAGACCAAGAAACGCAGCAAGCAATCGGGAAATGAAGAGACGGGTCACGCAAGCTGACTCTCTTCACAGCGAAGACTACTTACCGAGCTGGTCGTGGATGAGTTGGCAAGGCGACTTTGATTTTTTTCGAGACGGCGAATTCGACGTGTTCTGGTCTCCCGAAGGGTGCGTAGAGCCCGTCGCCGATTGGTTCGCAGCGCCATCGCCGACGCCGACGCCCGGCCAGATGAGGCCCATCAAATGCAGGTGGTATGAGTTCAAAACCATGGCGGAAAATGAAGCATCCCAGGTGCCCCAAGGATGGAAAGAGCTATCAAAGGATTGGAAGTCCTTGCGATACCAGGTGGCGCAAGAGGAGGGTCTCGAAGAAGAAGAGGACAATCCATTCTTCCAGTCCAGGTATCCCATTCCCATACCTTCAATAAGTCGCGCGATTGAAACACCTGGGAATCTGCCATTTCTATTTGCAAAGACGACGCGAGCTTTTCTGTCTCCGAGACAAGCTGTTCCTGGAATTCAAGACACAATTCACATCGATCTGTACTCTTGCGACGGAGAACCTGCCGGCAGGTTACAGCCTCATCAATCAGCAGATGCCGAACGCTTTCTCTCGTACGAAAGTGTTGAGCTTGTGGCAGTGGCCAAAGGGTGGACAACAGAACTGAATGGTCTAACAGGATCTGGAAAGGAGAGGCTGAGGGCAAATGTTGATGGCTCATCCGACCTACCACATAAACCTCGTGGACCCGGTAGAACTCCGCATGAGGTACTGGCAGAAGATGAGAAGCTCCGATGGAAAACGATGAGGGACTTACCTCGGAGACCGTGTTACTTTGTGCTTTGCATCACGTGGCAAAATGGGTGGGCAACCCGACAGGCTAGTGGTACAGTCCTCGCAGATATCTGGGAGAGAATCCATGAGCCGGTTGATTTAGTCTTAGGATAGTAACGGATTAGAAATGTCAGTAGAAATATTCTCTCGGCAGTGACATGTCTCAATGAGTAGTTGCGTCTCCGTCATATAATGCATCAGAGATGCAGGTAGATTTCACAATTTATAGAAATGCCTGCAATTGCTTTTCAAGTAGTAAACATCATATTCAGCAACAGTGCTCCGCCGCTCAGTCAAGCGAGAGAAGACAAATCCACCCCCCCCCCTAGTCCAAGAATTGCACTCGAAATGTTCATATGCCCTTTGCTGACCCGTTTTCCGCCTTCATGCTTGTACCATCCGTATCTCCAGCATTCATAGGACGTTCGTTATAATCCCATGACTGTTGTCTAGCCGGGCCCGTGACACGCATGGCCGCCCAGGGCTCATCTGTCATGCTTTGATCTAGCCAGCGAGCCAAGGTAACAGACTGACCACCTTCACCTCAGGATTAGTTGAGCACTTGCATTTCTAGTTGTTTACCTGGGGGGGGGGGGAGGCAAGACAGTCCACAAACCTTTATTATGTTGCCCGTTTTGAGTACACCCAGCACCGGATGATGTCGTGTCTGCCTCTTGAGCCTGGTGATTCATGTTGGTCTGGGTTCTTCTTGTTGATGAGGGTAGCAGTGTCTAGGTAATTAAATGGTAGAATGATCAAGTACAAAATGACTCAGGAAGTACAGGCTGTTGTGAAGGACTTACTCACTGCTGGATTGGTCAAGTAGATTGCAAACAGAGGAATTACTCTGGGCCTGGGAATCACGGAGCAGGAAGTATACTCCATGCTGGGAATTTGAGCTTTTTGTAGCCACAGCCCATCACCGCCGAATATATGATCCCCATTTGAGTACAAACTCAGCTTTGGGACTCAAGATCTTTATTCTCGGGGCTATGTAGCGTTGCCTCGTGGGCCATTTCTTTTTGGATTGGACGTTCGCCTTCTCCCAAGCTCATCAACAACAAGCCTCGGACGTACTGACCATTCAAAATAAAGGCCAGGATCATCGTGTTGTACATATATAGTCTGAAAAACGCAGAGTATGTCAGTTGCCAAGTTGTTTTGCATACTGCATAGTATCCATTGGAGGGCCAATTTTCTTCCATGCTTGCAGAACAGTGACGCAGGCTGCGGATGCGGCCAGAAATGCAGGGCACACATTAGGTACCAATGTATCTGGAAACTGAGCCAATGATTTAAAGGGCCCTGTGGATGATTCGACCCCCGCACCGGTGGGAAGGAGGACCATCTCACTCGGAGCAAGACGAAGCTCAGTCTGGCGAATTGGGAACTGGGGCCTGATCCCCTTGATTACCTGACAAATGAGATGCCTTCCCTAGAGACGCCACCTAATAATACCATGCTCGTCGGATCAAAGTGGAAAATATGCTGGTGTACGTAAGCGCCACCCTCAGTGGGATTAAAAGGCAAGCCAGTCCCCAACTCAGAGCCTTATGTGCTTTCAATCGACGACTCCGCAGCCAACGCTGGCACTTCCTCGTGAAGTCAGTCCTTTGCGGAGGACTGATCCCCTCGATCAGACTTCGTTGTTTCTGTAAGTGAGTGAAACGCCCCCGAATCGTTCAATTCACGACGAAGAGACACGCTGTCGACGAGAAGAGTGTATGCACTGATGCAATCTCACAGAACGGAATCAACAAAACGGTACCTCTTTGAGTCCTCCGACTCTCTCGCCTTTTTCCAAAAGCTTTTCGAATAGTCTCGTGCCGAGCATCGGCTCGGCGCATGAGACATTTTGGGTGCCCATCATGATCACCGCATAGAACAAGATACGCCTTGCTTTCTTTGCGAATTGGAATGGCATCAGCAGGTGGAGCTATACAATCATGCAGCCATCCCAGAAGGTCTACCACACGGAACATCCGAACAGTGCCCTGGCCCTGGCTTGTGCGAAGTGTCGGGGGTGTCTGACCAACGGCACCAGAAGTTAGCCACAGCCGACTGTGATTTTAGTGCTGGATCTTTCCAGGGTGGTCAAAATTCACCTCTGAACTCGTTCAGCGCTGCTGTTGATTCACAATCATCCTCTGATCTCTTCGACGAATTCATCAACTACCCTCCTCAATCCTCGACCTGGTCGCCGACCTCGGAACTGCTATGTCCAAGTCCACCGCCGTCACCAAGCAAACTCCACTGCAGGAAATGCCAACGAGAGTTTCCCAGCGCCAAAAAAGCCTTGCAGCACTTCGCAGAAACGCATCGGCTCGCAGACTCGGGCCCTTGGCGTTGCTTTGAGCCCGACTGCGACCGGAAATTTATCTCCACCAAGGACCTGTGCAGACACTTGAAGGACGTACATCTGGATCTCAAGTACACCTGCTCTTGTGGCAGTCGCCATCGTCGTGACCACCACCTGCCCCACATTCAAGACACGAGGCGTAGGTGCAGGTCAGTTGGCCCTTACATCTGCGTATGCGGAACAAAAACAGACAGCAACAAAGCCACTGGCCTGCGTGATCACCTCAAGCACGTCACAGAGGTCTTCTTCACTTGTTGCTGTGGTCAACGCCACATTTTTGCAGACCACTTGAGTCACCTTCAAGATCACCAATGCAGGCGTGGAGCGCCCTACATCTGTCACTGTGGCAAAAGAACCGACAGCCATGCAGGGACAGGCCTCGAGGAACACCAGAATCATGTTGAGGAGGACTGTCCACATGGACCTTCTTATGGTCCTGGTGGACAGCCACGAAAAAGAGGAAGACCACGAAAGACGAACAACGGACCAACACAGCGACGAAAGGACTGAGGGATTTTACTATAGGACCTACGACGGCTATAGTAAGTCGGAAAACGACCAGGAATTGTTTGTGTCCACGAGCGATCAACATCCCAATCTTCACAGGCGAATTTATGCTTTCCAGCCTTGAAGCGCATGGCCTCGAGCCGTGCAGCTCCGGCGTCTGTGGGACACGTAGTTCCTCCACTTGCGATCCATTTCATTTCAAAAAGGGGCAGACGGTTTCGCATCTCTGAGGAGTGATCGTTCCCCGGTTGGTTTGCCCTGGACATGTCTCTTTTGCGGTGGGACGGGCTCCAACTGGGAAAAAGATCGATCATTCATGACTTGATGGACGCCTCCAATACTAAGGTACGCAAGGCCGCCCCGAAATCACTATTGCAAATTCCTGAGATCAGCTCAATGATTGACTTCGTAGGTACCTACCTCACCAGGCCCGCTGCCGTGTGCTCCTCGTCAGAGGGGGAGAATCCATCAGATTCGGACTGAAGACTTTGATGATTTGGAGGTTTATCTCACTCAGAGGAGCTGGGTTACGCCTCTTATAGCTATATACGTTGGCTTCGACAATTTCGTCCGTCGGTCTCCGATCGAGGTGGCCCCCAATCTTTCATTTCTCATCGCTGAGTATGTGTGGTATCCCCGCGGTGTAGAATAGCAGGGGGTACACCACTGAGCCAAAAGACCAATTGCAAGGGCCCTCTGCAAGCCCTGTAATCTATTACACTCATTTGCATTCCACACCACCAAAACCACGTTAGTGACGCCGCCGTGTCGACACACGCCCATTTTGCATACACATGATCATTAAAGCAATATTATCGCATATTTCTCAACGAATATAAATTCAATTTAATTGAATTACAAATTAAAAGGATCGCGCTATTCTTAGGTATTTAAAGCTTCTCTCCACGCTAACTTTAGAGGTGTGTCTATGAAGTAATTTACGTTGACCGCACAGCCTGACAGGCATGGGCATGCTTCTGCCTGATGAATCCAGCCCTTGAACGCGTTTCAATGCCAGCGGTGGCCTTTCTATTGCGCCAAGGGTAGGAGATGACGATGTTATGGTAATACCGGGCCAGCTCATCGGGGAGGTACAGATGATGTCCGCTGGTGCCGCGGCAAGGAAGAGACACCCTCGAGATCCACAAACTGCATACGGCGACGACACAGATTGAAGCCGCCTGGCTGCACCTGGATGATGTAACCCGCGAGAATCTGCGCTTTATGAACATCAAAATGGCCTGGGAGGAATTTGCAAGAAAACTAAGCGCCAAGAACGGGGACCAGTATGCGCACACGGGCGAGACCATGGAGGACGCGATCTTGCGCACCTGCCTCTTGGGCGAGACCGGTGAGAACATAGAGAGGTTGCGGCCCTGCTATAAAAATGACTTATGGCAGCTCAAGACGTGTCGTCTCCTGACATTTGGTCAGGGATGCTCCTCGGTACGGATTGGTACTTTGATCGGGTGGTTGATGTGGCTGGGTTTGTCTGCAGCTGAACCACTGCTCCGTAGATATGGATACGACCCGTACCCTTCGAACAACGGAAAATACTACGCACGCAGACAGCTTTAAGCCGAACGACGACTATTCTGCAGCACTAATAGTCTAGTTGGACTGGCGCCTCGGTGGGCTGTTCCTGGTGACCAAATATCTATCCTCCGAGGCGGGAAGGTGCCAGTGATCTTGCGAAAGACCAGGCATGATGGCCCGTATCAATTTATTGGGGAGGCATATGTTCATGGCGCGATGCACGGAGAGATGTTTGAGTTGCAAAAGTGCAAGGAGCTCTTGATTGCTTGGGTTGGCGGCGTTAACTTGGTCGGACCTATTTCCAAACCGACTAGGGCATAGAAATAGGACAAGGTCTTCAATACTCTGGGTACTCGATGTAGATATCCAAGCCTTCTACACTAGGACATTAAAGTATATAGTTATTAGTTATGATGAGACGTTCTTCTCGAATGACTTGTCGTGTTTTCTGCAATCCAGGGAAATTAGTAATTACAGCTGACTAATTGGGTGCATGGTCATGAGTCTACTTCCAATCGCCCAACTCAAAACCTCGCCTCGGCCACCACTGCATGGCTTCCCAACCCCAACCTGACGCGGCCCAGCCAGCCAACGTCGGCTCGGGCCTCCAACACCTGCATGCCGCCTGCAACAGCTGCAAGGGACGTAAGGTCCGTTGTTCAGGCGAGCGTCCAAGCTGCCTATCATGCAGCAAATATGGGCGGGACTGCGTGTATCTGCCGTTGAGGCCGCGGGGCAGGAAACGGAGGCGTGGGATCGAGGATCATGTCGCCGAGCCCGCTCGTGATGGTGGGCATATCATCACCAACACGGACACCAACACAAACAGTCAGGGCTCAGCACCCGTCACTGCACATGGGCAGCTTCACGCAACACAACCACGGACACGCACGCCTTGTCCCGGCCCACTCGCGGCCAAGCGACATCGCGAACTTCGGTCAGGTATGGGCATCTGCCAGGCCAGCACGGGAGCCTTCCAGTTCTACGGTCCTGCGTCCAACCTTGCCTTCTTCCAGTCCTTCTACCAGCGCATCCATCACAATGTAGATGGCCCAACTTCTAACAACCCGCCGGCCGCGATGCATATCTGGGGCCTGGAGAAGTTCGTCTTCTCACCTGAGCCACCAGAGCTGCGTGACGAGGCCAACGCCCTGCACGCCTTCCTCCCCAGGGACATGGGTGACTGCTTCCTCACGACCTACTTCAAGGTTTGCCACCCGCAGTTCCCCTTCCTCGTACGTGCCGAGATCGAGCGGGCCTGGGACAACCTGTGGGAGCCACCGCAGCAGCCCGGGACTGCCACGCAGATATGCCAGGGCAACCGGCTTACCGAGAGGAATATCGTGCTGATGGTGCTCGCCATCGGCGCCATTATGGCCAGCCTGTCGCCGGGAAAGGACGCTCAAGTGCTGGAGCGCTGGGCCTGGCATCTGGCGTCGAGGGCACAGCTACGTGGTCACGCCTTCGAGGACACGTCGCTAGGCGGCGTACACCTGCTGATGCTCAAGTCCATCTTCGGCATCCAGCTGATGCGCCCCAACGAAGCGCACCTGTACGCGAGCCACGCCGCCGTCAACGCCCTCGCCCTGGGCATGAACCGCGCGCAGGTGGCCAACGGCCCGCGGCCCGAGATGCACCGCCTGCGCGTCACCTTCTGGAGCCTATACGCCAACGAGCGCCTCGCCACCCTCTGCTTCGGCCGGCCCTCGTGCCTCCGCGACGACCTCATCGACGTCGCCCTCCCCGAAGACCTCCCCGCCTCCGATCCCGACGAGAACACCAACCTGGCCTTCGTACGCGCAATGACCGCCATGGCCAGGACGGCTGACCGCATCAGCGCGGACATCTACTGCGCCATCACCGCCGCCGACGCGGCAAGCATCGACCGCACCGCCCACGAGTGCGACGCCGAGCTGGACGAGGCCACGCGGTCCCTCCCGCCCTTCCTGCACTTCTTCGACGCCACAATGCCCCCCAGCCGCCACGCCTGGCAGGAGATCCAGCGCACGCACCTGGGCCTGGCCTACTACCACTGCCGGATCCTGATCCACCGCCCGCTGGCCTGCTTCGCGAGCATGCACGCCACCAACGCCGAGGCCGCTACGGAGGCGGCGATGCTGGGCATCGCGGACCTGCAGGGGAGCATTGCGCGGGCGATGGAGGCGTCCGAGGCCCTCATCGGGCTGGCGCTCGACGCGTTTATGGTGCGTGTGCCTGACATGCACCAAGATGCTGGTGTGGCGTACAACGTCATGGGCGCGTGTCTGACGCTGCTGTACCGTGTGCTGGACGGGCCAGCGCGCACGACTGCCGCTGACGCGGCGACTATCTTTAACCTCGTCCAGGATGGCATCCGCTGCCTTGACCTTATGAATCACCACGGCCCGCGATTCAGCAAGATAACGCTCAGCGAGCGCATCCTGACTGCCGCCAAGGACGCTTTCTGGTCTGCGCGTGAGGATGGAGGTGGTGGCAGCAGAGCTGCCCCTAGAGCACAATCCTCTGGTCAGGAACTAGACGGCGAGGGCAATGTTGACGGCGCTGTGCCCGCGCCCGACTTGGACTTGCAGGGAACCGCGCATGATAATCTCGACATCCTGCTCACGCAATTCCCATGGTTAGAGTAAGCCGTGTCTTCTTTCTTTGATCCTCCCAGGATTCCAGTGTCCCCAGCTCTTCCCTTTTTCTCCTGCTGAACATCCCCGTCTTTGAACAGGACCGCACCACCGGCCCAGACCACGGACGACATGTCCCCTGCCTTTCCAGCCAGGACAGACGCCACACCCACTGCGGCAGATGGGATGAGCTCACAGAATGCCTACCCCACGCTGTTCAGGACCTCCACTTCATCCGCGAGGACATTGCCCACCGCGTTGTACGGGTTCGGCTCGCATCCCTGGCCCAGCGTAATGGGCGGGGACCTTGACGGCGGCCATGAGAATAGCATGAACGGTATCTCTTGGGATTTGATGTAATGCTATATTTATGTATAACCATCAGATAAGGACGAATTTTCTCCTGAATAGATGTGACGAGAACGCCTCGAGGTCCACCCATCGGATAATTCCAATTCCAATACGGCGACAGTGATTAGACCTTGCTGAGACGCGACTGCATACAATGACGCAAAAATAACCGGCCAGTGAACATTTGACCAGCAAAAGAATGGCTGACATGGCGCGGTCGGAATGCCTCGCGTCCAGAGAGTCCGCAGATCTGGTCAGTGATCCATCGGGCCCGCAGCCCAGCGGAGTGTCTGGGCTAAATTCCAGTTTCAGCGGCCTAGATGACACCGTGTCTGGGTCCCCGAGCCTCCAGGCGTGTGCATGAAAGTCGAAACACCCCCTTTCCGCATTTTTCATGTATCGCACGTCCATCCCAGACGCATCCAGGAGGATGGACCCGCCCAGGATCCTGCCGCACGGCTTTTCGCCTGCCAGCCGGCAGTCCGCGTTGATAATGGCCATCTTCTCCAGGCCAGCGCTGTGGTCCTCGAACTCCTCGGCCAGGAACGGAATGATTGGGCCGCGGATAGAAGACCACGACCATGAGGGGCTTTGGTTGTCGGCAGGGAGGCCTTGGCTATCTTGAGACTGCCAGCAGAGCTGGTTGACAAGATCGCCCTCCCATAATCCGGCGAGGTACCGATCATGGATCCCTGAGTGTATGTCACTCGCGATAGCTTGAAGAGCAATGAGACGGTCGCTGTCGTTCGAGAGAGCTCGACGTGTATATTCCGGAACGAGAACTCGTCGCCAGTATCGGTAGAATGTGTTGACGGCCCGCGTGTTGAGGTAAGTCTTTTCCAGCCATTCTGCGCAGGCGAACCCATCTTCTGGGCCGAGCTCCCCAGACCTATCGTGAGAACTCTCGGACAGGGTATGCTGTAAATATGGCTCGGGATTGGTACCAGCGAACGCATCGAAGTAATCGCTGAATGTGCTAGAGGCGGTGATCTCATCGCGCATTTTTCTCCGACGAACCCTTTCGATGTATCTTCGATATTCTTCATGATTCTCAACTGCTGGTGCTTCAGCTAGTAACCTTTCTGCGTAGCACTCTATGACTGAGGGCTTGGACTGGCTCGGGTCCACTGAATGTGTTTGGAGATGAGTACCAAGCCTAGGGAGATCGTATTTCTTCCCTACATGGAATTGCCCTTCGATCACCGCTCTCGTGTACTTCCGATAGGCTGCTCGTCCCAGTTCGTTGGGATTTGTTTTCGCGTCTTGTCCGAACTCAATCTGACGACATTCGCATTGCCTGAGAGTCTCACACTCCCAAGTTGCTTCCTGAGAACCAAATGAGAGCAGGCGGCGCGGAAGTATGTCTCCTGGAAGGTCCAGGCTCGAGCGTGGATTGGATCGTCGCGAAGCATCCGTGAGTGGTCAACCGCGCGACGAAAACGAATGGATTGCAATCTCTCAGGCTTCTTGAGCTCAAGCGGATCGTCAATTATTCTATCCTGGAGAAAGCCGGCACAATCGCTGGAAGAGGAAGAGGCAGCTATAGTCAAGATGGAGTCTCGATATATATCGCACATCTTCGCCGCCTCGGCATGGAAATCGGCACCTCTGTTATAATCTCATCAAAAGATTGAGCATCAAAGAGATGGGATGTTAGGAACGTCTCACCCATCGTCCTGAATGATACAAAGTGAATCAATCCACAAGTAACGCACCCCGAGTGCTCGGGTTACCTGGATAGCGTCTTTGAACGTCTTCGGGAGCTTTCCCCACCCGATTCCGCGCTGGTGGGATTCAAGCGTCTTGAGCGTGGTCTTGAAGGTGTTCTTCCTTCCCCAGCAATGGCTCAACGCGACCCAGTTCCCTCTGGTGCCATTGCGGGGGACGAAAAGTCTCAGTCGCCCCGTTTTGACATCAACGACACGACGTGGGAGCTTAGGCATCATACGGGTCCTGCAATGCGGATGCTCCCGCAGACAATCGTTGAGCCACCTCTTTGCAAGCGTCAAGCATTCGTTGCTGTGTGAACTCTTGGGAACATGAGGTGTCTTTGGAATCCACGTTTCTGGTGAAGTGGTTGCCGTATCTTGGTATTCTTGATACACGTCGAAGGATTGCGACATGTCCAAGGCTTGCGTATCCTTGGCTAAATTGGTCTTCCACACCAACATGTCAGTACCGGTTACCTCGGATTGATCCGATTGAGGTGTCTTTGTTCCCTCAGCACCCGATCTTTTCGTTCCGAGAATCAGGCGCAGAGGACCTGGACCCGTAGACTCAACTGTAATTTCATCTGCCCTGATACCATTCTGCTTCAGGAAAATGCGAATGGCAATCAGAAGCTCATGGTTCAAGGCACAGTTGGAGGTGGAAGAGCCAAGAATGAAAGCTGCGTCCCTTCCGGCCAGAGATTTGGAAAGACATGCAAGCAGTCGACGGCAGATCCAGCATACCGAAGGCTTCCTGAGGACTTCCTCGGGACCGTTGCCAAGAAAGGTGGGAGATATGAAGGGGGTTGGGCTGCCCACCTAGGTGATAAATAATATGTCAGCGTCGTAAAACTCCCATGATATGGTTCAATAGCTCCATACTGGCACTTTGAATAGCTTGATCAGCACTCCTGAAAACTGTTGTGTTTGCCCATTCCCATGGGCTTCTTGCACCGGACCACCAAATCCCAATGTAGTTTTGTCTCCTGTGCGTTCCATGGAAGAAAGCAAGTCCACGTCCAAGTTCGGGCCAGCCATGTCGAGTACCGCAAGCAAGCACGTGGAGGCGCGGCTAGTGCGTTGATCAGTCGATCGGGTAGGTGTCAGCAGCTCACACAGCAGCGTATTGAATACCAGCACGAAGCTTTGGAGCGGTCTGTAACCTGTAACAAAACCTGTGCCCTGAAAAGCTCGGGTCCACAGCGAGATCTATTCTCTGTAGCTTCGAAGCTCTCGATCTTGAGAGCTCTAGACAAGATGTACCATAAATGGGAAGAGGCGCGGTACGACGCGCGGCGGGGCGACCATTCTACACTTGCAGGTCACAGAGGACTCCTCCGTCTGTGACGTCTTAGGCTGTGTTGCTGGCTGACTGCTCCTGCAGGTGTGTCTTTGTTTCGACCAATCGAGCCTCCCTCCAGGCAATACAACCCAGGCAATACATCCTGGATTATGCAGGCAGATTCGAGCGTGCTTCCATGACCGTCAGGGAAATGCTGCCGGCCTCGGAGTCATCCGAGTTACGCTGCCATATAGAAGAAAACCGAGAGTATGCAGGGCACGCTCAAACTCAAGCACCATGGTCGAGATAGTGAAGCAGCAGCAGCCCATCGTTTCGGGGCCAGGAAGCCAGCCGGTTCGGACACGTGGCTAGGCGTAGCAAGGCATTACCGCTGGGCGCGCATACCTAGCTTGGCTGCGTCCTGATGCATTGGAGGAGACGCGTGGCGGGCATCGAGTGTGAATCGACGTTCACCCGTCCCAGAGTGCCACACCCTTACCAAGACTTGCGCTCTCAGATGAGGTCTGGTGCTTGTAGCTCCCATCTGCCGTGGAAATACAGCCGAGCATATTGAGTTTATGTCACGGATCATGTGAGCGTTGGGGAGTGGAAAGCTGACGAAACAAAGTGAATTAATTGAGGTATCAGAGTATTAGTGTCGTGCCACTGTCTATCCATTAGACCAGTTGGCAGAAAGCCTGGACGAGTTCGATCGGCTCGGCATGCTGGCATAACGACTTGCAAGGTCCGCATTACATAATCACCCCAGCGGGTGGGTCCCCAAGGGGGCCCCTGCGCCACGGATTGGGCCTGCCAGCCGGAAAGGCAACGTCAGTTCGTCAGCCTTCCGCAGCCTGCTCTGCCGTTGGCTGAATGCCGGAGCTCTGCATTCAACCGCCACTACAGACCCATCACCATCAACATCATCAACGACACCACTTTCGACGACCAACTCTGCGAGCGAACTACGAACCACTCAACGAACTGCGAGGTCTATTTAATTACGAGTTCATAGCACAGTCTCGTCCTACCAACACAACCCTCTCGAGCAAGCAAAAGACCCGCCCCCGTCCAGCCGCAGCAGCACGAGACTGCGACCACCGACACCATGGCCGAACGCCAGCTGCAGCAGATCCTCTCCCAGCTGAAATCCCAATCCTCGACCCTCAGCTACGCCGACGCCGCTCCCCTCCTCTCCAAAGCAAAACTCCAGCTCCTGAAGCTCAACGCCCTCTCCCCCTCCCCCGCCACCATCACCAGCAACAAGCAGCAACAGCAGCAGCAGCCACCCCAGAGCGTCCTCACCCTCGCCCGCGAGACATACGAGCAAGGAGCCCTGTACAGCATCCGGGCGCGGGACCCGGAGGCCTTCACGCGGTACGTGGCGCAGCTGGCGCCCTTCTACGAGCTGCCGGCCTCGGTGCTCCCGCCGTCGCTCGCCGAGCGCAACCGCGTCACGGGCCTGTACCTGCTGCTGCTGCTGACGCAGGGCCGGTACGCCGAGTTCCACTCGGAGCTCGAGAGCCTGGCGGCCCGCGAGGGCGGCGGCGCCACCGCCGACGTCGAGGGCGACCGCTTCCTGGGCTACCCGATCCGCCTCGAGCGGTGGCTCATGGAGGGGAGCTACGACCGCGTGTGGAAGGCCATGAAGAGCCGCGAGGTGCCGAGTGAGGAGTTTGCTGTGTTCTCTGAGGTGAGTGGAGATGTGGCATTCCCATATGAGCCCACCTTCACATGATGCCAGGTCGTTGCACCAACTACCCTGCTAACCACGACCCGCAACGAAAACAGATCCTCACCTCCCAGATCCGCTCCGAGATCGCCTCCAGCAGCGAGCGCGCCTACCCGTCCCTGCCTATCTCGTCCACAAAGTCGCTCCTCTTCCTCGACTCCGAGGGCGCCGTCATCGAATTCGCCCGCTCCCGCGGCTGGACCCTCAAGGACGGCAGGATATACTTCCCCAAGGAGGCCGAGGCCGCTGCTGCCGGCGGGGAAGGAGACGATGACGATGAGGCCGCGGCCGGTGCCGGCGGAAAGGAAGAGATGAGCAAGCTGGTTATCGAGAACGCGCTGGGTTACGCCCGAGAGCTGGAGACTATTGTATAGTTTCGTGCTTCGCTGCAGTTGGCCTGGGTGGCGACTGATTGAGCAAGGAGGTAGGCCAGGCGGGATGATGGGCTGGTCGTGTTGGTGGTTCTGAGCACGCAGGTCTGGGCACGCGTCGTTGTGCCTGGCTTCTAGGAGAACACACATACGCCAAAAAGACATAGAAATGATGAGACTTAATGCCAATACGATGACTAAACGGCTGGATGGTTGACTGACTTGCCCGAGTAACGTATTACGCAAAGCGACCATCAGGTCAAGCTTTCCGACGCTCTGTCACTACGAGCAAACAGCCAGCAGACTGCTCGAGGGGCTACCTGCAGTTGACAATCCAGTCCTTGGAGGTCGTCCCATCACCTCCGGGCGGCCTTGTAGAAGCCATGCACATTCATGAATGGCAGCAGAAGCATGCCAGTGCGAGGGCGGGTCCTGTACTAGACCCTCAGCCCGGGCAATACACGCACGCAACGCATCATCGCAGGGACGCATAGTCATCAATATAAGTATATTGCGGCAACATTCAAGACATTTGTTTACCCCTCACCCGCCAGCTTTTCTTTCGTCTAGGAGCCATCGGGGAAAAACACAGACCTCGACTTTTGTTCTTCTCTTGGGCGGCGCGCGGCGCACCGCCCACTGCCATCGCTATAATCTCACCATACAGCAGACCTCCCCTGCCCCATCTACCACTTCAGATCGAACCCGAGTTTTCCCCCATCTTCGTGTCGTTAAAAAGACTAGCTAATTACATCATTGTGGGAATGGTAGGTTATACCTATTCCCTACACCCCGGCGCCCATCCTGAGATCATTTGCAGCCAGCTTTCTTTAGAAGAAGAGCTTCAGCCCGCTGCCGTGCTTGCCGACCTCGCAAACCTCGCAGACGGTACACACGGTGCCCTTGTACTTGGTGTGGTACTTGGACCCGTCGAACGCGCACTCCTCGTACGCCGTGCCACTGTAGATTGGCGTGTGGCTGGCCGCGCAGATCTCGAACTCGGCGAACTGGTCGAATTCGATCTCGATCTCGTCGTGCGGGTTGCGCTCAGCCAGTGCCTTGGTCTTCTTGGCCTGTAGACGTTATTCGTTAGCACACCGTGCCCTCAACCTCAAGACAACTTGTATGATAGATGACTTACGTTCTCAAGAATCTTGCCGCCTCCTCCGTTGGCCAGGATGCGGTTCGCGAAGCTCAGGGCCGAGCTCAAATTCTTGGCATTCCTTGCCAGGTTCATGGCGTTGAGCAGGGCCAGCTGGCGATGAGGCACCTCGATCTTGGGGATTGTGAAGTATGCTGACAGCTCCAGGGACCGCTTCAGCAGCTCGGGATTGGCGTTGACCTCGGCTGGCGAGCCAAGTTTCCTCCGTGCCAGCTCGACCGACATGGCAACTGTGTACTCGCTCGCCGACGTGATGAGCTTCTTCGCTTCGGCGACCTCGCTCTCACTTGAGACAGCGTTGACCAATATAGCGTGGAGGACACCCTTGAAGATGTTGACACCATCCTCCAGTTTGTTTGCCTTCATTGTGTCGTACCCGCGTTGGAGATCATTGGTGGCGAGGTGCTCAAGATCTCTGGGAATAAACGGCAAGACCGACCTAGGATCTTGTTCGTCGACCGTGCGGCGCACATAGTTGATCAACGGAGGCAAGCCCGCAGATGCAGGGAGGTACGTCTTAGACGCTTCGTGCACCTCCAAGAATCTTGGCTTGAGCGGTGCGAAACTAACAGCGCCCACTTGCCTGTTGAGGAGGTTCATAGCGCTCTCGAAGGACCCGCCGGCCACATGGTCCACGGCCAATGGAGAGTTACGAGCCCACATGTCGGCCTCGCTGCTGCCAGCACCACCGGCGTCTGCGCTCTCGACATTTACGAAGTCGCCTTCTACGTCAGGAACCTCGTCATCTCCCATGTCCCAGCCAGCAGCGTCCTCCTCATCGTCGGCTTCTGCCAGCGCGCCGTTCTTGGCCACAAGATCGTCTACCGAGTCGTCGCCGAATCCGTTCGTGGCTGCGGGCGTATCCTCGAGCGAGAGACCCTCGACCTCGCCAAGCAATGCCTTCTCGAAGAAAGACTGTGAGGTGGCCTTTGTCGGCCAGTTCGCCTTGAACGTTGGCACAACTGGCTTTGGTGGAGTCAGGGGCTCGCCGATCTTTGGCAGCGTGATTTGGTCCTCTGTCAAGCCCGTGGCCTCCAGGATCGACTGACACTCTTCTTCCTGACCGTACGACTTGGCAGTCAGATATGCCAGAGGGTAAAGATCCACCTCCTTGAACATTTGTATTCTGTCCACGTCACCAAGGAACAGGTCGTTCTGGAACCTAGAAGTAAAGTCTCCTCTGTGCTCAGCGATCTTTGCCATCCTAGCAAGCTTAGACTGATCGCCGGTGGTCAGGTACAGGAAGGACAGCTTGTCGAACTGCTTCAGCTTCTGGTAGCACATCTCGACTGTTTGGTGGTTTCCATGAGCGAGCGCCTCACTGCCGAGCTTGACCCAGAGTGCCTGCTTGTCCAGCTGCTTGGCCATCTCCACGGCGACCTCGAGATTGCCACACTCAAGGGCGAGCTCGAATCTTGTGGTTGGGTCCTGGACGAACTGCAGGGCAATCTCGGGGTAGCCCTTCTTCTGTACATACGAGATGACAGACTGGCCAACCAAGCTCGAGTTCCGGATGATGTCAAGCATTTCACTGTAGTTCTTCTTGACTAGCGACAGCTTGAAGCGGTACTCGGTAGGGTCGACATGGAGAACCTTGGGCTTGGCCGCGCGGTCCAGGCAGTACACATTGCGGCCCTTGACACGGGTGAGGTACACGGTCGTGTCCAGTGTTCGGACGATACCGTTGTCGCCGTTCAGCAGAGTGTACTTGATATGGTTGAGGGTCGAGTAGAGTAGAACGCCGGCGTCATCCCAAGTAGCACTCTTGATACGGATGGTCTCGTGCAGGGTGCTCACTTGCTCCAGGGTCTTGGTGACGATAGTGACGTTGTGCTTGCTCAGAAGGGCGGCATACAGACCGTCATTGGACCACACAACATACTTCACACCATTCACAGACAGATCCGCGATGCTCTTCTTCTGCTGGATATCGTAGAGGTGCACGGCTGTTGGGGTGATGATGAGGAGGTTGCCGGTTCCACCAAAGTAAATGTCGGTCGTTCCGATGGGAGGCTTGAAGGAACGGGTGGTGGCGTTTGACAAATCTTTAATGTCAATAGTCTGGCTGGACTTGTTCAAGACAGCGAACCTATTCCGGGCCACGAAGATCGCAGAGTTGCCCTGTCCGCGCTTTGACTCTGTGGGCTCGATAGCGCCAGAGCCGTCACGAGGAAGGTTGACGAGCTCGTACGACCCGCCATCTGTGGAGGAGGTGACCAGAACCGAGCGTTCAGCAGGGTTGTACGAAAGCGTGCGAGGAGGGACCCAGGCAGGCCCAACCTTCTTAAGGGAGAGCAGCGTGGGGCTCTCAATATTCTTCTGGAAGTCGTACGACTTGACCTGCTTCTCCTTTGTGATGTAGAAGAGGGTGCTCTGGTGGACGGCCATTGCCGGTCTCTCACGTTCAAGCTTGAAGACCATGACTCCGTTATCGTGGCCAGCCGCAAACAGGTTGATCTCCGGATGAGCAGCAATGACCCAGAACCTGTCATTCTCTCGCTTGAAGCTCTGCACGCTTGTCCTCTTGTTCAGGTCCCACACTCGGATGGTCTTGTCTTCTCCGACCGACAGGATGAGGTCCTGGTGGGGGTGGAAGAGACACCCAGAGGAGTTCTGGAAGTGGCCTCGACATGTATCGACCTCCCATGCCTTCGTCTCGCTCATGCGCCACAGCTTGACCAGCCTGTCGTCGCCAGCCGACACGATCAAGGGCATGGTTGGGTGGAACGAGACCCAGTTAACACCGCGATCATGGCCCTCCAGAACGAACTTGACCACGGCATCGGTGTTTCCAAACATATCGGTTTGGTTTTGGTTGCCCCTAGCCACTTGCTCCTCGAATGTTATGGAAGTGGGGGCGGAGTGCTTCTTGCGCAGCCCTGAGATGTCCCACACACGGACGGACTGATCCAGGGAGGCCGAGACGACCAGGTCTTGTGTGGGGTGAAAGCTGGCGCACATGACATAATGGTTGTGGCCGGTCATGGTGCAGATCAGAGATCGGTTCTGCCAGTTCCATATTCTGATGGTCTGGTCGTCGGAGGCTGAGATGATCCATGGGAGCTCGTGGTGGAAGAAAACGGTTCGGACGTAGTCGAGATGCCCATTGAGTGTGAACAGCTCCCTCCTCGTGGTCAGAGACCACACCTTAATCTTGTAGTCGTCGCCGCCGGACACGAACAGGGGTTGGGTCTTGTGGAAGTCGACGCCGCGGACGGGACCGCTGTGGCCTTCAAGTCGGTCGATCAGGGTTCCCATACGGTCTGTTCACGCGTAGACTAGAGTTAGCGACTGCCGAAGCTGGTGTCAAGGGCCCCAGGGGCTAGGATGGCCGATGGATAGAATCTAGGGAGTCGCAATCTCCTGCCCGTCCAGCCTGGCAATGCGCCCAGCCCCACTGTCCTACAGGTGTTTGTACGTACAGTCCCATAGCTGGATAGTCGATGAATGAAGGGAGACGAGGATCCATGGTCTGGAAGGTATGAGTATCAGTGTCGATGAGGCAACTCGGGCTGGATAATGGTTGAAGCTTACCGCTTGGGGTGGAAGGCAATCCCTTTGGCGCGGGAGCTCTTGCTCTCGAACTGTTGCGCATTGTCAGCTCTGGCGCTCTTCCCTACTAGAGGGCAAAGCTGATGGTGCTATGTGTGGACGGACCTTGGTGAGCATGCCTGAGGAGGCCATGGTGGGTGGTGCTCTGGAAGCCCAAGCTTCACATCAACCGAGAGGGACAGACTGGTGGGATGTTTTGATTGGGAGCAGGGCGAAAGGCCATGCAGTGGCTGCTTGGTGCTGCTTGAATCTGGACTTCCTGACGAGTTCAAGAGTGCCTGGTGTGGTCGAAGGTGAAGGAGCGAGTATGGACCACCTGGCACCGGTCGTTCGAGTCCACGGCGTGTTGGTGTTGGTGTTGCTGGCGGGTAGGGGGATTCGAGGCCACAAGAGTGGAATCGTGGCCATCTGCAAGGTGGAACTAGACCAGGGAGTGTCCAGCCCAGCTTGCTCGTCACTGGCCTGGACCGTGCACGCTTGCCGTTTGAGTTGACACCCTGGCACTGGCACTGGCCAGGACTGATTGTATCGATTGGAGTAGACTTTCTGCTCTTTCCACATATTTTGATGCACCACCTAAATGCGAATCAATCGCAAAAAAGAATGGAAAATGAAGTTGAGATTTCAATTACAACAAAAAGACCCTATGCCCTCTTCTATCTTGGCAACATTATTCTGTCCTGTTTGAGTCCCCTTGTGATTGTTAGGTACCGTCTATAACTAATGGAACGGTGACCCCGTATGACTTAAGCAGCTGCTCTCCGTCACGCTAGCCTCTTTGGGAGAGCTCCCAAGGCAATGTGTTCACTTTCGACACAGGGCTGGACACTACAAGCAAAGAAAGACCAAACAATTCGAGACAACTTCCAGAAGACCAGTTAACTTCTGGCCTAGCACAACATCTGCTATCCTTTGTTGTTGCTGTACATTTAAACCCAGAGAACCTGCCATACTTCTAGAGCAATGGGAGCATAGTGGAGCTTGTTGATAGGCAGCCCCAGGCTTATTGACTACATACTGGATTCTTTTGAGGCCGTCGCCCGACTGATCGATTGCGCCTTGTAAGGCTTCGCCGGCCACAACCTCCCATACCCTCCCATATCCATTCTCCAAATCGCATAGCTTCTCGTCATATCCCACTGGGCAAGAAGAAGCCATGATACGACTCTCCCAGCTGCCGGGGAGCCTGCTGGCTTCCCTGCTGGCAGCAACCCTCTTCAAGGCCCAGCCGACATGCGCCGGACCGTCTGTCGAGATCGCCATGAAGGCTGCATTTCCCTCGCCTCCGTATTTGATAGAGCTGCTGTAAGCACTTGACCTGGCCGGCTCCGGTGTGATTATGTCGACTGATCGGGTTTCTAGGGAGACTGCCGCCCACGAGAATGCCTCCAGCTACTTTCCGCTCCTCGACCGCATCGCAGACGGCTACTTCTCCGAGCTCAAGACCGACGCCGAATTATACGAGAGCTTCCTGTCCGTGCTTCAAGAAGACGGGCACATAACGAGCGACGAGGGCTTGTCTATCTTCAAGCTGGCCCTATCAACGAGGTCGGCAGTCCCCCGGATCGAGGCACATTACCAGTATTATCAAACAGGGGTCGAACCCACGCTACAAGGGAACCAGGACGGTTGTGATGCATGGACAATATGGCTGGGCCAGCAACATTGTATTCCCTCTCTGGACGCAGGCCAAGCTCGGGGCCATGTACCGGAGCGACAGGACCGGGATCTGCCGTTCGACCGCTCTCTCGGTGATGGCCCTAGCTGCATTCTGTACGCAGACATCACCTCGCCTCGATTTGCACCATTCCACAGGGTCCTGTCAGAGAAGGCACTAAACAGGGAATGCACCTACAAGCTCCGCCACCGCAGGCTGTCCTACGAGAACCTCGAGCCGTTGCCCGTCAGTGGCTATGGAGTTGCGCTCCAGCTGAAGAGAACCGACTACATTGTCATCGACGACCGCAAGGCGGAGGAAGATGCATCCCAGAAGGTCATAGCCTCCGAAGTCGTCTTGGACCAGGAGGAGGAGGTCGCTGATCTCAAGCCCCTGTCTACGTCGGAACTGTCCTCCCTTGGTCTGAAGGCTTCATCCTTCATCATGCAGAGTGATGACCCATTCGGCACCCTCCTGAAGCTGACCCAGGACTTCCCGAAACACTCTAGCTCGCTTGCTGCCCATGACGTCTCGGATGACTTTTACAGCGAGCACAAGGGCAACCGCGCCGAACTGGTGCCCGCAGGGACTAACGTGCTGTGGATGAACGGCGTTCAGCTCGTTGAGAGACAGATGGACGCCTTCACCCTGGTTGACTTGCTGAGAAGCGAGCGGAAGCTCATCAACGGCGTTACTGACCTGGGCTTGACCGGGGAAGAGGCAATTGCCCTCCTCACCCACCAATCTGTGGCTGCTGCCAAGGCGACTGACGACGTTCAGAGATTTGTCTGGCACGATGGGCCGGAGGATGGGAAGGCCATCGTTTACTTGAACAATGTTGAGAAGGACAAGCGATACGAGGCATTCCCCAAGCACCTGATGAGCGTGAGTATTGCCCCCACCCGCTCGTCTTGGCCACTGCTAATGCCCCCCCAGCTCCTCCAAGGTGGCGGCATGCCTGGCTCCCTGCCTCAGATTCGACGTGATATCTTCAATTTGATCTTTCCCGTGGATCTCAGCAAGGAGGATGATGTCGCCTTGGTGGGCAAGCAGCTCCAAGACTTCGTCAAGCGGAAGCTTCCCGTGAGGTTCGGCATTGTGCCTCTAGCTTTCACCGAAGCCTCCGAGCGTCAAGCGAAAGTAGTCTACAACCTTGTGGAGACATATGGTCTGTCGGCGATGATGGCATATCTGCAGGCTGCTATCGAAGCCAAGAAGACTGGAGACGCGGACAAGGGACTGTTCGAAGCAGCGGTTGCGAACAGGACATTGCGAGAAGACACCACCGCTCTGTCTTTTGAAGAGGTTTTGGCGTCTGAGCACCACGGAGAACAAACTCGTCTTTCCCAGGTTTGGGCCGATCGACTACGCGCACATGGCCCAACCCCTGTCTTCTTTGTTGACGGCCTTCCAATGTCACGTCAAGGCAACTGGCTGCCGCCTATGAGCCAGCAGATTGGAATCGATCTGCAGACCCTACGACAGGCCATCTTCTACGGTGAGATCGAGGAGGACCAGTGGATCCCTGACTACTTCTTGCAGAATGCAGCCAAGCGCCGCAACACTGTCATATTCCCAAGCGATCCAAATGATCTGGATATGCTGGATGTGAACAAGCTGCACTCGGAGCATGCAGAGCTTTTCGAAATGATCCCTGTGCTCGAGTCGTACCCGGAGTCCACCAAGGAGAACTGGGCTGTGTTGACGCTCGTTCTCGACCTGGCCAACCCTGAAGGCGTCAAGCTCGCTGCCTCAGCGTTGCAATTCCGGGTCAACAACCCTGGCATCCGCCTGGAAATCATTCACAATCCTGTGGACTCAGAGGAAGCGCACAAGATCAATTCGGCATTAAAAGCTAGCCAGTCTGACCTCGCAGCTGCGGATTCGGAGGAGCTGTTGAAGATCATTATCGATACCACTGAGGGCTTGACAGAAGAGAACGAGCTCTATGATTCTGCTCTGCGCCGATTCCTCTCGACTGCGGCCATCCGACCTGGGCAAAACATGCTCATTCTCAATGGCCGTATTGTCGGGCCTGTTGAGTCAGCAGCAGACTTCAATGCAGATGATTATCAACTCTTCTTGGACATCGAGCAGAAGTTGAGAATACTGCCAGTCTATAATGCGATCGAGGATCTGGGTCTTGCTGAGAAGGTCTCTAGCCCTCTGGCGGCGGCCAAGGTTACGTCAATCACCGCGCTGTCTACTATGCCCGATGTGCCTGAGGGTATTTTCGAATCTGGCTCTCCACTCAGAATATCTGCGTTCAACGTCTGGAACTCCACACATACTGCGTTCGAAATTGGCGACAAGTCGAAGGCGACAATTCAGTTCGTGGCCGTCATCAACCCTGCTAGTGAGCAAGGTCAAAGATGGGTGCCCATTCTGAAGGTGCTCTCTGAGCTCTCAGGAGTGTATCTCAAGGTCTTCATCAATCCCAAGGAGAAGCTGGAGGAACTTCCGGTGAAGCGGTTCTACAGATATGTTCTCGACCATGCCCCTGTCTTCGATGAGTCAGGGAAAGTCAAGTCTCCCGCGGCAGAGTTCAAAGGCCTGCCATCCGAAGCACTGCTGAACGTTGCAATGGACGTACCTCCTGCATGGCTCGTAGCCTCCAAGGCTTCCGTGCACGATCTGGACAATCTCAAACTCAGCTCAATTAAGAGTGACGTTGAGGTCGTCTACGAGCTCGAGAACATTCTCATTGAGGGCCACTCTAGGGAGTCCTCAGGGTCTCTGCCCCGTGGCGCGCAGCTGACGCTCAGTACTGAGAAGGATTCCAAGGTCGCAGACACGATTGTCATGTTCAACCTGGGCTACTTCCAGTTCAAGGCCAATCCGGGCTTCTACAACATTCAGCTGAAGGAGGGTCGCAGCTCTGATATCTATCATATCGAAAGTGTCGGTGCCAAGGGCTACAGTGCTGTTCCTGGTGATGAGGGGACCGAGACTGCCCTGATGAACTTCATGGGCACCACACTCTATCCGCGGATCAACCGGAAGCCCGGGATGGAGGAGGCCGATGTTCTTGAGGAGGGCGACCAAGGAGGTGTTCTCGACGTCGTGTCTAAGGGACTCAAGTTCGGCAAGGATCTATTTGGTGTCAAGACCAAGTCTTCCTCGGACGAAGAGCACGCCGAGATCAACATCTTCTCTGTCGCCAGTGGCCACCTGTATGAGCGCATGCTGAACATCATGATGCTCAGCGTGATGAAGAATACCAAACACTCAGTCAAGTTCTGGTTCATCGAGCAATTCCTGTCTCCAGCATTCAAGGACTTCCTGCCTTTCATGGCCGAGGAGTACGGCTTCAAATACGAGATGGTAACGTACAAGTGGCCCCACTGGCTCCGCCAGCAGAAGGAGAAGCAGCGTGAGATCTGGGGCTACAAGATCCTCTTCCTGGACGTGCTCTTCCCGCTTTCTCTGGACAAGGTCATCTTCGTCGATGCAGACCAGATTGTCCGTACGGACATGTACAGCCTGGTGCAGCACGATCTCGAGGGCGCGCCGTACGGGTTCACGCCTATGTGCGACTCTCGCGTCGAGATGGAGGGCTTCCGCTTCTGGAAGCAGGGCTACTGGGCGAACTACCTGCGCGGGCAGCCATACCACATCTCGGCGCTGTACGTGGTCGACCTCCGGCGCTTCCGGGAGCTGGCGGCCGGCGACCGGCTGCGGCAGACGTACCACACGCTCTCGGCGGACCCGAATTCGCTGTCCAACCTGGACCAGGACCTGCCGAACCACATGCAGTTCCAGATTCCGATCCACAGCCTGCCGCAGGAGTGGCTATGGTGCGAGACGTGGTGCAGCGACGAGTCGTTCTCTGAGGCCAAGACCATCGACCTCTGCAACAACCCACAAACAAAGGAGCCCAAACTCGACAGGGCGAGGAGGCAGGTGCCAGAGTGGACCCCGTATGACGACGAGATTGCGGCCTTGGACCGCAAGAGGAAGGGAGGCAAGGCCGAGGGGTTGGACGGGCAGAAGGAAAAGGTTATCGGGGGCGACGGAGAGGAGCTCAAGGAGCCCCAGGAGGACAAAAATCCCAAGAGTAGGGCCTTTGAAGGGGAGGACCCTGAGGCTACGCTGGGGGGCCATGTCAAAGATGAGCTGTAGAGATTCGCCGGATGTATAGAAATGCATAGATTCTCATGTCATGGTGTTGTTTACCTTGATTCTTGGTGACGATGCCTATCCCATATATCTGACGGATCGAAGAGCAGTGTCGTTAATGCGTTCCCGTGGCGCATGCGACTCCTGCGGCTCCAGCTGCTCATCGCCGCAACGCGTACTAGGCATTGGGGGCCCCCGGGGTCTCACATCGGCTGCGTTGGGGTTTTTGGCCAAGGTCGGTCCACCTGCCCATCTGCCTCACTTACTTTCTCGCCCCTCTCTTCCTTGCCACGCAACTCTTGCAAAGAGGCACACACATCAACACACAGCGCAGACCCCGGGCCCAAATCGGGTGCCCCGACTACATTGTCCAGATCACAACTGATTTACTGGTGACAGGATTGCTGGCCTTGTAGCTTGCAAAATTCTGTATGTCCACAAATCTCCACACAGCACCTCTTGGTGCTTAGTTTACGACGTCTTTTTCAGCGCTGAGGCCCTCCACTGTGGATTTTGTTAGAGGCAGTCAGATGGTGCAGGCGACGGGGTCCTTACCTTTGGATTCAGGAAGTAGATGGGCACACCTAGGAAAAAGATTCCAACGAATATTCCGAGCAACTAATTTCGTGTCAATGACGGCTACCTATGATAGGAACCCATCAACTTGGACTTACCACGAGAAAGCTCTTCAAGTAAGACCACATGTTCAGCATAGGTATCAGTCCGTATGACGCGCCAAACGATATGATGTTCTTCCCACCAACCACAGGCACCATGGCGGCGCCCGGGTTCTCCGGTATGACCTCGGCAGCAAAGGTCGTCGTGGTGATGAGGACGGCAGTGAATGCGAACTCGAAGATGCTCCAGGCGAGGACAAGCCCCCAGGCAGAGTACCTCTCAGGCTCATTAGCGACGACGCCGAAGACCACGATCCCGACGGCACCAGCGACGCACGGTATGACGAGGTGGACGAGGTGGTGCTCGGGCTTGTGGACGCCGCCGTTGCGGGCCGCCAGCCAGACGTTGACCCTGCCGGCGAACCAGCCCGAGTGGACCATGGCGAGGACGGCCGCGGGGATGATGCCCACGTTGAACAGCCCGACCGACTCGGGCCCCCAGTGGAACGACTCCTCGAGGACGGTGCTGTACACGAGGGTGATGGCCACGCCTATGCCGAGGGTGATGGATGAGGCCAGCAGAGCGAACCACACCGCGGGTGATGTCAGCGACCTGGCGATGGCGGCGTAGGCGCCCAGCCAGGTCTTGAAGGCGCCTGGGGGGACGCTGCTCCAGGGCTTGAGCTCCTCCGCGAATGTCTTTTTCTCGACAGGCTCCCCGCCATTCTCATTGTCTATCCTCTCACCAAGCCGCTCTCGTGCCTCTTCGTCGGTGAGGAATTGGGTGTGTCCAAAGTCGTCAGTGTAGACTACATATCCGTTGACCAGCGCAAGTGGGCGCTGGAATCGGGTCTCCGGGAGGAAGAAGAAAGCGGAGACAGCACCGAAGCCCAAGGTGATGGCAAAGAGCCAATAGTACCACCGCCAGGACGAGGCGGCAATCATGTACGACAGGGCGACCTGCAGCCCGGCGTTGATGGCGTTCTGCGACGACCAGTAGAGCCCGAAGTAGAAGCTCCGCTCGTCGAGGAACGTCAAGTCCGACAAGATCAGCGGCAGGAGGGACTCGGTGGCGCCCGTGGCCAGGCCGAGCACGAGACGGGCGGCGAAGTGCGTGTCGAAGTTGTTGCTCGCGCCCGCGACGATGACCATGACGAGTGCGAGGGCGACGCAGAACAAGAAGACGGGCCGCCGCCCGAGGACGAAGGCCAGCGGCAGCAGGCCAAAGCTGCCGAGGGCCATGACCATTGTTGGGTAGGTGCTGAGGCCGACGACCTGCTCGGCTGACTTGCCCTCTGGCGCGTACATCTCGAAGAGGGTGTTCATGAAGGTCCCGGTGCCGCTGAGGCTTAGGAGGGAGAAGACCGCTTGCGGATGTCAGCTGAGGTTTGAGGGAAGACGTGGACGTGGTCTAGCCAAAGGACCGTGGAGAAGCTTACCGAACCAGCAGCAGTTCGCAACAATCATGAACTTCTTGAACGGCTTCGAGTTGAGCGGGTCGTTGGGGTTGTCTGTCGGCACTGGTATTCTTCGAACATCTTGGCTGGTTACGAGGAGGACATCGCCATGGTTCTGGGCCGGCGCCGTTGCAGGCTTGAGGGCCTCAACGTGGTCCAGGTCTGGTGTGTCCTTGTTGTCCATGATTTATTTGGTCACGTCCGACTCTCGAGCCTTGGTCTTGGAGCCATCAGGGGCTGGTAAAGTCCAGTGCTAGAAGGAGAGAGGACACACAGTCTTTCCTGTCAAGCACACATGTTGCTCTTGCGCGAGTGGGCCGCGAAGGCCATGTTCCATTCGGAAGAAATCCCGGTTACATATAACGACATGCAAGGTGTCAATGGGCTACCGAGACTGTCCATCATGACTCCGGGCCCTTTTGTCTTGTTTTCCCAATGTCGCGATCCTGGTTGGACCAGGGGCAAGAACTGCAAGTGCTCAGATTCGACCTGGCCCCACCCCCACATTTTGCTTTCCGGGGTGTCGGTTCGGATTCGCTGCGGCTTGCATTTTCTGGGGTAATTCCCCGTCCCTAAAATTTCGGAACAATGAGCTCTAGAGCCCCAAGCCTTCGGCTCGGCTGGGGTGCAACCAAGAGCAAGCGGTCCACTCCTTCGGCTCGGCCCTCGACTCCTTGAAATCTTTGGCCAGTCTCGGGATATCGAAAGGGGAAATACTGGCCGGACTACAATGGTGAATCCTCTCTATTTCAAGACTATGGCGCCACTCTATGAGAAATTGAAGACGATAGCAGAAGGCACCAAAGCTTGTTGTGCTCAAATGAGAAGTACGGCCGCCGCCGCCGCCGCCAACGCAAAGGCAGCCATGGGATTGCTAGTCTCTCTCGCCATGACATTGACCTGCACGGCGGTACTCGTGCTCGTAGCACCGGTCTCAGTGGACGTTCCTGTAGAAGCCCCTTCCGTCGAACTTTCCACAGCAGACTCGGTAGCTGTCGCCCCGCTGGTCTCTGTGGGGACACCGGTCATCACAGTGCTTCCCGTGCCCACCGAACTGGTCATTTCACACCCAGATCCACCCGTTGAGGTCGGTATAGACATGGTCGCGGTCGTGCTGCCGGAGAGGGGGCTACTCGCCACTGTGCCAGTGGGGCCGGTGCATTGGCCTGTACTGGATGGAACGGCGTCGGGTCCAGATCCGATGGGTATGATGTTCTCATCGCAGTCTTCGGCCTGTGCTAGATGCAGGTTCGCATTGTCCTGGTCGTAGACCACATAGGCTGCACGCAGGAAGGAGTCGCCGAGAACCGGTTCCTCTGTCACCGCGTAGTTAGAAACTATATGGAGAAAGGGGCGCCGGAGATTGAGCAAGACGGGCAGGTAAACCTAAAGCTTATAGCGACGAGTGCATGGGCGAAAATCAAGACAGTGGATAGAGAGATGGAGGAGCGTCTAGGTCAGGCGTCAAATAAAATTGATCTGGACTTGACTTACCATTGTCAATCTAAATCCCCAAAGCACATTCCCCCTAATTAAAAGGGTTCCAAATAAAGTCTTTATACAATATACTAATAACCTTTCCATCCACATCTTCGCCAAAGCCAAAATCTACGCTACCAATCTAATCTATTGCGTTGCAATCAACAATATAGTAGCCGATAGTCTCATTCCAAAAGGCCCCTGGAAACGCATCCCCAATCGCAAAGAAGGTCTCGTTAAAGAAGCGCGAGAAGGTACCGCCGCTATCCAGGAACACAGGCATTTCACCTAACGCCAGCAGCCCGCTAGTGCCGTTGGGAAAGGTAAGGCCGACGGAAGTCAGGTTAACCCAATAGCGGTCAGCATTAAGGAGCGTATCGGCTGGATCCACGATTGGGAGCTTAGCCAGCGAGCCGGTGTACTTACCCATATCAATACCACCAAAGATAACTAATCCGTTCGGAGAGTCAACGCTTCTTAGGTCAAAACTAAATGCCCTGCTGGAAATAAAGCCCTATGAGACCATGCTATCTAAGACTAGCAAATATCGTATATCAAATGCGCTCGGTGAAGGCAATAAACCCAATATACCCATGGGAACAAAATAAGATAGGTTGTTAAGTCTAAAGATCTAATTAGTGATGTTAGCAGCTTTTCAACGGGACACATAGTCAGCCAATTATCGACAAGATCTCATTGCCCTAGAACTTACATCCAATTCCAACATTATCAATGACATATTCAACCAACGCGTTGCCCTTGCCATAAGTCAACAGCTAACCAAAGCTCATATCCACGATACTGCTGCTTGCATCGACATCAAACTGCGGAAAGCTCTCGCAATAATTCTATTAACCGGATGTCTCGCACGTTAGGTTCACCCACAAGTTTGCCAATCCGGTATCAATAAGAACCGTCACTATCTAAGGCGGTATCCCCACTTCAATATCGATGGTGTACCCCATGCCATACTGCTGGTTCAAAATTATCTCTGTGCTCTATCTCCCGAACAGTCTAAGGACCTCAGGGTGCGCACCATCGTCCTAATGCGCAGTCACAGTGCTTTTCACGAAGCTGTTGGCTCGCACTGCAGCCGTGCCGGAACACGCTGCGAGCAAGGTGCAAATGGTGAGCTTTCGGCAATTCATGATACGCAATTGACTACGAAGGATCAAGGATCGAGACATAGGTATTCTCAGGGAGTTCAAGAAGTAATTTGGAAACAGGACATTGACGAGGAGCAATGTATACACCTTTTCTATTTAAGCCCCGTCGTTGAGCTCCACGGGCAACGCCATTGGCACCTGTGCGCAAGCCTCTACGTATCCCCCCCTACCAGAGTTAATCACCTTCCCACGTTCTGAACTACCTCAATACCTACCTTACCTAGATAGCTACGAGCCTAGTAAGCGGAAATGAAATAGATTTCGTCATGATCGCCTTCTTGGGAAGCTCGCTCATGGATGTGCTTGTACTAGCTTGTTCTTGGTTCCCTTCTTCTGCACGGGCAGCCGGCCCCTAGTGAAATATCATCTCCCATTGAAGAGCCGCCGGCGGGAAGCCTATCCTCTCTATTAATTAGTCGAGAAGTCGGTAAGGTGACGGTCAGATACAGGCTTGTGTTTCCTTTGATTGCACACTGCTCACGTGTCGTCAGGATCCGCTGCGCACGAGCTCGCCGATGTAGATGCTTGGTCATTGCCGTTCTGATGCCGAAAGTCCTGCCTCCACATGTCGTGCACACAAGCCCCCAATGAGCTCCAGTTGGGCACCTACGTAATTCATTAAACCCTGCAAGACGGGCCCCGAGCTCTAGTGGATGTTCGATCGTGACTTGAAGCACCGTTGACCATCCTTTGATGAATGTCAAAGTTCCACTTTGCATAATTGATATGGGAGCGAGGAGGAGCGGTTTGAGCTTCACGGCCAGCTTAAGCTCCCGGGCTTTGGTCTCCGACGGCTCTTAGCCTCGGCCGAACAGCGGCAAATAGCGGCAACGAACCCTTAATTTCCCATTGTTCTCAGCTTGAGGGGCCCAGGTGACCTGACGAAGTCAGGTAATTACCATATTATAACTCGGATTCGTGGTTTTGCCTAGGCGTGTCGTCAATCAGATGAGGTGCCGGCCTCAGGCCCCGGCGGATGCAGTGCCGAACCGCATCTCGAGCAGCATTGTTGACCGAGGATGTGATTTCAGCCCCGAACGGGATCCGCTTCGGTTCGGGACGGGTTGCTTGGTGTACAAGCACACTGTTGTCGACCCGGCGAGCCCCCCTGCTTACCGTGTTAGTGCGGCCATAATTCAACGGCGAGTTCCATCGTGGCCTCATGAATTTTGGGTGGCTTTTTGAGAGACGATTAGAACAACCAAGCCGCTGCCAACACACCTGTAGAGTGAAAGGGTATCCAAAGAGCCATTTCAGTCACCCGAGACAATGGCTTGTCCTTTCAGCGACTCAAGACGACTGTTCCAGGATCTCGCTTCTTCGAGGGATTATGCCGGCTTTCAGTTCAGCGACAGGTTTGGTGGATATGTCGTTTCTCGTACGATGATATCGTCTCAGTCCTCGAGAGACCCGAAGTGTTCAGTTCCCACCAATGGTCCGGGACCTGTTTGCAAACAAAGTTCCCGAAAAGGGCACATTGCTGGCTCATGATAACCCCGACCATGATCGTCTGAGGAAAAGCGTTGCGTCGTTCTTCGTACCACGGAGGCTGGAGCGGTTCGAGCCGATGCTGCGTGCTGCGGCCCATGACATGATCGACAAGTTCGTCGATGATGGATCAGTCGAGATCAAGAGCCATTTCGCAATACCTGTACCTCTTCGATGCATAGTGGTAGTTACAGGACTGGATCCAGCCAAGTGGGAATGGATTGGACTTTGTCTCTCACTTTTCGGTGGCATCACCAAATCTGAAGAAAAGCTCAGCATCCAGCAAAGGGTTCGAAATGTTTTGGATCTGCACTCTTACATCGCTACAGTCATCGAGGATCGGCGGACCGACAGAAAGGACGATCTAATCAGCCATATCTAGAACGAAAGAGACGCCGGCGTCGTAAATGTGACGGACTTTGAACATCTCAGTATGATCCCGGGTCTTCTCCTCGCAGACCATGAGACCACGACCAACGTGCTGTCCATGGCTTTGGCACACCTACTCCATCACAAGCTGTGGGAGAAGATCTTGTGGTCTCAGAGAGCGATAAAACTAGATCAGCCGCGGTTGAGGAACTCCTTCGCTACGAGTCGGCTATAACAGGCATGTGGCGCGTGGTCACAAAGGAGACGAGACTCGAAGAAACGGTCTTGAAGCCAGGGGACAAGCTGTTCGTGGCACACAACTCAGGGAGTCGAGACAGCACCAAGTTCAACAACCCAGACGTTATTGACGTCGACAGACGCCCCAAGACGCAGCACCTCGGTTTCGGTCGTGGTGTTCACGCCTGCTTAGGAGCCCCTTTCGCACGTCTCCTTCTGAGAACCGAGCTCTCGGTTCTTAACGATCGCCTACCCAACCTAAGACTAGACACGCCATACGAGACAATCAGGTACAGCGAAGGCCCTGAAGGACGTGGGCCAGAGGAAATCAAGATGTCTTGGGACCCTCCGTCTCAGCAAGACACAAGCCGTGGTGTTTCAATCAACTCATCCAAAGCAAAAGCTGGAAAACCGCAGGACCTGGACATGGTTGTTAGTGATGTGGTCAACGTCACATCTGACGTGATGCAACTAACATTACGGTCTATCGATGACTCCGAGGTGCCGCTGTGGACACCTGGAGCTCATATAGATGTCAAGGCGGGCACCTTTGGCTTTCGGCAGTATTCTGTATGCTCGGGCCCAGATGATCGCCATGTCCTGAAAATTGCTGTTCTCGAGGAGAACAACACCGGGGCTTCTCACTTCATCCATGCCAACGTACGGAGGGAGTCTAGGATGACCACCCGCGGTCCACGGAACAATCTTGCCTTCGTGCCAGGCTCACGCAGAACCATCTTCATCGCCGCAGGAATTGGAATCATACCTATCAAGCCCATCGCGGCGCAAGCGAAAGCCAGGGAAATAGACTGCCTGGAGCCGGTGGTCGCTTCGATCGAGAATTTCGCCTGTTGAGAGAAAGCACCGCAGGGCAAATTCGAGATGCCTGCCAAGAAGTCCTTCAGGCTGTCCGCGGTCCAGGGATTGATGCCTATCGTCGCCAACGTACCAACACCCGCTTTAACCTCTGCGACGATGCGAAGATCCAGCGCATCACGATGAACCAAAAGCTCGGGCTCGAGTTCACAGTTGCGTGCAAACAGCCAACCTCAACCAGGAGCATGACAGATGAGGCGAGACAGGCCTGGTGGGAACGGTGCAAGCGATTTCGGCCCGGTACAGTTGTCTGTGTTCTCGACACGGCCGACATCCTACACTTTGTAGTGTCCGAGTCAACCGTACGTGGACCTTGGGACGCGCCAGATGAACGCGACTCGAGTAAAGATCTCTCTGAGATATAAAATTCTTATTCTATTTGACTTGATAGTCCTTAGAAAGCGTCCTGTCGAACTCGACCAAAGACTTTTGAATTACATCTTCCTTAATCCCCTGGGAGATAACTTGGCCGTCGTATCAGGGGTATGTCCACCGGTTGTAGTCGGCGAAGTATAGTTGTCGTAGCACCGAGCGCCGATTTTACACCAACATGACCCGTAGCACTGCTCGCAAAATTCTTCATCGGACTCGGACGGCGGCGTGAGCTGGAACCAGTCACACGAAGAGCTCTCTCGGCGGCAGTAGAGACACTTGGTGGTGCACTCGGTGTAGTTGAGGGGCGAGTTGCAGCCCTGATCGCATATGAGACCGCAGGACTTGCAGCTCGGCTCGCAGGATGGCCATTGAGTGCTGGCTGGGTGGATGAAGAATGAGAGTGGGAGGAATATCCAAGTATACGGATGCATCTTGTAGCTGGTGGATATGATTGTCGAGAAAATGAAATTGAAGTCAGGTTGGCCCTAAACTTTGCCAGCTCACTGCGGTAACAAAGCAACTGGGCTAATCCTCCTTATATCGTATTTTGTTCTCGCATTTTGTGGCCAGACCTCACTTCTTCCGGTCAGCGGCTAAACGGCTTCGTTCCTAGGTCACCAATCATTGCAGTTCACCCCTCAGCGAGACTCATGCAGCTCGATCCTTCAACTGCCTAGACTTGCAAAGGCGAGATTGATTTACTCGTGTTGTTCTTCGTTATTAACCATGCAATTTTGAACCAATGAAGCATTTTTGCTAAACCAAGCCGTTTTTCGGAAACGGTCACATTGTCACGGGGAGCGACTGCTGCACTGTAGCCACGCCCTGTCCTGCGAAAGGTACAGAATTACAGAACGTCTTCTGGGAGCTTAGTGAAGTGTATGTAGCTGTGCCATCACACAGCCATTTATGAAAATTGCACACTGCAAGTGTTAGACCCATTTAGCCTGAGCAGAGGCACACGCCGCAATTTTGTATTTATGACCCGGGCGACTGCTTACAGTAAAATTGCATCATTAGGGAATGAAAGGTCGGGTGTAGGAAAGAAGAGTATGATTCGCAAGTTATGTACATTGATATAGGAAATAGAAGCAAAGAAAGAAAAACCCACTATCTAACAAAATCCATGTCAAGAAACTCCAACTAAAGTGTTCAGGTTCTCCGAGAAGGCTGTAATAGTATTACAGAGCGAGTCAAATATCCCCTGTGCAAAGCCCGCGTCTATAGCCCCGTCCCGAGCATAAAGCAAGCAGACCTCGGTACTGTTCGCATCTTGAGGCGTAGTGACGACACTGAAATCAGCAGTGTCCTCTTGCGAGGCTATGGCACCGACTTGGTACGTGTTGCCCCCGATTGCCAGGGTAGCCGTCTGAGGCATGCTCTGGTGTTGGACAACGGTGGAAAAGCCGTTTGCCCCGTCATCATCCCAGTCGGTGCATGTGTCGATAATCTCCTTGAAGCCGAGTGACTCGTACGGCATGTTGTCCACCTGCTGGTTCTGGATGTGTTGGAGGAGGTGTAGCACGGTCCAAGAGGGTCGGTGACAGACGCGCACAGGAACCACGTTCAGGCAGGGACCGACGATGGATTCAATGCCCGCCACGCTGCCTACATTGCGCCCGCTGATGAGGTGGCCAAAGACAACGTCTGTCTTGCCGGTGGCCTTTGCCAAGACTGTCGACCAAGCAGCTTTGACGACAGTGGCGGTGGTGATGTTGAAAGACGCGAGCGAGGGTGTAGACACGACAGCTTTCAAGACTTGAGTAGGAGACGTGTGCAGCAAAGTACGTTGTCGTGGGATGATATGTGTCGGAGTGGAATTCTTGAGGAGCGCTTTCCAGTACGCGTAGTGGTCCACAGTAATCTTACCCAACGCCCCACGAATATAAGTGGCATACGAAGGCGTGGGAAGGATAGGTTCTCCCTCATAGCAAGCCTTCAATGATTCAAGGATAGCTGGAAAGCAGACACCGTCATACTGAGCATGAGATATTCTGATGAAGATTCGGTGTCGTAGCGACGACTTGTGTCGCGCCATGACGAATTGGAGGGGGGATTGCCCAGGTTGCGGCCGTTCGTGTCGATGGATGGAACCAAGCTCTGAGGTGAACTGCTCGATATCGTCGACATCGTGGACAGTCAATTCGGGTTGCAAGTAGCGGAGGATAACCTGCAAGTATCTTCCTTGGTGGGGGACAAAGACAGTGCGCAACACGTCATAACAGGCCACGACATTCGTGATGCTTTCTCGCAGTAGGCCAGTGTCAATTGGGCCTGTGGAGTCCAGGTGGAAGTAATTCAGCATCCATCGCGACGCAAGCAGGCTGCCCCCGATGGCCTGGGTCTGGAAGTCGGTTGTTGGGAGGACATCGATGATGCTGGCTCGGGACACGCCTGCAACGCTGCAGACGTGGTCTCGGACGAATTGCTCAGCGTTCTCCTGGCCAAGCATGGAGAAGGGCTGGTAAGATTGTTCATCTGTAATGGCTCCCTCCTTCTTTGAGTCTGAGGAGGACATCTTGTCAACACTTGAAGCCGTGTCGGAGTCCTTGTATGATCGATCCAGGAGACAATCAAGCATTGACCCAAATCTTGGGTTTTTGAAGATGTCGGCCACGGTGAGATGAATGTCTAGCTCCCTAGCATCGCCCGCCATAGACATGGCGATAATGGAGTCACCACCAAGCTCGAAAAAGCTGTCTTCACAGGATACGGGAGCACTTCCAAGATCGAGAGTGTCTCTCCACAACGCCAACAGCTTGTGGTGGAGATGATTCCTGCCGCGGGTAAAGGGACGAGATGGAGCGGGCGGCGAGAACAACGTAGCACTGAGATCTGTCGAGGATTCGCTGCTTGTCAAGCTTTGAATTGTAGCCGCACCTTTTGAAGCGTCATGTTGAAATGTCCAGTGGCCAGCTTCATGCGTGTGCGTATACGCATTGGAAAGTAGCTGCGGGTCCTGGAAGAGCCGCAAATGGGAAACAGCAGCTTCGCTGTGATCGACGAAGTCGCTTAGCAGCATGGAAATGGTGAGAGCGAGATCCTGGGCTTGGAAATCTGAAAGAACATCTGTCCAATAGCGGAATACGATGCCTTCATCGCCGCGGGCGGTGTTGGCATTGAGGGTAACGGCATATTCACTTGGATCAAACGCCTCGACTGACTCATATGTGAGAGCGTTTGACTCCGAACCGCTCGACGAACCAGTATTTTGGATGGAGACAGCCGTGTTGAAAAAGCCTCGTTTCGCTTGACCCAATTCGTGGCTGACGCGAGCCAGAGAAAAGTGCTGGTGCGGTAGACTGGAGAGATAATCTTGTTGAGCTTGTAGGAAAAGTCTCTTGAGAGGCACGCTGGACGCAAACCGGAAGCGAAACACGAGCATATTAATCAGAGGACCAACGAGGTCGTCAATGCCGTCAATGCGGGCATCACGCCCAGAGGCGAGGTAGCCGAAGGCGACATCGTCAGATTTCGTGTAGCTTCGAAGCACGAGAGCCCATGCAACGACGATGATGTTGGACATTGTCACTCCAAATTCGCGACCAATCGAATGCAGCTCGGAAAATCGATCAAACTCGACCATGATAGAGCCTAGGCTGCGGCCAGCCGTAATGTCGGGATTGACTGTTGGAAACTCGGTGAACCGCGCTCCGGAGAGGTAGCTAGACCAGAATCTGAGGCTTGAATCAGTGGGCTGACTGGAAATATACTTGATGTATTCCTTGTAGGAAGGGACCTTGGTCGGAGGCAGGCTGTCGATGTATGCGTTTGATATGTCGCGCAGGATGACCGATGTCGAAGCACCATCTGTGACAGCATGATTCAATTCAAGCTTCATAAAGACTTTTCCTTGTGGGGTCTGGCAGATAGTGATTTGGTAGGGAAGCATCGGTTCGTCATTCCTCTTATTGGTCCTGTGAAGCGATCTGGCGTTCAATCTTGCCATGACGTCGATTTCCCGACACTCAATGACGGTGATGCGAGCCTCACGGGGCTTTAACACGACCTGGTCGAAGAAGCCGCCACCGTAGGTGCTCTCCACAAAGATGGTTCGCAGAGCAGGGTGACGATCAATGACTTTGTGGCAAGCCTGTGAGAGCTTCCCAGAATCAACAGTTGAGGAACTGGGACAAGTTACTTCGACGACAGTATGGAACAGATACTGGGATGGATCTCGGAGCTGACTGAGCAGTATACCTGTCTGCATTGGTGAGCAGGGATACATATCCTCAACCTCATCGAAGCGAACGTGAGCAGCAGGAAGAGATCTAGTGACGAGTTCCTGTAGCTCTGTGTAGTCGACGGGCATGAGAGGGAAGTCGCTGAGTGTGGGAGTAGAGGAGGCCTCGCTCAGCGTTTTTGCAATGTCGATGAGCACCTCCCCGCAGTTGGAAGACCACTTCTCGATGCGGTCTTGGTGGAGCATGTGCTTATTATGCATGAAGGAGAACTCCACGCCCTCGTCAAGAATCGATATGGAAACCTCGAACAAGGCCAGACGGCGAGTCTCAGGCGCGACGTCAGAGACGGCCGCTATCTCTCTGTCAGTCATGGACAAATCGAACGAGCTGAAGAGAGAATCGCCCTGGCTTGTCTGTTGAGTACGGCCGAGGAAATTTACCAAAACTTCCATGGGCTCATGATTGGCCAGATGGCGCTTCCCCGACTCGGTCAGGTAGCGGCGGGCAAAGTAAGGACGACCGTTGCTTGGGACGCTGCGGCGCATGTCTTTGACCTTGCGAACACAGTCGATGATACCATCGAGGTCGAGGTTGCGTCGAGACACATGAATGGGAGAAAGTGAGGTGAACCATCCGACCGTTTGGGAGAGGTCGATGGTATCATCCCAAGGCTCACGGCCGTGACCTTCGTTGAACAAGGTTGGGAACTCTCGCTCTGTGAAGATATTTCCGAAAGATTTGAGCAGAGCTGAGATGAACAGATCAAGAGGCTCAGTCTTGAGTGCCGTGTGGGAGTCACCCAGTACCAGAGAGACAATTTCGGAATCTGAAACGACAACGGCCTTCTTGATAACATCTCCATACACGTTGGCGGTGTTTGACATGCCCCAGAAGTCAAAATCGGCAGCTTGCACAGGGAATGGCAGCAGGCTGTCTCCATGTCTCTCAAGAGATCTGGCATGCTCGATCTGCGCTGCATTCCAATCCCGGAACGAGAAGGGCTTGGAGAATATTGGATTGGTAGCCGAAAGGAATGTCTCGAGGTCTTGGACGATATTGATCCAGGACACAATATCAACAACCAGATGGTGAGCTACGAGTGACACTGCTTGAGACCCATCAGGCTGTTCAAAGAGATCGACGATGAAGACGGGGCCGGAAATGTGGATACTCTTGTGGCTAGCGGCGAGAAGTGAAATCATGTCAGATCTCGCAACAGGCTTATGGGAGCGGAAGCTGTAGGAAGTGTCGATATCCGAAGCAATCTGCTGGGTCCACCGGCCATCGGAAGATCTCTTGAAGCGTGCGCGAAGCATTGGGTGTCTCTTGACGAGTGCGTGGACGGCATGCTCAAACCTGGATACGTCGAAGGGGCCCTTGATGGACAGGAGTTGGCTTTGATTGAAGCGGTCTCCGTAGTCCCTGTTGGAGCTGTTGTTGAAGAACAAGTGCTGGATTGGCGACAGCTCAAATTCGTCATTGGTTTGTTCTTCATGCTCAGGGACGCCATTCCGCATTTGTCGGTCTTCTGTCTCTATGAGCGCGGCTAGGTCATTGATTGACCTACCCCTCATAGCTTCCTGCATGGATAGTCTGATGGATTGGTCGCGGCAGCGAGTGATGATCTGAATCGCCGTGATGGAGTCACCGCCCTGGTACCCGTTAACTACCTGCTACGGATCCTAAAGTGATACATTCTGGAACATTCCAAAGCACAAAGATGGGGGAAGTGTAGCAGGAGAAGAATGGTACTCACAAGACTGATTAGGGAGCGGTTCATGGGCATTTCCTCCTCGGCAATGTTGAGGACTGACGCCCAGATACGTCTGAGTTGCCGTCCAACCGACGTCGTTTCGGAGACCACATCATCGTCGATGCTCTCTGAACTGATGGCAAGTTCATACGTGTCCTCGTCCATGTTGGCGAGCCATGTCCGAGCACTGGCCCTATCGAGCTTGCCAGACAGCAAGAGGGGAATAGTCTTAACCACAAACCAAGCCGATGGCACCATGTAAAGTGGAAGATTCTCGGACAGATGATTTTGCAGGGCGGAAACCTGTGTTCGAGCAATTTGCATCTCAGAAGCAGACACCGGGGTAAGTTCTGGCGATAAAAGGCTCGACTTCTCAGAGGAAACATCCTCGAGAGACACAATGGCCACTAGACGACCTTCGAAGACTCCGGACTCGGGTAGAGTGACGAAGGCCTGGCGAATGCGCTGGTCAGACTCGAGACGGGCTTCAATCTCGCCAAGCTCCATACGCTGGCCATTGAGCTTGACCTGGAGATCCTTGCGTCCTCTGTATTCCAATGTCCCATCAGGGTTATACTGGACCAGGTCACCCGTCTTGTACAGACGCAAGGTTTGTTGATGGTGCTCCTCACTGACGAAGTGGTGCATCCACGCAGGGTTTTCGATGAACGACTCAGCCGTTTTTGCACCGTCGTTCAAGTAGCCTCGCGAAACGATAGGGCCGCTGATGAGCAATTCACCTGTACAGCCCACGGGCATAAGGCGATTGTGATCTCTGGGGTCGACGACCCACGAATGACCGCCGTTCATAGCGTGGCCGATATTTGTGAATTCTTTGGTGAACGAGACGTCGGTGTTGGCAACGGCAAAAAAGGTACACTCGGCTGGCCCGTAGCCGTTCATCAGCTCGACCTTGTCGGCCCAAGTGCTAATCGTCTCCGATGTCATGGCCTCGCCTCCGCAGACGAGTGTCTGCAGTGTTTTGAACTTGGAGGGATCCTGGATACTAGCAACCGAGGGTGTCAAGAAGGCCCAAGTGGCTCCAAGGGTGTTCATGGCCCCTGGTAGATCTATCATCCTCGATTCCTCACTGGGAACGCAGAGACAGGCACCGCTGGTGAGGGCTCCAAACGTCTCTGCCATTGCAATGTCGAACGCATAAGAAGTGAAGTGGAAGACACTAGACGCCGAAGTAAGCTTCATGCGGTGCATGAAAGCCTTGGAACTCGCACAAAACGATCCATGGTCAATCACGATGCCCTTTGGCTTTCCGGTACTGCCAGAGGTATAGATGACGAATGCGGCATCTTGACTTGCAACGGTTGGCAGATCCTGCGGTTTGATATCTTGAGGGAACAGATCGGCAGAAAACAAGTCGCTATTGACCAAGATGACAGATTCGACAAGGCCATTGAAGCGGTCCTGATATTGTGGTGAACAGAGAGCAACACGGGCCTCACAGTCGCGAACAATTTCTGCGTGGCGAGCGGGGGGTTGCGCAGGGTCTAAGGGGACGATGGCACCCCCAGCGAGTATCACGGCAAGCATTGAGACCGTGGTCCAGAGAGATTTGTCCATACAGCACGGAACCAGCGTCTCAGCCCGTACTCCCCTCTGAACGAGTAGCTTGGCGAGGTGGCCGGCGTACTGTGCAATGGCGTCGTAGCTGAGATGACCATCCCAAGCGCGAATGCTGGTAGCATTCGGCTGCCTGGCGGCTGATTGCCAGAACAAGGTGGGGATGCTTTCTTGGACAGGCTCGAAAGTCCAGTGGTTCCACTCTTTGATCATCTCGACATCTTCTTGACCGTAGAGTCGAAGTTCGGAGACCTTGCTGGTGGGCTCTCGCGACAGACGGATGAGCTGCCCTACCACAGCCTCGAACTGATGAGCCATGCGCTTCACTTGCCAGCTTTTCATGACTGCCTCGTCGTGATGGACTACCAGGACTAAATCATGGGCCTCAATAAAGCACTCGACGACCAGCGGGTACGTGAAGAAGTGTGACTGCTCGGCTTCGTTTTCCATTGGCTTCAACAAGTCCTCTTGACTCGTTACTTCACCGGCAGACTGGATAACCAGCAGGTTCCTGAAGTCGCAGGCAACTGCCATAGCGCCCCCTAGGCGCTTGATATTTTGGAGACCAGCATGCTGATGAGGAATCACCCCAATTGCCTGATCATGAATGTTCCTCAGGAACTGGCCAACAGTAGCGTCCCGATCGATCTGAATTCTCGAAGGCACGGTGGTCAAGGTTGGACCAATGATATCTTCTACATGGTCAAGATCAATGTCACGTCCAGACAAAGTCTCGCCGAAGACAACGTCATCAGAGCCGGCTTGAGAACCCAGGACAAGCGCCCAAGCTGCACGGACGAGTGTCGCGTTAGTTACGTCCACGCCGAGATTGTCTTTGTCGTACTGAATAGTGTATTTCAGTGATGCACTGGATGATTGAGCACCAGTTGTAGAGGACATAGTTGGGAAATGAGTTGCAGGAGAAGTGCCTTGGAACCTGGCCTTCCAGAACTCATCAGAGGCTTGTGCATCGATGTCGGCCAAGTACTTGGCAAAGTTGGCAAATGGAACGGCCGATTTCAGTCTTTCAGAACCGCCTCCGTGGTAAAATTGCGAAACCAAGTTTAGCACAGAAGGCATACTCCAAGCGTCGTATAGCGCATGGTGGACGGTCCACACCAAGTAGCGGGGACCAGAACCAGCCGAATTGGCAATTGCGTACCTGGCTAGGACGCCGCCATTCCGTTCTGGAAGTGATCTGATATTGTCATTGGCAGATCCCAGGCTGCTGTAGTTTTCCCACTCGATTTCATGCGGCTCGAGAATGGCCAGATAGGACTCGAGCGACTGGCTGTTGACGACGCGCGATCTCAGGACGTCGACTTGGTCCACAGTCCGTTGCCACGCAAGCTTCAAACGGTCAATGTCGACACTAAAAGGCAGCTCAAAGATATTTCTGGCCACGTATGCGCCTGGATTCTGCATAGACGCAGCCACAAGCCCCTCTTGAAGCGAGCTACACGGGTACACATCTTGAATTTGGCTCCTCTGCACGCCACAGCGTTCTGCGAGCTCGCCGAGAAGCAGAGAGGGGGACGCAACGCCTCTCAGCAGCGACAAACGCTCCACGACAGTGGCGGAATCCCCATTGGAGCGTTTGCATGATGTTGCCATATCCGAGAGGACGGGGTTCTCAAAGACATTCTTGGCGGTGAGGACAACGTCCTCCATCCTCGCGGCGGCGACAAGCTTCATGGCGCCAATTGAATCGCCGCCCAGCCTGAAAAAGCTGTCGTCTCTGCTTATGCTTTCGGGCTCGATATCCAGGACCTTGGCCCAGACTTTCTGCAGTCTGCGTTGCATCGACGTGGTGGCGGCTCTGTTTGTGCTGACCCCGGCGAGCGTGTAGGGGGCCATCTGCTGGGCCGTTATAGACTGAGCAATGGCCTTGAGCCTTTGGCGGTCTAGCTTGGCGGCCAGAGTCCATGGCATCTTGTTCACGGGGATGTAAAGGGTTGGCACCATGTGCGACGGCAGAGCGCGAAGTGCCGTCTTAAGCGACTGGCAGAGTGTGGCGGAAGCACTTGACGCGGGCAGGAGAATTGCATCCGTCTCCCTGGATGCCGAATCCTCAGCCTTGTCGCCGCTGGTGAAGAACACCGCCAGGGCCTTGGTCGACGTCTTTCTCTGGGGAACCACAAGGTCCACAGCTGACTGGACGTCGGCTGGTAAGTTGGCTTTGACGTGGTGTTCGATCTCGCCGACTTCAATACGCTGTCCGTTGAGCTTGACCTGAGTGTCGTTTCGTGCGATATAGGTGAGGGAGCCATCCGGGTTGTACGCGACTAGATCGCCAGTCTTGTACATACGGTCTACGCGGCCGCCAGCGAGGTTCATAGCTGCACGCCATGGTGGATGCTCGATGAATGCATCCCTTGTCTTAGCGTCATTGCCCAGGTAGCCTCTCGCGACGATGGGCCCTTCGATCAGGAGCTCACCAATGCTGCCAATGGGCGTGAGGCGGTTATGGTTACGCGGATCGACGATCCAACAACGGCACCCGACAGCATGCCCAATGGTGGCAGGTTCCCGGTTTAGGACCTTTCCGTCATGGTCGACTTTGGTGCTTGCCGCAGCAATGACAGATGCCTCGCTGGGCCCATAGGCGTTTATAAGAGCCGCGTGGTTTGCCCACTTGGTGATGTGATTTGTCGACATTGCTTCACCGCCAGTAACGAGTACCTTGAGGGTTGGAATGCTATCTGGTTTTAGCACACTTGCCACGGCTGGTGTAAGCAGGGTCCAGTTGACATTCAACTTGGTAATCACAGCAGCCAGGTTATTGAGGCGTTCCTGGTCGCTGGGAATGCAGATGCAACCGCCCACTAACAAGGTAGACAGGATCTCCATGACGCTAGCATCGAACGTGTGCGACGCGAACTGCAGCACACGAGATGTAGAAGTCATCTTGATAGCTTTGGCATGAGCCGTGGCCCCAGTGGTGAAGGCCCCGTGCTCGATAATTGTGCCCTTTGGAAGACCGGTGGTGCCTGAGGTGAAGATGATATAGGCCGGATGGTTAGGTCTAACCTGGACTCGAAGCGAGGCTTCCAGTAGGTCAGGTAGCCGTGATACCGTCTCCGGGGCGACAGCAAGAGTCGGGAGGCCCAAGTTTTCAAACTTGTGCGTCAAGGAAGATGAGCAAAGGATTAGTTTAGCATCAACGTTGTGGACGATAAAGCTGATTCGCTCAGGCGGGTAGGTAGGGTCCAAGGGGACAAAAGCGCCGCCAGCCTTGAGAACCGCCACCATGGCGACGACTGTCCATGCCGATTTTTGGAAGCAAAGAGGGACGTATGTATCCGGCCTGACCCCGAGAGACACCAAGTGCTGGGCGAGCTGCGAAGCCGCCGCGTCTAGCTCGAGGTAGGTGAACCTTGCATCCCATGCCTCGATAGCTGGTGTCTCATCTGGTCGCTGTCGAACATTGTGCTCAAAGACGTGATGCACGCACTCGTCCAAGAACTCAGGTTCGGCATTGTTCCATGCGACCAGCTGTTCCGAGCAGTGGTCACTGAGCGTATGGAGTTCTCCTGTCGGCACCCCCAAGTCGCACGTCACAATCGAAGTCAGAATTCTGTCAAGCGTGGAAGCAATGTTCCTGGCCTGTGAATCTGGAATCTTGTCTGTCCAGTAGCACAGCTGCAGCTCCACACTCGAATCCCAAACTTCGGCGTTGATGACCAAGTCGTATTCACTAGGATCATGCGCGTCACTGACGTCGAACGAGACGGGTCCCGTTGCCATGGACTTGGAGACAGATCTTCTCTGGAAAGAGTAGGCAGTGTTGAAGAGAGGCTCATTGGCAGTACCCATCGCGTGTTGCAAGTCAGCAAGCGAGACGTGCTTATGATTCATCGCGGCTGCGAGGTCTTCCTGGGCAGTCTTGAGGACATCACCGAGGCTGGTAGAGGGGCTGAGACGCACTCGGCACACCAGCATGTTGAGATAGACGCCGACTGCCTGGTCAATGTCGCAGACCGGGATGTCCCTCCCAGCGACCAGATAGCCAAACAAGACGTCGTCAAGACCCGTGTATGCTTGAAGGACTAGCGCCCATGCCAACTGCAGTACGTTGGATAATGTGACACCTCTTTCGGTGCAAAAGGCTTGGAGTTCAGCCACGTGGGAGATACGCCAGTCAAGCGCTCGCAAAGTCTTAGGCTCTGCGGCTCCGCCAGTTCGTGATGGTAGATAACAAGGCTCAGCTCCAGTCAGGTATTCCTTCCAGTAATCGACGTTCTGAGAGCCCCGGCTTCGCTGCAAGTAAGCGACGTAGTCCCTGTAAACAGAAAGACCCGTTGTGGCCAAGGTGCCTTCGTACGCCAGCGCCAGGTCACGGAACAGAATTGGGATCGAGGATCCATCGGCGATTGCATGGCTCATCTCTAGAACGCAGTGCATCGTTCCTTCGGAATCCTTGAAGATGTTGAGACGGTGGGGTGGTTGGTCGGCGGGAAGACCTAGCAGCGAACGTTGACCAGGTCTTTGAGCTAGCTCGCTGTCGGAGTGCTCGAGGAAAGCAATGTTAGCGAGATGCTTCCTCAGAACCACTTGGTCCATTACGCCCTCCTGTAGTAAACTGTCCACAAACACGGTTCGAAGAGTCGAATGACGTTGTACCACATGTTGCCAGGCATCAGCTAGGCGTTGCACGTCCACAGCATCGCCCGGTTGAGCGCATCTCACCGAAAAGGTGATCGAGTACGAGTAGCATTCGGGATCTCGTATCTGGGTAAAGAGGATGCCCTGCTGTACCGGAGAGCACGGGTACGCGGCTTCGATGTCGTCAAGATGAGCAATGCCGATTTCAGTGAGCTTTCGTTTGATCTGGGATTCTCCCTCAAAAGCTAGAGGAAGAAGAGACAAGTCAGGAGTTGGCCGTTCATGTCTGATATCGGATAGCCTTTGCATAGCCTGATGGATAGACCTCTTGCAAGCCGCCATCCAACTTGGAATACAAGATTGGCGATTCATGTGGCGATTGAAAGAGAAGCTGAAGCTTAACCTGTTACCAGAGAAGGCGGCCGAGATCTCAACGAGTGCGAGGCGAGGTACATCAACCCCAATGTCGGTTTTTGAACTCGCAGACTCCAACATGCTTCCACCAAGCGACGTGAACACCGAGTCTTCGGACTTGTTCCGCCCTGTCTGGCCGAGGAAGTTAAAAGCCACTTCCAGGGGCCACTCCCGGGCACGCGTCTGACTCTGGTGAGACAGCATGTTGTGAGCAAAGTAAGGACGGCCCTTGCCGGGAAGCTTTCGCCTAAAGTCCCTTACCCAGCGCACAACATCGAGAATGTCTGGCTCGGATGGCAAGGACTCGGGCAGGTAGATGGGGCAAAGGGTGGTAAACCATCCAATGGTGCGTGATAAGTCCAGTTTGTCATCCCAAGGTTCTCTGCCATGACCCTCATTGAATATCGATGGCACTGTGGGGCGGTCTGAAAAGGTCTGGCGGAAAGATACCAACAGAGAGGCTAACAAGATGTCGACAACATCGGTATCAAGGGCGTCGTGACAAGGACCCAAGAGTAGAAGCGAGTCATCGGTGGTTATCTCCATTATCTCGGTGATTGAGTCTCCGTGAATGTTCGGTACGCCTTGCATTCCCCAGTATGAGAGATCTTGTCGAGGCGCCGGAACGTCGTGGAACACATGTTCGAGTGCCGTCTTGTGAGCTTCCTCACGTTGCAGAGAGAGCCAAGCCTGGAATGAAAGTGGTTTGGCGGGGCTGTAGGTTGCTGACGACAAGAGTCCCTCCAGGTCTTGCAGGATGATATTCCAAGACACTACATCGACAACAAGGTGGTGGGCGACAAACGAGACGATTTGATCGCCGGTTCCCTCCACCTCAAAAATGTCCGCGCCAAAGAGAGGTCCATCGTAGATGTTCAAAGACTTTTGGCTCTCTTCGATCAATGAAGAGAGATGACTCTGGTCGACCTTCCCATGCGATCGGAGGGTGTATGAGCCAGTGACGTCGCTAGTTATACGCTGATACCAGTTTTCATTGGCAAGCGAAAAGCGAGCACGGAGCATGCTGTGTGTCTTGATGATGGTTTCCAAAGCTGACGATAGCTCCCGGGGAGTGATTGTACGTGTAGTTCCCAGAAGCAGGCTCTGGTTGAAATGAGTAGAGTCAGTTCCGAAACACTCAAAGTACACCTTCTGGATGGGCGACAAGTCAACACTCATTCTCCTGCTCCTGGTCATGCACAACTTCCTCGGCGGCGGTGACACAAGACGCGAGCTCGACGATGGACTTGCTCTTCATGATCTGACCAACCGAAACGGCCATGTTCAAGGAGCGGCAGACAGCCATCAGCTGCATTGCCGAGATGGAGTCGCCTCCCAGATGGATAAACGATCGCTTGAATGGCACCGAATCCACCTTGACGTTGAGAACCTTGGCCCAGGCAGCCCGGAGCTTGACCTCCACCACTGATGCTTCTCTGTCGAGAGCAGATGTCGTTTCCTGTGCGTCGAGAACCAGCTGGTAATGTTCGGGAGTCATCCTCTCGACCCAGTTCACAACACGCCTGCGGTCAAGCTTGCCGGATGGGAGGAGATGGATGCGGCCCACGACGATCCACGCGGATGGAATCATGTAAGCTGCCAGATGTCCTGCTAGACTCTCATGAATGCGTGTTATTTCAGAGCAAGAATACTTTCCCACGAGCTGCATCTCTTCATCTTGCACCATACCTCGGTGGATACCGGCAAGTGACTGCAGAGATAGGACGGTGACTAGACGCCCCTTGAAAGGGCCAGACGATGGAACAGCCGCCAGGCTATTCTGAACGAGAGGATCTGCGCTGAGATGGTGTTCGACTTCAGACAACTCGAGTCTCTGACCATTGATTTTGACTTGAGTATCTTTTCTCTTTTGGAAGAGAATGGATCCATCTTCGCTGAGCTTGACCAGATCTCCAGTCTTGTACATCCTGCGCTCAGTGCCTTGAGCTGTGCCAGGGAACTGGCTGCACCATTTCGGGTTGGTGATGAAGGATTCTGCAGTCTTCTGGGGATTCTTGAGATAGCCCTCAGCGAGGGTTGGGCCCTCCACCACAAGCTCACCGACGGCGCCGATGGGCATCAGTCTGTTGTGGTTGGTCGCATCGACGACCCAACAAGAACCTCCCACTGCATGACCGATATTGGAAGGGCCGGATGCAAGTGTGACGGTTGGGTTGACGGTAGCGACGACGGCAGCTTCACTAGGTCCGTACGCGTTTATCAACTGGACGGATGACGCCCAGGACGAGATGTGAGCAGAGGACATGGCCTCGCCTCCAAGCACCAGTGTCTTGAGCCCAGGGACGAGGGATGGCGAAATCAGCTGGGCAACTGAGGGCGTCAACAAGGCCCAGTTGACTTGCAAATCATTGATAGCGCCCGCAATATCATGAATGCCCTTGGGCACACAGACAATGCCACCATGAATAAGAGTAGTCAAGATCTCCATAATGCTGGCGTCGAAAGTATAAGAAGCAAATTGCAAGACACGAGATGACCTGGTCATGCCCATGGCAGAACCATGGGCTGTAGCACCAGTGCAAAAGGCCGAGTGGCCAACGATGGTTCCCTTGGGTTTCCCAGTTGTGCCGGAAGTAAAGATGACATAGGCCGGGCTATTGGTAGAAAGAGAAACCGTCGGCTTCTGGGGCGGTGAGATGCCGTGGACAAAGTCTGGTGAAACCTGGATCACGTTTGGTCCAAGATGCTCCAGACGCTCAGCATACTGGGGGGAGCAGAGCACAACGGTGGCGTCGACATCGGCAAGGATGCCGTTGATTCGGGCGTCGGGATGTGCAGGGTCCAAGGCAACAAAGGCAGCACCCGACTTGAGGATGGCCAGGATGGAGATGACGACAAGAGACGATTTGTCCATGCAAAAGGGAACGATGGAATTGACTTGAACGCCGCTCTCGACAAGCACGCTCGCAAGACGCGTAGATTGAGAGTCCAGTTCCGAATAGGTGAGGCTCTGATCCCATGCGCAGACGGCCAGCTTGTCTTGCGCTTGAGTGAGACCCTGAGCCTGGATGACCTCGTGTATGAGTCGGTCCACGGGAGGTGTTGCTGAACTATTGAGCTCCCGCAGCGTCTGAATATCATGGGGGGTCAGCATGGCCAGGTTGCCGATCTTCTCGTCCCTCAGCTCAGGTATCGATACGGAATGCAACATCAAGGCGAAGTGGTCCATGACGCGCCGCATGTGCGACTCTGGAATAATGTCCTGGTCAAAGTGCACAACAGTCTCAAGCTCGGAGTCTCCAATGTGGCACGAGAGCATGAGGGGGTATGAGTAGAAGTTTGTACCAGCCATCTCGTTGGTCTGCTCGTCCCAGAAAGAATCTGTCAACTCTCGTGAGCCGTGATTGATGGCTATGAGGTTCTGCGCGCCACACGCAAGGGCAGTGTCAGCGTTGATGCGCTTGATGTGTTGAATGCCGGTATACTGATGCCGTCTCACAGCTGCTGACTGAGCTTGGACGTAGCCGAGAGTCTCAGCAACCGTATGCGAAGAATCCAACACCACTCGCATCGGCACAGTCGCCAACGTCGCGCCAACCATCTCCTCGATTCCAGGAACAGGAGCATCACGCCCCGTGAGAGTTTCCCAGAACACGACATCATTTGCTGCCGAGTAGGTGGAAACCGTCAGTGCCCAAGCTGCGCGGATTCTCGTGGCGGTAGTAATCTCGGATCTAGACTGATGGCTCAACTCTGCCTTGTGAATCAATAGACTGCTCGCGCTTGCCTGATAATCAGGGCTGGGCAGGCGCGGGAAGTGCTGGGTCGAGGTGTTGGATAGGTGGGACTCCCAGAACTCGTGCGCTCGATCCATGTCAACTTCTGCAAGATATTGGATGAAGTTGGAGTATGAAGGGCCGTTGAGCTGTGCGGGACTCGGGACCTCCTGGTAGCATCGCTTAATCTTGTCTAAGATTAGAGGCAGACACCAACCGTCGTAGAGTGCATGGTGGATAGCCCAGACGAATGATACTCCAGTGGAACCATTGTTGACAAGGTTATAATTGGCCAATCTCCCGCCATTATGGAGTGGAAGCTGACGCCAGGACTCTTCCACCTCGCCGAGGCTGGCCACAGTGGACCACTGGGGGGCATCCTCGGCCACCACAACCTGCACAAACCCGGTATCCTCGGTATGAACAATCCTTGTCCTTAGTGTCGGTTGGGCTTGGACTACGAGATCACAAGCCTTCTTGAACCTGACGGTATCTATGTCATCCGGAAGGCGGTAGACGAGTTGCGCAACATATGCCCCTGGCTCCCTGATCGAGAGGGCCACGAGACCCTCTTGTGTTGGGGTGCAAGGATAGATGTCCTGAATGGCTTCAACATCGACGTGAGCAATTGCCGCAACCTCTCGCTTCAGTACATCCACCGAAGCCAAGTTGGATAACAACGAGAAAGGTTGGACGGCCGTGGCGACAGCCTTGGTGACGGGGTGTGCTGAGTGGGCCATGTCCAGCAAGGTTGCCTTTTCGAAGATGCTAGCCACGGTCAAAGTGATGTCAGACTGTCGTGCGAGCGTTACCAGTCGCATTGCGCCGATTGAGTCACCTCCAAGCCTGAAGAAATGATCTTCGACTCCAATTGACGATGCGTCAATGTTAAGCACATGGGCCCACATGGCAGCCAGCTGTTTCTCCATCTCGCTGGATGGGGCCCTGCCAGACTTCAAGGCGAGCTTGTAAGAGGTCATGAGCGATGCCGGAACCACCCGTGCCAGCAGTCGGAGGCTACCCCTGTCCAGCTTCCCGGACGCAGTCAGGGGCATCTTGTTGATGGGCAGCCAAACGGATGGAACCATGTAGGCGGGAATCAGGGTAGACAGAAGCACCTCCAAGTCTTTGAAACGAGCCCTGTACGCGTCTTCCATGTCCAGGATAATGCTTTCGTCGCTGCTGTCGGCAAGGGAGGCGTCTGCATCGGCGCAAACGAAGCAGGCTAGCGATTTCCTGCCCTCTGGGAAGATCAACTCAACAGCAGATATCCAGCCCTCGGGAAGGTTCTTTTGTATGTGGTGCTCAATCTCTCCAAGCTCGATGCGCTGGCCGTTGAGCTTGACCTGGTGATCCTTTCTTCCAAGGTAGGTGAGGGTGCCATTGGAATTATAGCGTACCAGGTCGCCGGTCTTGTAGAGCTTTCGATCCGGGTTGCCGCCATGCGATGTTGTTCTTTCCAAACAGGCAGGTGGAGGTATAAAAGACTGTGCCATCCTTCCGGGCAGATTCAGATAGCCTCGGGAGACGATGGGGCCGTCGATGAGGAGCTCTCCCACGCAACCAATTGGAACTAGAGAATTGTGATCGGCTGCATCCACAACCCAAGCAACACAACCGATGGAGCGTCCAATGTTTGTGGCTTTGCCTGGATGTGCAATGTCGCCAGAGTAGGTCGAGTTGACGGAGCACTCTGAAGGCCCGTAGCAACACTGCAGAGACACAAAGTCGCGCCACATATCAACACATGTAGTAGTCACAGCTTCGCCGCCCAGAGCTAGCGTCTTCAAGGTCGGAAGTTCGGCTGGCTGGAGGAGGCACGCGACAGTTGGGGTTATATCGGCCAAGGTGACCCCGTAGCGGTTTATTGCTCCGGCCAAGTCATTCAGCCTCTCGTGGTCCGAGGGCACGCATACGCAGCCTCCACGAGTAAGTGTGGTGAATATCTCGGCAATACTGTTGTCGAACGTGAGGGAGGCGAACTGCAACACCCTCGAGTCTTTCTCGTAGCCCAGCTTGGGACCCGAGTACTCAGCATTGGTGGCAATCCCCCTATGCTCAAGGACCACACCCTTGGGTCTGCCCGTGCTGCCCGAGGTGTAAATGACGAAACAGGCGTTATGGGGTGTGACTTGGGGAACAGCAAGGTCGGGCATTATAGACAGGGTCTGGAGCAGCTGGGCGTCCACGGCCACTGTTGTCTCGGCCATGGTGCTGATCCTGGACGCCATCGAAGGTGCCACGAGGGCTACAGAGGCACCTGTGTCCTCGGCACGAAGCCGCAACGCAGCATCAGGATGCGCTGGGTCCACAGGCACGCATGCGCCGCCAGCCTTCAAGATGGCCAGCATGGCGACTATGGCAAAAGCAGACTTGTCAAAGCAGACCAGCACAAAGTCTTCCAGGCCGACACCCAAGGAACTGATGTGAAGGGCGAGCTTGGTAGAGGCGTCATCAAGCTCAGCATAGGTAAAGCCCATGTCCCATGAGGCAATCGCGGGAGCGTCAGGACGCGAAATCGCCTGCTGCTTGAACAAGTCGTGAAGGCAGCTTTCAATGGCTTCAGGAATCTGCTGGTTCCACTGGCAGAGCTGCTGACGGTGCCAGGAGGCGAGATGCTCGAGCTGCGCAATGGGTTGATCGCAATGATGGAGCACGTTGCTGAGCGCCTGGGTAAAAGTGCTGGCGACGTTTGCGGCATGCCCGTCTGATAGGGTATCGGACCAGTACATCAAGTCAATGGCCATGTTGTCCTCGTCCGCCTCGATGTTGACAGACACGTTGTACTCGTCAGGATCATAAGTTGGGCGGCACTCCTCAAACAAGAGGTCCGGGGGGTTCTCTGGAGTACGCGGCAGCTTTCTGTACGATAGTGCTGTGTTGAACAGGGCAGAATCGGAGAGCTGCAGTGCGTGCTGGACTTCGGCCAAGGAAATATGGCGGTATTCCAGGCTGTCCAGGTAATCCCTCTGCACGAGGCTCATGACGTTCCCCAAAGTGGTGGAGCTGCCAACGTTGACGCGGCATGACACCATGTTGATCACCGGTCCGATAACATCCTGGATGCCCTCGATCTGAGAGTCACGAGCAGATGTGAGATAGCCGAAGCAGACCTCCTCCGAGGCGGTATAGAGACGCAGTGTCAGTGCCCAAGCTGCGTAGATGGCGTTGACAATGGTGACTGCCCGATCGTCACACAACCGCTGCAGCTCGGCCATCTCGTCAAACCTGACCCTGAGGTGTCTCAGTTCCTTTGACTCCACAACATCGCCGTCGTCGAGGACGGGGAAGTGGCACGGCTCGACCCCCGCGAGGTGCGACTTCCAATAGTCGATGCCGGGTTGGACAAGCTGTCCTTGGAGGTGCTTGACGTAATTCCGGTAAAGTGGACCATCGCGGGATTCAAGAGTCCCCTCGTATGCCATGGCGAGGTCCCGAAAGAGGATTGACAGAGAAGTACCGTCCATAATCACGTGACTGATATCAAGTCTGCAAAAGACCTTGCCGCTCTTGGATGTACAAACTTCGAAGTGGTGCAGCAGATGAGAATTGTCTTTCTGATGCAGAGGCGATGCGCTCAGAGCAGTGAGTGCCTCTTCTTCTGTATCCTTCTCAGACACGATGAGCGGAAAGTTGACTTCTTTGAGGACGACCTGGTCGTAGGGAGAATCTTGCTGGGTCAGGCTCTCGACAAAGATGGTCCTGAGCATAGGGTGGTACTCGATCATGTGTTTCCAGGCAGCGGCAAGTTTCGTCACGTCCACTGGCAAACCGCTTCTGCTCTTGACCTCGTGGAGTGTGTACGCAGCATAAAAGGCGCTGTTCTTTGTCGTGCTGATCAGGAGTCCTGCCTGTAAAGGAGAGCAAGGGTAGATATCCTCGACTTGATCCATGGATCTTACTCCAGCCTTGGGAAGCGTTTCTTCCGTCAGTAGCCGAAGGCTGTCGTATGTCAGGGAGAGAAGTGGGAAGTCGCTCAGCGTGGGTTCAGGGGCCAAGGAACTCAAAGTTTCAATCAGGGCGCTGAGGCTGCTTTTGCAGGAAGTAATCCACCGGCGGATCTCGGGCTGGTGGTTCATGTGTTGATTGAAGACAAAAGAAAACCGGAGAGATCCCCTGAGAATGACGGCAGAGACTTCGAAAAGAGAGATGCAAGGTGTTAGAGGACCGACATCTGCACCCTCGGCCGCACCCTTGACTTCTCCGGCAATGTCCCCCAAAGGAGTAAAGAGAGCACCCTCACGTTCCAGCTGCTGATACTGGCCAAGGTAGTTGAACGTAATCTCCAGTGGCCAGTGACGGGAAAAGGAGTCTTCACCCGCCTTTGTCAGCCAGCGGCTCGCAAAGTAAGGCCTTCCGCTGTCGGGAATTTTGCGTCGTCCGTCTTTGACCAGCTTCACGGTGTCAACAAGACTAGACTGTGATGTCCATCCAGCAGCAAAGACGGGGTAGATGGTCGTGAACCACCCAACCACGTTGGACAGGTCAATGGAAGCGTCCCAGGATTCCCGGCCGTGGCCTTCGGCGAACACGGCTGGGATCGATCGGTCGGTAAATGTCTGGCCAAAAGAGAAGATCATGGCTGCCATAAGAACATCGGGAATCTCGGTGCGCAACGACTCGTGGCATTTTGACAAGAGGAGCAAGGTTTGCGCAGGTCCAATTTCAAAGCCTTCGCGGGCCATCTGCCCGTAGACGTTCGGTGCGTCCCCCATTCCCCAGTACTCGGTGTTCCCATCAGGAATGCCATGGATTGGCAGAACCTGCTCCGGAGTCTGAGTCTCGGCATGTTCCAACTGCATCTTGCACCAGGCCTGGAAAGGCAGAAGACGGCCCGCATCAGGGAGTGGGTCGTCAGGTTGTAGCAGAAGCTCTTCTAGCTCCTGGAGGATGATTCGCCAGGAAACAAGGTCAATCACCAGATGGTGCGCCACGACGAACAAGAGCTCCTCTCCCCCGACCACGCGAATGAGGTCAGCAGCAAAGATGGGACCCTGAGTCACCTCAAGGCAAGTCTGGCTGTCGACAAGGGCGTGGTCAACCTGGTCGATCGAAGCCAAATTAAGGGTCCGTAACCGATACGAAGATGCAACCTCGTTGGTAACACGCTGCTGCCATTTGCCGGCGGGGTCCTGACTGAACCTGGCACGCAGCATCGACCGTCTCCGTACAACAGTCTCAATTGCCCTGCGCAGGTCCGGCTCAGGAATGCGCTGGCTCGTGCGAAGGAGAAAGCTCTGGTTGTAGTGGCCCTGGGCGTGGTTGGGTCTGGAGAAGTAGAGTTTCTGGATGGGTGAGAGCTCGAACGGCTGTTCCAGAATCTCCTGGTGGAACAGCTGCCTGTCGATGTCCTTGACTTGTAATGCCAGCGCACTGATTGATTTGCTAGCAATAATTTGTGAGACGGTCAGGCCAAGGCCGCGTTTTCTGCATTCGCTCATGACTTGCATCGCAGAGATGGAGTCACCGCCGACGCTCAAGAAGGACTGTCGGAGACCAAGCTGTTCGGCCTTGAGGTTCAGAACGTGCGTCCAGATTTTGTGTAGCTCCAATTCGGTCTTGCTGGAGGACACGAGAGCCTCAGAGGACCCAGTGGCAGTGACAGGGTTTAGCTGTCGGTACAGCTCCTCGCTCATGTCATCAACCCACTTTGCAGTCTGCTTGCGGTCGAGCTTCCCCGACTGAAGACGGGGGATGAACTCGACGGCGAGCCACATGGAAGGGATCATGTACAATGGAAGCCTCTCGGTAAGCAACTGCTTTGCCTCGGAGACTTTTTCTCGCGCAACATCCTCGAGTTCACCATCAATCAGCTTGTAAGGCCGACCCTTGGGCACGAGGTCTTGGTTCATATTGTCGCTCAGCTGAACAATGGCCAAGAGCCGACCTTTGGAGAAACCCTCTTTGGCCAGGACGACCATGCCATGCTTGATACTAGGACTGATGTTGAGATGTTGCTCGATCTCTCCCAGCTCTATACGTTGTCCGTGGAATTTGATTTGTGTGTCCTTCCGTCCTCTGATGTGTAAAGTCCCGTCATGGTTATACTGGACGAGGTCGCCCGTCTTATACATTCGTCTGGGGCCGACCCGCCCTGGCTGGTTTTGTGTCCATGCAGGATCGACAATGAAAGCCTCGCTCGTCTTCTCGGGCTCCTTGTAATACTCCCGCGCAAGTGTGTGGCCCTCGATAACCAATTCACCGACCGCCCCAACGGGCATCAGTCGGTCGTGATTGTATCGATCAACAACCCAACAATGAACGCCGACTTGATGGCCGATATTCAATGGGTCCTTTCCTTCCCTCATGCCTCTGTGGACGTGTGAGACAACAGACGTCTCAGCAGGGCCATAGCAGTTGATGAGGTTGATGTGAGACCATGAGCGAATAACGGCTTGCGTCATAGCCTCTCCACCAGTGACGAGTGTCTTCAACGACGGCACATTGTCAGGGTTTATGAATTTGACAAATGTCGGCGTGAGCAGCGCCCAGTTGGCCCGGAGCTGGGTAATGGCATCCTCGATGGCATTTAGCCGGGCGTCTTCGCTGGGTATGCAGACACAGCCGCCTAGGATCAAGCACGTGAGGATCTCCGTGATGCTTACATCAAAGGTAGAGGCGGCGAAGTGTAGTGATCTTGTGTTGTGATCCATCATCAATGCGGGTCCATGGGCAAGGGCACTCGACAACAAGGCCACATGCTCAATCAACGCACCCTTGGGCTCGCCGGTGGTGCCGCTCGTAAAGATCATGTAGGCACCGTTGTTGGATGAGCCAAAGCTGACGTCGCCATGGTGCTCTGGTAGGCTTTTGAACAACTGGTCGTCCACGGTGATCAACTCGGTTGCCACGCTCTCTAGCATAGCCTGGTGCTGGGGAGAACACAAGATAGTCGTGGCTTGCACCTTGCTTGCCAGGGCACGAAGGCGCGGTAGAGGGTGTGTAGGATCTAGAGGCACAAAGATGCCGCCCGCCTTGAGCACTGCCAACATTGCCACGACAGTCCACTTGGACTTGTCGAAGCAGATCGGCACAAAGAGCTCGGGACCGATACCGGAGGTTTGTAGCCGACAAGCAAGGCGATTCGAGAGAGACAAGAGTTGTGCGTATGAGAAGCTTCCATCCCAAGCGCAAACCGCGTCTGCATAGGGTCGCAATGTTGCCTGCTCCGACACGGCTTGGTGTATGCACTGCTGCACATGACTCTGTGGGTCGCTGTTCCACGCTAAGACTTGCTGCTCATTCTTCTCGCCAAAGTAGTCAAGGTCTGAGATGAGTCTTTCTGGTTGATTGACGATTTCACTGATGATCTTGTCGTATGTATTGCTGACGTTCCTCGCCTGTTCTCCAGTCATGAAGCCGGGATCCCACCAAATGACGGTTTGTAGGGTGACAGGGTCCACGAACATGCGGATCTTGCACCATGAAAGAGAATCTTGTCTCTTCTTTTGATTCGGGTCATCATCGTTGCTCGGCTCGTGGGCAAAGCTACGAATGCAAAGCGCGGTGTTCAACAGTGTCTTTGCATTGCTTTGTGGTATCGAGAGCAGGGCGGAAAAGCTCCCGGTCAAGATACTTCGAACTTTCTGATTCCCGGGCACATTCAGCTGCGCTGTTGTCGTAACGCCATGTGCATGTCCCGAGCTTGTGGTAACATTATGCTCAAATGCAAAGCAGACTTTCTCCAGCCCAGTGAAACATCCGAGAAGAATTCCCCATGCCGCGCGTAACACAGTACATTTCTGAGAAAGGTCCTCATGCACAACACATCCTAACCGGCTGGTGTAACGGAGGATCTCGGAATGATTCTTGTCACCCGCTTCGAATGCCGGGAAGATGGTGGGCTCCAGATCTTGCTCAGATCGATCGGCAGCCTTGACACAGCCGCAAGCAGGCGGGTCCATTGCTTGAGACTTCTGCAGGAGTTCTGGGAAAGAGTATGTGCAGATACGGTGTTTTGGAGAGATTGGATGAAATATTCAAGTAATATGGACAATAAGGAGCAGAGTTTGGGTTTCAGCGTCGAGGGGATCATGAGCAAGAGTACCTGTAGCACCTTAGATGATAATGAACCAGGCAGAATTGACCCCGTTACGAATAGGTTCAAAGCAGGGGGAAAAGAATTCCCTCTCTTGAAAAAAAGAAGGGGCATGTGGAGATCCGATCAGAGCCATGGCTCCCAAAGTGAGAGCACATTCTTCGCCGTTCTAGCCGCTGTCGTCATGTAAGCGGCTTTCCTGATCAGGAGACAATCTCTTGTTCCGAGGGATATCGGCTTTCAGGAGGCAACCGACATATTCGCCTCCACTGTTTGCCCACATGATCTTCAGGCACACCAAAGAAAGATGCATCTAAGGCAAACTTCATTTTTTCATGCTCCTTTGGAAGCCATCTCACATTCCGTGGACACTTAAGGAAATGAATTCACAAGGTTCCAAGCCAATTGGGAGGCGCCCGGAGAGGCTGCAAGTGGCAAGCTCCTAGCCAGTTCCGGTGACAATTTTCTTTGCAGGAATCCTTAGCTGCTGTGTAAACATGGTCATTTCTCGGCCTGCATTTACGAGCTGGCTGGGCTGGATATCATGTAGGTTGCTGATGTCATGTAGGCGCCGCAAGTCATGTAAGTTCATGTACCCACTCACGCACATGCCCCCTCACGCACATTATACAAGACAACATTCTGTAGGCAGTCTGGATATTCCGTTCAACTCATACAATTCAAAATGGATTTACCGAATCTGGAAAGACGAATATAGTGTTTTCAGACCTCCTACAATTCATTGAAGCTCAATAACGGGTGGTTTTGTGCGTGAGGGGGCGTGTGTGCGCGAGTGGGTACGTGGACTTCGGTTGCCACGAAGCACTTACCTGCCTAGGAAAGGGATGTATTGCATCTTAAAAGACCATGATGATATGATCTGATATTTTGAGCCACAATATATCCGTTTCCTAGGCAGGTAAGTGCTGTGCGGCGACCCACACGACATCCGGCAACTTACATGACATCCGGCAAGTTACATGACATCCAGCTCGTAAATGCAGGCCGAGGATAATAGCCTAATGAATAGCAGCCACTCATTCCCACAATTTGCGCTAGCCTGGGACCCAACGCCGGCTCCCCAGTCAGCCGCTTCTAGCTGCCTAATTAATGGAGCCATTTCCGTTGATCTTGACCATTTTACCTCCGTTTCAGCTGGTTGAGAGTAAGACGCTAATCCGCCTTCCCCGGATTCGCCGCGTCACGTTCCGTCCGTCCCGACCCGTCCCGTCGACCCCCTGCCGAGTGCAGCTCTCAAGGATTCCAAACTTGAATGTTTCCCTGTAGATACATATAGCCCTTACCTTTCTGGGGGGAATTAACTATGCCATACCCAATGGGTGAAAGGTCTAGAAGTTGTTGACAATTCTGGAGAAAGCCCACTGTTCTGGCCGATATTCCTCCAGTAAGAATTCGTGGTAGGGAAAACTTCACAATACACTAGCCAACAGGGCGCGTGACAGGGGAACATTTGGGATCCTTGAGAGCTGCAAGCACCACCTCCCCACACATCCATGACCGGAACTTGTCCGGTGCCTTTCCTTTTTTGGTATTCTTATCACTTCTCTGAGTTTTTTTGACCCTTTCTTGTTTCCTTCAGGTGGGCTGCAGATGGCCGATTGTCTGTTTGCCGCCCCCCTTCAACTTTTAATTGCGCTCAATGCTTTCCGCTCTCTGGGTAAGCAGGCCTGCGAAAACCTCTGACCCCAGCAGCGACCGCCATGGCCTCATCGGTATGCGACGACTCATTCGGACCCCATTCCGGTGACTGTAGGGGTGGTTTCGACTTGACGCTGCTGTTTGAAGAGTCCATACTTGTTGTGCCCATCAACGCCTTATTGCTCCTCGCAGCTCCCTGTCGAGTTCTCTACCTCGTGCGCAAGAATACAGTCAAAGTTGAGAAGAGCCACTGGTTGTACTGCAAAATTGCAAGTCCGCTTCTCCGTGGTCTCCCTGTATCCCGCACTCTAACAATCTTTAGATATCATGCCTTCTCCTGATACTATCTCAAATCGGCTTTCTCATCTTGTACACACGCACTTCAGCGGTCGCTACCAAAGCCTCCCTGCCAGCTGCCGCCTTATCATTTGCCGCATCTGTTAGCATATTGGGTCTATCTTACGCTGAGCATGTGTACTCTTATCGGCCGTCGACGGTGCTCAATCTTTTCTTACTTTTCTCGATTCTCTTTGACGCTACTCGAACGCGGACACTATGGCTACAAGGCTACAATCGGCCCCTTGCCATTGCTGCCCTTGTCGCGACGGTGCTCAAGATCGTCTTGCTGGCTGTTGAGGCAATTGAGAAATGTAGTTTCCTACGTCCTCAGTACCGCACATTACCCCCAGAAGTCACGAGCGGCATCTTTTCACGATGGGCTTTTTGGTGGCAGCTTCCTCTGTTCCGTGCTGGCTATTCCAAGAAATTAGAGATTGAGGCGCTGTTCCCTCTCGAAAAGCACTTCAAGTCTTCCTATCTGCAGCATCAACTACAGACTAGATGGGCTAAATGTATGTCGTCTCGCCTTCATCATTGCACGTATATACACGTGACAGATAGGCTATTGATACTGATGGTCGCACAGCATCCAGAGAGGGGGCCCATGCTTTACTACTGGCCGTTGTGAATACACTGAAGTGGCCTATCCTGTCGATCGTTTTTCCGCGATTGGTCTTCGCCGCCTTCACCTTTTGCCAGCCGCTGCTCATCTCGGCGACACTAGAATGGGCCGAAACAGATGGTGATTCTGACGATTCGAACCGGGGATATGGCCTCATAGGCGCTTGGTTCCTCGTCTATGTCGGCATAGCAGTAGGTCCCACCCTACACGCAGACAATGACCGCATCTCACTGACGCTCGATATCACAGGTGTCGACTGGCCAGTACCAGCACCTGACGTTCCGCGCCATCACCATGGCCCGTGGACAGCTCATATCAATGCTCTACGACAGGGCTACAGATATCAGCATCACGGCCGCGGACCCTACCGCAGCCCTGACCTTGATGAGTGCCGACATTGAGAGGATCGACACGGGGTGGCGCACCGCCCACGACGTCTGGGCCAACCTGGTCGAGATTGCCGTTGCAATATTCCTGCTGGAACGCCAGCTCGGAGTTGCGTGCCTTATCCCTGTTGGTGCAGCAATTTGTGAGTTGTTCAAGTCCGGGATGAAAGACCAACGTGCTAAATCATCAATCAATCAATCCAGTCTCCATCATCGGATCTGTCATTGCCGTCAGCTTCGTCATGGCACGCCAGGCCCAGTGGCTCGAAGCCATTGAGAGGAGGATAGCCGTAACATCACAGATGCTGGGGTCCATGAAGGGCGTCAAAATGTGTGGTCTGACCGACGTCCTCGGCACTCATATCCAGGCCATGCGGATGGAGGAGCTGCGAATTTCCGGCAAATTCCGGAGGTTGTTGATTTGGAATATGGGCTTGGGTGAGTACTTCAACATGAATGGTGTGATACCTACGTTGCTAATTGTGGCATTTACATGCAGCCTATTTTGCTCCCACCTTCGCCCCCATCCTGACTCTCACTGCGTACAGTCTGATCGCCAGGTCTCGTGGAGGAGATTCTAACCTGGACACAAACCGCATCTTTACATCGTTGTCGCTGTTTGCACTTCTGCAGGAGCCTCTGACTTCATTTGTTACGTCGCTTTCTTCTCTGATGGGGTCTATTGGAAGCTTCGTGCGCATTCAGTCTTTCCTCGGCACCGACGTCCGTGTCGACGGCAGAGTCCTCCAACGTGGCAACAAAAGTGTCAGCCCTTTGGACTCTGCATCCTCAAGCAGCGGCCACGAGGAGAAGTCTCCCCCGTCCAAGGAAGAGCCCAAGCTGCCGCAAGATGTGTTGCCCAATTGTTCGCTGAACGACAACGTGGTCGTTGTAGAGGCCGGCTCTTTTGGATATGACACTACCAAAAAGCCCACACTGAGTGAAATCAATGTCCACGTTCCCCTGAGCAAGCTCACTCTTGTGGTGGGGCCAGTCGGCAGTGGCAAATCGACTCTTCTGAAAGCATTCCTCGGAGAAGTGGCCATCACGGCCGGGTCTGTCAAGATCTCGAGCTCCGAGATTGCCTACTGCGACCAGACTCCGTGGCTCATGAACGGTACAGTGCGAGACAGCATCATCGCCTTCTCACCCGTAGACGAGCGCTGGTATCAGCAAGTGCTAGACGCTTGTGCTTTGCGGGAAGATCTCGTGCAACTCCCCAGGGGAGACCTCACCACGATAGGAAGTAAGGGCATCGTGCTCAGCGGAGGCCAAAGTCAACGGATCAGTCTCGCAAGAGCTGTGTACGCACAGAAAGATGTTATCATACTAGATGACGTCTTCAGCGGATTAGATGCGCACACTGAGAATGCCGTCTTCCACAACCTCCTTGGTACTCATGGCATTCTGCGGCAGTTCAAGGCGACCGTCATCATTGCCTCTTCTCGTGGTAGGTACAATTCTTGAATGTTTTCATAAGAGCCCAGACTGACCCTGACTGGGACAGCCAACCGGCTCCCCTACGCCGACCATATCATCAGCCTCGACGGCACTGGCATAGGCTGCGAGCAGGGAAGTTTAGACAAGCTGACCAGCTCTGGCGGCTACGTGTCTCGATCGCTCATGTCATCGGCAGACAGGAGAGACGAGCCAGTCCCCGCTGCTGTTGCTTCTGCTGAGCCGCCGGCTGAGGTCTCGGTGAACTCAGAAGTAGCCCTTCTCGAGGACATGGAAGATGGGGCCAGTCGTCGCACCGGAGATGTAGCAGTTTACACGTACTATATCCGCGCCATCGGCAGGATCCCAACCTTGATCTTTGCCGTCTGCATCTGCGCCTTCATCTTCTGCCAATCCTTCCCCACCATCTGGCTCAACTGGTGGGCGGCTGCCAACGCCAAAGACCCATTCGCACGCCTTGGCTACTACTTGGGCATCTATGCGATGCTGGGTGGGCTGGCCATACTCTTCCTAGTCTTGAGTACCTGGCAGATGATTGTCACCATGGTACCGTTGTCGGGAAACAACTTCCATCAGAGCCTGCTCAAGACGGTGCTCAACGCTCCAATGTCCTTCTTCGCCGCCACTGACGCCGGCATCACTATTAATCGCTTCAGTCAGGATCTTCAGCTCATCGACATGGACTTGCCCCTCTCAGCACTCAACACCTTTGCCACGTTTGTGCTGTGCATCGCCGAGATGATCCTGATCGCAGCTGGCTCGTACTATACGGCCATTGCATTCCCTTTCCTGTTTGCGGCGCTGTGGGCGGTCCAGCACGCTTATCTACGAACGTCTCGCCAGCTCCGATTTCTGGACCTCGAGGCAAAGAGCCCGCTCTACGCTCTCTTCACCGAGTCCGTCACCGGTCTGGCGACGCTGCGAGCGTTTGGCTGGCGCGGTGCCCTCGAGAAGAAACACCACGAACTGCTGGACCGGTCGCAGAGGCCTTTCTATCTTCTCTACGCCGTCCAGCGTTGGCTGACGTTTGTCCTCGACATGTTTGTCGCCGCCATCGCCGTGCTGGTCATGGTCCTCGTCACCCAGCTGAAGGACGTGCTACCGACCGGGCTGATCGGTGTGGCTCTCGTCAATATCATCCTGTTTAGCCAGCACCTCAAGCTGTTGATGACCTTCTGGACAAACCTGGAGACTCAGATCGGCGCGATCTCTAGGATCAGATCCTTCACGTCCCACACGGCTTCGGAACACGAACCGCAGGAAAAGGAACACCCACCGCCTACGTGGCCGTCCAAGGGAGCCATTGAGTTTGAGAATGTCTCGGCCGGATATAGGTCCGTCAACAATTTGTCCCCATCCCGTTGCGAGTTGCTAATACATCCGTCCATAGGCAGTCTGAACATGTCTTGAAAAACATATCCATATCGATCGAGGCAGGGCAGAAAATTGGTATCTGCGGACGGACTGGAAGGTGACGCCGTTCCAAAGTCTTGTTATACTCCTACTTCTCTTAACTAACCTATATCCCTCTACAGTGGTAAGAGTTCCATGGTCTCGTGTCTCTTCCGCATGGTAGACCTCCACAGTGGTCACATAACTGTGGACGAGCTCGACATCAGCACGCTGCCCCGTGAGCAAGTTCGCGCCCGGCTAGTCGGCGTGCCGCAAGATGCATTCCTCATCGATGGAAGCAGCGTGCGATTCAACGCCGACCCTTCCAAACAACTCGCGGATGCTGCCATTGAAGATTCTCTGAGAGCTGTTGAGTTGTGGGACATTGTAGCCGAAAAGGGCGGGCTTGAAGTGCCCATCCAGGAGCTGCACCTTTCGCACGGCCAGAAGCAGCTCTTTTGCATTGCGCGGGCTATCCTGCGTCCCTCCCCCGTTGTTGTTCTTGATGAGGCCACAAGCAGGTAACTAACATCCTCCATCTATCTTTCCGCCGCCTTATTCAGGTGCTAACATGGTCGCCAGTGTGGACTCTCACACCGACGAGCTCGTCCAGCGTGTCTTGCGCGAGCGGTTCGACAATCGCACAGTGATTGCCATTGTCCATAAGCTCGAGTCGGCTCTGGATGACTTCGACATGGTCGCTGTTCTTGACTCAGGCGAGCTGCGGGAGTTTGGACCTCCGCGACAGCTTCTGGAAAAGGGGGCTGGGGCGTCGGCTTTTGCTGCTCTGTACGAAAGTCAGGCCACGGACAAGAAGGAAAGCAAAGCGAGTGACTAAAGATAGAAGCACGGTCAGGAGAGGCCCTAGTAGGATACCCTGAGATAGTACTGTCTATAGACGAGCCATACTCTTGGCATAGACAATCGCAATTTCTGCGCTTCCCAGGTCGAGCAATTCGTCTATGTGTGTCACTCTTCTCATCGATGGAGGAGTCAAGTAGATGCAGAGCCAACGATCCCCACATATGCATTCCAAATAGCCTTTTCCAAAGAGCTTGTTTCACCCTATAGAAGATGTTGCTACTCTTGTTGAGTGGTACTGTCGTATAAGCTCCGGTCCTTGCGAGAAAAACGACTCTATGCGCAGGAAAACAGGCCGGATCGACAGTTTTGCAACGTCGTCAGCCTGGCTGTCCAATCTGTGCAGTGATGAGCGGAAGATCTGGACCAGGCTCTAAGCGGACTGGATGTCTGAAGACCGGGGCTGCTGCAGAAAGAGGTAGATGATAAAGTTCCCGCAGAGGATCAGCTGAGACCGTGCATCTACACTTGGAAGTCAATACATTGGGCCAGCCTACGGTAGGGACAGGCTAAATCGTGTGGAGCCTGACTTACGGCGGCCCCAGAAGCCCTGCAGGTCTTCTGACGTTACCTCATCCATGAACCTTGTGAAGGCCTGGAACACGGCAACGGCGGTCCCAAACCAGCGGCACAGGTTCGACGAAGGATCATTTCTTGCCTCGGCCGTGGCAGGGCTCATCAGAGCCCGAAATAGAAGAGCCGTATAGGCGTAGTAAGACAAGTAAAGAGGTGCTGTTTCTACTGTTAACTGTCTTGTGCTCTCTGACGGGCTTCTGAGTAGACGTGCCGTTGTTTGACGGGACGGTCTCTCTTTCGGGAGCAGGCATGAGCAGACCGTGGGGTAGCATGTCTCTCCAGTCTCTGAGTCTTTCCTTCATTTGAAGCAACCGACTGTGATCCGTTCCTTCCTCAGGCCTTGGTGGACGCAGCCTTGGTACCTGGCTGGAGAAGGTGAGTTCCTAATCACTGGGTTCTGAGTGCACAACCCGTGGAGACACAATACTCACAAGCTGTAATCAATCAGGGCCCGTAGATACTTGCTAATTTTCACCAAGTCGAGGAAACGCGCACCAGCGGCAACCTGGAAACGATGACCGGGAGCGTCGACCATCATCTGGAGGTCTTCGGACAGGTCTTCGTCGCTCCGTAAATCTTCCATTGTGATGGCAGAAGTGTTGAAGGATGCAGGATAAATATGAGGTGGATTCCCGTGGCATACGGCTGACCAAACATCTGCGACGTACGTCGCCCACCAGAGTTTCCTCTAGCTGCGCAACCGCTTTTCCCATGGCGGTAGGGACCACCTCTCGGCATCCTGATGAAGTCCGATCATCTGCGCCGTAGCCACGGCTTGGGCAGTCGAGGTCCAGGTCCGCGGGTGCTCGATGCTATCGACATGGTTGGGCTTGACGTGCAGCAGCAGAAGGCTAGCCTGCAGCTTGGCCAGGTTTGGAGAGTCGAGCTCCCGCTGCAGGGAGTCGGTCGCGTAATGGACAAGCTGGTGTTGCTGGAAAGGCAATGACCCTTTCAGAGACGTATCCTTCTTCTGAAAGACGGAAGCGAGGGCATATACAGCCCCCCGGAGAGATGCCGGGAGCTTTGTCTTGTCGGTAGCGTACTGTCTCAAGAACCTGCCCTTGGAGAGCATTGGTAGCTCGGGGTGGATGTGCTTGAAATAGAGCCTGACAAGAATTGGGCCATTATGACCCACGAGGGTTTCGATGGCATCCGAAGCGGCTTGTTTCACGGCGTCATCCGCGGGCGCAAATTCGTCTTGGAGCTGGCAGAAGTGGACAGGAGGGTCCCAATGGTACTTGGTACCGGCGTAGACTTGGATCATGTCGGCGTCGATATCGTCTGGACTACTCAAGATACCCGAAGGAATGGAATCAAGCACGTAGGTGTCTTGTTCTGCAGCCGGCCCCATGCTGTGTGCAGTCCGATTCTCGTTGTCTTCTAAGGTCCAGAGTCCATTTGAGATTCGGCGACCGCCGGTGACAGATCAACAAGCTTTCTAGAAAAAGTATCTCCTATTCTGCCATCCTGGATTGCCATCGCCACTCTGGCGGTGCGCCATTCCAAGCTTAATTGCGAAGACTAGCAAAGCATTACACGCCCGTCTTTATCGCGGTGGTCTCTCCAGTTTTGCCCCTATGACCTACCACCCCGTCAACATCTTGAACGTTGGGTGCTTCTGCCAACGTGCAGTCCCACTCTCCAAGATGTACCTCCCGAAGCTGTCTCGCAGATGGCGCTGTCCTGACGAATGATTCAAGGTCTTTAGCCGGAAATATCCGGTGCAGCACGGCGTAAACCAAGCCGCTGGACAGGAGACCGTAGACATATGACATGTAATACAGCTCGGTTGCTCCAGGACTGACAGTCACTGAAGTGTCGACAGCGGCGACAAATCCAGGCATGCAGGGGATGACACCAACCAGCCACTGTTTATGGTCAGTCATAACTCACGATCCTGGGACATGACTTGGGCGACTTACAGCTGCAGGAGCACGCCAATTGCATCCGTAAGAGAACCAGTAGATGCTTCCCGAGTCGCCACGGTAAAGGGAGTCGATGTCAACCTTCCGCTTGTTCACGACTAAGTAACTGGAAATCATAAGACCAGTCATCGGGGCAAGAAACACGCTGTAGCTCGACAGCACTGTCAGGAACGTCGTGGCCGTGTTGACAAGCCGCCAAGGGTTGACGATAACGCTGAGAATGGCTGTGATGTATGCTCCTCGGCGGATGTTGAGATATCTTGGGAACGTCGCAGCCAGATCAAATCCTCCAGCGAGTGCATTTCCCGGGACATTGACGCCGATCTGGGAGACGACGAGACACAGCCCGGCAAAGAAGCACGCCGCCCGAGTACCCGCCGTCTCATTCTGGGCCAACAGCTGTGCAAACAGCGTCGGCGGGTTCCAAATCGCCTCGCCGCCAAAGCGATGCTGCGTGGCTGCCGTGACCAGGATACCAATCAAGGAGCTGAAGATACCGTAGACGGGGAATGACACGGCTTGCCCCAGGATGGCATGCTTTGGCTGCGTCGCAAAGCGGGAGTAGTCGTTCTGGTTGAGGATGCCCGCCGCGATCGACCCGATGGTCGACACGATGCCGTATACCATCAACCACGCCACGCTCTCCGGCCCTCCGGTGTTGGGTAGGTCAGAGCCCGAGGTTATGGTGTCACCGAAACCGGAGGGTCCCATCGTTGCAAGGGCCCAGGCGAGGAAGACGATGAAAAAGATGAGCGTGATGCTGCATGCGAAATGGAAGAACTTCTCGAGACGGTGCGGACGGATCCATATGACCGGCAGGCTAATCACGCTGAAGATGATATAGGAGACGAATTGCGCGGTTGTCATGCCCGTATCTGAGGGGATCGTGTTTGGGATATGGGACTCGAGGCGCGGGTCCCACGAGAGGAGGATGAGGTAAACGCACTCGCCGCCGACCCAAGCTGTGAAGCCGTACCTGTGGTGGTAGGTCAGTCTGTGGGTTTCGATACGTTCGCATCCAGGACACAAACCAGACTGCAGCAATTGTGTTAGCTGGATAGTAGTGATTTAGGGAAATACGAAGAACTTACCAAGGGACAGGAAAATTCTATTCCAAATGACAAATTGAGATCCCCACATCCCCCATACTGCCCGGCTAAAGACAGGAAACCCGACTGCGGTTACATCAGCTACCGTGCTTGTTCAAGGCTGGATGAGGAAAGACAAACTGTGGTAATAGCTGCCAGGAAGCGAGTTGATGATGACAACCCCAGTAGCGACGAGGTTTCCCAGGATGATACCTGTGATGCCGTGAGCCAGTGATCAAGTTCCCGGCCGAGACTGGATCTCACATATGAATGCCTGCCACCACGTGAGGCCAAGCGGGATCAAAGCACTCCCAGTGAGGTAAGTTGTGATGTTGCAGTTGATCAACAGCCCTGTTTACAGGTCAGTCGGTATCTCTCCACATCATGTGCCTGCCTGCTCACAAAAATTATGGAATGTTGAAAAGCCCCATGTCCGCCTCGCTGACTCAATGGGTCGGATGTCGTTGTTCTGCCTCGTTGTTAGCGATCAGAACCAGCATTCGGGTGGTGGTGCCACCGAGTGGAAGTGCGGGGGCGGGTCGGAAAACACACAATCCACCTGGAAACATAGGGAAGTTCCACCCGCCGCAGGAGCCCCATTGTGGGTTGACGTAAAAAGAACAAAGTGGTTGGATGGGCAATTCAAGTTGCAGTCGCAGATGCAGCGTCGGAGCCATATAAATCACACAGTCTGGCATCGTTATCTCGGCATTAAATCACCTCAACCAAGTAACCAAGGGGGAATACTTGTCTTGGCCGATTTGTCAACGGCGGTTGATCGTAAGCGATGGCTTGGACCCCAAACCAAGTTTGCCGATCGCCCGAGACTAAGATCGGGCAACACCGCACTTACACGACGGAAATGCGAAGCCAAGACTTCCCCGATCTAATCTCTACGGGCCTTCCGTGATCCACATCATGGCACTTGATCAAGCTGTTGGCCAGTTTAGAAAGCGCGCCACAGCCAGGAGGGATAGAAATGGCCTGGGCTCTCTGGACGGAAAATACAACAGAAACACATCGTATTTGCCAGACAATAGCAGGAATCGATCACCATGTCGCTTTATCGCATCGGCGTTGACGTCGGCGGCACAAACACCGATGCCGCCCTCCTCGACATAACCGCCTCCAACACCCCAAGTCGCGGTGTTCTGGCCTCCCACAAAGCATCGACAACAGCAGACATAACCAGTGGCATCGAGGCAGCTATCCGTGAAGTGCTGACGGCCTCCGCTGTCGACCAGAAGAAGGTCCTCAGCGTCACAATCGGCACAACACACTTCATCAATGCCCTGGTTGAAGCCGATACTCGCAGACTGAGCCGTGTCGCCGTCATCCGTCTTTGCGGCCCGTTCACGCGTCAGATCCCGCCCTTCTCGGACTTCCCGTCCGGCTTGCGGAGGATCCTGGACGGAGGTGCATATTACCTTGACGGTGGGCTGGAGATTGATGGGCGGGAGGTCGCACCCCTGGATCACCAACGAATCAGGGAGGTTGTGCGGGAGATTGTGGCCGCCGGCGTGAAGGCAATCGCCCTTGTTGGTATTTTTGCGCCTCTGGATCACGCCGGTGTGCACGAGGAGACCTGCAAGAGGATCATCCTGGAGGAAGCACCAGGGCTGGATGTCGTCTGCTCTCACGATATTGGCCCGCCGGGCCTTCTCGAGCGAGAGAACGCCACGGTCCTCAACGCAGCCATCCTCAAGACGGCGCAGAAGGTGACGCGTGGTTTCAAGCGGGCCATGGCCCGCCTGAGGCTTGCATGTCCGCTGTACCTCTCGCAAAACGACGGCACGCTCATCGATGCCGACACGGCGGCTGAGTACCCTATCAAGACTTTTGCCAGCGGTCCGACAAACAGCGTGACCGGTGCTGCATTCCTTGCCGGCTTAGATCAGGTCAAAACTGTCATCACGGATCCTGCCGATGTCGCTGGTGACGAGACGGTTGAGCCCCAGGTCTTGGTGGTCGACATTGGCGGCACAACAACAGACGTCTGCGCCTTACTTCCATCTGGCTTCCCGAGGCAGGCTCCAGGCTTTGTCGAGGTCGGTGGTGTGAGGACGGCGTTTTCCATGCCAGAAGTCGTTTCCATCGGTCTTGGCGGTGGCAGCAAGGTTGACGTGCACCCCGAGTCGGGAGACGTCACTGTTGGTCCTGGATCAGTCGGCCACTTCCTCACGGAGCAAGCTCGAATTTTTGGTGGCTCGACGCTGACTGCAACTGACATTGTGGTGGCTTCTGGTAAGGCCCAACTTGGGGGCGCCGGCCTGGTCAAGGGCATACCCAACGCGACGGTTGAGAAGGCGCGGCACAGGATCAAGACGATGTTGGAGGGCGTTATCGAGCAGATGAAAGTATCTTCCGCCCCCGTTTACGTTCTTCTAGTGGGAGGCGGAGCGCTCCTAGTTACGGACGATCTGGACGGCGTTGAAAAGTGCATCCAGCCAATCCACCAAGGCGCCGCCAATGCCGTTGGCGCGGCTATTGGAAAGGTCTCTGGGGAGGTGGATGTGATCGAGATTCTGGAGGGCAGGGATGAGAAAGCCGTTGTTTCAGCGACATGCCAGAAGGCAATCGACATTGCTATCCAGAAGGGCGCAGCACCGGATGATGTGCGGGTCGTCGAGGTGAACAAGATGCCGCTGCAGTACGTCGACAATGGGGCCATGAGGATCCAAGTCAGAGCGGTTGGCAAGCTCTGCGTGCCGGAAAGCCCTGTCTCCCGCAAGAGAGCAACGGCACTTTGGTGGAGGAAGAGCAGGAGAGCGAGGGGGTGAAGGAGAGTGTCTCCGATGCCCTTGAGCCCACTACAAAACCCTCACTGCAGGCCGACCTGGAGTCGTACAGACCGAACGTGAAGAATGGCGTTTGGTACGTTTCTGAGGTAGACCTCGAGCTGATTTCGACTGGATGCGGTGTCCTCGGCACTGGAGGTGGAGGACCGACGCACCACGAGTTTCTCAAGAGTCTGCAGGCTTTGAGGACGTGTGAGGTGGGCAAGATGCGAATAATCTCGCCAAAGGCTCTGGGAGACAACGACATGGTCTGCTTCGGATCTTGGTACGGCACACCGAGCGTCATAAACGAAAGAATTGCTGGCGGTACGGAGATCCCAAATGGAATTGACGCGGTCACTAAAATCCTGGGAATCAAGTCGCTGGACGGCATTTTTATCGATGAGATGTAAGACTCTGTTTTCTCAATTTGCGAGTGCATGCTAGTAGACTGACCGAGGTTAGCGGCGGCGGAAATGGCCTGAGCATCTTCCCAACGGGCGTCCACTACGATATACCAGTCGTAGATGGCGATGCCATGGGAAGAGCGTACCCCACCATGTACCAAGGTAAAAAGCCCTAGTCCTGTGATTATACTCCTTTGAAGAAACTAGAACCGACATGTCTATGCTACCAGCCACTCTGAGTGTGTACGGTCACCCTTTGACTCCCTGTGCTCTCTCCGATGCAAGGGGTAACGTCTCTGTTGTGATGGTAATTTTGTTTCTCAAACGCATCTTCGTTCCTTGGCTAAACTGAGACACAGAATGCAGACACGCCTATACGTCTAGAGCGGTTTCTGCGCACTGCAGCAATTGAGCTGGGCCTTGGATGCGCCGTCTGTGCCAGACCGCTGCCTGGGTCTGCCGTCAAGTCTCACGGCGTCCCGAACACAGTGTCACAGGCCTGGTACCTTGGGCGAGCGGTTCATATGGCTCGAAGGAGGAAGTCTGATTACATCGACGCAATCGTGAGTCTCACAATGTGCTCCTTTTTTTTGCCTTATCTAATCATTTTCTGCCTAGTTTGACGTGTGTGCTGGCAAGCTCCTCTTTACCGGCAAGATCGTCGACGTGAGACGCTACGTCGGCGGAGGCTACACGATGGGCAGCGTTCTATTGGCCCCTCTTGCAGACGAAGACAGCGACCGCGACGCCCGACAGTCTTCCCACGGCGACCGCCATTTGCTCATACCCTTCCAGAATGAGTATCTCTACGCCGCTCTGACTGACTCTGAGGGGTCGGACAAGGATCAGAAGGTGATTTGCACCGTGCCAGATCTCATCTCCATCCTCGGCCAAGACGGCGAGGCGATCGGTTCCCAGGATTTGCGGTACGGCTTGCGCGTTAATGTCATTGGGTTGCCTGCGCACCCTTTGTGGAAGACGGAGAAGGGCATGCCGGTGGGAGGACCAAAGGCCTTTGGACTGAAGATACCCTTTGTAGGAGTCGGGGATTACACACAGCCCCGGAGTATCATTGAGGAATTCGGGATGTACTTATGTGGAGGCTAATCAACATCAATACTAGCAGCTTAGATACAACTAAAATAGATGGCAAATAAAATATTATGCTCTCAAGGTGTCGTCCCGGCCGTAGTTAGCCATGCACTTATCGTAGGAGCATGCATTTCTACAATACAGACATGCCATGGTTCCTGTGATGCATGAAAGAGGTACCTGCGACGTGTTACAATGCGTCAGAACCCCTTCCAACTTACTTGTCACAGCCCCCGAAACGTCACACGCGCAGCTGTATCGCACATACAATCGAATGCCGGCCGATTAATGATCACTAATTACTCGCCTATGGCGCAGACTCAATATGGTGGTAGCTAGTGTTGTAGAACAAGGAAGAGGCGGACGATTAGGCCCCGCGGTAATTCCATCCTTAGTACACGTACTCGGCACAAACGACGTCTCCCCTCACGTCCATGACCTCCGCAACTGTGACGTTTTCCGCAATACCCACCATCCATAGCACGTGATTCAGCGTGGTGACATTTCCATCATCGCCATCATAATCCAGATACTCTGCGCCCGGGGTGGGCATCGCTGTATTCCTCGACAGAAAAGAGGCCGACGGCATCACTGGCCTACCCATATCTGGCCTACCCATATCTGTCAGTCGTGAAGTCAGATTTAGCGACTGCCACTTCCACCACATGGCATCCAGCCAGGTGTGATGCAGAAAGAACATTGAAAATCATTGGTGAAAAGGGGGATTAACGAGCTGTCCGACAGTTTTGTAGTTTCCCTCCTTACATTCTTTCTTCTCACAGGATATTGAGCTAGTACCACGACCGCACAGTACTTTGCAGCTACTTCCGAGCCATCGCCTGTCCTGTCCCCATCCTACCAATGCCGCAGTGCCAGGATGAGCGTCGTTCTGTTCTCGTGGACGGCGGACTTTCCCCGCAGCTGGGGAACAAGCCTTACAAAAAAAGTTTCCGCATGTTGCTCGACGCCTGGGACTGGTTTCACTGACTCAGTGAACATTGTGTATCAAAGAATTCCATGTTCATTGAGGAGCGGGTTGTACTGCTATCGTTATGAGAAGAGGGGAGGAGCTCTTGAAAGGCAAGCACAGAATATCCGGAATAATAATTTAATTAATAGACCTCAGTGCCATCCTTAGACCACCTTCTTCTTATGTGATGATTGCTTGGAATTTATGGAAAACAAAATTGTTGTCTCACTTATACGCTACTTTAAGTATCTCGAGCCATGCCCGCCCATCACTCTCTCCCAGCAGCCAACTTGACGAGCTCCTCAGCCACAAAATCCGGCCGGCTGACGTTCACGCAGTGACCCGCACCCTCGACGAAAACCCTGCGGACCTTACCACCAGCCGCCACCGACTGCTCATACATGACCTCTAGCAGCGGCGTCGGCACAATCACGTCGTTCTCCGGGATAACCAGCACGCTGGGAATCTCCTTCCACGCCTCGTACGAAACCACGCCGTCGTAGCTGTCCGAGCTGTGCCGCGTCATCTGCGCGAGGTACTTTGCCCGCAACTCCTCGGACTTGATGTCGTTAAAAACGAAGGCCCCGAAAGACGGGTCGATGGGCGGCAGGTAGCCCCCCGGCACGCCCGACTTGAACGGCTCGGGCATGGCGTCCCGGGCGCTCAGCCAGCTGCGGTTCGACTCGCCCAGGGGCAGCACGAACGCGGCGAGGTAGAGCACGCCGACGACCGCCGTGGCCTTGCCTCCTGCTGAACGGTCGGCCCTGCTGAGGCCCTTTAGCGCTGAGGAGCCGGGCACACCGCTGTACGAGTGGAGCATCAACGCCACGTCGGAGGGGCCCGTCTCGCTGTCGAGGGTGGAGAGTACCGCCTTGCGGATGTGCTTGGCGTCGTCCTCGCCCGTCGGCGCGGGCAGGACGGACCCGCCGTTGGCTGAGGGGAGATCAGTCGCCCGCGCCTCGTGGCCCTGGTTCCGGAGGGCGGCGACGAGACTGTCGTAGAGTGGTGCGGTCGCGAATGAGCCTGGGACGATGATGAAGGAGGTCTTGGGTGCCATTTTCTTGTTGTTTTATTTAATCCTCCTGGATTTGGATTTGGAATTGAAATGCTTCAGAGCTGGCCTGATGAAGATGGGGGCCGAATAGCTTTGAAGCATGGAAGCTGCGCGACACAGTCCCATTATAAGCCAACAGACCGTCTCCGCAGGATTAGGACCGCTGGGAGCCAGTTGGTGCTCGTACATTTCGACGGTTGGTCCGCTCCTGATCGTCGGCCGTTGTGGAGCAGCGGGCACTAATCCGCTCGTGGGCTGAAGGATTCCGCGTCGCGGGCTTACCAAGCTGACAGGATGGCGGATAGCTCTACTTGGCCATGTGTTCCAAAGCACTTGGGATGATGAAAAGTTCTGAGCTACGGTGATGGTCTCAAGTAGTGCTTACTTAGAAGGGATTGCTTTAACTGAAGTCTGGGGTGGTTCTTTTCACAATGCCTACTGGGATGACTACAAAGCTTCAGTCTACGCTGAAGAAATCAATATCACAGAGGACATATTACTACGTTTACTAGTAATTGTCCGATGAGTCCGGCTTCTGTGTAGATCACGGCTCCGACAGAGTCTTTGTCTGGAGAGAATTGAACAAACTCGTGCAAACCGTCAAATGCACTATCCCCGGTATCCCTGCACCTGGAAAGTTGGCGGTTGCCTAGCGCGGGAAGGATCCTCACGATGATAGGAGAATTAGAAATCGCAGCCCCTTATAGGCGCGTGAAAACTGTCCAGCCAATTCAACGCCAAGTCGTTGGTTCAACATATGATGAAATGCGCAGGGGCAAGGCTTGAACAGAAATTCTCGAGGTGAAAATCAACCTTTGAACGGCTCTCTGACGCAGTGATGGAGTTTTGCATGATTTTTACAGAGGAGAAGCTTGTAATCCTCGCGAGCCGAGTCTCGCCCTGAGGATCTAGTGGCTTTGACCGGGAAGGACCAGGCTCAACTCAACCGCCACGTCATGTGTGTTATGCCGTCCACGCCCACGCCCACGCGTGAAACTAGCTCCGGAGGTTCTGGTTCGCTGTTCTGCGTGATCTCCTGACGTCTTTATTCAAACTGTCCCTGACGTTCAAATTGAATTGTTGTAAATATTGTCATATTGAACAGTCGTTGTACCCAAGTCTGGCGATAGAGACAAACTCAACCGGAGTCGTTCAGCCCTCGCTCACAATGACATTCCAACAAGCCGAATACATGCAGGGTTCTAATACCGGGGAGAGTTCACGATCGAAATTCTCGTCTCGCAATCCGTATCTTGACACCGGGGACCAGGACGCGTATTATGGCTTCGAAAACGGTCACGATGAAATCCCTTGGGTCCCGGACAGTCGCTATTACGCACCCGCAGCACACACCGCATACCACAACACGGGCGAGACGAGCTACCCAGGCCCATACTCATATTCACCAGGACGCCCAGCCAGTCCAGAACCTCCACCTCTCCCAGCGCGCCCCGGCGACGACCCCTCAGCATGGTCGCACGTTTCACCGCGCTCCTCGGAGCGATACTCGCCTGACCCCGAGCAGCGCCCAGATCTCCCACCAAGGCCACCCACCGGACAAGACGACCACCACTCCCGCTCGCCAGATCCCATCGACGAGCTCGTCCTGCTCCCGCCGCGCCGCCGGCTGACGACGGGCGACATCCCCGTCACGACAGTGGGATACAGCCGGGACCCAGAGCGCCTGATCGCCTACCTGATCCCACTTCCTCCGCCGTCCTCAAAAGGCCAGACCCTCGACGTGCCCCAGCGGTACATGATCTACACGCCGCCCGCGCCGCACCTCCTCAAGCCCAACGCGGAGCCAGGCTCCGGAACCGGCAAGGAGGGCAAGCGCCACAAGGCGAAGCGCCTCGTCCAGCAAGAAGTCAAAAAGGCCAAGACGTACGACGGCAAGACCCTCTCCCTGCGCGGGCTGCACTACAAGGCGCTGCGGGGCTGCGACCGCGCCGTGGCGGCCATCAAGAGCCCGGACATCACGTTCCTGAACCGCGTCCCCCGGAAGCACGTTTCGGAGTTGGTGCTGATCCACCCGGCCTCGGTGCTGGCGGACTACACCGCCCGCGAGGTGCACGCCGAGGTCGGGGCGCAGCTGGCGCGGACGCAGCGGCGGGCCGCGAGGGACAGTGTCATCAGCACGCTGCTGTTCCCGCCGTCGCTGGTCATTGACACCCTCGCTGCGGTGGTGTGGCCTTTTGGCGGGCTGGCTGAGATTGATGGGGTGTGGATGTACGCTAGTATCTCGGGGTATCTCACCGCGAGGAGCGTGACACGGCGGATGGAGAGGGAGCCGGTTGTGGATGAGAACGGGGAGGCGATTCAGGGCTCGGGGCAGGGCAGGGCCGATAGGGGCCTGAGCCCGGTGTCTGAGGATGATATCTATTCCGCGGGCACTCAAGCTCCGCGACCTCATGCGGGGGAGCCGAGTCGTCGAGACAGCCGGAGAGATAGCAGGCAGGTACACTTCGAGGAGATCCTTGATGATGATGAAGAGGAGGACGACTTGAAACGGGCTGCCGGGGATGGCGGGAATATGGACAGCAAGAAGAAGACGCTCAAGGTCCGAATGGTCCCCGACGACGCTATGGACACGATGGCGTCCTACTTTCAGGAGATCTGCCACCAGAGGAACCCGAAGGCATTCGGGAGCCCCGGGGTCCCGCCGACAAAGACTGACGTTCTAGCGAGCATCGGCTGGTGGCCTGATCGGCGAGGCAGAGCCCCTGGTGTCGAGCATCCTGGAGGCTGGGATGACGAGAACGTGAGTTACCTTTTGTTTCTGTGATTTGTTTACTTGCGGTGTGCTGGATACTGACGTGTTACAATTTAGTGGCAGACAAGACAGGTCAAGGATGATTTGGACAAAGTCTTGACCAAGGCTGCCAAGTCGTGGGATAATTGGTGCAAGTCTTATGCTAAGTACCCTGAGCGTGCTATGAAGGAGAAGGGCCACAGCAGGACATCTGAGGTTTTGAGAAAACTTCGTGTAAAAAAGGATTCGCGTGGGCCCCGCGTTGTTGTATGATAATGGTTGCGTTTTGTGGGTTTGGATTGTGCACTTCGCTCTGTGCGTGGATATCGTGCTGTGTCACAGTGTACATGTCTGTATACCTAGGGACATATTCCTGTGTTTAAGTTTCGTCCGACAGCCTTGGAATTAAATATCTCTGCAGATACCGTGAGAGCCATCTCCGACTTGGCGGCCCCCACGTATGGACAGGCGGCTTAGGCGTATGGATGAGAAAGCATATTATTTAAGATGTGGTCAAATACTCTTCAAACCCGTCTATTCAGCCAATGCTGCTTACATTAAATACCAAGGTATTTCCATCATGTCGATTACGATCTACGACCGCATTTTAAACACGGCTTGTACCATTGGATGCCGGGTTCCAGTCAGAAAACTTCCTGAGCCACTTCCTCACAGTGCGGATCTGCCACTTATGAGCCTCGCGGATGAACTGCGGCTCACTCTCAACATCCAATATCCCGTTGCTGTCCCAGTGGTGCCCGCCGTCCACGATCAGGTACGCGGGGTGGAGGTCGGAGCTGTACCTCTGCGGGCCCAGGTTGGAATGGTAGCACCCGTCCAGCCACGGGTCATGGTTCCCGTCGATAAATGCTAGCCTGTCTGCCTGGAAGTCCAGCGCGCCGTACGCGTTCCACCTGTCGATGTCCGGAGAGTCCGGTATGGTGTTGTATTGTCCGGGTGGGAAAGCCAGCGTGCACTGCTCTTGGGTGTAGTTGGCGTCCATCACCCTGGAGAGGAGGGACTTGCCTTCCTTTCGGGCAGTTTGGTACAGACCTCCTTCTATGCAGGTCGTGTAAAGGTAGGCGCGCGTAGAGTCGTCGACTTGCTCTGTCCAGAAGGTTGCTGTCATGTGTGTTAGCAATGGGTCACGTGGTCGGAACGGATCAAGGCAAACAGTGCCTACCATTCCCCTGCCCAAAGCAGTCCCCACTGGCATAGTCTCCGCCTGGGCAAGTTGGCAAGATTACATCCTTTACGTATTTGGCGTAATTTCCCAGGTTCTCCCACGGCTCGCCGTCGGTGTACTTCGCCAGCTGCTCGTCCACGGCTGTCACCTCCTCCGGTGCATCAAGATTGGTGACATTCCCACAGAATGACCAGAACTGCGTCTTCTGATTGATCCAGGATAACTCCTGCCACGTTTGGGTAGGGTAGTCAAACCTAGGGTCTATTAATTCAAAACGATACATTCTGGAACATCCTCAAGCACAAAAGCCGGGGAGCCACACCGGGAGGAGGGTTGTACTTACGGCGACCCAACAGGGTATGCAATGGTCTTTGCGAAGTCCCGGTTGTCTGTCAATGACTCCAGGCCGAAGATTGATTTGAATTCCTGGATAGCTTCGGTGTTCCCGGCCTCGACCAGGGCATCAAACTTGTCCACGATGTCATTGATGCTCTGGACACAGTCACTTGGGCCGAACTTTTGGATCGGGTCATACCACTCCGGATATTCCACAGCAGCCCGAATAACACCGCTGGCCGCGATGCCGCCATATATGATATCCGGGTATGTCTTGACGGTGAAAGACGTCTGGGCACCGGCCAGACTCCCTCCGTACATGATCCAGGGAGTAGCTGGCGCTGTCAGGGAGACATTCACCCCGGGGAATGTGGCGTGTTGTGCGAAGTACGCAAAGTCCGCGATCGTCTGCTCGTTGGTCAGGTACGCTAGGTTGTCTGTGGTGAGGTTCTCGAAGGGAACGCTCTGTCCGTAGTAGCGATTTTCTATGATCACGCCCAGTCCGCCCGTGGCATTCATCAGGATCTGGATAATCCCTGTCTTGAGGTTTGAAAGGCGGCTCCTTGCATCAGTCTCTCCACCGATATATAAATACACCGGGCCACCGGGCTTGTAGTAGCTCGCATCGAAATAGTAATGCTGCTTGTAGGTGGCGTTTGTGTGTGGAGCATACCTTGATATGGTCAGTATTGCTTTGGTATCGAGATCGCTCTTGGCTCCCTCACCGTGGATCACTGGGGAAATGGTCTATCGGCTGATCAATGGTATTAGGAGGGTACGCGTTGGCCTGGCGCGCGTTGAGGCCTGCAGACTGCGGTCGGTGAAAAGGCCCTGGTCCAGAGAAGGCCAGGGAACTCAAGGCGAGGACAGACACAATCGAACGCATGGTGATGATGTCGTCTCTCACAGCTAGATGGAGTCACCAACGATTTCGGTTCAGGGACCGAGCAGGGCTCATTCCCATTATTCCGGGGTTGGCTGCTCTTTATAATGAGTGCCTGCAAGGAACCCGCACAAAAATCACATCATCTCCGCGAATGACGACTTGGATACTGCACTGTAAGCAAAGCCCCACAGACGCGCATGGTCGGAGGTTGCATCAAGCCGGGATGCCGGGATTACAGAGAGCTTGTTTTGCCGATCATCAGCTGTGCTGTGATGGGATGAACGACATCAAGCTTCCTCACCTTCCCGTTGGGGTCCAGTTAGGTAGGATGCCTTCTGGGGCCGGCTAAACCTCGCCGCGCTGTTATTTTGGTGGGTAATGCGGCGCAACTCTCGTTCATCTGCAAATCCCTCACGGAAACATGGTATCGAGTTAGGTATCCGTGGCATCTTTTTCTATGTCCGCTTCAAAAGTTCTTATAGTAAGTGCCGAAGCGAGAAGTAAAAAGAAGAAACAAGTCAATCCACCGGAACGCTCATCTTCGTCGCAGGTAAGCAGTGAGGCCCGGTGATCGTCCACCGTAGATCCCGACGGGTTGCATCGGAGGCAGCATCCCTAACTAAAACTAGAGCATCTGGAGGGCCACAACGTCGTGCTTGATTAATCACCCAAAATCGCACACTCAGCTACTCAGTTCCCCATCACAACACAATCTGCACGGGGGCCCGGAAAGGATCCAATGAAGAGATGCGATGCTCGCGGCAAATAGCGGCATGAACCCTCAAATTTGTTTGAATGATTTTCGCCCTCGCTTGCACTTTGTCGAGCACGTCAATGAAACTGGTACAATGACCAGAAACAGCTGCAGATTTCCAGCATTGCTGTCTGCCCTGAGCGACAGGAATTAGACCTGAAAAGAATCTTTCTCGATTGGCCACTCACCATACAGAAGATCTCAACGCACGTCTCGGACTGGTCATCCGCTGACTATATCAATGGCATCTGCATCATTCGGAATTCAGCTAAGTAATACCTATAGACGTGCAAATATCGAGTAAAATCGACAAGTCGCATATCATTAAAAGGATGCCCAATATGCATTTCAGGAGACTAGCAGTGGATCTGGCCTTCAGCATCAAGTCAGGCCTTCCAGGACTGTGGTCAACCTTCAGCTCCTCGGTGTCCTTGCCCCACCATCAACCATCTCATATTCTGCCCGTCCGAGGCTTTTAGTGAAGGCGAAGCGCCTCGAAGTCTTCATGTCCGTCGCTTCCGCTGCTTCTCGCGCTTCAACAAGCCTGAACCTCTTCGGAAGCTTTCCTTCTAGTGCGGCTCTCGGCTCCTCTATTTTCGCCAGCCATTAGTAAATGTGACAAGCGAAAGTGGTCCTGAAGAAGACGCAGTCGTGGAAGCCACTTCAACGGAAAGCCACTTACCAAGCGCGATGGCTATTATGTCAATAATCAACGGTACAAATGTAGCCAGGGCCAGAACCTGGCCGATGCTCCACCGCCGGTCCTTCGCCCATGGACCCATGGCATCAGCAAGACGCACAGCGATTGCAGTGAATGTACCCAAAAGCAGCCACATCATCGCACAGCATAGAACAATGTTCAGCGCTCGTGCCTTCTTTCCGTACCTCTCCCATCCTTTAGGCGCGTGGTGATGCAAATTGTCGTTGTTATGTCCTTGAGGAGTATCACAGGCCTCCTTCTTGACTTTCCCGATAGTATACACAAGATAGATCCAACCTGGCAGGTTGAGGCTAAGTAGAACCTGTGCCGTAATGATGGAATAGTCTAGAGCCTTGACCAGTCGATGACTCGTCAAATCGCAAAAGAGCAGCCACATAATTTGTTGCACATGACGAGTAGCCTGAGTACTTAGATACGTGTCATTTTCGAAGAACCCGGAGATACCACCGGGCCCGCGCCACCTGTAGTATAGAACAGTCATTGTGATGACGAATGCAATGACGAGGAACCATAATATCGACCGTATGCCCCGACGTCGGAGTCTTCGCGCCGTGAGTTGCAGTGTTAGTGGGGGGAATATCGAGAACATTGATACTGTCACCGCGTTGACCAGAGAATAAAAGAAAGCATTATCTCCATTTTCGGGGTCTCGAACAGCCGACGAGAAACGGTAGATGGAGGCCAATAGCATGGATGCAGAGGATAACAGCGACGCATCGAGAAAGGTGTTCAGCGTCTGCTCAAACCAGCCGTGGAACCTTTTCCAATGCTTGTATGTCTCCAAGGTTATGATAGAGTTCAGACTGATCACAATGGTGTAGAATGTGGTCAAAAGAGCTATCAAGTAGTAAGAGGCCATCATCTGATCTCGAAAATTAGTTTTCTTATTCGTGGACGTGGCTCCAGGTGTCACACGAGAATTGTGCACCAAGACTTACGCCTATTCCAGCTAGGTCTGGGTCACCCTCGAGCGGAAGGAATCCACACATCTCCCGCTTACATCCATGGACGGCCGTATCGGCGGCTGTGTTTAAAATGTCATCGCGGGTGCTTTCGTCCCAAGACTGGTGCCACAGCAGGAGGTCACCATCTGTGAGTTCGACTTGTGTCCAGTTCAATGGGACTAGTGAACGGAGGAAATTGAATGTAGCAGAGTAGCCAACATCAAACATCTCATCGGTGTAGGAGATCAGATAATCTGCATAAAATGTACTTGCCGCTGTGCAGTCGCTGAAATTTAGTTCTGAGATAGGAGGAGGTGACCAGCTGGAGGAGACTGTAGAATTCAGATCCATGGCGAGTTTTCCATCAGCAGCCACAGCTGCCTTGTCTATGGGCCTGAGTAGAACTTTGAGAAATAGATTATAACGATGAAAGAAAGACTGCTCTGCTAGAGCTGGAAGTGTTGGTGTTTTTCGGAAGGCGAGTAAGCAACGTCAAGGCTTCAGCCCCAGATCAAATGTGAGTTGAAGCCATCGGCATCCAGCAACGGTCTGTGCAAAGTCCAGGGCTGACCAACCCATGTCAAGAGGACACAACATGATTTGTATTCCGTGTCATCCTCGTAGCTTCCACTTTATTAGTGCAATCCTGCAAAGCGAGCCAGTGTCTTGCCCTGCTCTGCTGCTGTAACCCACCCTTGTAATCCTCACCACACTCTTACAGGCCAGCGCAGGCATCCTCAGAAAGCATAGCGTAACAATGCTGGGGGGTCTGCGTCCTTATATTGGGGGCCATTTCCATATCTCGCACCTATTCTGTTAAAGGATCACGCCTTGCGTTGCACAAGACAGGCAAGGTTGCCGTGCCAGGTGGCTGGTTCCTGTGACCTGTGTAAATGACAAGGCGCGCATGGCGGCTCAGCTCCAGGGGCCAGCATGCGCATGTGCTCCGCATTGTGCCTATTGAACAAGGATGGTGGTGAGAAAACACCTGCAAATTTCAAGATCGACGACCTTGCAAGAAGGGTAGGTCATACAACCGCCGTGGCACTTCCCCAGGCCAGGTCTGAGGGAGATTGAAAAGGGGGCGCGGTTAGGCGTGGCAGTACCTGTTGGTTGGTGTTATTCAACAGCATGGAAGCGGCGTCTTCGCCGATCATTTATCAGCACCTGCCAGTTCTAAAGTGGTTGATTGCAGGTGTTTTGGGCTATACAGGAGCCGAGTGGTCCTGGATATTTGGCCATTTTTCTGGCCTCTGGTCTGTGCATTCAAGCTCTGTTCTGGCTGTTGTTTTGCTGGAACTGAACCTGAACAATCCCCTATTATTCCCTGCTATCCGGTGTTGGTCTTCAATTCCGAGGCAAGCTCTGGATCCGATCTGAACCGCATGATTGAATGACATTTTCTCGACACAGGCCTTTCTCACAAGCTAGCCTTTGATTACAAATGAGTCGTAGATGTTTCGGCAAGATTGAGTGTCAGCCAAGAAGAACAAGTTTATTTGCAGAAAGACAAGGGTTGTTAATGATATTGTTCCTAATTTCGTACAATCGTAGGGCAAGTCCTTCTAGGGTCGTCCCCACACTCAGCGTTGTGTAACAACTTGCTCGCTCTAGTACCCGTGCAAGTTGACATGCTCCGAAGTAGACGCGCGGATCCTCCTATTCTCTCTAACAAGTAAAATGCGGATCCACCAGGCACACAAAACCGAGAGGAGGGCGAACCCTGCCGAGGCACCAAAGCCGATAGCATAGCGCGGTTCATCGCTTTTCGGCCAGAGGTAGGCGCCATAGATGTAGCCAATCTGGATGGTAAGTCAGTACCTAGGTAGAAATCCTCTTAGAACGCCAGTGAAGATGAGACGTACCTGACCGCCGACGTTCGTCATGGCAAGAACAACGGCCTTCTTCTCCTTCGTCTGCGACAGTGTCGAGGACGCCCAGCCGATGATGACCGAGTTGACACTGTAAGCACCCATCGCGAAGATGAAGCACGCGACGTAGCGGGCTGCCGTGTTCAGTGTGGCGGCCGCAAGTGCAAAGCCAACAATGGCGATGCCTAGACCTCCGGTGATGTGCCACGTCCTCTCGTGGAGGCGTCCAGAACTCCATCCAAAAGCGATTCCAGCAGCGCCGGCAAAGATGAATGGCGGACAGGTCATGACGAGGGTGGTGGTAGTATTGAAGCCGAGGGTTTTGACAACACTGTACGTCAACAAAAATTAGCGTCCAAGAGCGATGGACCCTCCGTACGAGTCAGACGAACTTACGTAGGGAAGAATGAATTGAAAGAGCACGCCGAAAGGTGGAAGTTCTGCATGAGACAGAAGAGCCAGGTCCGCTTGTCGCGGCAGGCCTGCTTCAGGCCGTCCATGGCTGAGGCCTTGACGTCCGAAGAGTCCGAGACCTTGTCCCTTTGCATACGTGCATGGGCCAGCTCACGCTCATCCTCCTTAAGCCAACGCGTGGTTAGGGGCGTGTTCGGGAGAAACCAGAAGCCGACGAGGGCGACAAAACCGGTGACGGCTCCTTCAACGATAAAGAGCCATCGCCAGCCGGCGATACCCCTGAGTCCATCCATGCCGGCAAATATTCCTGCGGCAATCAGGCCGGAAAAGCCGGTGGCGAGGATCTGAGCACAGTATAAGACGGCGATGCGGGCGGCAACTTCGGTGCGGGTGTAGAAGATGGAGAGCATGTAGGTGGCACCGGGGTAGAACTTTGATATTTGTTAGTGATGTCCCATAAGTGGCCTAGAAATTGCATCACAACGATGAGAAAGCTTACTGGAGCCTCAGTAATACCCAGGAAGAATCTACAGGCCACAAGGCCTCCATAGTTCTGAACCAAAGCAGTGCAACCTATTGGTGGCGGTTGTGTTAGTTACAAATCAAGACTAGCATGGGTACCCAGAATTACATCTTACCGGATACCACAGCCCAGACCAACATCCATGCGCTCATGTATATGCCCGGCTGTATTCTGGTGATCAACATGTTGGAAGGAATCTACTGATTGTTAAATCGACTCTCCTAAAGCTGGCGACTCAGGCTGAACAAACCTGCATCAACACGTAACCGACGAAGAGACTAGAGGGCTGTCAGCTGAGCTTTATCAAGGCAGTGGTGTACGATTGTTCCTTACATGGAGACTGTGGTGTTGAATTCGGTGCCTGTCATGCCCAAGTCATCCTCTAAGTTGTTCAGTCGCGCCTGGGCGATCGCATTTCGATCGACATAGTCTAGATCAGGTTAGTTTCGATGGATCTGCATAGTCGAGGATCATACAACTTACTGAGGAAGTACATAATGCAAAGAGTTGGCTGAATTGACATTATCAGTACATCAGAATAGCATTTGGCATCATTGTCTTTCACCAACCATTATCCGGTAGTCAAGCTTTCGCACGAGCTTGATCTCCGCGGGATCAGTTTTCCTCGCGGTGCCGGTCCAGTCGCGCTTCTCATCTTGCTCAGGAGGCTTCTCGCCCTTGACGCTGTCAACATGTTCGACGGCGTTCGCCTGGCGGTCCACAGATGCAGACCGTTTCTCACTGGCGGCCATGTTGAGTTTCGTAGGGTTTAAGATCTTAGAGTTTGCGCCACACGATCGTTCCGCTAGCGATTGGCTTTGGCGGCGTTTCTCGGTTAAAAACAAGCAAAGAACTGAGAATTGGCACGCCGCCAGCGGCCTGGGTGTCTGGGCATTTATTACAATATTTCAACAGTTGGATCTGCTAGCCCACAAAAAGTATATTACACGTGCACCCAAGCCTGGGGTACAGCGAATCCGGGGTAGTCTCCAGCGAAAATGGAGCACTCTTCAGCGAATCCGGGGTATTCTACATAGGGTTCAATAAGCTGGCTGGACATGCGGGGTCAATATCTGGTATCCGTTGGCCCTTGTCAGCAGCGAGGTCAGGATTGATCTTGGCAGCGCCGTCGTCGGGGGAGAGGGCCCCAATGAGACACAAGCAGTTGAGACCAACACCGAGATCGCCAGTCAGAGGCCAAGACTGTGGCATGAGTAGTTTCTCGGCAGTCTTGGAAAAAAGGTGATACAGCATCCCTTGCCTTGGGTGCGGCGCGGGGTACTGCAGCTAGATATGGTGCCCGAGAAGAGACAGAGACTGACGGTCGATACAGACAAGGGGAAAGGGAGAGTACGACAGCATGGTCGTGGTCACGTAATTCGGACTCCGATTTATGACAACACTGTCATTGTGGAGAACTCCATCAGAAAAGCTGCCGGGATCCTGATCCTCATCCCTCACAAGATTATTTTGGAGGCGGTGACACGTTTCCACAAGAACTTCGGTCCTTGAGAAGCCGTGAGCGCGGAATTTTCTCAGACACGGCTTTGTCGTCTGCTCCCACGCTCCTGTCAAAGACACCAAAAGCCCAGACCTTTCTGGGCATCACGTTCGTCAGGTCTGACCGTGAGCTGGCCGCTGACAGGTGAAGCTGGAGGAGACCACAGCAATACCTTTATCACCCTTAATGGTATTCTTTCTTCTCAGCAGGCAGGAGTTGAACCGGCATCACATCTTGCTGCTTGAATTTTGCCTCTAAAGACTAATTCAAAGCCTTGACTCTATGTGCAACGACCCAGAGTGTCACAAATAGTAGATGCAATGCTATGCTGGCCAGGTCATACAGAGCTGCTCAGTATAACGGACTGTTCGTCTTGGACTTCGAGTGTGTTTGAGCTCACGTTATCCAGGATTGTTAGATCAACTACTACGTAGGCGGCTCAATCAAGTGTGGAAGAATTCCAGGGGAACGGTAGCGTATGGGATGTTCGCAGAGGCTGTGCTTCTTGGCGATGAGGAAGTCGAGGGTCACCAGCCAAGCTCATGCTGCATGCCGAATGTCTGACGGCCAATCGTCCATTTATCGCCCTGATTCTGCGAAGGACCGCCGAAGCCAGAACGACTCTGAGTTTTCTTCACATGGACATGGACTGCGCGTCCGTAGTTGTTGAGGACACTGGTAAAATAGTCGCTTCGAAGGTATCTAGCAGCCCATGTAGAAAGGCCAATTTGGTACAGTGGGACGCAAAAAGTCTTGCACACACCCCTGTTTTACACCAAAACTTACCAACTTTATTATCATTTTCAAAATAATTATAAAATAATATATTAAAAGTTTTTAATATATCTTAGAAAACTTTATAATATTTATATTTTTATATATTTATTTTTTATTAAAAAAACTTATTTATTAAATAATAAAAAATTTTATTAAGGATAAATTTTAAAAATAAGATTTTGCTAAGAAACTTAAAGGATTTTGCTTAAAATTCCTACCTTTACTTTTTAAAAAAGTATTATTCTTTAAATATTAATTTAAAAACCTTAAAACTTTTTAAATTTTAATTATAAATAAAGAAAATAATAATTAAAAAATATATTATAAATCTTTTTAACTTTTTTTATATTTAAATAATTTAATAAAATATAAGATAATAATAATAATATTATTTTTTAAAAGTTAAATAATAATTCCTTAATATTTTAATAAATATTACTTTTTAAAATATATAAGTAATTTTATATATTATTTAATATAATATATTTTATAATATATTAATAGCATAATGGAGTATTTTTAAAAGAATTAATAAAAACTAGGTGTAGGTAGTGAAAAGTAGGGTGTGTACAAGACTTTTTGCGTCCCACTGTACATGATGCTACAGGACTCAAAACTTTCCGGCGAACCGATCTTCACTTGTAGTCACTCAACAAGCTGCTACTGCAGCTGCGCTTAATAGTTAAGCCTACGTTGTATGAACCACGTTTCTGAGAGTCTCTAACACGTATCCCAATACCGCAAAAATATCTCATTGGATCGATCAACTGCATTGAGGAAAGCAGGCAAAAGACCACTGCTGGTGGTAGGCATGGTGGCGCAGGCTGATCTGCTGCTGCAGGCAGTGCAGATTTTACACCTGCATTCCGACCTAGGTGTTTGACTAGGACCACACATAATTGAGTCAGCGTACGCCCACCCAGCTTCTACAGTACGCCCACCCAGCTTCCAGCGTTGGCCCACCCAGTGTAAAGAAAATTAGCTGCATCCGCACTAAAATGTAAGTACTACGGGGTTCCTAATAAGCCAGGGTAGTTATTTTCTAATTTAAGCAATACTTTAAAAATATAAGCCTAAAAAGCCTAAAGGGCCCCAGAGCCCCCAGAGGGCCCCCGAGCCCCCAGAGCCCCCAGAGCCCCCAGAGCGCCTAGAGGGCCGCAGAGTGCCCAGAGGGCCGTAGAGCGCTTAAAGGGCGCAGAGGGCGCAAAGGGCGGCAAAGGGTAGAAGTAACTTTTAAGTTATAAATAAAGGGGTAGCTATAAAACCCCTTTAAAATAATTATAGCTATGCTTTATTAATAACCCTATAGTATTAATATTTTATAATGCATATAATTAATTTCCTTGTACTAGGTGGGCCAACGCTAAAAGCTGGGTGGGCGTACTGTGGAAGCTGGGTGGGCGTACGCTGACTCCACATAATTGACATGGGTAAGTATAATTGCTGCCGCTCCTCCTGTGGTGTTGTCTCAACCTCAATAACCTAGCACATTCTTCACAGAGCCGTCTTCGCGTCTCACCAATGCAAAATGTTTGCATTACCACCGTACGAGGAGGACTTTGTATATTCAACTACATTGCCCCAGGGGACAGGACCTCGAAGGCTTCTCAAGTTCAACCCCTCCACACCCGGCACTAAGCTGTCGCTGTCACTGGTCGATGCGAAACAAGGGGACAGGTTCTGTGCCATCTCCTATGCATGGAATCGACCTGTGTGCACACCGAGGTTCGATTTGAACAGCAATGTTTTCTGCCCAACGCATGGCACCGCACCCTGGACCAACAGCAAGGCAGTATGCAACAGCTATCTCAGCTATTTCAAGAGTGCCCCAAACGGATACACCGATATACTCATCGACGAGAACAATTTCTACGTTCAAGACACCGTGTTTCACCTTCTCCTGGCCACCCAAAAGTTTTTCCAGAACGGAGGTTATTTCTGGCTGGATTCTTGCATCAATCAGAACGATAGCGTCGAAAGAGGACAACAAACTAGCGTTATGCATGAAATCTACAAAGCCGCTCAACACGTATTCGTCTGGCTGGGTACAGCGTACGACAGTTCGGATATAGCCATGGACTCCCTGTATTACCTTGCACCATCGGCAAGCCCTTACGCGTCGTTGCCACACAGCCCTCTGCGAGCACAGTCTCACTCGCAAGATATCTCCCAGCAAGTCTGCTCGCTATTCGACAGGCCGTACTGGAGGCGGACTTGGGTGATTCAGGAGTTTCTGCTCGCCCGGGATGCGACACTCCTCTGCGGAAATCGAGCAGTTCCCTACACCAAGACCGAGTCTTTGGTCGATCAGCTTGAGGGCGATTATACATTCCGAAAAAGGTACCCACAGTTGTCCGCCACGCCCGCTGTAAAGCTCATCCAGGCCAGAAAAGCTTTCATGTCCTTTCCTGTGAAGCCGTCGCTGCAGCACATGGTTCATCACTTCTTGTTCACACGGAGCACTTTCCCAGAGGATAAGCTCATCGGCTTGCTGAGGGTGTCTCGCTCCACCGTAGAGACAGGTTTCAACGGAGAATCGGGAAGTCTTGAGAAACGAATGGAGGTTATCAGCGAGTTCGTCAGAGATTATCAGGGCCGAGCGATGGACCCAAAGACACCACAGCAGTGGCAGCACCTTCTAGCATGCCTATTGGGCGTGCGAGGCATCTTTCCGGAGCCTGAGGCAAGCCTCACTCCCCACCTTGGCTTCAATCCCCTCTTTCCCCCGCCTAGGAACTGTCCTCCTGCAACATCCACGCCATACCCTGGGAGAGTTGTTCCACCACAGGGAGCCCGGCAGCCGCCTCCTACAAGCATCCCGGTACTCGTTGTCGGAAATGTTTGGTCTTCAAAGCCCGCGTCATGGCTTGCACATCCCGTTTACGGAAATGGCGTGTCGCACATGCCGCCCCCTCCGACCCCTACAACAAGGATGCCGCGGCTACCTGGTTTCGCACGTCCACAATAGGCATTGAGGAGAGTTTTTAGGTTCACACAATTTGATGGCCTTTTGGCTCTCTTGCTATTGCCAATTGTACAAACGTGGAATATTACAAGAAGGAATAAACCCGGGGCAGAAAGTACTATGGACTCGACACGACTTTCTTTCTAGGCTGCGCGTGACGAGGTGCATTTTTGTTGGATTTCTGTTCAAAGCTTTCGTACTATCAGTCCAAGTGGATGGTAGATAGGTAACATAGCTCTCATTTCGACCTCCTCCTGAGCCATCACCCTCTTGCACTCTCCTTTGTGATCTTCACTGGATACATTTGCGGTCAAAAGGCGCAAGCAGGCGAGACTGGATTCGCCGGACAACACGAGTCTGTCCGTAGCAGCAGCTTTGTTGTTTAATAATTACTTCCGCTGCGAATTTGCGCCAGACTTGGAAACCAAAGGGCCACATTGCAGGTGTGTGAGCCGGTTGCGTTGATTGCCCGGCCAAATTAGTGGCCGGCCTCTTCTCTCAGCCTCGGCCGGGTCGTATGGTAGTCTGGGGTGAAACACGGCCTCAAAGTTTTGGGCCGCTGACGCAGGCTTGACCCTTTGCAGATGACGGCACCACCATTGTGGGATTGGGTTTCCCTTTCATATCATGCTTGAAGCGGCAGAGAATACAAGGCCTAAAATTAACTGTGTTGAGTGCAGAAACCCCTGCAAAGGCGGCGTAAATATTTGGCAACAAATTAAGCCTGCAAGAATTGCCCGTCCCTCGCAGCTTTAACCCTCACACATTGCCCATTGACCCTCAGGTAACGATCAAAAGCATCTCCTCCAATAACAAACGGATGATCAGCGCCGTCCGGTCGGTGATTCAGAAGATCAAAGTGGTACAATGAGCGGTCCTGGTTCTGATGGTTGGCGATAAGCGTGTCGACATTGGCCTCCTGCGCGAGATCAGCAAACCGGTTCAACGAAACGATCTGCTGATCCTTGGCAGATGCATTGCTCGGGATCCCGACGCCGCCGTAGAAGCCGGCCGTGTGCTTGACGCCTTGATCGTATACATCGAAGATAGTGGACACCGTGCCAGGCGTGTGCCCCGGAGTGACGTAGAAGTTGAACGTGACGTTCCCGAAAGTAAGGACGTCTCCCTCCTCAATGGTCTTGTCCTGGACCGGCCCATCTTGCACCTGCACCATGGCCTCCCAAGCCGTGGCCGAGGCGTACGTCGCGGGGTGGAAGTTGTCCTGCAGCCAGCGAGCCCCGCCATAGTGGTCAAAATGCTCATGGGTGATGATCAGGTGCTTGATGTCGCTGCCGGTGAAGCCGAGTGTTTCTAGGGCCGGAATGAGGATGCCCTCAGCCTCTGCGGCGTCGTTCAGTGAGTCGAAGACGACGAGCCCATCGCCAGTGTCGTATGCCCATGCGGAGACTGCGCTCTGACCGATGAAGTAGAGGTTGTCAAAGACCTCGCGGGGGGCGACGAAACCTGGGAGTTGCGTTGCGGAGGAGAGCTCTGGGTAGGCTTGTCCTAGGATACAGCGGTGTCCGAAGTATGCGGAGAGGTCTGGGCCTGCGAGATCGCGTGCTTCGTTCAGCCACCTGGTGACGTTCTCCTTTTGTTCGTTGGGAAAAGTGGTGACGTTGAAGAAATCCTGGAACTGGGCATGGGCGAAGCCAGTCAGGGCTGCCAAGAGGCTCCACTGCTTCATTGCGTTGAACTTCATGCTGGATAGAGGGCACGAGGGTTGAGAGTGGTCCCTCCTCACTGAGATTTCACGTAGAATTGTGCGCGTCTTTCATATTTATATTCAGTCTCCTTCCATATACCCTCATACCCACTCGCCAGCGGGCTCTGGAGTCCTACTATGGGCGGGGTGTGTGCAGCCAAGACCCGACCAGATGAAGATCCTCCCACGAGGCATGTCATTGCGTATGTACAAGACCTTGCTCATGAGGCAGGTAGTATTCACCTCGGAGTTCCCGGGGGTCATAGTGGAGCAAAGGATAAATATCCGGGTCCCGGAAAAGCATTTGGTATAGGAGCTGGGGATTATGTAGAACCGGTCAGGGCGCCGAGCGAACAGATGGGGAGCGGCTACTAGTCATTAGTTCGGATGAACCGTGGGAATTTGGGGTGAAGTGCCGCGTGGGGTTGGAACCGGTTACCAAGGACGGAACAAATGTGGGAAAGAAAAACAGCACACAAGTCGAGTCTAGCTGGAAACAGAGCAGTTGCTCCACTTCCCCATGGGGTACCACAAATCAAGGGTCTGCCCTTCAGTGGAAGCTACTACGTGAAACCTATTGGCCTTGAAATCCACCTGTACTTTCATCATGCCAAAATGGAGGCGTGCACCCCTCGCGACAATATCCACTCGACGTGGCTCTTGAGGTCTGAACCATGCAAAGTGGTATCCGAAGAGCATCCGACATCCAGTATTGCTGTCATTCTCAGCAACCGTACATTCATTGCAGATACGCAATGTTGTCTTGCTGGCAACTCATGCCAGCATGAGCTCGCACTGCGGCACAGTGCATTTGGAGGGTGGCCATGGAGGCGGCACATGGATATTTCAGGAAACACAGGGGCTGACTGTGTAGTGCTCTAACATGAACCTGAAAATTTCACACGGTCCGACGTGATGTTGGAACATGGTCGACGCTCCTGGCTGGCCCAGGGGCGTCAGCATCAGCCCGCCATGGGCCATAGGAACGGCCTACACACCTGGCAGCCAACGTTGGACTTGACCTTGGAATTGAACATTCCTCTATTTTAAAGGTCGCTCCCTGCATCAAACACCGTACTGGCAGAAACCTCTCTCGATCTCTGCACGACAACTCCTGTTATCAGACTAGAGCCAGGCACACGACATCTTGCGCCAGACCAACAATTGTTTGCTTATCTATCCCTCGTTCCAGTCAAGTAGGACTTTAGACCCGCCATCAAGCACAATGAGCTCCCAGCCCTATGTCCCCAGTGGCTCCGGACACATCAACTACTACAAAGGCGGGTGGAACATCGGACAAAAGGCCCGAGTCGGACCCCACAAGAAGGAGGCCATCTCCATGGCGCGCATCTACAACCAGCGCCCAGGACGACTGAGGATGCACGTCTACGGCGGGCCCACAAAGAAGGACAAGAAGGTCGCGACGGTCGAGACGGTCCCGTTCAAGAAGCAAGGCTGGACAAAGTGGCTGCGCTTCCTGGGAGTCCGCGCCCACGTCCCCAGCGACATAGACATCATCCTGTTCCCAGACGAGTCCAAGGGCGGCGACAAAGGCAAGTCGCACGGGGAGCGCATCGAGATCCGGGGGCGCCAGTTCCGCTTCACCGCGCCCGTGTCGGGCGGCGGCCGCCTCGAGACGTTCGAGTGGCGCTGGAGCGACGGCGGCGAGGTGGGCCACTACACGAAAAAGATCCCCGAGACCAACGGGCGCGGGTGGAAGCTGCTGCGGCTCGACACCGAGGGGCAGGACGGGAGCCGCGACCAGAAGGAGTGCGTGGCGGCCTTCGCGCAGACGGGCAAGTTCGGGTCCAAGTCGCACCGGTACCAGCTCTTCAACTCGGGGGCCCAGGGGAGGCTGGGCGAGCGGTTCGAGCTGTATGCGTACCTCACCTTCCTGGCCATCCTGGACCAGGAGGCGCGCGAGGCTGCCAAGGCGGCGGCGGAGAGGCAGGCTCGGATGAACCAGAGGAATAGGCAGATGAACCGGCGGTAATGGGCCGGGGGAGCATGATTCCTGTCCGGTGAAGTTGATGGTATTATAGTTTGTTTTAAGTCTCGTTTAGCAATACCACTGTTTACTGTAACGGCATCCGTTCACGAGAATTGTATGCTTTTGGCACCGATCAGTCGAGCTTAGGGAGTGAGGCGAGACCATAGCTGATCTCAAGTCCAATCTCAAAAAGAGTTCTTTCTCTGGTTCCCTCCCTGGTGTGTTCTGTTGGATTATTGATGTTGCGATCCACGCACTCAGTCACACAAGTACAGTAGGCGGGGAACGGTCTCGAACTACCCGGAAAAGCATATAATATATCTGGCCCGTTTCTGTCTATCTGCCCAAACACCAAACGCCCAGCAAGCACCTTACTTCTGAGCCCTCGGTGTCAAGTGGACCATCAGCGGCGGCTTCTGCCACAGGTTGTAGATCTTCTGGTCCAGCCAGCCCTTGCTCTCGGGCGCCAGCTTCAAGTCGAAGTTGAAGACGAGGCGGGCCATGATGGTCCTCATCTCGGCGTACGCCAGGTTGCGACCTATGCAATTCCTCGGGCCAAATGAGAAGGGCTGCATCGCCTCCTTCTTGTCCTTTGCGAATTTGTGGTTGTCGTCGTTGAGCCACCGCTCTGGGTGGTACTTGAAGGGCTCGACGAAGTTGTCCTCGGAGTGGTAGGTTGCCCACTGCCAGATGGCGACGTGGGTCTGTTGTGGCAAATGTAAGTCAGCGGGATTTTCCCATGATATTTACAGTTGGCAATAGTTGACAACTTACATCTTCGGGAACGTAATGCCCGCACAGCACCCTCCCGCCCTCGGGGACGACGCGCGGGTTGCCGATGGGCACGGGCGGGTAGCACCGCAGCGCCTCGTCCAGGCAGGCCAGCATGTACTGCAGCTGCCCGGCCGAGTTGATGTTGATCTCGGACTCCTCCTTGAACGTGGACCGGACCTCCTTGGTGAGCCTGTCGAGGGCGTCCGGGTTGTTGAGGAGCAGGAACGTGCAGCCCGAGAGCAGCGTCGCCGTCGTCTCGGACCCTGCCACGATGAGCAGGCCGGCGTGGGACTCGATGTCGACCTGGGGCATTTGCTGCACGTGTTTTGTCAGCAACTGCAGGAGCAAAGGTTGAGGCCGTTGTCACAACACCGGGGCGGGATCAAACTCACCCAGTCCTCCTGCTTCATCAGCAGGCCCTCGATCAGGTCATGGCGGACCTTGCCCAGCTCCATGCGCTTCGCCACCCTGTTGTGCGTGAAGACCTCGTGCTGCTCGTGCGACGCCATCAGGGTCTTGGGCACCATCTTCAGGAGCAGCCTCGTGATTGTCGGGTAGTGCGCGGCGGTCTGCATGTAAGCGCCGGCCTTGGTCAGGAAAAAAATGGTCTCGACCCACGAGTGCCAGTTAGACTGCTCGAGGCAGCCAAAGGACTCGCCCAGCGCGAGGTCGCCGATGACGTCGAAGGTGGTGAAGTTGTACCACGCCGTCATGTCGAGCGGCTTGCTACCCCCGGCGCAGTTCTCGCGCAGCCGCTTCATCAGCAGGTCGACGTACGACCGTATGATGGGCTCCTGCTCGCGCATCGACCGGTCGCTGAAGCCGTGGGCCAGCTGGCGCCGGATGATGCCGTGCTTCTGGCGGTCGGCCGAGATGATGTTGTCGGGGGCCTCGGGCACGGGCCGGTAGAAGGGCACCCACTTGCCGCACTCCTCGCCCTTGGGGTTGTGGCCCAGGATCTCCTTCCAGGCCGAGGCGTCCGCGAACGAGAGCTCGTCGGGCGCGACGCGCACCACGGGGCCGTACTTCTTGTGCATGTCTAGCATGTCGATGGCGAGTGTGCCGCTCAGGACCCGGATGTGGTAGGGGATCCGGGTGGCTCTCCACAGCAGCGGCCCTGGGTATGACCGCAGCGGGTGGAAGAATACATTGTAGATGAATGTGATGAGAACGTACGCGACCGTCGCCTGGGGAAGCTAGTTAGTGCCCGGATAATAAAAGCCCCCCGGTCCAGGCGTCGGCGCCCGGGTCATGCCACGACGTACAAGTGAGGTCCAGAATGTGAGCGTCGCGCAGATGCCCAGAAGGCCGCCATTTGTGATGGCCATTCTCAGTCGTTCAGTCCCCAAAGGGAGACGGGCTGATGAGTTAGCTTGACTAATTAGTTTATCGTCAGTTTAGTTCCGTGAACGAGTTGGCGCAGATCCGTGAAGGGAGAAATAGCTTTTGCGTGTTGTGCCGGTCGTGTCGGCTCAGGGACCAGATGGCGAGATATCAACCGTGTTTCATACGCAACCACGAGAATGGTCCTTGGCACCTTCGGCAGTATCAAAACCACATGTGCATCGGTGTTATATACGTTGTCAAGTGCTGCGCCGGGTTGACAGTCGGGATGTTGGACAGTCCCGCCACTTTTGCAATGCGCACAGGTTGATTGGGGCCACATAATCCCTCGCTTTGGGCAATTGTCGACGGTGGTGGGAAATGACATAGCCCAGCATCGTATTCGGGTCACGCAACGGCCAACCGCTCGCTCTGGGCGGAGCTCGCTCAACTCATGCAATGCCCAGACCCTGGCACGCCCCCCCCCCCGACCTGCCGAAAATGGTGTAATTGCAGTAAATCTTTGCGGCCACTACCGTGTCCGTATCGAAATCCATACAAAACCTACTCATATCTGGTATATTTCGGTCTGCCTTGGCGTGCGCGGCCCGGTGATGCGGCCTTGGCCCGTCGGTCACGAATACGATTCCGAGCAACCAAGCTTGTCCACGGTTACAGCTGCCTCGGCTTCATTTGGCTATGCCCCGCTGCGCAGGATATCCAGCCCAGATGATAATGGAAGCGCGTGCCCGCGGGCTGATTGAAGCAAAGAAACTCGGTTCGCCATGCACGAGATAGTTCGGACGGAATGCCACCTTGCGATCCCGCTGTCAACTCCTGCATGAGCCGGCTTATAGCTTTCCAGTAGTTTGTTTCCCTCGGAAGTTGTTGCATTTCAGGGTCTCAACGATGTTCCAGAACAGCTGCTTAAGTGGGATCACATGTAACGAACGAGATCATGTCTTATTTTCGTCCCATGTTGCCGATTAAATTTCTGTAGTATCGATTCACCAAGGTACTGACAAAGCAAGCCATTAACGTCCCTGGCCCGGGTATGGGCCCCCCCCCCCTATCTGGGCACCCCACATCCGCGTACGCGCATGCATGCGTCTGAACCCACCCCATAAACACTCCTTAATATCTTTACGAGGAAATTTTTTCTCCTTATTATTTTTCTTCACGGCATTAATTAATTTATTATAAAGCCTTATATAAAGTTAAATATATAAAACGCCCTTATAATAATTGCTAATAAGATATCTTAAAAGTAGGCTGTTAAGACTTAATATATCCTTTAAAGCATACTTTAATATTGCCTTAATAGCATTAAAAGTTATTAAAAGGCTGCTATGCCTTTAAGGCTTTTTTTTAATTATTAAAAGGCTTAATTAACTTTATTTATTATTAATTAATATAGCTTAAGATTAGCATTAATATAATATAAAATAAAGGCCTTTAAAGCTTAATTAACCTACCTTAATAAAGATTACCCTTTTTTTAATAAGAAATGGCTTAAAGCTTTTCTTTTTTATTATTCTTAACTTTAAAGTTAAAAGAATTAATATATTAAAGCTTTTTATTTTTAAGCATTTATAAGGGAAAACGTTAAATTATAATTTAACTTTCTTTAACTGCTTATAATTAAGTTTATTTAATTAGCTAATTAATAAAATATTAATAAAAGGGGGGTTATAAAGGGTTGCTTAAAAAATACCTTTACTCTTAGCTATTTAAATAATAACTCTTTATTGCAAAAAAACTTTAATTTAAAAGCTTAAACCTTATTTATAAAATATATATTTATTATAAGCAAGTTCTTTATACCCTTTATTATTTTTAAAAAATTAAGCATATAATAATAATAATTTCTTATTGCCTTTAAGGATTATAATGATTAGCAATTTATAATAATAAAAAAGGGGTAAATAAAAGAAAAAATAATAATTAAGTAGCTTAAAAAAGTATTTATTTTTTAAATTACCTTTTTAAACCCTTTTAATTAATATTTATTAATAATAAATAAGCATTATATATATATAATTATTAACTTTATATAAAAGTACTTCTTATATTAAATATATATAATCTTTTTACTTATATATATTTCTTATATATTGCAACCCTTTAATATAGCAATATTTTTTTTATTAAAAATAATATTTTAAAAGCATTTATACTTAATAAGGTAATATAACTCTTTATTAATAATAATAAAAAAAGGTTTTTTTATTATTATTATAAGGCATAATAAAAGGCCTTTATAAAATTAAATATATATTTAAGATAAAAGGTAATAAAGCTTTAGCTAATATTTAAGCATAAGGCACTTAAAAATTATTATATACTTAAAAATTAATAAATTAAGCATAAATTATTAAACTTTAATATAATAAAAAGCTTTATTAAGTAATTTTCTATATTAAAAACTCTTTTTTAATAATTAAAACTTATTTTTAAAACCCTTAAATAATTATAAAAGGTATAAGGTTTAATAGCCCATTTTACTTATAAGAAATACTTAAGCTGTATATTATAAGTTTTTTTTAAAAAGTTTCTTAAGGTATATAATTAAAAAAAAGTATAATTAATAATGATTTTATAAAAAAATTAGCAGCTAAAAGCTTAAATTAAAGCTAATAAGAAAATAATAAAAAGGAAGGTTTAAATTAACCTTATGCAGCTTTTATTAATATTAAGGCTATTTATTATGCCTAAATTAAGGTTGGCAAAGTATTAAAAAAAAGCAATAATTTAAAGGAATTTTTAATACTAACGGAAGAGGGATCGGTGATCATAATGGCGGGCAATTAACGTTAAGGAGAAGGCGTGTGTGTGTGGCGATGGGGTGCCCAGATAGGGGGGGGGCCCATACCCGGGCCGGGGACGTTAGACTTTGAGCGATATCAGAATGCAAAGCCATTCCACGCAGGCAAGAAGACGCACAAACGTTCTCAATGTTCGCCAACATGTTCAGCGTAACAACAGACCCTTATCCATCGTTCTCAAACCTTAAACCAGCCGTCTCCCTCACCGCACCATAAATCCCAGAGATATCACCCCTCAGCTCCCCTCTCCCACATCCATCCCCCTCCAGAACGTCCCTGCACCAACCCAAAGCCACAAACGGATTCCGCACCGTCGCCCCCGCCTCCTCAGCGAGCCTCACAGCAAGGCCCAAGTCCTTAACCCCCAGCGCCACGGCCCCGGCAGGCCGCTCCTCCCCCTCCCTCCAGTAGTCCCCGCGCAGCATCCTCCCGGCGTACACGTGGAAGGGGTTCGTCCCCGCCGGGCCCCCCACGAGACATAGCTCGACGAACTCGCCCACCGCCGCCGCGCCGACCCCGGACTTCTCGGCCAGCGTGAAGGCCTCCGCCAGCTGGCACGCCGCGCTGAGGGTGAAGGTGTTGGCGATGATCTTCATGCGCGGTCCCGTGCCGCACGGCTGGTCCGGAAAGGCGATGGCGGCGCGGGCGAGGGCGCCGCAGCCGCCGCCGTTGCCTGTGATGTACGGCGCTGCCCGGGAGAGCGCGGCGGCGGGCCCCGCGGGGAACGCGATGAGCTGGCCTGCTGCTGCGGCTGCCGGGGGGCCTAGGACCGGGCAGGCGAGGAAGTCTGCGCCGTGGCCTGCCAGGCGGTCTGCGAGGGTGTCTGCCGTGTCGGGGTGAACTGTTTCCGTGCCGATGAAGAGCTTGCCCTGGAGACCGTCTGGGTTGTCTGCTGTGGCCAGGTCGGAGATGATGGATTGGTAGGTTGATTCGACTACGGCGTCGTTGGTGAGGCACGAGAAGATTATATCTGCTTTGGATATGCCTTCTTTGAGGGATAAAACTATCTTGGTAGTCCCCGGAGGAAGTGATGAGGCAAGGTCGTGGCACTTTTGGGTGGTGCGGTTGTAGAGTATCAGAGGCGAGTCGAGGCAGCCGTGGGAGACGAGGCGTTCGCAAGCTGCCTTTCCTAGACTTCCGAGTCCGATCCACATTACTACGGGCGCCATTATGTCGTGCTCCAATGCGTAGTGGGAGTGATGAGTGGAGAGGAGTCAAGGTGTAATGCCTCGAAGAATCGTGTGAGTCAAATATGCGATCAGGAAGGTCCAGGAACCCATACGCAGGTGCACCAACGACATCAACCAGAACACAGGCGACTATGTATACTCGCGACAGAGCACATGACACCACCCAAGTCAGTCATCGCCGTCTCTGACGTTGCGGCCGACCGCGCCTTCCCAGCATATGCCGTGATGTGTGCTCGCGGATGCTTCGCGGAGGATCCGCGGAGCTCGAAATGTGTGACCGTAAAAGGTGTGAGGCTGACGTCTGAGAGTTTCCGCCGCCACGTACTGCCAGTTATACCTCCCTACGAAGTATGAGTTATCTATGTACACGGATTCTCTAGGACGCAGCTCTGTTCTCCTCAATCGCCTGTAGACAAAAATCCTAGGTTTGCTTATGCTCAATTCGCAGACACATCTTGCCGTTCGTTGCCCACACTTATTCTCACACTTATTCTCACACTTCCCAATCACAACTTTGACAGAAAGCTCAACTACCTACAGCTTAGAATAAAATTGAACTTGACGCCTTTAATTAACAAACCGTTGTGTACTAATATCGATCAATTCCAAAATTGATTAGTTGACAGCCAGCTCCCCAAAGACACACCGCCACGAGTGTCACAAGGCAGGTTGCACAAATGCCCTACGGTAAGACAGAAAAAGCAACACCTCTGTTTGATATTGTCTCTGGTCTGAGTCTTGCATATCCACGAGTGTACCCCGCCAGGTCGCCGTGCCGTCCCGTTGACGCATGGGCAACTGTTGCCGATCAGCCCGTTGTCCTCACATGCCCCTCACCTGAGTACCACCCATGCAACTCTGCTCGCGAAAGCTTTGAAGCCAACATGTGGGCAGGCTATGACCTACACTCCTTCAGTCTGACATTCACAGGCACCGAGATGGAAGACTTTGGAACCGATTTCTTGAAATTCATTAATATGACGTGACTAAAAGAGATCATGTTGTCTGAGCCAGGTCTGGCGTCTAAGGCCCGTTCCCGTCCGCTCCATGACTCCTGTGTAAAGATATTGATATGTGCAATCACGCCACCCCGAAATCGATCCGTCATAAATCAATGTACGGCGTGTCCCCGTCTCTCTCTTCAAGCCATACAATCAGCTTTGGGTATTACATTTCCAACACACGAGGGTATCCACAATTCTCTCCTTCTTTCTCGACATTCCTCTACTTCTTTGCCGCCTTTCAAGGGCGATGCTTAGACGGCCGAGCTGCGGTGCTCGGCGGCCTCGACAAGACCCTTGTCCGACACGCCGGGCTCCAGGCCACCGGCGAAGGTGGTGGTGGGCTTCCAGCCAGCGGAAGTACGGGGGGTCGTCTCCTCCATCATGCGGTCGACCTGCTCCAGCGACAGACCCTTGGTCTCGGGCACGAGGAAGTAGGAGTAGACGAAGGCGCAGGTGCAGAGACCACCCCACACGAAGAAGACGCTCGACTTTAGGTTGCCGTGCGTCTCACCGACCATGTAGGGGGTGATGACGGCGATGATGGTGTTCCACAGCCAGTTGGAGGCGGTGGACAGGGCGACACCACGGGAGCGGATGGGCAAGGGGAAGATCTCGCCGATCAGGATCCAGGCGCCGGGGCCCCATGTGGAAGCGAAGAAGAAGATGAAGATGGCGATGAAGGCAATCTGGGCGTTCACGGCGGGGATGTTGTCGGCGATCGAGGCGTCGGGGTCCGAGGGGTCTGGGTGGGTGTGGTTGAAACCGACCGTGACACCAATGATGGCGACGAGGAACTGGCAAACAAGCATACCAAAGGCACCGATGATGAGGATTGAGCGACGGCCGAACTTCTCAACGGTCCAGAAGGAGATGGGGGTGGAGCACACGTTGACGAGCGTGAAGATCAGTGAGATAAGGAAGGTGTTGCTGATGGCACCAGTGGACTGGAGGAAGGCGTAGAGTAGTAGAAGATGAAGTTGACACCGGTCCACTGCTGCATCATCTGCAGGGAGGTACCGAGAATGGTGCGACGCAGGTTGGACTTTCCGGTCCACAGGGAGCCCTTGAAGCAGTTTGCCCAGGAACCGAACCAGGTGGTGTTGGGGATGAGCTGACGCTCGTACTCCTCGTTGGCGACAATCTCGGCAAGCTCGACCTGGATGTACTCGGAATCGGCGGGCTGGCCACGGAGGCGGGACAGGGAGTCGGTAGCGCGGTCGAGGCGGCCACGCTTGACGAAGTACCGGGGCGAGTCGGGCAGGAACATCAGACCAACGCCGAGGATGACACCCCAGGGGAACTGAATGCCAATGGGGATGCGGTAAGCCCGGGTGTCTCCGTAGTGCTGAGAACCGTAGACGACGCAGGCGGCAAGCAGCAGACCAATAGTGATGCAGAATTGGTAGCCAGCGACCAGAGCGCCACGGACTTTGCGGGGGCACTGCGGAAGGCAAATTGTCAGCTTCAGCTTTCTCCAAAGGGCGCGCGAAGCTCCCGCACCTGGTGCTCAGGCTAGCAGCTCTAGCCTGAGCATTTGGCCAAGGAGCTCGGGGGGCACAACTTACAATCTCAGACATGTACAAGATGACGATGGCAGACTCGAAACCGACACCAAGACCAGCAATCAGACGACCAGCAACGATTGTTCCGAGGGCAGAAGAGTTGGGCGTGGTGGCGACCTGGACGACGACACCGAGGATGTAGATGAGACAACCGGCAACGACAGTCCACTTGCGGCCAATGAACTCGGCGACATCTCCAGCGATGAGAGCTCCGAAGAAGGTACCGGCAGACAGGATGGAGGTGATCAGAGACAGGTTGGAGTCGGTCAGGGCGGTAGCATCGGAGCCCTCGACGGCCTTGTAGAAGGCTGCGGAGCCAGAAACACCGTTGATGTAGCCAGAGTCATAACCAAAGAAGATACCACCGAACGAGGCAAAGGCGCAGATGAGGTAGGCCTTCCAGGTAACGGGGGCCTCGATGCGCTCGACATCGGTGGTGGTGTGCAGGCCGGCAGCCGCAACGACCGAGTTGTTGCGGCTGTGCTGCTTCTCGTCGGTCGACATGACGGGCGAGCGAGAGCGCAGTAGGTGGGTTTTATTCTTCGTTCCTCCGCTTGTTGTCGAGTATGTGGGGTGTTCCTTCCCTCTGTTGCAACACACGACGAAAGTCAGTTCTGACACTGACTGACGACCTTGAGTATTAGGAAGGTGGGGGTTGAAAAAGGAAGTTTTGGAATGAGGCGAGCAACCACACAATCAGCAGCATGAAAGGGAAGGGGGGTGATGGGATATCGGGACCTTTTATGAACTCGGGGGTCCTCCGTACCAAAGGTACTTGTTGCCTTCCCCAACTGGTTCCTGGCCCGGTGCAACGATGGAATTTGGGAGATGGAGGTAGGGGAGCACTGACCGTGGATGACCGGGGTACCGGGGGTTGCTTTGGGGGGGGGGGGTGATTTGGGATAAAATCTCAGCCTTTTTTTCTATCGTACGGCGTAAAATACGGCTGTCGAGGATCGCTGCTCTGGGTCTAGGTCTCTCGTAAAATGCAAGGCGGGATGTGGGTGGACGACTCAGGACTGCCAATTGGACTAGTTTAGCAGGAGGTGCAGCTTCTTGGGGACGGACGGGGTACGGGGTACGGGGTACTTGCAGAAGCGGCAGGGGGGCAGGGAGCAGGGGTCCTGTCTTTCTGGAATTGGCAGATGGGGAAAATAGACACGGAAAGGGGGGTGGGTGTACACGATGCACAAGGAAAGGCGAGACGAGGAAGGAAGAGAGATGGAGGCACCGGACGGGACACGGAAGGAGGCAACAAGGGTGGCATGCCGCTTCCGTGTGTGGTGCTGCGATGCAATGCGTGTCAGTCTCGTGGTGACGGTAACCAGTTTCCGTTGGAAGGAAGAGACTCTTCATCGAACGACGCCCGCTCGGCTCGGCTGGGCTCAGAAGGCCGGAACGACTATCTGGGAGTGAATATGACCAGTGAGGGCAACGAGTTTAGGTCAGTTTGCTGAGGTTGTCATCGTGGGTCATTCGAGTCAATCGACTCATCATTCATCGCTCGCTGGCTTACTGCTTCACTCAGTCGCTCGGATCGTTTGCTCCTGACCTCTCTAGCAAACCATTCATGGACTCCTCCCAAGCATTGATCGCCGCCGCGTAGCTCACGATCCACCTCTCTTTGTACAGTAGACCACAGCTCGAAACAAACGGACCATCTCGCCTCCAGGAGGGAGAGACTGGTCACCAGCTGCATGACGTGCACCACACAGGCGTAGAGGCTCTACTCCGAGCGCATCGTCTGAGGGTTTCTGGGCACAGAAGGCCACCCCCGACAATCTGGGGAAGGTTTTGCCATCGCGTCGCCGAGTCGCGTGGCGTCTGCGGGGACTTGGGGAGGATCTGGCTGCTTCTGCAGAGCCTGGCTGATGACTGGCAGGCAGGCCAGTCCCCGAGGGTGAAGGTTCATGGCTCCAAGCCCACGCCCCGAGGACAGGCCGGTCCGAAAACAGTACCTTAAGAGGGACGCCCCAGAATAAGGCCATGGTAAGGCCGAACCCCATCAACCGGCCCCAGTCCACTCGACACTACCCCGGCTGTTCCAAGCAGGCCCACTGGCTCGGTTTTTCCGGGGTCGCTCGACCTGCAGGAATTGTGGGTTGTGGATTTGCTGTTGGCACAGGGGTCCTGGAATGCCTAATCACAATGTGAGCCTCTCGTCGCCCTGCTACAGCTCTTACCACATTCCTGGGTCTCGATCTCGATGAGCACCAAGCAGAGTGCACGCCTCCGTGGGGCAAGAAAGGGCCTTTGTTGGTCAGGCTTTGTCGCACTCCTCGAGCCTCTGTATGTCTGGACGCCGCTGACTGGCTGATCCGGCATTGCTGTCGTCCGGAAGCGGCTGGGCTCAGTGGTCTCAGTGGCGGGATGGATCGATCAGCTGAGGGCCGAGTACAGAAGGCCACGGCAAACATTCTGGCAGAGCACATGCACAGCTTGCCGTATTTTACGCGTGCGCGACAGGGGGACGGGGGTTTGTTGCCCGACGGTTGCAACATCCGACCAGAGAGAAGCGCCGAAAATGCTATTGTCAATGACCGGGGGCTAGGCACGCTGGCACGCCCTTGCCGCATCGCAAGCTTCTGACTTGCCGCACGGCATAGAACCCTCATCTCGTTTCGAGCTCCTGCTGCTGCGAGGCCAGCCCGGCCACCGTGGGACGCCTGCAGCCTGCCCGTTGAATGATGCAGAGTCAACACTCGGTAGCGGACGATACCCAACATCCTCGCCGATGACAGTCGGCGCCAGTACGTCTTGTTACCTGCTGGTCCTCCTCCGCCCGGTGCATCCGTTCCACCAGCTTCCCCCAGCCGTTCCCCAACCCCAGAAAAGACGGCCCGGTCGACTGCCTACGCACACCACCCTCTTGGAACCAACGATCCTTGGGCCAATCTGGAGCCATCGGACGAGCATCCCAATGGGCCAATGCTCGGTCGTACTTTGACGCTAATCGTCCCCGGGGTCGTCCCTTATGCATCCTGTCTGGCTAAGACGCAAATTGGCCGACTCCTGCCCGCCACGATCTGTTGGCCACCGCTGTAGGCACTTGGTCAATTAGCAGACTTTCTCGGCCCAGTCTTTCGACGAACGGCACGATACTCTATCCCACACGTCTCAAAAAGGGAAAACGATGGACTCGATTGGTGACAGCACCCTCATGCTGAAGGATCTGGAATACCATCCAATATGCCTGTTACAGGTGCTAATTGGGCACGCGGGCTGACTGCCAGACGCCTAGACTTCGGGTGTGCAGCGCGATCGGGGTGGTTGAGCTTTTGGTTGGGACTGCTTGAATTTACAGGCTCACGATGGCTTCCTGTTTTTTCCTATGTCGTCGTTATCTCCCACTCCACTTCTTCTCCATTCCGGGGCTCCAGATTCTACCACCCTCCGCAAATGCTCCAGCCTGCGTGCGAACTCGGCCCACGCGACTCCAGTCAATAAATTGGAACCGGCAGAGCCAAAAAGGGCCGATCTAAACCCAATGGGGCCGGAATGTGGGTGCCAAGGCTTTAAGCTTTGTTTGAAAGCTGACAGTCCAGGCCCTTCTGGACGCCCGAAAGGATTCAGCCAGCTGTACGAGGTAATAACTGGGGCGCTGCGTCTAGACGAGCGCGCTGTCGCTAACCTCCACAAGATATTTGCCCGTCCAACATCATTGTCTGCCATGTGCAGACTGTGTAACACCAGGCCAATGTTTGAATCTTGTCACCTGTCCCCGGTTTATTGTTAAGACAATGGGCATGCCAACGTATGGCAGCCTTGCGCAACAACGATCGGCCGTGGAAGATTTGTGAAGGACTGTATTTTCCAAGGTATCTGTACTTAGACCAGCTCGACCGCGGACGATGAATGCTGAACCTGGTCACCGCACCGCCCACCCCGTCTCCGGCACCTCTCCGAATGCCGTTGGATCCGGACCACCTCGTGAACTTCACCTGGCAACACCGGCCGCTTCACCATGAGAACCTGTGAATAATGCTTCGTCATTCGTCCTGTCAAGCGCGCCCGTAGTTCAGTCCCGGCGCTCTGGGTCTAGGCCGCCCCAGACGCGACACGGTCGCCTTTGTCCGATTCCACCGCTCTGGCCGCCTGCCTCGGCAATCTCACCTACTGCTCAACGCTACGACAATGGCATCCAAGATTCATTACGAGGCTCATGGATTGGGACCCGCCCCGTGATGTCGACCGGCCCGATTGTGGTTTTAGCCAAGCCGCCGAAGTCGAGAACGGCCAGAAAATCGACACGTCTGTACAATGAGCACCCCACAATCTCCCTCTCCACGGACTCCAATGGCAAACTTTTACCCCGTGGATCCTCCAGGAAATGAGTTGGCCCATCAATACTACCCAATTTGGTGCGCCGGATGGTAGGGGTTAGTGGCCACCGGTGGTAGGCCTCTCGTGAACTGCGCTCCGACGATGGCACCCAACACAAGCCAGAGGTGCTGATGGCGGGCGCAGCATGTACCACGGGTTCAACGATGGTGACCAATTCCACCCTTCACCATCGCCCACCCTCGATCGCTGCCCTGCTGGCCCAGCTGTCTGGATGGTCTCCAAACGCCACTACCTTAGGCGTCGTCCCGGCTGTCTGTCACCCGCACATCCTTAGCGGCTTAGCCGAAGCTACCATCCCAGCCCATGTTCTTCAACCCAAGATCGCACGTGCAGTCACATTGCAACGTCGCAGCCCACACATGGGTTTGCCACGAGTTCACGGACACGATCGTCCTACCCTGCCGCAGAGCTGCTGCCCACGACGATAGAGCTGACAAGTGATCTACCTAAGGACTAAATATGTAGACAGCCATCACCTTGTGATGGCTCTCGATCGGATCTCTCCGAACACAAGAGGGTGCGTCCTGGGTTGGGTAAGACGATGAACCTCCTACGTCCCCCCCCCCTCCTTGTCTCGTGAAGTCACACATAACCTACTCCTAGACTTGTCTGAGTCAGCACGACTTCAGAGAGGGACGAGCCTCCTGTGCTTTATCGCCCAAGGTTTGTGGGCTTGACGTGGTCAATGTTCAACATGTGCCATGCAATCTCATGTTCCAAGTCCCACCATGGCCATATCGTTTCATTCATGGAATGACAATTAGTGGCTTTGTCGAAAATCCTTCAGGTATATGGAGACTTCGGCGTCTACTCGGCAGGAAGCGCAACGCAAGCGCAGCCACAGAAGCAGCCCGCACGACGGTAGTCCCGTTCAAGACAAGGCGTGCTTGTAAAACGCGTACCTCTTGTCTCGGACCATGTTCGAGTTTAACACGCCTGACCCCGCGGTCCGAAAGGGAAGGGACGCGGGGAGCTGACGGGAGGCAGGGAAAAAGGGCCATGCGCGTTTCCTTCGCCCCCTCGAGAGACCCGCGTGACACCCGTGCTACCAGCTGGAAACCGAGTGGCTTCGAGGTCCCGCCTGGCCGTCGTCGCACACGGTTCAGAGTTTTTTGCTCCCTTTCTTCTCTTTCGTGGGACGTCCCACCCGTCGGGCCTCGCAGGGCAGGTGCGACGTGGCTCTGTCTTGCTTTGAGCTTGTCTTCCTGGCTCCATTCAATGTTCAATTCTTGAATGAGCGGAGGCCCTCGTGGCCCCGCGTACTTGCGGCTTGTCGCATGGCTAACGGGAACTCAGTCGCCCGAAAGGGATGTCCACTTGTTTCTGGTTACAACCTTTTAGGGAACGAGTTTCCTCATCGGTCACTTTGCGACTAGTTGATAGGTACGCGAGATCTGCACGGCGCTTTCATTTGGGAACCTGCGTGGTTGTAGGGGTACAGCTGATGGTCAGCCGCATCTGACGCTGTGGTGGTACACGAGCTTCCATTTGGCAAAATGGTTTTGCAACGGATGGAAGATCATCACTTGTGGCTCGACTTTAGTTTTGTTCTCTCACCCTGCCACAAATACCTGCTAGTTATCTTATTATACCCACATGTCCTGCTCTCAAAGTATTTCACTTATTTCAAATTTATTCAGATACAACGCCATTCTCTTTTGACCCCACCTTTTGATCTTCAAAATCGTATTCTCTGTTGGCAATGATCTCGGCCGGTACCGCATTTTACTCCTAGTGGAAGAGAATGGCAGAATATTTCGCAAGCTGGGCCTTGAGGCCAAGGACAAGCACGGTCTGAGAACAGCACGAATCAATTTGAAGAGGGCACAGATGCCGAATTCTTGTCCGAGTACGGTGTGTTCGCCGACAGTACGAGCCACAATTTCCTCGTATGCGGTGTCCCATTCTTTGAAGGATGTCTTTGTGTTCTCATCTTTCAGCTTCAGAAACCAATCTGGATCTGCATCAAATGTTATCCTTTGGGAGATCAATGCAAATTGAGTACTGAGAAACATACCGATACTGTTTAAAGAAGCCCAGTTGTCCCCGAGAACCTGCTTAACCACTGCATGGTTGATCTGGTAGAAGAACGAGTTGCTGCGCCGCTTGTTGTAGTCCAAAAGCATCGGGACACCGAAATGGCTGGGCTCCTCGGGCTCGTCCTTGTCGAACCAGGCGTGGCCCAGTCCACCGAACGTGTACTGGGTCCAGTACCAGCCGGCCTCCCCGTGCTCGGGATCGCTGTACGGCGATGCGTCCAGCCCTGGCGGAGTGCCTGGCTGGGCACTGCCAGTCAGGTAACCCGTGAAGCAGTGCACGAACTCGTGAGCCAGGAAGACCGAGATGCAGAAGACCGCCCGCTCGAGACTCATCTGAGCGTTGGCTTGGGCATCTTGCAGGCGCTGGATTGCTGCCATGGTGCTGCTGTCCATTTCCCTGTTGCCATTCTGAATCTCTGCGTTTAGAGCCTCCTGTTCTTTGGTGCACTGCTCGACGCTCCTTGCTGACCTAAGAAGGCCATCTACCAGCTGCGACCTGCGGTTAGAACAAAATTTACAAGCCAGGTTTGGGGGTGGTATTACTTACACACTGGTGTATGTAGACGACCGCGCTGTTGCGGCAGTCATAGTCCTCCATATTACTCCCCCACGTCCACCTCTGCGTCAGGCCGTAGCCAGAGAGGCTGTCGCACACACAAATCGGGATCCCAAACTCCCGGACCTGCCGCAGGAACATCGCAACCCACATCCCCATGTCCCTCAACTCGCCCTTGTAGATCCCCGCCGCCGGCCGTCCGCCGCCAGCCCGCGCGGCCTCGAACCTCCGCTCCGCCACGATCTGCATCCCGACGCCGACGAGCACCCTGTTTCCCCTGCCCTCCTCGAGCAGCCGCAGCGCGAGGTCGACGCACCGCGCCAGCGCGGACGTGGTCGCCTCGTCTGCGGGTGGGCCGGGGGCCATGCGCTCGCGCCTGCTCGGGGCCAGGGGGAGGGCGAACTTTACGTCGCGGGTGAAGAGGCGGAGGCCTGGTCTTGGGGGTTGTCTTGTGCGTCTGGGCTTGGATATGCCGGGGGAGGAGTGGTTTGGCTTGGGAGGGTGGGGGCGCTCGATCTCTTTTGCGATCAGGGATGGCGGGATGGGAGTGCTTGTTGGCGACCGTATCGTATTAGGGGTTTTGTTGGGTTCTGCGTGAGGTTCGGTGCCATTGACAGGACTCGTGACACGTGTAGATATGTTGCTCATGCTATCGCAGTTCCTGTGCGGCTGAGTGGAAGATAGCTGCTAGAAAGAAATGTGGTTCTTTTTAGCGACCAGCGTCGATGAGTATGAGAGAGCGACTTCGGTGGTTGACTATTGAGATGAGTTGGTAGGCAAGGAGGACAGAAATAGAGTCGGGCAGGCGACGATGTGAACTGTTGCGATATGTTGTCATCTGCAGAAGGCGGGAAAATCAGTGTAAACTTTTACTTGACGATTGGAACTTCCCAAAAGCGATATATCATGGGAACGGAATGTTGGGCTATGCTGAAAGTATTGCTCTCTACTTGGTGCTTTAAGATTCGAGTATAGCATCCCCGTCGTCTCTTGAGGGCTCTACCACAGGTCATCTAGTCTCAGCTCACAAATTGCTTGAAAAAGGGATAGTCAACAAAGGCTCTTCTCCGTCCATAGGAGAAAGGGTCTATAGGACAAAAGGATCAGCTCTGGTGTATGGAACTTTGGATAAAGAAGCCGCGGGATCTTCGCATTAAAGCAAGTCCCTATTTCAAGTTTAGAATCGCCAGACACGATTTGACCTTAACTTTCAAATGTGCACACCAAGCGTTGGACGCTACGTCGGCAACTTTAGGCCAAAGACCAACTTGTTAGACTGAGGTCACGTTGAAACATTATGCACACATGCTCATAGTCATAGGGCTCAATTTACAATCCAGATTTGCTAGTGCAGGCAAAGACGTCTGAGCCTCCTCATCAGAACCCATCATATCAGCAGCTCCAGCAAATACGACGCTGTTCGAATCAAATACGGATACTAAATTCATCTTTCTGCAGGCTACATGGCCGAGCTAGGATGATATGCTAGCGTTGTTAGGCTCGACCTTGAAATGGCGCTAATAGATGAGAATGCGTGATTCCATATATATGTTGAGTGGATAAACTCATTACTGATGCTGCAATGCGAGGGAGAGGCAGTGTCCCATGAGCTTTGTATATCCAGTCGAGGCTTAGCTAGAGCTCAGATGTGGAGACCTTAGAAGCCACTAATGACTTCCTTCCACTTGAGGGGACATGTGTAGGAAGATGGTAATAGGTTTAGCCTAGGTCATGGGCAAGGCGTTATCACCTTAGAAATTGTAAGATACATATACATCCTGAGGCACCATGTTATGAGGCTCATGGCCACTGTCGAAAAATCGCAAGAGTCCGCATATATAACGTGTTTAGTTTGTCCCATTTGAAATCTTGTGCAATTTGATTAAAGGTCACCGGTATTCCACCATTCTCAATTCTCCAATGGCGGCATAGATGGTGGACGAATAATGATAGCCTTTCCAGCTTCTCTTGAATTGGGCCTCATTAAATTGAATTTCTTAACTAACAAGTAGCCGTCTGAGCCCAACCACCAGTAGCCTCAGTATCGCGTGACGCACAGGTGCCCTAGTTACAGGAAGACGATCGTATTAAATTTGCCATTTGGCCTCTTCAAATACTCAAGACCACTTAAAATCCATTTGAATGCAAGACTATCAACTCATTGAAAATGTATCCCATCCACAAGGCCTATCTGTTTGACTACCTTTTCGAAGGAAACAAATCCACCTACACCCAATTCAACAATACCTCTGACCCAATAAGAAGTATGAAAGTATCGGAGGATATGCATCCCCCAGTTTCACCCAACTACTTCCTCAGAAGCTCCGTCAAAAAGTCAAGCAAGCTCCAGTACGAGGCCCCCACAGAAATCCTTCAAGCTATCTTTTTGGAGCTTGCCACTATAAATGACGCCAAGGCAGTCATTACCACATGTCACAGGATGAATGACGCCTTCAACGGCTACAAGAAGACGATTATTTGGACCATCCTTTGTCGCGAGTTGGGACCAACGTTACCCGGCACCTTCGGGGCTCTAGCGATCTTTGTGTCCCCTCGCAAGGGGCCCGTCGACGAAAAATTGTTTCTCGAGAGAAAGATGTCCGCCCGGTACTGGGCACCGATGCTGAGGGAGCACGGAGAGCTCGCACGGAGGCTACTTACGCTTGCGATGGCGGCTCGGATGCTGGCTGTGTATCGGCGATTTCCCAAAGAGGTCAATTACAGCGCTGGCGGGGAGTGCTCAGCCTGTGTGAGCAGCACGTTGGCGGACGGAGACTGGGATCCCAGGGAGGAGAATACGGTTGGGAATTGTCTCGAGCACTTGTTGCAGGCGAATGCTGTGCGTTTCCGGCTGAAATGCCGTATGGTACTGGACTATAAGAAGCCCGCTGAAATTCCGGGTGTCTGGAGGGGGGTCTCTGGTCTGTGGTGGGACTGGTGGTAAAGTAAATTGTCGCGAATGTTTGCTAGTGGAATAATTACAATTGTCACACTCGTCTCTGGACATGATCCTACATGACTTATGAAACCGCGTTCGCGGTTCAAGAACGCTATTGCACGATTGCTCCTCAAAAATATGCTCACTGCCGTTATTCTTGCTTAGGCTTTGCAGCTGAGGCCAAGATTTCGGTCTGAAGGGGACTCTATAACGTGCGTTTCCTACTTTGGACTGTCCCCAGTCATACGTAATCGCTTTTGCAAATTCAGCCAAGATCAGGACTCGACTTCCCAGTTCGACTTGAAGCTTCCAAACCTGTTGGCTGATATTGAAAAGGAGCCACAAAACAATTTCATCCACATGAACCACCGGCATGTATTTGGGTTGGTGGACAGTGCTGCGTGTTTAATAGTGTAACAAGGCCGGATAACATGTTGACAAAGCATTCCGGCAAATTTGGCCGCGTTGACAGCTGGTGCCTTTCATACGAAGGTCCAATTGCAGACAAAGAACAGGTGAAATTGTGGTAATTCAGGTAAAAACACCAGCCTCCTGGTTTGGGACTTCAGGTTGCAGGGATCCCAAACGGCGACATGCAACTTTACCAGGAGCTACACCCTTCTTCAGGGTGGCCACGTACCAATAACATAGACTATAATACTAGTATATTCTAGGCTTATTTATGCATAATCGCAGCGTCAACCAGCCTGCCTCACCGAGCAGGCCTATGAGCATAGTTGCTTCTTTTGGCCCCTCAAAATGTCTTGATGATTTGCGCCAAGCCTCGGGTCGAGGCGATCTCCACCGCACCCAGGGTACGGCACCGTGTATCCGCCAGCTTACAATGGGACGAACGTGAGGAAAAGAATTTTCCGGAGCGGCAACGGTTTCTAATAGTTGGATACTGGACCCGCAAAATCCTCGGTGCCTATGTTGTTGTGACTATCGTTCGATGCCGCCGGGGGCTCAGCGAGTTTCAGCCGAGAGCTAAGGCCTCACGCTGAGCCTTGAGGGCCCTTTGTGAGGTGGGACACGGGGCCACCCGCCGTTTTACAGTGCTTGACTCCTGAAAGGGTGTGTTTGTGACTGATCGCTACGTCACGCCAGATTCGCCCGGGACTCGATTTCCCGGGGTTTCCTCACCCTCCCCTCCAGCTATCACAAAACTATGTGATACTTTTCCACCTCTTAGCAGGGCCGGCCGGCTGAGGTGAGCAAGGTTGCCCGGCCGGGGTTTTGGATTTGCACTAGCATGACCTGCGACGAGGGAAACATGCACCGCCACGACTCAACCTGAGACAGCAAACACATGTGCAGCAGGCGGGAGAGAAATCACAACGCAGAGGGGACTTATTATATCACCGGCCGATGTCCGTCTGGCTTTCGGATGGCAAGCTTCAAATTTGTCCAGTCGAAGTCAAATCGCGGACCGTCCATCTGATTTTTCTCCCAACGCTCGCTTCATTGCAACCAACCACAATGTCTTACTCCTGGGGAATAATAATCTTCGCCGCCATTTTCGGCATCACATCGGCAGCGCCGTCATTACTGCCTCGTCAGGCTGCAACAACACAATTGACATTTACCGGTGCGGGGGCTTCCTTCAGCGTAACTGCACCTGTGGACGGGAGTGCAGTTACACTGAGTAAGTTGTCCCATTTCGTGCAACGCATTGCTATCACAATTAAGCTAACTTATTCTAACAACAGACAACACCCTGGCCGTCGATTTCATTGCTCAAGCAGGAACCGCGAGCTGTTCATTCGAAGGCGTCGATGGAGTAAAGCTTACCGTGCTCGGAGCCAACTCAGGTGCTACCATCGCACCGCCCCAGACGATCGTGCGTGCAAGCTGCCAATAACTGCATTTTATTCATTCGCAAAGCTGCTTTTTCACGAGTTACGAAAGATGGAATCCCGGACGGCAGGCCGTTGAACTTATTCCCACCACGACCAAATTCCAAGGCGACAGTCGTACATAACATTCCTGTGTAAATGAAAACAATTTGACGTACAAAGACATGATCTCTCGCTCGCCACGTACTTATGGTGGGTATTGTGGCTGATTAATGTAAAGACAATGGTAATTCTATCACGAAGTACGCCTTTGCTGAACACATCGCCTCTTCCCTCCACCTCTTTGTGGTTGTAGCCAATAGCAGATGGCCTCTTACACAAGCGCAGGAATGCAACGCACTCATCCTTACGAAAAGTGATGCGGCCCGCCATAGGCCCGGCCCGCCAACTGTGCGCTCGGCTCGAGATCTTTGTCTTTGCAGCACGGTGACAATAGTGTTATCACTTGAGGTCCCTTTGTACAGAAGTTCAGGTAGTGGGGGTTTTCCTTGATATAAAAGGTCAACTAGGACTGTCTCTGTGATCATATCTTTCTTTTTCCATAAACCCAACACTGGAACATCGATTCAGTTGGAAAGACTCAGCACCAATACATTGCAACCTCAATCAAAACAACATTACATCTCACGGCATCATGAAGAGTTTCTTCAACAGTCTCTTGGGTAGAAAGAAGGCGTCGGGCCAGAGTCGATCCATGACTGGCCAATCGAAGCGCCCTGAAGTCGTCGAAGTCATCAAACCGGAGCCGAGAGCTAACATCTATCTTGTAGCAACGGACGAAGAATTCTCGTTCCGCAAGCCTTACATGAACGCACACTGCAAGCCTGTTACCCTCCCCATCTCCTTGTTCGGCAGCGCAAAATACTGGCGCGACATCGACCTCATCAGCATCTCCGCTAGGATGACTCTTGTGTACGCCAAGTTTGGCAACTGGGAGCCAGAGCATTTGAGAAAATGGGTTCAAGCGACAATGGCCTCCGAAAAGATCATGTTTTGCGTTAATCCAGAAAGAGGATTCCTGAAACCACAAAGTGATGAGTTTCGCGTTGCGATCCGTACCGCCTCTATTTCTGGAGAGCCCTTTGTAGTCTTTTGCAAATGGGAGGTCCCCTGGCCTTAAACACATACCTGAGCCTCATTTTCGAGGACATGCCCAGGACGCAGACTCGGCGTCCACCAGCGCCATTCGACAGCAGACCAAGTGGCTCGGCCACGGCGCTAATTTTCATTCATGTCGGTAAGGTCTCTTATTCATGTAGATAAGTTTTCTTTTTCTTGTCAATACTTTCTTCACGTCATCATTTCCTTGTCACAATGGGACTGCGGATACGCACGCAAATATATTAGGAAAGAAAACAGAAAAAAGAGACCAAAAGGAACAGGAATGGAAACAAAACATTCCAAAAATAAAAACAAAAATTTGAAAACAAAGCCAACTGAAAGGAAAGTCTATTCTATCTCAAAATGAATGCTAGTTTGGGCATGGATCCCACATGTGAAATCCAATACTATAGTAAATATGAAAACGGACGAGAGTTGTAACAGCGAAAGCCTGTCATAGAATGTCAATGGAGGCACGGTGCCATATATGCTTACGACATATGAACGAGCTGGTGTCAAAATGCAGGAAGGCGGGCGGTACCGGCCCTGGACGTCTGGAGGTAGTGATTAAAGTCGTTCAGAGCCTCGGTTATCCACATTAATCAGGGATGCATACTACCATGACATACTTCATGGAGACTGTTACGACAAAAACAGACTGAAATGTTCCAACTTGTAATCATGGAAGGTGCCACGAATGATTCCAGGTTGCACGACCGCCTTGGTGAAAATACTGTCTGCCAAAACACACCCGTTGAGAACTTTAGAAAGACTCGAAGCAGACGGGTCATTGTGCTAACTCGGCTACCGGAGCAGTAAATCCCACTCTCCGTCGTCCCCCAGCTTGGCCCGTGTCGTGGTGCAGGCGAGGCCCCGGGCCAAGAGCCTGTGGATCTTCCGCCAACGAGGCAATTCTCCGGCAGCTCCCCTATATCTCCACATGCGACCTGCCAAGAGGCACCACATCAAATCAACCCCTGGAGTAACCCACAAGGACAGCCAAGTGACAACGATAGCAGCGATGGGAAGGACAATTCAGTCAAATGCGGTGTGCTTCTGACAGCGATCACTGCCGGATCTCCACCTAAGGGAATACTGTGCTAATTTCCACTCAGCGTTGGCAATGCCTATTGTAGAATCACGGAAGATGGCGATGCTGCCTACTTCGTCATGTAGATGCCTATAAGACGTACAAATGAGGCCATCGATGCCCTCAGTGCTCTCTGATATCCCTGCCGCATCTACATCGCCGCCTCATCTTTGAACTGATCTTGTCTGTGCACCCTCTCCACGATGAAGCTTTCCTCGACCCTTTTTGTACTTGCAACGTCGCTGGTCTCAGCATCGCCAACCCCTACTCTCGAGGAGGGTGTGGCGAAGGTATTGGACAAGAGAGCAAGCATCACCGATGCTGCCAGCGTCGGCTATGCTACGCAGAACGGAGGGTAAGCATTTACACGCACAAACGAATACACACACGCCGTGGGGAAGGTGGCATACTGATGTAATTGAATAGCACAAAGGGTGGAGCTGGCGGATCGACCACTACCGTCAGCACGCTGCCCCAGCTGTCTGCCGCAGCCAGTGCCGAAGGAGCGAGCGTGATCATCGTGCAAGGCGCCATCAGTGGTGCGGCCAAGGTGCAAGTCACGAGCGACAAGACCATCGTCGGAAAGGCAGGTAGCTGTATGTCCATTCATCATTCGTTCTCAAGCTCGTGGGCCCCCGTTGTGAGTGAGACATACGCTGACATGTTATCCAGCCCTTACCGGCATCGGCCTCACGATCAATGGACAAAAGAACGTAATTGTCAGGAACATGAAGATCGCCAAGGTCCTCGCGGACTACGGCGACGCCGTTACCATCCAGCTATCGACCAACGTCTGGGTCGACCACTGCGACCTCTCCGGCGACGAGACAGTCGGCAAGGACACATACGACGGTCTGGTTGACCTTTCACACGCAGCAGATTTCGTGACCATCTCGAACACCTACTTCCACAACCACGTAAGCTCCTCCCCTTTCCCTCCCAACCGCACCAAAACCACACCAGCCCTGCCGCCGGAAACATCCCCCATTAACACACGTATGATATAAATAGTCCAAGGGCACACTAGTAGGCCACTCGGACTCCAACGCCGCCGAGGACACGGGCCATCTCCGCGTCACCTACGCCAACAACCACTTCTACAAGGTCTCCTCCCGGGGCCCCCTCCTGCGCTTCGGCACGGCCCACATCTTCAACAACTACAACGAGCAGAGCACTGGCGTCAACACGCGCATGGGCGCGCAGGCGCTGGTGCAGAGCACCGTGTTCGAGAACAGCGGAAAAAAGGCGGTCTTCACGGAGAGCAGCGATGCAGACGGGTGAGTGGAATTACCCGACTTGTTGGAATATATGATCCGTCGCGGGCTCGGATCAGGCCAGAGTGTAAGCTAACTGCTTGATAGGTATGCTGTGGTCATCGACACCATCTTTGGTGGCGAGAGTGCGAACACGGCGCCTCAGGGGACGTTGACCGCAAGCTCTCCCCCATACACGTACTCTCTCCTGGGCAGCGCCAACGTCAAGGCCGCTGTGACGAAGGAGGCTGGCCAGACGCTGTCGTTCTAGATCAGCGTGATGACGCCACTGCCGGATTCTTGTAAATAAGTTTGTGGAGGGTGCCCTCAAAGAGGTGTATCTCGTCAACAAAGAATATAGTATCGAAAGCTAGATGAGCTCATCAAATAGCCAAAACTACCAGAGCGGGTCCATATCGCGCACGGGGCCCAGAGAAGCATTCCAAACCGTCGGCCGCCCATGCATGACCGCATCCCACTCTGGGAGCCTCATCACACGTGTCGCGTACTCCTGAAGCCTCCCCGGAACGAGGCCATGCCTCTTCACCTTCTCGTCCAGCAGGCGTGCGATGACCGGTACGGTATGAGCATCCAGCAACGTTGGGCCCGCACGTGGCCCAAACAGCCACAGCGAGTAACCTCCATGGGCCTGGTAGATGGCAAGCAGCTCGGAGAAGTAACCCTGAGCCTGGCTCTCGGCCAGCTGGACCCGGTCCGGTCTCAGGGCGTCCGCCTTGGTCTCATTGTGGCTGAAACCCTGATATCAGCCACATGAATATCATGGGGTTGCACCTGGGGGTAGACGTACAATTCTCGTTTGCTCTCCAGTGCCTTTCGATACTCGGGCGAAATTTCCGAGTCAGGCTTGGCAAGCAGAGCATCGATAGCAGTGGGTGGAATTCCATTTGCTTGCCATTCTGGTGGAATGGAATCACGCCGCGCAGAGAGAGCGAAGATTCGGATGTCATGTAACTTGCGGAACATGTCCCTGATTGTCGATTCGTGGTCGGGCGGGAGAAGCTTGGGGTAGTGCTCGCAGAGCCAGTACGAGATATCAACGCTGTCAGTCAAGGGGGCTGACAGCGTAGGGCCCGTCAACGCCGGAACCTGATAGCACATGAGTCTGACGTCCTTGGATACCTCTGTCTCTTGTCTAACCGTACCTGGCCCTTGGGGTTGATGTTCAACAGGTAGTCTTCTGCAAGGTTCTCGTCTCGGTGATGATCCACCAGCCTGTTTTCCAGGTGGACTCCGGCAGTGGTCGGGTCGGCTGAGCTACGCCCCAGGGCGTACGTAAATCTGACCATCATTGAAAATAGCGAGAAGGGTTGGTTATGAAGTGTGTAGACGTCCCGTGAGTCGACGGTAGAACCCGTCAAAGGTGATTCAGACGCCATCTTGTCGCCTGAGTGCTGCCTGCGTAGTGCGCCGCTGCGAAGGTCATCACCGTCCTCCCTTCCGTCACCTCCACATTTGGTGCACACAAATCGCCCTACGCGACCACTACCATTGCATTCTCGACAGTCTCGCATGTTTCTTGATGATCGTTTTGAAGTGGATTGCAGCGATGAATGAGATAAGAACTTGTGTGGCGATAACGTGGAAGGCTTGGGGATTCATCAGTTGGTGTTGGGCAGGGTATGGTCAACGGAGTAGTAAGCATGTCATGGCACGCCCTATCGCCCCGCTTCACCACGTTACACTAGGGCCGGAGGGGAAATACAAACACTTTTGCAACGTGAAACGTGATTCTGAATTTAGCACGTGTTGCACTTCCGAGTTCTCTAAAAAGCAGTTGAGGCAAGCAGCGTCGGCTTATCACCAGATACTGTCGACGTTTGCTGCCTCCCGGCATCCGAAGTTAGGGCTCGGCGAAGTGCATTGAGTACGGAATTCTATTTACTTCTGTTCCTCTGCTTGCTTCTTGTTCTTGCGCCTCTCGCGGCTGGACTGTCCAGCGTTCAACATAGCCTCCTTTGACGCTCCTAGTTTGTCTTTTTCTTTCTGTCTCTCCCTTTCCCTCTTTGCCTTCTCACTTCTGTCCTTACTGCTCTGGCCAGCCGCCATCGTCGCATCTTCCAGATCGTCCTGGTATGTCACTTCGCTGTCGCGGTTGGAAGACATGGTGAAGCAGTGTTGATAACTGAGTCAAGTCAGCTGGGTTGCAGTCGTTTCACTTGGTAGCTGGAGCGTACCTTGTCTCAATGGACCTGCTAGAGTGGTGGAACGATAGATCGACAATTATGGAAAAGACTAGTGTTTGGAATAATACTGTTCCCTTGGTTGTGGTCGATAGTGAAGATGGCTGCTCCAGATGCCACAAACCTTTGGCATCTTTATACTTTTTCCCATCTCGTAGGATTCACCTGCTTTCTGAATCAACTGTACAGCCAGGCTGGAGGCCATCGAGCCTTTCGGCTTTCTAAATGGTCGTCCTCGCTATGTTGGTTGCAACTCTGCCAATGGATTCAACCTGCTCAGTGAGTGCACCGAGCGCCGTAAATGCGCCTCAGCAAGTGGGGTCACGGGGCAACGTTGAGTCAGCCTGGCTGCCTGGCAGTCCTGGCCAGTGGTATTGTGCTTAGACCTCCAGTACATAGTTTAGCGCCCGACATAACTAAGCCACTTCCAACTTGGAACCAACACGCTTCGACGTGCCATATCAGTAGCACTGAGATGCAAATGGCGAGCTGTCGGCCGTGTCTTCCACGTTCCCAGGCAGTTCACTTTCTGGCTTTCAGTGTTCTTCCATCTTCGTCTTGATTGTCTCATTTCAAAATATTCCCTGGCAAGCACAATACATGATGGCAGCTCGGGAAGACTCTGACAACCTCGCCTGGGACCGCAGCGACGAACTGTGGGAGGAGGCACTGAGGCAGGTCCGGTTGTCATCTCAATGTCGGAAAATCCAATCTTTCGCCGAGAGAATTTCCGGAAAACCTGCGACCTTGGTAACCCCACTGATTATCGGGGGCTTCAACGTGCTATATCCTATCCGACTCGAGGGCTCGTCCACTCCTGTTCTCGTCCGCCTGCCCTGCCCCAACCAGGCCGTCTTTCCTGAGGAGAAAACAGTTGCAGAAGCCGCGACAGCTACATTCATCGCCCAACATACTCAAGTTCCGGCTCCCAAGGTTTTCCACCATGGTATTGACTCTGATATTGGACCTTTCATGATTATTCAAGATCTTGAGTCCCGGCGAGGCATGGGTCAAGCGCTGGAGGCCCCCCGCGAGGATCCCAACGAGACGGCCGTCCTGGATCCTAATATCTCTGAAGCTAAGCTCAAGGCCTTGTACGTCAAAATTGCAAGGTGTGTGCTACAGCTTGCACAACCTACCTTTCCGCGCATAGGAGCTCTCGCTGAGGCGGGTCCTAAATCTCACTGCGTGACGGGACGACCTATCACTTTGAATATGAGCAACATGGTCCAGCTTTCCAACATTCCGAAATCAGCTTTTCCATCCGAAGGCACCACGTATCAAACGGCTGATGCGTGGTACGTGGCCCTGGCCGAGATGCAAATAGCAACGCTCGTTTTCCAGCACAACGACATGATATCATCGGAGGACGACTGCAGGACCAAATATGTGGCTCGCCAACTATTTCGCAGGCTGGCCAAACAAGGCCGACTGGCAACGTTCGGGTTTGCCGAAGACGACTGGTCCGCCCGGTCCCAGCACGCCCATGCGACGTTGCCGATGCCGGACGGTTCAGGCTCCTTCCGCCTCTGGGCTGATGACTTCCGACCGGCTAATATCCTTGTTGATGGGCATGACGAGATTATCGGAGCAATCGATTGGGAATTCGCCTATGTGGGACCAACGCAATTCGTCTTGGACGCGCCTTGGTGGCTTCTACTGGACGCGCCTGAGATGTGGGATGATGGTATCGAGGATTGGGCCAGCGTCTACGAGGGACGTCTGGAGACATGGATTTCGGCGATGAAACAGGCAGAGCAAGATATAAGTCCCAATTCTTTGCTCCTGTCGGCGTATATGCCAGAGAGCTGGGAGACGGGCCGCTTCTGGCTCGACTATGCTGCTAGGAAGAGTTGGGCGTTTGACACTATCTACTGGAAATACCTGGACGAGAGGTTATTTGGTGAGCGGGAAAGGGATATCCGCAAGAAAGATTTGTGGCGGGCGAGGGTGCATCTTCTTAGTGAGGATGAGCGAGCGGCGATGGAGCCGCTGGTACAAATGAAGATGGAGGAATCGAAGGAACGGGTGTTGGTCGAGTGGGACGCTGCGGAGGCAAGGCGGCGCCTGTCTTCCTTCCTGTTCGACTAAAGAATATTAGACAGAATCACATAGAATAAGCTCAGCCGGCTTAAATCGTATATTCTTCGCTGGAATTCGAATGGGATCGACTTGGACGAGCGTCACCCACGATGCCTGCAGAGGCAGCACTGAGCATGATTCTGCGATGCCACTCTGCTTACAGGTTTTAATAGGCTTGCGGCCTATATAACGTCTCGTTCAATTATCATTCAGCAACCTGGCTAACTTCTCCATGACAGCGTCCTGTAACTATACTGGCTATCAGTAATACCGACCGAAGGGGCACAACTCAATCCACCCACCTGGGCATGCGGAAAATGGTCTTGGCGTGGGGTTGTTCACACAGCTGGCTGAGCCCTCCACTTCAGACCCAGTGACGATGCAGCTGTCACGATATCCTGCCATACGACGGCTGCTTGCGCAATACCAGAACAAATTCGTCCAAATCCGAATCGAGACAAGCTTAAAAACCTCGATCATCCATGAGTGGGCAATGAGAAAATCAGCTGAAAACCTTCATGTCTAGTTCCATGATCGGCTGAAAGCAGCATTTCCAGAGCCAAGCTGCCTCCGAACCACATCAGCCCCCTCCCATGCCATCACGCCATATGCGGGTTGCTTCACAACAACTATCGCCAAGACAGCACCATGCAGTTGCGATAGCCGGCATCACTAGCCCATCCGCGTCATACCAAGCCCGTCCAATGGGTAAAAAGGCTTTAGATACTGAATTGCTAAAATACTCCAAGCATTTCATCATTGAGGTCGCCAATTAAGTGGCAGACCCGCGGCAACGATAAAGATATATGGCAAGGTTGGGTATTATCAATTAGCGCTGCAAGGTACAGAGCTCTATCTATATCAGGATGGATCCTCTCCTGAGCCGGTGTCGAGATGTCGAGCCCGGAACAGGTCAACATCTCTGCGAGACACCATGGCAGCGAACGCCGATATCCAAGTGTCACGTTTTAGGCCGCTTTACTATAAAAGTGACGCCACTAATGCACAATATACCCGGGTTCTTATATACGCGACACCAAGGCACTCTTGGCCTCGACCAGAAGGCCGCAGTCCCCCCGAGCCAGTCTCTCGATAAGTCAGAAACCGAATCTGGGGATGATGCTGATGCCATTAGAGAGCGCATCCTGGCGGAGCGTCTGCAGGCGAGCAACCCGCCTGTGTTCCCTATCATGACGTTGCTCCTGAAGAAGGACCACAAGCAGCTGGACGAGATCGCCACCCAACGGTCTGTCTACGATGACCCATCGATTTCACGGTTCTTCACGCCTACTGCACGATATGAGAACTTGCACCGCTTTGGCACCGAGGCGAGATGGACCTGGAGAGAGGACCTGGTGTGTGAATAATTGGAAGCAGACGGAGGACGCCGAGCTGATCGTGATATTCTAGCCTCTCATCAACAAGATTGACTGGAAGATTACGCTTTGGGCCTGCATTGCCTTCCTTGGCTTGGACATGGACAGAGGCAATCTGAGTCAGGCTAACACCGACAACTTCCTCGAAGACTTGGGGCTCAGTACCGATGGTATGTACCATGCGGCTTGTTCTCCTGACAGTAGATGTCTACAATGCTAACTACAATAGACTACAACCTAGGAAACACGGTCTTCAGGCTGGCCTTTCTGTGTGCCGAACTTCCTTCGCAGCTCGTTAGTAAGAAGCTGGGTAAGTTTGAGCCCTTCATCACTCTCCGGTGAAACGCCTAACAATTTTGTAGGACCCGATAGATGGGTATGTCAAAGACCCCTTTGGTATACCGAACGCACCCAACTAACCATCTTAGATACCTACAATCATGTGCCTGTGGTCCGTCGTGGCGGCCTCGCAGTTTTGGCTGAGCGGCAGGCCATCGTTCCTCCTGTGCCGAGCGCTACAACGAGAGAGGGTTGATCGGAGTCTTCTGTCAGATTTGGGTTCTTCCGAACATTATCGCCCTGGCTGTCATACCGAACACCTCGTCAGCATGGGCCCGTTATGCAATTCTGACAGTACTATTATCATTCCCATCAGGTATGGATCCAATCATCTGGAAAAGCTTGGCATAACAATCTGACTCTTCATTAGCGCATGCAATGCAGGTTGCCTGGTGTAGTCGTAACTCCAACACCGTCAGAGCCAGAACCGTCTCGGCTGCCTTGTACAAGTGAGTCAACTTCCGCGTGCTGTGTAGTGTTTGTGCTATCTATTCTCAGTATGTTTGTCCAAGTCAGCGGAATAGTCTACTCAAACGTCTGCCGCAGTTCCGACCGTCCTTTCTGTAAGCCTCCACTTTCACATCACACCCTTGCTGAATCCAATCTTCCGATGAGTAACAGCTAACGACTGGAGACAGACCGGAAAGCGAATCGTGCTTTGATTGGTGTCTGCGTAACGGATATCTTGCTGTACATCATTACAAAGGCATATTATATTTGGCGCAACAGGGTCCGTGACCTGGAGTGGGATGCTTTGACGAAAGAGGAGCAAATATGGTACCTCTCCACAACCAGTGATTCTGGGAGTAAACGGAAAGATTTCAGATTCGGTCATTGAAGTTCGTCATGAAGACGCAGCGATGGTGATTAAACAGCGAAAACCAGTGTGGAGCTTGGTGCTCGCAGTTGTTGGAGCTCCGGAGTACGCAGTCAGTTTGGAGGGATCAAGTTAAATCACATTGCTCAGTGCAAGATAACAAATTGACAGGTTTTTTGCTTGCCAAACATAGTTATCTTGGACGGAGTAACCTGTTCTTAGGAAAGTAGACTGTTATATAATGGGTCAAGATTCTGCTCAGTCGAGGTTCTGTGCCACTGCACTATTACACAGACAGATCACTGACCGCTGCCATAGATTTAACAATTAACGTGGCTCTCAATGGTTCTGGTACGGTTGATCCCCCAAGACTAGGGGGAGGGATCCTCTAAGAAGGTAGTCCATGGAGAGATCCATACGATAGATCAATACCCAGTCAAGTACACACTGTCAATTGCTACGAATTCACATTTTCCTATATTCATGCTCCTGTCATTTGAACCCTATTCTCAAATTCCCAGTCCTTCTTCGCTACCTCAAGTAGGCAGTGTACCTTGACTGGGGTTTCTGAGACAACTCTTTCTCATCACAGCTCTTTGCGTAGCATTCCCATATCCCTTGCCCAGTCTAGTGCTTTGACTATGTTAAGAGATGCAGGGAAAAGATATAGCATTTTTGTGTCTACTGATGACTAACTTGGACTGTAACACGATAGTTCAGAGTGAATGCAAGCAACACCTGAAATGAAGAATTCACATATTCTCCCCCGTGCTCCCACATCTCTTTAAATACCGTGGAATTTCTGGGCCTGAGCTTGAGATGCCCAACAACCCGCCTCTTTCAAAGACCCATCCACTCAAGCGGAAGAAGCCTGGAAGACATCCTCCCTTCAGAATATTACACGTTTTTGACAACATGAACACGCCTATCATGTTGAGCATCCTGCTCAGCCTTCTCTTGGCCTTCTCACCGCTGGCCAACACTATCCCCATTGACGACGATTTGCCTACGCCCACTACTGCCGTTCAGAAATCCAGAGCGTTGACCCCCAGGGCCCTGGTCACAGACACAACTGGCAGATACTACCTCACTCTCCTCTCAGCCCCTCTCGAACAGAACAACCCCAACCCAGGTACAGAATATGTCCATGACAATACATCTGGGGCTGGAACCACTATCTTCATCATCGATTCAGGCTCAAACATCGATGACTTTCCGGATGAATTCTGCACCGACGGAGGGCGGTGGATCGAGACTCGTATCCTGTCACGGGACTTACGCAGCACACCACTCACCGACGACCAGCTGGCACAGGGTATCAAGTTCTCACCGAACACGATGGTAGATGTGGGAGGCATCGGCGAGGACAACCTGATCCATGGTCACGGTACCCAGGTGGCCATCATCGCGGGAGGCTGCCAGAGCGGTGTAGCCTCTCGTGCTAACCTGTTCCTCATCAAGGCAGCTGAGATCAAGGTGGACCGTGACGGCGACCCCTACTCGAGCGACGAGCCTGATATCTACCCGCAGGCCATCATCGCTGGGCTGCAGCTGGTCGTTGATCGGATGGATGACAGTGACGGCTCACCGTCCATCCCTCGCGGCAAAGCCGTCGTCTCTGTCTCCCTCGGCATACCCATTGACGAGATCGAGGAGAGGTGGGGAGAAACTGCGTACAAGGCTTTTAGGGACACCTTGGGAGACAAGTTGAACCAGCTCAACGAACGCGGAGTCACCGTGGTCTTTGCAGCTGGCAACGATGGCAAGGGTCGAGGCGAGGAGGACGCAGGACCTGACGTCGAGCCTGATGAGACTCCTCACTACGCCGAGTAAGTCATGTTCATCCCGCCCCGGTGCTGCTGCCTCCCCAGCTTGCTATCAACCTCCCGCGGCTAGGAGCCCATTTGATGAGCCACTACTGACTGCGTTCCTCAGTGAGAACTTCCCACACGTGCTAGCAACCCAAGACAGCAACATCATAATGGTAGGAGGGACCGACGAGAACGGCCGTCTGCGGCCTCAGACCTCACCAGGCAGAGATGACCACCCCCTTACGATCTACGCTCCAAGTAGACTCCCCGGATATGATCTTGCCGACGGCGAGACGCAGAAGAGCATCTATGGAACGAGCTTCTCTGCTCCTCAAGTTGTGAGTTTTCCCAATTTCATGACATTCAGTCCACTGCAGTATTTACTGACTCTTTGCTATCAGGCTGGTCTAGCTGCCTACTTGTTGGCCCTACCATCGGAGTCAGACGGGTTAAAGTACGACCCTCAAGACCCTGTGGACAACACGGTGGGAATCCGTGTTAAGAAGCGCCTCGTGGAGCTCGCATACCAGCGACTGAGCGATGACCAGAAACTGGCAGCTCCAGAAGATGAGTACGACTACGATATACCTTTAGTTATCAACGTTGCGTACAACGGGGCACATGGGGCGCAGACGCCGTGATCAACAGCGCGACGGACTGGAAGATGAGTATTGGGAGTGTTGAAGCCGATATGCCTCTGGTAGATATAATATTAGATCAGTGACTTCTCAGAGTCCCGACAGGCAATGTGCAATGAGACCTGTACCGTATTAGTACCACTCCATGCTGGTGTGTTGCTATTCCTTGTTCAAAGCCTCACGATGGGTTTTCGGAGACATACTGTTTTCTCGCAGTGATTGATCCAGTACGCTTCTGCCATTCAGTGTTCTGCCTTCCAAGACTCAACATTTGCATAGCGTTAGACACATGAAAGAGAACCCATGAATTGTGCCTAGACTAGTGTCTTGGGCATATACTCGATGGGCCTGGCCACTCGCAGGCAGGCACATTAAGGTAACATCGAGCCCGCACACAATTGCGGGGTTAATATTCCATTCTATCATGTTTAAAGCCTCGGCGATGCGCAAAATGATCTGAGCTGGGGTGGGGAAGTAAGCAATGGAACACTGCACAGTCTGGTAACCATAAGAGCCTTTAGTACACTGGGATGCCTATTTGTAAAGCAGGGTACAAGGTTCACGCTCGCTCTAATGTGCAACAATCTGCCGCCGTCGCCACCGCCGTTACGGCAACCCTCTCATCCTCGTTGCCTCTACTCGCGACCAACAGAATCAATGTCCAGATCGCAGGGCCAAAGGCCAGGAGAATTTCTAAGAATTCCTCTCCCTGCATCGCATATCTAGTCACACCTCCTGTGGACCATGGTGATAAGAACGCTCCGCGTGCCGCGCCCTTCGCAAGCTCGGATCACGACCCGCTTCCCTGAACAATACTAGTAGTTTTCATGAACCTTTCTTCGGTAGTCTCTGATCATTGGTTCACATGTTTGGGCGCTTTGCGGCACGTGCAGTAATGTCTTCTGGTGCGGCTGGCCGTTTGGCACCTCTTGTGGGGTCGGGCCTGGTATCTAATTAGTACGCTGCTTTTGGTATCGTGTTTATTCGAAACGGAGAAGCGCCGTGAACCTTGACTTGCAACTCACGGTTGTGGAGGAGCCCCAACGAGCTCTGCGATCGAAACTCTTTCTTGTTCATCAAAGACCTTGGCGTTTCCTGTCGCGAGGATGTCCTGTAATTGCATCATGGTAGGTCGCCTTGTGGGAGAATGAGCCATGATCCAAGCGACTGCCTCGCGTAAGTTTCGATCATAGTGGTCAAACGCCTCATCAAGGACATAGCCTCCGTACTGTGACGAGAAAAACTATTGAGCGACTTGCGCAGTAGCTTCCGGGCGTCTGTTGAGCTCGGACCAGAGAACCAAATTGACATGGAGCACGCAACTCGAACGGGTCTCCTTACCGTCAAGACGTTGAATTCACTCTGTAGTAACCCGGAAATTGTTTGTATTGTGCCCACTGGAGGTCTATCGTACGCATTTTGTGTAATGAGACTGACCATAATCTGTATAAAGCACAGTCAAGTTAATAAATCTGAATATAAGATGGCAAGGTTACATGATTCAGGCCATGAGTTATTACATACAACTCCCATCTGGTATAAGTTCGTCCACCATCCAAACCGCCAAGCTGTGTCATCTTGTGCAAGCATGGTTTCATAGTCTGTAAATGCGTTCCAAGCTTTCGTAAATTGTTCCTGTATCACGAGGATGGTAAGTTGAGTTATGTCGTGGGTGAAACAGGAACTAGCTCTGAAGCAACTAAACTTACAGGTGTATGTGTGCCTTGGTTTCCTGTAATCCTAGTGTATACTGCACGGACACTATGTTCATATACAATTAGTATAGTCAATTTCATTTGATCAATGGCTATGGCTCACGGTTACTTACAATTTGTTTCGATCTGGATTGTCATACACTTGTATGATTCCTAAATCTCCAACCTAGCTTAGGTCAGCTAAGCACTTGCCAAGGCTATCATGGCCCAGTGCGATGGTGAGTCCTGATTGCTGTCTTTGGACTTCAGAACCAGGTTCTGATCCTATGACAGTCGTGTGAGTCTTGACGACATTCTCGTGTGCTCAGACTGACAAAGTGCAGTTCTATCTGATCATATATTCGGCGTAGGTCAGACGTATGTCGGTAGTCGACCTGCGAACTTGACGAAAGTATGTACGTACCTTGAAGATGGGCACCTGAACATGTAGAGGAAATACCACTCCATCGGGATCATAGTCACCTATCATGACTAGAGCGTCCTTATAAGACTATTGTTCCCTTGAAAACCAAGGATGACTTACCATTATTGTAATTAATATCCATATTTACCAAGACATCGTCTCCCGGAGGTATTGCACGGCCGACATTGTCCGTAGGGACCAGCTCTTCCTTAAGCGGTACTGGATCACCTGCTCTGATAGCATCATTAAGGTTGTTTGCCCAACGATATGGGTATGACATGGCGATACAAGCTCGAAATACTGACATTGCTTTTAGTATGCCTTGGTAAGCGTAGATGGCTAGATTTACTTACGGCAAATAAAAACTCTCCATAAGTCGCCGCTTTTCAATTTTATCTTTTGTTGCCTCTGCGAAATCTTTCGTAAAAGCTTATCGATAGTTCCATGCTTCCTAGTAGCTCCCAATTAGTCTGGTAGTTGGTCTGGTCATCAATAATGCTAATTCATAATATTTTGTTGAGGAGTTGGCGTATTCAACTAACATGAACTCCATCAAGTACATTCTTGGGTCCCTGTCGTCTTCATCATAGCCACGGATAAACTGCCGCTGTATGATGTGTTTTGCACCAACCATTTTCTATAAACGCATGGTCCGGATTAGCCTTTAAGCACCGTGGGTGAGCTCGTCAACAATACAATAACGATTAGATGATAGACAGTCAATTTATTGATACCTTTTTGTGGTACCCTACTCACTTTCATGTGTTCCTTCTCCTCGACCATGGGGTGAGGTTCATCTCTCAATTCGTTCGCCACGTCGTCCGCATCCACGTCTGCCAAGTCCGACCCCGAGTCTTCCGGCCCCTCGCCTTCCGGCCAGTCTTCGTATTTAGCAACAATCTTCCGCGTCGTTCCATTCGCATCGTCCATCTCAAAGAGCACGGCCGTGCCTTGGGTCCCAGCACCCAGGATCTTGACGAACCGCATGCCCAAAGGAACTAGCGCCTGAGTCGTCGGATGATATCCCTCGTCGAGTTCTGCCTTCAGTTGTCGAGCGGTCGCAGATTCAACATCTCGGGAGGGAATCGTGTAATAAGGATCTCGCCTGATACTCTCCGCTGGGGGCGCCTGGACTTGGGACACCATCTGCGACGCCGGAATAGTGTACCCGTCACAACTCCGCTTTAATTCGTCTGGGAACTGCGTTTGTAAAACATTAAACGTGCTTGAATCGCCCCTGTGAAAGCAATCGTAATAATAATAACTGCGAATAATTTTGCACGTGAGTAAGCTGCATGGTCGGATGGCACCATGGTACACATACCTTCTTCTTAACTCTTCCCGGGAATCATTCACAAACTGTCTATCAAACGAATCCCGTGGGCGCGAAACCCCTGGGGGCAAACCTATGTAAGGCGGCCCATAATCCGTGGGCGCATTTGAGCCGCTTCGTCTGCTTGATGCGGAGTTAGACATGATTTAGGTGTTCATCACTTATCACCGAGGTTTTGATGAGAAAGTGGATGTTGTGAAGCATAGGAGGAATTAGTGAATTAGCAATGTAGGGTCGATACTTGGCCATATGCAATGAGAAAGTGACGCTAGACAACTCCAGAAGTTTGGCTGATTCTCAAAGGCCCAGAGTCATCCCGGAAATGGCTTAGTCCACGTGAATACTGTTAGTCAAGGGACAACATGTTTTGAATCGTATTCTTTGTGCTAAGCCAACGGTAAACCTGTTGAACAATGGATCTCATCGCTGTTGGGAACTTACTCGATATGATGGGAACTTTCAATGACCACAAAGCCAATCAAGGAAACGAAGTGATTGCAATACAATAAATTTCCCTGCTGGGAAACAGTACAATTAACTATTGGCGATGTACCTATTTATCTGTGACTACCTCTGCCTGGGCGGGATGCCACGGCCTCAGCGCATAAGATACATAAGATGGGCAGGAAGCAATATGAGAAGTATCAAAATCAGACTTTACATACAGGTGGACCACTGAGTCGGAAACAGATCTCAAACCCACAAGCCTGCAGTTCGTCCTGCAATAACAAACATGCCGTTATTTCTTATAGCATTGCATATGGCAGAGTTTGAGGTAGCATCGATTGCAATCAGCTCCTCATCAGCCGTCTCATCAGCGTCATATATTTCACGGCTCGGAGACCTCGCAACTGCCTGTGTCGTCACATAATGCGGTGATTATTAGCTAATATGGTTTAAAGCCTCGGCGATGTGCATAAGGATCAGCGCTTGATCTTGGCACTGCAACGGGAGTCCGAACGGCCCCTTTCAGCTAAGGTCAAGAAGTAAGCAATGGAACGCTGCACGGTCTAGTAAATAAGAGCATATGGTAGGGCCTGGCCATAATCTAATATGCAGTTCCATATGGAGGAGGTGGGGTGTCCCTGCCACTGAGGTTCGGGATCTGTCGTCCAGGCGATTCTCCCCGAGTCCACCCTTTTACTGTGATTGCGTGTATACTAGTATGTCTGTGTTGTATGTAGGAACGAACTATATGTGGCCGTTCTCAGAATCAGATGGCTGTAGATTTACAACTGCTATAATAGCCAAGTTCCGTTCCACGATCGTCGGCTCAGCGTGCCGAGCTCACGATCATGTACGCCGGGTTCCAGATAAGCGCCTCATCGTGCGGTGTAGATCCATTGCAATTCGACAGGTTCCAGTTCCAGCTGCAGGCGCACGCAGTGTAACTCTGACATCTACAGTCTATCGACACCTGCATTTGCACATCCCTTATTATGCTCGGCGGCCCAGCCCTTATCTTGAGCAACTCGCCACCTCCTTGCTGAATTCCCAGTCCATCTCATTCCTCCCACGCGAATTTCCACACACAGGCCGTGGAAAAGATGACCAAGCAAGAGACCACCACAACCGAGGACCTCGGCGTCGACACCGACCAGGATGCATCCAGCATCGTCAAGGAGGTGTACAGGGGCACCTCCGCCGACAAGCACGACATGGACGTCCTCGGGGTGAGGCAGGTGCTCAGGCGAAATTACCGCTTGGTGCCCATGCTCGGGTTCTCCTCCATCGCGGTGATTAGCTGTAAGCCCCATTCTTGTCCTTTCACGGATCCCCTGTCTGTCATGTTTTGGAATGTTCCAGAACGTATCGCTTCAGGATCCGTAGCAGGTGAATAACAGGTAGCAGGGGAGATCGCGCCAATACTCCTCCTGTTCGCGCTGATCGACGGGGGGCCGGCGGCGGTCTTTTGGGGCCTGGTGATCGGAGCCGTGGGGTTCTCGCTCGTCTATGCGAGCCTGGCGGAAGTGGCGAGCATGTTTCCGACGTCTGGTGGCCAGGCAAGTATTTGCAGGCTCTTGTTCCAGCGAGATCGCGAGCTGACCGCGAGATCCATTCCGCAGTACCACTGGGTGTCCGAATTGGCTCCCCCGAGTATCCAGAGAGGCCTAAGCTACTCAGTCGGCTGGCTGATCGTGATAGCCTGGCAGGTGTACCTCGCGGGTTCGAGCCTGGTTGTCGGCATCGTCATCCAGGGCCTCATCGCGCTCAACAATCCGGATTATTCCTTCGAGAGATGGCACTGCACACTCCTGACCATCGCAGCCAGTGGCTTTGCCGTGGTGATGAACACCGCGCTGGCCAGCCGGCTGCCCATCATCCAGTACTTGCTGTTTGCGCTTCATTTCGGCGGCATATTCGCCATCGTGATCCCTCTCTGGTTAACGGCGGAGCACGGCAATGCCACTGATGTCCTGCTCAAGTTCAGTGATAATGGCAACTGGGGGAATGTGGGGCTGTCTTCGATGATAGGCCTTGTTCTCTTTGCTGGCCTGCTCAACGGATATGACTGTATCGCGCATATGTGTATGTGCAAGCAACCCCATTCCACTGAGAGCTCGGCCAATCACTGACAATATGTTTGTTAAAGCCGAGGAGACCATAGACGCCTCTCGGATCATACCAATCGCCATAACCTGGAGCGTAGCTTACAACGTGATGACGCTCTTCATCATCGGCACGGCCCTGATATTCTGTCTGGGCGACGTTGATAGCCTCATCAACACGAGGACGGGACAGCCATTCATCCAGCTATTTTACAACGCGACTCAAAGCTACGCCGGAACCAGCGTCATGGCCGCGATCTTAGTCGTACTGGTCGAGTGCTGCGTAATCAACGAGGTCGCCACATCATCAAGGCAGCTCTGGTACGTGCCATTGACAACTAAAAGCCACATTCCGAGGGCCCCTGCTGACATTACCCCAGGTCCTTCGCCCGTGACCGCGGTCTACCAGGCTCCACGTGGCTCTCATACGTAGCGCCGGGGTGGGACATCCCGCTGCGAGCAGTCTGCCTGACAGTTTTTATCACCGCGTTGCTGTCCTTGATCAACCTCGGGTCCACAGTCGCCCTCAACGCTATCAACTCCCTAGGCGGCGTCTCCTTCCTCTTCTCATACGTAATCACCCTCGTGTGCCTCGTCTGGCGGCGTGTCCGCGGCGCGCCTTTACCTCCGCGGCGATGGTCTCTGGGGAAGTACGGCCTCGCCATCAACCTGTTGGCATTGGCATTCCTTGTCCCGATTCTCTTCTTCTATTGTTGGCCCTTGGCACAACCAGTCACAGCACTCAACCTCAACTGGAGCTCGGTTGCATTTTGCTGCGTCCTACTGGCGGCCCTGATCCATTACGTGATCAAGGCCAGGCATGAATACGTTGGACCGGTGATGCGCGTGAAACGGGCCTAGGAAATAGACGCGGGGATTCTGGGCTGCCTTTCAGGGTTGGTAGTGGGCCATGGACTGAACGTTGGATAATACAAGGGGCAAAATAAAACACGCATGCTATCAACTGAGATTCGGTCAAAGCGCAAGAATCGAAAGCATGGAAAATAAACATACAAAAGTTACAGGTCCGGCTATAAGAGGCCAAGAAGAACTACCAGGCACTCGCCAGATTCAGAGACTACATGAGCATTTCCCATATATACAGCATACGAGACAGAAATATAAAACGAATGCCCATTGGGTACACTGTCGGAGTTGACAGTGATATGGCGTGGATTGCATTGGCAAGATGCCATCAAGCTACACGCGTCACAGTGGTGGTCTGCCCACTGGCAAGACAACATGTGCTCAAACCACTTCGGATTGCGAGGTCTCGAGGGACAACACATGCGCCAAGTCACCAAGTCTCAGTCACGAAGCCTCAAATACAGGTCAAGGCACTAGTTGTGAAGTCAAAGCTCTCAAGCGTGTATTACTAGCCCTCGGGCCAAATTTGAAAAAGCCAACGCTGGCTGAATTGTTCGAAAAAATGTACATCCCTGGGTTTCGACGAGGCCACCGTCCACTCCAATGTCGAAGGAGAAACTAATACCCCTCATCACCCATCTCTCAAAATCCTTCGTGGCACTTCTTAGCCACTCATCAATTCCAACTTGAAATATCACCCACACGAAAAGAAATCAGCGCACCTCCAAAGTCGAGAAGAAAAAGAAAGAAAGACAACGGCCACCCCCCTCATCTCCTGAGCACTCAGCCCTTTACAATGTACAACGAGACCACTGGCCTTCCGCCCGGCAGTCCGTTCCGCTTTTGGGTCCCAGCCGACCTCCTTGATCGTCTTCGCCATGTCCTCCTTGTTGTCGCCGCGAAACATCAGGCCCTTGTACCAACGGCCGTTGCCTCCCTGGTGGCACTCGAAGACCTTGTTCAACTCAGGCTCCGGGTTGCATGCCCCAAAGCCCATGAGCAGCTGACCAAGAGTGGTGTTGCAGGGTACGTGGCATGAGTGGAAAGGGATGGTGACGTTGGGAGGGACCTGCCATGGTGCCACCTCACCGGTCGTGAGCACATGGACCTTGGTGTGCTCCGGAGGGAAGAAGTAGTTGTATCCCGGCTCGCATCCCACGCCGCCGGTAGAGTTAGTCATGTTGACCGCCGGGATCGATGTGTTGATCACCGGGTTCCCGGCTGGGAGCTGGCCAGTGCTGGCGAATTGGGTCGGGTTTGCCGTGCTGGTGGTGTACCCACCGTGGCCTGGCATACCATAACCACCTTGACCCGGCATGAAGTATGGGCGGCCATAGTTATTGTAATAGTATTGCTGCTGTTGATACAGAGCAGGGTAGTATGCAGCAGGCTGTGGAGGGTATGCGTGCCCGAAGCCGTAGCCGTAGCCGGCGCCGCATGGCTGTCGGCTGGTAGGAGGTGCGAGGCCATGGTCGGGGCCGAAGGCTGTGTTGCGACCAACACCGAAGAAAGACATGGTGTTACTGGTCGAGAGGTGCTATAGTGGATTGGTTAAGATCCACACACAGTGAAGAGAGAAATATAAATAATTGAAGTTCAGAAAAACATACCTTGAAGATCTATTGATGGTAAGTAAGAGGCAGTGGAGCAGCTTGGTAGGAAGACCAACGACCGTGATGCCCGACGATGGAGTACCCAGGGTTGGATGGTACTTGAAATTGGCGGTGAGGGTATCCGACTGGAGGCGAGAATATTGAGCGGTATGGGAATTGATGAAACGGTGCAAAGGATGGCAGAGCAGCAGTGTTGTGTGTGAGGTGATGGATTGGTTGCTGAAGGTTGAAGTGTGAAGGAGAGTTGTGTCCAAGACTGGACGGAGTGTCTGCAAATTGAATGTTAATTAAGTCTGAAGGGAAGAGGAGAGTTGGACGGCTCGAAGGCCGTCGTTGAATATTAAAACTAAGAGTGAAGCGAGGTCTGACTGTCTGGGACTCCCAGTCACAGGGGGCTGGACGATCATGCCGGGTGCACCAGGGGGGACTCACGAGTGACTAAGGTCCGTCGAGGCACTTCACCGGGATCTTGGCTGTTCTGGGGACCCCGGCCGGACTGATCCAGATAGGTGAATTGGCCTACGAGGATCTCGGTCTGCCAGAGGCGTCGGTTGTCGCTGTCGTAGAAAGCGGCGGCGATGAACAGAGCCCAAGAGCCGGTTTCTAGATCCTCGTCGAAGTGCTGTCCGATGATGAGCCGCACGGCCGGGTGAGGCAAGGGTCCGAAATAGCTGGATTGTGTTGATGGGGCAGGTCTGCGGTCCGAGGGTGGTGTACGGTTGACACCCTGAGACATGAACGTGCCTCGTGCTGGCCAAGGTAGATTGGCCGTGTCTGACGATTCTGGACCGTCTTGATGTTGCTTACCGGTGACTGACTGCTCATGCGTCTCCCGATAGGACTGAATCGGCAAGATGGGCTGTTTTCCAGTAGCCTGGGTCGGAATCAGAAGTAGGTCCACAGAGCATCGAGTTAGACAGTCCGTATAGTGTGGCGCTGGAGCTAGATTGTCTGCAGATGGAATAGTTACGAGTTCCACTGCTGTTAGGGAGGTGGAAGAATGGAAGACTGGTGAGGGTAGGGCAAGATTGGTCTGAGTTGAGTTGTAGGAATGGAAGAGTCTGGGGGAGAGCAAGACAGAAGCGGTTTTGAGTGTGACGGTATCAGTCCTGTCTTGCGGTCGAAGTGGTCGGTGATGGGGGCAGTCACTGTCGACAGACAGTCATAGAGTCTCCTTGTCCGAGAGGCATGAGCTCAAGACGGTCTGCACAGGGAGAGCCAAACAGAGTCCGTCTTGCATCTGATGAATCTTGCCAAGGGGCAGACAGGCTGGCTCCCAGTGAGTCGGATGCTCTGTCGCCGATTCACCAAGCCCCCGTTCACTCGATCAGCATCTTGTGACCAACTGTGTCTGACACCCGGGCTCTCCTGGAAACAAACGCCGTGTCTTCGCACCATCGAGCCAGTCTTATCTCCAGACACACCCACTCCCCCATGCCCTTCTCCTGCATTGACAATTCTGCCGTCCATTGGTCGTCGATGAGCCGCCAATTCAGAAAACTGCTGTGTTAACCATCCAGAGTACCTCGGGTATGTCTTCCATGTCAAGAGACCAAAGTTTTGTGCATATATCCCAAGGTTGCCAAAGTTGTCCCTCCACTCGATGTTCCATGGTTGACGAGAGGATCTGTCCAAGGGGCGGATGGCATCTGGGACTACTCAGGTAGGATATCGGATGTGGTCCAGCAGGGCAGCAAGACACGGTGCAGCCGACCCTTTCCTGTCGCCATCCAAGCCCAACAGCAGAAGTCATGACAGGAACCCATTGCTGACATGCTATCTGTGCAGGCTTCTAACGATCCGCATCCCAATGCCTGGTCTGTCGACATGAGCGGCTCGATGAACATTCGACACGCTAGCAGCAGGCAGCCCCAATGCTGGTTGTCGGCCAGAGGAGCAACATTTCTCATCCTCATAGAGGTGTCCAGATGATGTTATGGCCTGGTCATTCGACCGAGGTTCTCACCATCCGAAGGTGCTCGGAAATATCCCCGGGGTCTGCAATGCGGCTGATGTCTGGTCCGGCTGCTGGACGAAGCGATATGGATGAATTATTTATACCCAATCCGGAGCCACCAGTTTGGTCATGTCCAGTGCTCTTGGAGGCTTTGCTTGCTGGGGATGACTGTCTCCGGCCATGAGACAGATGACCAAGTGGAAAGCAAAGTTCTCCTTTGCGAAGCGCAAAACAGGACCTGGCAGTAACGCTGTTGCTTTTTGCCAGGACGCTTGTGTCTACCTATTGAATCATCAGAAGCTTGACGGAACCAGTCAGACAGTGATGTTTTGACGATGGCGGGTGTCTGCTCAGCCTTTACGATCTCGGGGAAGTGCCCACGGGAGCAAGTGCGGACAAAAGATGGCTCATCAGGGTTTGGCCAGGTGTCTCCCAGCCCCGCTTCGTCCATACTTTGCAGGGCTGGCTCGTTGGCAGGCCGAGACGGTGTTTCGTGGTCACGTTCTCGATGCGTTATCCAGTGGCAGAGGTTTCAAGTTTACCGAAGGTGGGGAGAAACATGGCACCTATCTCAGGACCAGGAACGCTCTCCTGTATGAGTTAGATGCAGGGAGAAGGAAGGTGCTCGCGGCAATGGACTGAAGCGCACTGCCTTCAGTCTCCACCGGCGCAGAGAAGTTGCGGCTTATCGCAGTGGCTTATCGACTGATCAAAGCAGCTCCTTGGCAAAGATCGTTGGCATTGCTGATGATTCCTTGGTTCCGGTTGAGCTCGAGTCGCAAGAACCTCTCTCGAAAGATGAAACACCTTCTTGAGTCGCTCGCGGAGCAGGTTTTGCAAGCCCGGAATGGGACGAAAGTTGGCGTCTTCAGACCTGTCGTCGGTTGGAAGCTTGGAATCGAGAAGAGAATGGCCGAAGTATCTGTTCCCGACTGTGCTAGCCAGGGAATTGGAAACGTCGGGGAATTGCAATGGGAGGTGAAAGGTTGTTTCTTGGTATGGCGTGCTTGATGTGGCCAGGGAAAACATCCGCAGCAAACTCGTACTGTGCTGGCATTCAAATCCAACTGGGAAAAGGGGGAAAGAGGTACAGAGCTTGAGTCCGACCGCAGTTGAGCACAGATGGGCCCGGAGACAATCGGGAGTACTGGGGCACGGCACGAAATTATACAGGTTAATCACGTTCACATTGGTTTTGTGGTTGCTGTTGAAAAGTGAGCTGTGACGTCCCTTGTTAGGCGTCGCAGGTCAAGCAAAAGCAACTCCAACACAAAACAGACCGGACGAAAAATACTGCGCCGATTCTTGATCAATTAGCAATTACATCTGCCCTACAGACTCTTCAATCCGTGTACGATCACACAAAAGCGCACAATGGGTATATCAACCACCAGTTCCAGGTTACTTCCCAAGTCTTATCAAAATGCTCTCGAGTGACACAACACTAACAAGATGTCCCTCACAGCAAAGCCAACGACGAGGAGCACCTTTCCACAGACACACAACCGAACCACAACGCAGGCGACGAGGACCACCAGACCCACATCAGCTCCCCAGCCCATCACGCCCAGCCACAAACAAGTTATACCGTTCGCGCGTGCGCCTCCGCGCCGCCTTGCCGAACAGCGCCATGGGCAGGCTGGTCGCCAGCGCCGCAAAAGCCAGCACCCCCGCGGCAATAAACGTGTTCTCAACACCGCTGGCGTCCATCCATGGGCTGGTGACGAAGCTGAAGATACACCCGATGGTATTGTTGATGACAGCGACACCCACCATACCTTCCAAAACCATCTCCGGGTACGCGTCCACAAGGTACGCCATAGACAGGTCACCCGCGCAGCCATACCCAAACCCGATGAACCCTAGCCCGACGTAGGGGACGGGCCAGTCCCAGCCGCGCCCCGAGCCGATACCGAAGAGAAACATGCCTGTGGGGAAGACGACAGTCGGCAGAATCATAAGCCAAAGGCGACACTCGGCCTCCATGATCCCGCCGCGCCGCCGCGTCAGCCACAGCGTGAACCAGTCGCTGCCCCAGCCGGCGATGAAGCACCCGATCACCGCGCCTATCACGGTCGGGATGTTCATGTTGCCCACCTCGCCGTCGGTGTAGTACCACGGCGCCTCGTACCACGTGTCCTGCTCGACCGTCAGGTAGAAGGTGAGCCACGCGCTCTGCGCGCCCCACTGCAGGCCCGCGTACCACACCGCCGGAAACGTGAACACCTTGAGCGTGTGGAACAGCCGCTTGAAGTACTGCTTGAACCCCGTGCCGCGGAGGTTGCGCGCCGGCGTGATGACCCGGATCCGCTGCCAGTACGGCTTCTGGGCCTCGGGCTCGGCGAACCGTGAGCCCGACCTCTCGAGGTCGCCGCCGCCCGCGAGTGGCGTTGCCGTTCCCGAGACCCCGCCCGCCGCGGCATCGGACTTCTTTTCAACGGCGCCAGCTACCTCATCCGTGGCGCGACCGACTCGCTCCGTGATGTTGAGGCCGTGCATCGTCGTGTAACCCGCGCGGTCGAAGCCCGTCTCCTCCAGGCCGAAGAACAGCAGCAGGAACGTGCCGCCCGAGAAGGCAGCACCCATGTACCCCACCCAACGAAAGCCGAGGGTCTCGGAGATATAGCTCGCGATCAGAGAACCCATGTAGGTTCCCACGCTGGTGGCCAGGACATACACGCCAATAGCCGCGCCGGCCTGGTGCTCGAACCACAAGTCCATAAGGCTCAGCTGCACGACGGCCTCGGCGACGGCCTCAGATGCGCCCACAAACAGCTGGCTCCAGATGGTGTCGTCAGCACTCTTGGCGGCGCCGAACCAAACGCTACCGATGAGTCCAAGGATCATGGAGACGAGGTACAGCAGCCTCCGGCCGTAGAGATGTACGGCGGGAGAGGATAGCAGCGCCCAGTAGCCGATTCCTATGAAGAGTACGCCGGCGCCCGTATTGAAGTACGAATAGTCGATGCCCAGCTCCTCGTTGAAGCCTTCAGAGGCGGAGCCTGCATCATTGGACGTGGCGGCCGTCAGAGCGGTGATGAAGCACACGAGTGCTGTGTGCCAGATCTTGCGCGCCATACTCCATTGCAGAGGATCGTTAGGCGAGTCGGTGGGCTGCGGGACCAGGACAATGTCGCCGTGTTTATTGAGCGAGGAGGCATCGCCGCCCAGCGACAGGAGGGTGTGGCCCTCACTGTCGAAGAGGCGGCGCGTGCCGGGGATGTCCTCTAGCTCATCTTGGGTAAGAGAAGGACGTATGATTTCGAGCCCGCCATTGGACTGATCATGAGTGAGTTCGGGGGCAACTGCCATCGACTTGCGAAGTGGATTCGGGGGCGGGTAAGCCAAGGCGACAAGACGCGCGACACACGATGATCCTGCAGTCGGCTGGTGGGTGTGGACTTTGTTCCTCCTGTTCCTCGTCTTTCTGACAGACACGATGCTTCCCGCACCGGTTGGCCTCAGCACATCGTAAAAGTATGTATCACACGTAAGAACAGACAAGAAGCAAGAAGATGTGACTCCTGAGGCACTTTATTTGAGGTTTGGGGCCAAGACAGAATTTTAGCAAGGCCGATGGATCGACCGATGCGTGCCCAAGCGGGTAATCCCTTATCTGCCCAAAGATAAGCGATGGATGGGGCCGCGACCGTGTGGCGACGAGGTCGACGGCGCGAACCGGTTTTTGCATCGGGCATGCCGACTGCCGGCCAAATCCTGCCTCCAAGGTTCCAGGTTTGGGGTTAATGTTGGCCCTCGAGCTGACGGAAATTGGCCTGCGTCTCCGAAATGGGGACTCAATCAGGGCGTGAAGCCGTGATGCGACGATGATGCAACTTCTCCGAATGTCAGCGATGGAAAAACGGCTCTGGCTCTGGAGTGTTTTGTAAACAATACCATGACACCACAACCCATCCTTCGGATGGCCATCCTGGTACATGCAGTGGTACTCCGGAAAGCTTGCACTTCTGGCATCCAAGGCCAAAAGCTGTTCGCAGAGCGTGGCATGATTTGCCTAGTGTCAACCGGTGCATCCCTGTCGACATGTTGTAACGCACCGTCGCGTAAATTCGCTCCATCGTGCCACTCATCCAAAGGGACATTGCTCACCACTGTCGAAAGTAGCTGTCGCCAGCGACTGCTTTCGAGAGGTGAAAATGGCCGCCTTGCCATTGCAGTTTCGTCGCGTAGAAGTATGCTGAAAGCGTACGAACGAATCCGCCGCGATCGTGGGAAATAACATGCCACGCAGATGACGTCTCGGTCGCGACTGGATCAGTCCTCGACATCCCCGACCATCCGCAGCCCACCCTTCAAGCCCGTGCCCCTCCTTGACTCGTCAGCCTGTCTGGTAAACTTCCTCTTAGCTTCAGTTTCGACGATCAGCTTCTTAAGGTAGACCTCGGCCTCGACTGTGGCGCTGTAGGCAATAGCAGTCCACGACCATATGTTCTTCCGCTCGGCGTCGGCACCTGCCGCCAGCAGCGTCCTCAGCACGAGCATGTGGCCGTTGCTGCTCGCAAAGTGCAGGGCGGTGTTGCCTTCTGCGTCGGCGTTGCGGACAGCCTGCTCGGGCCCGCACGGCACGTAGGTCAGCAGGATCTGCAGGACGGTGTCGTGCCCGCCGCGGGCAGCCTCCATGATGGCGTCGCGGCCCCGGATATCGCGGCGCAGGATGATTGGCGGGTCCCGCTCGCTGAGGAAGTGGACGATCTCGGTGTGGCCGGCCCCGGCGGCCAGCATCAGGGCGGTCTGGTAGTCGTCGTTGAGGGAGGGGCAGTCGGCCTCGCAGCCGAGCGAGAGGAGCAGCTTGACGATGGGAAGGTGGCCCAGCGAGGCGGCGAGGTGCAGGTTCGAGTTGGACAGGCCGCCCTGGGACGTGTCTGGGTTGTGGAGGAGCTTCGGGTGCGAGTGCAGGATTCGCTTGACGAGGAGGGCGTCGTTGGCGTGGATGGCCCGCCGCAGACGGGACGAGGCGTCGATCCTGGGAGAGGGGAGCACATCGGGTCAGCTTGTGGGTTGCTTGGATCCGAGACACCGGCCTTGTGGCTGGACTGACTTACATGGCGGCGGATGAGGGAGAGCGAGCACAATGGAGGGAGCAACAAAACAGACTTCCAGAGTTGGTTAAAGGCGTACACGGATCAGTGGGTAGTCTAATGAGTGATTCATGGAGATCTCTCCCAAGCTGAGAGAGCTGGAGGCAGGACTAGCAAACAGGCAAGAGCGGAAGCTAGTCCTGCCATGACGCGAGCTTCCCGCTTGGCTGGCCGGGTTCAGGGTTCAGCAGGCGGGAAGTCGCGGGGGAGGGGCTCCCCAAGTGTGGAGCTGCAGCAGCTTGCCTGTGGGTGCGGATGATCTGCATGTGCCCACACTTTCGACCTCACCCTTCAGAGTCACCTCATGGCCCATGCCCTTCCTACTTTCCTCACACCTTCACGTCCCACCCGCAACACTTTCCGTGGCAAGTTTAGCCATGCAAATATGGACTGAGTATCTCCCGCAGGAGAAGGTCCCGGACTGAGCGGCGCTCGTCTCATTCCAGCCCTGCCAGTTCCCGAAGGAGAGACAACCAGATAGATGTTGTCTCGTCGCCTCTCTCTGCTACCAAGCGCTGGGCAACGGACTGGGGACAATCCAAGCGCACAGAATTCGATCGGGTGCATCGCATCAGGTCTTCTACAGCAAACAGACACATAGATTTCCAAGTCATCCGTCTTGCATGCCATCAGTCCCGGGCTCATGATTTGGTGTTGGTGGTGGTAGGCCTCCCGCATGTCGGGGAGGCTTCGACGCCTGTTGGGTATTGGCGCAGGCAGACCAGGTGAAGACTATCGGCCGTTTGATGCGGCGCAAGCGTTTCACGATAGCTATTTAATCCTCCGATCTCCACCTCGATTACTGTCTATAGTCGTCCTGTTCTCTTGTCATAGATCACTATCCCAGGAGACACATCCTCGAGCAACAGAGTCTTGAAGATAGTGTGACGTGAACAAAGCTGTTGACCGTTGTTCCACATAAGATTTGGCTACAATTCAGAGCCATGCACGTCAAAGGCGAACCAAATTCCCAAGCCTCGTGCTCCTCCCCGCCCTCGTCCTCGTCCCCTATCTTCCTCCTCACACTCCCAGAGTACGAGATCCAAATCCATCCCCGCCAGCCGACATGCCATACCTGCAAAGAAGTCGCCATCCGATTGGTGACCAGCTCGCTGAACAGCAACAACGCCGGCCGACCCTACTACATCTGCCCCTCGTGCCCGTGGGAGGACCGATGGGTGTGCTGGGCGGATACCAAGGGCATGGCCGCGTGGAACCCGCCTTGCGACTGTGAGCAGCCCTCCAGGCTGGACATAATTGGCCAGACCAAGGGGGAGAAGGCTGGAAGGGCATTTTGGACGTGTGTGACGGGGAGGTGCGGATACTACTCGGAGAACGAGGATGGCACGCCCGGGGTGAGTTTCGACGGGGGCTTCTATCCATACTAGTAGCTGTTGGTACCGGTATTGTCAACATCGGAAAGGAGATACCATTGAGCATTCATTTACAAGACTCGTATACAATGGCGAAAAAAAGTAACCCTCGGAGACATGCTCGAGTCTGTTAAGTTGGTAATGCTCACAGTTTGTCATGAGGCTGTGAAAAAGCTGTCACAATCTTGGGTTAAGTGAAGGAAAAACCTGACAATGTGTCCAATAGCAACATCCGACTCTTCCTGGGGCAGATTAACGACACCAGATATACCTACGTAGCTTCCGCCTAGAGGAAAGTCATCGTTCTATTACACCGAGCCCTTCTCGGGGTCTTTTGTGTCAATAGAAGATGAAGAGGTCCGCCAACTCAGCCTCGGGAATAGACTTATCTCCCTATCCTTGTCCAGGTCTTCCTGGACGCTTTTCCTTGCGTCTTCTAATTGGATCGTCGACCAATATCTGAACCAAAACACGGTCCCTGATGTCAGCAGGAACGTGAGCCCTGCATAGAGAGCAAGCCACGGAGAGATCTTCTGAGCACTGCCGTCTGGTATCCAGCTGAAGAAAGTCATGGAAAAGAAAGTCTGACCCTGAATCAGCCATGAATCAGGGGTTCGGTGGCGTGTCACTTACCGCGAGGAATGTGCCAGGCAGGAAGATCATGCCCAATAGTGAGATTTGCTTCATCTGACTGCCGTCCATCCTCGTCGCCGTAGCAATACTGAAATTAACTTGCGCATCACGCCTTGTATAGTAGTTCCACTCCTTGCAACTCGTCAGGGCTGGTTGATCAGGCAGTGGAAGCGGGCAGGTTTGGGTGGGGGGGGGGCAAGTTTCGTACCATCTGAGTTGCCAGTGTCATGCTGCCAAGAAGACCCTCGCAACTACGGATTTTGCTTCGAAACTCGGCCATCATCTCCTTCAGTCTGGCATCGATATATACGTCAGGCCTTTGACCTGTCCTTCGACGGTCCTCTGAGTCCTCATCGGGCTTTGGAAGGGATGTCGGCATCGCATGAAGATGTTCCCTCATAGAACCGAGCTCCGTATGCAGACTCTCGAGCCCATTCTTGAGGGAACTCATCGAACGCCACAGGTCTATGGCTTCGCAGTCCCTCTGCGTCATGGGCTGTTTTCCTTGGCCTCTCTCTCCCTGGTCCTCTGCTTCTTTCTTGGTATCTTTCTTGACTCTGTTCTCGAGCTCGAGAATTCTTGCCTCAAGCTTAGTGGACTTCTCATCTACTGCGTTGAAGAGACGTTTTCGCTCGTGCTCTGCGAATACCATTGGTAATAACAAAGGGTGAAGTGCAGACCCTTGGCACCTTTCCAGCCAAAGTTTTGTGTCCCCCATGACCTTGTCTGTACACCCATACATGACTCCAAATGTGACGGGCGTATCGGTGAAATAAGTCGAGGACAGTACGATGTCATCGTCTCGTTTGAGGGAATTTGTATCTGACTTGCAGTGATAGACTGTTTCCCACTCGTCAGCTCTTCAAACCTCATGATATAACCAGAAAGTACCTAAGGAAGCGGACAACAAATTCAGTGTCCGGTGCGGGCCAGAAGTGAGCGACGTACCCGTCGAGCGGCCAAAGGCATCTGGACCATCCCATGTCACCGACCTGCAGCTGAACACAGCAGTAGACTTTCTAGCAAGTATCAATGCAAGTGTTCTGTGTTGACACAGATCCTTGCAAAACCCACGGAAGTCTTCCTGCTTGTAAGCCAGGAGCGTCTTCTCCACACATCCGTCAATTGTATCTTGACCTTCTACCCGCTTGTGAATTGCTAGCAACAAGGTGGGGCGATGTGGCCCTTCTGAAGATGGCCGGCACTATCTTGCTTGTGTAAGTCTATCAACACAGGTTGAAAATATAAACACGAACAGCTTACACTTTTAATCCAGGCTCCATACTCAGATACTGAGGTGATTTCCTTATGCTGGAAATCCGCACTGCCCTGTAGAGACGGGTGTGTGAGCACTCTAGGCGGCCTTTTTCAATAGACATGCAATCATGACGAACATTTTCCTTCCCCTCAATCTTGATAGCGAGGACTTTGAAGGGTTGACTGGGTTGAAAGGCGAAACAGCTCCTGTCTCTCCTTTTGAAATCTGTGGTTGATATCAGCCACTCCATCGCCGGTAGGACACTTATCACCCAGATAATTGCATCAACGAAAACAACAAAAGCAGCTATAAAAGTAATCAGGCAAATGAATGCGAAGTGGATGCATGGGGTGTTATCTCAGTAAAACCAAGGGCACTGCTTGGCTGTTGCGGTCCAGTCCGAGGCGCTGACCGGTTTGCTCGGCAGAGGACGGTCACATTTGGTGCCCAACAAGGAAATCCCGTGCCAGAGCCTCATTCAAGTGAATGGAGAGCTGTTCGACCTCTGAGGGGAGGCCACGTTGTCATGTGGCATACCACAATAGCACAATCGGGCGCAGATATCCAGCCATGCCTGCGCACTTCCGCGCTGCTGCCGTGCATTGCATTATGCACATTCAAGGTGGGCGAGACCATTCGCAAGGCTAGGCGGATCTGCAAGTAAGCAGTGGCTCATGCAAGCATGACAAGAGTGCATCTGCAGAGCGCTGGCACAGCTCGGGGCTTGTTTGCACACCCTCTTCCATCACACCGCCCGTTTCATGCTCAAAATGGTCCGTCTCGCCACATCGCGGTACCGCACAGGTCAGAAGGATAATTTCAGCTCCAGATGCACACCGAAAAATTTGCACTTCATGTGTGCTGCGATCTGGGACGAAAACAGTACTTCGCACGGTTGAATCGAGGCAGCCCAGCAGCCTTCCTGAGACTGCCTACCGAGTGGGACGTGACTTGCCCCGTCACCGCCCGAGCCATTTTTTCCACTTTGTCTGGGGCTGAGTTTCGTTCAGAACCTCGACACGAGTCGTCCTGAGAAGGCAGGCGCCGTGAACACCCTCATAACATATATATGCCTCAAGGCCCCTTGCGGTCCGTCTATTGAGTGTTAAGTGTTAAGATGCCACTTCTCAAGAAAATACTAGACTACGTTAGTTTTGGAAAGAAAGACAACATGGCCCAACCTGAAGAATTCGAGCCTACGGACATTCTGAAACATCGTTATCAAGACCCTAGCGTTTTGATAACTTACTTGAAGACGCTGGGTTTCACGGATGACAAGATCACGGTAAAGGTATGTGGGTTACTTTCTGCAGGACCTTCAGACTGAGCTGACCTTGGCATGCAGCATCTAAGAGACGGCCAGATCGGGCTGAGACTGCCGCGAAAACTCGAAAAGGTAGGTATTGTCAGGGTCAATTGTAGGGCTTGCGACTAATGTCTAATCAGGAAGAGGTCGAGGGAGCGCTCAATGCTTTTATCCAGGCTGAGAGGGACCGTCAAAACGATGATGAGGATTGAAAGAAATCGTGGCTTTTATCTCATTCCCTACTAGTAGGATGTACCAGATGTTGCTGCTTCTTGGATGGCCTTAGATCAGACTGCGGTTTAGAAGAAAGTTGCCCACGCCTTGCGCGAGAATTGAGTCTTACTATATTCCCAAGCTAAAGCTGTGGTCGGACCCCAGGTTTTCTCTGTTCTGAATTTTGCATGATCTTTATTGTGAGACCAAAAGTACAGGTTCAATTGTGTAGCGTAATGAGTGGACTGCGCATTTAGTTTGAAATGTCACATACCGTCCACAACCATTTTCAGGAAGTTTCGCACTTCAAGAGAGTCCGCCCGTCTTTCGGGATCCACGATCAGCATCTTCTCGCCAATGAACGAGACTACTCGTTTCAATTGATCACTGCACCTGTCATGCTGTTGCAAAGACGTCAGATGCTGAAAGAGTATTAGCTTTGTGCATGGATGGGACTGTGGACACAATGAAAACATGAGCCATGTTTGCTTACAGAAGCAACCGTACTCTTCAACCGTGACGTGATGTTCACATGCGAAGCAGCCCAAAGAGAGTGTGTTGTTTTGGCTCGTCCCGAGGCGACTTTCATCTCGCTGCTGCGTCCCCACTCCAGTCTCTTCAAGATGAATGGCACAGACTCTTGCTTCGTCCTCTTGAAAAACGTATCCTCAATAACCTGTCGAGGGTTCTCGGTAACAGCAACCTCATCTTCTTCGCCCTCCCGGCGGTCATTGAAAGAATCGATACCATCTTGACCAAGTATTGCCCAAGTGACAAAATCCAGGAACAGACACCCTAGGCACCATACATCGTACTTCAGCGTGATAATGTTGCCTGTAGAATGCTCTGGTGGTCGATAAGTCTTCACATGTGCCACCTTGCCTGCCTTCAGATCCACGTTCGGCTTGACGCGCTTGGCCTCTCCGAAGTCTGCAAGCTTCAATACAATTGAAGGTTTGCCAGGTTCAGATTTCGGGAAACAGAGGATGTTCTCAGGTTTGAGATCTGCATGAAGAAGGCCACTTGTTCCTTCAGGGTGATCACCAGGAAGGGTGTGAGTAGCCAGCAATGCTTCGGCGATCCCAAGGCATTCGCCGATCAGCCACTCATCCGAGTACCAATGCGCGACTCTAGCCGGAGCAGGCTGTTCGGGTTGATCGATGCCTTCTGGGATGTACGATTTCCACAGCTTTTCCAGGCTGCCTTCGGTTGCGAGCGGAAAAACAAGATAGAATTTCTCTCGGTAGCTGAAAGCTGTGAGGAGGCGGACGATTCGCTCATGTTTCGGTGCGTCGAGGTTGGCGTCAACTTCGTGGCGGAATCTGTCCTCTGACATCCCAGGAACCAATCTCTGTTCGAAGGTCTTGAGTGCGAAGACATTGTCTTTCTCCTGCGTCCTCCATAGGTTAGAATTCAGTCCCACAGCGCGACTGAGTTCAACAGCGCAGCTCACCAAATCGTGATTCAGATGGTGGATCTCAATCTTCTCCACGTAGGACACCTCGCCGGACACCTCTTCCCCTATTCTTGTTTTCTCCATCCACGGGAGAGAAACTTCCTGCCGAAAAGCAGCAAACCCTCTTTTTTCTGAAGTGACGCCATTAAGGAACGGGGTATACACATGCCATTTGAAATGAGTAAAAAGTTCTCTCTCCTCTGCGCTGAGACCATAATCAAAATCCTCAGCTGAGTTGAGCCGGATAGGTAAGTTCTTGTCACATGTTTGGTGCTCCGCTGGGGGAAGAAATGAAAGGATGAGGTCTTCTCTGCCGCAGAGGAATAATGTGGCGAGAATCATTCGTCGTCCCGTGCAGTGTCCGCATCCACAGGAGCACTCCCCGGGTCCTGGAGAAATGTGCTGTACCACATTCTGCCGGTGACTGACGTCTTCGGTGCATACTCCTGGAATTTTCTGCAAAAGCTGTTCCACAAGCTCAGCACTGATGATGTCAACCAGCTTGGCCCGGGGTATGAACCGATGACGGGAGTCGTTGCAGTCCTTTCTGGATGCTCGCAAGAGTTCTTGTGTGATAAGGGCGCGGATGACCTTTCTTGGAGGTCCGGTATCAAGTGTGTGGGTGGTGTCTTCTGTTCCCCAATGACGTTGCATCTCAGCCTGCATTTACGAACAGGCCAAGGAGCGATAAGAAATGTGTCCGAATACGCGTGGCCAGTCCCGTACCACCATGAATGGCTTAGGCTGATCGCAATCCGAACCCAAAGCCCCTCCTTCGCTAAAGACCCAACTGCGCCAACAGAAGAGGTGGTGGTGGGAGGTGCAGCTGATTGCATGCAGCAAATCAAAGACACGTTGGGGTCGCCTTGCAGCAGCTATCCAAGAAACAACCCCTACATGCAGCGTGGGACGGTGTGGTCGGCCATGCTGGTGTGTTGTGGCAGAGTGCTATCGCCTATTTGTCAGTCCTTGGGTCAAAGGAAATGAAAAGCAAATGTGTATGCTTTGGCCCGCCTGAAGGACCTGTGGGTGGACAATATGCTCACTGTCAGATGCTCATCATAAACAAGGTTTTGGGGACCAATGAAGTGTCTAGTCCACGGTTGTAATGCAGGCGAAAGTGAGAGCCTCTGTGTCTCGCCACGGAAAGAGATGCGTGTGTTTTGAATTGAGCAGGCTGTCGATGTGCACAGTCTTGCCTTTTTAGCTTGCCTACGGAGCTATGCTTACTTGCATACAGTCCCCGAAATGGTGTGCGGCCCCCACTAGATTACCAATAATAATGTTGCCCTCCGCCTGTGGCACTTGAGCCGTTTCTGCACTTTGCTGAGTGAGCCATGCACCCATCCCGAGTCTTCCATCGGGGAACTGACATCCGACTCACACGGCATCTCGAGTGGTCAAATTGTCAATACAATTTCACCAAACATTTCAACAGTCCTTATGTGTTGTATGCGAATCTCGCACGAATTATTCACTCAAACGTACTCGGAGCAGGAGATTATCTACTCTTGTCAACATGTTGTCAGATATGCAGGCCATGCCATGCTCACCAATTTGTTCACTTCTTTTGGCTCAAGCTGCATCAACTTTGCCAAGTTCCGGTATTTTCAACCCCCACGCAAGATAACCAGTCGCATTTGGAGCGAACCATACGGTGGCATCTGCGGTTGGATGGAGACTTTAGCCACAGCCAGCTCGTGCAGTGGAGCACACCGGTTTGATTATGGTCATGCCATTTGTCGATTTTGAAAGCCGAAGTATTCATTTCGGAGGTGGGGAAATAGCGACAAGCATGGCGCCGATCGAGGAATTCAATATTGGCGGACCTAGACAGCAGAGCCTCATCCAGTATAACACTGGACAGGCATGTTGGGCGGGGCAGGGTCGGGCCCTCTATCATTGCCCCCAGATCATGTGGTCTCTCGAGCCCACCGAAAGCATTTGACAGACAAAAGAAACATTAAATCATGACCAACGGGTACTGGTGCCTATTGAGTCCCCGGGACTGGTTCAATCCAAGGGCCCCAAGTATCGAAAGTACCTATCAATATTCCTCAAGGCGGTCCAGCTCGGCAACATCCAGCGCTAGTGAAAAGTACGGCCCGCCCCAGGTGATTCGTGGCTCCTGGATCGATGAGGCAAAGTTGAAGGACCTTTTGGAAAAGAAGTATAGGGGTGACTACAAGTTGCGTGTGAGCATCTCCGATGTTCCAACCATTGCTTGAGCTGATCGCTTCAGATGAGGAACAACAAGTATGAGTTATATTCTCCACACGGCTTGACAGATCAAGAGATCAATTACTGTTATTGAGACTTTCTTCCTATGTTCATCTCCTTCATCTCTAGCGTTCTCTCACTTCCCTGTTGGTATCTTCTCCTTGGTAGTACATGGGCTTTGTTTGATCCAGCCTCGACGGCAGGGGAGCCGAAATTCAGCATTGGAGTCTGAGAATAACTTAAGAGGTATTGTGGTTGTTGACAATGGTATTATTGTGTGGAGCTATCTTTGATGGTCTTTCCTTGTATCCTCCTGTCAGGAAACGGAAGTGTATCCCTGTACTTAAGTACTTCAAACTTTCACTATACGAATTCCCAAGTGGTTCACTAAGCCCCTATTATCTGCCCTCTGAGTGCCTTCTTTTGTAATGCACTGGGGGCCTCTGAATGCCCTCTCCTTTGATTAGAGATATAGCGCTCACTCAATTTGAATGGACGTATTTAAGGCCAGCTGCTCTGTGCCTGAACCTTGTCGTGACATGTGTCTAGATATTATTCGTCCTTTTATCATGAGAGAGCTGCCTCCTAGTGGCTCTCAGACAAGAACCTCTCTAAGCCTCTCTCATGCTCCATCCGCCTGACAGCCCTACTACCCAGAAACTTGATCAGCACATCCAAGTGCAGCAGATGCCCTCTCCTCCTGTGGACAAGGGCGGTGAATACCAAGCTGGCACAAGCGACAGCCACAACGGAAATCAGCACAGGCCACTTGAACTGCTCGGGACGAGAGAAAGTGATTGTAGAGGCATATGCAAGAAGCTCAAAAATGTTCTGCCAGGCGGCCTCGACCGAGGAGAACGCCCCGCGAATTTCGGCCTCACGTACTAACGAGACGGTCAATGTTGTCCTTTCCTGCTGTCTCAAGGAGGTAAAGACTCACCTGCTGAACAATAACCTGTACACACAGATCAAAACCTCTCAACCCCACGCGACTGAGTATCGTGCCACCCACGAGCCCACTTGCCGAGACAACAGGCTTATCCACGAAGGCCCAAAAACACTGCAACCCCTGTAACTAGCATGGTCACCTGCCAGCTGCCCAGCCATAAGCCTGCTTCCACGGGTCCAATCTTGCCCATCATCCAGGGTGCCGTCCATGTTGCCAGCACCTCGAAGACCACACTGAGAGTCCTGGCGATACCGACGTCTGTGGTGTTGTAGCCGGCCGAGAGCAAGTATGTGACCATCTGACCGGCGAAATTTAGAACGGTAAGGTAGAGAAGGGCGCCAGCGGTAGAGGGGAGGAATGCGCGATGTTGGAAGTAAAGATTGAAGTCGGCGGCGGACTTCTTTGCGACGGCTAGCACATGTCTCCAGTTGTGCATCAACCGGCTCTCGGAATTTTGGCGCCTCTGAGGTTCTTGCGACGATTCAGCGTTTGAAGTCACTGGCGGTGCTTTCTTTTTCGATTGCTGCAGTTCCGGAACAACGTGGTAAATGCGAGCTATGGCGAAATACTCAACAGGGATGTACAATAAATTCATCGCAAAGTTGACAATGATAGCGGTGTCAGTGGAGATGCCGTCTACCAGAGCGATGAATAAGGGGCCCAAGAGCTTGCAGAGTAGGTCAATACGCCGCATCTGTCCATTTATAACTCTCAGCGCTGCTTCGTCCTTCTTGGCGACGACTACGACCTATAGAATTTCGTCAGCCAAGCACCAGTCTGTCACCCAAGATAGCATACCCAATCTTCCTCTACAGATACCAGGTTCATGATCGAGCAGAGCTTTTCGACGCAAGCCAGGAAGGAAAGAAGTGGAGGATACCAATGTGCCCGCCACGGTCCAGAGACAAGCGCGTGGCGAGGGCGTAGAAAACCACACAGGATGCTGCTACAACCATTCGCTGGAGGACTGGACGACCGAGTTAGAAAGAGAAATACGGTCCAGGGGAGGAGGCCGCGGACCGATTGACACCCTTATTACCTGCAAGCGGTTGCCAGTGTCGATATACTGTCCGACGACGGCGGCGAAGATGATTGCAGCAAGACCCCGGGTCAATGCATACACGGACATAGGCTGCAAAGTCCCAGGGTAGATGGTCGCCAGGTACAGGATAGCGCCGAATTCAAACACACGGGAGCTCCAAGTCGACAGGAAGTGCGATATGTAGAGTCGCCGGGCGATTCTGGCGGGCACTGCATGCTCCGCGGCCTCCCTTTGTGGAGGAACGGGAGGGTCTGGGAGGAGGGGAGCGCGCTCGTCGGCTTCTGGGTTGTATGACATGGTGTGGAAAGTGATGCCACTAGATGTGATTGTTGTGCAAACAGCAGTGCGGATGAGGAACACGAGGTTGAAAGAAATTCCGGTTGTCAAGAAGCAAAGTCTAGGTTTGACACTCTTCACCGTAGGCTAGGTCTGTACTTGTACTCTAAGCATGTCCCCATCTTAATTAAACCCTCGTTGGATCATATGTCTAGGCAAAGTTTTCAAATGAGTCATTTGGATTTTCTAATACTTAGGCTTCATGGTACAGAGGCTTGAAATGTGCAACAAATTATATGGATTTCAAGAGTAGCCTAAGAAAGAAAGGAAGGAGAGATCTAGAGGGACGTCGTGGGCTGCAAGTGTAGGACAGGCAGGTCTCATTAATAAGCGGGCTTTTGCATGGATTCCCTGCAGGGTCTAACCATCCTGAGAGGGTGCGTGTCGGTGCATGGGTGCAACGGACCTCCGCTTATATAAGCGGAGGCCTGAGTTGCAAATAGGCGATAATGATGAATGAGCCCCATTCAAGATCGCACCTTGGTGGCTGCTCTCCACCGCTCTCCCATCTATAGCTTCGCTCCTGAAATGAGATTTGACCTGTTCATAAAACAACGCAGGCTCTCAACATGCCCTGTGGGAAGCTCTCTATCTGGAACCCCTCGGCATACTTCGAGTTGAGAAGCTCAAGGGTTCCCAACCACCCCGAGCGTTGCCACAAATGGAATCGGCAGCCTCTCAAGACGAGGAGGACTGCGGTGGCCTTCAGGGGATTCACGGCTCTGATGACTTAAAATTAATAAAGCTTCTAGACCGCAAACTCAGTAGAGTTAATCTTCTCAGATGAGCCACAAAAAGTACAAATTATAAGATACGCACAACGGGCTTGGCAGAACAGGAGATCAATTCATGGTTTTGAAATTGTTCCTTCTCTGTGCCTTATTATGGTCCCCTCAGGGCTCTGAAAGTGTGTTGTTATCTCTTCTTTTAATTCAACAAGTCCCTTTCAGTCTATCTATCTTTCTTTTCATCTCTCGTTCCCTTATTTTGCCTTCCGGGACGGCAGTACCTGTTTCCGCCCTCAAGGTCCGAGTCATCCCAGGATTTGTGGGGCTATGGAAATTGATGGTACATATTAATGGGATAGTTTTGGAGGACTCCCCCCAATGTGTTGGCTGGGAGTTTGATATGCTTCACGAAGGTTGACCTATTCGACACGTGGAGCTAGAGTACTCTATGCGCTTTCAACAACACAAGTTAAGCTTGGGTGATGAGGAAGCCTTTGAAGAATGAGTTAAGGGAGCCCAAGTCCTCATCTTGGATGATGGTCGAGATATCTGTGAGGTATGTGAGCACGCTATGAAGACGACAGCAAAGTTTCTAGAACAAACTCACACTGATCAGGACGGACTACAATTACTGTGGCTGATTCGTGATCGACTCCGATTGAATCAAACGCGTGCCCGTGTCCCGAATTATAACTCTCGTCATCCACAAATACCTTGTGCAGGCCTATCCAAGTTAGTAACCAATGTCTCGTAAGTGTGTCCCGTAACTCACTTTGAATTTTGTGTTTCCCTGTAATCGGCTTGAAGGCCTTCGGAATATGTCCCAACTCGATCCCCGTTCTTTTGGTCTTGAGCACGAGGAGACACTCGATGACACTATCCTGGTCTCTGCCTGCGCTTGTGAAAGCATTGACCGTCGACTCAAGTCTTGAAGCAACTCGGTGTAGACGGTCTCTTGTTTCCTGTTGTTGAATATCCCCCGCAAATACCACAATCCTCCAGCGCCGATCTGACCGGAGAACGCTCAAGAGCTGGTGGACCTTCCCATCACTGTACCTGACAACCTGTGCAGTGGGAAATCGCATCCCCACCACTAGCTGAGATTCCCGGTGACTGCATTCTTCGGATGGCCTTGTGATAATCGAGTTACCATATTTGTACGCCTGACCAGCCGTATATCTCCCAGCCTTCACGAACTGATCGCGCACGTAGTCTGCCCCAGTTCCGTTGGCTCCCGACTTGAAGATCTTGCTCCACATGCGATCAAACTCGATCAGCTCTGCCGCCGTCTGTTGGCGCTCCTGGACGTACGTCTTGACAAGTTCCTCAGTCGAATGCCCGGTGAGATAGGACCCTAATTTCCACCCGATATTATATCCATCCTGTAGGCTGACGTTCATTCCCTGGCCTGCCTTTGGGCTGTGTGTGTGGCAGGCATCCCCTGTAAGAAAGACTCGGTATTGCTCGTGGAAATTGTCCGCAAGCCTCTGCCCGATCTGATATGCGGACCACCATGTTGTCTCTGCGATGTCCATTTCATACGGCCTGAATATTAGCTTGACCCGCTGTTGCAGATCTTCCAATGTGACTTTGCTGGCGACTGTATCCGGTGGCAGCTCGATGTAAAACCTGACAAGGGAGTCGCCTTCACGTGGGATTATGATCAGGTTGCCGCTGACGGATTGTATGACGGCTTTCTTGCGGATATCGGGAAACGTCGGGCGGGGGTAGAGGTCCATAACGCCCCAGATGGCGTCGGTAGAATCGCCGAGCATCTTGAAGCCCAGAGCCTTGCGGACAGCGGAGTGCGCCCCGTCGCAGCCCAGGGCATACTTCGCTCGGAACACCTGCTCGACTCCGTTCTTCAGGGCTGTGACCATCACTGGGTATGATTCCGGGTCTTCCGCCGTGTTGCTGTCGACGTGCACCGTCTTCACGTCGTACCCATAGTCGATTTCAGCGCCGCCGCACCGCAGCATCTCCTTCGTGATCATCTCATTGATACGGGCCTGGTTGAGAATCACATGGGGCTGGTGACTCAACCCTGGCTCCGTATCAGGGGCGTAATGAGACCACTTAATGCCCCCCTTTTGGCCGTCGCTCAAATCCGTGCCCTGATCCGGCGCCCAGAATGCCAGCTCGAGCACATGGTAAGACTCCCGGAGGAGCTGGTCCGACAGCCCGAAGCTCTCGAATATCTCGACCGTGCGGCACTGGACTCCATCCGCCTGCCCCTTGGCCAGCGGCCCATCGCGACGCTCGAGGACACGGAAGGCGACACCGTATTTCGCAAGCCACAGGGCTGCTGTCAGTCCGGCGGATCCGGAGCCGCAGATAAGGACGTCAGTGTAGGTGATGTTTGATGAGTCACTCATGTTGGCAGGGTGGTGCTCGACTCGAGAGTGCAAAGATGTGAAATCTGGATTTAATTTCACTCCGCAGCGGGGACAGCAGAATGGTGCACCTTGGTTTTGTCGATTTATCACCCTTTCCTTGAATATCGCCTCTTTTAAACAGACAAACCTGTGAAGCAGATTGTTCGATGGCCCTTCTAAGCGTCACTCGCATCGATCTCGCGATAGCGAGCCGGATATTCAAAAGTCCGGACAACGAGGCTGCGGGGAAGTAGATCTACCTCCGGATGGTCTCGCTGACATGCGCGATCTCCGACATGCGGCCTGCTGCCCAGATGCTAGCGGAGATAGTCGACGTCCCCGCAAGCTGCGGGTCGTCCATTCCTGGGCACTCCGACCGGCAGCGGTGGCAGGTAGTTTGTAGGGGCCATTGATATTGAAGAAGGAAACGCGACGCCCGACGAGCGAGACAGGCGTCAGGAAGCTAGACAATCCGAGGATACCGAGATGTTCCCAAATGACATTGCATCCCCCTTCTTTATGAGGGAGGTTGAACTGCCTTTCCTCGGCCTAGTGCTTAGGCGGGGGTCAAAGGACATCTGGACATAGAATAAGCTTGGGCACTCGAACAACCACTACCTACCATTGCTGACGTGGGAGAACCACCGCCTTTTCCTTCCATCATGGAACTTCGACCAAATCATGCGTTTACAATCAGTCCTGTGGGCGTCATGGAACCTAGCCTCGCAAACCAGCGCGGCATCCTGCTCCCCTGAAGGCTTCGGCTCACTTCCAGCAGGCGTATCAATTTTGAACACCACGGACTTTCCCGTGTCTTCGGCATCAAACCTCTACGGGCAGTCAGCCGAAGACGACCCAGGTTACAACCCGGCCTACGCCTGGAGCTTCCCCGCGCTCTGCGCTGTCGTCGCCAACGTGGTCGAGGGCAACTCGTCCTACAACCTCGGCCTGTTTCTGCCGAGCCAATGGAGCGGCAAGTTCCTGGCGGTGGGCGGCTACTCGTTCGCCGGGGGCATCAACTGGCATGACATGAGCCCGGGGCCCTGGTATGGCATGGCGACGGTCACGACCGACACGGGCCACCTCTCCGCGGCTCCGGACCAGTCCTGGGCTGCCGACCCGGGGCTGCGGGCGGACTGGGGCTCGGTCGCGATGCACGGCGCGGTGACGTACGGCAAGATGCTCACCGAGGCGTTCTACGGCTCGAATGTCACCGGGTCTTACTACAGCGGCTGCTCGACGGGCGGGAGGCAGGGGCTCAAGGAGATCCAAGAGTACCCTGACAGTTTTGACGGGCTCCTGATAGGCGCCCCTGCGTGGAACACCAAGAACTACATGCCCTGGTTGACGCAAATCGGCGTTTGGAACCACGCGAGCAATGCGACCAGGCTGAACGATTCCGACTTTGGCACCCTGGCGGCTTTCGTGCAAGCCCAGTGCGATGCCCAAGACGGCCTCGAGGACGGCATCGTCAGCTCACCCGAAACTTGTCGCATTAACTGGGACGATATTGAGTGCGGGTCACCGAGCAACCCAAGCCCGTGTCTCAGCAGTGGGCAAGTCGAAATCGCGCAGCTCGTCTACGGCGACTACTACATCGACGGAGGGGCCGACTTTGTCCACAACGGCTTCGAAGTCAGCTCCGAGGACCAGTGGTCAACCTTCCTCACGGGATCGAGCACGACCGGCTTCGATGGGGACTACGAGCGGTACTTTCTAAACTATGGGCCGGACTGGCAGACCACAAGCTACAACTCCTCGACTGTTGGTAGGTCTCTCGTACGTACGATAATCATATGGGAAGCAATCGTGTATTGGTGTTATTCTGTCTAAGTTCTAAGAGGCTACGTGCCCCGTAGGGGATAACTAAAGTAGCCTCCTAATAGCGAGGGTCGTACTTGCCAACACTTAAAGTTTTCTCTTCTTCTAATAAGTATGTACGATCCTTATCATAATCAGCCCAAAATTATAATCCATTGCATATTATATATATATAACCTTTATCATAAGAAAGCATTATTAAAAAGGCTTAAAATTATAACTTATAAGTTTTAAAATAAATCTTAGCAATTCTTACCATTATACCATTCCTTAAACTTATAACCTTTATTATTATATCATTCCTTAAACATTATATTTATTATTTTTAATACTTAGCTTTTAAGGTTGCTTTTTTATAAAGATTATTAACTTCCATATAAGAACCTTAATCCTAAATCTTTTCTTTATAAGGAAAGTTAATGCCTATAAAGTTAATACTAAACCCTTTAACTTATATTTATTTTTATTATATACCTTTATAATGCAAATATTATTATCTTTATCCTTATTTTTATTATTAAAACGTACTTAATATTACTTTAAATTATTCTCCTTTAGCTACTTTTTATTCTCTTAAAACTAAGCATTATAAGCAGCTTAATTATCTATTAAGTCCTTTTTTTATTTTTTATTATTTTTTTTAATTTCCTTAATAATTATCTTTTACTTAAATTGCTTAAGCAATGGCGCATATTTCTTAATAAGTCCCTTTATATATAAGCCTTATATATATTTATTAATAATTTAATATAAAAAGTTTTAAAGCTAAGTTAATATAGCAATTTAGTTCTTTAATAGCTAAATTTTTTTAATTTAATATATATAAAAGATACTTAAGATTAAAACCCTTATTAAGTTATTTATTATGGAAATTATAATGATTTAGCATTTAAAATAATAATTGCCTTAGTAATTCTTATTATTAAAGATATTATATAATCTTGCATTAAGAGTTTTAATACTTTTAATATAAATGCATAGCTTTTTAACTATATTATTAAATAATATTTGCTTATCTTAATATTAAAAGTTATTAATAATTTAAATAATAATTATTATAATAGCATTATTTAAGAAAAGTATCTTAGCTTAAGTTATAGCTATAGCCTTTAGCTTATTAATTTTAATAATTCCTTAAGAGTTTATCTTAATAAGTAGCTTGCTCTTTTTAATGCTTAATATAAAAGTAAATTTAAAGGCGGTTTTTACAATCTTTATTAAAGTCTTATTAGCTTAGTTTTAATTATCTTTATTATTAATAATAATTAAATTACTATTAATATTAAGTAAATAAGAATTGTTATTATTAATATCTTTATTAATATTTATTAAATAAGCAAGTAAATAAAAGTTATTATTATTAACATCTTTATTAACATTTATTAAATAAGCATTATTAGCAACAACCTTGCCATAAGAGCTAATAAGATTAATAAGCTCATCTTTATCTTTATTAATTAAGGCAATTTTAACCCTTTTTACAACCTTAATAATAATTCTAATCTTTATTTTATTGCTTAATAAGAATATAATTACAATATTTATTTTATTAATTAAGGTTATAATTACAATATTTACAAGGGAATCCTAATTTTAATTAAGGGTTGCAATAAGGCTACCTTTAATATTAATTATATTAATAGCAATTATAGCAATAATTATATTAATTATATCTTTAGCATGGGTAATAAATATAATATTTACTAAATAATTCTACTTACTATTATTATCCTTATAAAATATATTAATAAAAGTATTAAATAATCCTTATAAGTTATTATTAATGTTTTTCATTATAATAAGAAGGAAAAGATTTTATAGGAATTTAATAATTAAAATAAATATTTATAATGCAAAACTTTGCAATTATTATATAATAATCATTAATTTATTCTTTAATTATAAGAAAAGTTAATAAATTATAAATAAATTTAATAAAAGTTAATTTTAATATTATTGCTAATAAATAATAATAAAAGATAATAATAATAATAAAATTAACTTTAAAATAATAATTATTAATAATATTAATAATTATAAGGTTATCCTTATATATAATAAGGTATTAAAAAGGTATTAGTTAAAGTATAAAAGATTAAAGTTTATATTAAAGGTTTTAAGTTTAGGAGGTATAAGGTTTTGCAGCTAGCGGTAGCAAGATTAAAAGAAAAAGATGCCAGCGGTAAATTGCTCCTTCCTTAGCAAAAAGGGGCTACTTTAAGTTTTTTAATCAATCTATCTACCTATATATAAAGCTTATTATTATTAATAAGCTTTTATAATATAATATTTAAAGTTAATTTTATCATTATATTAATAGAATTATCTTTCTTATTTATTTACCTTACTTTAATAATTTCTCTTATTTTATATAATTCTTATAATAATATAATATTAATTATAAGGCGCTTTTTCTTTATTATTTCCAGCTTTATAAGGCATTTATATAAGTTATATAAATCCATATAAATAATTAAGGGTATATTTAATAATAAAAGTTATCTTATGGCTATTTTAATTATTATAGCTAAAAAGATTTTAATATTTACTTTATTTATTATGTTATAAATTTTACTTATTAATATGCTTTGGGTAATATGTTTATACTTTATTAATAATTAATGGAAAATATTGCTTATTATTATAAATCTTTTAATTTCTTTATAAGTTTTATTTATAAGGATAATAATATATTTAAGTTAAGATATTAAGTCCTAGTTATTTATAAATAATTCATTTATAAATATAAAAAGTTTTGCTATTTTAAGATTAAGGAATATATATTTAATTCCTTATATAATGTTATTTATTTGCTATAATAATTGCATATTTAGGCTTTTATAATTTCCTGCCTTTAAGTTTTGCATTTATATAGCTATTAAAAGATTATATAAAGCTTTTAATTAGTAAATTAAAGCTATATATGCTTTGCAAGCTCTTTATTTAAGGTATTTTTAAGGAGTATTTTTAATTATTGCATTAATAAGGATAAGTTTATTAGCCTATCCCTTTTATTAAATAGTAATTAAGCTAATAATATTTATAGTTATGCAAGCTTTATTATAATTCATTAAGTTTCTAAGCATTAGCTCTTATTTTAATTTTCCTTATAATTTCACAGCTTTTATTTTAATTTCCTCCTTATCTTAAAATTTTAATATAAATAAAATTAATATATTATTTATTTATATGCTTATTATCTTAAAGAATTATGCAAGCTTTATAATTATTAAGTAAGAATTATATATAAAATAATTTATTTTAAGCTTTTATTAATAATATCTTTAATATATATTAAATTAATAAATGCTAAATTTTGTTATGTTATATAAAAGTTAAATAATATAAATAATTATGCCTAAAGGGTATTTATTCCTTAATTCCTTTAATAGCTTTATAAGGATTATCTTATATAATTTTAACTTTATTTAAGGGTAAGCTTAAGTAATATTTTAAAGTATAAAAACCATGCCTTTTTCTTAAATTAATAAGGGAGTAAGTGTAAGGATTATTTATTAGCTTATTCTTTAAATAATTAAGCTTTGCATTAAGATTAATTCCTTTTTATTATTATTATAACCTTAAATAATAAATTGGGATTTCTTATAAAGTTTTATGATTTTACCTTTTACTTCCTATATTATATAAAACTTAAAGAAATGATATTTATTATATTACTTTGCTAATTATTTTTTAATTTAAAAAATACCTTTAGTAATAAGGTTATTAATTTCCATTTTATTAAATTCTTTAAATAGTAAGCCTAGTATTATAATAACTTTATCTTATCTTAGTTTAATTGCTAAATTATAGTTTTTATTTTCTTTTTTTAAAATATATAATATAATAATGCAGTCTTTTATTTTTAATAATAATAGTTATATAATAAGTTGCATTTAAGGTTTTATGGCTAAATCTTTTGCTTATAAGGGTTGCATTTCCTTATTATTATTTCAATAATATGGTTAAATAATTATTAACCTAAATATTGCGGCTTTATTTAGTATGTTTAAGGTTATATTATAGCTATTTATGATAATAACCTTATATAAACCCTTTTATCCTTTTCTCTCTTTTTATATGCAAACTTTATATTATAGCAAGTATTTTATATTAAAGATAGGTTTAACTTTAGTATTTAATGCATTTTATACTTACTATTTAGCTATAGTTTTTTATAGCATCTTTATAACCTTTAAAATAGCTTTTGCTTGCTTTTATATTAATAATAATAGTAATAACTTATATAATACTTATGGGTAAACGCTGAAAACTAAGAGCATAAAGATTAATTTATTTAATTTAGTAATATCATTAATAGCTTTTATAGCTATTTATAAGATAGTATTATTATTTATGCTATTATACAATTTAGTATATAGGATTTTATATGCTTATTTAAGGGCTTAATAATATTTCTTAACTTTTTTAATAAATTAATATGCTTTTATAAAGACTTATTTGCATTTAATTCCCATTATTCATGCCTTTAAATAGAATTCCAAGAATGCAAAGTTTATTTTTGCATTATATTTAATGACATTTAGTAATTCTTAATATATATTAATTTAAAGTATTTGTAGTGTTTGCTATGCAATCTTTGCAAATATAGATTTTAAGAATTTTATTTCTTAAAAAGCAATAGCTTAGTTTATAATATAAAGGATTAAATATTTGCTTAAATATATTACATTAATTAAGATTTTATAGTTAAATTTATAATTATTATATAATATAAACTTAAAATGCTTAAGTATAGGTTTATTTATTTAATAATAATAATATATTTTTTTAATTTTTGCTATTGCTTATTTATTAATATTTAAATTACCAGCTTTTTTAAGCATTTAGCATAATTAATTTATTAATGGGTATTTAAAGCAATAATAAAGTTTCCTTATTTTTATCTTTAAGAGGAAATATATAGCATTAATAATTTAGTTTAGGAAAAACTATAGGTAGCTTTATTTTTTAAGTATTAATATAATAATTGCATTATTAAAGGAAACTATTTTATTTATAATATTATTATAATATACTTAAAGCTTATTTATATTTACTAAGTAAAGTAGGAATGGGGTTTATGCTTAAATAATATAAAAGTTAATATAATTAATTAAGATAGAAACTTTTATTATATTAAGTAAATTAATAATTATTTTATTATTAAATTTAACTTTAGCTTTTTTTGCGGTAATTAAATTAATTTAATATTTTAAGTCTTTTTATTATAGTGTAAGAAATTGCTTATATTCAGCTATAAATATTAATAATGCTTTAATATTTGGTAGAATTCCTTAAAAATAAGTTTAATTATATTTATTCTTTAAGATAAATTAGCTAGCTATAATAATTATCTTTATTTAAAAGATATTATTTCCTGTGATTTAATATATAAACACTTTATTAGCTAAGAAATTAATATTTATATAATAAACCTTTTTATTAAGTCTTACCTTTATAATATAGGTATTGCTATTATAATTATTATTTTAATCTTATTTATCTTTATATTTATAAAATTTATCTTTATTATTTATCTTATATCTTTTAAATTTATTTAAAAAAGTATTAAAGTTATTATTATAACCTTTATATTTATATTATATTAAGTAGCTTTTTCTTGCTAAATATTGCTTATTAGCTAAATGTTTAATTAATTAGCATTTTTTTTTTTTATAAATATAATATCTTTTTTTTTAAGGTTATCCTCTTCTTTTTTCTTTATAAGCGTTATTATTTTAAGCTTTATGGCTAATGCTATAAGATTTTGGCTACCCAAAGCTTAAATAGCTTAAGTTTAATTAACTAAATCTTTAATTTTCTTAAAATGCCTAAGACTGCAATTATTATCCTTTTCTTAGCTTTTAATCATTATATTTATAATTAATATAATATTAATTTAAAACTTTATTTATAATATAAATTATAATTATATAGTTAAGTTATGTTTTTATTATAAATTTTAGGTTTAAAAATAATTCTTTATATAGTTAAGCTAGCTTAAAAAGAGCTATTTTTAGCTTAGGAATTCCTTTATAAGCTTTAATTATCATTATTCTTAAGTTATCCTTTTTGGCATAGTTTTAGCTTAATGCTCATTAGTAAAGTTGTAGCTTATTAAGCATTAAATATAAAACCTTATATAAGTCTTTATTTAAGTTTTATGCTTTTATTTTTATAAATATTATTATTATTTAATTTATATAATAATGTTAATAATTAAGGTTTATATTAAAATGCATTTTAATTTTAAGGTATATTATTATAAATATATTAGTTTAATTTATAAAATAAAGGTAATAAGCCTTAGCTTAGTCTTTAAGCATTTAAAGAAAAACTGCATGGAATTAATTTAGCTAAATTTTAATATAATAATAGATATTAAAAAATATCTTTATCTTATTATTTAATAAATTATATAAGTTCTTAGTATACTTATAAGAGTTATTAAAGGTTTTTATAAACTATGCTAACTTTATTAAATTTAAGCATTTATTAAAAATATGCTATAAGGAAAGAGTTTTATATGAGTTATACTTTTTATTTAGTAAAGGTATTTTTAAGATAGCCTAAGGTTATGCTAAGTATGGTATATATCTTTAATATAAGCTTTATTTTTATCTTTCCGCTAATAATAATAAGCTTTGCTAATTATATTAGTTTTTAATAAATTATATTATTAAGTTTAAGTTTTATAATTATGCGCTTAAAGCTGATAGTAGTAATAAATATTATCCTAGGGATTGCCCTTTTAGTAATTATTATTATTTAAAGCCTGCTTATGGTTTTTATAAAGGTTATGCTTATAATTACTATTTTTAAAGTTATATATAATATTTATTTATGCTTAATTTTAAAGCTAATGGAGTATTATAAAGCTTATTATTAATTTATTTTAATCTTTCCTTAGCTTAAGCTATAATAACTAATTATAATATTATAAATTAATTATTATATTTTATATAAATATCTTATATTTAAAGGAAAACTTTTAGGTATTATTAGCAAGGATTTAATAGTACTTTAAACATTGCTTATGTTTATGCTATGTAATTCTTATAATAAGTAATAAAAAGGTTATTATTATAAAGGTTTTATTATATATAGCTTGCTAAAGTACTTATTAAGTAAGTAATTAAGTATTTTATTAATGCTCCTTATATAAGAGCTATAAACTATAGTTTTAAGTTAATATATTTATAATAGGCTAAGTTAATTAAAGTTTAAGCAAGCATTTTATTAATTATATACTTTTTAATAAGAGCTGGTAGCTTCTTAGCGTTATTAGCCATTCTTATAGGTTTTTATAGTAAATATTGTAAGGAATGAAATTAATAAAATAAAGAAATGTTAATAAAATAAGTAATATTTAAAAGTAAGTTAATAATAATAGTTTAATAGGGAGTAAGTTATGGTTATTAAAAGGAAGAAGTTATTAATTTTTTTAGGCCTTAAAAGCTAAGGCTTTTTCTTATTATTAAGTCTTTTTATATTAATTAAAAGTATAATGTATAACTTATGCTTATTTATAATATAGCATTGCGTTAGCTTTAATAATTATAATAATTGCAAGCTTTATTTATTTAATAATTATAATAGTTATAAGCTTTATTTATTTAATAAAATAAAGCTTTATTAAGTTTTGCTAAGTTTTAAAAAGGAGTTAAAGATAAGTTTATAATAAGTTTATTTTTAATAAAGTCTTATGCATAATAAATGCATATCTCTTAAATAGCAATAAATATGCGTATAAATATTACAGGGAATGCCACTTAATTTATTTAATCTTTGCAATATCTACTTAAGAAGTTTAATGATATAGGGAGGCTTAAAGAAGCAGTTGTTACTATATAGCGCTTGCTAACGAGGAAGATGTAATTTTTAGGTTAGGGAAATCCTTATAGGGTTGCCTCTTCTACCTTGTTGATCTATGGTACCTACGACTACTAATTAGTGTTGATAGGTCTCTCGTACGTATGATAATCGTATGGGAAGCAATCGTGTATTGGTGTTGTTCTGTCTAAGTTCTGAGAGGCTACGTGCCCCGTAGGGGATAACTAAAGTAGCCTCCTAATAGCGAGGGTCGTACTTGCCAACATCGACTGTGCAGCACTCGCGAGCACGGGAGAACGGCGTTGCGACTGCAGACAGGTTTGAGCTGAGAACCAACAGCAAGGGTTTGTATCCCAAGATCTTCATGTATCACGGGATGGCGGATGGTGTCATCCCCTTCAAGTCCTCGGAGCTGTATTACAACCGCACCCAGAGCGCCTTGTCTGGAGTGGACGTCACGAATTTCTTTCGCTTCTTCGCTGTCCCTGGGATGCAACATTGCGTAAGTAACCCCCTCTCCTGCCCGTCGAGATGCCGAGATTGATAGTGGCGTAGTGGGACACGCCATCGCCTCTGGCCTTTGCGCCAAGTAGAACCACCGTCGACGCGCCTTGGATGTTTGCCGGGGGAGCACAGGCAGGATATCTCCAGGACTTCGGATTTGGCAACGGTTGGTCGGTGCCTGGCTTTGAGAACAATTCTCGGTACGACGCATTTGCTGCTCTGATGAACTGGGTCGAGCAAGATGTCGCGGTCGACAGCGTCGTGGCCACAATGTGGAAGCGAGGCAACGGAACGGTCTATACCTCCGGAGAGGTTCTTCGACAAAGACCGATTTGTGCTTGGCCAAAGAAGGCAGTCTTCATAGCTGGATCTGCGGACCCCGATTTAGAAAGTAGTTGGTATTGTGGTTGAACATGTGTTCAACTGCAAACAGAATGCCTTGCAAATTTGCTTCAAATGGGGGTTTGCCTTTTTGCAGCACAACTCAGACTCTGTCCAGCATTATTTGATATGAGATATCAATTCACGGTTCAGTATAGACACTGTAGACTGCTGTCGTGTTTGAAAAATGCATGATTTCACCCCTTATAGTATTTTGACAAGTTCTTATCGAATTATCCGTCAGTGGATCAAAGAGCAAATTCTAAGTTTCAGGGCAATGCGTACCGCGTTCAATTTACCCGGCAGCATCTTCTCCATACAAGTCCATTCTCAGTCCACAACACATGACATCGCCACTGCACGTGCGTTCTGGGCAGGATACTAAGATACTACTCCGCATTCCGCGCTTCCTCGTGTCCATAAACTCAAAACCATCATCGGCTTTTGACGTGCGTGGGCCGCATCAAGTCGAGGCATTTGTTGTCATAACAATCTGACGCTACCGAGTCGGTTCCCAGGTCGACCAAACTCTCGGTTCGGGAGACCAGCATCATGCCTGGTCAGGGTGTGCTGTGGCCCTTATCAGGCCGTATCTGCACCACCATAGCAGCAAGCTTTCAGGCGGCGCGCATGAATTGGGCCGATTCCCAGCGCCAAGCCACGATCTCAGCTCCTCTCGGGAGTAATAACATTCATGCTTCACTTCCGAGCTGTCCCACCTCGCTGCCCAGTACCGGGCCTCAGGCCCTCCTTGGGAGTCTCGAATTTCGCCTGCTGCCAGCTTGGCCCCCTTGCTGCTGCCGACAGATCTCGCACCGGGAGCCAGCGTTTTGGCACATCTCAGGGACGGTTGGGCTTAGGTCCCCTAAGATCTTGACCCCGGTTCCATGCACCTCGCATGGTTAGTGCCCTGTCCTGTCTCATGACACATTATTAGTATCGCGACTAACAGCCCAACGTCATCATAACAATAATACCAACTACTGCCCGGAAGCGGGTCGCCCGTCTTTGCTAGGTCAGAGTGCCATCCGCACCGCACTGGCGAGACTGGTGGCAGGACCTCCTCACCAACATCACCGGACGTTGGATGGGGAACAATCAGCAGAAACACAAGCGAAGGACGAGAGTAAGGGACGTGTAAGCCCGTTGGAATTTCTCTACGAGCTTTTCGAGTGTCACTCTTTCCGTATATCAAACCCTTCCTCGGGCAACCATCACAGAAGCCCAAGCGGCCGGGGGTAGCATCGAATACAACCAACCATGGACAACTCATCCGGACCAACGTCGTTCCCACCAACCCTCTCATACATATCCTTCGTAATAGGGATAATATCCTTCATAATCACAGTTCTCAACCTTCTCGCCCTGTACGCCAACTTCCTAGGCACCATCCGCAGCGCACCGGTCGAGATCCGAGATGCCTTGGGGAACCTCCGGGCACAACTGATGGAGGAACGCGAGGCCCTCCGGCAACAGACACGCGAGCTGCGCAACAGGAAGGCCCAGATGCGCAGCCAGCGCCCCCTGCACCCAGCCCACGCCGGACGGGCGCGCAGCTCGAGCCGCAACGGGCTCAGCCCGCGGGCAAGCAGCGGGAACCTCCGCGGGCAGGGCGGCTACACGTATGCTCTTAGTTACTCGGAGCAGACGCTCGGCCTGCACTACCAGACCGTCCGGGACCTGTGGAGGCAGTTCAAGAGCCTGGAGCGGCCGTTCCTCGTGTCGAGCGGGCCGAGGGCCGAGGCGCTGCGGAACAACGACGCGTGGGTGGAGAGGGAGTTTGCCGACGAGAAGGCGCCGCGGGAGGACGTCGAGATGCACGGGGAGTCCGGGGGATTCGCGGACTGGTCGGCGGTGTACCGGTGCGACTTTTCCCACCGCTTCATATGGTGGCAGAGCAAGTCCGACGTGGTCAAGCTGGCGGACGAGGTGCAGCGGGTGATGCTGCGCAGGATGGAGCGGGAGGTCACGTGCATGCGCATGATGCTGAAGCAGCTGCGTGACGGCGGGGATGGACCAGAGGAGATCGCGAGCCCGCGGCTGGATGGCGGAGGAGGAGGAGGAGGAGGAGGCGGAGCGACTACATCGGGCAGGGCTGGCAGCCGGGGCCCTGTCCCGCTCGGCATGCGAAGGAGGCCCGCGGCGGAGAACTATAATGTCTACGAGTCATCGGAGTCGAGCGACTCCACGACTGGGCCAAAGTCGCAGCGCCGGCCGGATGAGAGGGATCCGAGGGTTCACGTGTCGGAGGTGAGGCAGGGCCGCCCTCCATCCCGAGCCGGGCCCGAGTTGCGTTACACTGGCGATGGGTGGAGGCAGGGACAGTTCACCAGAGTTGTCCAGGTGTCTCCTCGGGAGTATCCCCCGCCGATACTCGAGCCGCCACGGCCTTCCAGGCCTCGGACACGTTCGGGATACGATGGGCCGCCTGGACCACCCTCTCCGTATGACAGGAGACGGTAATTGTCTTGTTCTCACCCGAGAAGGAATGATGAGATATCAGGAAATTTGGGCAACGCTGTAATTACCCAACTACTAATTAGCCTAGTTGCACTTGGGCCTGAAGACATCATCGAACTGGTGTCTAGTTTTAACGGCCGCAGTGCACAATTTGCTCCTAACGGCCTTTTGATACGAGAAGCGGATCTAGAGTGCAATAGAGACACTGGCAAATAGACTTATGCAGCAGCAATGAATGCGAATCATATTTTGACTTGACAAAGTCGCGGACGTCTCGGACGAACAAGAATGTGAGAACCACCACTTTTCAGAAGAAGTCGACCACAGCATCGAAGATTATTCGACTGCAAAATCAATCTGATCTCCTAGCTGATACCATTACCTCGTCATCAAGGAAATTCGACTATTCGTCAACAAAAGGCAACCCGGCCCTGCAACCACCCCCTTTCCAGATCCAATTTATATTTTTACAGGCGAAGCGGGTGCTTCAGCTCGCCGGGGACGTTGTACTCGGGAACCTTCATGTCAAGAGCGGAGCCGGAGTAGCCCAGGTCCTCACCGGTGAGGACGGCACACTTCTCACCGATGAGAAGGGCAGTGGAATACGTGTTGCCTGGGTAGTCATCAGCTTTAGGTTCGGGTACTGGAGACTAATAAATGTGCAGTGGGAACTTACAGCCAACGTTGTCAGGGCAGATAGAAAGATCGGCAACCTTGAGGCCCTGGACGCCATGGACATTGAGGCGCTCGTCGAGCACGCCGTGCTTGACGATGCTGTTGCCCTCCTTGGGGGCCATGGAGCAGGTGCCCAGGCTGTGCCAGGTGCTCTCGACGTGGCGCTTGACCCACTCCTCGATGGCCTCGATGTCCTTGGAGCTGTACTGCAGCTCGTCGCGGACCTCCTTGTGGTGCGAGTTGAGGTAGGTCGTGATGGGCTTCTTCTCCGCCTCGGTCAGCGGGCTCGACCAGCTGCCGTGGCCCAGGCCGGCCGAGTGGTTGCCGGGCAGGGCGTAGGCCTTGGTCGTCAGGAGGTCCATGTCGTGGGCGCGGGCGGGCGAGTCGTAGTCGTAGAAGGGGTGCTGTTGTCATGGGTCAGCCCTTTCTTTTATCACACGAGCTGGATTACTGTTGTGGGAAGACAACTTACCATAGCCTCAACCTCACCAGCGTACGCGTCCATGCGGCGAGCCGTCTCACGCGACTTGATGTATCCCCAGACCATGGGCACCATATCCCGCTCGTCGTTCATGAAGCCCGTGTCGAAGTCAGGGGCCTCGTACGGGTCGGGGCTCTTGATGTGCGTGGAGCCGCGCGAGAAGGGGTACTCGAGGAAGTGGAACATGGTGAAGAACTTGCCGGCGGGCATGAGCATGTGGTCGCCGAACCAGCCGCTGATGACGCTGTAGTGCATCACGGGCTTGTCGGGCTTCTTCTCAAAGTACGACTTCCAGCCGTCCTTGAAGTGCGGCGTGGGCCACCGCTCAAAGTCCTTGAGCTCCTCGGCCGTCGGCCGGATCTTGACGCCCGCCTCGATGCCGTTCGTGGCCAGGGGGCCGGTGCCACGGAGGTTCCACTCTTCGTATACCTCTGTGTGTGAGACATCGTTAGCAAGCCGCATGCTTTGTTCATAACGAATTGTGAGGTCAGGAAACGAAGGTCTCGACTTACTCCTCTGGGTTTCTGGGTCGCCTCGGATAAAGTCATCGAAACTCTCCACGTCAGGCTTCGCGCGGTATGTAGAGAACGTGAGGTAGTGATCCTGGAAGTTGAGACCGACACCAGGCAGGTCAATGATGGGCTTGACGCCAGCAGCCCGCAGCTTCTTGGGGTCACCGATGCCCGAGCGCTGGAGGATGAGCGGCGACGACAGCGTGCCGCCGGACACGACGATCTGCTTCTTGGCCTTGAACGTCTTGCCCTCGCGCATGCCGCCGCACGGCTTCGTGGGGACGGTCTTGACGGCGACGGCGCGGCCGTTCTCGACGACGACCTTCTCGACCTTTGTGTTGGTGGCGAGGTACAGATTTTGGTGCACGGCGCGGGTCGAGTGGATGTAGGCGTGGGCGCTGTCGCTCCTGCGGCCCGTGTCGCGGTTGATCCACTTGAGCCAGTGCTCGGCGCCGTGGGCGGTGACGAGGTCCTGCAGGTCGTCGACGACGGGGATGCCCTGCGTTTCGACGGCCCGGAGGAAGTCGTCCTTGATGGGGTATGTGTAGTTGCCGAACGAGACCTTGATGGGGCCCTCGTAGCCGTGGATGTTGCGGTTGTGGGACGCCCGCTGGTACGTCTCGTGCTTCTTCATGAGCGGAAGGAGCTCCTTGGTGGTCCAGCCCTTGGCCTGGAAGTCATCGTAATCCGAGGCCGAGGCGCGAGTGTACATCATGAAGTTGATCGACGAGCCACCGCCGAGAATGTGTGCGCATGGCACCACCGCCTTTCGGCCGGCGAGCCATTTGGACGGACGGGATTCATAAAATGAGGCCGTCTTCGAGTCCAACTTCATGTTCCGGGGGTAGATACCCGGCCGGTATACCCATGGGTTGTTGAGATTGCTCTCACCAGCCTCGATGAGGAGGACCTTGAGGTTGTGGTCCAAGTTGGCCAGCCTACGAGACAAATCATTAGCCCGCTGTCACTTTCGACGGCTTCATCGTTTTGGAAAAGTACTTACCGGCCGGCCACCACACAACCACAGCTTCCACCACCACAGACGATGATATCAAACTCCTCCGGGAGAGTGCTCAACGACGGGTTGGCAAAAGACTCTCCCATGATTGCTGATTTAAGTATACTTGACTTTACATATATGAGGGAGATGATAGCTCCTGGTGAGAAAAAGAAAGTAGAGGGGAAATATCAGATTCCCAAGAGGGGTTTATGTAGGGGACTCGCCATGTGCGCTGTCACACAACGACCGTGAATGGGACCCCCCCCCCAAGCTTGATAGCTTCCCCACAGATGCAGGAGTTCATCCCTGATGGTGGCATCGATCATGTTGGGCCAAAGTAGCTTCCCCATCGACAGCTATCCCAGCTCGGGATCCCGAGAAACGCCCGTTGCAGCTCTCTGCAGCTCCAGTTCCAAGAAGTGTCGACGCAGTCAGCCATTGATAATGCGCTCCTTCGTTGCAGGTCCCCTCCTTGGGACCTCTGCGGGCACCAATGATGGCTATCACCGTCGAGGTCATATGCAACCTAAAGCTTTGGGGAGCTGGGGATAAGCTCCCTTGTGCGTGTTGCCTCGACTCGGCTGAGACAGCTAGTCCCGGAGTCCTGGGGAGCCTGTTGCAACGGTCCAAACCTTGTCTCTGAATGGAGGCTCGAATCAGCAACGGCTGGACGGCAAGTGGAGGGGAGAGAGCTCCGGGGAATAATGTCTCGAGTACCTCTCCCAGGGCGACAGCCTGCGCCGCCAAGTGTTATTCGTATGTGTACGGCGGGGAAGGTGTCGCTGGGAAATCGGATAGGCAGGTCTCATGCCCATTGCTCGCTGTGCTTCCGCCGCCGCCGTGTGTGAAACGGTGAACATGTACTCGGTACTAAGTCAGATAATTCCAAAGGCAGACAAGTGTCGTGGGAGAGCGAGATCGACGAATCAGGTTATGCAGTGCCGACTATGCCCAGTTTACGGCTCTGCGGGGGATTGCTGGGCGCACAGCCAACGGATCCGCGCTCCAGATGTCCATGGCGTAACATCACCATTGAGCCGGCCCTGCGGGGTTAAACTTCAGCTCGATCATTGGCTGCTGTCGATGTCGATTGGGAGAGATGGACATTAAAAATGTTGTCCGGATAAGCGCGGTCTGCCTGGCTGTTGTGCTACGCCGCCGAAGAGGCACACACGGATACGTAGTTGCATGCTTGCTGACCTGCCACCGATTTCCGATACTGTGTCACTTGGCCGGTTCAAGTATCAAGCGAGCCTCAATTACGCGGACTCCAAGCCACCCCTTAGCCCCCGCGACCCACGACGCCCACAGAGATGCGGGGGAGGCAGCTCGGGTGCATGACTTCTTCGTGTTGGTTACGTTAGTATGCTTGGTCGTCCAGAGCTGCCGAGACACGCGGGAGGGTTGGCATTTCAGCCATGTGGGCGGGAAAGATGGGGGGAAACCCCAGTGGAGCTCCATGCCACTTCACCCCCGGCGATCCGCCTTATGCACCCCAGAATTACCCCAGACTATCCTCCAATAAGAGCATGCGGGGGCTTCAGTCTAGGCCAGACGGCTCGCGGCAGCTTCCATATACCCGGCTCATACACTACTAGTATCTGATGGGAGCGGCACGTTTGTGGATCCCGTCTTGATACTGGGGCCTGCTGCCCGCCGTGCCCGCCCGGCTGGTGTGTGCAACGAGGAATCCACGCCGCAGTTATCTGTCCTGTTGGCCGTGATCAATATGTCTGTTTCCAGCTCGGGCCAGCAGCAGCCTGGACGAGGCGATCGAGGTCCTGGTGAACATGCCGAACAAGGTCCGACAGCAAAAGCGGTCATCAGTTAATTGATTGTCGCGTCGCTGTGACATGTCCAGGGACAGGGACCACTGAAAGGGTGTCACACGATGATGCGGAGAAGCATGACGATGCGTTCGACTGCAGTATCTGCGCAGGTTGTTCCCTGGGCACGGTAGCATTTCTCCTGTCCTGACCGTCAGAGGCACGTTCACGGCAGGGCGAGCGGTGGCAGTGCATAGTCCCGAGTTTCTGGGTGGTCTTCCAGACGGGCCCAGATCGATGAGACCGATAGTCTACATCCTGCAGTGCAACTGACTCTGCTCTGCCCTGACGTCCGACGGCCCCCCTTGGCGTCTCGCGTGGAAGTCTTCGACGAGTTGGAGTATCCTTTCTTTTGCCTCCACGTGAGTCTGGCGAGAACCGCATACTTTTTTTGAGCTCAAGCTCCATGCCGCTGTCTCGCTAGCCGAGCTGTCAGACAAATAGCTCGGGGTAGCTCACAGTCCGGGCCAGCCACTCACGTGGATTCACTCTGTTTGATGGTGGTTCGCACGGGGCCTAACGACACAAAGTTGGACAGGAACCAACGTACAGTATTCAGGCCTCCTCAGACTAAGCTCCTCTCAGGTCTAGTTCCGAAAGAAGCCTGCCACCGGCCATCTTCGACACGCGGACCTCAGATAATTGCCCTTGGAGTCCCAGGTTACTGTGAGGGGGGGTTAGCGTCCCAGAATGTAACGATCTTCACCACGTTATGAAGGCAGTTGAGTTTTACGCCGCCGGTTTTCATTCCAGGTAGGTTTCAGCGTACCTAAATCCAACTCTGCCCTCTCCTCTCCCGCCCGGCCGCAGAGCTGCGATACAATCCGCCCTTGGCGGTGCCCAATCCTTCGCTCGCTAGCCCGGCCAGAAAATGCACTCCTACAGCCACGCCGTCAACAACCATGACCTCCCTCTCGGCCATGCCGACGGCCTTTTGGCAGACGTCCCTCATCTCCGTCATCCCTGCGCATCCAAGACAGATGCAGTCTGCCCCCCTCTCGACCAGCCTCTTTGCCGCGCTGGCCAGGCCCGCGTAGACCTCCTCCTTGGGCCGCGAGTCTAATTCCAGCACGGCAATATCCGCTGCCTCGCAACCCACGGAGAAATTCCCCAGGCCGTAGGTCGTATTAATAGAGTCCTGGTGCAAGAACCGCGACCTCTGCCCCGTAGTTATAACGCTTAGCCTTTCCCCGCACATCCTACTTGCATACAGCGACGCCTCCATGATCCCAATGCAGGGCTGCGTGAGCTCCTCCCGGAGCATCGGGACCAAGGGATGTGCGGAGAAACATGCCACCAGGAAGGCGTCGAAGTGCGGCTGAGACGGGTCGGTGATGATTGGGTGCAGTGCCCGGAAGCAGTCTGCTGCGGAGAGGACGGCGTCAGCGCGGCCCTCGATGGCGGTTGGGGCTGTCTGCGGTGCCGTGAAGCCGTGGACTGTCACGTGCGGCGGGAGGGTGCTTGAGATGCTCCGGAGGCAAGCTTCGGTCATGGAGGGTGTTGAGTTTGGGTTGATGAGGAGGATCGAGATGGGCCGGGTGGAGGACCCTGTCACTGAGGGCAGCATCTTCGATCTGTCTTCTCTGCGAACTTGGACTGCCGCGCGGGTACCCTCTTGCGGACTTTGACCCTTTGGCTTCGCGAACGGTGAGGTTGCAGTCTTGCGTCCGGGGAGAGGTGCCGACCCAGTGTTAAGACAGGGAGGGGAGGTTGGCTTCCCTTCTGCCCGTCGGCAACGGGTCTGGAGATAACGCTGTGTGGGCCGGCCGAGACATTCAATTCGTCTCCCGAGAAAGCAAACACAGGCAGAGCACCAGCCGATTGGAGGACTTTTGAGGGGATCATTGCCAGACGACATTGACGAATGGAATATGATTATCATTATTCAGTGCTTGCATACAATTGAGATCACATGACCACCATGCTTGCGCACTGCCTGCTGTGTGATCCTTGACGGTCCCTTGTGTGCCGTTTTCGGGGCCGACTTCCATTTTTGCATGCTTCAGGTACGTATGTACGGCGCCTACGGTCTTGGGCTCTCGCTTTCAACCGAGATCCGGCTGGAATGCTGAGCTCGGCTGAGCCTCATCCATGATCAGCCGCATCAGCTCGTCAACATCGTAAGTCGGTCCCGTGCGGCAACCGCGAGGAGTTTCGCCGTGGCATCCTCGATCCCATCATTCAAGAGTGGTTCAGTCTTCACATCGCAAATTAAGAAAATCGTGACAGAGTATAGGTCCCGGAAACCACTAATGAGATAGATCCTTGCCGTCCTCCAATCAGTATATAAAATGCCACAGTCGATAGACCTTACGCCTTGGTGTTCAGTTTGGCACCGAATTTCCAAACACGCAGGATCGCAAAGACAAGACCAGACGCAAGTAGCATGACGCCGCCAAACACCCATGTGGAAGTCCAGTCGTGGTCAGGGCCCAGGATCGCACCACCGCCCGGGCCACCGACGAGCATGCCGAGGGCGAGCAGCGCGAAGCCCATGCCGATTCTTGTTCCGATTCTGGACTTGTCCTGTGTAAGGGCAATATACACCACCGTCGGAAGCGCAATGAAAATGCCGGAGAAGAAGCCAAATAAGATGGCAATCAGGATGTAGCCCTGAAAGTACACAGGTTAGCTCCCGTAATGCGACTCACTACTGGCTCTGGGAGCTTGAGTATCGGTACTTACCGCCAGACTGTGGACAGCCTGCATGCAGAGAACGAGCACACCACAGATAAAGGCACCCGGGACGAGGACGTTCAACGGGCCCGTCTTGTCGGAGAGCCAGTTGGGCAGCGTCCGGCCAAACATGGACGAGGCATTGAGTATGGGCACAATGTAGAAAGCCATGGACCCATCGGTGGTGCCGGTCGCCAGCCCGTAGTACGACAGGTAGAACAACATGACATAGAGGCCGGCGAAGCCAAGCAGGCAGCCAAATGTGAACAGGAGCCACCCGCCGTCGGTGAAGGCCGTGGTGTCGAACACGGCGCGGACCCGGGGCGGCTTGACGCGCTGGCGCAGGAGCAGCACCGGCGGGACGAGGGTGGCGAGGCAGATGAAGCCGATCACGCGCACGCTCCACGGGAAGCCGATCTCGTCTAGCAACTGATAGAGCACAATAGGGTAGATGATGCCGCCCAGGGAGCTGCCGGCCGCGGCGATGCCGGTGGCCAGGCCGATCTTGGTGCTGAAGTAGGACTGGAGGACGGTGACGGAGGGCGTGAACATGAGGCCGGCGCCCAGGCCGATGCAGAAGCCCTGGGCCAGGACGACCTCCCAGTATCGCGTGGCGAGACTCAGCATCATGTGGCCGAATACCACCAGGAAGGCGCCGACGCTGACTTGGAAGCGCAGGAAGCCCCTGTCGTAGAGGGGCCCGCTGATGAGCCCGGCCACCAGCACGAGGAAGGCCTGGACGGAGCCGACCCAGGAGATATTTGATGAGGACTCGACGAAGAGGTCGCCCGTCTCGTAGTACGTCTGGAAGACTCCAAAGGTGTTGAGAAGCCCCCATGTGTTGAAGAAGACGCCAAAGGCGCCGAAGACCTGCAGCCAGGCCCGCGTGCCGCCATTCGGAGGCGGCGTTATGCCCACTGGGCCGGGCGGTGGCGCGGACTTCTGAGTGGTTTCCTCGTCGTCTTTGCCCAGAGTCACTGGCGACTTTGGTGGCGATGCCATTGCGAGTGGTTTCCTTCTGGCGGGTGGTTTGGCAACGAAACAACAACGAGAGGTGCACTACTGATCTTTTCAAACGACCCAGTCATTAGAAGGTAAACACTTAGGTTGATGGTGACAAGCTCGAGTCAAATGAGTCAATATACTAAAGATTGTTTGGACAAATGCCAAAGTACACTTGCACCAAGGGCAGATGACAAATGCTTGCTCGGCTTTCGCGTCAACGACGCCCCTGCGCTGGTGTTTGTGATGGAACGTTTGAACTCGCGCCTCCAGCTGTCGTGATGTCAGCTGTCCCGGGCACTGGCTGGTATGCGGCCGCTGCGGTCGCACAACCAACAAGCCGGCGGATTTCGATAGAACGGTTCGGAGATGATGAATTGCCCTGTTGGGAATAGAGTCCCGCCACAACTAACTCCGGATTAGCCTCCTACTAAGGATGCTTACCATACATCAACCCAGAGTAACCACATGGGTGCAAGCCGTGGAATCAGTGCACTTGACAGTAGACGGTACTCGTAAGTCGATACATGTCGAAACTATATTATTGATGTCAAGATGTATCATGTTGAATTTATGGAGAAAAGTTCTAACCAGACATTTCTGCGTGGCCCAAAATTGGACGTGGCCCGGGGCTACTACAATGTAGGTGAGGGACGTTAATCGTGGAGTTTAAGATATCCGTCTCTCTTTATCCCCGAGCAGGAGGATTCCTTACTATACCATACCAACATGCTGCTCAATCGTGGTGGCCAGATGACTGATCAGCACTCTTGGCTCATGCCGACGACCTGGATAAATTATTCAAAACCTCCCACATAGAATCGTAAATGCATCATCGTAGCTGGACCACACCATTGCACCCCCCTCCATCCACCCTCTGGCCCTGATGGTTCCCCTGTGCGCGTCGGTCTGATCGGCTTATCCAAGTCGGCCGCCGTCTCTTTCCAGACCATTCTCGAGTCCGGGGTCGTTCCCAAACCAAGTTCTCACCAACTCCAGACATCGGCTTTCAAGTGTATCCGACCAATCTTCGGCATCTACTGCATATTCTCGTGCTGGTATCGCTGATTTAGGACTTTTGAAATGTTCATTGCAACACGAAATCAATGAATGGAATATAATTATCATTATTCAATGCTTGCATATAAGTGCGATCACATAACCGCCACGTCTATGCACTACTACCTGGTACTGTGTGTGATTCATGCTCCATTGCATGCTGCCTTCGGGGTCCCGAGGTCGCCTACTATTGTCGACGCCGCTGCTTATGTGAACTTCGGTAATTTCAATGGAAACCCCGGCGATGCTCAGACCTATGGTGAGCGGGCTCAGTCCAGCCCAGCTGGAATGATGAGCCCGCCTCCGCATCGTCCGTCATCGGCCGCATCATGTCGTCAACGCCGTAAGTCCGCCCTGCTGGAAATTCGACGCCGTTATGTTGAAATCCGAAGGTTTCATCCAATCCTTCACCAAAAGAAAAGTGGTCTGCCGAATTTTCTGGAATATCCACGCCTTCGAAAAGTGCATCCAACGGTCCCCCGTCTGGCGGACTTCCTGCAGTCACGGGCGGCACGGCCCCGGAGTCGCGAACCGCACGTGGGTCAACCCCTTCCCTCGAACAAGAAGATGACGGTGGAGTGTTCTGGCTGGAACTTCCTGAGCCTGAAGGCAAATTCGAATCTTGACTGCTGCTGCTACTTCTAGCACGCCACTGTTCACAAATGAGACTGAACCCTTCGTCGAAAACGGGCCGCAAAAAGGCTGCACGCTCCCGTTCCTCGTCGGGAAGGTTCCAATCGGAAGCCCCATGCTGAGTGAAGACGTCTGAAACAACCCTTGGTCCGTCGCTCATCAAGAAATTCTCAAAAAGCGTGATGTCTTGTATGAGCTCAGGATTGACGTACGGCGACAGAGGCCTCGGCTGGTGTCCTGGAAACACAATGTCAAATACGGCATACCATTGGGCCTCTTCGGTGGAATGTGCCGCCGACTTCTTCGCAAGTTGAAATCTCTGTGACTCTGTGATCCCGTCCAGTCTGATTGCTGGTCGGGATTCACACGAACGCTCTCGAACGTGGCCGTCACGTTCCTCTTCCGTCTGAAATATGCTCATACACACAGGGCAGTATAGCGGATTCCGGTGACGTCGAACAAGGTGCTGCTTTACATCGCGAATTCTGCTCAGCTTATACTTGTAGCAGGCTCCATGTGATCTCGGATCTTTTTTGGTGTATGGACAGGCAAAAAGGAGCTGCTGAGCAGATGTTTGTGGGCGTTTGCTACTCCCGACCTGGTTTGACGAGGGCCCACTGTTGTCGGCGGTCTCCTCGCTGATCCCTGTCTGGTCCGCCCATGTCCGTTTCTTTGTAGCTGAATCGTTGCCCTTCCCCTTGCTTTGATTTGGCGCCGGATTTGCTTTGCCTGTACCACCTGCACCATCGGAAGGCAGATCCTGATTAAGATGGTTTTCTCTCCAAGCATTGAAGGCCTCAATCACTCTCGCAGTAGCCGAGGCTCTGAACTGGTTGAAGATATGGTCTTCGTCCAGTTTGTTGTCCTCTTCTTCTGAGTATTCTGCCGACCAAAAAGAACCTGATTCGGGAGTTGATGTATCTGTTGAGTAAATTGAAAGTCCATCGTTTGAATGGTCTTGCGACTGTGGTGATTCGATTCGCTCCGTTGAACAAGTGCTTTCTTTCCTCACAAGTTCACTATCAATCTGCTGTAACTCACTCATAGCAGCTTTTGCAACAGTCTCGTCCCCCGCGTGTCCAATACTGTGATCTTCAGAATGCTTGCGTGTACTACTAGTATTCCTGCTTGAGCCGCTCGAGCCTTCGAGAGAGAGATTCTCCATCAATTTCAATGAAGAGTATAGCGAACTCGGGAGTTGCTCTAGAAGTCTAAGTGCAGCGTCATCAGGGTAAACGACGGCAGGTGCGGAGATGAGCTCGCTAACTTCTCTATTTCGCCGAGCCTGCTTTGAACCACCTTCACTCGGAGCTGGCCTAGTTCCAGGAATTTGACCTTTGTTTTCGCGACGATGTCTCGATGACGACTCCGCTACCGCTTCCCCTTCTACCGAGGCTGGGCCGGCGGATGAGACCAGGGCAGGCTGCCCGGGACGACCGGAATCAACTGGTGAGTGAGTAGGTGGCGAGACAAGTCTGGTGGACAGAACAGCGGTCTTCTTGTCGATGTTATAGTTCTGGTTGTACTGCTTGAGGGACGAGATGCTTGGTGAGTGGCGATGCCTGAGAGAGGAGAAAGGCTGCTGCAGCTGGGACTGCTCCATCTTCCAGCGGGGCGGCACGTTGGACTGGCCGTTGGACATCAGGCTTGGAGAGGGCATGACTGGTAGTTGAAGGAGGGGGTGATGACTCCTGAAACGGCTATGGCGGCCTTGGCTGCCTGGTACAGGCGGCACTGTCGTGGGATTTACAATACTTTCGTATGTGCGTCTATCGATAAGATTGCGGTCGAGGAGGTGTTGGACGAGGAGCCCATCCCTGTGCATCTGGTCGGGCCGGTAGCCCTCGTATCTAGTACGTGTTAATCACCAACTACCTAGGTACCCGTAGGTCCCAAAGTGATGTATACTGGAACATTCCAAAACATGACAGACGAGGAACCGCAAAGGAAGAAGAATGGTACTTACGTAATATGGTTGCGAATATGGTGCATTCGCATATTAAAGTTGGAGCGGACGTCCCCCTTGGATGTCTCCCTTGCGTCAAAGTTGTGTTCGTTGCAAAACCAGCATCTCAGCCTTGTTGGAAACTTGCTCTGCAGGTGGCCCTCAACATGATCCATCCAGCCTTGTACATCATCACCAGCAAAAACTCTTTTACAACCTGTTAGGTTCCAGAATTCACAAGGTAGCTGGTATCGTTCAATTGGCGGGTGCTGGCGGTGAATAGTGTTGTTCACGTCGGTTCGGTTGCTATGTGCGGAAGGAATAGAGGATGCCGCAGTTCCGCGGGAATACGTCTCGCTCCACCCACTTATTGAGGCTTGCCCGTATGAGGAGGGCACGGAGCTGCTGGTCACAGACGCGGTGTCGTATTCCGTATAGCCGCTATAGGTTGGAGTGGCAGCAGATGCCACAGGTCCGTGGGAAAGCGTCTCGATCCACCCATTCACTGAGGCTCCCACGTACGAGGAAGGCACGGTGCTGCGGGTTACGGATGCGGTGTCGTGTCCCGTATAGCCAGTGGGTTCGTTTTGATGTTCATATCCTTCTGTTGAACTTGCGATAATGGTTGGGTAGGAACTGTCATTGCCTGAGGTACCACTAAATACCACTGACGATGACTGCATAGGAGCAAGCGAACTTTGTGCCGTCCAGCTATAGTGATCATCGGCGATGTATGGTTGCTCATAAGATGAGCCGTATACGTCTGTGTACGATGATCCGTAGGAATCGTTACTGGGTGTAGGGCGATCACCGTAGTCACTCAGACTGAGAGATCCGAGAGACTGTGCATAATCCTCCTCCCCGGCCCTGCCCTTGCCCTTGCCCTTGGCTGATATGTGGGTGCTCTGCATGGTACCGACAAGAAGATGGTCGGAGGACTGGAGATAGCAGTAATTGTTGTGTGCCAGGTGCTGGGAGTTGGGGGGGGGGGTATATTCTGGTCCCCGATGAGGCAACGCGATATGGGACCTTGGAAGGTACGATGACTTATACACACAATGGGTTTAGTGGAAGAGATATGACAATGTGCAGATGAGTATTGCGTATGGCAAGGGGGTTGTGTTCCAACCGTTGATGATTCAAGATGTGTGAACAAAGTGGGGTTAACTTACCGGTAGCAGGAACGGTGAGACTCTGGCTCACTTTGCTGAGAAGCTTGGGACATCGGCCCCCAAGGCCTGCAAGCCATGCTGACAGATTCTTCTTTTACATTCGCAAAGCACAGTTGTGCTCTGAAGTACCACGTACCCTGCGACGAAGCTGCAGCTAACTAGCCGAGCGAATGAGAGGCTCACGGCGTCAGCCATCTTCAAAGCACCGTAGTGCTCTCCTATATCGTTGTACACGACCATTTGGCCGTCTCGCGCAGAGCAGCCAACACACGACATTATTTGGACCAGCTGTGCTTTCCCTTAAGGGGTGGCAAAGCAAAGCATAGGCTCACTGGGGTAGTGCTACGGGCTATAAATATTGTAGAACGGGCGCTCACAAAGACCGCAATGACCGTGACTGTATATCCATATCCATAAGAACAGTGAGAATACCGATAAAAACAAGCCAATATCCTACTGCACCAGGTCCTTCAAGATCTCCAAGCCTCTTCGCCGTCCAAAATGTCTCAAGCTTCCGGTCAAGTCAGTGGAGACACGCCGTAGGTCTCATGCATGAAGGTACTGAGATGTGTGTCTGACAACAACTATACTTAGCCTCGGTGAATCTGGGCCTTCTCAGACCCTGACGTCGTACGTCTCGGCTTCACCAACAATCACTGAGAGGATCTCGAACAATTTGCCAGACAAAAACAGGAAGAAGAGGTTGGAAACAAAGATCACGAGTCTGGATGCTATTATCAGGGGCAAGGGATCTGGAAGTAATTAAGGGGAGTCATTTCGGAATCAAAGTTCAGGGAATGTTAGGGCGGGAGCAGCTACCGCGACAACTGATGCCACTATCGATCGAGAATTAGCGGCTCTCATGACATCCTCTTGTGGCAATGCTGGAACTTTTCAAAACCGGAATGGAACCATAGAACAGCGGTTGAAATGAAAAGCGAAGATCGAGAACTCCCAGCATCATGTACTGAAACCGCAGCAATCGATTTGTCAATTCACCCGTGCCTTTGCATTCATCCGAGTACGTACACTTTCACTCAACTCATTATGAGGATTCAACGCCTTTGACCCTTCCACACAATGGCTCATCGTACAAATTGAGAACAGATTAATTGTCGAGGCTTTTTTTATCACAAACGTCCGCCCACTCCCTCCACCGTCCTTTCCCCACTCCTCAAGCTCGCCGTGTTCTGCTTGAACGAATAAGCGACGGCAAATGTTGAGATCACCGCCTGCGTCGATGGCTTTCGTGTGTGCTGGTGCCATGATCCCGACCAAGGTCATCGCCGGGCTTGGCCCTGTAGTATCCGCCCCCGAGTTTCTCAAGGAAAACGTCGCAGATCCCGAAGAATCCATCGACCATGCCTTTGAAGGAATGTCCTAGCCCGGACATGGTTGCCAGTTAGGGCAACTCGGGATGTCCGAGGGAATAAGACAGCAGGGAGAACCTTTTTATCTTCTGTTGATGCTTCACAATTGTTGCTATCAGCCAATGGCCGGGTACAGTCGCGGACCAGGATTTGTTGTAGATCACGAGACAAGCTTACTGTCGGTCGCAGGGGCAAAATGGATCGAGCAGGGCAAAGCTGTTTTATATCACGAAATGATGCTTGCAAGTCAGATTTCACGCAGAGTCTTGGAGCTCGAGGTTTATTTAGAGCCAGAGAAATGGCCACGGACAAGCAAATGAAATTTGAGGGTTTCATGCTCTTATCTTTGAAAATGCAGATGTGACGCCTCGAGGATTCTCAAGTGTTCGCAGTTCATGCAGCTGATAAGGTGGATGACGTGCAGATGACAAGCGCTGCCACCCACATCATCTGAATGCGGAAGGATGAGATGCAGATGACATACCGAGTCTGATCCTAGGATCTTGGCTTGGGCGAAAACCTGTTCCTCTGAACCTGCTTTCCAAAATCTTTTTTTTTTTTCCCTCGCAAACCGATGCGCTATCCGCGCCGCCCTCTGATTCACCAGTCAACGCAGGGTAACGTATTCAGAGGAACGTAGGACGCCGTCAGGAACTACGCAGATTTTTTGTCTTGGCAGTGAGACGGTTCAAAATTGCGACCGAGTATTGACACGCGCATCGGGAAAGCTGTGGGATTGTAAAGCATTGCCAGTGCTACATGTACTGAAAGCGCTAATCTGGGCTAATTTCTACTTAGAATCGAAATGTATGAGGACATTGTCCCTTGAATGATAAGCTGCAACACAGCCACCGGAGTTGCTGAGAGACTTCACTGCTGCCTGGCCCTCTGACGTCGTCCGCATTTGTGCGCCTGCGTCGGCTTCGCTTCCACACTCGAGGTAGCGCTGGACGAAGCCGCAACTGGTAGGCTCGAGGAAGACACCGCAGCAGCCGCATTAGCTGAGATGCCATCTGTCTCCTTCACAATCGCCTCGACATCGGAGTCGTCCATGTGGTACAACAGCGAGCCCCATCCGAGGCCATCGTAATGCCCGGATCCCTCTCCGTAAGTTCCAGCTCCAGGCTCGAAGCCGCCGTACTCAGTCAGAGTGTAGTTGAGGTATTTCGTGGTCCATGGGGCATCCAGGCCCTTGACCTGAACATAGTGGCTGTACAGCAGCTCCCATGTTGGACGGGTCGCGCCACGCGATGCATTGCTGACCTGGTCGAAGAAGACGATGGAGTTGGTGTAGTTGACGAACGGGACGTCATAGCCCAGATTGTAGCGGGCGAAATACTCGGCTCTGGAGACGGTCAGTCATTTAGTCAGAGGCTCTCGACACATCATCAGCTTTTCACTTACCCTTGGAGAATGCGGCTGTTGTTGTACGCGAACAGATCCTCGCCCTGGTTCCAAGCCTGCTGCCCAACGACACCCAACATCTGCTGGTCGAGTGCCGAGTGCCCCTGGTCGCGACCAGATTCTTGCCCCTGCCCCAGAATGGTTCCGGTGCCGGGCTCCTCTACCAGGTTGGAGACAGCGAGGTTGATATTGCCGTTGCCACCTCCGTTCTTGAAGTAGTCGACAACAAAGTCCCAGGTAGTCGTGTTCTCGGTGAGCACAGCAATCGCCATAGCGGAGGCCATATTCCCAAGCTCCCAATTTGCGAAGTAGTGGGTCCATATATGCTCGGCCGGGAGCTCATGGTTGAGGAACGCCAGGTTCATGGGCAGGAACACGGTGTTGAGCATGTTTGTGAAGGTGTCGAAGCCATCATCCTTGAAAGGCTGGTAGTCCCGGAGAAGCTCCCCGGCGTTGGCCAGCTCGTGGCCCTGGAAGCCGGAACAGAGGTACGCGTCCATGTCGCCGCCGATGGTCGTCAGCTTCTCCCCCCAAGCGGTCAGGATGGAAGCCGCAGCATCCGCGTAGGAGTCGTGGCCGCTGATCTTCCATCGCAAGGCGAGCGTGAAGGCGGCTGCCGCATCGTGCCACAAGAGCTCGTTGTTGGCAGAGTGCTCGCCGTCGGAGCCGCGGTAGATGGCCTCGACTGCATTATTGGTGTAGGTATCTTGGGCATATTCTGAAGTGGTCAGCTTGTCCCAGCTGCTGAGCCAGGGGTCGAGTTCTGCCTCGATCTTGGCCTTGGCCCGGTCGAGGTCGGCTGTGGTGACCAGCAGACCTGGGTGAACGAATGCAAAGGCATCGGATGCGCATCCGAGCACCAGTGAAGAGGTGAGGAAAGATCTCTGAAATTTAACCATGGCGAATGTGAGGGCTCCAAGGCCAATCGAAGAAAAAAGGAGCGACGAGTAAGGAACGAAGGTGTAAGATCAAATGCGATCGTCCAGATTACCATCAAGCCCAAGTGCGCCTGGGAGGTACCATAGACACTTTGTATTTCAAGCTCCCCTTATTGTTTCCCATCCCCGGAATTCGGGTCCGGGCGTCGGGGCCCACGATTTCAAGTGCCGGGGAAAGCACTCACCAGCTTGGTCTGTCATATCTCTCCTGTCATTCAACTTTGACAAGCATCTCAGGGGCCCAGAAAGCATCAGTTCGTCTGTCATATCATGGTCTGATACAGTGACGGCTGTACGAGCATGGGGTCTCGAAGGCCTTAATTTCAGGAAGTCTCCGCCTTTGGTGTTTAGCGGTCTGGATTTAGCGCTTCTGCAGGCACACGAGCAGGGGAGCGGGGAGAAACAACCGATCCCAACACTCCAATTCAAGAAACACGGCATTTTATCCCGAAGTGATGGGTATTGAAGGCCTGGGAACTCATAAGGTATCCTTACTGTCGTCGTGATAATTGCTGTGCAGTAGACAATCTGCTGCATACCTGAAGATGGAGCAGGGCCGCGTCATTATGCACCAAGCACAAATTGCTCACAAAAATGTGAAAGGACAGGGACAATTATGACTATATGCTCTACCGTGTGCAAATCCGGATATGAAGCACTGGACTATTTTTATGCCCAGTACCCTCGCTCTCCATCCATCATACCCATCGCTCGCCTTCCCATTTGTCCTGTCAAGATGCTGGACTTGGCCCTTCTCAGGAAATGACCGTCCGACTTCGATCCCAACATGCCATTGCCATCCCTGTCCCACACAAGCTTGCCCCGGAGGAATACCCAACGAGGCCAATTCCGGACCTCGATGCCTTCAAATGGCGTATAGTCAATCCTATGGTGAAGCATATCATTGCTGATCCTGACCACGTTCCTATTCGGCTTGTTCCGTTCGGGACCAGCCCGCACACTAACCGATGTCGAAGAGGGCTCTGCGGATGAAGATTCCTCGGGATACCATATTACCAAATCTGCATCGAAACCAGGTAGAAGACTCCCTTTGCAGTCTCCCAGACCATACAGTTTAGCAGGATTCGTCGAAGTCAACTCAACAAATCGGGGCAGCGATATTCGGATCTTGTCATCTTGGAACCGGTACCCGAGAGCCGGATCAAATGTCCTGTTGAATATCAAAGGCAGCCGTGTCTCAATGCCAGGCAAACCATTGGGCACGAAACGGAAGTCGGAGTGGACGCAACCGTGCTCGTCCACAGAAGCTGTATCCATCGCCTTGCCCTTCTTCCCGATCGGGTGGTCGAATGTAGCAGGCGCATGGTCCGAACTGATGGTGGTGAACGTACCATTAGCGACACTCCTCCAGATCTCCTCTAGGTCGCCAGCATCATGCCGCAACGGCGGTGCACAGATATTCTTGGAGCCCTCGACATCCTTGGGCCCTGATCGCAGCCTCTCACTGATGAGATACAGATAATGCGGGCACGTCTCGGCGTGTATGGGGAGGAGACGGCTCTGCGCATCAGCGACGTGCTGGACAGCCTTCGGCGCGGACATGTGTACTAGTAATATCGGTGTGTCTGTTACCTCCGCAAGGCTGATGGCGCGGTAGGTCGCTTCTGTCTCAGCGATCTGCGGCCTTGCCACCGAGTGGAAGAACGTCCCCGTGTTGCCTGCCTTTGCGAGCCGCGCGGTGATGGCGGCGATCATGTCGCTATTCTCGGCGTGGACCATGGTGGTGATGCCTAGGCTGCGCGCTCGCATCATCACGTTGAACAGGTCTGCGTCGCCGAGCTTCATTGGCTCGTATGTCATGTACAGCTTGACGCTTGATATTCCTTCCTTGTCGACTAACTGGGGTAGTTCATCTTCGAGGACTTTGTCGGTAGGGTTAGTCAAGATAACATGGAAGCCGTAATCGCAATAGGAGTTCCCCGTCGCCTTCCTGTGGTAGGCTTCCAGTGCGGGGTAGATGCTGTCTTCATGACGCTTTTGGGAGGCAAATGCGATGATCGTAGTGTTGCCGCCTGCAAGCGCTGAGCGCGAGCCGGTCTCCCAGGTGTCGCCTGTCGGGGAGTTGTCTTGTTCTATGTGGACGTGGGAGTCGACACCTCTTGAAGTGTTGTTAGACATTGGTCTCACTCAGACGTCTGGGAAGAAGCAAGATACCCACCCTGGAGTGATGTACGCTCTCTCAGCGTCGACGATGACTGTGTCAGGACCAGCATCCAGACCACAGCCTAGCAGTGCTATTTTCCCGTCTTTGATACCAATCTCGATCCCTAGGGGCAGGATTTCGGTGGCAGTGACCTGATTCTCGATTAGCCGGACACAAGCTTTGGCGCAGGAGTCTCAGATTAGACTCACAATATGCCCGTTCTTGATAATGGTGTCCAGCATGTCGTCTACCAAAGGATGTAAAAATGTTCAGATGTGCTGCGAATCAGCAGAGAACCGAGTGCACGTCATTGATCAATACTTGCCAACATTGACGAGGATCGCCTTGCTAGAAAAGTGTAACGCACGTCGGGCAGCTCAAATACGCGTCTGCGTAGCCGGCCCGGGAAATGGCAGATCGTTAGCGAAAAGCAATTGATAATACACCTAAAGAAGACTAAAACAAGCCTAAGATAATGATAGTAGAGCTCCTCCAGCTGCCTTTGCCTGAATCTGCCTCAAGTCCTGCCGTCCAGATCACCTGCATTATCGGAAGGGACCCTTGTACGGATGGGTTGCAACGTGACATGGGTCCCCAGCTCCACTGGCATGGGCAAAGTAGACTGCAGTTGGGAGGCGTAAAGTAACCAACAGGTCCGGAAGTCGTGCCTCTCAAAAGTTGCTGGTTGCCAGTTTGGCACAGCGGTTCCACATCAAGCCCACTCGTTTGGTCCACCGTAAGAAAATTAAAAGTATTTTCTCTGGGTGATGTTGGCAAAGAATGTTGGCTGTACGTGGTCCAGGTGCGGGCCCCAGGATGGGTCACATATATAGTACAGTCCGTAGACATAGATATCGTGCCGAGCACAGAAATGCACAGCATTGGAGGAACAGCCGGCCCATCTCACCTGCTTTCTTTGCAGACTTTTATCGTCATTTTGCACTTTAGCCTCTTGATTTGTTGCTGTCATGTCGGCTGAGAAGCCTATCTTCCTCCTCGCCCACGGTGCTTGGCACCCTCCTTGGATGTATGAGCCGCTTAAGGAGGAACTTGCCAAACTGGGCTACTTAAGTACACCCTGGCTGTGCCTGCTTTGCCCACTATGGGTCCTGACGCGAAAGACATCGCATGGAATGCCGACGTAGAGGCACTTCTCCAGACCGCCGAGCCCCTATTTGCACAGGGCAAAAAAGTCGTCTTGATTGGGCACTCGTACGGCGGCATTCCGGCCTGTATAGCGACGCGCGAAAATGGCGTTGCTGAACGGCACGCTAGAGGCTTAGACGGCGGATTCCTTCAAATTGTTTTGCTCTGTGCTTTTGCGATGCCATCCAAGGGCATTAGTCAGGTAGAGCTGATGCAACACCAGCTGCCTCCTTGGCAGGATCACGTCACCGAGTCCGGATGCATCGTAAGACTGCTGGGAGCCCCTGACTTTGTGGCGTTTGGCCTAACGATTGAACAGAAGCTCGTGGTAAACGAGAAGGCGAAGGGCCTCTTATATAACGACTTGTCCACAGAGATGGCGGAGACATATTTTAGCGCCTTGCTGCCCCAGTCTCATGTTGCTCTGGAAAAGCCGGTCGATTTCGCGGTTCCCGACATCACCATTCCGAAGACATAAATCGTCTGTGAGAATGATAAGGCTTTCCCCACAGCTGCGCGGCACCACTGGGCCACCTCACTCGGTATGCAAGCCGTATCAGTCTTCGGCGGGCACACGGCATTCGCCAGTGTTCCTGATAAGCTGGCGGCAATATTGGCAGGGGTGCTAGAGCCCGGGTTGAATTAGCATTCATTGTAACCTTACACATCCCAGGTCACATACATAGTAGATCAACCATTGAAAGGATCCCAGTTCGGACGACCCAGTTGATATAATTTTGTGACTGCTATAGCTGCCATGGCTTCACCACGCATCCTCACGGTGGCCGCCGCCCAGATGGGCCCGAACCAGCTCGCAGACCCCAGAGAGAAAATACTCGGCCGCATGCTGAAGCTCCTCGCCGATGCAGCCTCTCAGGGAGCCAAGCTAGTCGTCTTCCCCGAGCTAGCATTCACCACATTCTTCCCTCGCCACCAGATTGACGACCCCGTCAAGAAGGCCGAATTCTTCGAGCCAGAGTCCCACGATAATCCTCATGCCGTGGTAGACTCGCCACGGGTGAAGCCATTCTTTGAGAAGGCCAAGGAGCTTCGCACAGATGTATACGTCGGCTACGCAGAGCGATGGACGGACGAGGGCGGCAAGGTGACGGATTATAACAGCACCATCTACTACTCTGCAAGCGCGGGTAGAGTGATAGCCAAGTACCGCAAAGTCCATCTCCCCGGTACCAAGGAACCCATCGACGACAAGACGGGCAGGGGCGTGGAGCAGCAGCTCGAGAAGCGCTACTTCACGCCCGGCAACCTCGGTTTCCAGGCATTCCGCGCGCCTGATCTCGTCACAGGCACTTTGAAAGCCGGTGGCCCATTAGTAGCCGGACAGCCGGACGCAAAGGAGTCAGAGGGGAAGGGCGACCCCATCGTCGGCATGATTATCTGCAACGACCGGCGGTGGACTGAGGCGTGGCGGTCTTACGGCCTCCAGGGTGCAGAGCTCGTCCTCGACGGGTACAACACCACGTCCTACGCGCCGCAGTATGACGGCACCCCGGAGGAGCAGGAGGCGGAGGCGCTGTTTCACCACCACATCTCGTGCCAGGGCGGCAGCTACACGAACGCGTGCTTCAGCGTTAACACTGCTAAGTGTGGTGTTGAGGATGGGGGTGGGCTGATTGCGGGCACGGTGATCTATGATCCGGATGGGCATGTGGTGGCTGAGTCGAAGACAAAGGGGGATGAACTGGTTGTTGCGACTATTGACCTGGCTTTGTGTAGGAAGGGGAAGGAGAGGGTGTTTGCGTTCGAGAAGCATCGGAGGGTAGAGCACTACGGGAGGTTAGTTGGACAGGTCGGTCGAGGAGCCTCCGCTATTGGAATAGAGCAATCGTAGCTGTGGGTGTACAATTCTATGAGACAGATGATTCCTCTCATTCAGTGCCTACTTCCACGTCAATGATATTGACACGAGAGGCACCAGGGTCGAAAATTCAAGGTGCGAGGTAGACGGCCAAGTTTGTTGGCCCGAATGGACAGCAGTCAAATTGCACTTCCATCCGTTCCCCTCCTAACGCCATCGCTATGCCGGTAATTTCAACGCGTTCTGACCGGGTCTGTATACAGTCATGCCACACGACCGCCCATGCCGCTCTTGAAGCCGCCCAGGACGGCGTTCCACTGTCCGCCCGGATTCCGATCGCCCACACTATCGGCGTGCCGGGCCGGTCACGACGCGCCGCATGAGTACAGTATCCTTGGCCTTTCTCAACTTCCTCCCACCTCCATTCGTCAGGTATTGCTCGAACCATTGCTCCTCGGCGCTGTCCAGGGGCAGGCTGACCAGCTCGGAAGCTCGTGTCGCAACGTCGTGACCGCTTGCGTCGAGGACCGAAGCTATCAACTGCTCAAACAAGAGCTGTCTGGTCTGCTCAGGGTGTGCGCGGGAGAAGTAAAACGCCTCAGTGAGGCTCGTCCTCGCTAGAGCTCCGAAGAGGAGGGATAGGGACTCCGGCTTGCGAAGGACGGGCTGAACGGCATGATAATAGGCAAGGGCGAGGGAGTAGTCGCTGTCCTCAGCATTCTTGACGAAGGCTGTGATTATGTCGTCCGCGAATTCGGGGGTGAGGGAGGGGTGTGCCAGATCTTGGAGCGCATTCTGCAGGGAAGACTGGTCAGCTTGCATCCTTGCTGCTAAGGACTGCAGAAGACGTACGCTAAATTGCTGGCGATCCAGGTGCCATAGCCCCCTCATGAATATCTCGTACTTCTTGGGCAGCCCAAATCTCGAGGCAAAGACTTCGGCGAAGTTGATACGGCTCTTCAGCCCGAGGTGTTCGTTGAAGTCGAGGAGCATGTAGTAGAAGACAGAGAGCTTCTGATGGTCAGAGTGGTCGCTTTCGCAGACCTGGTAGTGAAGTTGGTAAAGGCCATTGTCGCCCTTGGGAGGGTAGGACCGGGCTAAAAATTACAAATCGTCAAATACCATGCCAAGTGTATCGATCTTCAGTTGGAAGACATACCCTTGGTGACGCCAACAGACCTCAGGACGCGGTCGATGAAGAGGACGCCGTTCAGGCTCTTTCTGTAAACATCGATCTCTCGAAGGAAGTCTTGGGTGTAGGGCGAGCCCCACTCAGGTTTGAAGACCTGGTGGAAATGGTTGAAGTCCTGCATCTTGGCTGTGGGTTGCCGACCTCGAGTCGCTGGATTGACAACCTCGACGAGCTCGCCAGAATCGAGGGCGGTGCTGTGCGATGCAATGCGATGCGCAAGCTTGAGAGCTCCCAGCCGAGACGGAAGCGATAGCTTATCGGGACCTGTTAAGAAGTTCGCTTTAAAACAAGTGGTCTCGGCTAACAGACAACGGTGGACCAGTGCGACACGTGTGGACCCCTCGTCCGATTTTAGCGCGTTTTCCTGACGGTTTGTTTTGTTTATCAATGCCCGTATTTTCGGAGGGGGAATGGAGCAACAGCCGACTCGACTGCACTCTTTGCAACGGCAACCCACTTCTTCGACTTATCGATTGCATCTTGTGCCTCGAGCCTTGGGTCTTGCTTTGCCGAGTGGGAACTGAAGGCCAACCCTATTGACCTTCCACCTTGCAACGGCTTGGCTTCAATCTCCTTTTTGCTTCGCATTGTGGCCGCATCATCTCCTTTGCTGATTGCCGTCACCCTTGCCCATCATGTCGACGCGACCGACCCGACGAGCCGCTGCCAAGCGCAAGCAGATCATAGAGTCCGATGACGAGGACGAGATCGCAAACTCCCCTTCCCCACCGCCCGCAGACGAAGACAGCGAGGAGGACTTCACGCCCGCGCCAGCTAAGAGCTCACGCAAGTCCGTCGGCAGGAGGAAGACTATTCAGGCCGAAACGCCCCCAGCTTCCGAGGCGCCACCCCGTCGCCGCGGTGGACGTCCGAGGAAGAGCGCGGCCCCAAGTGTCGCACCAGATACCACCAGTGTCGAGCCGGGCGAGTCCAGCCAGGTTGCCGATCCAGACCAGACCACCACTTCTACAGCTTCAGCGCCGCGTAGACGAGGTCGCCCAAAGAAGAATGTCATCAAAGAAGAAAGTGTCGAGCCCGAGGCAAGCATCCAACCAAGTATTGAGCCCGCCAACGAGCCGGACGAGAACGTGGAGCCGGTTGCCGAGGATGCCGAGCCCAACCAGACTGCCATGGATGTCGACGAGGAGCAGACTCCCGTCAAGAAGCCCGGGCGCAAGCGAAAGAGTGTTGCGCCGCCAGCATCTTCGTCAAAGGAGGCCCCGATACCCGATATACAACAGCCTGAATCACCCGCTACACCTAGGCTCTCCAAGCCATCCGCGACTCCAGACCCCGACCGGTTCCAGACGCCACTGTCAGACATCACTAATACTGCTGGAAATGATCAGCGGCGGGCCATAGAAGACACTCTTCTGAATACTGGCGTCAAGCCAATCAAAGCCCTAGACACGGTTATGGAGAAGCCCATGGACATCGTGTTGAAGTCGCGGACCATGGTCATACCTCAGGTGGAAGATTTGACGCCCAAACCCCGCCTCGTCATCACATACCTCATTCTCACTAACTTCAAGAGTTACTCTGGGCGTCAAGAGGTCGGGCCGTTCCACGCGTCTTTCTCCTCTGTCGTTGGCCCCAACGGCTCTGGAAAGTCCAACGTGATCGACTCCTTGCTGTTCGTCTTTGGATTCCGTGCCAGCAAGATGCGACAAGGGAAACTGTCGGCTTTGATTCACAATTCCGCCGATCATCCGAATCTCGACTTCTGCGAAGTAGCTGTTCACTTCCAGGAGGTCCTGGATCAGGTATGACACTTTCTGCTGTTGGAAACGGCCCCTTTACTAACAAGCTTTTCCAACAGCCCGGTGGCGGCCACGAAATAATTCCCGACTCTGAACTCATTATTTCCCGAAAAGCCTTCAGGAACAATTCCAGCAGTTACTATATCAACGGCAAGACGTCCACGTATACAGTTGTGACCACCTTATTGCGGGACCGTGGTGTTGATCTCGACCACAAGAGATTCCTGATCTTGCAGGGTGAAGTCGAGTCCATTGCGCAAATGAAACCGAAAGCCGCAAACGAGCACGATGATGGTTTGCTGGAGTATCTTGAAGACATCATTGGCACATCGAAATACAAGACCCCGATTGATGAATCCGCCACAGAAGTTGAGACGCTCAACGAGATCTGCATGGAGAAGAGTGGTCGTGTTCAGCATGTCGAGAAGGAGAAGCACAGTCTCGAGGACAAGAAGAACAAGGCCCTGGCATACCTGCGTGACGAAAACGAGCTGACAAGGAAGCAATCTGCTCTGTATCAAATATACATCGACGAGTGCAACGACAACCTGATTGTTACCGAGGAGGCTATCACTCAGATGCAGGCACAGCTTGATGAAGAGCTGGAGAAACACCAAGGCAGCGAAGCGGTCATCAAGGAGCTGCAGAAGAAGTATTCCAAGGGCAACAAGCAGTACGAGGCTCAGGACAAGGAGACTCAAGCCCTGGTTAAGGAGATGGCCAAGTTCGAGCAGGAGCGCGTCAAGTTTGACGAGAAGCGCAAATTCTTGGCCGACAAGCGGAAGAAACTTGAGAAGACAATCACCAGTGCCGAGAAGACCAGCGCCGATGCAGAGGAGACGATCGAGCAGTGCACCGAAGATATTGAGACCCGCGGACAGGAGATCATTAGCCTTGAGGAGCAGATCAAAGAAGCGGAGTCTGAGCTCGCCGTCATCAGGGAGGGCTTGAAAGGGAAAACACAGGCCTTCTCGGATCAAATCGCAGCCAAGCAAAAGTCCTTGGAGCCTTGGCAGGAGAAGATCAACGTGAAGCAGTCCGCTATTGCTGTGGCCGAGAGTGAGCTGAACATCCTCAGGGAAAAGGCAAATGCCGGTGCAGTCGCCCTCCAGGACATGGAGAACAAGATTACCTCCACGGAGACGCGCCGGAAAGAGAAGGAGCAGGAGCTCAAGTCCTGCCAGCAAGAAAAGAAGGAGCTCGAGGCTGAGGCCCAAGAGGTCGAGGCCGAGATCGAGCAGCTCGCTGGACAGGAGCCCAAGATCCGGTCCAAGGTGTCCAACTCACGGCAGAAGGCAGACGAGGCTCGATCGAGTCTTTCCGCGACACAGACCCAGGGCAACGTCCTGACCGCGCTGATGCGAATGAAAGAGTCAGGTCGTATTGATGGCTTCCATGGACGTCTTGGAAACCTAGGCGCAATCGACCAGAAGTACGACGTCGCAATTTCAACAGCCTGCGGTGCGCTCGACAATTTTGTCACCGATACCGTAGAAGCCGGCCAGCAATGCATTGAGTACCTGCGCAAGACAAACATGGGCCGCGGAAACTTCATCTGCCTGGACAAGCTGAGGTCTCGGGATCTCTCTCCGATCCAGACACCGGAGGATGCTCCTCGTCTGTTCGATCTCGTCCAAGCGAAGGAAGATAAGTTCCGGGCGGCTTTTTATCATGCACTTCAAGACACCCTGGTCGCCACGGATCTCGCCCAGGCAAACCGGATCGCTTACGGTGCCAGGAGATGGCGAGTGGTGACTCTCGACGGTGAATTGATCGATAAGTCGGGTACCATGTCTGGCGGTGGTAACTCAAAGAAGAAGGGCTTGATGTCATCCAAATTGGTTGCCGACACTACCAAGGAACAGGTCTTGAAGCTCGAGGGCGATCGGGATGCGCTCGAGCAAAAGTTCCAAGAGTTCCTCGAGTACCAGCGAGAGTGCGAGAACCGCCTACGTGATCTCAAGAACCGAATTCCTCAACTTGAGACCAAGATGCAAAAGATCAGCCTCGAGATCGAGAGTGCAACCAAGAACTTGGCCGATGCGCAACGTCGCATCAAGGAGCTTGCCAAAGAGCACCAGCCCTCCAAATCTGACGACAGTCGCATCACAGCTTTGGAGAAGGAGGTTAAGAGCCTTCAGAAGGAGATTGAGAAGCTGCATGGTGAGACCTCTACAGTCGAGGAAGAGATCAAGGCGCTGCAAGACAAGATCATGCAAGTTGGTGGTGACAAGCTCCGTACTCAGAGGGCCAAGGTCGACGGTCTCAAAAAGGAGATCGCTTCCCAGAACGAAGAAACCTCGAAAGCCGAAGTCAAGAAAGCCAAGGCGGAGAAGCAGAAGACGAAGCTCGCAAAGGATCATGCAAAGGCGACCAAGGAGCTCGATGTCGCCATTCGAGATCTTGAGAGCCTCGAAGAAGAGATCTCAAACCAAGGCGAAAAGGCTGAAGACTTCAAGGCCCGCGTCGAGGAAGCTCAAGAGGCCCTTGCTGTCAAGAAGCAGGAGCTGGCCGAGTTGAAGTCGGAGCTGGACGAGAAGACAGCAGAACTCAACGCCACTCGTGCCAGTGAAATCGAGATGAAAAACAAGCTGGAGGAAAATCAAAAGGCCCTCGCTGAGAACCAGAGGAAGGTCCGCTACTGGGAGGACAAGCACTCCAAGCTCGTGCTTCAAGACATTCACGACCTCGAAACCGCCAAAGCTCCCAGGTCTGCTGCAGCTGCCGCGAACGGTTCAGCTGAGAATACCCAACAAGGCGAAGACGGAGGCCAGGATGGTGCTGAGGCTGAAGGAGACGGGGACTCCGACGTTGAGATGACTGATGCCGGTGATGACGCCGAGGGTGACGCCGAGGGCGACGCCGAAGTTGCCGAGGAAGAGGTCGACAACACCATTGTTCGCGATCGGAAGACCCAGAAGACCCTGCCGCGGTACAGCAAGGACGAGCTCGAAGACATGAACAAGGAGACGCTGAAGGGCGAGATTGCCGCCCTGGAGGAGAAGACACAGAACGTCAACGTTGACCTCGGCGTCCTTGCCGAATACCGTCGCCGTGTTGAAGAACATGCCGCCAGGTCTTCTGACCTCCAGACAGCCGTGAGCCAGCGTGACGCGGCCAAGAAGCGATGCGACGAGCTTCGTCGGCTACGTCTCGAGGGCTTCATGGAGGGCTTCAGCATGATCTCCCTCCGGCTCAAGGAGATGTACCAAATGATCACAATGGGTGGTAACGCCGAGCTCGAGCTTGTCGACTCCCTTGACCCCTTCTCCGAGGGTATCCTCTTCAGCGTCATGCCGCCCAAGAAGTCGTGGAAAAATATCAGCAACTTGTCCGGTGGTGAGAAGACGCTCAGCAGTCTGGCTCTCGTGTTTGCTCTGCACCACTACAAGCCGACGCCACTATACGTGATGGACGAGATCGATGCTGCGCTGGATTTCAGAAACGTAAGTCCAACCCTGCCTATGTACTCAGAGTCATTCCTCAACTGATGCTAACATGTCACCACGCACAGGTGTCCATCGTCGCCAACTACATCAAGGAGCGTACCAAGAACGCCCAGTTCATTGTCATCTCCCTCCGAAACAACATGTTTGAGCTGGCGGCCCGGCTAGTCGGCGTGTACAAGGTCAACCACATGACAAAGAGCGTCTCGATCGAGAACAGGGATTACATCGTCGGCAGGCGGCCGCAGCCGCAGCAGGTGCAGCAGCTCGGTGGCGGCGCGACGCAGACTGTCAACTTCACGCTCAGCCAGCCTTGGAGGTGAGGTGTTTTTTGGCTGCTGGATAGAAAGAAGGGTTTCATGTGTCTACTGTCTGATGAATTTTAATGTACGGGTATGCACGTCTGACAATGCTTGTTGGGTGGATTGGTCGTTGGTATCGGTATGGGCTGGCTTGTTATTGATAATGACTGCATGGAATGAGATACTCTGTTCATCGTTTTGTTCGCGTCCTTCTTGTTTGCAACAATTCGGGATCTCATCTCTCAGATGCGAGAAACCTTGAAGCCTGCCGCGGCGTCAGGCCAATCTCCAGGGCCTTTCGAGCAAAAGCCTTCTGCTTGGTGTTGGGGGCTTGGATGTGACGCTGGCCGGAAATTACACTGTGAGTCTCCCTGAACTCTAGAAAAGCAAAGTTTCACTTGTCCAGGGCCCTTTAACCCCCCAGCCCCTGCCCAGCCATGCCAGATGCTGTCGAAAAAGGGGGAGACTAAAGCCTGCACATACGGATACGGAGTAGAATTTAGACGTCTCAGTACCTGCCTACCTACGGATTTCTCGCTTGCGCCAGTCCATGTCTGCGGTGATGGCTTTCCTCACACCCTACTTGCCTTTTCAACTGGTCAACTCCCACCTTCCACCGCCCAGAATCCACAATTCTTACGCGGACATCGTCGAGAATGGCCCAGGATACAGACTCTCACCAGACTGTGCCGGCTCATGCCTCACGCCTGCCATGTGAAGGCAAGGCCGGGCTTCTTAAGATGCCCCAGGAGCTGCTTCGCATGGTCGCCGCTGATCCGCTTCTCACCAACCGCGACCGCAAACAAGCCCGCCTGGCCTGCCGAGTCCTGGACGGTGCCATGACGCCTGTCGTCTTCAGGCGTGCCTTCATCTCCCGACTGCGGGCCGACCGCGATGCATTCCTGAGCGTCGCTGCTTCGCCTCACCTTGCAGCTTGTGTTGAGGAGGTGGTCTGGGTCGAGCTGGGTGAGTTCATGGAGAGGGGGTTCCTCGTCAACGCTGGCCCTTAGTTTTGCTGACAACTTGCAGGGTGTGACGGGCTAGCACTGGAAAACCTGCCGAGCGATCTAGAGGGATCTGAAGACCTCCGAGAGCATCTCCTTGAGACTGCTAGTGACCTTTGCTGGCTTCCCAAGTCAGGAAAGCCCGAAGCTAAGGAGTTCTCCGCGCAGTTCAACGCTGCCATTGCTTGCATGCCCAAAGTCCGCGGTTTCTCGTCCGAGCCAATGCGGTCGGATCGCCTATTCTGCTCGCATCCCGACAAATACCTGGTTGACGTTGGGTTGCTAACGACCCACGGCCCGCGCGACAGGTGGGCATGGACTCAGGGACTTGTGAGATTCCTCCTGCCTACCATGAGGAAACAGCCAGGCAAAATCACACGGCTGCGCTGTTCTGCCGGACTGTTTAACGCTCAGTTTGGTCACAGTCTGTTCAAGAGCCACGTCCCTCCGCTATTCAAACATCTCACATCTATCAACTTCTCATATTCGTGGGAAGAATGGCGTAACTGGGTGCACTGGCGCTATGCCATTGGTGACGGACGTGGCTTCCTGCGGTCTTTACAACGCGCGCTGTTCGCCGCGTCAGACCTCCAAGAACTCAGCATTGCCTTCGACTGCGGGCTCGAGGGCTACGGCCCCGCCTTCCGTCTGCCTGATTGGATGTTCAGGGATGAGGACGGGCAACCCCACAAGTGGAAGCGTCTGCGGTCTTTGCGACTCGCATACCTCATGAGGACCGAGGCTTGGTTGGCACCGCTGATTGCAGCACACGCAGACACCCTGCGCCATCTTGATCTCGACCACTGCAACCTCCATACGTCCTTTGCGCTACACGTAGCCTACACGGGATTCAAAGGGAAACTGCTTCAGCTGCACTCGATCACCATAAATGAGCCCGGCGTCCATGAATCAGCGTTGATATCCGAGCAAAAGCTGCTGGGTTTTGTCCGCCATGGAATCATCGACTTGGCCAGGGAGTGGGCGATCAAGACTTGCCCTTGGACGCGGGAGAAGCTGGAGAAGGCCAGGCCCCCGATCTTGAAGATAATGCAGGCGACGAAGAAGACTTGATGTCCGAAGACAGCGACTACAGCCCTCAGTTCGAGTTCACAGCAGAGGCTGAAGAAGACTACAAGTCCGATGAAGAGTCGCCGCCGTTGTTCCGCCACATGAAGTGGGACAAGTGGGGAGAAGCTGAACAAATCGCAAAGGGCCGTTTCGTAACGCATAGTAGTCGCTGCGAAGACGTCGGCGACAGCGGGTGTGATGACGCCGGCAACGACCAGGCGTCAGATCACAGTTCCGAGTGGTGGTCTGATACCGATTCTAAGCTTTGATCTGTCCTTCCAGCTGAGGGTACACAGACGACACTGCATGACCGCTTTTGATATAAGCCTCTTGGTGTGTGGATGTCTCTCAGGTTGACGCAAAGGCACATGTAGTACTGCATTTTCCACCAGTGTCAACGGCAAGAAATGGCACATGGACGATGCTCCTGCCGGGCCTTACAGGCGGCGACACGTGTCACCACTTAGAACGACGAATGGGGGCTTCCGTGGAGAGCAACCGGGCAAGGTTCGGAGGGTTTGCGTGGATCACAGGCACCATTTTTCGGAGTCGGGCTGTCATAATGTGTAATACATGTTAATATACGACTTGAAATCTTCGTCCAAAAGGATATCCCCTGCGAATAGATGTCGGTGATAGGTGAGCTTCATTCTGGAACTTGGAGCTTGAGATGATTATAAGCGACATTGAGAAATCACAGTAGGCAGATTCTTGCAATGGAGAATGAAACGAACGTAAAGTAAGCCAGCAGAATGGTCGAAATTGTCTTAGTCGTGAGTTTGATAGTCACAATGGCAGCGACGAACGTCACTTAACGAAAGAAAAATTGATATTTGGCTTAGCAACGCAACGCGACTATTCCAGGTCTCTCATAATTCACCGCATCAAGTCTTCCCCACCCGCACCTTCATCCCCTTGGGACGCAGCACAATACCAGGGGTCTCCACGGTGAATGACCCAAAGTCGGCCTCATCAACATTCAGGAAGCGGTAGCCGCGGACCATCTCAAACAGCGCGATCTTGATCTCGTAGAGGGCGAACTTCTTACCGATACACGTCTTCGGGCCGTTGCTGAAGGCCTCGAAAGCGAAGGGGGACGACCGGGGGTCATCTGCTCCGCCGATGGTGTCCCAGCGGCCCGGGTTGAATTCGGCTGCGTCCTCACCCCAAATCAGGGGGTTCATGTGCGTCACTGCAGGCACAATCTCGAATAGTGTGCCCTTTGGGATGTGATTGCCGGTGATGTGTACGTCTTGATAGGCCTGTCGAGGGGTCCAGACGGCTGGGAAGGTGGTCAGAGTCAGTTATTGTCAAGGTCTCCAATAATGAATCAATCTAGGAAAGGGGTTGCTACCGGGTGGGTAAACCCTGAGCATCTCGTTGACAAAATTGTCCAGGTACGGAAGCGCATCAATCTCGCTGAACGGTGGGTCGGGATTCTGTCCTGCCAGGCCAGCGATATCCTCCCTGAGCCGGTCCTGGATTTCTGGTCTGGTAGCGAGGACATGAGAGCTCCACGCGAGCATGTGCGCTGAGGTCTCGTGGCCACCGGCTAGGAGAATCAGAAGCTGTGCCCCTTGTCAGAATAGTCTATTGGCAGGTCTTGTTCGGAAAAGTACTCATGACTCACGTGTCCAATTATGTTTTTGTCTTCGATTCCCTCGGCACATCCACCTGGCATGCTTTCCTCAATGAGGAACGACAGTATGTTCCGCGATGTGTCGCTATGCATTTCCTTTCCTGCAGCTGCTGACATCTCCTGCCTCCGGTTAGTGACAAGCTGCCCTATTGTAGCATTCATCCAGCTCGTAGCCTCGAGGAACTTGAAGTTAGTGTTGCATGGAATCCACCGAATGGGGAAGAAGCAATCAAGGAACGTAAAGACCTTGCCGATCTTGTCCGGCCCGAATACCGCATCATGTGCGTCGAGAAAACCATATTGTGCTGTTCCTTTCACTACATTTCCGTCTCGGTCGAATTCAGCTTGCTCCAGGTACGAGAGGTCTGTCCCCAACAGGGTACGCCCCATGACGTCCAGTGCGAGTCGGCCGAACGTATCAGTGCAGTCAATGACGGCGGTTGCTTCTCCACCGGCCTCGATGGCACGGTCAAAAAGGTGGCTGAGCTGAGCGGCCTTTTCTTTGAACACGGGCTCGAGCCTCCGTAAGCAGTTAGGGGTGAAGCACGCGCTCAGCACCTTGCGATGGGCTCGGTATTCCTCGCTCTCGAAGGAGGCAAGCCCGTCACCGCTGAATCTCTTGATCATCCGCATGATGGCACTCGGCCTTTCGAACATGTCGTCATGCGTCTGGAGGACTTGGCGGTGGGCTCCGAGGCTGTTGACGAGGATAATCTCTGTATTTGCGAGGCTGAGGTATCGGATGAGTGGGGCATCTGGGTGCTCACTTGACAATTTGACCGCAAAGGACATCGGAGTGTCGGCGTTGACCTGATTGAGAGCTTGTCCCAGAAACCAGTGGTTGTCTTTGGGGCCGGGTAGGTGACGAATAGGAGAGAAGTATTTGTGGTAGAGAAAAATGCGATAAAACTTCAGGGATAGGTAGTGGAGGACAAAGCTGACGGCAAAGAGCTGGTGGCTTGTGATCTGTTCGGAGCCACCAGGGAATCCGAGGTGAGCACTCAGAAGGCTGGTGATCAAGGCAAGTGCCACACAGGCCAGGAGATCCATGGTGGTGGATGGAGACGCGGTGTTTTGAGGCTCCAAGGCACGATGCCAGCTACTAAGAAGGGCAGCTTGGTAGTGACCGTTGATGTTGCGTGTGATCAATGCTCTTTTGTTGCGTATTGAGGGCTAGACGATCCCGGGGCAGACTATCACCACGGAGAACTGACGGCTCTCTTTTATAAGGAAACAAATAGTCCTAGTCACATCTGCTCTTTCCCTCTTTACGTGTGATGTTATTAGTCGAACTCCGCGGGATACCAGTTTTTGACAGTCACTCTATCGTTTTGCAGGCTTGCTGCTGAGCAGTATGGCCACCACCATGGGCTTCTTAGTCACAAGCTCATATTGCGGGGACAGCTTGAGTATTGCAGCAATCACATGGTCGATTCGTGTAGTTGAAGCCGCCGACTGAAATACGCATGTCTTTGTGGAGGTTCAGCTAGTGGGCTTAGACTTTGTAATAGGAAACTGAATGTTGATGTTGACGTCCAGAGGAACCCAAACATACGCCAGAAAGAAAGCAACTATGCTGTTGTTGCACAGTCTCTTTTGAAATGTTCCGCAGATGATCGGTGATTACTGGACTAGTCGTCACTAGCCAATGGAGACGAAGACGGCTTGGTTACTTGTCTTTGGGATGTGGCACCTACGGTGGGAGAGAATTACCTACCAGGGGGAGGGGGGGTCTTTGTATGGGTCACGCAATGCAATCATGTTTTGAGATCCAAACAAAATTTTAGAATTATAATGCAATACTAGCAAAATATTATCAAAATACTATCAGAAGTTAATTATATTAAGGCTTTAAATTATATTAATATTAACTTTATATTAAGATTAACTTTATATTAGCTAATATTAGCTAATATTAAAATAAATTTATATTAAAAGCTTTGGTTCAAACCTTATTAATTCCAAACCTGTTTTTATTTTTAAATATTTTCATAATTTTATAAACCCTCCTATAATAAATAGTTAAGCCAATAAAAAATAAATAAGTAATTGGGTTGGGGATAAGGAAAAAAAATAACTTTTTTAAAAGGCGTATATTAAACGCTAATATTATGTCACAATATATTAAACGCTAATATTATGTTACAATATATTAATATTAATATAATTTCCTTCTTAAATAAATAATGCAAGCCACTCTTTTTATAATATTATCAATTTATTAATTGCAAATCAATATCATTTCAACGTTATCTCGCAATGCTAATGTGATACTCTCCAACACCCCCCTTCCCCCTGGTAGGTAGTCGGTTGGATGTCACAGAGCATCAGGCTGATGCACTACAAAATATCAGGAGAGAATTACATTGTGTACCTTAAGCAGACATCGAGGTTGTCCTTGATGCTCTAGGAGCATCACGCCGCGGGCGTTCCCCTCTTCATGACGCAGTCCAAAGGGAAGCCTTCTGGACCCAAGTAATCAAAACACCCCTTTTCGACATTCATGTCTCGCCTCGGATCTCTGTGGCCACTGCTGTCAGCAACTTAACCCCATCATCGGGTGCTGTGTCCTGTAACTGGGCAGACGTCTTCTCGTGATGCAGCAGACCAAAATTAGCCCGTATCATGCTCAGAACACGCGCTGTGGCCCGCACGGTTTCATTGATTGCTCTCGATGTCGCTCCCTACCAACGATTCAAGGAATTAGGCCAGGTGGGATCGAAGACGCAAGCGTCAACGTAACCATGGTCCACGAAGTACAGGTCATGGCGGCACCAAGAACTGAACCCTGATCTCAACCACTCGTCGAGAGTAATAGCACGAAAGGATTCGAATTGAATGCAGAGTGACTCCACGCCCTTCCGGTGCTGGTCGGAGAGCCCGAGCTCTTGGCGTCGGCTGAATGGGCGCCAGCTGATATATCGAGTGGCGTAGATGTCGAAGTTGATGATGGTGGCTTTCCACTCTGGGGTTTTGGGGTTGAGGAGCCGTGCTAGATGCTCTGTGTCGATGCCGTGACGCACGAGACTGTCACCGAGCAGCGAGAAGCGCTCGATCTGAGGCTCTGGTGCCCCAGGAGCCGCGTCGATTGAGATACTCAAGCGATCGCGACCCTCCATCTGGAAACGAATCTGGGGCCTAGAAAACGCGAGCTCGTCGAGGGTTGACATGATAACTGGGATCCGACACATGAGACGGCTGGTTGACCCGTCGGGCTGGGTAGGCACCCGCTCGGAGAACGTGAGGGTAAACCTCTGGTCGTAATGACGCAGAGCAATGAGTCGGCTCTCCCGGTTGGCAAACAGCATTCCCGGGATTTTGTTGAAGTCAATCCTAGTGGGCGAATTGGTCTCGGCGGTGCGGTCTTGCGGCTTGAGTATGATCACGCGGGGCATGAGCGCCGCCTTCCAGATCATGTTCCGAAGCTCAGAAGGTAGATCGCTGAAGGTGATGTGTTGTTTTGGGTGACCTTCGTGGGACGACGCTTTTCCTGCTGCAAGTGGCATATGCTCATGAATTGCTTCGTTCGGTTGGCATGACTTCCCATCTGAAACGCCTATGTTAGCTTCTATTCAAGGATTCAATACAAGCCGTGACTCAACATTCAATGGGACCATCAGGATTCACCGAAGATAATTTTAAGGTTGCTTTGGTCAGACGTACCTTGTTTGATGAGACATGCTGTCTCGCCGTGGTCTTGGCTAGTAGCTGCCATATCTGAAGCGCTGGAACCAGGCATTGAGACGGAAAATAGGTTGTTCTGATTAGGAGGGCCTCTGGAGGATGAAAAGAACTTCAAGTGAGGATTGTGACACGAGACCTCAGCTGTGGTGTAGTGGATCTTTTAGGGTCAAGCACCTCAAGGCTCAATGATGAGGAAAGTCTTGAAGAACTTGGGATGAGTTTAAAAAAGAGGGAAACAATGCTCTGCAGTGCCATTCGCCGCGAAATATAAGGCAGTCGAAACCAAGTGAATATAAGAAGGTTATCGGAACACAAGTCACCGAGGGTGTGAATACAACAAGGCAAGATTGTGCAAGATTCACTTAGTAGTGCAAGTGCTGGCACGAGACTGACCCACTCATTTGATGTGGGCTTACTCTTGAGCTCATCAATTGCTCACTGTCCTATAAAGGCTGAGCTCGTAGTGATATACAGCATCTCTTACAGGTGAAGTTACTCTAATAGCAAATAAAGGCCTGATTCAGCAATTCAAGCAGGAGGTGAAAGTCACCCAGAATGTATCATTCAAAATGAAAGACCAATATGTCATAAAGATCATCATACCTATGATGCAGAAACATGGAGGCATTCGCAGTTGCATAGACTAGCGACAACACAACACAGACAGACATTGTGGATGGGGGAAAATGACAGATAAATATACTGCTGAAAGAAAGATTGGCAAACTCCACAGAGTCATCAATAATGAGTCCGGCAGTGTTAGACGAGCCAACCCTCCAAAGCTTGTTAGGCAAGCGCCAAACGAGGCCGTCCCTCCAAGATGCTCAGATGGCCCTCCACAGCTCTACTGCGCTTCTGGCCATCGCACCTCCTCTTTGGCACTAGGCTGCCTCGAATCTTAAATGTCGATAGTGCCTTGGGCCTCTTTTGGGATGACATTAGACTCTGAGCTGAATGGGTCCACTCTCATGGGATGGATTGACCAGCGCCTTCAAATATGGCTTCTCTTCCCAATACCCAATCGACCTAGGTGGTACAATCGTTGATCTCGTTTTGGGGAAACGAATTCAGCGTCTATGTGTTTCTTTCTTGCTGCTCCGAGGAAGGGTCGAGACAGGATTAAGGACAAGAAAGTCAGAATGGTGATCTGAGGGCGTAGATATCTCCCTTGACGCAAGGCATCAACCCATCGTCTTCTCGTGTTTCTGCAGTGACGTTCGCTTCACTCGCGCCTTGTATCATATCACCATCCACTCAGTCGTAGTGATTGAGTTATTTATGTTCATTAACCTTTGGTGAAGAAAGAAAATGAATCAGAATGATTAGGGATCCATGACGCTGCGAGTGATTTGGCTCACCTTGATCAAAAGCCTCGATGGTCCGGATATCGCATGCTCCATCCGTATGCGCACGTCAGATCACAGGGAAGCCCTCCCAATCCCATCGCTCGTAGTGTGCGGGCGGTAGTGTCAACTTCTTTCCAAGTTCAAATGCCGCAATATCCGGCGCTCCGTTCCCAAGAGGAAGATCGCCCATGTTGGCCTTGAGTATGAGCTCCTGGCCCCACTCTCGCAAGCTCCCAGTGAAGCCACGCGAATGGATCAAGATATGGTGTTTGGAGTCAGCTGCCTCCGAAGCCCTGTACCAAGGACCGCAAACGGTATACAGCTTCCTGATTCGGCCAGGTTCTGTGTGGAGTATTGAGTTCAAGTCCCCTGAGATCGTAGAGTTCAGATCGTGGACGAGCTTGTCGGTAGACGCGATGCCGGGCCGCAGGTATGCTACCTTCCTCACATCTGGCTGAGCTCCACAAACGGTCGGATGGCTCTCCCAGGGGCTTGTCCCATCGGCGCTCTCGACTCGGAACTCATGTCTGCGCCCCAAGCCCAGGTCCTCCCAGCCCATAAAACACAGTGTGTCATCAGGTGACATGAGGACATGTGCGTGATACGTGTCAACTGTGTGGTTGGGGCCACCCCACCTGTGCATACCCATTTGGTCCGCGGTGACAGTGATACTGAATCTCAAAGTATAGTGAGGAAGGGCGCGGTATCGGGACTCCTTGTTGACGGAAAGCAGGGCAGGGAAGACCAGAGTTCCGCTCTTTTTGCCTTTGGGCCAGCGTTCGATCGGCACAAAGCGAGGTGTCATTGACGCTTCCCAGATCATGAGGCGCAGTTCACACGGAAGTTTCTGGAACAAAGTGAACTCCGAGTAAGGGAGCTGTGTGTTGTTGCGAGACTTCTCGAGCGTGCCTCGACTGTCATCCAAGAGACCAGCCTCAGCCACTGCATCAGGTCCTTTGACCACGGTGGTATTTTTCCGGATCGACGAGGGCTTCCGCTGCTTCGGCGGCGGCGCGTCGCCGTAGTCTTTCTTGCGGGTGCAGACCATGATGACGTGTTGTGGTTGTAGTGGGCTTGCTGAAATGTTGAAGGGTAAGGGATTGACCGTGAGTTTCCATGATGCACTGGTGGGCTTTGGGGCCTTTATATCCATCACCAGGGCCCGCGCCTCGACCCCGCCAGACTCGACGCGTTCCGTGTCCGGGCAACGCATCGAAGTAGCAGTTGACGTGCACGTCACGCGCGGGGCTATATCCAGACACCATCCCACTAAGTTTCCCGTAAGCAGCATCACTTTTACCTATTGGGAAGGCCTGGACTCGCATGGCCGGCTCCGCCAGGAGACTACATCCGCTCTTGCCATATGCGAGCAGCTTCACTACCAATATCTCCGTCAGAAGTGATAACTGGATTCTCAGGTTGCCGTAGTCAGTATGACGTAAAAACAAGCTTCAACTTGGACAGTCTACGCTTTATGAGAGAAGGCCCTACAAAGGCTCTGAGAGAGTAAGGATCGTAGCAAGACACTATCAGGACTTGAGTGCCTTGTTGCTTTGTATGGCCTCTAACCTATGACAAAGTGTTGAGCAAGACCATCCTGGCTTGACTGTGCGTCTCCTTAGGGTCAAGGCAGAGAGTAATTGCATGTAAGTGTTCCTGCTTGAAGCCTGGTGACCAAGATTGGAAGGAGAAGGCCGTGTTGCAGTTGAGGTATGGACTCCCAATGATGTTTCTTTTTGATTCTTCACTTGCACAAGATCTGCCTCAGGAGCTTCAGGTTGGCCTCAAAAGCGCATTGAAGACAGGGCAAGGCGACAGGGACCAGGATATCGGCGTCTCAAAGTTTGGGTCATTAATCATTATTGGTTCATGCTACTTTAAGAAAGCGCGCTATTCGATGCTTGGAAGGCATTCAAAGCGATAGATGAACAGTTCTGTCCACTTGCACCGCCCGTCGCATTCGAAATCGGCCCTGCTCCTAATTCTAGCTGCAACCCGCAACCCGACCAAGCCGTCCTCCTCCCCTGAGAACATGAAAGTTGTGATCCATCGCCGAGGCTGTCGCACACGACCGGCTCATAGTCTGGGCGATAGCCAGTCGAAGTTTGCGTCAAGGAAATACAGCGGGCCGATGTCCAGCCTCGTCTCGACGATCGCGATCAACGGGAAGTTTGTAGTTTTGGGGATGCAAAGATGCTTCGTCCCTCGGTTCACGCCGAACCCGGTCGCCTTTTCTTTTTGTGAGGTGAAGAGAGCCTGGGTTGCCGGAAAGCTTGAGCCACCATCCGTTGAAGATACTCCCGTCGGCCCGGGATACTTGGAGGTTGTACAAGGGGGAGTCCTCGCCGCAAGAGGTGTCAAGGCTCGAGTTCGCGACAGGCGTTGGCCGTGCGGTGCTCAGTGGGATTGCGCCCGTCGCATTTGTCCTAGTATAGGTGCCGTTGCCACTGAATGTTGGCGTGGATCCGTTTCGCGGGACGACAACGCGGTACACGAGCTCCGGGTGGTGGACGGGCTGGACGTGTTTTCTCCACTCGCTGTCATATGGCCCCCAGCCCCATGACTGGGCTAGGTGGACCAAGAGGGCGAGCCAGAGGAGGCTGAGGAGCGGTAGTGTGGAGCTGCACGTCGAGGGGCGCATCTTGGTAGGCGCGACTGTGATGTCCGATGAGCCGGATGAGATGCAAAGGTCGAGGCCCCTCGAGATGTGAAAGGGTGAAGTCATGTTGTTGATTCACGTGAGGGAGCGCTGAGGCTCTATTAACGTGCTGAGCGGGCCCCTTTCCGGATGCTGCTAATTACTCGTCTATATCAAGTGCCATCTGATGGTGCCTTGTTTTCTTGTTAGCGGCCTATATCAGAGCTAGGTCCTCCTTAGGTGACGGGGGTCCGTGGACGGGTAGTGGCCAAAGTTTAAATTAGGTCACGTCACTGTCCATGCTTGTTTAGGGGGGCGGACCAGCATTTGGCGTTTCTTGGCATCATGACGGAGGTGCCATCGAATCGGCCGATAGTAAATGCGGTTGACCTCATTTCATTCTTTTTTTGTCGTGTTTCTCTTAGAAAAGGTGACATCGAAGGCTAGCTGTTTCGAAACAATAGAGAGAAGACTAATGAATGTGACAGTCAGATGCATCCAGACACAACAGGTTACATACAACACAATACAACTTGGGTTCACATCTTGATCCCGGCTGCATTGGTCATGTCCAATAGCACTGAGGATTGGATCGAGATGGATCTACCAACGCACCACCATTGATCATGAGCTATCATATACCTTCCTCAGACACACAACAATATATCCTGAAGCTACATCTGGATGACTTCGACGCGCCCTTCATAATGTGCATCTTCGGCGCCGCGTTATCAGAATGCTTCCCGGACCACCAACGCCAATTCCTCCGTCTTACGGTCTGACTACACTTCCGTCACCAACTGGTTCTCTCTAACCCCAACGGACATTTGAATCAGTGATAGCGCGTTATCATTATGATGCAGCTCGAACCGGAGTCGGTGTTTATCCCCCATCTCCATATGCCGGCCGCATCGCCTGAGCCAAGCTCGCTCCTTGTAAGCTTCCGCGTCACGCAGTGGAAGACGTGTATGTCAACATCGGAGACCCGCCCTGCATGCATGAAGTCCACAACAAGCTATAAACCCAGCAGCCTCAGACTCCAAGAATACAGAACCCTTCCCGCAACGCAATAGAAGCTATACCACCACCATGGCCACAGAAGTACTCCAGATATCCCTGCCTGCAGCGACAGAAACTCCCAGTCACAAAGACGATGTCTCGCCCTTTTCCCGGCCCGGACGGCCCATTGAGGCCCTGCGGATCGAAGACAACCCACCCGACGGGCCCTCGTCCAGCACCGTCGCCGCCGAAGACGAAACGACCTACCCGACCGGCATCCGCTTCTGGCTGATCATGCTCTGCAATGCGATGGTCCTGGCCTTCATCGGCCTCGACATGTCCATCGTCGCCACAGCCGTGCCCTCCATCACGGACGAGTTCCACACCGTCGCCGACGTCGGCTGGTACTCGAGCGCGTTCCGCCTCTGCGCGTGCAGCTTCGCCTTCATGTTCGGGCGAATCTACACCCTGTTCCCGCTGCGGCCGGCCTTCATGGGCAGCATCGCCGTCTTCATGCTCGGCTCCCTGATGGGCGCCACCGCGCCGTCGTCCGCGGTGTTTGTCGTCAGCCGCGCGGTCTGCGGGCTGGGCACCGCTGGTGCCACCCAGGGGTGCTTCTACATGCTTGTGCATGTTGTGCCGCTGCGCAGGAGGCCGCTTGTCGTGAGCCTGTTGGCTGGAATCGAGTCTTTGGCAAATATTTCTTCGCCGTCGGTTGGAGGGCTCATCGTCGGCAGCGTGTCGTGGCGGTGGTGTTTCTGGATCAACCTTCCGATTGGTGCATTGAGCTTGCCCATCATCTTCTTTGCCCTCAGGATAGACGTGAAGGATCGCTCGCCTCTTACCCTGAAGCAGAAGATCATCGAGCTTGACCTCGTCGGCAACGTGCTTTTCATTCCGTCCCTGACCTCGCTCTTCCTCGCGCTGTCGTGGGCCGGCACCAAGTACCCTTGGAATAGTGGAACAGTCATTGGCTTGTTCATCACTGCCGCAGTGCTGTTTGCCCTCTTTGCTTATGACCAGAAGCGCCGGGGAGAGAAGGCCACCCTCCCTCCCCGCATACTGCGCAACCGGTCCGTCCTCGCTGGCTTCGTCTTCGCGTCATGCACCAATGCGGCCATGAACGTGTTTGAATACTACCTTCCGACCTACTTCCAGTCTGTCCGCGCATATAGCGCCACCAAGTCCGGCTACCTGATGCTTCCTCTGATGGCCGGCTTCCTCATCGCGATGTTGATGCACGGTGCAGGCGTCAGTGCACTGGGCTACTACGTGCCCTTCATGCTATTTGCCAGTGTCTTGATGCCCATATTTGCGGGCTTGATGACGACGTTTACGACAAGTACGGCCCTGGAAAAGATTGCCGGCTATTGTCTGGCGATGGGTTTCGCCGGGGGTATCGGATTCAACGCCCCGCAGAGCGCCGTGCAGACAATGCTCCCCGTGAAAGACACATCTACAGGCATCGCGATCATCTACTTTGCCCAGAACTTCGGGCCTGCTGTGTTTCTCGCAATCGCACAGACCATCTTTCTGAACCGGCTTAGTGAGGACCTGGCGGTTTTGGTGCCCGGACTGAGTCCCAATGTCGTGAACAACATGGGTTTGACGGAATTGAGATCGCTTGTGGGTCAGGATGAACTGGGGAAAGCTTTGGGAATCCTCGATAAGAGCTTAATGCAGACGTGGTACCTGGCCGTGGGCTTGACTTGCATGACGATGGTTGGAAGCATTGCGATGGAGTGGGGTTCTGTTAAGGACAAGAAGCAAGACTAAATGTATAACTAGCATGGCGGAAGCGATCCTGAAAGCCAGAAGCGCGAAGATTGTCAGCCGCTTTTGTCCTGGATGGGCAGATCCTATGAGATGAGGCTCGTCACACCAGACATTGCCCAGCCAAATGAAGAGGCAGCGCTTCCCTGATGCATGTGACCTGGGCTCGAGAAGCTGTACTTGCGTCAAATCATTGCGGAACACCTAAGCCACCGGATCCGTCCTCAGTTGTTGAGGTCTACAGGACTTGGCCAGAGTCTTTCCAACACGGTCTGAGAGCTGATAGGTACTTTTCCAGAGACCCTGTAATGGGTACACAGATAAAGTAACCACATGCGAAGGCGTGTGCCACAAGGTTCTAGGCAATGTCACGCTCATACCACATACCAACGTGGCTCTGCAAAGGGGTTGATTAGCTACTGAATGGTGTTCACACGTATCTAGATTGGAGAGTCTGGCACCCAGGCTTACAACTCGACTTCCAGGGTCCTGAGCGGCGATGGAACAATCGGGCGTCTGGTGAGAGGCAGGTGAGACGTGGCCAGATGTATTCACGGACACATTTTGTTGCAGAATCCAGGCCTGTCGACAGCGAGACTCTTCAAGATAGAAAAAGGTGGGCGATAATCGGCGCTCGTTATGGTACTTAGATGTAAGACCGCAGTGTGTTTCTCGTCGATCATTCTCGCCGCTCTTTTTATATCGAGTCATTCTTCGGTAAAGCCAAAAGAAACCTGGGACGACTGGTACTATGAGACTCAAAAGAGCAATGTAGGGGGTTGCGCTTGTCTGCAATGCCATGTTCGGATGTGGATCGGTGTGAAACTGACAGATTCTCCAGATATTGTGATGCAAAGGCTGGAGAGTTTATCTAGAAGAGAGAGATGCTGCCGTCGGAATTCATAAATAATTACTCATTCTTGCTCACCACATCGAGTAGCCAACGTGGTTGCACCAAGCTTTGACCACCGAAATGTGGTCGATTTTTGGTTGCAGGCCTGCCTCACTCAGCCAGCCAGCTTCTCTGAGCACAGCCTGATTTCCCAGCGAATCTAATCAGACAATGTTTCTTTTGCCCCTTTCTGTCGTTCGTGCGACCGAAAACCGGTCGATGTCTGCCAGACCCCTGTAGCTGGGCAGGATATAATTGGTGTCGGGTCGTCTTCGGACACTTGCGGGAGGCAGGAGGTGACGCCTGACAGAAGTCTGGTCGATTCTGACGCTCGGCTGCAGGTGGCTGCCAAGGCCAGAAGCTACTAACTCCCATTGGCGCCAGGGGGCACGCACCGGTGGGATGTGAATGTGCGTCCACTGGCCAAGAGATGAAAGAAGATGATTAAAGATACCGAGGTAATGCTTGATAACAAGAGATTCGAATGGGAACAGGTTTGGAGGAATCTAAGACGCGCCGGTGCTATTGTTGATCTCCAACCTGGTGAGCTCGATCAATCCTATTTCTGAAATAGTTGTATTGATACATTGTTGAAATAGATCCTCCCAGCCCTCTCCCTGCAGATATCCTTGTCTAAACTCCGCGGTCTAAACCATCGCCTTAGAGTCCGCACTTGCCTTTTAACACCTCGCGGCCACGAGATGAGTCTATCACAACCATATAGTTATAAGAGCTGTTCTTGGCACCTGAACGCAGCACTCTCCCAAATGGCGTTGCCTATCTGGATGGTGGACAAGGGTTTATTCAGCAGTCGCGACTGCAGATATCTTTTGCAAGCAATCCCGTCCCATTAACCGGTCTTGCCCTATGGGAATGTATAAAGGCATAAATGATGCTATACCTTTTGTTACTACTGATTCGGAACTTTTCCAATGAATTTGTTTGTAAGTTGGCCTCTTCATGCTGTATAAAGTATGTTATTGATAGATTCTTAGCGATGATGAACCTTGACCTCTCCCCTGGGAGATCGGCTTTTAATCCTGGGTATAACGTTTCTTTATCTATTGCACCAAGCAGCCAATTATTCGCCACCCCTACCATGCTATTGGGTCATGAAGTCTTAGATGACTTGGTGTTTGACTCTTCCGATTTGCTTTCATCCTTGATAATCACGCAATCGTTAGCCGTACCTGTAATGTTTCGTGGCCAATAAAGGGCTTATATTGTGTTGGCCATGGCAATGTATATCTTGTTTAACAACCTGGTGGATATGAATTATATTGATGTTTTAATTCACAGAGGACTTTTTAAAACCCCCTACCAGGGGGGAGGGGGGTTTCTAACTGGGTCACGCAATGCACTCATATTTTAACATTTAATTAAAATTTCATAATTCTAGCAAAATGCTAAAAAGGCTATTGCAATACTATTAAAAGGAAATTATATCAAGGCTTTAAATCATATTTATATTAATTTTATATTTAATATTAACTTTATATTAACTAATATTAGCTAATATTATTATAGATTTATATTAAAAGCTTTAATTTAAATTTTATTAATTTTAAACTTAATTTTATTTTTAATTATTTTTATAATTCTATAAATCCTTTTATAATAAATAGTTAAGTTAATAAAGAGTAAATAAGTAATTAGGTTAAGGATAAGAAAAAAAGAGGTTTTTTTTTACCCTTATATTAAGAGTTAATATAATGTTAAGAATTAACATTATATCACAGCATATCAGGAATAACTACATATTAATAATATGTAAATAATGCAATATATATATAAAAAAAGCATATTAAAACCTTAATTGCATATTATTATTATATTACTATTTCATTAATATACTAATGCAATGTTAATAAAAAACTCCCTCCCCCTAGTAGGCCTTAACTTAATTTTCTCCGAGATACTATTTGAATAGCTTTAAGCCTTGCTTTAAAGCGGCCTATATACCGTTAGGGCAGCGTTTTGGGCCTTGCTTAAGATAGCGGGCATCTTGGAGCAGCGTGTTGTCTTTAAGTCCTTAGTGGAGTTTGGAATTAGCAAAGATTGGCTCCCTAGCTCTGCATATGGCCACGACTTATATTATATCATGCCGTCTGCATGAACCTGTACGATGTTGTCCAACAATTGGTTGAGAGTGGCTGCCGCGCAGAGGGCCAGGGAGATCTGGCCTGGGTACAACTCAAGCTTCCCTCAGAAGGTTATACAACTGCGATTATCAAGGCATTGGAACGACATAACAGTCAATGCCTACAATTGTTGTTGAAATACTGTGATGTCAACAAGCAGTATCCATTTGGAGGAAGTTGCTCTACTAACTTTACCTTCTTCATTGAGCACACACGTCATCTCGATGAGATGCGTATTTGCCAAGGCATCGAGTTATTTCTTGATGAGCGTGCAGAAATCGTTGGTGGTATTGCTTCTTCAGAACAACGCTAACGTCAATGCACCTGCCAGAGGCGATTGGCGGAAAACAGCACTGCAAGCCACTTGCGATTTCAACCCGCGATCACCAGCAGAGAAGGCACAACAGATTGGAACTATCAATCTTCTGCTTACTCATAATGCCGACATCAACGCTACTCCTGCACGTTATGGAGGAATGACGGCGTTGCAATTTGCAGCTCAACACGGCAATCTAGAAGTTGTAGTGCCTCTGCTTGCCTGCAACCCCCCAGCCGATATCAATGCGCCACCTTGCGAATTTCAAGATGGATTTCGTCCATATGGCAATGCTGTATACTTGGCTGCTGCACATGGTCGTTTAGATGTCGTCAAATTACTCTTAAACAACGGCGGGCTAAGTAGCTACCGGGGAGAGACTGGTTACTATGGAGCCATTCGATACGCGGAACAAAGGGGATTTCTTGCGGTGGCAGAGCTGATATAACAGCATGCAACGGCCACTTCAAAATTAAGTACCACGTGCGCAAGCCTATCACAGACATAGAGAGATTGGCATGAGTATGGCTATGATGATTACTCCGACGGATATACGACCTGCAGCGGGGTGGGTTTCCTCCCGGAGTGGGAGGACACTATATCTGCAGCACCCAGCGAGGAACAAGATTCAATGTCTCAAGCGCAGGTTCAACCCAGCGTAGACGAGACTCCAGCTGGCCCTGAACATGCAGCACCCGAACCAGGCCGGGCATGGGAAGAGAAAGACGGCAATTCTCTCAACCTTGACATCAGCTTCGACAACCGTGCTGGCGACATCGAAAGGATCTACAGTCTTCATCATGATCCCTCCACCACCGACATCGATACTGTTGCAACTGGATCCGGGTTTGACCAGTGGCATGTCACGGGGCCTAACTCGATTGAAGAACTTGAGGTGAGCGATGTGATGACGCTGGTGTAAGGGTTGTGAATACGAGCAGAGTGAATATGTATATGCCGCGGCTGAGTGGCTAAGTGGCAGCGCCTAAGTAGTATAACTGAACTTGGCCTCCCTCCTCTGTCTTCCTTCTACCTTGTGGCTGTCTCTCTTTTTATAGATAAATTCCTTGTGCCCTTGCTCTTTCGTCACGCCCTTGATCGCTAGAAGGACGCGAGTAGGGCCCATGGCGGATAACGTTCGTTACCCGTAGGTGGCCCTGCTTCGCTTTACCTACTGCTAGCGCAGTAGGCGCGTAAATCGCGCCACAGCCAAACAGTCGCCACACACCCACATTTCTTTTTAATAGTAAAATACACCAAATCTCAAACATTCTCATATTAATACTCTTTTACAATAACTACTATATCTACACTTAATGTTACTATACCTGATAGCCGTCTAAAGCTATCTCTATATTCTAGCTATACTTAATTTAGCTAACTTATAATATTTGCTCACCTAACTTATAACTTCTGAGCCTAAGATTATGACGGTATGGCTCTTATATACTGCTAGAATAACCAATGGGCAGATTGGTTATTATGGTTTTTTGGCCGGGATGTGGAATTTGCTAGCAGTAATTCTATATACCCTCTCACACGTGTTGATCTAAAGGAACTCAAGTTTTCGTAATGCTCCAAATTTGCCCACACAATTGGTTGCGCATGCTTTCAGGCTCAGCAAGTGTCCAGGCGCTTCGAGGCGAGAACCACTACTGGGTCGGCCTTGCATTCTTCCTCAGTGAATTCCTGCGGAAATCTCACATAATGAAGTGAACTCAGTTATTACACTGCAAGTCCAGTCTCTGGATCCCTTGAGGCCTCGCTCCTCATCATAGTCAACATAGGCAAGACTAGACTTGGTATAACCAGCTTTAATATGTTTCCCAGTGCAGCGCCAAGAATTCACTCTCACCACTCTCGCGACTCTCACGCCACTCCATGTCAAGTTCTGACTCCAATCCCGCCGCGAGTTTTCCCCATATCTGATATTCCCCGTGGGAATAACCACCAGGGTATCGATTTGCTTTGTTGCTCTCGCACACAAGTCCAGCCGGGAGGCCGAGTACTGTTCTCAGACCGGGCCAAGAGGTTGGCACATGCCACACACCTTCGCGCCTTGGTGTGACATGGACGGTGATTGTGTTTTGTGTCTTCACCTTCTCGTACTTTCCTAGCTTGAAGACCTTGCGGCATCCTGTGTCGAACATGTTCCATTGCACGCAAATTGATGTGGCCCAGTCGCAACTGCTGAAGTAGTGGAGAACAATGTCGTATAAGAGTCCCATGGTGGCATTGGTTCCTATGTCCGACCTTGATGCCAAAGCTGAGGCATGTTTAGAGGGATCTACCCCATACCACTCCAGTACATTTTCAGCACCGTCATCGTTAGAATTCCTCTCAGTTTTCAAGATACCATCGATAGGCGCGGCTGGCTGCACGGGTAGCATCAGCCGCCAAGAGGCCTCTGGCCGGAGTATAGCCTGGCCACGGGCGGGGTCCCCGGCCCAATGCTGGATTGTCTTCGCAGCCGTGCCCTTGAACAACCAAGGGCCGTCGCACGCATATTTGTCTGGCTCAAATAAGAAAGGGAAGAGTGCTTCGACGATGGGATTGAACTCAGGAAGCCTTCCCGCTTGTTTCGACGGGGGAAGCGGCTGGGAAAAAAGCTTCTGCTGTAGCGACGGTGAGTCGAAAATTGTGTCGAGCCAAAAACGGCTGACTCGCTGTAGTTGCAGAATCTCGCCCTAGGCGAGGCACAGTAACACCTGCTCCAGGAGCTCTGGTATTGCCAAAGGGCTTGTGGGTTTGTTGGCATCCATCCTTGTTATCTTGAGCGTTCGAGAATATTGAATGTGGTATGTCCGACGTTCAATTATTCTCAAGGCGGGGAGTGCTCTTAAGCCATTCAATCAGGCAAATTTCATCTAGTCACAGGCCAAGAGGTAACTACATGGAGCGAACTGTCACCGATAGTAGTAGCGTTCCATGTGAGCGTGTTAGTTTAAGATTTAAGGACACAACAAAGTTAAATCAAGAACGCTCACACACTCTTCAAATAATCATCCCCCTGGTTCTGTTTGGCTACCAAAATGAAATTTGAACCAAATGGAAAAAGAATTTCCACCTGACCAAATGTATGTGTCCTTCGTCGTCGGCCAATGTTCGCTCGGGCCTTCACTACGAGCTTGCACCAGGTACTTAGATCGAACGATCTAGGTGGTGATTGAAATTCGTTACCACACACTAATTTTAGTAGACTGTAACATGCACACTTGGATTTGGCCGTGCAAGTAAAAATCCCCGGGGTTGGATTATTTCTAGGCTACGTGAATAAGGAGCGTCTGGAATGAGATAGGAACATGATAAGAGATAATGAAAAAATTGTCCCTGAGGCTACAACTCTAAGCCTGAATACCCTCAGGCTACCACCGCCGGATCCCTACTTCTTCTTCGTTTCCTATCATCCCCATGTCTTCGATCTCTCACTTCCTCTCACAGGAACTTCACAGACCCGACGTTCTGAGCAAAGCAGTGAGGTTCAGTTGTTTTCCCAGCAGGGATAGTGATATAGTGGGCGTCCTCGCCGGTGTCAGCGCAGTTCTTCAGTGAGTATGCACGGACTAGGAAGAAGAAGAGGTCAGCAGAGTAATCTTGCAGGGTTTGCACACAAATTATTTGAGGTGTGACGTACGGTCATGAGTTGCGGTGTTGGTGATGATCTCGACGCTGCTGAAGTCGCGCCAGACGCTCACATCGATGCAGGTGCCGACGGGGTCCTGGAACCAGACGGTGTCCTCAACCCAGATGCCGCCGTCCGCCCCACAGGATGAGTCGGCCCAGAACTTGACGAAGAGTCTTGGAGTTTCTTGACGCTGGTCGATGGGCGATCCGGGGAGGGCCTGGACACCGGTGGTGACCGCAGCGAGGAGGAGGGAGACGAGGCTGGAGGTGAACTGCATTGTGACCTTTTTGGTTTGGAAGAGAAAAACTTTGTTCTGAAGTTGGGAGGTGCTTGCCGGATATCGATGAGGATAATAGAGTGATTGAGGAAAAGACGAAGAATGCGGCAGGATACTAGCCCTCTTTATACTTATCAGCTGGGCGACATCAGCCCCCGGAGTTCATCATACAGTCATCTAAACCGCGTCCAACACGAGGAGTAACTCCTCTTCTTGCCCCTCCGGCGGCCGCAGTCTAACTGGGGCTTATGACAAGGCTCCAAGTCTGTTGAAGTGAGTACTTACACGTTCTCTAGCTGCCTTGGCCACCGCGTGGCTCAGGGCCACATAGTTGATAGGGCGCGCATACATGAAGGATCCACCGGGGCTCTAACCAACAGGAATGCACCCGAAGCTCATGATTGAAGTCTCAACATCTCACGAGATACTGGGGATTCCCACGATTCGGGATCACAATCCACCTATGCTGACTTTTTTCTCGCTGTATAATCACAGAGACTGAGCATTGCGAATGCTCTGCTTAGTGTTGATTGCCCTCATCGCTGTTGTGGTGGTCAGAGTGAAAAGATATTACGTACGAGGGGATGATGGTCAATACCGTCAAGAACTGTCAGAGTTGCTCGTGTGACAGCTTTCCGGTGTTTCCAGTGCTAGCATGGGTGAGTAAGTACTAGTACTGATCGGTGAGCATCAGCAGGTGTTCACGTTCACCCCGTGTAACTGTGATGGCTTTGAAGTTGGACTTAGACAGCGCCACGAACCGGATTTTCCAAACTGGGGAATATCACTAGAAAGAGAAGGATCGCCGTGTTGAAAGCAATACGCACTGCAATGTGAGAATATGCAAGAGAATGCAGCTCTTCAATAATTCCACGGCCAAGAGCCATCCGGGCGAGCTTCGGGACCGATATTTGGCTTACATTCCATATCGGTGAGCCCCATGCCTCGCTTAAGCCTGTCTCTGTATTCTATCGCCAACTGGATCCCGGTAGGCCATGCGTGCCTGACCCGAATTGACGGGATACAACGTTAATCGCCAGGGCGGAAGCGTGGCAGCCCGTGGCAGGAACCCACGTTCATCTCCGTAGGGCTGATCGGTTCAACCCCGGCCCCCACGCCCTCTCGAGGTCAGACGGCCCGCAAGCCGATGCAAAGTCATGTCCGGTCACGCTTAAACCGACTTCCGTGGCTCCCCGCTGCGCCATGCTTTTTACGGCCTTCCTTTGCTCATGGGTCGGGACTTGGCTTGCCCCGATTGCTCACCGTCTTTCAAGGGTAATCGGCCCTTGGCCAATGAGCTCTCAGAGGTCTTCCGAGTTTCAACACGGGGGTAATCCGGGGCAAGTTGTCCATGAGTAAGGATCAATTCAAAATAGACATCTCCAGGAAACTACTATGACCTCGCAACACGGACCGCCGATCGGACGGTGTTGGGGAACTCGCATTGCCTTTGTGGATGAGCCTTATCTGTCTGTGCATGGAACGCCATCCGAGTCCGCTGCTTCTCGATATGCCCTCATTTTTCGTTACGCAGGAAGGGTTGCCTAGCGTTGCCCGCCCGCATCCCGTAGGTGAAAGAAGCCCAGAAGCAGAGTTCCGGTGAGCTACTTGGCATTCTGTGCTCACTGCCTCCCTTGGCCGCTTCACCGGCTTTTTCACAGCGCGCTGGCTTTCCCGTGTCTACTTGGGCTGCTAACTCCCGGCTCAGCTTGCCAAAAGAATGCTTGCGACCCGGGGAGCCTCGTTTGAAAGCAAGGATGTCCAAAAGAAAAACAAGATGCTGCTGTAAATAAATTGATTTGAACCAAGCAGTACGCTACGTTTAATAAATACATCTATTGATTTCCTAGAATGTGGAGAACCATGTGACGCTATGGGGAGGTGAATGATTAGTACGACAATGTCACTTTCGATATTTAGGGCGGCACAATATAGTTGCTTTGCTAAAGCCGGTGACTCCATTACCCTTTGTCGATCCTTCCTGCGGCGCAGCTCAATGAGGACGTGTCTGAGCCAGGCACACACACGGAACCACAACTGCAAGTCCCAGCCTTCCGGTACAAGGCACGACATATATCCAATCAGTGAGTAGTGTCAAATCACCTAGCAGACCGAGCCTGCCGAGTGTTGGCCCCAAGAACCGCTGGCGCTCAGCCGCAACGTGTTTTGTGTCTACTAGCTGCTTCACAGTGCCTGCCATCAGCATCCCATATTCAACATCTGCGTGGGTCTTACGATCTCACTCAGCTGACTGGTCCAACCATCTTCCAACTCCCACGTAGGTACTGCCGTCTCTTGCCGCGTCTCTGGTGACTATGCCATCACTGGTCTTGATCAAAGGACCAAGCAGAAGAAGAATCCGCCACTCTTCTACGCCCATCGACATACAACTGAGGCTGACAGCCATCATCGCCTCTGTCGTGTTGATGGCATCAGGTCACGTACTTGAGGACAGCAGCCATCCTCACCACATATGCTTGTCCTTAAAAGGATCTCCTATTACACCTCTAGGCTTAAATTGTAAGAAGAATCCTAAACGAGTTAAACTCTACCAGGTTCAGTCTCATCGATTCTGATGTAGGGGAATCTCCCCGATGCCGACATACAGCTTGAAACAATAGGCCTCGTGAACTACATTATGGGCATTTACGTACAAAATTATTTATGGACACGTTCATACAATCATGACATGGACACACTGAACAAATACTGCTGACAATGTGGGTAATAGTCGGTCGGACACACACAAGGGTTGCGTGCCTGCTTGAGTTCGATCTGAGGAATGATCTTACTCAGCCTTGGACCTCCATTTACAATTTGTTGATGTCACGCTTTCCGCATGATAGGCTTACTGGGTAGATGGCGAGGCTTAGAATCAGTGGGAATAATCCGATTCGTCATTTTATCCTGGATCTCTTGCTGGTCTCCGGTTCTGGCCCTACCTTTCGGTATTTTTAGTATTACCGAGGAGCGTTAATAATCATAATGTGAGCCCCAGTGTGTTCCAACTCACTGAGGATCGCGTCAAATGATCAAAAGCCCCAGACCCTACATATAAATCACGCATCTTGACTGGGGTGGGTCATTGAATTATTTCATAGTTGGATTTGGATACAGCATTTGAGAAAAAAGGCTAACACTCGTTTACCAAGATTTGATTTCTTGTAATTGTGTTCAAAGCCTACTGCTATCGGCATTGTATATCTTTTTAACGCTGGGTGTTTAAGCGTTTATCACTGTATGAAGGGACTGGATGCATACTGCTTAAGAAGCATATGTGTACAAAGTAAAAACGACACCACTTATTTGCTTGGAATAACGTCCCCGGCCCAGATTCCGGCCGCCCCCGATTCCGGCCAGTCGTTTTCTGGTGCACTGGCACTATAAGATACCCACTTATCAATCTTCTATAATAAATCCAAATTAAATCCTACAACCCTAACACTAAGTTTAAAATAAAGGATTTTAAATATATTCTTATATTAAAATACTTTAAAAAAATATAACTTTAATACAATAATTTTAAAATAATTCTTAAACTTAAGTTATTAAAAATATTAAGATTTATATATATAATATATAAAATTCTTAATAGCTTATATTTTTTAATTTTATACTTATTTTTTTAATGAAATAATTATAATTAAATTTTATTATAAATAATAAATATTTTATTATAAAATATATAAACTCTTTTATATATTTAAAATTTTTATAAGAAAATATTAATAAGTTTATGTTTTTCTTATATATAATTTTTATAAAAGAAATTAAAAAAATTATATTTTAAAATATCTTTATAAATATAAAGTTTTTAATATAATATCTTTTAATATTATATTATATATTAATCTTTAAATAAAGTTTTAAAGAAATAAAATTTATATTTAATTTTATAAAAGAAACATTTACTTTAAAGTAAATATTAAGGTTCTTATATAAGATATTAAAGATCCTTGATATTTTAAGTATTATACTTTTAAGAATTATTTTAAAAATAATATAATTATAATAAATTTCTTTAAGTATATATATTATAATTTTCCTTTAAAATCCTATATTTTAAGCCTGAGGCTAGGGTTACGGGATTTAATTTGGATTTATTGTAGAAGGTTGAAAAGTGAGAGTTTGTGTGGGAAAGGCGGCCGGAATCGGGGGGCGGCCGGAATCTGAGCCGGGGACGTTAGCTCTTAAGAATCATTCCCATTTTCGCAAAGCACGTTCAATCAACACGGGACAACGAATCATTTTGAATTAAGCACAAGGCCTGAATGACACAAAACGCGAACATGATTCATTATCTGTTGATCAAGATGCCTAGATAATCAGTCCTAAACTCCGTCCTATCCCTTGTCATGTGGGGCAGGCGTGTATGCTCGTGTGGTCCTCCTGGTCCAAAGGAACTCGAATTAAAGTCTCGTCGCAGGCTGTGGAACTAGCAATGGGACAGGACATAGCCTAAAACGGAGTCTCAAAGACTCATATGTCAGGTAAGGATACCAGCTGCTTTGTCGAGGAACTCGTCATTGCGTTTCTTGATCAAGTAGTAGTACTGTCCCAGATCGATGGGCTTGTTGGGCGTCGAATCGCCTTGATACGCACCCTTGCCGTGTCCATCGAAGTGAACCTTCCAGGCTATCGCGGTGTCAGTATCGTCATATTGAAGTAAAGCTTGTAAGAAACGGGACTTACTGCTAGCGTCGAAGCTGAGGTACGACCAGCTGTCGTTCAGGTAGGCCTTCTCGGAACCAACGTGGATCGTCTTCACCACGCCCATCTGACCTGGGGCGGGACGAAGTTGCTTGAGGCCAGCAACGAGCCTGACGAGTCCGACGATGAAGGTCGTCACCAGGTCCTTGGCGAAGCATTCGTGCTGGCCGTAGCTGAAGGAGGAGACGGGCTCCTTCTTGCGCTGCGGGTCGAACTTGTCGGCGTCGGCGAACTCTTTCGGGTTGCGGCCAGATTCGCCCTTTGCACATGGTTAAAGGGTTTCAGTCACATCAAGAGACCTGCAAACTTACAAGGAGCATGATGATAGCATTTCCCGGTTCGACTTTCTGGCCGTCAAGCTCGGCTGGTGCCACAGCAACGCGCATGTTGCGCTGTGTGCTGGTGAGGCGTTGTGCCTCGGCGACATACGCGTGGAGTCTCTCGTCGTCCTTATTCTCCACAATGGTCTGGACCTCAGCCCAGATGCCTGCGTTCTCAGGCCTCAGGAAGAACTCCAAGACTTCGTAGAACTTCGCGAGGATTAGCAACGGGAACCACAAATGCTGTGATTAAACGGGCTTACCACTGTGACAGGAACGCCGGTACCGCCGAAAGCTGTAAGCCACAGGTTGTCGACTACTTTGTCAGCCGAGTTAGCCTGTGCCAACAGCTCCTCGACGAACTTGTATCCACACGAGCGAAGCGAATCCTTCTTGAAGTTCGCCCTCCGGCCAACCGCGCTGGAGATGGCATTGCCGATGCCGAAGCCTAGGCCCTTTCCAGCCGAGACCTCGTTGACGAGCGTGCGGGTAGAGTCGATGATGACCTTGACGCTCTCGATCGCGCGGCGGCGCCGGTTCCACGACTGTGCCGGGTCGTTGTCGTTGACGCCCCAGATGCGGACGTTGAGCAGGTGGCGGTAGAGCTCGGCGGTGCCGAGCTTGCCGCTCGGGTTCTCGTCGGTGAGGAGGTCGAAGTAGAAGAGGTCCGCGAGAAGCTGGATGTTCAGCGGGATCGCGATGTCCCGGATGATGTCCATGTGGTAGAGGCCCTCCCTGAGCTTGAAGGTCTCCTTCTCGATGAGCTGCGTGCCCACCCGGTCGACGAACTCATGGATTGCGTTGTGGAGGTTGGGCAGCTTGCCTATTGCCTTCTTCATGTCGATGCGGTGCTGCTGGTTCTTCTGCTCGTCGCCTGAGAGCATGAACCAGCTGATGTCTTTCTTTGTGTCGGTAAACATGGACTGGAGCGGTCTGAGCCATGGCAGGACGAATTGCTTGGGGTTGTCGAGCACCTGCTTGATGGCTGAACTTGAGACGACCACAACGGGCTTGGGCGGTGGCTTGGGGTCATCTGTCGTGTATAGGTGGAATGTGCCGATTTCTTTGGCGATAGCCTCGTTGGCCTTCTTCGTATACATGGGCTGCATGACAGCGACAGAGTTATACGGGAACCAACGTGGGAGGCCTCTCTGGATGAGCTTGTACAGCATTGAGCCGCCGAGGGTCTTATAATCCTGCTGCACCTCATTGTAGCCCCACGCAGTCAGGTTCGAGACTGTATAATCCAGGGTGTTGAACCGATCTGACCGCACGAGCGTGACTGCATCTGAGAGGACAGCTCGGCCAACCGAATATGTCGGGCAAATACCGCTACCAGTATTGCGGACGGGCTTGATGTCCTCAATCATCAGACCTGGGTAGAGCTCCACCATGTCAGGGTCCGTGTACAGCTTCTCGAGCAGGTTGGCAATGTCGGGGTTCGAGTTGATCTCGATGAACTTGTCGTATCTCTTTAGGCCAAAGAACTCCCGGAACTCGTTCAGCGACCCAACCTGCCACTTGCGAGCCTGGTTGATGACCAGGATCTCGACGATCTTCAGTGCTTTGGGAATCATCTTAGCACCGAAGCAGCCGGCAGGGTCTTCCATAGCCTCCTTCAGGATGCGAACAAGATCCTCGTCCTTGAAGGTCCCGTCTTCTTGACGTTGGAGGTTGCCAATCCCGCGGACACTGGGGTCGGTTGGGATGGACTGCTCAAAGTTGACCAGCGCCCGGCCGAGCTCGGCCATGCCGACGTTCTGCAGGTCTTCCGCTTTCCGGTCAGGGAAGAGCTGGGTGAAGAACTCGTTGGTCCAGCGCTCGTCCTTCTTCGAGATGCAGGCGTGGAAGCGGTACAGCAAGTTGAACTCGACGCTGACTTGGTTGCCGACACCGCGTGGCACACCCTCGCCGTCGATCTGCTTGTCGATTGCGACGCGAGGGTCCAGTGTCCAGTCGCTACTAGAGTGGTGGGTGTTGGTGATGGCACGCAAGTAGTCGTGTAGGCTGATGTTGACGTAGAGTCCACCGACAATCAGGCGAGCCGTGTTGAACAAGTCATGGTCTTGCTTGGCGACCGCTTTCGCCTTGTCCTCGGGGTTGGCATCCGCAGGACACTGCAGCGTGAAGCGGCCATTCTCATTAATCTTGAGCAGAATGTCGCAGACGTAGTTGTGGAACCGGCTGTAGAGGACTAGCATGACGCTGACACCTGGAGGTTGCCCAAGGAGCCGCCGTTCGTGGAAAGTATCCGGTTTCAGCCTGCCCTCTTTCATGGTGCGCACCTCCAGTTGGTCTTTGAGTGAGGAGCCATACAGAGGAGCCAGGTCTAGATAGGACGAGGTGTCTGACTTGTTCATGTTGGTGCGATTGGTTCGGAAGATGTCGTGTATGATGATGGAGGCATGATAGAACAGCATGGACGAGATTCCTGCGGGGTTCTCCTTGAAGGATCCATCGTCACGGGCCATCAAGAGGTCGAAAAGCAGACCTGGGTCAGGCTTGACACCATGGAGTGTCTTGACTGTCTTGACTGTCTTGGCGTAGGGAGTGCCGGCCTTGCCCAGGTTGGGCTCGAGGATGTTGTTGTAGCTCCCATCGGGCATTCTGTACTGGTAAAGGCCATCTGGAGCTTGTGGTATGTGCTCACGCAGGGTGACTTCACTGTCTGGGGCCTTGAACTCAATGAAGTCGGCGGGCTCGGCCTTTTCCTTGGACGCGTTCGCATCAACGACCTCATAGTGGACATCACCGCCGACGTAGCTTAGGGGTGGATGCTGAAGGTTGTCCCAAAGCGTGTCGATGAGCTTGTTCGTGAGCTGTACTCGGGCCTTTGAGGTGGAAGGAAGGGATGTCAGGATTCCAATCAGGACCTCAGTTGTCCTAGCAAGTGTTAGAGGCGGATTGCCTGTGTATCACTGGAATGTTTTAACTTGCCCCTTCTTATCGTCGAGAGGCTGACCCTTCTGGAGCAACGACTTGATGACACCCACGAGCTCAGCCTGGGATGTCTGGCTGCGAACCGAGGCGTAATCTTTCAGTATGTCTGCAGCCACCTTCACAGGGTCAGAGAAGAAGCTCGCGGAACTTTGCTCGTCATCTCCGTACGAGGCACCAGCCTGAAACTTCTCATTCGAGGACGAAGCCATGATGTGCCTAGAGTCTTGGTTCTTATGCGTGTAGAAGATAGGGCAAACGGTGGAACTGTTTGATTCAACGTTACTGCTAAATATTCACTCCTTATACTAATAACAGGGTCATTCAAATAGCTCTCATTCCTGCCTGCTACTTAGTACGAGGCCACAATCTCGGTCGTGACTTCACAATGTCCGATGCCCCCTCACTTGACGAGAAACGACCCGTAGTGGCGTCCAGTAATGTAGATGGCCATGATGCAGATGCAAGCAACCATTTCAGTAAAAGACATCTCCATTGCACAACAGTCGTTCCGCCCTCCCTGTACACAAGGATGACACGTGATGCCATTCCGAAAGATCACTCCTGCAAATGCCGATCGTAACATGCAGACTGTGACGCCTCGAGTGGAAGGAGGGCAGACGGCAAGGAAAGGAGTTAAAGCACTGGCAGTGTTTTGATCGGTAGAAGTCGTGCTTGTGCTCGTGTAAAGAGCAGAGACTGAGTATCTTTCAGTCGTGACACTCTCACCTTGTCGTACACACATGTGAGACACGCATAAATTGCCTAAGAGATATGCGGGGGACCGGAGGTGAGCACCAATAGAATGACACCCAGCCTGACCGAAAAGCAATGAGGCTGGCTGATTGATGAATAATGCCTGAACGGGTATTGAAGCTCGACTTGCTGCAAGCTGGCTGGGCACGGGTCGCACTGCATCCAGATTCGGGACACTAAGAAAGGGGATGCCGGCGTGGTACACCCGTTGATCAGGGTGTTGGCATGTTACACTGCGGTAGCCCGAGGCATTTTGTGGGGGTGAGTCTGTATTGGGTAGTGTTTGAGACAGGCTATCTTCCCCGCAGAGTCGACGCCCGAAAGCTGCAGATATTCAGCTGTGATACGATTCGTCAGCCACTGAGGTGGTAGCTGACCATTGTTTGGCAACCTCAAGACAATTGCAAATCAAGAGCTGGCTGGCTGGATCGTGAATCGAGACGATGATCTTGCGGGCATGGCGTTCACCGATTGCCTCAGCTCGCAGCGAGTTATTTCCCTATTGGACAGGGTCACTCAGCCTCGGAACGCATGACCGGGAGCACAGGCAATCTGCGAACTCCGCATGCGTGTCTGCCGAACACAGTGTTCACAACATATATTGATATACACTGCATACCAATATTCATCGACTCACTGGAATTGTCCAGTAATCGTGGCTGTAGCTGAGGAAGGGCAGTCTAGAATTACGAACACGTAATTATTGGGATGCTGAGTGGCCAGGCCAGAGGATGCGATACTCCACGGCGTGAGGCGAGGTGACATTTCTTTTTCTTCCCACGCCACAGAAGCCAAGTTGGACATGATTGACACTTTTGCTGACTCCTCCCTTCCTCGTGAAACCAACACCAAATTTGGGGGCTCAAATTCTGATGGCAATCAGATAATGGCTGTGACAGCAACCAGTACTACTCCATCCGGGGGGGGGGGATGCTAGAATATTCCACTTGGCGGTTGAGAGGACGAGTCGGGACCTCAAAAAGCCACTTCCCATCCTCCTGCCGCCTCATTACCCACCAGACTTTCAAGCATCTTTTCCACCTGACAGAAGTCAACACCTTAATTTCGCTAGCACTATGTCTTCTTTGAGCAATGGCAACCAGGGGCCTGAACCAGCGAAGACTCCCAAGAAGCTGGTCCTCTGTTTTGACGGCACTGGCAACACTTTCACGGGGTCGAACTCTGACACGAATGTCGTGAAGATATTGAGCAAACTCGATCGTAACGACCCACACCAGTATCATTATTACCAGAGTCAGTTATCCTCCCTGTTTGAATAGTTCCACAACTCACAAAATCAAAATGTCAGCTGGTATTGGTACATACGACATCAACGATGAATCTGTCAACAAGAGCGTCTTTGGCCAGATCAAGAGTTACATTTCTCAGACAATTGATCAGGCGGTGGGCACCACCTTCGACAGCCACGTCATGGCTGGGTACAGGTTCTTGATGCGGTACTACGACTCTGTGAGCTCGCTTACCCCCCCCCCCCCCCGGGAAGATGTTGCTCTTGCTAACCCCGTTATTCACTAGGGCGACAAGATTTACATGTTTGGGTTCAGCCGCGGTGCCTTCACTGCCAAGTTCTTAGCCCGCATGATCAATACCGTGGGACTTCTTTGCAAAGGCCAGGAGGAGATGGTCCCCTTCGCGTACCGCCTCTATCAGCGCTACCTGGCCGGTGAGGTCGAGGACTTCAATGTGGCGCATCCCAAGAAGTCCAAAAGGAGGAAGAACGCGAACAAGAAGAACGCCGCTCCCCCGGCCGAGCCGGCACCGCTACCGGAGGAGGACGCCGAACCTCTCCACAACGGCCACGGAGAGGAAGATGGTATATGCGCAGACCCAACTACCCATGGTCACAGGTTCGAGATCGCCCGCGACGAGATCGCAGCTTTCAGTGACACCTTCTGCCGCAAGGAGAAGGTGACGCACTGCGGGAAGGTGACGGAGGAAAACATCAAGGTCTACTTCCTCGGCATCTGGGACTGCGTCAACTCCGTCGCCGTCCTGGAGCGGACCGCCCCGGTCCCAGTACCGGTCATCGGCACGGCAAACCACGTCCGCCACGCGGTGGCCATAGACGAGCGGCGCGTCAAGTTCAAGGCCGCCCTGCTCGCCCAGGACAAGGAAGACGCCGAGCACAACCACGAGGACATCAAGGAGGTGTGGTTCCCGGGGTGCCACGGCGACGTCGGCGGCGGTTGGCCCGCCTCCAAGGACAACGCGTTCGACAACGGCAAGGAAATGACGTTCTGGGAGCGCGTCAAGCACTACTGGACGACGCGCAGGAACAAGGAGCCGGCCAAGCCCCTGGGTGCCGGCCGTCTCCAGCTGAGTGACGTCCCGCTTGCGTGGATGATCCGTGAGGTTGAGCTCGTGGGCGAGCAGGACCCATCTGCGGCGCTCAAGTGGCGCAAAAATGTGCATGAGTTCAAGGAACATTTCTCCAAGAAGAAGGACCATGCAATGAGGGGAGCTATTCATGACTCGCTTGCATTGGGCCGCGGCACAGGCTTGTTCAAGGTGCTGTTGTGGAAGTTCATGGGTAAGTTAACATACTTCCTCGCCCGCCCTTCCCCCCTCTACTCTCTTGGTCTTTGTACTGACTTGGTCGCGACAGAATGGCTCCCCATCATCAAGCGCTGGGAGCTCGAGATCCAGGGGTGGGTGAACATGCGCTTCCCGCTCAACAAGGGCAGCACGCGCGACATCCCGAAGGATGCGGTCCTTCACGAGTCTCTCCTCTGGCGCCTCACGCACGACGACAAGTACTGCCCTGTGAACAACCATGGTGGCAGGCAACTGCCTTGCTTGAAGCACAAGAACACTGTTGCCGAGTGCCTCCCTGTTGAAGAGCATGAACATACCCCGGACTGCGACCACAAAACATTCAAGATCAAGAGATCTGCATCTGATATTGCGAGCATGACTTAGCGGGGACGTGGTGGATGAGATGTTGTAGGACTAGTCGGCGCTGAAGAAAATGATTGTGTATGCTCATGCAAGCTGTTGGTGGTATGCTTGGAGATTGACCTGCCATTTATCCCTGCAGCTACTAGTAATGTATAGTTCAGTTAGTGTCTTGCAGCTACCATCAATGAGTCTACTCATCAATGTGGACTCTCCTTTGAAAAGGCCAATGCTTCAATATTGATTAGTAGTTAATGAGTGGTCTATGAAACTGAGTGTAGTTCAGTAAAAGGGTGAGCCGAAGAAAACCAGGATTCAATTCGTTATAGTGCAGCAGCAAGAGGGGCTGTGATTACATAAGCTCCTCAAACAGGCCACCGCTACCTCTCGGGTACAGGTGCAGCTGTAGCTTGTGCTGCTCCCTACATGTGCTTCCATACACACTGAAACGTGCCCGTGACCACTCATACCTCGACGGAGGACTGGAACCTCGAAGCTGAGTGCATGCCTTTGCCTCTTGGACCGTTGTACTGCCTTGATATTTGTCCCCCATCTCGTTGTCTCGGGCCCTGCGACCATGGGGATTGGTCTTTGGCTACAGCGTTGTACGCCCGGCGTGTCTTCGCTGGTGATTATCTTCCTCCTCGGCTTTAGCAACACGAGGCTTTCCGCAGCAGACGCACAAGAATCGACCGATGACACGGGTCTTGGGAGACAGCGACTTACCTTCTCAGAAGGCTTCTTCATCTTCTACTCAATCTTTCTTCACATCGTTATCTCAGCTCTCCCTCTGCGTACTTTCCGTGGGGCCAGACTAGCTACACAACAGATACAAGCAGCATTGGAAGCATCTCAACAAGAGTCGGATCAAAATGAAAATACTCAGGGTCGCAGCCATCAGTCATCTCCGTCTGAGCTAATCCACGTCTCCATAATTCCGTCTTACAAGGAATCACTTGAAACTTTGCAAGATACGCTCAAATTACTTGCAAGCCATCGACTTGCGAAGAGCACTTATGATGTAAGAAGATATGCGCACTCTCCATAGAATGCCCAGTGTAGCTGATGACTTCACACAGATTTTCCTTGCCATGGAAGAAAGAGATCCCCATGCTATCGAGGTTGCTGAAGCACTAGTCTCCAAATTTAGTCCTTCGTTTTTGGACATCCAGTACTGCGCGCACCCCTCAGATATACCCGGTGAAAGTCAAGGCAAGAGTGCAAACGTCGCCTGGGCTGCAAGGGCGGTGGAGAGCAAGTACCAGGGCCGGCCTAACTTCCGAGACGTGCTGGTCACAGTCATGGACAGTGAGTAACAAGCCCATATGGAGGTTTACGCATTTTGATACTAACGGAAGATAAGGTGACACTCACCTCCTTGAAACGTATTACTCGCTGATCCAACAGCGCCATTTGGCGCTGCGGCGGCAGTCGGACCTCGCAGCCATAACCCTATACTGTGCACCTTTTGTCTTTGACAGAAACCCACATCTGGTGCCGACACTTGTCCGCGCGGCTGACATGGGGTGGTCCTGTGCTGGCCTGGCGTGCTACAAACGTCCAGGAGAATACCACGGCGTAGCCATCCCTACCTCTGTCTACACGTTACCGCTCGACCTTGCATCCTCGATTGGCGGCTGGGACACTGGGCCAGGAGCTATTGGTGAGGACATGCACATGATGCTCAAGTGCTACTTTGCGACAAACGGCCGCCTCAATATTGAATCCATTCCAAGTCCCGCGAGCATGTCCAACGTCACTGGCGGGCCGACAGGCTGGTCTGGCTGGCTTCACAATCATAAAGCTCGCTACTTCCAAGGTCTTCGTCACATGTGGGGAAGCCTGGATTCAGGCTACGCAGTAGCCAGGTGGTGTCAGATGGGCGTGTCATCTCCCGATGGGAATACCGGTCACACTTCGACCAAAGACGACACCAAATCCCGCAGCAGTCTTGGCATTGAACCGGTTGACGTGTGTGGCAGCAAAGTTCGTTTTGTCTGGCTCAGAAATGCTGTGCTCTTCCTGCGTCTATTCGAGGCTCACATCTTTCCCTTGCACTTTATGTGCATTCTCGCCGCCTCCAGCTACTACTCCTCACATTTGAACACTTCCAAGGCCAGTCCGTATATGGAGATCGTTCTTAAGCTTACAGAATATGCGCGGACTGCCAATGGTGTACTAATGGCTATCTGCCTTTTTACTGCATATGCAGATTTCCACAAGGTTTGCGTCCAGGCAAGACAGTGGGAGATGCGTAAGGCGGGGTTGCATGACTTCACTTTTCAGTCTTCAACTCGGGAGCGTTGGAGTCTGGGGAGCATCCTCGATATTCTTAGCCTGCCTGTCGCAAGCATGTTGTTTGGAACTTTGCCATTGTTGCAGGCGGTGTTTTCGCATTTCTGGAGCGATAGGCTGCTGTATCGGGTGAGTGGAAAGCCCACTAAGAGTCACAGCAGTTGAGATAGCTTCATGGAATTATCAAGAGGAGATGGAGTATTACGGCGATCGGAGTCTTTGGAATGAGGATTTTATCATATAAGACCCGGTTGTCTTCCTCTTCTCACACATCCGATAGCAGCCCCGAGACATGTGATAATTCAACTTTCGATACGGCAAATTGTGATTCAATTTACCGCCGAAGCTAGTCCGTTAGAGAACAGATGTATAATATTCTTGTCCCAAGTCCAACACTGAAGAGCACGTGCCTACTCTCGGAAATCATACGTTCAATCACGTAGTTTGAATAAATCGCCTGGTGTATCTATATGCGTTCCTGAGACTCTACTATAGCAGGATCAGTAGCCACATGCCGATGAAACAGCTCATGCCTTCACCCGACCGCCGGCCTTTGCGAGGTGATTAGGCTCCCTCCTCATGAAAGTCCCTCCGCTCGACTGGTAGCCGACGACCTTGAAGCCGTGGCGTTCATACAGGATCGTGCCGTCCTTCGAAGCCTCTACCCAGCCGGCAACCGCAAGAACATCCGCAACGTCGGTACCCCATTGCAGCATCATATCGCCAGCCCCCTGCCGACGGAAATCGGTGTCCGTAAACAAGATATGCAGGTCTACATGCAAGAATCAGTGTGCCAGCCCAAAACTCCGCTATCGACCAGGGGGAAAACACTCACGAACATATCCGTCGGGGTTAGCCTTCACCCTCGCCTCGGTCATCTCGGCCAGGATCCCCTGCGCCTTCACGCGGCTCTCATCGTCCAGCCAGGGAGGCGGCGTGTCCTCATCTGCACCCGCCGGCGCCGACGCGCCGGGGAAGATCCTCCAGTGGCTGGCGGCGGCGATCCTGCCCGTGGCGTTGTCAACGACCTTGATCCACAGGGCGTGTGGGTCGGCGCGCATCTCCTCCTGGTAGCGCGCCACCGAGCGCGGCAGGTCGTCCTCGGTCGGGCAGCCCATGAGGAGGTCCCGGATGATCTGCGGGAAGGACAGCCAGCAGAGCCTGATCACCTCTGGCATGTCGGCCTCTGTGGCGCGCGAGAGGGTGAAGGGCGGCTGGCCCGCCATGGCTACTGCGTGCGGGGTGTTGCGAAGGGGAGATGGCGGGGAGGCGGGGGCGCTGTTCGTCGGGCTTGGGCAGTGGGCCGGGCTGATGTCTTGGATGTTTTTGTGGGCGTGGCCGTTTGGGGTGCGCTGTGCATGGAGTTGCACAGAATGCTGCGGGCCTCAGACTCTCCGGGACATGGTGTTCTCAGGTTCGGGACAACTTGGTGCAAGGCTTACTGTCGGGAGGCAGAAATGTCGCCCCGCGGACCGTGTCGGATCCATCCACTGTCTGTGGAAAACGAAGTGCAGCCCCCCCCCCTGTCGCTTTGGTTAGCTGTCCCCCCCTGCATTAAAATTTAACTGTAAACGCGAAATATGCACTAAGATTTTTATAAATACCCTTATTAACATTATTATGTACTTAATTTAGCAAAAAAAAGATTATTATAACCCTATTTTATATATATCTTTAAAATAATTAAAAATAATAAAATTAACTTAAGCTTATTATATAAGGAAGTATATGCTTTATTAGCCCTAACTTAAAATAATTATAGCCTACTTAAATTAACTAAGGACTTATTTTAAAAGCCCTTAAAAAGTAAAAGCTTAGCTATTATAATTATATACTTATTTACAACGCTAAATTATTTACTTTATTAATAAAACATATATTAATTAATTAATAATATTATTATATATAAAAAAGCTAATAATAAAAGCAAAGATTATTATTATTATAAAATAAAAGCTAATAACTTAATTAAAGCCCTTATAAAATAAGCAAATAATTACTTAATATACTACTTAATATATTATTAAAAATATTAAGAAAATTACCCTTAAAGCTATTTTTAATAAAAATAACGCTTTAAGTAACTTAAATAAAATTAAAAATACTTATATTAATTAAAAAGCATTAAATATATTTAAATTATTATTATTAACTAATAATGCTAAAGGTAATAATATTAAAAAGCTAAAAAGCTATCCTTTATTAAAGAAGTTATTAAGAAAAGCATTTTTAATATTATATATAAAAGTTATTAATATAAAGGCTTCTTTAATACCGCTAATAAAGCAATAAAGCTTTATATTTAATAATGATAAATATAAGGCTTTTAATATTAATTTATTACTTAAAGATTTTTTTTTTAAAATAAAGAATTAAATTAAAGTTAAGCTTATTAATATAAAGAATATAATAATTAAGCTATTATAAGTTTTATTTAAAATAAGTTATTAACTTTAAATAAAAATATTTTTAATTTAATTAAATATAATAAAAAAAACTAAAAAGCATTTAAAAAGAAAACTTTTTAACAATAAAATTATAAACATGCTTTTATTAAGCAAAGATCCTTATTATCTTATAATTATATATATTTATAAAGTAATACTTTTAATAATATAAATAATACCTTATAATATTATAACGTTAAAGCAATTAAGCAGTAAAATCTTTAAGCCCCCCTTATTAATAAAATTAATGCCTAGCTTAGTAAATAATTTATTAATAGTTAAATACTTAAAAAATATTCCTTTAATTAAATTATTATTATTATTATAAAGCCCTTAAAAAGAATTAATTACTTATCTTTAAGGCTTATAAAAAGCTAATATAAATATAGCAATACTTTAAGGGTTTTTATTATAAGGCTAATTATTATTATTATAATAAAGAGGACTTTTTATAATAATAATATTATATTAAGAAAAAATAATATATATATAAATATTATTAATGCTAATTTAAATATATAAGTATAAGTAATAATTAATAATAAGGCTATTATTTAAAAGCTTTTAAAAAGGCTTTTTATTAAATAAATAAATATTGCTAAAGCTCATAAAAATAATAAAGAACTTAATAACAATAATATTAACTTTATATATAAATAAAAAAAGCTTAAAAAAATAATAAGTAAAAAAAAATAGCATTAATATAATAATTAACTTATTAATTAATCTTTACGCCCTTAGCTTTAAATATAAATACTTAATAATGCTATTATTAATGCCATTAATGCCTTTATTAATATATTTATTAAAAGGCTTTAAAAAGCTATTAATATTACTAGCATTAATAGCTTCTTACTTAAGCAACCTTATATATCATTATTAACTACTTATACTTTCATTATTACTATTATAAGTACTTAATAATTAAAAAGCCCTTAGCAAAAACTTTATATTTAAGGCCTTATAAAAACATTTTTATATATTAATAAAAAAAAGGCAATTAATAAAAGTATAAAAGGTTATAAAGTATAAAAGTATTAATCTTTAAGCCCTATACTTAAAAAAGGATATTTAATTTAATAAAAAGAGTTTAAATAATATTAAACTAATTAAAAAGCTTATAAAGTTATACTTAAAGGAAAGGGAAGACTTCTTTAAGCTTCTTAAAAGCAATAAAAAAAAAGAAAGCTTATTATCATTATTAACATTAATATAAAATAAAAATCATAATTTTTAATAAGTAAAAAGCTTCTTAATATTAGCTAATAATGCATTAATATTAAAAAGTAAATTTAAAGCATTTTTTAATACATTTTAAGCATTTAATTAATATTATTTATAAAAAAAAATAATATAATTAATAAAAAAGTTAATAAAATAATTATATATAAAAAAGAATATTTATTTAAATATTTAAAAAGTTAATTAAAAAAATTAAGTATATTTCTTATAAAAAATTATTAACTATCCCTTTTTAATTACTTTAATAATACTTTTTTTTACTAACTTTCCTATTATTAAAAAACTTATTATAAATAACCTTATTATAAATAACCTTATTATAAATAACCTTATTATAAATAACCTTATTATAATACTCTTTCTTTTTTATTAACGCTACTTTTTTTTACCCTTCTTTTAATTATATAATATCTTTATTACTTTTTATTACTATTATTACCTTTAAATTTCTTTTTTAATATATATATATAATAAAAATATTTCTTAATTATCTTTATATATTAATTAATCTTTAAAGCGCTTAAATATAAAAAACTTATAAATTTCTTATTATTATTATAATTATTTATCTTATATTAATATTAATATTAAATATATCTCTTTAAATTTTTAAAATATACCTTAATTAAGTTAAAATTAAAAACATATAATAATAAATATATTAACTAAATACCCTTTGCTTTAATAACTATATAAATAATGTAATTATAATGTTATAAAGCATTATTTATTATAAAAATTAATTAAGGGCTTAAATAAATATTTATTTAAAAGAAAACCTTTATTGGCTGGGTTACGTATTGCAATATAATGTTTAGTTGGTATAGTGGTTAATTATTGTTAATTATGAAAGGGAAGAAGGCAAAAGACTTAATTATGCTAGCTATTTTATATGCAGCGCTAAGGTTATTGCTTACCGGGCATCTTAATAAGTTAAAGCTGCTTAATTTTAAATAATCCTTTATATAAATAATACTTATTATTCTTATATTAATAGTTTTTATTTTATAAATATATATTACTTTTAAAAAGTATAAAAAAAGAAAAATATTAAGTTAAATTAAATTTAAAGTTAAAAAGTAATTAATTAATTATATATATAAGTTAAATTATAAGTATATTATTATTTTATTATATTATATTATTATAAAAAGTAAGTATATAAAAAGGCTTAAGTTATTATTAAGGGGTTAAAGGTTAATTAATTTATTAAAGTATATAATTAATAAATAAAAGTTAATTAAATATATATATATATTAAAATATCCTTATTATATAAAGTTAAAAAGCTTAAAGGGTTATAATTATTATATAAATATTTTATTTATAATGCATTTTATAAATTTATGCTTTTATTATTTATAATGCTTAAATTAAATAAGGATTAAATTAAATTCTTAAATTATTAATATAATTATTTAATTTTTAAATAATTAAAATTTCTTAATTTAGCTTAGCTTAAGCTTTGCTATGCTTAATATTATTTATTAAATAAAGAAATTAAGAAATATAATTAAAAAATAAGTTATTAAAATAAAAATTAAGTAAATAAAGTTAATAAGTTATAAGGATTAATAAATAAAGTATTTAAATAAAGGGAAAAGTAAGGTATAAGATAAAGATTATTAATTAAATTAATAAATAATAATATTTTTAATTTTAATATATAAATATTAAATTATAAAATTTAATTAAGGATATTTATTAAATATAAGTTAATAATTTAAATACTTATAAAATAATAATAATCCTTATTATTTAAACTTATAATATATAAATATTATTATAAAAATCTTAAATATAAGATTTTCTTTTAAAAGAAATGTAATTTAAAGTTAATTAATTATATTATATTATAAGATAATTTATAAATAATTAATAAATATAAATTAAACTTTTATATTTTTATTATATATTACTTTTTATTAAAAAAGTTATTTTATTATTCTTTATTAAAAATTTTAAATAATTTTTTATCTTTATAATTATATAATATATATATTTAAATTAATTATATTAATATTAATATAATAATTTTATAATATATAATATAATAATAATATTTAAGGTTATATTAATATAATTTATTAATAAGTTATTAAATTATACTTTAATAATTTAAGTTTAAGCCTTAATATATTATAATCTTCTTAACTTTTTATTATATTTAAATAATTACCTTATTTTCTTAGCTATAATTTATATAGCTTTATACCTTAATTATAATATTATTTATATTTATAAAGTATTAAAAAGTATTATTAAAAATATTTTTATAAAGGCATTAATTAAATTATAATTTTTAATAATTTAATAAATTTTAAAAATTTTATGCTTTTTATATAATTATTAAAAAATTATAATATTAATTATAAAGCGCTTTTTTTTATTATTTTAAGCTTAATTAAGCACTTATATAAAGAGTATAAGTTAATATATATTATAAAAGGAATTATTATAATATTTAAATATATAATAATTTAATATAAAGTAATTATTAATATTATAATTATATTAAAGCTATTAATTATATTATA